CCTAAGCCTAAGCCTGAGCCTAAGCCTAAGCCTAAGCCTAAGCCTAAGCCTAAGCCTAAGCCTAAGCCTAAGCCTAAGCCTAAGCCTAAGCCTAAGCCTAAGCCTAAGCCTAAGCCTAAGCCTGAGCCTAAGCCTGGCCTAAGCCTAAGCCTAAGCCTAAGCCTAAGCCTAAGCCTAAGCCTAAGCCTAAGCCCTAAGCCTAAGCCTAAGCCTAAGCCTAAGCCTAAGCCTAAGCCTAAGCCCTAAGCCTAAGCCCAAGCCTAAGCCTAAGCCTAAGCCTAAGCCTAAGCCTAAGCCTAAGCCTAAGCCTAAGCCTAAGCCTAAGCCTAAGCCTAAGCCTAAGCCTAAGCCTAAGCCTGGCCTAAGCCTAAGCCTAAGCCCAAGCCTAAGCCTAAGCCTAAGCCTAAGCCTAAGCCTAAGCCTAAGCCTAAGCCTAAGCCTAAGCCTAAGCCTAAGCCTAAGCCTAAGCCTAAGCCTAAGCCTAAGCCTAAGCCTAAGCCTAAGCCTAAGCCTAAGCCTTTGAATCTCGTTTAAGTCAAACATTTAACCTCACATTAATGTTTTGAAGCCCCCAAAAGACATAGTATGTCGGTATTTACCCTCAAAGGTCGATAAAAACCCTTCGATTACATAAGTATTCTGGGATAGAAAAATCAATGAAAAATTGGGAAGTTAAAAGAGAAGTAATTTTTTTCGTATTCAGCCCAGGGTCTCAATGACAGTGTTTTAAGGCATAGAAGCAGAACTCTACTCATACTATTAGTCAAAAGTTGTATGAGACACAGTGTGACATTTCTCTATCATTTTAACAAGATAGCAGTTTTCACGGCTGAAAGCCGGGTTCAATTCAGACCACTGAAATGAAAATAATATGTCGTCAGAGTAGAAAAGTAATATTTGATCTCTTTTTTGAACTGGTTCTCTCTGGGAATTGATCTGCTGAATCATCTCAGCCCCAATTATCCGAGTCCCTTTTCGTTGCATTCCCGTTTCACTCTCTGTTGTCTAGCTTAATTCACATACACCTGTGTGTATGTGAACTCACCATTTGTTTGTTATCACATCTTTCCTGTTACTTTATGACTAAATAAATCTTTATAAGTCTTTGCAGATTGACCATCAAAAATATTAGGCTGTCCAGAAAGTCTTTTCGTTCCTTTTCGTTCGTTCGTTGAAAAATAACAAATTCACCAATTAACTTATGGTTTGCTCTAAATAAAAAGTGTTTATTGTTCAATTTTCCACCTTTTTAAGTCAATTTGGTTTCACTTTCAAGCAAATTCAAGGATGAAAGCGTGTTTTTTGTAAAAATCTATAAAAACCTCTACGAAGAAATTGACTGAATCAATTTCTCTGAAAATTTGGCTCTAACATTTTGTGCTCTATCTTATATCTATTAACACCAAGATACGTTTTCCTAGCTAAAGTGTCTAAACCACACCATTGAGCCGTCGTTTTTTTTGACTACCCCGACTTCACGCTCCCAAAAAAATCCAGAAATAAGACATTTTAAACCCGTGTTAATGTTATATTGCAGAAAAATAGTGTACCTTCCTAATGAAACAAGCCGTAGTTCAATTGGTGCATTTGTTGGCTTGAAACGGAAGTACGAAAAGGAACGCAAAGACTTTCTGGACAGTCTAATACACTGAAGATCTTTTCTATGACGTTCCGTCACTTGAAGTTTGAATCCTTAAATCCTTAAAAGGTTTGTATCCTTAAAATTACTGTATTTCTCTGAATAGGGGCTTATTCTCAAAAACATCCATGTTTACTTTGCTTTTTGTTCTACTTTCATCTGGAAATGATATTGGAACTAATTTCTGTGAACTAAAACATCATTTTGCAAGTGCGGTCTAAATGGCTCGCGAAGTGATCACATTGGGTCCTCCGAAGCCGAGGATGTGCAACTGGTTGATGGTGGTCCTTATCTTAACCGGTCTCTTCTGAATTTCAAAAACATTCATAGTCACCTTGCAATCTTTTGAGTGCACCCATAATCATATCATAATTTTAGCCGTGAACTCGGTTTGTCTTTTAACAATCATTGTCATCGTTTCACTCAAACCAAACATTTCAATTCCATTTTATCAAGCTGGTGAACTTCAAAAAGGTGGGACTAGTCTTTAAAATGTCTGATAGTAATTGTGTATTTTAGAGACTGTGCCGAAAAGCGAACTCCCAAAAGTGTACCCTGAGATTTTGCTTCCAAAGCAAAAACTGTGAGTTAAAAAAAATTACACACTGCTAACATTTAGATAAATTTGAATATCTCAGTATAACTGTAATAACTTGGGGTTTGGCTCAAAGTTCAAGTTCAAAAAACAGTATTTCTGCAAGATTTTTAGGCCTGACCAATCGATTCAAGCATCAGATCTCATGAACGATCCCGAAATTGCAAAAATCGGGGACGATTTGGCACAAAAATTTGAAGATACCATGGCGATGTTGATCAAAGTTGTAAATCAGAAAAAAGTCACAGTAATCTGATTATAGAACCGACTACAAGAGTATCCAATTGATAAGTATTACTATGGTAACGACGATGAAGAGACCTTTCCCTCGCCTGGAAATACTTTCAATGAAGATCTCCGAAAAGCACTTGGAACGATGAAAGTTTGTGTAAAAGCATTTTAAGCTTGAGTTTCAGAAAATGAGTTTTAGCATTTTAGTTGTAGTACGACATTAGCCTAAACGTACTGAAAACCAGGTTAACACTCGGCCGAAAGTTGAGGAAGTTCGACAAGCGGTCACAGGGAGTTCGATGGTGGGACAAAGAATATTTGGTAAGTAATTAGCTTAGCGCAATTGCAAAGAGATACAAGTTCAAAACGAGTTTTTTTGCAAAAAACTTTTTCAAACAAATTATAGACATTGCAAACTTGGTCCTACAAGATCCGGATCAAACTGATTCAACCCAAAAATACGGAGAATTTAAATTCTTCGAGTTTAGGACCGAGTCGAAAAGTGGCTAAGACCATTTCCAGCATTAGGCACTATAGCAATGGAATAAGCTTTTGCTAATTAGAAATATAACTAAATAGTGCACAATTCAGAATTATCAACCACGACCACAACAGCACCACAAATTTGTCCAGAGGCTCAATCGAAGCTCTGTCTCAATTGGCGCGAAAAACAATTCTGCGCTATTGCCGTCAAATTCTGCGAATCCCTATGTGTGTGTGATAAATAAACAAAATTGTATAAACTTTTGCTTAAATTGATTCAAAGTGACAATAAAAGAGATTGAACAAAAAGAATACGTGACTGAACACAAAAAGAAATTTGTCTAATCGCAGACTTTGAAAATGTTGTCGAGTGATTTGAATTTTCTTGCAAAAAAAGACTGAGGCTGAATATCACAATGAAGTAGCCGGCAATTTTTGGATGAAACATGAAAATTTAGAGACAACTTCATATTTTGGGAAGCACCGGTACCAAGACAAAAGCTTTACAGATAACGGGATTTGTTTTGGGAAAGAGATGAATTAAGGCATTGGGAAAGAGATGAATTAATTGGAAAAGAGATGAATTAATTGGGAAAGAGATGAATTAAGGCAAATTAAGATGTGGGGAAAATTCTCACTCTTACAAATTTAAAATTCTTTTTGAAATGGCAATTTTCAGCAATTGCAGCCTCCACCCTGCTGACGATTGTTTTGGTTTGGGTCCAAACGGATCTAGAAATTTGCATTTTACCAGGTTATTAAAAAAGTTCGCGGTCACTTGTAGAGAAGCTCAAATTATCTAATTATTTTGACAATGGATTGTTATGGTTTTTGGCTCATTTGAAAGCCTGTTTTCTTGCGAGCATTTTGTTACACTTACTTACTTTACACATTCCATCTTTAGATGAATAAAAGTGAACGAATACAAATTGAATTTTTCTGCAAGTGACCGCGAACTTTTTTAAGAGCCTAAGAAAACTGAAACTCATCAGATAACATTTAGCCTGTTAGACAAAATTGTAATCAAGTTTAAAAACGAGCTTGTCACAAACACACACTTCAACTGAATTTCATGGGCATTGCCACTAGAATTTCAAACTAGGCCTGGTTGAGATTTACTGCAAGTCTAGCCCACTAAAAGTATCCGGGTTTGAATTTGGCTTCTGGTCTGGCCTGACTTATATGCCATAGGGTCCGGTTAGGCATTCTGAGTTCCGGAAAAGTTTTTTTTCAAATTTGTATTGACTTTTCATTCTTTTCTCATTATCATTAAAACCATTTTTGCCGTAACTTTTTTTCTGATATTATTTCGACTTAAATATTTTTAAAGTGAGCACAAACCTGATCGGGAAAATCGGGGAAATCCTGTGAATCTTGAGATTCTCGAGCGAGTGCATCACGAGCGATTGCTTGAAAGGCCGACTCGACATTCAGTGCTTCTTTCGCTGACACCTAGGAAAACAGGGAAATTTCTTTAGATAATCCGTTTTTATTTACTGGTTTCTAATTTATTTTTTTTCTGTCAACTCACCTCAAAGTATGGAATGTTGTTCTTGCTTTGGCACCACGTTTGAGCTCTCTTTGAGGAAACGGCTCGATTTTGCTCGAGATCCATCTGAAAGGTTTTATAAGTTTCATAGTAGCATTGAACTTCAAAAAACTAAGATTCGGGTTTAAAAATTAGAATCCGTAGTTCCTCGGCATTTTTTTACTTAATAATATAAAGATAACGTTTTTATAACCAACTTTATTTCCCAACAGCACGAAAGGGAAGTGATCTGGGTCGCGAGGGCTAAAATGATAATATTAGTTCATACATACTTTTTAGCCATTTTTCTAAATTCGGCTTAAATGTCACATTGACCAATAAAAAAGCTGACAAATTGTCACGTGTCGATGATGACAGTGTAATGTTTAATAAAGTCAAATTCATGAGTGCGGCACTCATTAATGAAAGACCGTGGTCTGCTTGCTTTTTGTTACTTTGCATAGGCAAAAATTAGCATTTACCTCATCAAAGTGCTTAAGACTTACTTGGCTTGTATCAGGAACTCGTCTCTCCAAGAGTCCAAATTCTTGAACGACGTCGAATTTGTGACATCGTAGGCCAACACACAACAATCGGCACCTCGATAGAAAGCTACGCCCAACGATTGAAAACGCTCCTGACCGGCTGTGTCCCAAATCTGAAATAAAGCATTTAGGTCTACTATTAGATTGTCCAGAAAGTCTTTTCGTTCCTTTTCGTACTTCCGTTTCAAACCAACAAATGCACCAATTGAACTACGGTTTGTTTCATTAGGAAGCCCCATTATTTTTCTGCAATATAACTTTAAAACGGGTTTAAAATGTCTTATTTCTGGGTTTTTTTGGGAGCGTGAAGTCGGGTAGTCAAAAAAAGGCGGTTTGGACACTTTAGTTTCTAATTTTTAAACTCAATGGTGCGGTTTGGACACTTTAGTTAAGGAAACCTATTTTGGTGTCAATCGATAAAAGATAGAGCACAAAAAGTTAGGTATATAGCCAAATTTTCAGAGAAATTGATTCGACCAATTTCTTCGTGGAGAGAGATTTTTACGAAAGACATGTTTTCACTCTCGACTTTATTTTTATTTTGTGTTTTCTTGCTGTTTCTTATAAGCTTAGGCCTCCGTTTTTGTATCATTATCAACCTGCATTGTGACGAGACGATCATCGATCATTACATCTTTTGTGAGGAAATCGGCTCCTAAAAATTGGCGTTTGTTTTAGAAATTGATGACGATCGTAATTTAAATTAACTTTGCTAGTGATCATTTGCTATTTTCTAGCTTCATTTTAAAATCCAACGCACCAATTGTGGCCTTGTATTGATTAGAGAAGCGCTTGTTCACATATTGATTCATCAACGACGTCTTTCCCACTCCAGAATCTCCCAGAATGATCACCTGACGATGATAAGCATTAGAAAAGTAACTTATTTTATATATTTTAAGTTAACAATAGAGTTTTAGAGCTTGAAGCTTTAACGACTAAAAGAATTTAAACCATGAGAGAGGCACCACTGGATTATTAATGCTTGGAACATCCTTTGTAGCCTTTTTTGTAGTGGCCATTAAAAACTTAAATTTATGTATCTAGATAACAAATTTCTACCCTGAAGCTAATATAATTTTACCTAATGCACAAAAAATAATCATTCACCTTGAGCAATGCCTTCTTTCGTGGTCCACTCGACATCCTGCTGTTGCTTGTTTTCCAAAATTCCAGATAAAACTGTAGAAAGATTTTCGAAGTAAAAAGGATTTAAAAAATTGAAAAAAGCAAAAATATATTGTTTCGCAACGTAATTCACAAGATTCAAGATTACGAAAGCGGATGAAAATAGGCAAATGTTTTGAGATTTGAACTGATTTAAGATTTGCACACTTATGGAACAGATGGAAAATTCAAAAATAAGTTAAATCTAAATAATGAAAACAAAATTTTGAAGCATTTGAGCGTCATATGATTTCGAGAAAAAAGGGAAAAGGATAAAAGAAACCCCATGTGAGTAGACAAAACTCTGCGTCTATGAAGAAAGAAAGGACTCTCAACATCTGTACTCTAACCAGCTAGAAAAAAGGGATGCAATTCTATCAATCGATTGGAAAAGAAAACTGAGATAATGAGCAAGTGAATTGTTCTCAAATAGGCCTCGAGTTCAAACTGCAAAGTTTCGATAGAACAAAATTAGCAGTCTAGGAGATCAAAGGGGTTCCCAAAGGCTTGAAGATTTCCAAATATGAGCAATTTTGGCCCCGAAGAAAAAAGTCATATTCGAGACTTTGTCTTTTTTTGTAGGATCACATAGTTTTTTTGCGCGGCTATAGTCAGGGCAAAAAGCCGAGAAATTGGATAGAGTTTTTTATGGGATTCTGTAATGGTTCAAGACACAACCAGGGATCTTCTGAAACAATTTTCCGGGTCAGAAGTTAGAACTAACTTTTTGGCTTTGACTTTGACTGGTTTGGCTTTAAAAAATTCCTGGTCAAAAATGTAAAAATCATTTAGATACACAAAAAGAACTGTAACTGTAAAAACTCAAGGAGTTTTAAGTCTAGCATTCTAAACTTTTGAAAATCTACTACTGATTGCTTTATGCATTTCAAATTCTCAAAAATGCGACCTGCATTTTCAATTTGAAACAATGAGAGAGATTTTGCTTACACTTTGTTTAGGAGATGAAGGCAAAATGACAAAAATAAAAGAATAACGATTGGTGTAAAATTGGAAATCCGATCTGAATGATCCAATCGAGACTTCATTTATATCAATCTCTTTGGTGTCTGTTCGTCCAATTATACAAAAATGCCTCCATTTTATGGGATTTCAGCATTTCCTTTGCAAATAATTGTCCTCAATCGATGCTCAGTTTGGTGATTTTTAATTGAGCTGAGTTCAACAGTTTTTTACCCACTAAAAGGAAATGACTTTTTTTCAAAGCTCCTAGTAAACAAAATCGAAATATGCAAGTCGTAAGATGTTGAAATTTTAAAAAATGCTCGATAGTGAAAAAGTCTTTTTTGTTTTACTCCACTATCGATATTCTACTTCTCAATAATATTGCAAGAAGCACGAGAAAAAATTGATCAGCCGATTCGTTTAACAGATCGATCAATTTTTACACATTTTACAATTTCTTTCAGATAAATTTAAGTTTTGAATGAAACCTAATAAAAATTACCTAGAAACGACCTTTTGACTGCAAAGAGATCCGACTGATTCAATCGTGAGCGTTTCCGGTTCTTTCTCTGTGTGAATATCAAGAATGAACCCTGTATAAAGATCAAATGCTTTCACACAGCTTTTATTTAAGAAGGCACAGAAACCATTGAGCAATTTGCAATTAAAAAGAAACAGTGACATAACTTTGTTGAAAGACGAGTTGACCCATAAATGTTCAAACAAAAATAATAATAATTTAAGCAAAAAGATATAAATATTTTGAGGAAAAGGGGGCTCCGGGTTCAAGCCGCGTTGTTAGCGTCCTAAAATTTGTTTCAGTTTTAAAAATGCTTGCATGCTTAAAAATGCTTGATGAAAATTTCTGAAACAGCACACTTTAGGAGTAACTTATTTAAAAAGTGGGTTGAGAACTTTTCTATAGCAAACTAACATTTGTAATCAATTCTGATACACTAAAAACTTCTGAGTCAGTTTTCTTTGCGTGCACTATCTGAAAACATCTAATCTGTTTTGTAGTCAAAGTGTTCAAACGCACATAATGTTGCTTGTTATTACTTGATCAAGAAGATGAACTTAAAAATAAAATCTCACTCACGGCACCAAAACGAAATAAAGGTCTCAACGTCCAAATGTTATACTGGAAATTCGGGGCGGGCAAGTTGAGAGAATCGAGGACAAAAATACAATGGGAAACACAAAAAAATAGTGGAGAAAAGAAACGCAAGCCTTGATTGAACCACGACAAACACACATAAATAACAATTATTGGAACAGCAGAAAAGGAAAAAATCAAATGAGAAGGATACCCAAGAATCCTAGCGCCGACATGATCGATTTCCAGAAACCGCCCGATTTCTCCGAGCCTTTTCTTGGGCATCCGTTCAAGTACATGTGACAGGGAAGCCCTTTGTCTGAAAGAAATTGGCATATTTTGGATGTTTAAAGTACAGTAGTGCAACGTCCAATGAATTCTCTAGAGTGTCCACCTCTCGATTTCGTTTTTATTTAAAGCGTTTTCTAAAACGTGCCAACTTTTGAAACTACTGTAATTTTGCTTCTTCGTTTGGAAATCTTCCAATTTTCATAGTTTCACTAGGCAAAATTCGAAGCTACTTTACGGTTTTTTTTGGAAATTTGACACGCATAGAAAGTGCATCGAGAAAATCGTTCAGTATACCAAAATGATAAGTGGCTAATTGAATTGGATACATTGGGTGTTTACATTGAAAAAGTGAAAGGTTCGTGACTGTTACCTAATTATAAGTGAAGGAAAGTACGGTTAAAAGTCTTAGTTTTTCCGAAAGTCTTAACGATTCCCTAAGATGAGCTCAACGGTCTTTTCAAACGTCTTCGATTTCTCAATTCTCAGGTTTTGTTACATTTTTGTTGTGCTACACTTCTTAAATTTTCCAAACCGTCTTCTTCTTCTCCTTCTTCTCCATCTTCACCATCGGTTTGTCCGTGAATCGCCACCCATTCAGTCTCCATTGCTACTCCCTCATCCGTGTAGCCGCGAACCTTTGCCAAGTACTTCGTGTTTGCTCGAAGCATACCGTTGCAATACTGAAACGTATATATGTTACGTCCGAAACTGAACAAGAACAAGCAAGACAAATAAATTTAAATGTAATTAAAGGCAAATGTGCAAATATTATTTTCTAGTCAGAATTTATTCTTTTATAATTTCGGTTCAGAATCGGACGTCCGAACCTGAACAAAAATTTTCGTTCGTTTCCGGACGTAACAAATACACTTTAGCGCAGAACACTTGAGTATTCTAATGCTAAGATTAGAAAGAAATTTTATATCCTTGTAGCTTTACCGGTTCATCCAACTTTTGCTGTTCACAGTCATCCTCTCCAATCACAAATGTCGCCTCTTTCACACCGCGTTTCTAATTTTTCTTTTCAATTTTAGGTTCGGCAAGAGAAGCCCGTAAATAAATAGTCTGAAAACTACCTGAAATGGTTGATAGTTGGATTTGCTTGCTCGATAGGCTGGCCACGTTTCATCGTTGTGCACTTCGAACCACGATCGAAGCTCCCATTCATCTCCGCCAAGCTACAGTTTCATTTTTACAATTTAACATTTAATACTATTATAAAACAATGTAACAATAATAAACCTCAATGTCCTCGGTGACTATGACGGCAAAGTTGTTGAATGGACCATTCAGCTCATGCCACATTGTGTGATCATTCTCAAAGATTAATGCCAACTCACGAGTTCCGTGTCTTTTCAGGGATGGTCTTGACCTCACTAAAGCACTTGAAAATTCAGTAAGTATTTTAAATAGCCTTATCCATATCGAAATCTTTTACTTAGCTCAAACCTCAAATTTTTCAAATTCTGGTAAAAGTAAAGCCCAACAGCTAACAAGGACTATTGAGAAAGAATAAATATTCTCTTTTTTTCTGATAACCAACCATCATTCCCAAAAGCAACCGTGATGGTTTCACTCTCGCTTTCCGCCTCCGAGTCGCCCAACTAAAACGTTTATTAAAGAACATCTCACTTTTAGATTTTTACCCCCATAATTACGGTGATCGTAAACGTATAATATGTCTCTAAATCCAATTCCTCAAATCGGAAATGATTCACATTTTTGAGTTGAACCGTTCTCTCTTTTGACGCTCCATTGTTTGATTTTGCAGTGTAACTGAAAGAAGCATTTACACTTTTTTCAGCTTACGGTAGAGTGAAAGAGGCTGGATGTTCCAATTTGTTTCACTGAACTTTTTATTGGAGTCTACAGAGCGAAAAACGCTGGACAAAGTTTGCTAGTTTCTTGTTAAGGGCGTGTTCGCTTGATCTTTCATAATATTTTCTCCAAAAATAACCTCAATCGAAAGCGCACATCGTTGTCGGCAAAATTTTCAATATCCCAATAAAGCATCGCGTAATCTTTGCCAATGATTGGATGTAACTTTTCCACTTTTAAAGGATCTAAACCCAAGTTGTAACTAGCGGTTGATGACTTATTTGCTCAAATGACTGCTTTTTCGGTGCTCTCCGGTTATACCTATTCTTTGATAACATTTTAATTTAGTGGATTGGATTTTTACTGGGTTTTTTTACTTTTTACAAGATAAAGACATATTAAATAAACCAATCCAATATTTTTTATTATCTAAATTTCTCTATTTTCACTTACAAGTTGTGACTTCAGCTTTCACCGGGCGACTCCTCAATCCTTGATAAACAGTGTAGAGAGCGAAATGGTAGGTTTTCCCGGGGATCAATTTGGTGAATGTGAAAGATCTTCTGAAATTTGTTTATTATTTTCTGATAGTAGTATTTTACTCTTTATCCATTCCGATTTTCCTTGAGATATTCTTGTTGTTTCCGGTAAAATCAAGCTCGTAGTGATCGAATTTTCCCTGAAAACTTTGCTTTCAAAGCCTAATAAATTGACTTTTTTACCTGTTCGGGATCGGATTCTCCAAAATTGATATTAATTGACGTGGATGAAATTTGACCGGGATATAAAGTTGACGAGATGATCGGAGCTAAAGCATAACTTTGTCCATATTATTCTTTATAATTTATATAGTTTTATAGAGGACACTTCAGGCTTTCGAATGATACTAACAGGGGAAAAGCCCCGAGTCAAGCTGGCCTTTTGACTTGAGACCAAGTCCATCTTATAGAGTTAACCATGGGAATCTCGAATTCGTTTTTAGTTTTTGCAGAACGCGGGATATTTGACATAGCAAATCGCCTTGAATTTCGGGCTCTTTATGAGGCCGTCAGACGAGGCGTCCTGCAAAAACTAAAAGCGGATTCAAGATCCTCATGGCTGACTCTATAAGATGGACTTGGTCTTGAGTCAAAAGGCCAGCTTGACTCGATGCCTTTCCCTTGTAAGTACAGTACGATTTGATAACCCTCTCTCCGAAAATAGAAGCAAACTCTGACTAAGGAAAGCCAACTCGGGCGCCGTGTAATTCGGTTTTCAAAGGGATGGATAATTCAATCATTTGAATCAATTTGGTATCATTTGAAAGCCTAGAGTGTTTTCTATACAACGATATAAAAGTCAAGAATATTATTATCTCTGAACAAATTTATGAACGTTCAAAACGCGACTACTCATTCAAAAAGTCCGGACTTCAGCTGCAAGCCGAAATTTCTTACGTGTGAGTTGCTTGATGGTGGCATCCGAGCTGGCGATGCTCAACTCTCGGCTCACATTTCTCACGGTAATTGTGTATTCTTGTGTGGACTCAAGTTTATCAATCAACACTTTTCCTTTCTCTTTCACTTCGATTTCTTTTGGTGGGGCCTGAAATGGATGATATTTTGCCGTTTTTAAAGCTAAAAAGAAAGTTTCGAAGTTTAGTTTTAGTCAAAATCATGATTATACCTTCCCAACTCCATAATGCACGGATAAATCATAAAATTCAAAATCATGATGATCAGGCCAATCCCAAGACAATTCAATGCTTGCCACGTAAAATTCATCCGTTTCAACTTTTGCCGCTTTGAGACCATGAATTGACCGAGGCTCTAAAAAATTGAGTGAGCTTTGATATCAAATGAGAACAAACTGCTGAGATCGGCAAGTCGATGAGCCCACCATGTTTTTGACAATGACCCAGCTAGCATACAGAAGACTTTCATCTATACACAAACGGTTTATTTATTTTATCAAATGGCAGCTTGTTGCTAGTAAATTTTGGAACCTCTGGCTAGCCAAAGTATTTTTTGCAGGTCCTGGACCAGAATCCTGGACTTGGCCCGGTGTCTCTGGCTTGCGAAAAGTACCTGGCATGCAAGAGATCAGATCTGGGCCTGTAAAGACTTAGCCTGATTTAACTCAAGCCTGGGCCCGGTTTTATTAACTGCTAAATTTAGCAAAATTGCTTCTCCATTTACCGTTTAGCATTTAGTATTTAGCAAATTTGCTAGATGCTAAATGCTAAATAGTTTGGTGAAACCGGACCCAGGGCACGTCCAACTCAGGCCAGAAGCCCTGGCATGGCATGGCCAATTTTTTCAAACATTATATTCAACCAAACCTCAATCTTGTGATCAGTGAACATTTTGATGAGTGCAAATGTCTCCTGCGTGGCAATTGAGAAAGCTTTCGGCTGGGAGAGACTCAAAACGGTATAGTTGAGGAGAAAAGCGTCACAAAGAGAACCCTCACTCACGTCCCATTCAAGTCTGAAAAAACAGTCACATTATTTAGATATCGATATTATATACTAAAGCGCTCACTTGAGCATCTTTCCTTCTTTGGACAACCAAATGGCTCCTGGTTCACCATATTCGTCTTTTTCCGGAATCCTCGTAGTTGTTGTGATTGGTTCGCCAATCTGAGTTCGGTTATTGATGACTAGCGGGTAAAAGAAATACTTCGGGGCCATAATCGACCACTTCCTTCTCGACAAGCTCTGTCGTTTTTGGGCCGTTTGTGTGTTTTGTTATAGAATGAGTGCTCTTCGTTTTTTCCTGAACATCATAACGAATGAATAATAATGTTTAAAAACACAAAGCTGGCATGTGTTTCATGAAGCCCTTCATTCATAGACTCTTGTAATTATTGAAATAGGTTCTACTAAAATTTTCTAAATCGTGTTAATGGTTCTAGATTAACGGTAGCTTTTAGTCTCGAGTACAAACACCTTTATATTGTCATTCAGCTTCAACTTGTTATCAATTAGGGCGTTTTCTAAAAGGTGTTCGGGGGAAGCATACTCTAATTAGAACTGGTGGTAACACTTTGCTGATCTCTCTGCTGTTAGACAAGTCTCTAGTATTAATTGTAAGCATTTTGATGCACAAACTTGTTACGAATCAATTTGACTAGCCTGGTTTAAATCACTCACCATCATCTCCTCATACTCATAAACGAGTTCTTTATTTAGTGTGGTTGTTGTCTGAATTGGACTGGTGGTTGTTGTCTGAATTGGACTGGTGCTTGTTTTAGTTGTGATTGTCCATTCATTCGTGAGCCCATTATTTTCGTCACTCGTGCTCATTACAGGTCTTCTTGTCACTTTCAATTGTGCTTTCTTTGTCATGCTCAACTAAAAGCTACTTTCATGCTTAAGAAGTCTTACAATAAAACCGTATACTTTTTTGCAATTCTAACTCCACTTTTGAAAGTTCTTTAAAATTTAAATAATTCCACAAATGTAGTTTCAAGATACCTACTCAATAAAATCAGAAACAAGCATACAGTTTTTACCGTCTAGCACACCAAGTGATAGATTCACAAACCACACACATTAGTGACATCGGGCATCGTTTGTTGTGACTGTTCGAGATTGTCATAGTCATCAACAATTGGACGGATCGTCTTCGTTTCTACCTCTTTGTGCACCTCAATTGTTGTCGGCTCTGTGGTAATGATGGTGCTCAAAACAGTGGATTGTTTAGTGGTTGGCATTTCCGTGAAATTCTCCGTGATCATCACAATCTCCAATTTTGGTGTTTGTACATTGAGCGTGCTTGGGGTGGTCGATTCATTCACCTCACTCGTCACACTTGTTTCTTGATAGTAGTATTCCGTTTCGCCGGTTGGCTGTAATAAATGAAAGAGGTTTAGTAGTAGACTGTTCAGAAAGTCTTTTCGTTTTTTCGTACTTCTGTTGACATATATTCATATTCTGTTGAAAAATAACAAATTCACCAATTCATTTATGGTTTGTTCTAAATAAGAAGTGTTTAGTTATTTTCAAACGGAAGTACGGAAAGGAACGAAAAGACTCTCCGGACAGTCTAATACGAGAAAGACGTACTAGCAAACCCTTATTAAGCCTTAAACTATTAAACTCAAGTCCGTCTCAAGACTTGGGCTGATAAAGCTCGACAGTTCGTCTAGTACCACATGTGTGTTTAGCTTAGCTTGGTCTTTGATTTCTAATGCTTACGTGGATAATTTTCTTTCATTCTGTAGTAATCAAATTTTTTTTAGTTTGATCAAGCTAAGTCAAAAGTTAAAAAGAATTCCCGAATCTACCTCTTTTCTCTGCTCTTCGAGTATTCCATTTGTCGGTGTTTGGGTTTGTGACTCTTCTTTTGACATATATTCATATTCTTTTGAGCCATCTAAATTTAAACTGAAACTTTTTTATGAGTAGGCTAGTTGAAAGCTTTAGCAATGCGGTTAGTTTAGATCTTTTACTATAGATTCAAATTAATCTCTTTCAAGCACTTTATCCACCAATACCGATGTTTTTTGGGGTGAGAGTAGCGGTGGCAAGATCGAAATCTGGTGGCAATGTCTTGATGGTGAACATGCCCAAATCTTCGACCGATTTTCCGAGATCTGAAAGAAGTGCCTTCTCATGCAAACCCCTCATTTCTCACATTCAACTATATTGCTCAAGAACAAGTAGCTTTAAAAGAACCGCTTGTAACGCATACAGATTGTACAGAACCAAAGTTTCATGAACTCTTTCCAAATAAAAATGTACAAAAATCAAGGCCTAGCTAGACCAATTAAGCTAGTCTACGCCAAAAGTTGTTAAGCCTCGGTTAATTTAGACCTTAGCTCATGGTCAGTCTGACCCGGACCAGGTCAGGCGCCTAAAATTTTTGCTTAACTTAGACATCTTGCTTATAGCCTTTGGGAAACTTGATCCAAAAATTAACTAAGGAAAAGCCGTCACCTTTCAGATCAAAATCATTCTTATAGAATAGAGTGGAAATTCGAGCGGGAATCAAACTGTCATATACTTCATATACTACCACTTTTTAATTAAATCAAAAAAGGAAACATTTTTTCCTTATTTAAGCAGGCTACTAAACGTTCTATTTTTAACACACTCGCGACAATGCGTGCCACCCGCTAATGACGAATATTTTTGGTGTCAACTCAAGTTCTTAATGTCTTTTGTTATTTATTTCGCAAAAAGTTCTCGGTAACTTTGTACTAGTTTCAAAAGGAGATTCAGGGTTATCGAATGAGCTAGAATAGTTTAGTTTATCTTTGAATTTTCACCAAATTATCGGCAAAACAGTTAACGATACGCGACTGTACGCTCAAAATACCGCCGTCGCGAATGTGTTCAATCAAATTTTGTTAAATTCAAGTAAAGCAAGCCCCCATGCAGGTTTTCCCATCCCATCACCATATGCTTCTAATAATTTTCCTTACCTTTTGTCATGAATGTTGTATCGATCGATTCTGTTGAAGGAACACCACGAAAAACGGATAATATTCTGAAAAATCCTTGCTAAACCTTTTTATGGATTTCAAGACCTTAATCGAAAAGTGGTGGATGGATCGAGGCCGCGTAATTTCACCAACAAGGACTTTGTCTCCACAAAATTCGCATATTCTTCGCGATCCAATGGAAAATATTCTGAAACAAACCTCTAAAGTATCAACTATGTAGACAAAATTTTAAACACGAATTTTAGAATGTTAAAACCAGCTAGAAGAAGCTGAAATTTTTATTCTGTAAGTTGAATCTAAACCTGCTGAGCTGAAAGTGTCACTATTAGAGTGTGTTCCTGACAAGTAGTGCATTTTCAAAAAAAAATTGATAATTTAGAAAACTACCGTACTCAAACAGACGGTTTTCATTAAAATGCCATTGTTATTATCTGAGTCCTATCATCCCTCATTGAATGTGACCAAAACTGAGATGATTGGATAAAAACAGGATGTTTGAGTACGGTAGTTTTCTAAATTATCAATTTTTTAGAAAACGAAAACAGGAACACCCCTCTATTCACTATTGTATTGAAACTTTACTATTGCGTTTTAAACTTGGACCTAAACTTGGGAATTTAAACTTGCCTTTTTAAACTCACTACTTGCATTCCACCATACTCTCAATTTTAGGGATAGATTCAGCTAATGCCAAATAGATAAAATCAACAAACCTATATAATAACTAATATCTTGTCCTTCTGGTGGAAAATAAGAAAGCGTCGCATCGGATGCGCTTGTTTCAATCGTGTCGAGAATTGGCGGATTTGGACCTAAAAGGACGGGTTAATTGGATACTCAGCAAAGCCATTCACTTTAAAGCAATCTGTCACAATTTTCAAACAAATCCCTTACTGCTTGGCAAATGCTTTTCGCTAACATTTCTCCGCGTTCCATCGATCATTAACGCCGTCAAATATACGGAATAGTCGGCGGCGGGGATCGTTTGATTGAGCAAAAGTTGCTGGGTTGTCCTGAAATTTACGCTAGGGGTGACGGTGTGACTATTAATCAAATTTGTTAACCATACTCTTGTTCTAATATTAGTATATTAGTATTTTGCTGATACTTGTTAACTATATTGGTTTTGACTAAATTTCATTTAGGCAAAATTTAGGTAATTACCGAAACCATTTAAAATCAGGCTAGAGATCTGCTTACGGGGTGCTTCTCTAAGATTTATACAACCATATGTCGTACAAAGTTAATGTCAGTTTTCATGAAAAGATTTATTGAATGAAAAATTTTTCACCCTTTCCAAAACTGTGTCAGCCGCAAAACATCCAGCCAAAAAAAACCCGCCGTTAGGTGGGTTTTTCGGCTGGTTAGCAATAAAAAGCAAATTAGTATTTGCGACAGAATGGTACACTTATTGATAAAAAATTTTTTAAAAACTAACAGGTAGATTTCAGTTTCGATGATCAAAGAGCAAACCTCGATAGATGAGTGCCGGCTGGGGGAATCCCGACCGGGGGTGAATAGTCGAGTACATAGGCTCGAACCCCTCCATTCGGCACCTCGGATGACCAATCGAGAAATATCGACGACCCACTCGTCACCTGAACTCAATTTTCAGTGTCCCCATTTTCCACCATGGTTATTTATAACTCACAGATTTGTTCCCGTCATTCACTAATAATAATTTATTAGTGAACACTAATAATTCTCAACCTTGTTGCCAAAACGAGGATAGATAAAGTTCACAAGACAAGGAATGCCAAAAATTTTCAGCTTACAAATGGTTTTTTGTATTCTACCGTAACAAGTGTGTTGTAACTGTCCCCCGTAACTTTATAGAACTAGAGAAATGCTGGGGGAATTATCCTATTTTGGGTGGCGGGGCACAGATACGAAAGTACCCAATAGTTGAAGAAATATAGAATCACTTTAAAAACAAAAATCTTTCGACTCACCTGAGCAAATGCGGAGAATAAAAAAGAAAATGAGATAATGTGATGCATGGAGAATGGGAATGAACTTCTCGATTTCTTCTCATTTGGGTTATTCTCCCTCTCGAGGAGGCGCCCCTTCTGGGAACAATTCACCGATGAAACGATCAGATTTTCCCTTTTTTTCAATGTGTTCAGCAAATAAGTTTTTTGGGAATTGTTTTTGGGGAATTTTTCGAGGATTGCTTTGTTTTACTGAGTTGCGACTGAAATTGATTGACATTTAAACATTGATTGGAAAAGCTCCCGTACATCAGTACGTTACATTAAATTTGTTGCAAAAAGAGCACAAAATAGAAATAAAAAGAACAAATTCGGAGAAAGATTCTCCAATTCGAATTGAATTTCTGAAAACGATTTCAATCAATAAATAAAATAAGTGTAAAGAGCTGAGGCAAATATTTTGTAGACATTAATTTGATCTATCGGCTTGGTCCCTAAGTTCTGTCTGTTTTCTGGGCTTATGGACCAATCTAAACCTTTCATGGGTACTTCATTGTAAGGTAGCATGAAAAATTAGACATTGCACAATCTGGAATTCCTAGCTAGTTTAGGAAACGCTTAAAAATGTTTGTAAAATCCATTGGCTTCAATGAGTTAGTAGCGTGAGTAGGAAAAAGAATTTGACAATGAACTTTGCAAGGTCTCGAGACTCGACGAGTGAGTTCTATGGGATTTTCAACTCCTCTAAGAAACACGTAAATAAATCTAACTTCTATTTTTAGATCGATTCTAGGATCACAAAGAATAGACAAAAACAAAGTTACAGTAGTTCTCAAATGTTGTCACGATTTAGGAAACACAACATTTGGATGGAACAAAGTATCATGTTAAGAGATTCTATTTTTCGCCGCCTGAAAGCTTACTTTGAACTGAAAAAGCTGACAAATTGATCTCAACGCAAGAAGATGATCTCAATTTCGAGAGTTAGAAGAATTGGGAGATCATTGGATGGATGATAGATGAATGGATGAGGATGGGGTTGTATCCAGTCCCCTTTTCTCTTTCTCTCTTTTAGGTGTGTGACGTCGATCGAGTCACACACAGTCAGTGCACCCAGACACTTCACACACCCCTTGCCCCTCTGTGTGTCGAGTCTCCAATCTATACAAAAGAGAAAAGGAGAGAGACTTCTCCCATGGTATCATCTTGAAGAAAAAAGAAGACTTTTTTCTGTCGCCCTCCTCTTCGCGCTTTTTGATCGGCCCAAGCTTTTACCGTGATGGTGTAAGCTATTTGGTTCGGCACGGGATAATCTATTGAAGACTATTTTTTTGCAGACTGGCTTTCAACTAGCTACATTGATAAAATTGAGGAAAAATGCAAAAATTTCCTATAATGTTTTCTTGCTTTCTAATATCAAGCTGCTAGGGGTTTCACTCAAAGTTTTGAATTATGATCTGGGCATCAGATAAATCAGAACATGTATGAGTGATTGATAAATTAAATGATAAGCAATTGTACAATTGAGTATATTTTGCAAAAGTCGAAATGGTTTAGCGAAAGGGATCTTGTCAACAGAATGTTTTCACATGTTCGTGAGTGGTGAATATGAGTGGATCTCTCGAAAGAAAAGGGAGAAAGAGGGGACAATAGGACCCTTTTAGCTCTTGTTCAACTATATTTTGAAATGTACAGATGATAAAACGATACAATAAAACTACAAAAGAATAAAGGAAAGAATCCGGGCCTTTTGGTGTAGATTTGCTTGGTGTGACTGGATTCGATTGGATGAGAGATTCGATTGAGTGAGTGAAGCGAAGGGGGGTGGGGAATGGGGAAACCGGGAAAGGCTCGGCCCGAGATTGCCCCGTCAATATCAGGGTCATCAACAAAAGAAAAAAAGGGAAACAGTTAAGTCTTCTAGTTTTTTCCTCTCATCTTCATCTTTTGGAGTGACTTCAGAGTGACTTTGATTCTTCTCCTTTTCCTCATAGAACTTTATCCCACCATGCATAAAGTCATAGAATTCATACAGCTTCTTCTCTTTGACTCTTTTTACAAGATTCATAAAATAATTTTCACCAAAAGTAGTCATTCGGTAAAAGCTTCGCGTTTTTTGCGACAGAAACAAACAGTCAAGAACTGAATAGTCACGAGTGTTGAAAAAACAACAATCAATTAGGGAAATCTGAGACTGACGTCGGCGAGTCTTTTTGGGGAAGGGAAAAGATGACACACCTTGAATGGTCACCACTTAGCAGAGCAGGTAGACAGTCAATGCCTAACAAGAAGGCACAGCGTCATTCTTGAGTTTTTACTTCATTTTAGCCCAGAGTAATACTGGTAACGTTGATTGCGGACTAAATTTTGGTAAGTTACTACTAGAATATTTTCCTTTCTAAAACGTGATAATTTTTGGAAAACGACCATAACCTTGCCCCTAGTTTTCACTAGACTTATTGTGAGTGGATTCTTATTGTGATGCAAAGGTTTGAGACGCAAGTTAACAAGTCTCAAACCTTTTGAGACTCAAAAAAGTGTAAGTGCTAGTTAACAAGCACTTTTTTGATGGTAGTAATTAGTGTCAATGACCGAATCTGGTAAATAATACCCGAGCCCTTTGATTGAAACAACTTTTGCTAAAATTTAAACCAGATTGATAACCCATAGATGGCAGAAGTTAAAAACGAGAACAAACGAAAACATGATAAATTCAAAGGCAAACAAATTCAGGAGGAAATGAATTCGACGACGGCGGGCGGACAGCGTCAAATGAAGAGCGGATAGAAAAAACGAGGTGAAGAGACAACGGTAAGTGGGGGGAGGGGGGGGGGCACAAATGAAAATGGGAAAGGATAGAGGAAACGGGGTGTGCGTAAGCGGGGATGTAATTCTAGCCGTTGTTCTCCCTTTCTCTTACAGTCCCTTCATAGGAGCTTGTACCTCTTTTCACCGATTTTCTCCACCGTTTTCCGGAGAAAAGCTCCCTGTTCCTTTTCTTTTTTTTCAGAAGACGTTCCCCTTCTTCTTCTCAAACATAAATCGGATTGAACCGCGCGCAAATACTATCCCGAGGCTGTCAAACGTTCTTCTCTTTTCGCATTCAACCGAATCACCCCATGTCGTCAAGAGTGTTATTGGGGTTCGGTTAAAACTGTAACAAGATACGAAATGAACAACTTTGACTTGATTCGAGTATTTACAACTGTCATGCAGACTAAGAACATTAAAACGGGGTTAAAATCCTTTCTGTCTAGATTTTTTGGGAGCATGAAGTAGGGTAGGCAAAAAGAGCGACGGCTCGATAATGCGGTTTAGACACTTTAGCTAAGGAAACCTATTTTGGTGTCGATCGATAAAAGGTAGAGCACAAAAAGTTAGGTAGATAGTAAAATTTTCCGAAATTCATTCAGCCAATTTCTCCGAAAGGTTTTTATAGATTTTTACAAAAAGCACGTTTTCACTCTCGACTTCTATAAACCGCAGGTTCTATTAGAGGCAATATGGTTTTGAAATGTTTCGCATCCAATTTGATACGCGTTATGTTTACGTAGAGATATTCAAGTTTGCGCGTGTATAGTGTAACTCGATGATTTCGATGCAAATTATAGACAAGTAATTTTGAATTTGCAGGGATTGCCGATGATTCATCCCACAGTTCACACGGTTTTTGTTTTCTTTTATAGGAACTGCTGCAAATTATGTATTTTAAGTTCTATTACAAATTTTTGTTTCACTCAAAAAAAGTTTTTATTTAAGTAGCGACCTATGATCGAAAAGTGATACAAAATAAAGACAACACGAATCCATCGAAAGAATCTTTCACAGGAGAGAGAAAAAGCGACCAGTAGATTTATATGAACTAGATCCAAAGTATTTACAAAGTTTAAATGAGGTATTCTACGCGATACAATCAAGAAAAAGAAAAAAATATTTTCAAAATGGGCTTTGATATTGATGCAGCCGAAGTTCTTGGGTCCAATCGGGTGACTCGACAAGCCGGAAAACTTCGGGAAGCTCGAGACTCTCACCGGACATATAGGTTAAATTCTGAAATTTTCAATCATAATGATAGTAAGCAAACCAAGAAATACTTGAAATACGTGAAAATGGCTGCCTCATTTCTCTATTTTTTGAAAGAACCTAAACAAAATCGGCCCAAAGGTTCGCAAGAAAAAATGGTTTGGTGTGAAAAAGTCAACGACGCTCCTCTGGGCATGTCATACTATTAGAAAAAATACGGTATATAGAAATACTATTTTAGTAAGTCCGAATGTATAACTTATGCTTTTAGAAAAATAATAAACGTACCGTGATTCCCGATAGGAGGGTGGTGATGTTGGCGATTCGATTTGCGGCCGAGAGTTCCCCGCGAGATCGAGAACAAACGAGTTGAAGGAGTTCCTGATAATGTGAACGAGCCTCTTCCAAATAACGACAACCATCAGATGAGAGATTTGGAACCTCTGCAAATAAGGACCATTCATTAAAGAAATAAGTAATGTAAGAAAAGTACTGCATGGATTAGATGGGGTCTTTTGTGCTCAGGGTGATGCGTTGGGCTAATGCACCTGTTCGTTTTCAGAAATACGGTGGATTATGAGAAAATGAGGAGTTAATAAATACGGTCTAGCAGTTTTATCGACGAAACTATAGTATCCTAAAACCTTTTGGGCCCTTTGGAGTCCTTTGGACTGTTTTGGATTCGGGTCTTTGGGTCCAAATCCCAAATAGTACTGCATGTGATTCAAGTTCAAGTTTGGATTGACATCTAATCAGATTTGGCAATCTATCTGACACTTAACAAACCATCGGCAAAAATGAAGAAAAGACCGGCCAGTGTCACTTCATCCTCATCCAACTGTAGCTCTTCTAATGGCTCTTTGAGTAAAACAAGCGATTTCTCGGAAATGCCACTAAAATTTTAAGGTCTATGTGGTGCTTTAAATTTTTGAAGCTTTTCAAGTTAAAAAAAGCTAACCTCAAATCGGGGAACACTTGCGGTTTCATGTCGGCGGAGAAATAGGAACCATTCGAGTAGCAGAACTAAATTATGGAAATATTTCAGATTTTGAAATCTCAAAATTTTGTTTAATGGATTTATTTTCAACTCTAATTGCTTTATCTATAGACAAACGACTTTTTTAAAACCTGCCCCTTGAGCGTTGGCTCTAACAGCCCAATTCGCTGTCAACCACCAATAATAGGGTGCAAAACGGGCTTTCGCAAGAGCCATCTGAAACTTTTTAGACATACAATGTCTTAAAATAATACAATTAGACCACTTTTTGTATCACTCACCCGATCATCGTGATTCATTCGATAAAACTCGGGCAACGAAATGAGAATGTCGGCATAGAGAACGAAAGCTCTTCGAAAATCTAACAGAATGTCATTGATAGACGCTGGTCGAACTCCAGATGTGTCTAGCTGAAAGTTGAAATTAAAGGACTATTGTTTCTCCTATTCAGAATTTTATGCTTCGTACTCATTGGCTGAATGTTTTTATTTGGGTCTAATGTAAATGCTTCTAAACTTATTCCTCAATTGGTATTTGGCTCTATTTTCACTCACCCTGCTCCTCTTTCCGATCAATTCTGGATTGTAGAAAGCTCTCTCAAAAGACAGCACTTCATCATGCATTTCCGTTCTCATTTCTTCTCCTCTTTCATCCGTTCTCTCAAATATTTGCTTCATCGTCATCAACGTGTTTTGTACGGTCTAAACTTAAAGCTTTTAAGAATAAATTGTCTATTTTACCCTCTCTTTGCTGAAATGTTTCGTGTCAAGGCTAGGCGGATTTCCACTCATATAAACCGAATCCACTGACATTGCCCCATATCCATCACCCGATTCGAAGCTACCTGCAATTTTTTTTATTGTGATTCATTGAGTTTGAAAATCTTTTTCCAGGTTTGGTCTCACCTGGCTTACAGGTCCAAGTCGGGTTTGTACCTTTTTGCTTTAGACGTTAATGCATCATTTACCTGTTCCAAGGTGTAGATGTAGATCGGGTCGATCGGTTTGTGCTGATTGATCGACGGACGGTGGTGGGGGTGAGTTGGGGGAGGGAGATTGGGAGAAGATATATTCATCCCGTTCCTCCGCCTCCCGCTGAAACCTGGACCCGATGATGTTCCGAGGGATCCTTCTAAATCTACGCTCTCTACTCTACCACTACTAGCTGCTCTGCTAATCTAGCTACTAGAAGCTGTCACGTGCACACAAGACTCTATTCACCTATTCACCCATGCACTTATTATAATAAAAAGGCTTTCTCGCGATCCTGTGACTTTAACGATTTTTGTGAGTCAGTTCTAATATATTAGGCTGTCCAGAAAGTCTTTTGGTTCCTTTTCGTACTTCCGTTTAAAACCAACAAATGCACCAATTGAACTAAGGAACGAAAAGACTTTCTGAACAGTATAAGTGTAGCAAGTGTAGTGATACCAGTACACAGAACAATAATACAAGTACAGTACCTTTTTTGTTAACGAAAAATTCTTTTTCGAAAAACTGAAGCTTTCACTATCATTTAGGTCACAGTCTCTTGAGAGAATCTTTAAAATTTGAGGAGTTACCAAAAGTGCTAGTGCCACTAACTCGAGTTTGCTTTTTAAATGAAAGGAAGCACAAAGATCACACAATATGGGAACCTTCATTTGAGCGGCCATTTGTTGTTCTTGTTGGCTTTGTGCAAGATCGGCTTCACTTTGGACAGCCCTCGGATTCATTCCAACTCGAAGACATGTCTCCAACCGACAAGCCCGACAAGTATTGCGATGTTCTAAACTTTACAAGTTGTTTCATTCTTTGAAAGCTGTGAATCATTTTTCTTTTTACCTTTTTGAGAGCTACGCTTTTTACCAAGAAAATTGAGAATTGTAAAATGTTTTAAGCTCAATCGAAGTAGCCAACCTTTTGACACAGGGCAATGACCACCAAATCGGCAGACGTACGTTCGATTCTTCCAAATGCTTCGTCGAAAGAAACCCTTACAACCATTACACGCATTCACACCATAGTGTCGTCCAAGTGCCTGAGGCAAAAAATAGCTTTTAGAACTCAACCAAAACTCACCGTGTCTCCACAAACCGCACAATAGAGACGTTGCTTTTGCTTGGATGAGGCGCTGGAACCTTGCGGGGATTGAGTCTAAAATTATTTTCGGAATATCAGTACTCATAAATACAAAAATTAACAAACTAAAGTCGGTGTTTGAGGAGCAGGGACGACTGGACGAATACTAGATGAACCGGGTGAGTGAAGAGCAACTGGAGGAAGATTCGAGAGTGATGGAGGCACAAATGGCGATGGAAGCGATGATGGACCAGCCTATAAAGCTTAATAGTTTACGAAAATGGTAAAGTAGGAGCTTCAACTCTATTGCAGTGCGGCAAACCTGATGCCAATGTGAAAGATTTTGTGGCATATTCATCGCATGCTGTGAGCCGATTCCACCCACTGATGAACCTATATCGTAGGTAGATTTACTTTTTGTATGTTGAGATGTCTAACCAATTGATGGAAATGAAGCACCCAGTGCGGGTGCAGGTGGGGGTAAAATGGGCGTTGTTGAACTGCCGGGAAATGCTGCCGAAGAGATGCTCGACGATGGACCGGCTTGACTTTTGTCCGACATCTAAATTATGTCATGTCTTTATATATCTGGCTTTCCAGAAAGTCTAGAAAGTTTAGAGCAAGCCATTGGTGAATTTATTAATTTTCAACGGAAGTACGAAAAGGAACGAAAAGACTTTCTGGACAGCCTAATATTTTCTATCAACTCACGTGCAGTGTCGGCGATATATGCGTGAGTGGGATCTCATGTTTTGGGTACTTGATCGCAATGTCGCCAAACGTATGCGCACGGTCTCGGAAAGCCACCTGAAAAGATCACTACTCCTCTTTTATAAGAGAGAGGTGGTGGGACTCTGTTATGTGTGCCTGTGTGTCGGTCTGTCTAGGCCATATCTTGCCAAAGTGAGCTGGGATCGAACTGAAAGTTTGACATCAAACAGTCAACTTTTTGTTACCTTTAAGATAGCCCATCTGTTTTTTGATATCTACAAAATAGGTTCTTTAAAATAGGTTATGATGAAGTGCTGAAAGTTAAATTTAGGTTGAGCTTTGGGTTGATGAGCCACGTTGACAAACCGACACAGTCAGAAATTGGTACACATACGCATACGCATGTTGGTTCTAGCCGGCCAGCTCAACCCAGTTTGCTAGTAGTTTTTTTGCTCGGTCTATTTAATTTGAATCTATTTTTTGATACGCTTGGTCAAAATGACTTGCCATGTGCGCAAATTTCTCTACCTCAAAATCCATATCTTGTGATTGTTGTTGAGTACTCGCCGACACAGCAGTAGATACTTGTTGTGCAGTAGATACTTGTCGAATTGATCGAGATGATCGACGAGTTTTCGTCGAGCGATTCGTCTCCGTCTTGGCGTTTTCGTGTGGCGCCGTTTCGGCTTTTTTGGAAAACGAATCTCTGAAAATTTGATATCAACAAAAGCAATTTTGTTTGATAAAACAGCAATTCAGCCTCATAATAATATTAAAATAAGAACAGTTAAAACCAAGTTTCATTGAAAGAAAACCGTAATCTCTTCGGAAAAACATTTCCAATTAGATTGAGAGAAACAAAAAATTGTGTGGGGGAAATTTTCCGATTGGGATAATCCGATGAATAAACCGGCAATAATAGACAAAAACGCGGATAAGAATGGAATTAATGAGGATTTGGACAAGTAAAACAATGGCCTCAAACATCTATTCAAAGAAAAAAATCATAATCACCAAGTCGATTCATGAAAGTTTTCCCTTCTACAGCCAAATCGCGGAACGGAAATTGGAAAGAGTTATCGGAAGAGGATTTGGGAGGGGAAAAGGAAATTATCTCCTCACATTCTAACAATCTCAATCCACACTGAGTCATACAACTCTTGAAAAAGGCGAAAATAAGTCTATGATTGGTATTAATCTTAATTCACAAAACAAACGTTGGCCTTATAATTTGGCGATCTGGCTTTGGCCTGGCTTTTGCTGCATGAGCCTATCTATTGAGAATAACTCAACATGTACCTACTACCTGAAAGAGAAAACACTACTTTTCTCGCTTCTGGAAGTGGATTTCCAATAAAAAATGTCTCGAGGGTGGATAATCGGATTTGCAAAAAGCGAAGAAGAAAAAAGGTGGAATTGGGTGGGAGTTTCGAAGGTAAAGAAGGCAGAAACGAATAAGGAGGATTTTATTAAGGAGTGCTTTCGTTATCTAAGTTTTTTGAAATATATCTCATGTAATTGTAAAAAGAATTAAAGCATAGAGAGTCAAGTAACACGAGCAATTGCTAACCAAAGACATTCAAGTTAAATAGACACTCAATAATCGGCTTGAAACAGTGTTTAAACGGCTAGCTATAACTTTTTCAACTAAAATGGCGATTAGCTTCATTAAACTTAGGTATTTGGCTTGTAGTACTTTTTCCGAAAAATTAGGAGTAAGGTTAAATCCAAAAAAAAATACAAGGTTCGCGTAGAATGAACAAAAGGAACAAAAATGCCGCTAAAACGTCACTGTTTAAATTGGCAAACGGGGGATTTGTTCTGCTGTTATTGACAAAAAATGAGGTGGGGAAAACGGTCACATGACAAATTTTGATGGAGGGAAAAGAGACAGAGAATGGGGAAAGAGTGAGAAAAAGAAGTGATCATTCAAGCATTCAAGAAGTGAACTGAGAATTTTGGCCGATCCAAGAATTCTCTGAAACATCATAGGCCCAACAATCAGAAGCTTTCACTTTTGAAAGATTAATTGTATATTTTCGCTTCAATAAATCTCAAGGAAATCCCAGACTTCCACTGAACGAAACTCGTGCATAAAAATGAGCTCACAATGTAATCAAAGATTTCCCAACTTGAAATGTATATCTAATAAATGGAAAAAAAGAAAGAAATCGATAATTAATGTATTGGGGTGGGATGTAGAAGGGGAGGGTGTTGTGGGTGGTGTGTGTATAGAGAAGAGAAGAAGACTCGTCGAGAGGGCCGTCTCTGCCGTTGTTTACCACTTTGCACTTTTGCCTTTCTCCCCCAAAAAATATTGAAGAGGAGGAAAAGAAACGAAGAAATGAAAAGGATTGCCGCGAAAGGCGGACACGTGCTTCGTATCATACTCTTCGCTTAATATTAGGCTGTTCAGAAAGTCTTTTCGTTCCTTTTCGTACTTCCGTTGAAAAATAACAAATTAACCTATGGTTTGCTGTAAATAAATTTTGTTTATTGTTCAATTTCCTATTTTTTAAGTCAATTTGGGTTCACTTTCAAGCAAAGTCGAGAGTGAAAACGTGTTTTTTATAAAAATCTATAAAAACCTCTACGAAGAAATTGGCTGAATCGATTACCCTAAAAATTTGGCTATTTACCTAACTTTTATCTATTGGCACCAAAATAGGTTTCCTTAGCTAAAGTGTCTAAACCGCATTATCGAGCCGTCGCTCTTTTTGCTTATCCGACTTCACGCTCCCAAAAGAATCCAAACATAAGACATTTTAAACCCGTTTTAATGTTATTTTGCAGAAAAATAATTGGTCTTTCTAATGGAACAAACCGTAGTTCAATTGGTACATTGTTGGTTTTAAACGCAAGTACGAAAAGGAATTTGCTTTCTGGAAAGCCTAATTTTTAACATTATTTTATACTTTAAGATATAAGGCTGTGGATGATATCATGGCAGCTTGGGGTAGCAGGTCACACTTCGCGTTTGCACTTTACGCTTTGTGTTTCAAACGTGCTTTCTGACACACTGACACTTCTGGGATGACATTGAACTGGTACGTAAGCTAATTGTGGAAAGTTGTCTGGGCCTGGTATGCAAGCTAAAATGTATAGACGCATTTTGTGCCGGACTTAGGGCAATATAAATGCTATTTCAAAAACGTCGAAAATCATATTTCCTGGCGCGTTTTATCTGGACTACTGATTACGAGCAAGAGAGAACTTGCTCGTATTACAATCTAACTGTAAGCGCAATCTAAGCTATTCGATGTTCGAAATCATTTTTTTAAGCAAAATGGATTAGAAGAAATGTTTTGAAGAGACGCTGTGCCAAATGTCAGAAGAAATGTTTGAAGAGCTTTCCAAAAGTTTCGCAAATATTTTAAAAAAAAACAGAAAAAAGAAATAATAAAAGAAATGAATAGCTGAAAAAACAGGCAAAAAAAATCGCTATTGTGCCCGATTTGGATCGTTTTATTTGATGGAGATCAAAGGAGAAGCAAATATTTGACAGGGGCTTTTGTGGGTATTGCGGAAAAAATGGGAATTCAACTAAAGCGTTTGCTTCATGTTAAACGTGGTGACACCGTCACAAAAAAGCATCTGCACAAATAGTTGGGATACATTCTCTACATAATACTAGGGTTAATGAAATTTTGGGACTTTGATTGCGTTTATAAAAGAGTTTGCAAGCTTCGAGTACGAGTATAAGCCAAAAAAAGCTTAAAAGCTAAAATTCTGACTGATACGAATAGCCCTACAATTAGCCTAACACCAAAAATGCTCATGAAAATGCAAAAAAAATATAATATGATATTGGTTTGTTCAGAAAAACTCCCAGAAAACATGTACATATTGTTTTCTTTAGGAATGAGAGGTTTGCTTTGATATTATTTTTCCATGATTCTTCTTCAGAAATCGAAAAACAAGCGCTTTTTCTAATTGAAATTCCCACACCGTGTAAAGTACGAATATTAAAATTATAAGATAATGAATTTTTTGGTGAATTTTGAAGATCCGATCACTTCATGTATGCCTTTAAGCTCAAAGATTACAGTAGATTGGGACACAAATGATACTACAGTAGAAAGACGTTTTTTAAAAAAGATTATCGTATAACGGCAACGATTATGGTTTTAAGAACAAAATAAAACTCTAAAGTGCTTCGCGGTCGTTTTGTCCTTCAAACTCTAATCTCAAGCATGCATTTCTAAACCACTTCTCTTACATAAAAAATCAGTGGATTCGCGTTATTTATCTCGATGCCTTTCTAACTAATAAGTACAAAGTGAATCTTAAAATGTCCCTATTTGATGGGATGTAAGAGAATTGGAGAGAAATTATGACAAAATAAATTTTTCTTTAAAAGTAAAAAAGGGGCCCAAAGGGTACTCCAATATCTAAAGCTCCAACTCGATGTTGTCTTTAAACTTTCTCGAAAACTTCTCTCAATACTTCTCAAACTTCCTGCTGCGAGTGTTTTAAGCAAAAATTGAGGGGTGTTCTTTGGAAAAAAACTTTTGGACGTGAAATCGGGAGGGGCGAACAAAGAAGAAAAAATAGACACAAGAAAGCGGAAAAAGAAAGAAACGGGGACCACAATTCAAGTGTAGACATTCGGGTGGGGTACCTCGAAGAAAAGATGGAGAAAGGAAAAATGAAGAAAAAGAGGGAATGCAGGAAGTGAATTATGCAGAGTTATCCCAGTGGGAAGTCCCAGTTCAGCCCCATGTCAATAGTGAGTGTTCACCATAATTCACCAAATGTTTTTACCTCCCGCAAACAAAAAGCCAAAAGAACTGAAGGCGTAAACACATAAAATCGATAGCCAAAGCGTAAACAACAAAAAAAGAACAGAAAATACAAAGAGGGATAGAGCTGAAGAAAAACATGAGAACAGAGAGTTGAAATTTTTGGGAGTTGAGTGTTTCTACTGATAAGGGCTTTAAACAAAAGGATGGAGGTTTTAGCTGTTAAAATACTAAATGTATAAAAAGTTATTGTTCATCTAGTTATTGATGTGAGCAAGTTTAAGAAAAGTTTACCATTGGGCTGGCCAGAGAGTCTTTCTGGACAGCCTAGTAGGTTAGTAGTACAATATAATGTGCATCATATGGAAAAGAAGTATACATGAAAAGGATGAAAAAACAAGAGAGGGAAACTCTTTTTTCTTTATGTGAGTTTGGGGGCTGTTGGTGTTGGGAGGGGGAGGGGGAGGAGGGTGTAGACGAGACGAGGCGGGGCTCGGGGGCTTCCTTTCTTCTGTGTCTCTCTCCTTTTTCTGTGCCTCTCTCCCATACCCCTTCACAACTTCTCCTCTCTGTTTCATCTTTCATCCCTTCTTTTCTCTATTCCCCTTTCCATATTTTCTTTTCTCATTCTCTCAAAAAAAAGCTCCCAAAAGCTGCTGGCACCACACGTCCTGCACACAAAAACATACACATGCCATGAAGTTTTCGCTACAGAATTTTTTGTTAGAAAAATATCAAGAATAAAACACTTTGTGGATACAGAAATCAAGTATTGACGTAAAAATAATTGATGCGCTTTTAGCTATTCAATCGAACGGAAACTTCAACTGTACAGCCGACTTGTAAGTTTAATCCCGCAACTTTCGAATCACATAACATAAGTTATTCGTTGAAAAATTTGGATATTTATAAAAATATAATATAGCAGATCTACAAAAATTGAATATTTTAACAATTCTGAGCACTACAACTGTGCATAACTGCATGGATGTACAAAAGGTGAAACGCGTTTTATACGGGAAATTCAGGCCGGGGATTCTCGGAAAGTAAAAGTCACAAAAAGACAAAAAACTTTGAAATCCTTTTTTCTGTTCTCATCCAATTTTCAGCTGTCCTTGTCTGCCTACGTATTCTTTGTAATTTCTGACCATCCCCCCAGTGGGATCGAGAAATCAAAAGCGAACGGGAGGAAAACAGAGACACACAAATGTTATCAAATATTTGATTTTTGTGTCCCGACGCATTTTTTATGTCACAAAAAGTAGTTTTCTGCTTGAATTCATCAAAGAAAAGCATCACCACTTCAAATCAATGAGTAGTACAGATGCCTGATAAAGTACAGAGATAGTGCATTGCTACCTTGAGAGCATGTTGAAATGTTTACAATTAGGATAGACTTTCAAAACGAAGCTGTTGGAAATATAATAGTTGTTTTAAATCATTTTAAACTTCATCAACTAATAAAATTGTATCATCAACATCAAGGATATCAAAGAAACACATACGAAGAAGCCCAAAACGCCCAAATATAGAAGAAGCCGAAAACCAAAAACTATAAGCCAAGCTTTCGGGAAAAGGAAGGTTTAAGCTATAAACTTTAAAGTGCTCAAGCAGCACGAAAAGAAAAATTAAAATAACTCAAGGCAAAGAAAAAATGTTTTCCAGAAATTGTTAACGTTTTTGTGGGTGATGTGGATTTTGTGTTTGTGTGCGAGACAAGTATTGAATTCGGGAGGAATGAGCGATTTTTTGGTGGGGAACCGGTCTTCCCCCTCCGTGTGATGCCTGTCTCCCTTTCTCGTTTCTCTTTTTTTTCACCCATCACTGTGTCCCCATTTTTCCGCCTTGTTACTCAAACATGTGATTAGCGAAAGGGGCGACTCTCGATCGAAACGGCTCATTCCCCCTTTTTTCTCGTTTACTTAGCAAAAGTACTCCGTTTTTTGTGGAGGATCATTTTTTAAAAAATGCTTTGTTTTCAAAGAGAAATGAGACTCTATGGTGCAGGCGTTGTATGGTGTTATAAGCAGACCAACAAGACCAAAGAACTTTAACGATGTAGCGGATAAAGAATGAATTATTCTATCAATAATTTCTTTCGCCAGTTTTTGACAGCCTAACAGCCAGTCACCAACTAGTAAGTTTCTTTTTTGGTCTAGGACAGCCTATTCCTCTTTTTGCATCTTATATCAACAAGTATGGCAGACCAGAAACTACCAACATAATCTGTTCCCTTTTTCTTTTAAAACATTCTTGACCATCACCTTTTGACTACATGTGTGTTTTTAGTGCATTTGTGCCCCCAAATTATTTTCCACTTTCCCTAAATGCGCAACATTCATCGAAAAGCGCCTAATTGAGATGCAAAGAGCCGGGGAATCACTATGATTTTCTGAAGAAAGAAATTAAGTGGCAGTTTCCTCAAATTATCGGCAAAGAATTTTGTCTCCAGATGGAAACAAGTTGTTTTTGATGGGATAATGAGAGAAAGGCTAAGGAAAAGGTCACTCAACGATCCCACTTATTATAACCGAGAGCTCGGTTATAATAAGTATGTGAGTATGTGCGTGCGTGTTTGTCTGTCTGTCTATTCCGCTGTTTAAAAAAACGGCTGAGCCAATCGATCTGAAAGTTTGACATTACAACCCTAAATTTTTACGTAGTTTCCAAAAATCTAATAATACTTGACGCATAATTTGACTGTTTTTTCTAAAAACGAAATTAAAGAATACATGCCACCACGTGGCCGAGTGGTAGTGAGTCCCGGCATCCGATCTGCCAAGTTGAGCAACATTGGCCTCGGTTAGTCTTGGGTTCGATCTCTGCCCAATACAACCTATTTTTGCTTTCTTTGTTTTTACACTTTTTGAGTGAGAAAGGTTTTGATTCCTCTAGGGGTGAAGAAAATAAAATCCTTCTGCACGGAGCCAGAATAACCCGACGTTAGGCGGGTTTTTCTGGCTGGTGTATCATAAACAAACACTCTACTTCATCATTGCAGACGCTCAGACGTAAGCGTCCACCGATCTCTTTCACTTTGAGAGATATGAGAATTTCAATTTTAATTACTTTTGTGAACCGCTGGATATGTGAACCGCGTATACCTATATATTTTAACACATTCACGACTATACGACCCACCGGTGGGCCATACTAATGAATATTTTGGTGTCAACTCAAGTTTTTAAGGACTTTTGTTATTCATTTTGCAGAAAGCTCTTGGTAACTTTTACTAGTTTTCAAGAGGAGATTCACGGCTATCAAATGAGCTATAATAGCTTAGTTTATCTTTGAATACTCATCCATAGTATTACTTAAAGCTTGCCTTTGTAAAGAGATGGGCTCTCCTTTGTGATCAAACAAAGACAAAAAAAGAGAGAAAGCTGTAAATGGGGTGAATAAAGAGAAAACAATCGCCCACTTCTAAACGGAGACAACACTCTGTTTCTTTCCCTTCAACACAGACTCGGAGGGGTGATAAAAATTCTCTTCACACAAAAAAAAGATAAGAACAACAGCTGTTTTCTGTAAGAGTTTTGCCTCACACGCTTGACAGGCTCTTTCGATCGAAAAAAGTGGGGTATACTCAATTGTTGCCACTACTATTAAAAATGGAGATAAAGGTAAAAAAAAGTCATCATCTATTAATCATCGTTAAAACTTCTCCCCAGCTGCTGCTCTCTGCTTTACAACTCTCGTAACACAAAGTCATAGGATGCATGAGAATGTAAATTTGAGTACGCCAGAACTTTTGCAAAGTATGCGCCAGATGGTTTTCAACTCTAATTCTCCCTGTACCATGTGAAAACACATTTAATCTTTCACTTTCCAACAAAAATGAAATCTCTTAGATAAAAAGGGTTCATTGAGGGGATCTCCTTTCACTCAAGACAAAATTAAAAAAGAGATGAGGGTTTCTCTTTTTTGAGTTTTCCTCTCAAAAAATCCCCACCTGATTTAATTATCCGGCATAATTAATTTTTCCGGAAGAAGCGAGACGCTCGGGGATATATTTGAAGAGAGACAGGGTTGGGGCAATCCGCCCACTTTTGGGGTGAAGGGATTTCCTCGTCTTCAAGCGGATTATTTGAGGTTTCTTTTTCTTGAGGGGTTTCAAGAGATTTATCACGAATTTTCTGTGAATTTACACAAAAAGAAAGAATTCTTTATCCTTTGAAAAGTACCCGAAATATCACAATATTTTCTGGTCACACATGTAAAAATGAGAGCGGAAAGAAGTGTTAAGGCAACTTTTGGTACTTCTTTAGTATCAGGGGGGGGGGCGATTTTGGCAAACTTGTGTCACTGATTTAGTTATCTTAAACTTGTCCAATTTCGACAACCGTTATTAGATAGCTTAGGCTTTGTAGATTCTAATAGTTTTTGAGTTTTTCAAAATCTCTCACAAAAAAGCGTTTAAATTGTGGGCTAAAGTTTGGCAAAATCGTCCCCCCCCGGATACTAAAGAAGTACCCAACTTTTTAATGGTAAAATCTATAGGGTAATTAATAAACTATGTACGTGTAATCTATGTACAAACAGCTGCTCACTATCCGCTTCACGACTATACGACAGTTAACGATACGCGACTGTACGCTCAAAATGCCGTGGTCCCGAATGTGTAAAAATCAAGAATCTCAAAACCTTGGCTTTAAAAACGATCAAATCACAATTTTCTGCGCTAATATGTTTCGAAGAGGGGATCTGGAGCGTCGAATTGATAAAGAGCGTTCATTTTCACCACCGATCGCTTCTCCTCTTCGATTTTCTCGGCAAACTGAAAAAAATGCACAGCTTTTAGGTGAAATCGAATGCATATTTGTGTGGTTTGTTTCAAGATTTTCCACCTCTCTAAGCATTGCCGCGTATTCACTCTTTGATCCGTTTCGCAGATCTCTCGCCGTTTGCACCAGAGTCAACGTGTCAAGAGCGATTCCCAATCCCGCAGCCAAATGCCCAAGAGTTGACGCTAGTTTTGGTGTCAATCGACCCTTAAATCGTTCTGTTGCACAAATACAGATCTCTTGGTGATTTTCGTTTTAACTTTAAGCCATCGTGACATTGTTTTCCGTTTTTTTTACATTTACTTTTCGTCTGATTCCGTGAGACAAAAAAATAACAAAACTAAATACTAAAAGTAAATGCATTACTCTCAAAGGAAACTCTCTACTTGAAATCCTCACTAACCGTTTCCGTGATCAGCGCTCGCGCACCAATTCCGGCCAAACCACATGTACCGAGGGCAAGCATTGGAGCAGCCATTGTTGTCAACTTCGGTCCTCCGGGCCCCTGAAATTAATAAACTTCAATTTCTCTATTATTGGTTTACATCGAAATTCTCAGAAAATATCCAATGCTCCAAAATTTGATCAATCTTCACATACTCACCATAGATCGTCGTAGTTGCTCGAGTCGAGCCACTTCAGTCCAAGCTTTGATGATAAGATCCCATAAAATCTGCAAATTTTTCAAGATATTCCATATTCTACTACTCGTTACCTTGTCTCTTTCAATCAATGGCGCCACTTCGTTCATTCGTTTCTTAATTGCAAGCATATTGACACCACTTGTGACAATGTTCGTCGCTGCACCAACACCACCAACAATAGCGCCTAAAAGTTTGCGGTACTTTGCGGTACTCTTACAGGAAAAAATATAGTTTTTAGAAAATCTATGGTAAAATTTCAAAAACTGGATCTCTGACCTGCGATCGCAACTGGCGGCATCAAAATTAAACCGGCAACGGTGACAATCCCGCCCGCAATGCCGACACTACTGCCCACCGTCGTTGAGATATTGCAATGGTGCTGGATTTCGTCTAACTGAAATTGGGCTTTGACGATGGCTATGAGTGTGTTTTTTAAGATTTATTAAGATAAAAAATTGTTGGTGTTAATTGTATAAACTTTTGCAAACTTTAATAAAATGTTCGAATAGATCGACTTAGCGTAATTCTTGTATTTGAATATCACCAATATCAATAAATTTATCAGAAAAGTAGGCAAAGCTTAAGATTTGTTTTTCTTTCCGATTTTGCTTTGGCTTAAACATGTTTTTACCAACTTGAAGAGCAATTTGGATCAATTTCCTTCCAATTTCTTCTCTTCTCACCGCCCATTCTGCCACCAAATGATTTGCATGATCGATTGCTGTTTGAAATGCTTGTTCCGGATCCATCTTCAAATTTCCGAATTTGTTGATTTTTGCAAACTATTTTTGTAATTTTTGCACTAACCTCAACATCACATGTTTTCTCATCAAAAACCGGCAAATTTTCCGTGGGGCGAAATATCAATGATCGATTATATTCCATATGTAATCTGAATATGAGTAGGTAGTTAAATTTAAATCTATTAAATGTTAAAAAAAATGTTACACTATCAACAGGAAATAATTCAGAGTTCATAGTTCTAAAGAAAACTGGAAAGATCTGCAAAATATAATTCGATGGATGAATGCAATTACGCGCTTTTTCATTTCACAATACAATTTTGTCACAGGTCAGCATATAACCACGGATAAATTACCGTAACCCATACATCAAACATCCGCACGATAATTTACAGGATGATGAGATTTGTATCGAAAGAAAGCTGAAGCTTTGTTGTGTTTAAACGGGTATACATACTAGTCTTTTCTTGGATATAAATAACTTATTTATTGACCGTGCTCGACCACAAGAATTTGAAGAAACCATCACACAGGAAAAGGGAAAACAATGAATCCGAAAAAGCAACCAGTTATAAAAAAGAATGATACAGACTTCTCCCTCCTATATAATGAAAACCGTGTAAAGACTCTACGAAAGAACAGGCAACTTCGTTAATATTAGTGGATACTAATTGTTGTGCAAGAATACCTCTCACACATCCACTACAAGTAAAAGAAATCACAAAGCAACTAAAAATATACGAATATTTTTTAAATGTATCACAAAGAATTTTGAGAGACAGAAAGACCGTGCTACGATATAAAAAAGGATCAGTGAGGAAAATTGGTATGTAATGAAACACCACAAATCTTGAATAAATACTTGAAACGAGTAGAATCCATGTTCCAAATTCACACAGCGTCACACTTCAGGAACTCTGAAATTTACAGATTTTTAAAGAATTTCATTCCAACTAAAATGGAAAATGATAGTTTGTAGGGATAGTCCACGTATGACCACATTGTTGCAAAGAACAAATTCTCCGTACAATTAAAAAAATGTTAAACTCTCAACTTTTAAAAAGAATCTGTCAGTTTGGCTTAAATATAAATTTAGTGTCGCATGGATTGATAGTCCGAAGCACTTAGTAAGTCAATTGCAACACGCTAAAGTTAAACGCAAATACCATTTTTGAAGCCCAGGTAAGTAGCTAGTATTTCAACAACATAAAAGCCGGAAAGAATAAACAAACACACGATTTACTTTCTTTTTAAAATACAGACGATCACAGATTTACTCGACAAACAAAAACAAACTCAAAATCCAGAAAATAAAACCCAGAAAATCGCTAAATTGCTTACGTTCTAAGATTTTGGAGCTGGTGATCGCTAAATGGGTACAAAATACAAAGATGCGAGAACCATTATAAAAAAAAGCCTTTATGCACAACTTAAAGAATACATCTTTGAAAAGTTAAACCTTTAGTGTGAATTATTCTTGCTTTGAGTGAATGGTGGTAAAAATCCGAAATAATCTTACCCCAATATAGTTGCTAAAAGCGCTGCCGATAGTGCCTATTTTCTCTGCAACTTTGCTTGCTCCGGCGCGCATACTGTCCTTGATGTCGCCAAGATCGGGCATCTAAAAATAAAAAGTTCTCCTACAGAAGCGTCACATAGTCTATTATTTTCAAAATTAAGGATTTGACTATACAGTCGAACTTCTCTATAACGACCTTCTAGATAACGATTTTGAAATTCTAAAAGGTGCCCCCTAATTTCTGCGTAGCCGCGCAATTAGGTGCAATCGTTGCCCGCACAGAGCAGCTACGCAAAAAACGTTGGGCGCGTTTTAGAATGGTTATATAAAAATTTTTGGTCCCTTCGATATCGTTATAGAGAAGTTCGACCGTATCTGAACTTTGAATATATTTAACTTTATTTTATGATATCATCAAACTAAAATTTTCAAAGTTCAGGGTTATGTTTTACTTAGAGTTCCCTAAGCGGTACCGATTACGTATAATAAAGGACTAATAGAATACATACCTGACTTGGTGCCGGCTTGTTTCCGCCACCCCACAAATCAGCTGATCCAATAGCATTTTGCCCCTCAAAGCGACCAAGCGCCGCTTTTGTTTCAAACTAAAATTCCAATTTTTCAAAACTATAAGAAAACTCTCACATCCATTTCATTGGTCCTGAAGTACATGTCCGATGAGATTGATTTAGCATTGGCAAATTTCTTCGACAAATCAACCTAAACCATTAAATCTTTAGAATTGGTAGAACAAACGAACATCAGCTGCTTGCTCCATTTTTGGTCCAGTGTTATTGCGGTTCGTATAGCCAGTGCTATAGTTGATCGCGGTAGACGTCGAGGAAGGCTTGCTAAAAACATGATATTATAGCATCAAATATGAAAAACACCTTTTGGTTTCATACGAGTCAAAGAATTCATCGTTGCTGCTTTTCTTCTTGGAGAAATCGGTGGTCCACAGATCGTCATCCTAAATACAAGAAGTTCTTATAGCTGCAACATGATGCGAACGCTTAGAATAATTCAAGAGAACAAACCTTTCCCTTGCTACCACTATCAGTCTCTTCCTTTGAAAAATCGTTGTTGACCACCTCCCAATCGTCATCTTTTGGTTGTGAAACCGAAGCACGAGAGGATGAAAATTCATTCTAAAAATCAGATTCAGTTTGAGTAAAACAAGATTAAGCAACATACTTGTTGAATTGTACGAATTCCAGCAGTGAGTGAGTGGATTCCCCTTGCTCGTCCGCCTCCACCGCCTATTCCGCCCATCCCAAGTCGATCGATAGCGGCTGCCTTACTGGGATCATCCTTTGCTTTGGCCTGCAAAACATAAAATTAGTTATAGCTTTAATACCGCAATATTATTATCGTATTTACTCAGGCTAATTCTCAATGGTAAAATACCTCATTTCTTTTACGTTGTTCATCAATGTTTTGCATTGCAAGTCGAGCCGAGATTTCTTTCACAGGTTTGTCATCGGCTTTTTCGTCTTCTTTGTAGGCCAATTTTACAGAAGCAGCAGCCTGAAAGTGATTCTTTGCAAAAGCATTTGTGTTTGATACAAAACTAACAGCCCATACTTACTTCAAGTGCAGCTTTATCAGCTTCAGCGGCTTTCTGTTCAAGCTCGTCAAAGTTAATCCGAACCTAAATAATAAGGACTATTGCAGGTCTTTGAGGTGAAAAATTGTACAAACCTTTTGAGCACCCAATCCTCCCTTCTTAGCACCAGCGCCAACTTTTTTTATTGGCTTCTTTAACAACACCGACTTCACCTAAAGATTGCAAACGTAATGATTTATCAATAAGTGAAATTCTACAAAGAAATAATCACCCACTTCAGGTGCATGCGTGGGAGTCGCTGTAGAATCAATATGGTCGACTCGAGGTCCTATGCCAAATAACTTTGATTTTTAATTCAGATTGAACTCACCATGTGCATCATCGACTATGAAAGCATCAGACCCCAAAGAGTTGGTCGAATTGGAAGTGTGCACCTAAAGAAGTATGTTTATTGAGCCATTACTGGAATAAGTTTTACTGTTGGTGGAGCTATCGTAGGAGCTGACTCAAATGAATGATCCTTTGCGAAGAAATCTTCGTCATCTTCCTAAAACACAAAATTAAAACTTCTAAAAATAACAGTATTTGAAGAACCATTATATCAGTCTCCTCACCGACCTTTTTCTCTTCTTCATGGGTGCTCGCTCCAGCAGTTTCGATGTAGAGTTTGTTTCCGTTGATCCGTTGAGCGTTTGCCGCCAATTGAGCCAGCTTGTCCTAAGCTTTTGTGGTGCTAAAAGTTATAAATAAAGCCAACCCGATATAGTTGAGCTGCACGGCTTTTGTATTTGATTTGGGCATCATTTGTGTTGCATCCATGTTGTGCAAAGAACTGGGTCTAAAATAAAAAGATTTTTGTATCAAAGAAATGTATCAAACTGCGCTTGCGTTGCCGCCAACTTGCATATGTCGTAATTGAACCCACGTCCAGCACAAATCGAGATTAGTGCTTCTCACCTAAACAACAAAAAATTTTAGAACCTGAAGTTTTTGCAAATTTCACAATACTCGCAAAGTTTCGAACGTTTTGTTAAAAAGCTTATAGAATTTAAACAGAAAAAGTCCTTACAAAAGTGATATGAACTCCGAGGTTGCGGTGAACAGCCGAACAATCAATACAAAGAAAGACTCCATATGTTACCGAAGACCATGTCGGATTCCGAGCGCCACAATCAAAGCAGCCCTAAATAAAGAATTAATCCTCAGAAAAAAAATCCTGTATAAGTAACATCCTTGCATAACTTTTTACTATCCGTATGCATACTTTGCTTTAGACTAACTCAAAAATACTGATTTAGGTATCTGCTTAAAAAACCCATTTTATTTTCTAAAAACCTATAAAGATATAAAGGTTAAAATACTTTATTTGCTGGGAGACTCCGCAACTTGCGCATCGCATTTTGAAGATCGACTTTGGAAGGACCACTTTCGCCGTCTCCCATAGCTTCTGTATCTAAAAATAATGAAGATTTTAAAAGATTCCAAAAAAGCACTTTAAATCATAAAAAATGTGATCCAAATAGTGAACGCCCAGGGTTACAAAAAAGCATCCTTTTAAAAACGGCTCGATTGACATGAGGGAACAAATTGCTGCATGCAAATAGTTTGCAACGTGTCCACGATCGAATCGATTTTGAAAAGGCAAGGAAAGGGAAGGGAAGGGCAAAAATTCGGACTGAAAAAAAGCAGCAAATCTTTTTTGTGCATTGGGAAATTCTTACTGAGAAATTTTATAAGCGCTAACCATAAGGAGCGAATACCTAAGTAGCCAGATTGAACCTGTTTTAAATTTATAAAAAGTACAAAAAGGATGCCACGAATTCCGTGAACAACTTACGCATTTGTTTAAAAATGTTATCCGGTACACATAGCAGAAGAAGTGTTTGATAATACGGCGACCGTCGCACTTGCGGTCGTGTTTTTTTAAAAAAAGAGTACGCTTTAGCCCGTATGTCATAATCAACCGCTTTTTTGTATGGAAAAAATAATATAATGAAAGATAAATGGTTAGGTGATACTATTAAAGTACTATAGAAGAAATCTAACGTGTCGCATAGATCTGAATGGAAAGAGAAGAAATGGCGAAAAAGGCGAGCTGAGGGAGGGGAGACCGGTTCCCAGTAGTCATGCCACTGGACGCCGCTCTCCCCGTCTCCACCAAAAGCCACTTCGTAGAATTTCTTAAACTGGATTTATTTTCAGGTATCTATCAACTTATTTAGCGTCTAATATAGATAATTTTTGATACAAAAATACTAGTGGTTCAGGGTTATCTCTTAGTCTTACCGTAAATCCTCTATTAGAGTCGCATGCGGCTCCATTTTTCGGTACCCGGCAAAAGTTCGGCTCTAATAGAGGGTGCGGTTCTAATAGAGGATCTCCGGTATAACAGAAATACTTGTACTATTTACTGGGGAAGACTTGTTTATAAATAAAATTAGTGTTGAGCTCAGTGATATTTTTACGATCGACGGTCTCATCGCGTTTAATACTATCACTTACTTTTAAAGATAATTTCAGCTTGTTTTTAGGTATATCACTTCATTGTTACTCCTACATTAGAGAAGATACGATAATTAGCTCAAGAAGGGAACATGTGTGGAACCAGTTGTTCCCTTCCTTCTTTCAGTGATGTCGTGTCGTAAAGGAGCCAATAGTTACCGTAGTTCCATACCCTTTGGGACCCCAGATCCGGCTGAGGTTGTGTTTATTTGAGAGCAATTTGGAACTCCGATTTTCAAAAAAACGTGAATTCGTGAATTCAGCTTTCAAAAACGTAAAAAAAACTTTATTTACATTTATTGTTAGTTTAAGAGAAACAAAAACGCACAAATAAGTCTGTTAAGTATATGGGTAAAAAGCTAAGGGGCCTGTGGGTCGGCAGCATTGCAAATTCGATCACGACAAGGAGGCTGAGACTCGCAAATCCTGAAAAGTTATTTCATTATTCTACCTAGATTTTTTTATCCAATCTATTTTCATGTACGCTTCATATGTATCTCTCGATATTTTTTATCAAAACAGACTCAAACCAAAGTAGATTAGGTAACAAATTAGTGTTCAGCTTACGATACAAGTTGAGAAAACTTTAAAAAATGCATTGTTAGCCTACTTACCCATCTTTGCATCGAGCTTTCTCTTCAGGAATCGTCGATCGCTTTCGTCGGCCCATGAACAACGGAAAATCGTAGCAGACCTAAAATTTTTGGATTTTAGAAGAAGTATAGTTTACGTTTGGTTTGGTTTGGTTTCATACTTACTTTTTAAAATCTTTGCTGTTTTAGTATTAAATCTGTTCTTAACACATTCGCGACAATGTGGCCCACCGGTGGGCCGTACGTGGATTTAACACTTTTTTTGAGGCCGATTGGGCTGAAAATTTGCACAAGGGAGTTTTCGGGGTCAAGAAATTCGAATATGTACTTGGTTTTTAAAGAAAGCTGCTCCATTTTTGGATATTTCTTCCGGTTTCATTTCAAATTTTCATGTTTAACTAATCGTACGACTTCTGGCACACGCCCTCTACGGATAACGAACAGAACCCAAACTTGGTTTCGCTCTTTTTTTCTCCAATTTGGTTTCATTACCCAAGTTTTTAGAGAATTTTGTGATGGCCGTATTGGTTTAGAAATTAAAGTTGCTCAAAAACTAATAGAGGATTCAGATTCTCTATCCCAAAATGCCCTATCGGTTACAAATTTTCAGATCTACAGCTAACATAAATGTCTGTCGTTCGAAACGGCAGTCAAGACAAAAATGACTTTGTCTTGAATGTGTTAAAGCGCTTTTATTCGATGACCATTTTATCTTCAAATTTAGACGACACTTACATTATGTCCAAAAGCTATCGTACAAAGTTGACCGGGCATACAATCAGCTGTGGTGAAGCATTCATCTTTCGGCATGGCTGATACCTAAAGTAGTGGCCACTTACGGAAAGAAATTCTTTCACGATCGGTTTTATTTTTGAAAGACAGTGCAACACGCTATAAATGAACTCACCATTTGTTAGCACTGCTATTCTGCGTGGTAATTTTGTATTTTACATTTGGGTAGTTTATTTGTAGACTGCTATCCTGATTAGGTGTTTCGGTACTTCAGCATATTTGCCTCGCCAACAAGAATATGCAAATTGATCTTTGACGGTTTACTTCATCATTGAATTTTAGCATTTTTTATCCTAGTTTTGATACAGTTTTGGATAGATTTGAGCTATAGTGAATGAACATAAACCTAATAAAGTCATTTATATTATTTTTCCCGTATCTTTACCAAACTAGAAACACTCTGAAGAAATTTATATTTACCCTGTTTTGGCCGGCGGGGAAAACATGCGGAAGTACCAGCGTTTCGTTTGTCACGGATTCTATGCTTTGGCAAAGTGGACTTTTGCAGTTTTCAGTTAGTATCATTACATCCTAACCCACCAAAAGCTTGGAAAACAAGACGACGGTGAGCATCCTCAACAGAAAGGCGATCATTTTTACCTGAAAATCGGTCGTTTTCTTAAAGGTATGGTAAAAAGCTCATTACAATGTCATCTGAAGAGCTAATCTGAAAATATCAAAATCAGCCTTCAAATTCCAATGAAATAAAGTTTCTCAACTTTTGAGCACTGGTATCTGACTATAAATGAGACAAGATACTGAAAATGAGATTTTTAAAAATATAAAACATACAGAATAACTTCCTTGGCAAAAATTAAAATAAAAGTGTCGAAAAATCGCGGAGACTAATCTCAGATCACGAATTTCTTGGTACCCATCGTAATTTTAAATCATCAGGATTTCTCAGTGAAACCCTTCATCTGCTCAATATTAACTATATCCAAAAATATCAGCAGTTGGTGGTTTTTAAAAGAAAAAAGACAGATTACGGGTACAGAGAATATTTTTGGAAGTCAATTATTTGTTAGATCTAGACGTCATTCAAGAGGCACAAGAAACTTTCCCGCCCAAATAAGTCAACAAAAGAAATCATAGAAAAAATAATTTCCGAACGACGATGAATTGAGGGGGAAATCTCAAAGATCTGATTTTTCTTTCGAAGTAACAGACGATGAATGAAAAAAGAAACGAAAAGTGGCCTGATTTGAGAAAACACGCACGAGGGTTCGGGAAAGTTTTTAATCGGCAAAATTTTATGATTTGCATTTATACATGGGTAGTGTTCATCGAGCAAAGTAAATTTGTCGAAAGTCTAGAAAAAGTATGTGCCAAATAGAAACCAAGGAAGACTAATAGGATTACTGTATGTTACTGTATATAAAGGGTGTGTAAGTGTATTAGAAATTGAAAAATTAAAAATGAATCAAGGCAAAAATAAAATAACAGTGGGAATGATTGTACCAAAACCAAAATTTGAAGATTTTTGCAATTCGTATCCGAAGGCTAAGATTTCTAAGTTGTCACAATTGCTTCATCTCTTTTATATTGTAGTGTCCCCTTTTCTTTTTTTCTATATCTCTTGATGTTTCTCTTTTCTCCGTCTGCATACGAATTTGCGCACTTTACGTAAATTGCTCCATTTAAATTTCAAAGACCGCTACGTTTTTTTTCTTTTTCACGAAAACTTTTAGTATCTGAACGATGAATAGTCGAACGTTTAGGTGAAAAATGAGGAAGGAAAAATGATAAATGTTTAATAGAAAAGTTGAATAGAAAGTTCAATAAAGGAATCTGTACGTGGTAAAGAGAACTGATAAAAGAGTGCCTTTAACTTTAGTTTTGAGCAAATCGATTTATTTCGACTTGATTCTATGAGTGTTCTTCATAAAGGGTATCAACCAGTACCAAGAATGGACAGATTGAATAAAACTAGAGACAAGATTCGCCTGCTGACTAACTTATATTTGTTCCTCTGCTTCTCACTTCGAGTTTGTAAAAGGGTACTATTCCAAAAGTTGAAACGCATTATTTTCAAGGAACGCCTACAACTAAAACACACACCAAATAATTTGTCACTAAGGGCTTGGAACTTTAAAAATTCAAGTTTTGTAAGCTCATATCAAAATGCTACTCTGGATGAAGCTTCAAAAAGAATTCGTTCGTCATTCACGTTAATGAAGAAATGTTTTCGAAGTTTTAAAAAATCCCATTAAAATAATGGGTGATGTGGGATAATAGGAAAAGAATGAGAAAAGGAAAATGCTGAAGCTCATTTCCACGTTGCTTTCACTCATCAGAATAGGGCACAGTATGAGCTGAAAGACAATTTCCTTTTGACTTCTGAAAAAAAGGGCGTATTGTTTTTTGCAATTCTTGGCCCTCCCGAATAGACGAACTCTTTTCGGTAGACGATGATAGAAAGTTTTATGTCTTTTTGCATCATCCATTGGTGCTTTGGAGAAATTGGCATTATAAAAGACAAAGTTTTATTAGGCTCTCCACTCTCCACAATGATCTTTTTATAGTTTCGGTGTCTTCGCAGGACGCAGTTTGAGATCCCTTATCAACTTGAACACAGAGAATGAAATGCTTTCTCATAATGAAATGAATTTCATTATGAGAAAGCGCTTGCTTCGTACAATTCAGGCAGCAAGTATGATATTCACTAGACTTGTTAAGCGTTCAGCGGGCAGGAATTCCGTTAAGGGCTTATCGGGAATTAACGGGAAACGGAAAATTACCGGGAAATGTCAGGGCAAATTTAAAGATATTCAGCTAATGAAAATCTTTTCAGGGAGACATCCGCCTGAGAGAAGAAATGTGAGAAAACAGCGATTACATACCTTTTAGAGAAACACTCATTTATTCACCAAAATTTGTACGAATAACTGGGACTCAATACTAATGAGACATTATTATATGAATATTCCTGGAAACTTAAATGAATTGCTACTAATCAAATCTACTATATATAAAAGAGCAGTGTCTGTCTGTACGAGCTTTTCTAGCCGTCTTTGGGCCAAAAAAACCAAAATTTTTTTAAAAGGCTCAAAATATAATCTAGTTGTGCTATTTAAAATAAAAAATTAAAAGGGTAAAATTAAGTGGCACTACGGGGGTCGAACCCGGGTCGTGTGAGCCGTAATTAAGCGCGTTCCCGACTGCTCCCGACAAAAGCCAGTCTGGAAATAATTTAAATATTTTAAGCGCACTTTGCAAAATGAACTTTTAACCCATTCGAAACCGAAGCGTTTTTTCTTTTTTTTCGTCTGCGGACCAAGCCCTTTTTGACATTTTTGACTCCGAAGCAGTTTATCCAGATGGTTGGAAAGATTTACGAGAGTCTCCTACACCATTTATTTTTGATGAAGAACGATTTGGATTTGACTTCAGTACTTTTCAAGATCCTATCGATTATTATTCTTATTTTATCGACGACAAATTAATCAATATCTTAGTAGGCGAATTTAATAAACATGGAAAAAGGAAAACAAACTGGCAGGATATCGATGCAAAATCTTTCAAGCCTTCCTGGCTCTGTATCTTCAAATGGGAATCGTCAAATTACCGAGGATTCGTGACTACTGGAGTAGCAGGCCTGGATTAGGAGGATTTTCCCACATTACGTCAAGAGCAAAATTTGAATCTATTCTTCGAAACCTGCGCTTTTGTGATAATTAACTGGATTCTGCAGGAGATCGGCTTTATAAGATTAGAGCTATTATGGAACATTTCAATGCAAAACCAGAGGCTGCATTGATTCCGGGTAAACACGACACATCTTTTTGCCCACGTAATTTGTAGATCTGTTACAATTGAATATACATGTAATGCTGAAAACAAAAACAATTAATTGTGAAAATAGCTCAATTAGCGCTGCAGCGGTCCGTTCCTGAGTTTTTGCTGCAGCGATTATTCGCTGCGGAAGTTTCGAATGGGCTAAGGTTTTATCTCTTGAAATTAGCTTTATTTTTCAACACCTTTCGTTGTTTAAATTTTACTTTCAGAGGGTTCAAACATCTCACAGCCATTTTTCAATCATTATGAAAGAGTTTCCGTCGAATTTCCGCGACAATCAGGAACTTTTGTGTCACAAATGAAATCGTGAGTCCAATCTTTTTCAGAAAATCAAAAAGTCTAGAATTTTTTCCGCAAATATTCCTTTTTAATTTACGGCTTTGAAAATAAGATTTTCTGATCCAGTTCTTTTTTGGGTACAATTACTGGCGGAAGCCAAGAAAAACGTGGGTCTGTCGACTCGTTTCCAAGTTTTTTCCAATTAAGCTTCGATTTTGAAATTTTTTGAAGCAACATTTGTCAAAAATTTAGAACTTTTAAACTTTTAGAATCATTTCTGAGATGTACGCACCCGAGCCTCACGCATTGACTACGAATCCTCTTTTGACAATTATTGGTAGGTTGTTTGAGACTATTCTGATCAAAATTCTGTCAGTTGCGATTTGCAGTAAAAAAATATGAAATTTCCAAAAACAGAGTAGCTTTCTTTAAAATGCAATTCCGGATTCGAATTTCTTGACCCCGAAAATCCCCTGGTGCAAATTTTCAGCCCAATTGGCCTCAAAAAAAAGTGCAAAATCCACGAACGGGCGTAGCCGGTGAGCCGTATCCCCGCGAACGTGTTAAGTTTCTTTCATCTTTGAGAAATCTTACATCGTTAAATCAATCAATCTAATTTTATTTCCCTCATCACTTCAAAATCAAAAACAGATAATAAAATTACCGCCATGTATTTTTTACAAATCACGAAATACCCTGCATGAATCGTTTCCCGCAAATTCAATCACACCGGTCAAAATCACATTCGACACTTTCATCTTACTTTAAAAATGATTAATGCAAATACTTTTTATGCTCTCGTCGTGATAACAGTTGAATTGAGAGTGTTTTTCTTTAGAGAGTTCTATTTATCCAAACTTTGAGTTGTGCAAAGGGTTGCTGTCAATCAACGAGAAATCCTTGTTTAATTGAGAGAATTCTCCCCAGAGATTCCTCAAATGATTTCTTTAACTTGTCCCCTTTCATCCCATTTGTCCAAAGCTCGTGCGTCAACAATTTTCGTCGGAGTTTTACTTGAAATTCAACAAAAATATCTTTACAATTAAATTTTCACCTGTCTTGGTCCGCGGACCAAGACAGGTGAAAATTGGCTTTTTATATGTGCTGGATATTTGCTGATTTTTCGGTTCTATCTGAAATTCCAACGCAAAATCGATCTTAAATTTTACCAACACTGTTTTACATAGTTCAAGCTCGAATTTATTTACCTTTCTTGATTCTAAACTTATCAGCTAAGTACTCGCGTTCACTTGCGACTAATCCACCTTTTCGAGCAACGCTTTGAAGCTTTTGAAGTGAACTGTGTGAAGAGCCAAGTTAAAATCATACCCGATCTGGACTGGCTTGGCCTGTAGCCCGATTCCAGCTAAAATGTCACAAAAATGTGGCTTGGACCTGCTCGGGTTTCGCTTGTCTGAAAATCGACCCTAAGACTTGACCTGGTCCAAAAATTTTTCATTTGGATCACTCTTGATTCATGTGGCTTCCAAGTATCGGGAAAGCTTCATTTCGCCAAAAAAATATCCACAAATTAGTATGCATCAATTTTTATCAGGTTTAATTTCTATCACCAGACTCGAATTTTTGGAATATGTTGGATAACAAATGAGAAAAAATGTTACATATTGAAAATAAACGTCAACAAAATCCCTACCTTGTTTTGTATTATTTTAAAAACTAAAAGGATCGTAGAAGTTAAGATATCGGTTATAAAACAACCATAGATACGAACATAAGAAAAAGAAGGAATTAAACAAAGAAAATTTTCTAATTGGTGGATATTTTTTGGCGAAATGAATTTTTGGATGAAAAAACCGCCGCTTCATACATCTAAAACCAATCCCAAACGTATTTCGTTGTACTCACTAATTATACCTTTAGCAAACGTCGGATCTAGAAATTTCAAAGCAAAAAAACTTTTGATCCAAATCAGGTCGCTTCACCATGACAACTTTTGCAAGGAGGAAAGAACCCAAAGTCACTTTTTCTTGGAAACTTTCTTTTCATATCATTTTTCGATTAGCGAGACCGGGGTCTACATTTAAAAATTCGTTTCGGAAAAAACTTTGATAGGTATTCGTTTTTCACATTTTCCCACACCCACCCCAGCTTTTTTAGACTACAATTTTTTATTTTTTGGCGCAACTTTGCGGTAAAGTAAATTTCTTTCGATCACCTCATTTATTTTTAAAATTTTGTGATATTGATTAACTCTAAAAGTTTTGATAATGAGAAGTCGCTGAATTTTAAAATTAAATATTTGCCATTTGTAAATTTGCTCTTCCAGGAATGATATTGCGGCGATTGTTGATCAGCTCGGCTATTTCAACTTTCTATTTGACAATTTCACAAACGATATCTTGTCAAGTAATAAAAAGCAGTATTTTCAGCGATAGTTTACTTATTTTAAATTAGGAACCCATTCATAATAACAGAATAACTTTCAGAATTGTACTACTTCGAGCACTTGTTCCAACACGGATACCTGTTCAAGTCAGAATTGCTTCCTAGGTAACTTTTTGCTTGTACTCAATTCCTAGTTTTTACGATTATCCAAGGCTTGACCATTCTAATTTTTTAAAGGCCAGAATCTAACGTACCGTATTTATTCTAATAGAAGCGCAATCGACATGTCACTATCGTAGTCCATGAGCGAAAATGCAAGAAAAGCTACTGATTAAGCAATAATGAACTTTAGCAATGATTTTTAAGCAGTTCATGAAGAATTTCAGAAACTGAACTAAGCAAGGAAAATTCTTTGCTAAAGGATTCGATACTAAAATATAAAACGTCAAAATATATTGAAAGTTGTAAGAATTTTATGGCTCGACAAAATTTAATTACCTAATTTAAGTTATAAATTTGTTTCAAATAAGCTGGCTACCTAATTGCAAGAAAAACTTACCAAAATTGCCACTGCCTATGCAAAACAAATGTTAAAGAGTACAATTTTTTCTCAAGGAATGCCTTGTATATCCTAAGAGGCTCAAAACCCAGGGTATTCAGTCTACTAAGCTGAATCTCCATAGTTATTGCTTCTATTGGAGGCTGCGCTTCTATTAGAATAAATACGGTGCAAAAAATAAAGGTGAATGTGTAAATCTGTTCTGCAACTCATGTTTCAGTTTCCCAAGATGTCGGTACATGGATGACGAATGGATGCGTGACGTTGAATGGAACATCACCGCCAAATTACACAGTGAACAACGCGAGTGTGAATGGGATTTGCTTCTGGAGGGATAATAGCACGTGAGAGTCTTCCTTACTAAAACATGTCGCTAACCTCTTTTTTTTTCTATAAACGAGTTTTCAGGCGTATCTGTGCTTGTCGATCTCCTTTATGCAATAATCTATTCGATTCGGATAAATTCCCGAATGTCACGTACAATCCACTTCCGTCAATCGATATCGATGCAATGCTTAGTGTAAGTTTCATCAGTGCAAATGTTTTCAGCTAGCTGAACAATTTCAGCTAGCCGAACAAACCCCAATCACGATGGTGACAACGGTCGCCTCAACGACTCTCCCCGTTGCGGTCACCACACCGAAAGTCTCAGCTCGTTTCTTTTCACCAATTCATTTACTTAGTTTTTGTTTTCTCATTTACATTTATCCTATTCTATGAATAATTTTTAGCTTTTATGGCACATGTGACTTTAGCCACGCAAAATTTACATATCCTCCATTTGCATAAGATTTGTGTCGGCCAAAGTCTTAAGAATGTTACCAATTTTTTTGTGACTTTGGCCGACGCAAGTTTACAAATTTACATATTTACTGCAAAGAACAAGGAACTTTCCATCTGCTGCTTACTCATATTCACGAATTTACGGTTTGGGCTGTTTTTTTAAGACGCCGACAATTGACCTTTTATAAAGATAAAAAGGATTTAACATTCAAATCACTTTCATTAGGCTAATGTTCTGTTTGCTATTTGGCAGTCAAATGCAAATTTGCGATGCATGCCCAGACAAAATTGCGTCGACCAGAGTCACATTTACCGTTTTTATTTTCAGTTTACAATCTATAGGCATCGTTTTTGCGCTCATGGTCGGCTTTTTTTGTGCCAAAATGCTCAATTTATTCAATTGGTTCTTTTAATGAATGGTGAAAATTATTTTAACGAATAAAACAAGTGAAACAAGAACAGAAATCACACTGCGTTGGAGAAAAACAAAAAAAGGAGTGTAAACTTTGAGAGACAAAGAATGACATTGACACTCATAATGATAACCATTTCATGAACTTCCACCCAAAAATATCGACTTTTTTTGTGTTTTTTGGATTTTTTCCATACTTATTCGCTCAAGGACCATATTATCCAAATCATTGGTATGGCGCGAATCAGGTTTGCAGTCTTATTGCCATTTTCGTGATTAAGGTTTGCACAGACAAATACTCCTCAAGCATTAGACTCGCATCAATGAAGTCCATCACACTAAACCCACCAAAATGTGTTAGTGTTTTTGAAGAACATATTGTTTTAGGGAAACATTCGATCAGGTGTTGTCCCATCGAGAGAAATTTGGCCAAAGCCGGTAATTAATGAGGGTACTTTGAGGTGAGATTCTTGAATAGAGTGTGTCCTTCGTGTTTTCTAAAATGTGCCCCGAGAAAAATTTATATTATTTGTTGTTGAATACTTAAATAGAAAAATTTAAACAAAAATTTGAATATTTAGCAATTACGAAGAGAAGGGGGATTGGGGAACACTATAAAAGAGCTGCCCAAAAAAAAGGAAAAATTTAAAGCGAGTCGAACCCTCGACCTACAGCCTCGCATTCCGACACGTTATCCGCTACACGAAGCAACCATCTTTTCGTGGTACGCTCGCAAGCGTTATAAGAGAGGCCAAAAAACTTGTTTGTCAAATTCCTTGCGATTCCGACCTATTTAGCAAAAACAGACAGCAGGTTCGGAATCAGCGTAAAATTCTGCATTGGATGGTCTAGGTCTCATTTCGATTGGCCACCTTGATTTCGTGACCTTCGCTTGTAAGCTGAATAGCTGGCCAATGCGAGGGTGCGTTTTAAAAAATGCATTAATCGATTAAAATTTTAATCGTCCAACTTTAATCGATTAATTAATTAATCGCGGGGAACACTCTATTCTTGAGTGGCAAAGACATAGTCCCTAAAATAAATTTGTAGACCTCATGTTTGTGGCTTTAATCCGTACACCCGTCAATGCATGGATCCGGAAGGATACTGTCCAGGGAGGTTGGGATTGAACTCTTTTCTATTAACACATTCGCGACGACGGCATTTTAGGCGTGCTGTCGTCACTGTTTTTGGTGAACATTCAAAGATAAACTAAACTATTATAGCTCATTCGATAGCCCTGAATCTCCTCTTGAAAACTAGTAAAAGTTACCAAGAGCTTTCTGCAAAATGAATAACAAAAGTCCTTAAAAACTTGAGTTGACACCAAAAATATTCGTCATGTGAATATGTTAGTGCAAGAATTATGCACAATTTGTAGTACATGAAATTCTTTTCAGATGCATGAACTTTCACTATACTTACAACACGATTTATGAGTGTCGCTGTTTGGTAATTTGAACATAGAAAGTATTTTGAACAACATTTATTTATATTCACTCCACTCGTGTCCAATTTTTGAGATCAAATAAACTTTTTTTCTGATCAAATTTATCCTTGATTTCTTCGCAAGCAAAAACGCCAATATTTCTCGCATCCGTCACGGTATCTTGGTTGAGAGAGAAAGAAAGCATTATTGCAGTAGTTCTCTGCGTACCCCCTGAAATAGTTAGATTTGTGACCTTGTGGACTTTGTGTGCATTTTTACTATACAAAATACCCAGATTAAAGGATTCGATATTCATGATTTTCTCTTACCGATAAGCAGCACACAGTCTGGCGACACTTGTTCCCTTTGATTTTCTTTGTGGTAGCACTGGTTTTCCGGGTAATGGAACATGACAATGATCCGAGTAGATTGGGCAGAATAAAACAGCCTAGACAAAATGCATTACTGACAGTTGTTTTATAGTGACAAGGATTTTCCAAAAAGCAGGTAGCCAATACATCAGAGCCAGGCTAGTTGGCCTCAGGACTAGCTGCCTATGGTGGCTTTTGGCTGACCCGGATCATGCCAGACCAGATATACCGTGCTGGACTGGCCCAAATACTATCAGCCAAAAGTCTGCACTTGCTTCTGACAAATCTAGCTAATACCTTTTGTCCAAACCGGAAGGGATCCGGGCAAATATAGAGATATCGATTCTTGAATTCCTTGCAAAAGCTCGTGAAGTTGATTCTCTTTTTCTTTTTCTTATTTGTAGCTGTTGGTGCCGCGATGGGAATAGGTTCATTTTCGGAGGATTCACTGAATTCTTTTAATAAGAAAAACACAGATACTAAAATAAACCCGGTCTTTTTTCTAAATATTCTATCTTCAGCGTCCGCATCAGCCGCAGCTTCACCCAAAGGAGATAGCTCACTTTGAACACGAGAGTTTCTGGAAGTAAAATTTCATGTTGTAAAGCTAATAAGGCTCTGCCTTTTTATTATAGCAATTTGGTAGTACTTGATAAACACATGTTTGATTTAGGTATGCAAAAAAACAAAGCAACAATTAAGTAATCTCACGTGAGTGCCGGTGATTCCCCCAGCCGAACACAAATATTCTCGAAAGCTTGACAAAAATCAGGTTCTCGTCTTTCGTGTTCACATTTTTCACTGTACTCCTGACGAAGCTCATGACAAGCCACCTGAAAAGTTTAAGGCTATTTTTTGCTGACAACTATTTGATTTTATTTTGGCTTTCTCAAGTTTTACCCACTCGGTCCTTTTCACTAGCCGATTCAGTCGCTCGTTCCGTTCGAACTACAATCTGTGTTGGTGAGTCATCGAGATTTGGCTCAACTTTTCTAAAACCATTTGCTATTAACTTGGGGAAATGGTTTGGGTACTTGTTTATCTTTTCCCCGCAAAAACCAAATGATTTGCATTTTTGCGACCGCATTTGCATATCAAATTGCGAAAGAAAGATAAATAAGTACGCGGTAACGAACTTGTTTATCTTTTCTCTTCAAAAAACTAACATTACAAATGCAGAACGCAATCAAAATCAACTCGTTTTGCTCATTTGAATACTTTCACTGTTCCCAAAAATCTATCTTTTACACTTTTTATAAATATTGCCAACAAAATAGGGAAATTAGGTGGTACGTAAAATTTCATTGGCCGATCTGCGGGAAAAAATAAACAAGTACCATGGTTTGTTCTCTATTGAGCTAATTATGAATGGCAATGAGTCATTTTAGGCATAAACTGGGCTTATCTCTTTTCAAAAGGCTTACAAAAGGACTTACGCACAAAAGGGGAGACTCGGATCTCGATCACATCCCATTCCAACGATATCGAAACATAGCGATATGGTATATACAGAATAAAATAAAATGAGCACTCTCATTTGCAATCTGCAAATCACAGTATTATAAAAATAAAACAAAACCTAGAGTGAAAGTTCTGAACAGCAAAGAAAACAAATGATGCACAGAGAGTAATGCGCAAAAATCACGGAATATCTTTTGAAGGTTTGAGAGAAAATGTGAAAGCAACAAGAGAAACGGTTATTTCTGCGAGTCACATTGAAAATGGGAGTAACTTTGAATGCAAAAAGAAAAGTGATCGAGAAAATTCCCGTTTAGTTGGAAAGAGGAAAACAAAGAATAGGAAAAGGTTTTGGTGCGAACAACAAGTATCGACTCTTATCGGCTTTCCGGGTATTTTCCGGGTCGTCACACTTTGAAGGCCTATAACTTTACCCAGAAATAATATTATTGTTAACTTTTTATATCATTGAAATGAGGACACTTCAGGCTTTCGAATGACACCAAATACGGTTTGATTGGATAATCCAGCCCAGGAAAATCAAAGCCAACTCTGAGCAAATACAGCCAATCCAACTTGAGTGTGGTGTCGCCTGGTTTGCATGGGAATGAAAAATCTAATCAAAATGCATTTGGTGTCATTAGAAAGCATAAAATGTTTTCTATACAATGATACAAAAAGTTAGCAATAATCTTATCTCTGAATAAAGTTATAGACCTTCAAAGCGTGATGACTCATTCAAAATATTCGGAAACCCGACAAGAGCCCAAGTATCTTCAAAATATATTAAATGTTAAAACTAATCGAGGGTTTAGGAAAGAACTAACATTGCCGAATAGCCAAGGAACAAGTCAGGATGATGTGTACCGAAATGGAAAGTTATCGACAAATGTTTTCTTATAGACAGCCAGTGAAACCATTTCATGAGAAAATAGAGATCCAATCAATCATCCCTCCTTCATTTTCATTTCACTTTCCCTTCACCCACAAGTTCTTCCACCAATGCTAACCTTGAGCATAATAGTTTCAGGGAAAACCTCTCTCTTATTATTATATAATGTTCATATTTTAAAATATGTGTTTCAAGTACGATTTATTGAATAGAATGTGGCCTCTTTGAGAGATAATCGGCCATTTTCGGATGATTCTTCAATTTGTCTCGGTGTTGACGGATCTAAGCAAGATTTTCATATTGAATATGTTATTTTATAATATTTTGCTATAATAAAGTTTTAAAACCTTTGGAAATTGATCAACAAGATCGGGTACCCAATTTTTGAAGATCAATACATGGTTGAAGAGGAGAAGATCGGCGAATGTCAAAGAGTCTCCTACCTGAAAATGATTTATACGATCATGAGTATTAATTGTTAGTGACTGGTGGATCTTTTGATCTAACAACATCGATAATCAGGCCTAGAGTGTGTTCCGCGCGATTAATACGTTTTCTAAAACGCGCCCGGAGAAAAACTACCATAATCCCGTTGAGAAAACAGCTAGGGGGCTCAAAGTTGGGTTGTTGAATATTTTTGTCCTTCTGCTAAATTTTCTCCTTTTAGTATAAATTGAGTGGACGCTTCTGGGCGAATCTCTGACGATTCTCTCAAAAGCAACGCAATCCTGGCTATAGGCCTGCCGATAATTCACTCCAATGAGATCAATCAATTCGTTTAATATTAGGTTCGTGACTAGAGTGTGTTCCTTGTGATTAATGCACTTTCTAAGGCGCCCACTTCAAAAAGGTTACTCAAGTTATGTAAATTTGTCTTTTAAATGTCTTTAAATGTAAATTTAAACTTTTCATTCATCATTTGCAGGTGTTTTTTCTCACTATCAGTAGTGAGAAGTATTCGCATCTTTTCTAACATTCTTGCTAAATTTTCTTCGGATTTAGATTTAGATCCAAGAAAATCTGAAGGATAAACTTTTGCAATCAGTATAATGGCTTAGGTAAACCATTTATAATAAAATAATCGCAGTTTAAATCGCAGATGTTTTTGGACCAGAAGCTAATTTAAAATGAAAGTCATTCAATTGAAAAGAAAGAGTAAAAGAATTGACGCATTAATTGAGAAAAATCTTGATTATTGACCTTTAATCGATTAAAAATTTGTTGATGCAAATTTATCTAATTAATTATTTAATCACGAGGAACACACTCTATTCGTGACGAAGGAGTCGTTTGACATTTCTTCTCAACTTACAAGCCAGCCAGATTTCGTTTCATTCTCTTCTATGAATCGACTCATAATACCCATGAAAATGTCTCTTTCGGGCAAAAAGTTTGTTTTTAACAACTCATCCTAAAGTTTTTGTTCATTTGAGTTTTCTTTGGCAACTCACAAAATTCCCATCCCAATATTTGCAAGCAACACCGTAGAAGGGACGCACTTTAGTGAAGTAATCCTAAATTGTGGTTTCAAAGAATTTTCTGCAAATTAACATGATGGAGATCAGCAAGCGAGTCAACAATCGCCTTTTCCCAGTCATCTTTCCCGGCAAAACCTAAAAAAGAAAACATTTTTTTTATGTGAAAAGTTTTTAACACATTCGCGACGGCGGCATTTTGGGTGTACGTTTGCGTAGTCGTTACTGTTTTAATGATAATTTGGTGAAAATTTAAAGAAAAACTAAGCTATTATAGCTCATTCGATAGCCCTGAATCTCCTCTTGAAAACTAGTACAAAGTCGCCAAGAACTTTCCGCGAAATGAATAACAAAAGTCCTTAAAAATTTGAGTTGATACCAAAGCAGCCATTAGTACGGCCCACTGGTGGGCCAGATCGTCGTGAATGTGTTAAAGATGACCGTATTTATTTGCCACATAGCGATTGATTGCATTTGATTGTGCTAAGAGTTTCCCGTCCACTTCGAGTACCGGAGATTGTCCAAAAATAAAGGGGTGAGCTGAAAAAAAGGGAAACTGAACTGAACAGTTACAACTCATTACTGTCAATTACTATCATTTTCTCTAAAATATCTCTAAACCAAGCTCCTCACCGTTTTTTATCAACGGCCAGTCTTTAAAAGCGAATCTTTGATCAGTGTATTCGACATCACTCAACATAAACATCATCCTAACCGGTTCAGCTCGTCCATAACAATCGAAATAATGCAAAATATAGTGCACCATTTTGGACAAAGATTTGAAAATGTTTATCTTTGAAATAAATACGACAAAAATATATAGATGATTATAACCCAACGTGATATGTGAAATTCTTGGAGAAAACGAACGAAAAGGGTGAGAAAGCAAAAGGCAAACTACAAAAAACAAATAAAGAAAACAAAAAGAAGACAAGAAAACCCGAGGAAAGTTTCAAATTTATTAACAGTAAAGATTTCATTTTTCAAAAGTGCATAAGTTTGAGTTTGTTTTGTGAGTGATCAAAAGAGTTAAGCCAAATCTTTTGTTGAGACGAACTCGTACTCGTGGCGCGCCAAACGATTCCACAAAACGATCATCACCGCCAATGGAATTGCACACCTAAGCATGAGTACTTTGATCAACGTAAATTTTCGCTATCTGGCACACACTTTTGAATCAACCGCTGTACAATGTTATCTTTCTTATTTACACTCACCAAAGTCCATCAGCCACCCAGAAGACGACAAATTGAACGATCCAATTCGAATTTGGATTCAAATAGGGTCGAGTACCTAAAAATCTTGCAAAGTCTCAATTTATAGAATGACGAGCGAACCATCAGGTTGTCGAATATACATCACCATGTACCAGAAAGTTTTCCAGAAAACGAAAGCCGATGTGGTGAAAGTGAGGAGAACGGCGTGACGAGATTCACGACGAACCTGGGGAAAATTGGGAATGCTGAATGGTTGATTTTATTTTATCGTAGGACTTGATCTTCAGGTACTGATGCTAAACACATTCACGACGATACGGCCCACCAGTGGGCCGTACTAATGACTACTTTGGTATCAACTCAAGTTTTTAAGGACTTTTGTTATTCATTTCACGGAAAGTTCTTGCTAACTTTGTACTAGTTTTCAAGAGGAGATCCAGGGCTATCGGATGAGCTATAATAGTTTAGTTTATCTTTGAATTTTCACCAAATTATCCGATTCGCACTTTTAGGTATACCGGACCGTAAAAGTTTCAGTTTACCTGCGATAATTTTATGTTTAATTTCGTCAACTTAAATTTAAGGTTTTAAAAGATTTACAAATTACTAGAGCTCACTACAATGGGTAAGCCCATCTTTTGAGTGAATCGTTTTTTCCTCACCAAAATGAGAGCCGCCAAATTCATAATAATCTCAACAATCATGACTCTTCCTGTGGCCATCGTCACCAAATCGTCCCATTCTGCGTACCGAATGTCAACATCGGCATAAATGTTCCCTGAAATAAAATTTATAAAACATCTCACTAACTCATCTACTATATATAAAAGGGATGTCCGTCTGTACGCGTCCGTCCGTCTGTACGCGCGCGTTCTTGGCTTCCCATGGGCCGATTTACATGATTTTTAGTTTGTTAGGCTTAGAATTCTAATAGGTTGATGCATAAGTCTTTTCGTTTTTTTCGTACTTCTGTTAAAAAGTAACAAATTCACCAATTAATCTATAGTTTGCTCTATAAAAAAAGTGTTTTTTTGTTCAATTTGCATCTTTTTAAATGAATTTCGGTTCACTTTGAAGCAAATTCGAGAGTGAAAAACGCCTTTTTCGTAAAAATCTATACAAAACTCTACGGAAAAATTGGCTGAATGAATTTCTCTGAAATCTTGGCGAAATATCAAACTTTTTTTCTCTATCTTTTATCTATTGACACGAAGATAGGTTTTCTTTAGCTAAGGTGTCTAAACCGCATCATCGAGTTAGCCCTTTTTGACTACCCGACTTCATACTCTCAAGAAAATCCAGGCATTAAATATTTTTAAACCCGTTTTAATGTTATTTTGCAGAAAAATAATTGCTTTTTCTAATGAAATCAACCGTAGTTTAATTGGTGCATTTGTTGGCTTGAAACGGCAGACGAAAAGGAACAAAAAGACTCATGCATCAACCTAATATGTAGTTATGCATCTAATATTTCGCTTTTTAAAAAGCAAAAAGTCACAACACAGCTGGGAGTCGAACATGGGTCGTGTGGGCGTGGTCAAGCACGCTACTTACAGCGCCAAAGTTGAAAAGGTGAAAATAGCATTTACATACGAAAATTAGCAATCGAGTTATTTTTACAATTGCTTTTTGTTTGTTTAGTTTGCTTGGTGCGTCTCCTTCTCGGAGACGCTTTCCAAAATTTTTTGAAACAATTTCAGAAGGTCTCGCGGTTAATGCTAACCTCAACGTGTAGAGTTTTTCAACGGAAACTCTACGATATATAAAAGAGCAGTGTCTGTCCGTCCGTCTGTATGGGCGATAGCTAAATATCACTTACATGGCTCGAAAATTGTCTCAAGAAATCCGCCTCGATTTGTGTGCGGTCGAAACATCGTGTATACTATGTCGATCGTGCAAAGAATCTGAAAATGGGTTGGCAAAAGAATTTAACAAAGCTTAGTTTAGAATGGCAGTGTTTATCAAAGAAAACCTAGACATAATAGTGTTTTTTTTAAAACGAACCGAAGAAACGGCAAGCCACCATTCAACCCAAGCTGGGAGTAGACGGCCCCCGGCTCTCATCGTTCAATAGCTAAACTTAACTATGTCTGAGATCTGAAATCACAAATTGTAAAATAATCGCAAAAATTCAAAAAGAATCGTGGAAGAATCAAGCAAAGAACATGGAAAACGGAAAATACACAAGAAAAGAACGAAAGAAACAGACTGTCCTCCTTTTCCTTTCTTTTTCTCAACAAGAGAACCCCAAAAGGTGACCTAAATCCCGCATGTTTTAAACGTCAAGAAACATCGACACATGAAAAAAAGCTTTGTAAAACATTAAAATATAGTAATCCCTAAAATAAAAATTCGCGATTTCAGATGGGTATAACCGAATTTTCCTGAAAAATTCAAGTAGATCAAAAAAACAGTTCTGTGTTTTCAATTTCTGCTCAAAAGAGACTGTAGCAACAAGAGCACAAGGCAAAATCCCAAATCTCTGTGAAAAGCTCAATGGTTTAGATGCTCCAAAGTTTGTAATATTCGATATTTGCTGTAGATGAGTGCATGTGTCGGAAATGGTGGAGATCTGGTTGTGATTGAAAAGGAGAAAAAGGAACAAAAAGAAAGAGAAGACAGTCTCAGTCGGTCATTTCCTTCTTTTCTTTCATTTTCTCTTTTCCTCTTGGGTAAATATTAGGGAGAAAAGAGGAAAGATTTCCGGAGAGTGAATGGAAATGAGTGGAAGAAGTTGAGTGGACTCTTCTCTTCTTTTCTCTTCTTTTCTCTCATTCACTCTTTTTTCTCGTGTCGATACAAGACGATGAATAGGTCGAATTCGACACACCTCCTCTTCATCTCGATGATCTGTGAAAGTGAACGGCAAACTTTTCGTTTTCACAGCGGAATCTCGATTTTGGAGCTTGCCAGACGTTACCAAAGAAAACAACCAGGTTTAAATGTGTGATATTAAAAAAACAAGTTTTGATTGCAATTCAGAAGTAACTTTGATTTTCACACATTCTCGACGGCGCCGTTGTAGTTGTTAACTGTTTTATTGATAATTTGGTGAAAATTATCAGTAAAACAAAAACGAAAGAAGTGAAGCGAAAGATCCACTGGTGGGCTGTATCGTCATGAATGTATTAAAAACATCTTTTACACTTTTGAATTTACCTGATAGATAACTTTTATTGCATGAAAGATTCTGACAAATCAAAGACTAATTCGCTCAGGTGATGCTTCTCCAAGCACGAGATCTCATAAATTTCATCGGATTACTATAAAAAAGAGACCAATTTTCGGTGGTCAGCCAATATTCTCTAGAAACATTCAATGATTGAAAATAACTGAAAATCGATGCAATTTTTCTATGCAATCTTTGGAAATTGATTTCTAAGAGGAGGACGAGAAATGAAAAGAAAGAAAAACCGAGAAGAACATAGAAAATGACAGAGAGTTGACGGAGGGTGAATGCTGTTTTTGTTGGTACCTGTAATTTTTCATGTTTTCCTCTAGAATTATACTGAGGAACGAGTAGAGAATTTACTATTAAAATTTGTATTGCTTTTAAAATTTGAAGTGGTTTTAAAGCTTTTAACTCTTAATGAAGAAGTTACCTGTTGGAGGGAAACCTGGGGATATGTGGGATCATAGTGACGATCGACAGTCTGAAATAGACAGTCTAACTCTCGAATAATGCATTTCCGAATTCATTTCACGAACCTCTAAAGCCCCTTGTAGAGCAACGACCGCTTTATCGATCTTCTTCAAAATTTTCCACGGAATTCTCTTGTTCATAATGAAACTAGCCGGGAAGATCTATAATGTAAACTATTCAGTTAACTCGTTCAAAACCTACATTCTGATTTCGGATCACCCAAACATGTGAATCGTACTTCTGATCGGATAAAATACTGTAATCAGAGGTAATTCGCTGGCCGGGCAACCACGCGAACGCGACAAGGGGATGGGAAAACTGAAGACTTATTTAAAGTTATAGAGCAAAATATTGGTAAATAAACTTTTTTGATAAACTGCTCATTTGCCAATTGTTGATATGGGCCAATGATTGGTGGGAATTTGGTGAAGATCTCTTGGAAAATCGCTTCACAATGATCGAAATATTCGAACGGACAAACGGGGAGTGAAGTGGAAGTGGAAGTCAGCAGATGGTATTCGCCGTTTCTGGAAAATTCACTACGACAGAAACCCAAGTTGAAGATATGTACCCAGCATAGGTCATCTTTCTTAAACCAATTTTCTGTATGAATTCGGTCTTGTAAATCTCATAAATTTACTCAAAAAATACTGTAATTACTAATAAGAAAATAGGGTTTAAACGTCTACCTCAACACCTCCAAGAATCCGCGAAAATCGGTGAATGGAAGTTGAATGTTGTCAGAGAAAATCAAGATTTTCCTCAAATTTGACCCATAATAATCGACAAAGATTCGCAGAAAGATCATTATCCAAAAAACGGTGAAAAACTGGTTGGAGAAACTGAAAGGAAAGTGACTCATTCACTTACACGAACAGAATAATATCGAGAATGATATCCAGTATTTGTTGATCCATAAGTATTCTCGGTGATTGTCCATAGAACTGTGTAAGTGGCGTTGATGAAAGTGCTGATAAAAAGATTTGTGATTATTCTTTGCATCGTACCTTGTTTTTGACTCAATTCTTCCAAATTCGAAACAACGAAAAAGAATATAAAGAAAGTTGATGAGGAGAAAAGTTCCCAACAAAGCTAGCCAAACCTGAAAAGCTTGCTTTTGTGGTTATTTAAGTGTTGCAACCTGTAAAGTGAAAGGTCGAAATAAAAAACTATCGAGAAAAACGGGCAATGAGTCGTCACGAATCATGAAGACCTGAAAAATCAATGCGATGTTATTTGCAACTATATAATCTGAATCTTCAATACTACCAGAATTTACCAGAAACAGTCGACAGGTGGTTGAAAAGTTTTTATCGGCATAGAGGATAGCGTTTTCAAATCGAGATTAGAAATGGTTAGAACAAGCAAACTTTAGTACCATAAAGAAACAAAAAGCTACCTCATATCACAAACATTTCAGCACAACAGGCTTTTGGGTGTGCTTAAATTTATCGCGCGTTGTAATGTTGGCAATGTCTGGTCGCAAGTGGGTTGTTGCATCTCGCTGTTGAAGATTTTTAGGGTAAGATTAAATTTAGAGTTTTATGCATATCAGAAGAGGAATCACTTTCCTTTAAAATAAACCCTCAGAAAGCCATGTTGATTTTGAAATAGCTATTTCAAGACGTTTAAAAAGTTCTAGTCAAATGCAAAAGTCAACAGAGTGATCCGAGTTGACTCGAAAATAAGGCTCAAAAATGAGATAAGCCAAGATCCACTCAACAAAAAGCTTAACTAAGGGAAAATAATAAAATTTTTAAAATCCAACGTTCTATCTATTTTCAATCTCAATTTGGAAGTTTTCGCCATGCCGACAGAGCTTTTCAGCTTTTCAGAACTTTCAGAGCTTTTCAGCTTTTCAAAACTTTCAAAGCTTTTCATTATTACCCACCTGAGTCACTTCGTATTGCGATGGAAAAGAGAAATGAAAGAATTTTCTCCTCTCGGGACTCATCACCATTCTTGCGCAAATTACATCCCATTCCTCGTTTTTCAATTCACCCAATAAGCCTTAATGATTAAATGCTAAATGCAGTTCAACCTGTTCTGAATGTATCAGTTCACCTGTCGCATTTCCATCAGCAGACACTATTCCAACCGCTTCCGGTGTCAGAATCAACTCGTAGGACAGGTTTGCAAACTGAATTTGAACAAAAAAACAAAAACTCAGCCTTCAGGATCTTTTAAATTTGTATGAGAAAAGCTTTGATCATAAATTTTCACCTTGAAGATCATCTCACATTGTTCTATTTCTAATCCATAATTGTTTGAGCGATCCGAATGAAACATGAAATGTGGCCCTAGATATTACGAAGCATTTGGGCTTTTTATAAAGAATGTACACGAGATATGTTACCGTGGTTTTTAAGTTTTTTTTTTAAATACACGCTTTACCCCCATTGAGTATTGTAGTGGGAACGGCGACACGAAGGGGTCTCTCCATAATTTTATCTATAAGTGTTTCATTGATACTTTTTATAGAAAATATAACAATTTTAATACATCTTTAATGTAGTCAATACAAATACAATATATCTTGAGAAGTTTTTTAAGAAATGTCGGTGATCGAAACATAGACACGGAAAAAAACGGGGGTTTGCACGGATCGGATTACTTTCTGATCACTTATTCATCCAAGCATCAGCTTGAAATAGGTAGAATAAACAAAAAGAAACATTGAGAAATGTACAACGAAATACTAAAAGAATAGAGGCTTTTTGTTTTTCAAAGCTTCCACCGCATAGATCAGTCGAGAAGGCCACGCTGAAATTGGGTGAACTTTTGCAAGCTATGTATGATTGGAGTTAGAGTCTAGCATTAGTCGATTTAGTTTAGTTGACTCTTATCGGCCTTCCGGGTATTTTCCGGGTCGTCACGCTTTGAAGGCCTATAACTTTACCCAGAAATAATATTATTGGTAACTTTTTATATCATTGAAATGAGGACACTTCAGGCTTTCGAATGACACCAAATACGGTTTGATTGGATAATCCAGTCCAGGAAAATCAAAGCCAACTCTGAGCAAATACAGTCAATCAAACTTGGGTGTGGTGTCGCCTGGTTTGCATGGGAATGAAAAATCTAATCAAAATGTATTTGGTTTGTCATTCGAAAGCATAAAATGTTTTCTATACAATGATACAAAAAGTTAGCAATAATCTTATCTCTGAATAAAGTTATAGGCCTTCAAAGTGTGACGATACCCGGAAAGCCGACAAGAGCCGATTAGTTTTTGGTTTCTTAATTGAGTTTTTTCCTGAACAATTTCTTACCGAAACCCCTTGTAGTTTGAGTAAACGAAATCGCTGATTGATACAGTGCTCAATTTTGTCAGTCTCTTCCGGAAAGCATTGTTCACCCATCGATCTCCACACATCGATCAACTCTCGATCACTGAATATCAATAGAAAGTTCGACAACCAATTTTTGCCTTAAATATTTCTTTAACTCACATAATCTCGACAAGTTGTGCTTGTTTTTGGTGTGACCTTCTCAAATGGTCGGTTGCTTGATTTCTCGCAGAGAATTTCGCTTCACAGTGCGTGCATTCATAACTCTAAAACTGAGGAGTGAGACTAACTCAAAGTGACCGGCTTAATACAATGCTAATTGTAAGGATACGAGTAGTAAGAAACTACAACTAATTGTCAGCGGGGTAAGAAATACATACGGATAGACTAACGACTGATTTCTGCTACTTTTCCCCAAACACCAACCCTTCTCCAGCAGTGTTGTGCAATGTGATCAAAGAGCCGACTTCGATCCGATAACATTTTCTCGTTACACAGCTGCAAAAATTTGTTTATTAAGCAAAAATTGTTAAATTGACTGATTTTGCTTTAGTAAACATGCATTTTGGATAAAAATAAGAGTGAGACTGACAATTAAAGACAAGACAAGGGTGAAGTTTACTGTGAAATAGTAGGCTACCTTAATGCTTAGCTAGTCATTGGCAAAAGCAAGCCATTATAAATGGTGAATAATCGATTGCTTTGTGGTACAGTAAAGCTACCGTAATCCCGAGATCTACACTTGTTGTTTAGCTACAGTATAAAGTCTTGTTGAGCCTAAAGCATGAATTGTCAGCAAAATGAATTTTAAATATTGTTGTGGGTGAGCGGAGATTAGAGATTTCAATGGAGATAAACTGAGCCCCTTATTTAAGAATTCACAACTGCATTTGAAAACTTTGAAACTATTTGAAAAAATTTGCAAATTTCCAGCACCCACCATACACGAGACGATTGTTGCTCTATTTGACTTGCTAGATTGACGGTGAAAACCCTAAAAACTATTTTTTATCAAAATTCTGTTCACTTTCAATTATTCAAATAGAAGTGAATAGAATTAAATTCGACAGAAAAGTGGATAGAATTAAAAAGTACGGTAAATTACAGTATTCCTGACAGATGCCAGATTTCAATCTGATCAGATGAGCAAAAATTTCTCTAGACGGCCCAGAGTGTGTTTCAGTCACTAACTGGCAACCAGATTTATTTCATTTTTCGTTTGCTCTTTAATTTATCAAGTTAAATTTCTATGTATCTTGCTTTATTTCTTGAAATTTTTGATTGCAAACCTTTTTTTTGGTCAACTCCTCGATGTGACTTTTTATAACGGATTTCCTCGTCGGGAAACATTCTTTCACCAGCGAGATCCAGTATTTATCCAAATTTTTCTTGATTCTAAAGCTTTCTTTAGCGCTTTTGAACTTTGATCGTTTGATATTTTTAGTTGTTTTCAATAACTCTAACAAACCTCCGATCAATCGGTGATCCTTGTCCTTTATGCAATGAGTGAATGTGTTTTGTGACCTTGATTTCACTTTGGCTTCTGAATTTAACACATTCACATTTAACACATACGACCTACCGATGGGCCGTACTAATAACGATTATTTTTGATATCACCCCAAGTTTTTGAGGACTTTTGTTATTCATTTCGCAGAAAGTTCTTGTTAGCTTTGTACTAGTTTTCAAAAGAAGATTCAGGGCTATCGAATGAGCTATAATAGTTTAGTTTATCTTTGAATTTTCATCAAATTGTCAGTAAAACAGTAACGACTACGCAAATGTACACCCAAAATGCCGTCTTACCTGAAATCACATCTTTCGCATTCCCATCGAATCGCTTCTCTGTCGTGCTTTCCCATATGAACGAGCATCGAGTGAGCACTCATCGCATTCACCGTTTCCGAGCATATCTTCAAAAAAAGGCTTTGAGCTAACTCTCGACACATCTCAAACCTTGCATTCTCGTTGCTTAAAACTCTTCGTGTGTACATTGAATCGTGCCGCGAGTCTGTCCTCATCGTTTTCCATTGAACAAAACTCCAATTCATCCACTTCTTCAATGTAACTCTAAGCAAATTTTGTCACAAAGTTGAATCTTTTTTCTTACCTCAGCCATACTCTCATTTTTTCGTTTATGGGGAGAGTTTCGAATTGGCGTAGTTTGGCGCACGACTTGATCTTTCTGAAAAGGATTTTTATGCGTTTTGTAAATTCATTAGTTCTAAGTGATTTTATGCTTTTATGCATAGTTAAGTTCGTAAGGTATGAGTTTAATTAGGTATTATTTGATATGCTACTGAATTGGATCACCTCGAGATCGTCAAAAACGAGCGGGCGATCATCGACGAGTAGTCCATTCATTGCATCATAGTCTCCCTAAAAATTCGGATATAGTCAGTCTATTAGATCAGTCAGTGATTCGTGAGTCAATGATTGAATCAATGATTCTCATGAAAACTTGGCTAGTTAATTAAATTTTTGTGCTCATTCTTTTTTTTTACTCTTTGGCATAAGAGGAGTTTCTGTGGAAAAAAGGTGTCTAAATTTCATCTTTGAGGTATCGCTTTTTTTTGAGTGCTCGGTTTTTCTAACATGAAAAAACGCAAAAAAGTAAGCTTGACGGATATCCCGAAATTTCTACTAAACGGATATCCCGTTTAGTGGAAAAATGAGTCACCTTTTAAATTATACAAATGACAACTTATTCGAAGCAATCCTAACATTCAACAATTCAACTCTGAAGTTTTGACTCATTAATTACTCACTGCTCTAATATCTACATAATAGCTACGTATTTTTTAAAAATTCACCTGAAGGATTTCACGAAGATTCCGCGGAGCTTTCGGAAAGTTGGGCACTTCATTAAAACTTTCTCGCAACGGCCTTGCTTTCTCCTTTGAAAGATTCAAATCGCAATTTGATATTGATTCGGTTGCCTGCTTTTTAAATAACGTTGTAGTTTCTTTTGACGATGACGACGATGGAAATAGCTTGTCTGAATAGCTTCGCACATTAAAATTTATGTCTTGATTAAAAAATCTATTTGAAATTTGGACAAGATGGTCTTGATAATTAAGTCAAGCATTTATCTGCCTTACCTGTGAAACTCGTTGAGAACTGCTTCAGAAATGAGAAGGCCATTTTGGGCGAATAAACGCTCTTAACGATAATCAAAAGGTTTTAGCCAAAAAATCTTGTTGTACACATTGATATCTCCAAATTATTCATCACTTTTGGGAAAGTTTCAGCAATGAATTGTCCTCAAAACATTCTCATCATCTCTGACTCTCTCCTTTTCCATTACTTTCTATTCAAATTTACATCTGTTCGCAAAATTTCCCATCGTAAAATCTTCAATTACTAATAGTAGGATTCCATTAACTTTCTGAAGCATTAAAGATACATTCTTTTATTCCGGCATACTACAGTTTTAGAGGCTCTTAAAGATTCTCATAGTCAGCATTTTTTGGTATTTGAGTCAAATCTGTTTGTTCTCCAAATCTCGACAATAATCACAACGAGCATCGGCTGATTTGTAGATATTGTGTTGGGTGTAGTAACTGTGAACATTGTAACAAAGAAATCGTTTAACCAATCCATAGTACAACACATCAAGGATCGGCACCGTTCAAACAAAATAGCGCCAAATTTTTCAATAAAATTTTTTAAAGATTTTCTTTGCGTCATCAATAAAATATTTTGTTGACCCTTGCTTTCCTCGACTCTTCATAATGAAATGATTGCAATGCTTTCCCCCAATCACCCACGCGTTTCTCTTTTTTTTCTCTGTTTCCCCAAATTTCTTTTACCTCATATCCATCAGCCTTCCGTGAAATGGGCGGATCTGACGATGATTTCCTTATATAATATCAAATTAACAAGGATCCTCATTTGTTTCTCAGTTTTTCCGCCACAATACCATCAATATCATCGTGATTTCTTGAATGTTTTTCAAATCTTTGACTTTTCTCTCAATCTTTTTGATCTCATTTATCTCTCATTTTCGTATCTCAAAAAGGGGCCTACGGTGGTTAAATGGACAAAAAAAAGAAAAAACTAAAGATTACCGTAGTTTCTATAATGAAACCTGGCCAAACTATTAAGTTGGAACATAAGTCTTGATCACTTTTTCTACTTCTGTTTAGGAATGAAAACGCTACTAATTAACCTATGATTTGCTCCAAATAGAAAATGTCATTCTAGTTTTTGGGTCGATTTGGGTTAGTTTCTAAGCAAGTCCGGGTGTAAAAACTAATTTTTCATGCAATTCTTTAGAAAGCCCTACAAAGAAATTGGTGAAACAGATCAGCCTGAAAGGTGAAACAGATCAGCCTTAGCTATATACCCAACTTTTTATGTTGAATCTTTTCTTTAGTGACACCAAAATTGATTTCTTTGAACAAAGTGCCTAAATCATCGAGTCTTATTCAAAAATTTCAGAGTTTTTCCAATGGAGCGTCGATCATTTCGTGATCTACTTGCATTTTGGTGAGTTCCATTTAAAGTTCGGACTTGATTCAGCCTTTGTATGATAGCTTTACAACTAATTTAAAGAATATTAAAGGAAACGATGTTTTGATGGCTTTTTTTGTTGTACAATCTTCAAATTTCAGGCTATTCGGGATGTGTTCAAATTTTGGCTATGTTCTGATGTTGACCGGAGCAAAGGATATGCTCACAAAATCGACCGTTTCGACGACAACGATCACAGCGATCTCCACGCAAAAATGCTTGGTTCGAGTTGTACCGCTATACCAACATTATACCTTTTAGAATCGTTTAAAAGAGGTGTGTTTTAGAAATTTACGATTCACACCTAGCAAACTCCTTTTTTAAAGTGAAGAAAATTAAGAGCTCGTCAGAAAGAAAGAAATCTTCAGAATTCGACAAGCGATTTCCACTGTGAACCCATTTCAACAGGAGCCGTTCTCTTGTGCAATATCGTGCCGGCCACCGTTGTGCAACTCATTTTCCCAATCTTCATTCACCGGATCCCATATTTGTAAGTGGAATTTATCATTCTGGAATACTGTACACATTTTACAGTAGTTAAAGTATGCCGATCTTGTTCCCAACAAAGGGTAGACTCTTGAGTTTACTGTAAAAAGAGGCTAAATCCTAAAGTCGATTCACTTAACTCAACCATTTTACAACTATCAATAAACACCAACCGAAGGTCTATCAAGTTCTATCCCGATCAAACTATCTCGTTTTTCCCCTGAAAATAGCCTGACTCATTGGGTTTCTTTTCGTCCAAGTCATGCAGTGCAGCAGTGTGGAGCAGTCAACGGGCTCAATGCCAAATAGAGAAAAAAGCGATGATAAAATGAGTGGATCATTCAATCATCCATCAATTTTCATTTTCAATTTCCCACGTGACTCTTTTTTTCATTTTTTCGTCATTTCTCACACCATTTGAAACTAGAGATTTCTTTTGTGATCTCAAGGATTTGTCAAGAGGACATCTCAAGGCCGTACCGTACCTAGCATCATGTGCGGATATCGAGTTTTTTGGAAGAAAGCGTTCAGAAAAACATTTCACGGAGATTTGGGTTGGCACTTTTGGCTAGATTTCTTTTTGGAGAATCGGGAAAATTGATATCGGAAAAGGAAATTGAACGAGTGACAAACGGAAAGACATGGTTTTTAGGAATGTAATGAAAATACGAAAAAATAAGAAAGTTTGATACGAAAAAACTTGATATTTGGATGTAACCAGCGGATCCTTATACTTCCAGGGTTCATCAAAACGGATACGCTTGTTCAGAACATAGTTGAACCATAAATGAATCCGGTGGTGAGCCAAAAGCAAACCAAAAGCAAAAATTATTTTATGGTAACGGTAGAGTGGATCCTTTTTAACACATTCGCGACGACGGTATTTTGGGTGTACATTTGCGTAGTCATTACTGTTTTACTGACGATTTGGTGAAAATCTACTATATATAAAAGAGCAGTGTCTGTCCATCCGTCCGTCTGTACGCGTTTTTTCTCAGCCGCAAAGTGATGTAACAAATATGAATTTAGCATTCGAATCCTCGCCATCTGCATCACTCAATTGTTCTCATTGATCGTTGCATCGGCCGCTTCATCAATCACCGTCACTTTATTTGGTACGCAACAAATTACGTATAAAAACTATGTACTATTTGGTAGTTTCCTATACAAATCTAAAACCTTTTGTGTATTAATCCCCGTAATCCGTTTAAAACAACAAATTTTGACAATTGCTAATGCAACTGTTTTCAGTATCCTTATTAGCTTTAATGTTGCACAAAAATTTTTAAATCTGTAACGTAAAAGACGTCTAATAAGTGCCTTTTTTATATCTATATGAATATTCAGCCGTTTCCGTTGGCAGCATCTCGTTTGGAATCGGTGAGATGACATTTTTGGCTCTCTCATCAAAATATCACAAGTGAGTGGAGTTGTTGGTTCGTCCTATTAGGCTGTCCAGCAGGAAAAGACTTTTTGAACAGCCTAATGATTGCTTGTTTATAAAATTCGAAAACCAAAAAGGAATTCAGAGACACGATCTCGTTGTACTCATCTGGATGTGGGGCGGCAGGGATTATCGGTTCATCGATCTATGCTTTGGCTACAAGTCTGTCATTTTCCCGACGATCAAGCTAATCACTTCATTTTTAGCAAACCTCAATATCTCTCCCGATTCGGTACTTTTATCGATGACTATTATTCCCGTCGTTCTCCTCGTTGAGTAAGTTTCAGAACTTTGACTGGATGGTTGTAAACAGAATACCTAATTGTGTTATGTTTGGATATTTGCTGATTAGAGACAGGGATTTTTCGACTTTTTTCTCCTTTTCAGTTATTTCTTCATTCTCACGAAAGTTCCCCCAATCGGAGTGAGTCAAAAAGTGCTGGCCCATATGGAGCATCCACAAAATGAGGCAATGAGTATCGAGAAAGCGATTATCAAATCATCCGTCGATCAACTACCCCAAGGAAAACTCCAAACGATCATTGTATGTTTGAAAAACCAAAAAAAATTACTATGCAAAATTTTAGAAAGTGATTCCCTACGCGATAACGGTCGGTTTGACTTATTTTCTGTGCTATTTCATCACGCAAGGAATGGTCAGTTTCCTATAAAATTTAAAGCGAAAATATCTTTTAACAAAAAGATACCTAAGCTTTATTTTTCACAACATTTTTACTGTTTTTTCACCAACTTTATCCCGAGTTCACTTTTCAGACCACATTCCTTGTGTTCACGTGTGCTCTTGGATTTGGTCTCTCACCAAATGCCCAATTCCGTTGGTACCAGGTTAGTGCAGCAAAAAAGGATTTCTAAAATCGGCAAATTTTAGGTTTTGTATAATTTGGGTGCTTTCACGGCCAAATCCACGGGTCCTCTTCTTCCAATTCATCGTTTTGTGCTCTTCTCGATTCCATTGGCACAGGTATGTTTGATAAAGTGTTACTACAAAATATAAACACAAATCTTAAGTGTAGCTTACGCTAACTGTAGTAAGCTGCGTTGTATTATAGCTAACTTAAACTAGACTTTGAACTACTGTCCAACAGGACAGTAGGCTTTGGGCTGGTTCTCCAGGCCAAAGCCATGGCCTGACCCGAAAATTTGGTCCCAGGACCAGCCCTGCTGTCTAACCTAAGTTGCACTAGAATATTTCGTCTAAAATCTTTCTATTTCAGCTTTTCGTCTGTGTATTATTGGTGCTATCGGCATTACTCGTGATATCTCTTCCCCATGTGAGCATGGTAATGTTCTCAATTTGTTTCCTCGGATTGACGAATGGATTCGCTTACATCAACTCGTTCAAACAAGTGCACAAAAAGGTAAATAGGACTAGATGCTAAATGTGCAATGTGCCACTCTTATTCTATTGAGAACAATAGTTTTATTTTAATCTATTAGTTTGTAGGGAAAGTAATGCTATGTAGGAAATGTAAAGTAAAATAAAATGTAGTGAATGTAGGGAAAGGGAATAATTTTTCTCGGAAATGAATAATTGTAGAGGTTTGAATAAGTAACAATCTAAAGGGGTAAAGTCAAGACTTTACGTGACGAAAAGTTGAAGACTATCCCAATGAAGATGAGCTTTGTCATCTTGGCTTTTTCGCCATTATGTGGGGAGCGGATCCTTGAAGTATCATGACGAGATTCCACAAGAACTTGATTCACCCACTCGAATTGCTCACCCCAGAGTTCAAGTGATGTTTAGCCTAGTTTGGGCAGTTTAAGTAAACGAATAAACTGAGTAAACTCTACAACTCTACATTTCCCTACAACCCAATAATTTAGACGCATCCAGAAGATCGTGAATTCGCCCTAACAATCACTTCTCCTGCCTCATTTGTGGGTATCCTTATCGCCGGTCTTGCCGCTCTGCCTACCCATCAAAATGTGTGCAGAAATTTGTATTCATAAAAGACGCATTTATTAATGCAAATTAAACTTTTCATCTACTTTTTGAACTTAATTTTATAATTATTGTACGAAAAGGTTTATGGTACAAGTTTCTTTTGCATAGGATCTGTTCATTTATTCCAACTTGACGGTTCATTTGTTCAAAATGCCTTACCCTTGAATGAAAATGAACGACTTTGCTCACTTCGATATGCTTATTATCATTGATGTACAAAAAGCTGACAATTTATTTTCAATATTGATGACTCGTTTTTGTTGTACTTGTACATTGTTTTGAGAGTTCACATCCTTTTGTGAGTGTTCAAGTAAAAAAATTTCATTTATCCCATAAATATGCAAAAATGCCTTTTATCAATAAAGCAAAAAAACTTTCTCAAAATGGGAAAGCTCCAAAACTTCCCCTGAATACAAAATTTGCACCTATACGGGCTACCTATTATTGTGAAATACCCCTAGTGGCTTTAGGGGGGAAAGGATGAGTCGATGGGATGAGTGGGGCTGAAGGGAAATGGGACAATGGTCTCCGTCGGTTGGTGTGTGACAAGGTGTGAATGGCATCTAAGAAGCAAGAAAGGAATAGAGAAGGCATGGAGATTCCAAACGAGAAGCATATAAGAGAAGGCACATCGGGGTAGCTATGGAAATGGGGGTGAGGGGCGACCCCGGGGGGGTCTTCCCCCAAAAAGATGGGGATCTGGAGAGGCCAAGAGGGCGCTCCACACCCACCCACATAAAGACAACACTCTCTGTGAAGGGAAATGGACTCTCCCCCAGGAGGAGGCGAAAATGAGGAGCAGTCCAACGAGGGGATCGGCAAGGGGGTCCTTTGGAGGGAGTCCCCGCGAGGGGGTGCCCGGAATGTGCAATGGAAGAAGCACCGAGACAACACAACCTATCCCCTTCCCCCTTGCCTCACCCCTCCCTTCCCCATCCTCCTTCAGCCATCCTTCCGGCACTTCCCCTCCTCACCACGACACCCCATCTAGAGTCGCCTTCCCTTTTTTTCTGGGAATCTCGTGCCTTTTTAAATAGCTTCTTTTGGTAGGTACTAATAAAGCATGTTCTCCAAAGTTTTTTCTAAAACTTTCAAAAAATCACCATAAGCTTGGTTCTAGTTCTTATCCAATCTATCTACGTTCGGTCTGGTTTACAAAAAGCACAGCAAAATAAGTAGATTTATTGGACGAAAAGCTAGTGACAAGGTTACGGTAACAATTCAATTACTTTATGTTTGTGTTTAGAAATCTTCAGTCAAGGCTACAACTTCTCCTGCAACTTTAAACTTTCAAACCTCGATGAGCGAAGTGATGAACCCTTTGGCCTCAAGTTTTCTTGCGTCGATTCAAAAAATGCTGGAACTCAATCATATGGTAATAGTACAGAATCAAAAAAGTCAAACTATAAAACATTCAGACTTGAACTATAACGAAAAGATATGAGATAAATGTCTAAAACTGTTGGGTCTAAAAAGCGAGCTATAAGCGAACATTATCAAATTTGTTCACCGTATCCGATTTCCAGATCAATCCCAGTGCGAATTCAAGGGAGATCGCGTTGGCCATGTCCGCGCTGGGAAGTATTCAGATGCAAAATGTTCCCCGCGAAAAGGTAGCTCCTTAAATTTCACTTCAATAAATCCGTCAAATTCTTTCAGGAGCTCAAAAAAGTCAATTTGGAGCGAAAAATTGAGAATCTAATGAGAACGAAAAATTTGGAGAAAGAGGATGAAAATAAATTTGGAGGCGATGAAGCGGTCCCATCAAACACTTCAAATGAAATGTAAATGAGATAAAAAGTCAGCATTTAGTCAAAATTTTAGATCTCCAAGTGTTTCACAAATAAAAACCGTTGATGAAGTTGAGCCGAGACGTGGAGTGGAACCAATCTCGAAGCCGTTTATGTGTGATGAGTGCGGGGCGAGGTTCACAAGAAAAGCTGGTTAGTCAAATAGCTTTTAAAGGAGATTGTTTTTAGTTTTTTCTTAAATCATTAAGTAAGATGCTTAAAATATCTCAAAGAAATACGGAGAAATTTTCAGGGATGCGTCGCCATAAATCGTCAGTGCACAGCGCTGATCGGATTCCATGCCCTTCGGAGAATTGCACTCTTGGCTTTCGTTCGCATAAGGTTTGGAAATTAAAAGAGATAAAAAAGATTAAAGATAAAAACCAATCTTTGATAAAATATCTTTAGCCATCTTTGGCATTCTCACTTTGTAATCATTCAAATCTATTCTTATATTATAAAACGCAAAGTTTGTGTGTGTGTGTCTGTCCGTTCACCTCATAACTCGAGTCCCAGTGGGAATTTCGGTCTGATTTTTTGGGACAATATGTAATCGACTACGGCGGTTTGGCCTGTCAACAAATCAGAATCGAAATAGTCTTGCATTACTAAAAATTAAATTACAATCCGCATTTCAGTCTTTGGAGCAACACGTCCGCTCCACGCATTTGACGCCAAAAACTTCAACTGATGAGCGAAAAAAAAGAAATCGGAGTAATCGTCCAAAATCATAAATAAAAACTGCTTTATTTGGTGATTTTTTTTAGACTCTTTGCTTATTTCTTTGTTGTTAAATGTAGTCATGAAAGAAAACTGTGATTCTTCGCGATGAGATTTGTCTCTGGGTTTATCGAAAAGTGTGTACGATTAGGGTTTCAATGGAAAGTAACTCTTTAGAAAGCTATTCTCTTGTGTGTGTGTTTTTTTTTACCAAACACAGCTTGAAGATCTTCTTTTGCAAATTTAGATAAAGTTTTTTCAATTTAACAATCAACTTTTGGGTACACTTTGCTGAAAAAAAAGCTATCCATATCACAATTCGGACAACAAAAAGAAAAAATTTCAATGAGAATATACACATATTTGTCGAGTACCGTAATCAATCGGGAAATCCTAAATATTGACCTGGATTGCACAAAGACAAAGAATCAAAATCAAAGAGAAAAGAAGGACCTCGAAATTCGGCAACTTTGGTAAACGTGCACATCCTTTACCCACAAAAATGAAAACAAACGGTCGCTTTTAACGGTTGACATTTTTTAGTGAATAAAGAGGGAAACCAGTGTGCTAAGGAGTGCACGTTGACAGATCGCAAGCACAAAGTGCCAACCGGATTTTGATAGCTTTGAGAAATAGCCAAAAATGATAATCACTAGCGGTATTATAGAACACTGATATAAAATTTACTAGCTATAATTTTAAAATTTTCAATATAGTGCTAAACACAATCCTCTAGCTTGAACCGAGTTTCAAAGTTTCCATGTCGTTGATCACCGCTTGAGAAGTATTTACATAAGAGCGAGCCTGAAAAGAAGGTAATTTCGGGATTGATTTATTAACTGGCTGTTTCTCTTATGTTATAGATTGTATCATAGATATGCATATTAAAATTCAGAATCAGAAATGAGACCTGTTCGGGTCGGGGTTTTCGTGGAATGATTGGCGGGGCTTGAGGAATAGGCGGTGGAGCTAATGGAAGAGCTTCACTTATGACATGTCCTCCATTTGAGTGGGCCTAAAATTCATTTGAAGATACATTAACACATCCGCGACGACGGTATTTTGGGTGTACATTTGCGTAGTCGTCACTGTTTTACTGACGATTTGGTGAACATTCAAAGATAAACAAACTATTATAGCTTATTCGATAGCTTATTCGAATCTCCTCTTGAGAACTAGTACAAAGTTATCGAGAACTTTCTGCGAAATAAATAAATAAAATTTCCTTAAAATAGAAATAAAGTCCTTAAAAACTTGAGTTGACACCAAAAATAATCGTCATTAGTACGGCCGTATCGTCGCAAATTTGTGAATATGTAAATCAATTTCAACAAACAAAACCAACAATACCGTTTTCCGAATGAAAGCACTGATTGCCATATAGACGAATCTGTACTGATCACTCATTTGAACCATTCCCGATCGTTGCTCTCGAATCATTAGCACTGTACGCGGAATGTCTATAGTGCAACTACGACCTGAAAAAAAAATTGGTAGCATTAAAATTGTGCAATAATAGGTTTCGTAATGGAAAATAACTGCCTCGGAACATTTGTGAAAATTAGTTTGTTTTCACGTACCACATAGTTTTATGTGATTCACTAGAAGATCGATGACAATAAAGGCACCCGTGCGTCCAATGCCCGCCGAACAATGAACTATTGGTGGGCCTCGGCCACCCATCAGTCTCACTGATCGATCCACTGCTTCCAAAAAGCTGAACGAAAATTCAATAAGAAGATTTGGTCATCGCTTTTGCTAGGCTATGAAATCAATCGAACGGATTGTTTTATGACTCCTTTTTTTCTTCAAGTCTTTCTTTTCGATATAACGATTTGAAATTTGCGTTCAACTCGGAAATTTGCACTCAATATAACCTTTTTTAGCGCAAATTGAAATAAATATTCATTTCTTCCATTGAATATCTTTAACCTACATAATTTAAAGTAATTCTACTTTTGCAAACAAGAGTCCCATTGCCGAATCGACCATAAACTTTTATTAACATTAACTAATAGGAAAGCCTCGTTAGCAGATTTTTTCAGTAAGCTTTGATTGTTTCTTAATCGCTTGTTATTTACTACTTTTTTTGTCAAATACATTCTAATAACTTGATATATTGGTTCAAAAGCCTTCATTTATTTGTTTCGATATAACGATTTCAAGCGCTGATCCCGAGCGAATCATTAAGCGAGCAAAAGTTTTACCCAAGCCCGGGCTCAAACCAGGCCAAACAAATTGAGAGCCGAGCGCAGTTACCACTCGGTCACGACATATCTTCGAGGAACGCATGATCGCTTGATACTCACGCGGTCAGATAAATAGCGCAACACGCAAAAACTTCTTTTTTTACACACAAACTTCGAACGGATTTAAATCGAAAATTGAAAACCATTGTACAAATGACTTAGATATTCGGAGTCAGCGAAAAATTTGCTACAAAATAGGCTAGGTCCCACTTCGAAACTGGGTGGTAAATAAACAACGATCCCTAGTTAGGGCTTAAGGGTTGAGTACTAGGGGTTGTGCTTGTGTATTGTTTGTACCATATTATTTGTGTGAATAAATCTCAAACCTTAATACGGGTTCTGGATGCGCGGGGCATCCATGATCTGGCCAACCAACAAATTGCAAATGAGAGATCAAACGAGTTTCACCTGATAAGAACTTTTGACATAAATATCCTTTGTCAGTATGTTACCTCTTCTTGAAAGTTGAAGTTTCCTCTCAATATACGAGTCACTCTCTTGCAAATCTCGGTATTTTGTTTCCTAAACGTTTTCGTAGACGCGATTGAATGGGATTTGTCCCACCTCTGTACAAGTTACACAGAAATTATCCCATGTAATCGATTGTCCAAGCTCGGGCCAATAACGGTGACATTTTACCTAAAGGCTTCAATGATCTATGTCAACTTATAACAACTAGAAACGTCTTTCAAAACCCTTACTCGTCCTCTTTCGACTTCTTTTGTTGTCATCACAATCACACGCGAATCGCATTCCCAAATCATCAACAAAAACTCGCCAACCTGTAATCGCCAGTTGGCATAGTTTTATGAAAACAGCAAGCTTTACCGTATTTGAGAGACAACCCTGCGTCGAGATATATTCACGATTTGAGCAGAGAAGTGGATTGTCTTGGTGTATCTAAAAGAAGTTGTTTTGTACTGTAAATTTAGAAGTTGATCTAACGATAATTTATCTATTTGTCAACCTTTTCGTACTTCCGTTTAAAACCAACAAATGCACCAATTGAGCTATGATTTGCTCTAAATTGACTTAAAAAGATGGGAAATTGAACAACAAACACTTTTTATTTAGAGCAAACTATAGTGTTAATTGGTGAATTTGTTATTTTTCAACAGAAGTACGAAAAGGAACGAAAAGCCTTTCTAGACAGTCTAATAATTCGCACCCGAATATAGTTGGCATTGATGTAATCACTTTCCCCATCAGGCACATCTTTCAAGATGACTCGAGTATGATCGTAGGGTACAATGTTTTTGTATCTGAAATTAAATATTTTAGTTTGCAAGTAATCTTCTTTTGTTTACCGATTCTTTTTGATGTTGATCGCCTTTTTCCCTTCTTTCCTTGAATAAAGCTGATCGTCGGCGCTTTGTATTTTCTGGATAAAGGTTATTTGAATAAAAATTTTACAGAAAATCACTAAAAAGCTTATCAATGAAACACCAACCGCAAATTCTTCACTGATTCCATTTTTTCGCGTGATTGGATCCTCTTGGAGAATAGCCGCTAAGCGGATATCGATTGCATCAGCTGGGAAACAACTTGACGAAATCGCCTGTAATCTATTTCTTTGAAAACATGTGCAATCAATAACAATCAATAAGGTAACGCGTTTATGCTCTAACAAATATAAGTACTGTTTTATTCTTTTAGTTTAACATATTGCGATTCATAACACACAAACCGTTCGTAGATGGACAACGCTTTGACATCCCATTTCAACCTAAATTAAATTTATTTTTATATGTGGAAGTTATATCCAACCATTGGATTATGGTTGTAGTGAGAGAGGAGATCGGAGATCGTTCGGAAAGTGTCCCCACCATGAACATGGAACATTTCACTCTGAATGGATTGGATTGTGTTGATAGACAAAGGAAATTTGGGTGTCGTGGTAAGAAATCGCTGACTGTTACAATAAGGACCGGGGTTTTAGCTATAAGTCAGGTGTATATGTTATGTCCGTTATTGAATTTCGTCCGATTCAGAACCGGACGTCCGTTATTAAATAGATTCAATAAGGACTAAATTCAATAAAGGACGTATCATATAAACCAATGCAAGAATCCTGCTTTGGTTTTGGTTCATTTCCTTTTGTATCTATGTATGATATAATAGCATGAGTTAAGCTCACCTGTGAGTCTCGATCAATCATGATGTGTTTGATGATATTTTCAGCGGTCTTTACGGAGATCACATAGTTCCCTGGATGTCGGGTCGATTCACGCACGAGATATGCCCATTGTCTGGAAAAGGAACCTCAATCTAATAATCGAAGTTAACATAAACAGTGAGTAAGAAAAAAAATTAAAAACTTCTATTGTAGGTTTCGAAACGAACTTTTCTTTGAGCAGAATATCTCTGGCTTGTGTCCCGGTGATATTCGGATGAAACCATCGTTCAGCCGTTGGACCTCGAGCTTCCTTTGCCACCGGTTCATCCCAGGGAATGCTTACAGGGCGTCTAAAACATTTTTCTTTGTTTTACACCTTTGTCAAACAAACAGCAATCGAATGGTCCTTCCGTCTTGTTCGCGTAACTCGTTTGGGTTTTCGATGAAATACTAAATTGCTTGTGTAACTTTTTAACTGATGGTGAGCCTGTGAAACCTGAACAAGATCGGTGAGACTCGTGAAATCCTGTTCGACAAGTGAGAAAACATCACCACTGGCTTTTATTTGCACGTGAGTGATTGGTTGACCGATTCCTCGACTAAAAATTTTGACGATTCAAAAGTCTCCTTATTTTTCTAACCTAACAGAGATGGTGTAGTTGTTTCGTTGACTGAGACTCGGTCGAACAAGAAATTCCCCCTCGATCGCATATTTTTTGATCAAACGCTCAGACTCTTCTCCCGAAACGTTGTAGAAATAATTTACGGGTCTAAAAAGTGGATTGGCTTTATGGTAAGATAACAGAAAATAACGATAAAATGTGAGGATCAGAAAGTTTGGCCTGTCAATTTAAACCGCCGTGTGATTACTTAAGGCTAGGCTTTCAGTTGTGCTCACCTCATCACTTGGTCTTTTGGCCAAGCAGCGAAAACTCCCACACGCAGCCTACCCGCTCTTTACCGCATTGATTTGATGTTGGTTCTGGAATTTTTCTATTTTGGAAGAGTTCAGTTTTTTCAAATTTTATTCAATTTTATTCAATTCAATCCTTGCTTTAAGCTTTGAACTACGGTAACCAAATTCAAAATACATATCAATGCGAAAACAAATAATATTTAGATTCGTTAAAGAAAAGGTGTTGATAAAGTTAACCACAAAGTTAACCATGTAAATCTAATTTGAGTCATAGAAAAGGTTCAATAATTAGGCTTGGGTACAATAATAAAATACAGCAGTTTGTAGTTGCGTTTTATGGAATAGAAAAGGGGGATCGATGAGTCGGGGAGGGGAGCTTGGTGATGAATACTCACCCGTCTCTCTTTTTATTGCGGATAGACACCCACAAAAAGAGCGCTCTGATTAATATACATAGAGAATTGATAAGTTTTTCCTTTAAAATTTGATAGGTTTTAATGCTGCAAACTAAAAGTGACATGATCTTTTTTCTTTTACATGTGTACAAAAACGAAAGAGTCATTTTGAAAGTTTTTAGTGTTTTCTAAAAAGCACTATATAAGCAAATTTGCATTGTTGTCGAAGATGACACTGGCGTGTGTTGTATTGATTGAGATATTTTCGCGATGGAATTAGTGAGCGAAATTTTTTTTCTAATCTCCCTCTGCGCGTCTGCTCTCTTTTACCGTTGCTGTTCTTTTCGCCGTGGAGAGAAAAAGAAATCTCGCCCTTTAAATTGCATGAAGTTTAAAGTTTTCCCATTCTTTTTGTGCATTTTTTAAGAAAATTGAAATTGTACCAAATTTTCGTCCAGCAAAATTTGAGTGCCCGTTTATACGGCGTTTATACGCCTAAAATATCCAGTCAAACATTTTATTAGCTTTTCCATTTGTTTCACATTCTTGTTTTCAACTTTATCTATTGATGGTACTTTTTTGGTTTGTCCCCCCCCCAATCATCAGCAAAATTTTGATACTACGCCGGTCGAAATTTGGAAAAAAAATTTTTTATTTTGCTCCAATTTGATCAGAAACGTAATCAGTAGGTTAAATTATGCCAGAAGAAGTTTTTTTGCTTCAAAAATTTTTTTGAGAGACCATTTTTAGACCTTTTCCCTATGTGTATCCCTCTCATCACACTGTATGAGCGTGCACTTTGGAGCCCTGAAACGTGGCTTAAAACGCATTTTCCTAGGCTCATGTTGTGTTTTTCGGAATCTACGCATAAAACTACCCCTGAAAAAGTGGTTTTAAAGAAAAAACGTGCCCCAGAACCGGCGTAGTACTAAAATTTTGCCGATGTTTGGCGGGCGGACAATCCAAAAAAGTATCCTATTGATTTATGCTTTCTTTTTTCCAGGCCCATGTTCCGAAATCTGGCCATTCGCGGGATACAAGCGGCACCAAGTTTCTCATCGTGTCGAGCTCAAGCAACGCAAGCTGAACGATTTTCCGGTGAAATCCCAACAGAACAAATTGAGAAGCGATTCACGCGCAGCTCCGGACCAGGAGGACAAAACATTCAGAAGAGTCTCACAAAGTGCGAGATTCGCTTCAAACTCACCAATGCTTCATGGATACCCGAACATTTGAAGGACAGCGTTGCACAACGATTTTCTAATCGAATCAATGCGGATGGAGAAGTGGTTATTGATAGTGATCGAACACGAGAACGGTCAATGAACTTGGCGGATTGTTTCGACAAATTAAGATCGACGATTTATGACGTTGAAGAGGATTTGGAAAAACGAGAGGAAAGCGAAGAAGATCGACGGGTGTTGATGAAACGACAAGAAATTGCCGCCCAGAAAAGACTTGAGGAAAAAAGACGAGCCGCAAAACTTCGGCAAACAAGAACGGAAAATTTTGCTTTGTGATTGTACATTCGTTGTTTGTTTCTGTCGATAATGACTTAGGAGAAAAATAAATTGGTTTTTAGATGACGTCAGATGTGAGCGCCGAGGATCAGCGAAAGATCGTTGCCGAATTTCAACGACTTCGTGAAGAACAAAAAGAAATCGCCGAAGAAATTACACGAGTCGAAGAGGAGAAACGAGAACACAAGTAATTTTTTGTAGACCATTGAAGTTATTCTAAATATTTTAGGTTTATTTCTTTTAGTGGTTTATCAATATAAAACTTTTGAATGTTAGATCGGAATTAATTAATTAAATTTGATTATCAGTAAGCAGATTCGTGTAATTAGATGGTTCTTACTTTTTGGTAGTTACATTTTCAATTTTAGAAGAGTAATAGAAGTGCTCTCGGAAGACTGCGAAGAAGATCAGAAATGCTATCAACTTATCAGCGATTCGATGGTCGAGCTGACTGTTGGTAAAGTGCTACCCCAATTGAAGGATAAATTTGAAAAGGTTTGTTGATTGCCTGGTGCAGGGTTATTGTATTCAAGAAAAGTTCCATTTTTTATGAATTCAACAAGTATGATAATCATTAAACTCTCTAGTTGACTACAGGATTTAGATACATAGGTCATCATATAATAGTAACTTTTTAGTTGTCCTCAGTCGCCGAAATGCTTAACAAACGATTGGTAGACAAGGGAAAAGAGCTCAACGATCACCGAGTGAAACACAATATTCGCATCCTCTCACAAAAGGAATCGGAGGAAGTTCGGGTTTGTGTGCTTTACTCTTGCCATAAATAATTTGTTTTAGCAAAAAATGGTGGAAGCTCAAATGGCCCAATTGAAGAAATAAACTTGATCTGTATCTTTTTTCCCTTTGGTAATTGTATATTTTGCTTCATTGTTGATAAATTTTGTTTCAAATAAATTCTGCTAAATGAATGCTTATTTTTATGTTGTTGAAGGCGATTTTATATTTTTTGTGAGTCAACCCCAGGCCAGAGTTCAAGAAAAATTGTCATTTCAAGTGATCATGTCAAATGCCTGTGAGGATCTAATTTTGGAGTCGTCTGATGAAAGCGATGAGGTTAGTTTTGTTATTTTTTTTGTTCCGTAGAATTTTAAGTTTTTAGGAGCAATGCGAGGACGGAAGCTCTGCTGAAGAAGATGTAGTTGAAGAGGATTTGAACGTTGAGGGATCTTCAAGTGAAGAGGAGGACGAGGAGGGTGTTGAATTAGGTTAGAAATTGTTTTCCAACTTGAAAGGCTCCTTTTTAAATGAGTTTTGTTTAGCAATAAACCACGAGACGCCTCAACCCGTGCAAGTACCTGAGGTGAATACAACTTGGGAGCAACTCGGCCTTTCAAGATGGTTACTGGATCAATTAAAAGAATTGAATTTGAAGAGGCCTACCCCTGTCCAGGTAAGTATAATTATAAAAATTTTTAAAACATGGATACTTTTACTCTTGAAAGCATGTTTCGTTTCCTTTATTAAAATATGATATTAATTTTTGAAAAACAAGCACATTTTTAGGCATGTTGCATACCAAAAGTGATGGAAGGCTGCGATGTGCTTGGTTGCGCAAAAACGGGAACAGGGAAAACATTTGCTTTTGGATTGCCGATACTGAATGAAGTATTTTATTTACAAGTTTCTACATTTAATTTTTTTAGTTGGCATTTGATCCGTATGGGGTATTTGCTTTAGTATTAACGCCAACGCGTGAGCTTGCTTTACAAATACAGGTGAATCTTTTATCTTTAAGCTTTAATTAAAGATTCAGGAGCAATTTGCTGCAATTGGAAAAGTTATTGGCTTGAAATGTTTGGCTGTGATTGGTGGAATCGAACAGGTTTTTCAATAAATCAGATCAATATATTTTACGTAGATAAAACAAGCATCCGACTTAAGTAAGAGACCGCATGTCGTTGTAGCAACTCCTGGAAAACTAGCGGATTATATTGAAACTCATCAAGACTCAATGGGTGAGTTTGTTGTTGTAGCCTAGAAAAAATTGTAACTACCTAATCAGGACAACTCTTCCGTAAAATAAAATACTTTGTGCTCGACGAAGCTGATCGAATGCTCGATGGGCAATATAATGAACAGGTATGATATATTGACTTAACCCTTTTCCATAATTATTTTCCAAATCTTCCTTTTAGCTCAAAGTCATCTTTCAATCTCTTCCACCAAAAAGACAGACGCTATTATTCAGTGCTACAATTACTTCGGCGATCAACAAATTACACCAGGTTTATTTTAAGTATAGTTCAAAATAATAACTGCCAATTTTAGGTATCCGTTCGCAAACCTTATTTCTTTGAAGATAAAGGTGAGGGAGACGAAGCAACGGTTGAAAAACTTGAACAGAAGTATGTTCTTTGTCCAGTGAACGTGAAAGATGCCTATTTGGTAAGGTATATTGAAAATTCTTTGAAATTATTTCAGTTTAGGTATACGTAGTAAAAAATTATTGCGAAAAGAGCCCGAAATCGTCTGTTATTGTATTTGCATTGAATTGTCGTGAATGCCAGGCCTTAGCACTGATGTTCACAAAATTGGGCTTTCAAGTATAGCAAAGATTCAAATAGTTTTGATTGGCAAGTCTAGGTTGGATCTCTACATTCACAAGTTTCGCAAAAAGACCGATCATCAGCTTTGGCCAGATTTCGAGCTCGAACCCTTCGTGTGCTTATCTGCACCGATGTGGCTGCTCGCGGCCTCGACATACCTAATGTGAGTTAAATTGAAAACACAAGGTAGTTTCTAACTTGAAAATAATTTTTACCCAAATTTGTTTTGCCTCAAAATATTGGTTAAAATTCTCATCGATGGGTGCCTAAAAGTTACAGCATTTTAGATTGATCTCGTTGTCAATCACAATGTTCCGGATCTCCCCAAAACTTATATTCATCGAGTTGGGCGATCGGCACGAGCTGGCCGGTAAACTTATCTATCTCACAGGGTATTAATTGCTTTTTAGATATGGAGCCGCGTTGACTTTTGTTACTCAATATGATATTGCCCTCCTCAAATCCATCGAGAAGACGACAGGAAAGCTTATGGAGGAACAAAAGGTTACCATTTTAAACGTCAGCGTGAAAAAACACTAGATGTATTCTATAAAGCATAATTGATCATTATAATAAGCACTTTAGGTCAACGACAAGATGGTTTCCCGATACGTAACGCAAGTGCTGGTAACGAAGAGAGAAGCTGAGCTAACGTTGGATCAACAAAAGTTCGGCGAGAAAAAGCTCATACAAAAGAGGAAGGAGCTCATTTTATCTGGAATGGATCCCATTGAGGTATTTTCTGTTGGCTTCAAGAGCTCAACATGCCATTTAGGCGGATCGAATCATCGAGGAAAAACGCAAAACGATAAGTGATCGCGGCGCGAAGCGAGCATCCAAATTACAGTCACAGGTTTTGAATGGGTTCATTATTTTTGAAAACACATTTGATATTTTAGGTTGAGAAGCGAAGGCCTGGTATGAAAAGAACGTTGATAGAACCTGTCGAAGGCGGAGACAAAAACAAGAAAAAGAAAACTTTCGCACGATAAATTTCTAGTCCGTATTTGTTATTGTTACTGCTGGTTTGTTGTTATTGTTGTTTTTGACTCAAAATAAACGTAAAAACGCCTGCGTAAAGTCACGTTTTGCCATGATTCCGGTTCCATTCACATTCAACAAAATTTAAAATATCTAAACAAAACAATACAAAAATTTTGTCGCTATTATTTGCTAGAGAGATTCAAATAATTCTGGAACTTTTATAAGGAGTTTCAAGGTCAATCAGACATTAGACGTATTTTTCTTGTTCTTGAGCTGGAACATCATGTATGTGTGGCGCAATTAGTGGGGTTCCCAAAAAAATGACTATCAGAGGCCATGTATTTTAGAGAACCTTATTTTTTGAGAGTTAGTTTACTTATAGTTAGGTATTGCAAATTGAGAATCGCTGCTCGAACCATCGATGAAAAATCTGCGAACATCTAGCGTAAGCTAAACTGAAAATAAAAAATGTTTTATATTTTCAGTAAGGCAATATTTTTTATCTCACCTCGTTCTTTTTCTACTGTAGCTCGTGATTCCTCCCAAAAATTTGGGATTTTTCGGCTTTCAGTTTGACGTTGAAATAAGCAATCGTTTTTTTTCCTTTACAACAGCTTAAACTTTCAATTGTGCCTTTGTGGAGAGTGTTGGGCGGTTGGATGGATAGGGAGGTGAAAAAGAGAGGTAGGGGAATCGATTTTGGGCCGCGCAGAATAGACGAGGCGAGGCGAGTGGAAGAAATCGGCTACTCGCTTCGGCGGGTGGAGGATGGTGGGCACATCGGCACTTCGCATAGAAAAGAAAAAAAGGATAGAATAAGACACACATCACCGATAAATAAAAGAGAAAAGCCATAGATGGATATGCTGTGGAGAGATGAGATAATAGAGAAGCTTGGGAAGAGAAGTGGGGAGAGGAGTGGGGAGAGGAGTGGGGAGAGGAGTAGGGAGACTCGTTAACGCCGTCAACTACAGACATACTTTGGGAAGTGAGTGGGAGATTAGACAAAATTTAGAGAGAAAGAAAACGAGGTGGAGATCGAGACTATTTGTAGAATTAATAGAAGAGAGAAAAGAAAGAATGGAGAGCTAAAGAGGTTAGAGAAGCTCAAAAGAGAGAGAATTCCTCGTCGTTTGGCCCAGATTGCTGCACACAAGAGATCAAGGAAAACTGGAGGTGGTTGAAGAGAAATAAGGAAAAGAAAGAAAAAAGAAGAAGCTAGCTACGTGAAAGAGCCCTGGCGGGCCCCACTCTCCTCACTGAAATGGCCCCGCATTGATTCTCGAACACGGACTTTTCCCCTTTATCCCCTCCACTCTCACTTTTTCTCCCTCTCTCCACCCACCAACATTTCTCCGCTCCATTCACTTTTCTCTTTTCTCTTCTATTCCACATTTTTCCTTGCCCAGGGCCCCCATCGAGGCCCGGCCGGAATTCCCAATAGGACAAGGGGGCACACTCACACATCCACACACGGATGCCTGTCCCCTTTTCTCTTCTCTCACACTCAACGAGTTATGTTTTTATCGTTTTGTGTGCCGGTCGATTCCTTTTCATCTCTTTCCGCATATTGAAAGTCAATTAGCTTTTTTCCTCGTCTTTAGTTTTCGTTTTTGATCGACGTGCTTTTTTTTTCTGTTTTACTCCCTTGCGAGTTGCCTAATTGCAGTTGATATGAATTAGGGTTTGGCTTTGGTGGGGATTTTGGGTGACGTGACCTGGGGACCGGAAGAAGTTGCCTGCACGGTGGGCTCAAGGTATTGCGTTTTTTCCGGCTATGCTTTATATGTTAAGCTCTAAGCCTTGTATTTAGGAAAATTTTGGTCTTTTGCTTCTAAACTTTTAGTATTATCTAATATACACAAGAAAATTTGATAGATTATCCAAGATCTATGAACAACCCTAGCGAAGAACTCATCCATGTGGCTTAATGAGGCTACTTTAGATAGTGAGATCACTTACATGAGGGATTCGCTTTTTGAGCAACAAACTTGGTGATGGGATTCGAACTTGGAAAAGAGAAAACAATTTACGATTGCTGAAAAAAAGTAGCAAAAATGAAAGCAAATAGAGTGTGTGATGTGATGAAATACGAGATATCTACATTGATGATTTTTGGGCGCTTTCGTTCATCCATTTTCCGGAGTAATATTGGAAGTTCGATTCTGGATTGCATATCGGATTTTCCATTATTAAAAGACTTGTCTAATTGTAGGTAAGGAAATGAAGTAGATCTTTTTTTAACACTTCCATGGCAAAAATTTTTGTTTTCCTTTTCAGCTTCACTTACTGCTCAAGTCTCTCTTTGTTTCTGAGAATCGATCAACTAGCTTTTATATCGATGCTGTGTGTGAAAGGAGAGAATATAAATGAATGTAGAAAAAAGGGCGTCTCTGGCTGTTGATAGTGAAAAGGGGAAAAGAATCTACACATTCAGAGTAGAGGGGGATTTGAATCCTTTTTTAACCCCACAAGCCTTGAAGTTTCTAGAGATTGGAGCCAATAAGTAAGCTTGCAAGCTGCTTTATATTGAAAGTTTTCTTCCTCGGTTTTTGTCTTTTTTTCCTTGTACTCTTGCGAAACATCAATCCCCCATTTTAGATGGCTGCAGGAGCACAAGGAGGTGGGGCCACCGGCACGGCCGATCAGAATTTTGACTACATGTTCAAGGTTTGTGAGTTGAGCGCGGTTTCCCTTGTGTGGGTTTCTGGGCTCGGCTTTAGGAGTAACCGCCCCAGACACCTCTTTATTCACAGGCACACAGCCTGTGCCCGTTTACAACTCCAATTGTGTTAATTGCATATGATTCCCTTGAAATCCTTAGTAGAAAATTTATCGGGGACGAGTAAAGGAAGGGAAAATTAACTGAACACCAAAGTTAGATAGAAGGAAAAGTTACTCGGAGGTCCCGACTCTCTTGTCAAAAATGAAAAGGAAACAAAAAAAAAGACGGTGAAGGATACGGTAGCCGGGACGTCGTATAGAATCGAAGCCCATTTCAACATTTACTGTATTTCACGTGAACTCATCGATTAAGTAATATGAGTCACACCAAAATCTCAAATCATTTAAAATTTCCAAATTTGATTTCAGTTGTTGATCATCGGAAATTCATCAGTTGGGAAGACTTCTTTCCTTTTCCGTTATTGTGATGATTCATTCACATCGGCTTTTGTGAGCACCGTCGGAATCGATTTCAAAGTAAGGGAGTCGTTGTAAAAAAAAATAAAACAAAACAACTCTAGGTGAAAACGGTTTTTCGAGGCGACAAACGAGTGAAACTCCAAATATGGGTACTTTTCAATGATCCAAGCTTGATTGTTTTGTGAAAGTTAACAAAAGAAACATTTCTCGAGATATACATTTTTAATTTTTACACCATCAGAGATTGCTTTCCATTTTTAGGACACGGCCGGTCAGGAACGCTATCGCACAATCACCACCGCTTATTATCGGGGAGCAATGGGTTTCATTTTGATGTATGATATCACAAATGAGGAATCATTCAACAGTGTACAAGATTGGTGAGTTCTTGTAAAAAGAGAGAAGTCGTCCGAAACGGCAGTCAAGCCAAAAATGGCTTTGTCGTGAATGTGTTAAGAGATCGAAAATATTGTATTTGCAAAAGTATCCGAAATTTCAGGTGCACCCAAATCAAGACGTATTCGTGGGAAAATGCTCAAGTTGTTTTGGTAGGAAATAAATGTGATATGGACAATGAAAGAGTTGTCTCGATGGAGCGTGGACGACAATTGGCCGATCAACTTGGTGAGCACCAAACTAACATATGATCTATTTCCTCGTTAAACATGGTTATCAACAATTATCGGCACTACCCAACTAGGATAGTACTGAAATATCAATTCTTGATCTTTATCAATGTTCTTTTAGGTTTGCAATTCTTCGAGACGTCAGCCAAAGAGAATATCAATGTGAAAGCGGTTTTTGAGAAACTCGTCGAAATCATTTGTGACAAAATGGCCGAAAGTCTCGATAAGGTTAGTATGTAAACTTTGCGTATTAAACCCGATAATACGAAATTTACTATCAATAAGGGTTTGCCAATAAGCCTGCGATATTTTGTGCCTTTGAAACTATTCGAAGAACTATAGATGAACGGTAAAACTCTTTAGGATCAACAACAACAGCCGAAGGGTCAAAAACTCGACGCCACTACGACCCAAAAACCACCACAACAGTCGTGCAATTGCTAATGAAAAGAAATGAAGAAGACACAACTCTGTGAAAGAAAAATACCAAAAACGCAAGAATCCCACTATTTTTCTTTCACAGAAAATCTCTCCTCAAAACATTGCTATCCAATTATTGCCATCACTTACTTAATCTACCAAAAAAATATAGAGATTAGATGATTTTAATTCTAGAAATGATGTTAGTCGTTCGCTTACATTCAGTCAAAAATATCGATGCTCCCTTTTTGGACTCTCTTTCTTAAGGCTGCCATGAAAAACTTTTTTCTTATGTTAATTTATTGACTTGATGATATTGAATACCAACAATGAGATATTTAATTGGGGAAATCAAACTTTTGAACGGAAAGTTGAAAATTCTAGAAAATAGGGATAAGTTTGCTGTTTGACTGCAGTTTCATTCAGACATTCAGGTGACAAGCCGCAAATTTCATACCCAGATATAAAAAACGGGATGCAGTTAAAACAGCGTCATAATAGAAAACCTTCAAAACGGCGCGGTCAAATTTCTTACAATCCAAAAAACCAAACCGATTCAAATTTTATACCAAAAATTCCATGCGTTTTTGGCTACATGATGAGTGAAACAGTTTTTTAAAAAAGGTAATATTTCAGATAAAAAGAGCGCTCAAAATGCGCCTCTAAAGGTATTCAGTTAACCAACTGAGTATCACTCGACACACATTTTAAACGCTAATTTTATCTATGAAATATTAACTTTTTTAAAAAATATTTCACCCATGTAGCCAAGGTGCAAGGAATTTTTTGGTATAAAACTTGAATCGGCTTGGATTGTGAGAAATTTGACGGCGCTGTTTTGAATGGTTTCTATTCGGCGTTGTTTTGAACGCTTTCTATTCGGCGCTGTTTTAACGACATCCCAAAAAACTGATGTTTAAAAGTTCGAAGTCAATTAGATTCAATTTCTATATTGAACCGTCTCTTTGTGCTCTATTATGATTGATCTGTCCTGATCTGGCTCGAGTCTCGCTGGCCAACCCTTGGCTTGAGTTCATCACCCTTTGTGGGGGAATACAAAAGCTATTCAGCTAATAAAAATAGAGCACATAGAAAGATTACTTCAATATTTCCATTACCGTATCCTTTTCCTTTGTGCTTTTTAGTAAATTATTCTGCTAGTTCCTTGCATATGTTCTCATTTTTTTTCTTTTCATTTAATAGGTTGTATAATGGTGGGATTTGTAGAAAAAATGTTGGGAAAACGAGGATTTTGAAATTCGAATGAAAAATACAAATTTTTTCTCCTCAAAAACTTTTCCTCAATCCCCTTTTTCTCAATCTCAAATGCCCGGTTAGTGCTTTGTGTAGACAAAATTGTGAGAAAAGAATGACCCCAAAGCAAATAATTTCTCTTTTTTATATTATTTTTTTATATCTTTTTCTAATGAAAGAACATAAATATTTATTTAGGCAAACTGAGGTTTAAATTAAGCATTCAAATCACATACAAAGCAAGACAAGGACTACAAAACAATACTTATCTTACCCGAACGGCACTTCAGTCCTTTAATTCCCGTCATTTTTGACTTTCACTTCAATTTCGTCTCTATTTTCTCGCTTTTTTCTGTATAACACTTTCAAAAAGTCAATAAAAGACAGTAATCGAAAAATGATTGTGGGAAAATTTGAAAGAGGAAAAGCTCAAAAGCTGACGGGTAAATAAAAAAGGGAAATCGTTCAGAAGGGAAGAAAAAAATAAAAGAAAAAATCTTGGCGAGATCTGTCAAAATGACAAATTTGCAGAGAATCTTGGCTTTTGGTTTGTGCTACTTTTGTTTGTAAAGAATATTTTGAATGCATAATTAATTCAGCACTTTTTACATATTACATTTCAGCTAGAATTTGTTTTTATCTTGTATCAAAATGCAGTTACCTGTACCTGGAAATCTCGGTTCCTGTACACCATTTTTTCACATCAACTTAGTTTTAGATTCATTTATCCATGTTGCTATTAGGCTGTCCAGAAAGTCTTTTCGTTTCTTTTCGTACTTCCGCTGAAAACGAACAAACTCATCAATTAACCTATGGTTTGCTTTAAATAAAAAGTGTTTATTGTTCAATTTCTCATCTTTTTAAGTTAATTTAAGTCATCTGTCTAATAAAACAAACCGTAGTTTAATTGGTGCATTTGTTGGTTTTAAACAGAACTACGAAAAGGACCGAAAAGACTTTCTGGACAGTCTAATAGAGTACACATTTTCGAAATCGGCAGTCTAGACACTAGACAGGGGCTAGGTCAAAGCCACTCCTAGCCTGTCTTCAGACTTTAAGTGGCTTGACCTTGACCATAAAAAGTTCCTGGATCTGGTTTTTGTACTGGTTCATAATCCCTAGCATGTGACTGCTATTGTAAAGAAAAAGCCCAAGCTCAGGATGATCTCTGGTTTCGAAAAACGTCAAAATCATCCAAAAGGACACCGACCTTTACCCCAATTTCGAAATAGTCCAAAATACACATGAATTCTTAATCTTTTTCATGAACTTTTCAGGAAAACGGCGTCATTTCTGCAAAAAATGAGAAGGCCTATCAATCGGCTTCCATTTTCCCGCAATAAATCTCGCGAAAGGCTCATTTTTGGCTTCCAGTGATAAGTAAAATGATGGGTTTATGAAGAAAAAAAGGGAGTAGTGAGAGGGGAATTTATCATCATTTCAATTGGGTATAAATAGAGGGAGTGATTGGGGGAAATTCGCCCGACTCTTGGGTCTCCGATTTGTGCGATGGCATTTTGAGGTAAGTTTCAAGAGGAGTGAATTGGTAAAGAAGCATGAAAAGTCATCTTTACTTGTAATTTTTAAAAAAATTCAGTGCTAGTAGACGCTGGGGTCGGTCAGTACTGTACTTTTCTTGTTCCAAAATAGTTCTGATAAACAAATTCAATTGATGAAGTATTGAGTATGATTTCTTCTTCAAAATTACAAGTATTCGTGATTGTATTGTGTTTAAATTTCAAAGAATTGAGTTCTAAATCACTATTTTCTAGAATGAATCCATTGGGCAAATGGTTTACTTGGTTTCTTCAAATCTTTTCCCAAAATCAAGTAGTGATAGAGCACCGATTTAAGACGCTTAACTGGGGCTCATCTATTTTGGGGGAAAAGAATGTCCGTCTGAAAAAAAGGATTCTTTTTAATCAAAGAGGAGACCGGGGTGTGTAAACCTGTAGAAATTTGGAGATAATGAAGAATTGAAAAAAAAAGAGAAGAAAGGGAATAGAAAGATCAAATGTGGAATGGGGAAGGGGAAAGGGGAGAATTCACTCCGTGCACTTCACTCTAGAAGACATTCGATAAAACCTCGAGACATTCTTTGATTTATAGGTTTCCCTTTTAAATCTCTAATTAAAATTTTTAAATGTTAATAAAACTTTGATAAATTTAATAAAAAAATCAAAACTCTGGTAGCTTTAAAAATCGTAAAATCCCAGTCTTTTGGCTTACTGCAATGTGCCGTACTCGTTATCTTTCAACTTCATTTTTGGGATATTGATTGTTCAGTGAATTTTTTGACTTTGGTATACTGTAATAACCCAGTATGACACTGAGACCAGTATTTTAAAGATAAATACAAAAATGTGTATATCAAAATGAAAAAGCTTTCTAAATTCTAAAATTTCTAAATATTGCAAGCAATGCAACCCAAAAAGATGACTGAAAATTTTTTGAAACCAGTTTATTGTTTTGATTTGTAAAAAGGGAGGGGCAACAAGTGCCCGAATCATTTTCTCTTGGAACACTCTCAAATAAAATCAATACTTTTATGATATTCTGTTATTCTTTCGCCCCAGCTGGTCTCCTTTTCAAAATTTTTTGAGTAGATAAAATAATCGGTTCGGGGAAAAAAAGAGCGCTCTCCATTGCTCTCTGATTCAGCGAGACTGTTGCCTATCAATTTCTGTCTAAAATTTTTCTGAATAGACTTCTGAAATTTTAGAGGCGCAGGTTTAAACAATAATTAACTTTTTGGATATTTTGAACAAGTCGTCACGCTTTGAAGGCCTATAACTTGATTCAGAGACAATATTATTGGTAACTTTTTATATCATTGTATAGAGGACATTTCCGGCTTTCGAATGACATCAAATACAGTTTGATTGGATAATCCAGTCCAGGGAAATCAAAGCCAACTCTGAGCAAATGAGGCCGATCCAACTCAGATGCAGTGTCGCCTGGTTTGCATGGGAGGCAAAACAGCTTTTGAACCAGCTTTCATCATACTAAAATAAACAATCATTTAATTGTTTTATTTTTTCTCAGAACACTCTTTTTAATGAGAATTCTCGAAAGTATTCACCCCTTCGAATTTATTGCCCAAATTCCCACACTGACTATTTGATGATGCTGCTTTTTTCCCCCCATTCTTTCTCTTTTCGATTTTAAAATATATTCTGAAAACTTAAAAAACCCTTTTAGGAATTTCGATATTTGTTCTATTTCTGTGGATTCTGATTGAAAATATTCTGCAGAGTTCTGTTGGAGGAAAATATAACGGCAGAGATGTCGGGAGGACACTGGGATGCTGAGGAGCCCGTTCAGGTAAGCAAAAAAAGGCTCGACTTTAAAAAAATTAAAGGAGAATTTGAAACTTTCAGTCGTATTCAATATTTGTTAGCCATAATGTTTCCCTATTCATCATATTTTCGTTCGAATTTTGCTTGCAAATATTTGCTTAGACGTCATTTTCTCAAGAAAACCATGAACAGACATAACAGACAAAAAGTTTAAGATTTGAGATTTATAGATTCTAAACATCACGTACGGTTTAGTCAAAATCAAATGGTCATACTTATGATCTGCCTGAAGGCGGAGATGAATCAAGCAAACAAAAACAAAATGGAGATTTCACTGAACCCGAATATTTGGATGAAGAGGTATGTGCTTGGGAAAAGTAAATGTTGAATATACGGAGAAATGTTCAATTTCAGGTTCAATACAACTGTCTTAATACAACTATTGTAGAGTATAATTGTGAACAAATCTCAAATTTATAAATTAATTTCAACAGATTGCGCTTAGGGGTATTTCAGAAATTTAGTCGCTCGGATCATCCAGCAGTTAAATTGGCTGTGTGCTAATTTAACTGCTGGATGGTCTGACAGATTTGCTAATGAAACGCACGCAGCATAAAATAATCTTTTTAGGTGACAGGAGCGATGGCCGGTTTGGAAAGAGTTCAGCATTCGATCGGCGCTCTCATCACGAAACACAAGACACCCCTCACGTATCTTCTAGTATTGGCCTTGGTTGGGGCCTATCATGGATGGTTGAGTGGGTTTTATGGTATTTATTGGTTGGTCGGAAAAGGGCACTTAAATCTAAGAATGTAAGTAAAGACCTATGCCGTTAGCTGGCTCAGTTTTGGAATGTATTTGGCTATCCAGAAAGTCTTTTCGGAACGAAATGTCCTAATGGGTGAAATGTTTTGAATTTGGGTGAACGAGATTTGCGTAAAGGTTGAAGGGGCAAGTTTAGCACAACCTGATTAAACTGATTTTACGAAGAGTACCAAAACTTGGTTTCAAAGAAAGTTTTCAGTAGCCGCCACTGTGCACGATTCAAAGAAAGTCGAACCAATGTGGATAATCAGTGGAATCCTCTGGGCACTCTTTCTATATTATCAAGTAAATCGTGCAAATCGATTTTTAAATGCAAAAGAATTCAGGTGGTGAAACGATTTTTCGGCAAGGCGATCTATAATGGTTTTATGAAGCCGATGATCAAAACGTTCAACGGACTTTGGAAATACACTATTGTGCAAATGTGAGGGCATTATTTAGACTCTGAAAAATTTGCTGTAACAATCAAACGAATGACAAACATGTAATTGGATTTTTAACACATTCATGAAAAAGTCATTTTTGGCTTGGCTACCGTTTCGGACGACAGTTATCTATGTTAGCTGTAGATCTGAGAGTTTCTAACCTAAGGCATTCTGGGATGGAGAATCTGAATCCGTTATTAGTTTTTGAGCAACTTTAATTTCCGAGAAAAAAGTGTATCTTCGCAAATGTGCTAAACAAAATAACTTCAGTCTTTTCTACTTGATCATCATCGGAGTCATCTTGGGTTTCCTCGTTTGGGACACGTGGGATGATCACAAAAGATTGACCGGATTGGGTGGGATGGGATGTTTCGTTTTGCTCATGTTTTGTCTATCAAATAATCGGACAAAGGTTTTAAAAGATACATCAAGCGAATAAGCAAAAGTTGGTTGTTTAGATCAAATGGAGACCGGTTATTTGGGGATTCTTTTTGCAATTCTGTTTGGGACTTCTCGTTTTGAGGTACGTGCAATTTAGAATGTGTTTTCTAAAAGATGGGTTTAAGAAAAAAGCTACTGTATTCACCTTAAAAACTGGTATCTTTCTCGTAACCATTTCTGTTGGAACTTTTCTAATGTGGTTTAAGAACCTGTACCCTATAGAACTTTCATCAGAAATGTACCAAATTTGATTTTCAGATGGGATTGGGGAAGTAAAACTTTCGAGAAAATCTCAAACAACATTGTTCGTTTTCTTGGTATGTTCTTGATTTTTTTACAAACTATTTATACGATAACGACTAGATAACTATTTTTTAGACAAAAAACAAACAAACAGATAAGCACAAAAGCAAAAACACAGAAAAAAAGGCTAAAAGTCGAATTGAAATGAATGAGGAAACTTTTTCTTCTTGTGAGTGTTACGGTAGTTGATACTATAACGACTATATAACTATTTTTCAGAAAAATTAGACAAACTTTGATAACTTTGCCCTTGAGGTATCTCCTTTCAGAGATACAACTATAATATAAATGCAATTCTCGACGACACGAACAACAAGCAATGTTCAATGTTTTTCTCGGAAAACACAAATTTGTGAAGACGTGAAAAAAGCCATTTTTTAGACTACACAAACAACGGAACGAACTTCGTCTTCGGTTTCTTGGCCACACCTCCAAATATTTGTGATCCGATTTCTGGAGCGCCTCTTTCTGGAGCTTTTGCTTTTACCGTTAGTTTTTTTGACAATTAACAAACCAAGCCATTCTTCAGTCTCTTCAAGTGGTCATCTATTTTGGATCAATCGTCGCTCTTCTCTATTACTATGGTGTCATCCAGGTAAACTGAAAAATTTTAAAAGTCGGCTAAATTACAGCAAAATCTTTAGTTTATTCTGAAAATCATGGCCTGGTTCATGACGATCACTCTTGGAACAACAGCCACTGAAAGCCTCAACGCGTGTGCTTGTGTCTTTCTCGGACAAGTGAGCAGACGGCTAAAAGGTCACTCAAGATTTTATTCTTTAGTCAGAAGCACCTCTCTTAATTAAACCGTATTTGGAAAAGATGACAGCCTCTGAAATTCATGCCGTCATGACGAGTGGTTTCTCCTGTATTGCTGGTGAGTGCTTGCTAGATTGAACATAGGGAATAATCTACTATATACAAAAAACTAGCCAGAAAACCCCGCTGTTAGGATTTTTCGGCTGGTGAATAATTAAAGTAGCCAAGTCTTCTATTAGCTCTGGATATGCTCTCGTCTAGGCTCACTTTTCGCTGCTTACATCGCATTTGGTGCTTGTCCTGTGTATCTTCTCTCAGCAACGGTAATGTCAGCATGCGGATCGCTTGCTTGTTCGAAAATCCTTTTCCCTGAAACCGAAGAAAGTAAATTGAAAGAAGTGGCTGAACTCGAGCTGCCAAAGGGGTAAGAAAACGTATTTTGTGAAAAGTTAAAACCATCACAGAGAAGAGTCAAATCCTCTTGAATGCATCTCGAATGGAGCCGTGGCTGCGGTGGAACTCGTTTTGGCCATTGTCGCCAATTTGATTGTTTTCCTTGCATTATTGGCTTTTATCGATAACATTTTCCGATATGCGGGAGAGTTGATCGGACATGAAGGATGGAGTTTTCAGGTAAGAGAAAAGCAGCACAAGCATAAACATTTCTTACATGAGCTTCATTGTTTTTTCAGAAAACCCTTGGATACATTTTCTACCCATTAGCCTATGTGATGGGAGTAACGGATAACACGGATGAAACACTGAAAGTCGCTCAATTGATGGGCACAAAAACGGCTCTTAACGAGTTCATCGCTTATCAGAATCTTGGAACAATGGTCGCTAACGGAGAGCTATCGGTAAAGTTGCAACTTATAAAAAGATTTTGAGATATTAGGTTGGAACATAAACCTTGCTCAGCTTTTTAGAACTCTGTTTAGAAAGGAATAATGTGCCTTTTAATCTACGGGTTGTTTTATTAAAAAGATTTATTACTTTTCTGCAAAAAAAGCGTTGAAATTTTGAGAAAATGTGTCCGAATTTTTTCGGCGGCGTGGAGTCAAGTAGTCAGGAAGGGCAACGGCTCGATGACGCGATTTAGACACTTTGTTCAAGGAAACCTATCTTGGTGTCAATAGATAAAAGATAGAGCACAAAAAATTAGACATTTTTCCAGCCAAATTCTCTGGTTGACCTGTTTTACCTTTGTAGGACTTTTTACAAACTTATGTCTCAACCTAAATAAACCTTTACAAAATTAGCCTTATTTAAGCCCCGGGCAGCAATGATCGCCACGTACGCGTTGTGCGGTTTCTCGAATTTCTCCTCAATCGGCATTCAGCTGGGTGTTCTCGGTGGAATGTGTCCATCCAGGAAACAGGTGATTATCAGTTACCGTATTCCAATGCATATCTCCATTGTATTTAGGTTTTTGCTCGGGTTGTTCTTCGAGCTCTTCTCGCCGGTTGTATCTCGTGTTTCTTTACGGCCTGTGTGGCAGGTTTGTGGATGCAATGAGAATTTGATTGAATTAAAAACTGGATTAAAAACGTGGATTAAAAACTTTGCAAGTTAAAACGTTTAAAAACATGACAGCTATTACACCAGGTTTTGTTTCAAAATGCAAATTTAGGTGTCCTAGTCGAGACACCAGCTCATTGCACTCGACTCGGCCTTGGTGCGGTGTGCTTTGACCCGAACAAGTACTTGGATTCCACCGATCTCCCGACAACGACTGTTGTTCCCGCAAATATTTTTGACGGGCACAACGAATTGTGATCAATAAAAAAGTTTTTGTTTTTTCATAGCGTAGGTGATGTTAATTATCAAATGTGATTCGGCCAGAAAACCCCCATTTTTCCTGTCCATACAATTAGTATCAAAATGAAAGAAAAGGGGGAGTCTTTTTCGTTGATGGACCGTGAAATAGGCATTCAGAAGGGGAGGGGGGAGTACGGTTGCCCAGGGTGTGAGAGCTCCTTCTCAACCGCTTCTCACTCCCCTTCACCCCTCCGTCTTCTTCTTCACAAAATGTTTTCTGAGATCTGGTTGCCATGATTTTGCCCTTTTCTTCTGTACTGTCTACAAGCAAGAGATTTTTCACTCCATCTTTCCAGCTTACTTTTCCCTTGAAACTATAGCCTTAGGTTGTAAATGTAAATGTTGGCATTCCAATTGGTTGGCGTATCTGTAAATCAAAGCGGTTCCTGTGATTCTCACACCGCTCACTTTGCCTTTGAAATGGCCAGTTTGCATTTAAAAATGAGTGGTTTAAGAGTCATAAGCACCATTAAAGCTTTGTTTTTTACTAAATACTCTTTCTGACGTAGACTATGAAATGTTTAGAACTTTTGCTACTGGTCGTTATTTCTCAAAGCTTTATGTTAACACTTTGTTTTGTTTGTACTGTTCAACTTTAATTCTATTTACAGTCGTTGATTTAAATGAAGTCACATTAACCCTAGGCATGCAGCTTCAATCTCTTCATTTCACTCTTTACTTGTCATTTCACTTCTGAACACGTGCCTTCCTTTTCATACAACAGGGTTCATCTAGTCGAATAGTTCATAGTTCATCTAACTATAAATGTCACATCATTTTCTGATTGTATATATTACTTTCACAATTTACAGTATTTCCTTTCCCTTCTCCTTTTTTTTGATCAATTACCCTCTCATTTACCATCTGTTTCCAATTCACGAATTCCGGTGGTTGAGAGAGGAATCTCGTGACCGTTCTCCTTTTTATCATTTTTGCTCTTTTCACCCCTCCCCCAAAATCAATTTATTCAATTTATTTCTCGATATTTGCCTTTGAATGTGTTCAAAGCTTTAATAAATACTCAACATGATAAAGGAATTTCCCCGCCACAAATCGTGATTATTTCCACAGCGATTGCCTAATTGAATTCCTCGGAAAATCGGAAAAATCCATCAAAAGGAAAAGTTGAGAATATGGGGAAAGTTGGTGTGAAATTGCCAAGGAAATTTCGGGGTCCAATTTTTTCAACTACAAAACCTGGGTAACTGGGAGTGTGGGGGTGGAAGGGAAATGATTGGGGAAAGTGTTAATGGATACGGTAGACCGTTATGTCCAGCTTCATAATGTTTATCCAGTTCGAGAGTATTAAAACAAGTTCTAAAACGAAAGTTGACTTGATATTTCAAATCTGATCTCAAATTGGGTGAACGTTCTTTATCTGTTTTCGTCATTTTGGCCTTTTTGACTCAACACAGTGGCCTTTGTTTGTGATAATGGTTCAAAAGATTTATCTAAAAGAATTCAATAAGTTCCATCAAAAACGATTCCAATTCAAATGGAATGATGATCGGAAATTCTTTGTTGGCATCCGCGATGGGGAGCCGAACTGACGTCGTGGATCGGCGATGACGCAGCGACGCATAAATGATCTGCATTCGAGAAGAAAAAAGGAGGAGAAGAGGTGCAACCCGAGAGAATACAGGATTTTAGTTCTTTTACCTGAATATCGAAAGGTGGAAAAGGGGGAGGGGGTATGAAATCTGAGATTACCTCATAATGGGGCTGCACGTGGGGAGACCTGGATGGGTCTCCTATCAACTGTGATGAATAGGCATCGGATTGGCATTTTTGCTCTCGTTTTATTCTTTTCATACCTTCTTCGGGCATCTCTTTCCCATAATCTCGTCAATAGTAGGTCTCTTTGTTCGAGGGGGAAGATTTTCGAATCAATTTCCATCTACCGTACACCTAGCTCTTTTACGTGAGCATATTGTTTGTCATTTCTTCTAGTTTCTTTTTAAAGTTTTTACCAGTTAATGATTTGATCTACTCTAAAACTGTATGTGTTACCCCTACTTAATTTTGAAAAACACCGCCCACAAGTTGATATCTGATGCAGAAAGGTATTTCTAAAGTGGCTAAAGTTGAATGTGGATCGAGAAAGGTAAAAATACTCCTGGAAGCAATCAAGAACTTGCTCAAATTGGTTTTGCCTTGCAAAATGAGTCATTGGAAATTGAAATTCAAAATAGAACACTTCTTTTTTTATGTTCCTTTATCAACTTGCTCTAATATGCCTTGGTTTCAATGGTTTATTTAGTCTTTGTCTCTTTGTCAAAATTTTTACGAATAATGGTATCTTTTTACATACCCACAAAATTTACATTTATCCACAGTGATTTCGACTGGATATTTATTGCAAGAATTCCAAGATGCCAAAACCATTTTCTAAACAGTGACCCACATCTCTTTGAATAATTTCGTCTAGAAATTGCATGTATTAGATCGCTTTTCCATTAAATTTCGTCATTTCATTGTTTTTTTGCCTGCACAATTCATTGTTCTGTTTTCCAGAAAGCATCCAGAGCCTCTAGTCTTACCGGCCAATTCCTCCCAAGCTCGTTATTTATACCACGTATTTTCTCGGATTTATTTGCATCCCATATAAAGTGCTCAAATTTTTTCGATTCTCCTTTTGTGTGAAGCAAAAGCCTCCACACACTCATTTACCGGAGAGCCGTCGGTTGTGCCGCGTCGAGCACCAAGTGTTTAACTGCCTTTGCCTGGGTGGGGGAGAAAGAGGGGGAAGGCCAAAAAGGGGAGGGGTCGGTGGCCTGGGCACCCCTATGTGGGGCACACGGCGAGAGAGAAAGGGGAGAAAGAGGGGAGGTTGATTCGGGTATTCATAGCACGGGCGGAGCGACGGGGGGGGGCTAGTCGGCCTCGCAGGGGGAAGGGCGCGTCGCGGCTTGCGTTGCATTCTCTCGTTGATCGATGCGGGCACTGGGCGCTCTGTCTGTGAGAGAGTGCTGTGGCTCCTCGTCGCGTCTCCCCTTCTCCCGCTCACCCGATTCTGAGGCCTCTTTCTCCCGATTTCGCTTGATCATCTGCCGATTTACTATATTCGTTTTTGTGTTTTCCTTTCTTTCGCCGATTTCACTGAATTTTTGCATGATTTTTTTCTTATTTCAGGACATTTACACGGCAAAGAGCTTGCTCGGTGACCTGTGTGCCAGAGGGAAACGAAACGACTCCTCGTCTTGCGCGTTCACATCAAGTGTCCACCCAGCCACCCCGGACTCAACGCAACTACTCTTTTTTTTGTGGGCCGAAGTCTCGCGTGCCGCCGCCAATCGTTTCAACAACGGCGCAGGCCTTAACAGCCATTTAAGATGAGCGAACTCGACCAGCTTAGGCAGGAGGCTGAGCAGCTGAAAAGCCAAATTCGAGTGAGTTTTTACGTTTTGCTAATTTTTAAAAAAAGTGTATATGTTAGAGAAAAGTAGGCGAGGGTTTTTTCAAACATCATAGGGCGCTTAGACTTCTTTTGTGAAAAATTTGCAACAAATCGAGCAAGAGTTTTTGATTTTTTTAGACCAAACGGTTATTATGATTTCAATGCGGACTAGAGAAATAACGTTTTGTTGTGGATTTTCTAAAAATCTTTAAACAAAGATCCTTTTTAAGGATAAGTGTCGATTTTGCCAGTATTTTTTTATCCAGATTCTTGTTTAAAAACAAATCCCAAAACCATTAATCATTGAGCTTTCTTTAAAAAGGAGCCTGACCAATTTTGTCTTGTTGTTTTTTTGAAATCTTACTAATCATGGCAATAATTTACTAAAGAATTCAGCCAATTTAGTATTGCTTTCTTGCTGATGCGAAAATTTTACTGAATTCAATTAATCTTTTCTAAAAATCCTTTAATAGCGACGTGGTGGCCGCTTTGCACCGCTTTATTTCACTTTTATTAATCTTGGAACAACCTGTTGATCAATCGAGACATATTGATTCAAACATCGCCTAGCTACATCTTGAGAGAGATCTTATCTCTTCAAAATCCACTCGCTATTTTCTCCCCGATTTGTATCTGCGCGGTTTGCACGCAATGGTTGCGTTGCTGTGGAGGAGCGAAGAAAAGAGAGGAAGAGAGCGGGGGCAAGCTATCGATTGGTGCCTTCTCGGGTGCCTCTCCATTTCCATCTATTCCTTCCCTCTTTTCCCTCCTACAACACAGCAGCCTCTTCAGGGCCGCCGGCGGCGCTCATTTATTGGCGGTAGTGCGGCGATCGCACACGGCTTGAAGGTCCGCAAAGAGGCGAGTGTGTAGAGAATAGATGGAAAGATGAGGACCTAGATTGAAAGAGGAAAGCCGTCTTGACGGAGATAGCCACCTCTCTTTCTCTTTTCGCTTTCCCTTTTCCATTTCTCTTTGCCGAACAGCCGCTTTGAGGCTCCTCACACTGCCGCGCCCCGACCCAAAGAACGACCCCCAATAGAGAAACATGCGGGCCCTCTCGGGACGTTGGGGGCCTTTCCATCTAGACGACGATGGCTATTTGGAAGAGAACACTCGTTCAGCTTCCCTAGGGTGAGCCGATACCCCATCAGCCAGTGCTCTCCTTATACGTTGAGAGGGGAAAGGGGGCCTCGTTGAGAAAATCTCAATCCAGAGAACACTCGACCATTCTTCAAAAATTTGGCTAGTTACAAAAATTTCTACGAATTTACTAGAATTGTTAAAGCACAGTTCATTTAAACTTGTTGGTTAAAATCTATGATGTTTTTAGTAGCAGTAAAGTGAAGATGGACCAAGGTGTAGAGCTCATTTCCCCTTGAAATTCTCGTTTCCTTTTTGGGGCACACCATTGGAAGGAAGAGACGCGTCCCCTTCCTCTCTCACCGCATCTCACACCCTCTTATTGGCCATTGTTAACGGGGTTTGTGGAGAGGCGCTAGCTCACGAAAAAAGGAAAGCGTTGACTATGACTTTCCATTAAACAAGAAAAGAAAACAAACAGGAGAAATATATCTAATGAAAAAATGTTAATCGTTTATTTTTAGGAGGCACGAAAAGCTGCAAATGATACGACGTTGGCCTCCGTTGCCGCCAATCTTGATCCAATTGGACGAATCCAGATGCGCACAAGAAGAACTCTTCGAGGACATCTTGCAAAGGTACTTTAAGAACCAACTGTTTATCAAATGCCGACAACTTCGTGTATTCTATAATAGACAACTTTTCCCCCGTGAAAGTCGTTTGTGTCTTAACTAATCAATAAGTTGCTAAAAATGCCCGAAGTTGTCGAAGTTTAAAATACTGCCCTATTAACGCTTTAAACGGATATCAGAAAGAATCATGTTTTACTATTTAACAGTAATATATCATCATAAGCAAGATTATGATAATCTATTCTCTTTGCAGATCTATGCCATGCACTGGGCTAGCGATTCACGGAATCTCGTTTCTGCCTCACAAGACGGAAAGCTCATCGTTTGGGATTCCTATACGACAAATAAAGTGAGCTCCTTTGTTGTAACCATGTAAATATGATTTTCTCATTAGGTACACGCAATTCCACTTCGTTCCTCGTGGGTGATGACATGTGCCTATGCTCCTTCAGGAAGCTTTGTTGCTTGTGGAGGTCTTGATAACATTTGTTCGATTTACTCTCTGAAGGTTTGCTCCTCTTCTTCGGTAAATTTTATTGATTTTTTAGACACGAGAAGGAAATGTTCGAGTTTCACGAGAGCTTCCCGGTCATACCGGATATTTGTCGTGTTGTCGATTCTTGGATGACAACCAAATCGTCACATCTTCAGGAGACATGACCTGGTTGGTAGTTTTTTGAAATAAAACGGATTTAACTAGGTTGTTTATTCTTTGGGTTAATTGTTAGCTTCTGAAAGTGACCTTTGTAAAGAAATTTCGAATCAATTTCCATTTTAGCGCACTTTGGGATATTGAAACGGGTCAACAATGTACTGCATTCACTGGGCACACTGGGGATGTGATGTCGCTATCGCTTTCACCCGACATGCGCACGTTTATCTCAGGTAGCATTAATTTTATAGTGAAAAATTTTTTAAAAATGTGTATGTAGCTTTTTTTCTGGGGCTAATCAGCTGAAAAAACTGTTTTTGTGGTCTCCATGGCGACATTGTCGCCATTAAATGTTTATTGTTGGTACCTACAATTAACATTCAAACAACACTGGTGCTTAGCGTAATGCCATATGAGTATTTAGGAGCGTGTGATGCTTCGGCGAAACTTTGGGATATTCGCGATGGTATGTGCAAGCAGACTTTCCCCGGACACGAAAGTGACATCAACGCTGTCGCGGTAGATTTTTTTTGTATGAATAAGTCTATCTTTTTACTCTAGTTCTTCCCCTCTGGCCACGCTTTTGCTACTGGATCAGATGACGCCACTTGTCGACTCTTTGATATTCGAGCCGATCAAGAACTTGCCATGTACAGCCATGACAACATCATTTGCGGTAAAATAATTTAAGAATTTTTGCCTATTTGTTTTTGTTTAGGTATCACATCTGTGGCTTTCTCGAAATCCGGACGACTTCTTTTTGCTGGTTATGATGACTTTAACTGCAATGTTTGGGACTCTATGCGACAAGAGAGAGCCGGTGAGTATTTACGTTTTTTTTAAAAGACGATAATTAGATGTTTGGAAAAGGAGATATGGGGCTCCACCAAATTCGTTTTTTCTAAAGTTTTCAATTACTCTCCTTTAAAAGATCAAGTGGTGTTGTGCAATTAATAAGTACCGGAAAAATACAGCTTTTACTTTTACAATTAAAAAGGACATCTACTTATGTATCTGGAAAGCATAGCTTTTTACGCAAAATAAATTGTTTATAGCGAGAGAAAGCCTTTCAACATAAATAAATCATATTTCTTCTGGTTATATGCCGATCGATAAACAGATTTTTTGATGATAACTGGTCGAAAGGCTTTAGTAATAAATATGATTTTAGTTTAATTTATTTTAAAGGGAATATGATAAAGCAAACGAATAAATTTTAATGTACTTTTGTTATAGGTGTTCTGGCTGGTCACGATAATCGCGTTTCGTGCTTGGGCGTCACCGAGGATGGAATGGCGGTGTGCACCGGATCGTGGGATTCGTTCCTCAAAATCTGGAATTAGAACAACACAAGCAGCCTCTTCTCGATCAATTTCAAGTATCCTTTTTTACAATTATATTTTGGTTATTCTCTGGAGGTCGGCTGATTATTATTTCTCAGTCGTGTATTGTGTTTCTTCTTTATTTTTTTCTTCAGTGAACCCTTATTGTTCACGTCCCCAATCATGTTTCCTGCCATTATTTTTTGCGCAAATTGTGTATTTTAAGACTCTTTTAGTTGCATATTCTCATATTATATTCTCTGTGACGTTTATTCTTGATTTTTCGAAAAAATTTGTATCTCTATAGTGATCAGTTTTTGAGGGTTTGAAAGCCTTGGTTTCTGCGTAAAAACTATTTTGTTGAGAACCATGTGCAGATGTGCAGAAATCTTTGCTAAAACCGTTCAAATTTGTTTAATTAGGTGCGCACCATAATATAACGCCAAAATTTGAGGAATAAGTGAAATTTGTCAATCCAAGGTCCTGAGTTTTTCGCTCTTTTTCCTTCAACAATGTTTTCGTTTCCCATTCGCTTCATTTTGTGGTGTAATCCTCCGAGTTTTGAGGCACCCGCTCAACGTATGGAGTATATTTATATTTGTTTTCATGTTTTATTCACAATTTTCCTAGTAGTTGTTGAGAAAACAAAGACAACGAGCAGACTAAATTTTAATGGTCTGAGCGTCGCGTTTTTCAATTTGAAATTGTCAGCCACCTTTCCCTAGCACGCACAAAGCCGCACAAATGCACGTTTTATCTAGGTGATAATTTAATGCGACTATATCATTTGGTCTCCCCTTCAACTTGGGCTTGCAATCTAGCTGTCCTCCATTTTTTTTTCCTCAAGTAGGTTGCTGAACTCGTGGCACTGGGAAACTGTTTTTGATGAGAATATAAACAAATTTTTCTGTTACACGAGCTTAACACCACCAATTTTGATACCGCTTGATTGTCTCCAGCAAATCGCCTCACACTTGGCTTGCAATGCTTTTGTTTTCTGGAAAAACTGGCCAATTAAACTAGTCTATAAACGCTGGGGTCTTCCTATCATTTTCGCCCGCTAAATTTTGTTGGTTTGTGTCCGTATCGAAAAATTCGCAATGAAAACAAGAAAACTGTCTCATCTCGGTCCACTTTGTGAACAAAATGATTTTGCGCCGCGTTTTTGTTTTGATGGTGAAACGAAGCCGTAAAATTGAAATAATACCAATGTTGTGCCAAACCCAGTAGAGCCATATAGGGGACTCGAGTGAGATTTCTTTTTTTTTGTGCGCAATTGTTCTTTTCTTCTCCAAAACTCCATCCTTTTAACACAACCGATTTTGCTAACTCACACACGATTTTCTAACATTTTGCAATTTCCCTCTATATTATTTCTGATGTTTTTTCAATTATAAAAAGTCGAAATGTTGTTCTGTCATTATTTTATTTTGATCATCATATTTTTGTATCTTATTTATATGATGTTTACGTACTCTTTTTTCTCTTGTAACAATACAACCTAATTGATGGCGACTCTTTTTTGATTTTTTTTTTCTATCTCTCATTTTGTCTTCTGTCTCCGAGTTACGTAATTTGATGGTTATGTTATAAATTCTTGCTTTACTTAAGTACACACATTTATTAAATTGCGGGAATTCAAGTGTAATATTGTTGATTTCGGCGGAGGAGATCCACGATCTTCTCGTATTTCATTTGTTCGGCTAGATCGAGAGCGGTTTCTCCATGCTAAATTGAAGCTACTCATCAGATACAAATAAAGTTACCGTAAACACGAGTGAGAAATTACTGATAACTTGGTAATGCTAATATCAAAAAATACAGAAGTTAGAGCCATTTGAAAATAAAATAGACCTGCTTATACACGAGTATACAAGCAAAAGTATTTTGTATTTTGTAGATTTTGTAGATCCAGATTATAGTACGAGTACGGTAGCTGCAAGCATAACATACTTTATTCTGCAGCCTTGAATCAGCGCCTTCTCTCAACAATATCCGAACTATTTCGATATGTCCAAATAGAGCGGCTGCGTGTAGAGCCGATTCACCGTTTGACAGCAAATTCACGTCGGCCAACGCGTGCTCAATCAAGAGCTCGATCACCTGAATTTGGGATTTTTTTCTTTATTTCATCATTCTCTCGATGACAAACCCGTTGATGTCCTTTGTGAGCGGCTTTGAAAAGTCCGGTCGCTCCATCTCGACGAGGCACGTCTTGTGCACCTGGAATTGATTCATTAGGGCGAATACTGTATTGCTAACTACTGTGAGCACTCGTTTTAGTCTGGCTTTTCATGTTTTTTCTTGCTTGTACCTAGAGTGTGTTCCTCGCGATTAATAAACGATTAATCAATTAAAATTTTTATCGTTCAACTTTAATCGATTAATTAATTGATCCCGCGGAACACACTCTAGTTGTACCTCTTCTCGCAAGCACATCAACCACTCGTCCCTCGCCACATTGAGCCGCTATCCAGAGTGCTGTCGCGCCATCCTAGATACCACATTTTTGATTGAATATTGTAAGCAAAATTTTGATTGATATTTATGATCTCGAAAAATGATCACAACCTTTCTCGGGGTATCAATTTGGCATCCAGCATCGAGTAAGAGACGAACTGTCGAATCGTGTCCGTTTTGGGCGGCCAAAAACACCGCATCACTTCCATCATTCAGGGTGGCTGTTCTGAAATTGTTTTTTTTTCACAATCACTTTATTGAACAATTATTGGGTGGTTAATTGGTTGCTTCGGGAAAAGAAATTAGAGTGATAAGGGAAAGAAAGTGGGAAATGAAATGACAATCACTGGAAGCAAAAGGTGAACAGGGGAAAACGGTGAGGTGTCGATGTAAAAATGGAAAACTTTGATAGAAATAGTTCTCAGTGTTTTCTTACCGATCGGCTCCACAATCGAGAAGCATTCGAATGGCCCAATCAAGGCCACGTTCGGCCGCGCACAAAAGTGCGCTGCCACCGTCCTGAAAAAAGAGATAATTTTCGATATTGATATTGAGACTCGATAGGGCTTCATGGATTCAAATTTACTCAACCTTTGTCCTAAAGTTGACACTGGCTCCTTCCCGCAAAAGCAACACCACCGAGTCTCGATCACCACACTCAAGGGCGCACAATAGGGCCGAGGAGCCGGCCTGGAACAAACCACTCTTTTTATTAGAATGTCCAGAAAGTCTTTCTTTCTGGACTTTCTGGACAGCCTAACATAATTGCAGCTAAATTCACTTGTGTGCATGAAAGCTCACTATATTCCTCGCGTTCACATCGGCTCCATCGTTGACGAGAGCGCAAGCCGTCTCAAAATGACCGCCCCGACACGCCAACATTAATGGAGTGATTCCATCCTGAAAGTAGCTGCTTGTCGGTGCAAAATTTGAAGCTTGAAAGCATCTCCTTGAAAAATTTCGGAGATATTCGAAGAAATTTTCAAAATGTTATTCATTTTAACAAGTTGATTATTTGGAGTCATCATATGAAATATAGATGATTAAGAAAGAAGAAAGATAGACTTTAGGAGTCCTATTGTTTAGAAATTAGGTCTCTAGATAGGAATATTAATCCAAGATTAGGAATATCTAGGAATAGTAATCTCTTAGCCGAAAGCTATAGTTTTTTAGTTAAAAGTTAGAATGGCTTTTTGCAAATAGAACTTTTATTAGGGAACGTGAGGAGGGGACGAGGAAAACGAGAGAAACGAGGCGTGACATTGTAAATAGATCAGATCAATGCTACCATCAATGAAGGGAGAAAGAAATGATGGAATTGAGCTGATATTTTCTTTTGTATATGTGAGCTTTGTTGTTTTCTCGTGTGCCTTGAAGGGGAGAATCACACTATTCCCCTCCCCCCTTCATCCATCCTTTTTTCCACCCCACCAAACACCCCATTCCCACCTGTCAATAAGGCAAACAATCTCCCACCAATTCGAAAAGAAAAACAGCATCATGGGGTATTCAAATCAAGAAAAATCATTGGAGTGATGAAACAAAAAGAAATCAATTGAAACCGGGAGCCTTCCACAACAAAATCTATGCTTGAATTTCAAAAAACAACAATAACAAGTGCGTAATCTCTTAATTCATTATCGTAATCTGAGGGACAAGTAATCCACTTTGCAATCAGCTAAATCTAGCAAATACCCAATTTCTAAAGCGAAAAAAGCCAGAAAGAGAGTTGGTGCTTGTTTCCACGGTAATCGCTGGGTCGGTGGATTGGGAGGGGTATCATGAAAAGGGGGAAATGGGGATGGCCGGTAATGAGAGAACGGGGTGATTGAGGGGGGAGGGAGGGATGGGAGTACGGGGTGTGGAGGGAGATCCCCCCAGGGGACACCCATCCCTTTCAACCCCTCTTCCCGTACACACCACGGTCACTCTACTACTTGGCTGGCGTAGGGATTCGTAAACTTCACCTATAAACTTGTCATCAAACACGTAAATCGTCATATTGTTAGAGACTTGGGGCTTCACAATAGTCCTTAACACATTCGCGACGACCGCTTTACAAATATCGAAAAGTTCTATGGTCGACGAAAGATTTAGCCAAGGGGAGAAAGAGAATCCCCTTCAACCCGTTGCCGGTAATCCCCCATCGTCTATTCAACCGGTGATTTAGAGGCTCAATTCGGAGAGCACATTTGCATTTCAATTACATCGTCCATCCACGGTATGAAAGGGGCAAAAAGACTCTCCACCCTCAAGTGAATGGGGGATAAGTCGATAAAGTCTTTTGAAAAGTTATACTGTTTATTCCAATAGATAAAAAGTTGAGCTAAAAAGCAATCGAATAGCGTAACAGTAATTTATTGTCGTTTTTGCTCGAATCAACAAGCAATTTTCCATGTAATCATTTATGAACAAAGCGATGAGACTTTAAAAAAAATAAAGAAAAGATCCGAGAATAGATACTCAGAGGAAGGGTTCTTTATTTAAGGTCAAACCAAAAATGGAGGGGAAAACCCCAAATAGCGCTCAACGCAAACGAAAAGTGAGGAAAACTGAAAAGGCTTAAAGAGTTTTTTTAGGTTTTTCCACAAATCCGACATAATGGAGGCTAATTTCGGGTATGAACTCCATTTCTTTGAAAAAATTGATAGAGTTACAAAAAGGTTGTATAGTAAGAAGTGACGGGAAAGAATCGAGTTCCAATTTGAGCGACAAATTGCTACGGAAAATTTTGATCAAAGGATAGGTAGCTATTCTTTGATCAAGCCTGTAGAGCGAACTACTTGTAAACCATTCAGTTTATATCCATCATACACTCAAAATCTTTGCGTGTAATCCCTGAGTCAACAAAAGAACAACGAGAGAACCGGAAGAGTTCCAGGGACAAGGATCATTGAAAGTTGTGGTTTGACATGGGATATCAGCCTTTCTTTTCCTCTCAAACAATCACACTCACCACATTCGAACAATCCGGGAAAGTTTTTCCCGAGTCGAGAAGTACACGAACCAATTGAGTGTCCCCGCTTCGAGACGCTCGATGCAATGCTGCATCACTGGCAGAAACCATCTGAACAAAGCCATTATGCTTGCAAATAACTTTAAGATAATCTAGTGTATGTAACTTACTAGCTCTTGCTCCGAAATAATGGAAAAGAAATTCAAATTTTGGACCGGATCATGGAAGGGCATGAGGAGAAGAAATGGAAATGGAGAGGACAACCGGGGGTCGGGTGGTGGAATGGATCTGTATGTATTCAGTGCAAAAGTGCCTCAGGTTGCAAATGCAAACAAGTCCATTCTCACACACCCCTTTTCTTGTTTTGATTTGCAAAATTTTCCAGACAAAAACTACTTGTAAACCATCAACTATTGCTTCGCAACTTTTGACGTGAAGCTCTGATCTGACGTGAAGTCCTTAAAAACTTCAGTTGACACCAAAAATAATAATTAGTACAACCCACCGGTGGGACGGATTGTCGTGAATGTGTTAAAAAAGTTATATGAAACAACGCTAACAGAATAAGTAGTTAGCTTTAGATGAAAAAAGAACGACCCGTTGTTGTGGATGTCTGCTTTCAGATGAAGGGAAACTACAAAAGGATGAAAATCTTTTGAGGGAAAGAAAACCGAAAAAGAGGGGAAAGATCTCTTGTCATCTACTGGATTTTGTTTGTTTTAGGACAGAATGGCACACTCGTGTGTTGCTTGTTTTGTCTCTGGAAAGCTTCAGAAACCATTCATTGTGATTTCTTGATGAAAAGTAGGCGATTATGGCAAATGTCTACCTGAAGCAAAACTATCCATCAATTACCATTATCGGTTTCCTCTTTCCTATTACTAGTTGCCTCAAAAAATCGGGTACCTTATACAGCGATTCAGCAACCAACTTTTAATTGGAGAAGTGCTTTCTGGGGACAATGCCACAAAAATGATCAAGCTCTGATCAAGACAAGATTGGAAAAAGTCATCACTTGTGAAAGAGTCGGATTGAGTTTTGTTTGGGCTTTCCGGTACTGTTGCTGTTGGGAGAATTGTTGCGGGAAAGTAAGACTCATTGTCGGGCATCATCACTTCATTAAGGTACCTCGCTTCTTTAAGGTTTTCTTAAAGTACCCGTTCCACGGTTAACGTACCCAATTTTTTTAAGATCCTTAGTAGTAGGAAAGAGCCTCGGTTTTACTTCAGTTCACTCACCGTTCGAGCATTGTAGACGAGTTGTACCATTCTTCACGCAAAAATATCAAGATCAATATGAAGGTAAAGTCTAAGCAATCTTTGCAAGTATTTCCCCTCTTTCGATTCAAAAAGATCCCTCAACATAAAATCCATCATTTTTATGATCTCGGGCTATGATTCAGAAAGATTCAGAAAGAGGCCACAGTCTCTTCGATAAACTCTTGACCTTTCTTTTTTCATGATGACGTTGGAAGAACATTTTAAAAGAACATTCTGAAGAACATTCTGAATTTAGTTTTCAACTAAAACTAAAAGATTCGGGACTCCGCAATCCCAGAGGAAAAACTGACAATTATGTCAAGGATCCTACAGAATTTCATTTAACCCAAACCATACAGTACCCAGCAGGCCCATAGCCGAGATTTCGTTGTTTTTGGGAGAATCGTCAAAGCTTCGCCCAGAAGCGTCCAATCAATTTACAGCCAAAGAAGAAAATTTAACAAAATTTTCAGGCTACACCATGGCTAAAATGAAATCCACTCGAAAAAATTGGCACTTTTTGAGAAAATTTCTGGGTGGGGGCGAGTTGAGGTTTTTAGGCCCTTAGCCGTTATCCAGAAAACTTCTAACCACCGTCAATCGATTCTCCGGTTTACATATAATCCGTGGGCTAAAACCCGATTTAAAGCTTGTGAAGCGAGCTCGAGGGGCTCAAAGTTGGGCAGAGGTCAAAAAAAGACTTGACGATCCAACTTTGAGCCACTCTACCTCGCTTCATATGTAAACCGACACGGAGAGTCAATTGATGGCGGTTAGAAATCTCCTGGATAATGGCTAAGGGTCTAAAATGATGTAGCCTGAAGATTTTGTTAAATTTTCTCCTTTGGGTGTAAATTGATTGGACGCTTTTGGGCGAAGCTCTGACGATTCTCCCAAAAACAACGAAATCCTGGCTATGGGCCTGGTACCCAGGGCCACTTTGAATTCTCTAAAATTATTTACAGATGACTTTTGAGCCTTCTATTCGACGATCCCTGACACAATTGATGAAACTTTTCTATCACAAAATCATTTCCTTGATAACCTTTGAGTGGTTGTGTGACGTTTCCCTTTTATCCGGAATGAATCACTCTCGTGACATCGATTTGATCATTTAATGGAGAGAAAACACCGTTCACCCCGAGACATTTCCAATCATCACAAAAAAAGGAGATAAACATAAATATTTTCCCAACTTTGGTCGAATCCGAAGCAAAAAAAGAGCGGATCGAATAAACAATGAGTGAACCAATTTTTGTTTCTCAACTATAGTCGGGAAGTTTTTAGAACAGTTTTTGTGCAAAACGTGTGATGATCGGCATGAATCGGCGATTTTTCGAAGATAAACATTCAGTGGTGCTATTTAATGGGGTATACTTTTGTATGAGACACTCTTTTTCTTTATCTAAAACTTTAATACATTTTCTCATTTTTATTCTAATGTAAAACTGGGGATTTTATTTTAGCATTATTATGATAGTTTAAAATGTTCTACTACACCAATTAATCTTTTGTGTTAGCTTGAATGGTCATGCGCACATGTATGCTCACGTAATCTCTGAATCTTTGTCTCTGTCTCTGTCAATGTCAATGTTCGTCATGAAACCCTTTAAAATCCGTTCTCGAATTGAATTGCTTCAACAAACGATCCAGGCAATTGTACAGCCAAAATGGCTTCTAAGCACAAGCCACACCGCGTCTATAGAACAAGTGTATAGTAGGGATGAAAGTGGAAGAAAGAGAGGGAGTAGACAAAAAAGAGAAATATAGGGGAAGCGATGGCTAGAGAAGAGAAAGAGATGAAGAAGAAGAAGAGTTCCCACAAAGGGTCAAAGAAAGACGATCGATCCTGGTGAGTGAAGAGGAATGCATAAGTGAGAGAAGGGGAGAAGGGGAAAGGAGGATGCGGAACCCCTTCCCTCCCCAATCCACATACATCCAGCTGGACTCTTTCCATCCCTTCTTCAGGCTGTCCAAATGAAAATACGAAGAGGATCCCCAAATGGTTCCCTTTTTCCCTTTCCCCCTTTTTCCCTTCTTTATTTCCATTTCCCCGACGACTTTTGCGTCATTTCAATTCTATCTCTTTCGATTTTATTATGAAGAATTCTAGGGTTAGCAATTATTCTATATCTTTAAGCAGTTATTCTATATTTAGCAATTATTCTATATTTTACACCATTTAGCTACGAACTCTAACTTTTAACATACTGACAATCACCAACAAATTACAGAAAAAGTTTTAAAATCCGGCCAAACTCCCTCATTTTGGTTCCCTGCTCTTCGCGAATGCTGTTTTTCATTGATCTAATCACTTTTTACAAGAAAATTCTCGATTTCTCAATTGCTTTTGCTCCCGACTTTACACCGAGATCTGTCAAAATATAGGCATCTCGAATTTTTGCTTTTATTTCACGGAGAAATTTTTCAGCCCTCTGTGATTCATCTTTACGATGTTTGTGTGCGAAAAATGTGTTTTTTTTTCACGGTTTTGACTAGAAAAATTGCCGATTTTCTTGTGCTGAAAGACAAAAAAAACAATGACTAAGAATTTTTAGGAATTTTTTTTTAGCCATGATTTATTGCCCACCAAACACCGCAAATTTTCGCTTTGGCTAGTTTGAAACATTTTGTTTCAAGTCGTTTTAGAAAAGAAGGGAAACCGAGATTTTAAGTCAGACCTGGGCATGGCTGTAGTCTGGTTTCACCTATCCTAGGTCCACTTGGAAAACACCTGCTTCCTTAAAAATTCCCTTCAAAATAACCTCAAACACTAACCTGAGTAGTACTTTGGTTCTCTCAAATTCACTCCTTTCTTGAGTTTAATTGTGACCACAATGCCTCGATTTGGGAAGCGAACTCTTTTACTGCATTCTTTCTTTTCAAATCGGGATCCTATTGTGATTGGGAGAAAGGAAAAGATCGGGGGAAAGAGAGTGAGTGACTCGAGTTCCACACGGGAAAAGTAAGTAGGGCATTCTCAGTGAATTGGAAAGAGAAGACGAGGGAAAGACTTGGCTGTTCTCTTTTCCATTCACACAATGAGCATTCCCTCCTCATTTCCTTCACCAACCGGTAAACAACATATTTGACCATTGATGCATTGATACCTCTTTTGTTTTCTTGTTGTTCATTGTTGCAATTGTGAAAGTTGTATTAGAGATTGGTAACTCGATCAGATTTTCGTTCTATTTCAATATTTTAGGTAAAACTTTAGCAATACTTTAGCAATACTTCAAAGGTTTAAGAGGAATCGTTTGCTATTGAATTTTTAAAAAATTTATTTAATCTTTTCTAATAAGGAAGATCTTCAGAAAGGTCATGTCAATCACCAGTTTCCCCAAAATTTCCTTAGAAATTCTGCTTTCTTTCTTTCTATGAAGCATCGATATTTAGAGAGACTTGAGGGTGAAGGCTAATTCGGTTATTCTCTCTCATTCACTGAATGCCCCTTTTTACTCTTCTTATCCCTCTCCCATTCCACTTATTTTTCTTCATCTCTTCCCCTTATTCAGTTCTCTTTTCTCATTGAAGGTCATCTCAAAAAAGCGGCTCTCTGAACGAAGGAAAGCCCTATGGATTGACCGCAAAAGAAGACTCGTCATTCATAGAAACACTCCTTCCGCGTGGTGTTTATTTTACATTAACTTTTAATTCTATTAGAAATTGAGCACTTGTACAGACAGCTACTGTTTCCAAGGTACATCAAAACCATTCCTAAGCTAGTATATTTTGAGAAAACACTCTAATCCCCATTGCCAATCAGTTGAAACGAAGACACGGTTTATCATCAGAGAAAACTTGGATGATAAGCATCCAGTAAGGACGATGAAAACTGAAACGCAATCCTTTCACCTTTCACCTATACGACAAAAAGACTATACATAAACTTTATTATCTCACAAGCTAGAAGTTTGTTTCATTTCCCGAGCCTCATTTGGCAGTGATTCAATGCATTGGCAGATTTGCCTCATCAATCTTCAAAAGCGTTATTTCGCCCGCTTTGATCATGAGGTGGATCAAATGAATGACAGTGGCATTAGGCATAGAATTGAATGTGAAAGGTTTGGGGTGGAGCAGGTGGAATGTGTGACTGTCATTTGCTTCACCTCCAGTACAGACTTGCCATCTATTTCCATGCCAATGTCTTTTCCCCCATTTCCCTCCTCCAAAAATTTCCCTTTTTTTCGAATTTTATCTCCGTTTCTGTGTGCGCTTCTCTTTTCCCTTCATTTCTAGTTTATTTGACATTATCGTAGCCGGTTTTTTTTTCTGTTCTCCTTTCAGCTTCGAAAAACGACAATTGGTTTTCATTGAATCTTTTATAACCTAACTATTTTCTAGATTTATCACAATTTTTTTTCGATCAAACAAGTTTTCTGTTAAATGATAACTTGATGCGGATCACGGGAGATTCATGTGATTTTCTCTAGATTTGTGATTTGTAGATTGATCGAATCGATCACAGAGTTTTTCTGCTCAAAAAAGTTGAGCCTGGTCAACCAACACTAACCTAATTATCTGGGGTGAGCCTCAAAAATTGGGAGATCCCACAAATTGGGGCAGTGTTCGTTTTTTGCAAAGGGATTCCCCTCACCGACTCACTCCCATCGACCAGTCCATAAAATGAGCGGGGGGAAAGGGGAAGAAATGGGAATGGTTGGTAAGCTTTCAGGTTTACTCTTTCTATGTGTTTCCTTTTGCTCTTTTGGGAAATGAAAGTGGGGTGTTTTGTTGTTGATGTGGGCAATGTTTGTGCGTTGACCCAGAGTCCAGTTAGGGAAAAGGGAAACGGAGGGTTCATGGGGTCTCTCTGGCTCTTCTGTTTGATCTCTCAGTCGATGTCATTTCCTTTTCCTCTCTTTTTCTTTCATTGTCCCAAATCGGTCGTTTTCTGATTTCATTTATAGTTTAGAGGTCCAGCAAAATCAAATTCCAAGTCTCTTGTCTCGTTACCGTATCCTACTTAGACTTGGTAACAGTAACAGCACTTGGTAACAGCTCGGTAATCTAAAAAGCAATCTTGGCAGCGTAAAAGTAATCTTAAAGAACTTCTAAAACATTTCTTTCTACGTTCAACTTTTCCAGATAGCTCTTTGATCAGACACGGGTTTTCCCTTCCCCGGGATTCTCGAAAAAAACAATTGTTCCATGGAAACTCAACAAAAGACGTGCTTTCTCTTCAGGATTTCCCTTGAAACGTCTGAATATTCTGCTTGTCTTGCGAAGTTGGATTTTAAAAATCTATTCTTAACAAGTGGTAACTGATAGAAAAAGCTTTACCGCTCACTTTATAGAATTTAGCCTGTTTATTAGTTTACGAACTTTTACTAGACTTGGTGACCATCTCCAAAGATCTTGGGGTGAAACTTTTGCGTAGTGATCCTTTCACATGAAAAGATCACCTTTGCAAAAGATTTCCCGCCATCGAACGTCGGCTCTATTTTTCTGGAAATCATGCGCACAATCAGGCGCCCACCATGTCTCAAAATATTTTCCGTTCTCTCAGAAGGGCAAAGAGTGATCGGGAAAAATTCTCGAAATGTGATGACCGTGAAATTTGGCAAAGTTTCTCCTTCTTTCTGTCATCATTCTTCTTTCATTCATATTTCGAGTTTCCACACTAAGTTGATGGAGTTTTTGTTGACGGAGAGAAAAATGAGAATGAGACAAGGTCATTGAAAGCATATGACAAGAGCCTATCTATCAGTCATTCATTTCTCCTTTACTCTGAAAAGTGGTGATAACCCGATGGGGGGTGTCTCAGGGGGGAAAGAGGAGTAATTGAAAACCCTCTTTTTCGAAGTATCCTTGAACTTTTTAAACGTTTTCTTGGGGTTAGTAGTTGGGACAAAGACTTTAATTATCATTGTTCCACATACTAGGAAATCTTTTGGATGTAGCACCGACTCTTGCACGCTAATATCATACGAAATATATCAGTCCAGTACAAACAAATCCTTTGTTGACGAGGGTTTGTATTGCGGGAAGTTGTTCCTTGTGGTGTCCTCTATTTCTTTCAATCATTTTTTTCCCATTCTGTGTTTCCCCCGACTCCCTCGGGCATCTAAATCCCCCGTAAGGTACACAGGACACTTGAATCATTTGTGGTCCCTTTTCCCTTTCTTCTGCTCTCTTCATGGCCTCAATTTCCCGATCATTTGCTTGATCCCAATTTTCTGTTTCAAATCGTTTTCTTAGCTGTTTTTAAATCGTCATGAAAATCTTGGCTGTTTTTCTTGAAAACACTAGAAGAATCAATTTCGAGAAGACGCGATTACCACAAATCGATTCAAATGGCTCTCACTTTCTTTCCCATCACGATTTCTTTGATCTCGTCACAAAAAACGCAATCACTATTCATTCGACTGCAAATCAAAGCAGGAAAAAGACAGGGCTTTCTACCCAATGGAAACGATCACAAGAACTAGACTCTCAGGTGATACTGTCTTGTGGTTGAGGGTGGAAGGGAGGGTGGTAGAGGGGTATTGAAAGGGGTGAGAAAAGAGGAGATAGGGGTGGTGGAGTGCTCATCTGAGCACTCCCCCACCCTATCCCCCCTTTTCTCACCCATTCAATCGATTTGCCCCGTGAGTCATGTGTTTTGGGAAAGCTGTTTCCCATCCGCCCGATGTTTCTCTTTCGTTTACAACTAAAGCTTTCATCTATTGAATTTCAAAACGTTTTCAATTTCGTTTGATTTGCATTCACTGCATCATTTGGAATCAAGTGTCACAATTCATATTGCCAGCTCATATTTTACAGAAGCTTTTTAGATATATCGCACCTTATCCAATTTTATCCGCAAACACTTTAGTAACGTGTAGTAAACGCGGTAGCGAATTTTTCTGCTACACAGTTTGGTTGGGTTGTGTGTGGCGTGGACTGGAACAAGTCTTGTTTGTTAGGATTTGGAGAAGGGGTGGGTAATGCCATTGAATGCGGTGGGTGTGCATGTAAGTTTGTGCGTGGGGTATACGTATGGCTTGGTGTATGCGTGCCCCACCACACAACGACGGGATGGCAAACAGGGAGGCTTGGTTGGGTGAGAGGGGGTTGGTGGATGGATGGGGTGGATGGTAAAGGGGACTAGTCGTCGTTCGATAGCACGTCTCCCCGGCGTCTGTTTCCTCATTCACTCCACCACTGCCCCCGATCATCTCTCTACATCAATCAATTGCTCCTAATGTGTCACGCTTCTACCACTTTCCAACTTGTTTAAAGATGCAATTTTGTTGCTTCACCTTATTCCGCGTAGGGTAGCATTATGTAGCACCCCATTCTCCCTATCAGTTGAAACACTTTTCAGATGTATGACTGACAATGGCCAGCTGAAATCATTGAGTTCTCAATATTTAATTCTACCAGCAATTAATTCACAAGGGTCATTTCCCTCCTTGACTACAACTCTATTTGCCTTGACTGCCAATTTCAGTTTACGTTTTCCCTCTCGAAGATTTCTTTCCAGGGTTTACTCTTTACTCCTCCCCCAAAAGTGAGATCACAAAAACCGACAGCTCGGCAAATACGCCCCCTTTTTCTACCTAGGTAGATATTTTCCCCTTGAAACAGTTTTGTGAAGTTTTGAATTTTTGCTTTAGTCCAGTTTGTTTTGCCTTCAAGCATCCATTTTTCCTTCAATCGTTTACAAATTTCAAGAGCTCAAGTCGATCAATGTTTTTTTCGCAAATAGAAAAAAGCAGCTGATCGTGACTGGGAATCGAGCGAGCTCGTTCACGTGTGAAATTACACACACTCAAAGAGGGAGAAAAACTGGCGAAAGAGATAGTTTACAACGATCATCTCACCACAGACGATCCTAGTGGTCGATTAAATGACTTTTGGCAAATCCGGTGCCCAAAGTTGAAGTTCCCAAATAAACGACCAAGAAGTGAAGAAATCGATGTTGCCGTATCGGAATCTTTTACCCTATTTCCATTATCGATGCGCAGATGGTTTTGTCCTTTTCTGCTTCTTTTTCACAGATCGGCCTTGTTTCCTTTGAAAGAAAAGGCTCTCCTTTGCATTTGTGTGTGTTTCTTCTCTATTTTCTTCATCTCTCAACTCATTGTCAGTCAGTCGGCCTGTGTGAGATTCCGGTTCTTTGTGCCAAAAACGTTCACTTTCCATTGCCAATCCATTAGAAATCATACACACATTTCTCCTCTATTACGCTCTCTGTGATTTGCTCGTAATAACGCTTACCTAGGTATCACTTTTATGGGCTACCTACCTAGGAAGGTCTAACGATAAGTAAAGCCTATAATATTAAACGATATTCAGTTGAACGACTCAAGCTCTCATATTTTTCTCGCCGCATTCTTGTTCATTCTCAATTTCCGCACTCATTGATTCATTTCATTCATAGTTTACTTGATTCTATCACGAGAAACTTTTTCCCCAACACACTTGATTGGCGGGGGATGGTTGTGGTGGTCGATGCGATTGTATACGTAAGAGACCTCCCACACGAAATGTTTATATAAACACTCTACTCACATGCATCCGATGATTTGACGCCGCATGGCTACACAAAGTCCCCATTATTTCATTGATACAACTCATGAATTCGGCCTATGGCATCCTACTTTCCCTCTTTGACCTATATTGTTTCTAATTGCCTAGAATTCAAATTTTTCGCAGGTTTTTGCTAAAATGTTCTGTAGAGATTTTTGGCTTTCTTAGTTGGTGTGTTTTTCTTTCTCTATTCTTCTTTTGAAAGCCAGTTAACTAATTTCTCTTTTTTAGAATGGCGCAGAAGATGAAGGAATCGCCGGTTGATGGGGAGCAGCCATCCACCGACAACACAAAGTCGAATCAACCGGGATCACCGAAAAGCCGCCTCGCCATGCTCAAACGTTCTTCGGCCAAGAAAGGTGGAACTTTTTTTACTCTTTTTGTACTTCTTTAGTATCGGGGGGGGGGACGATTTTGGCAAACTCGTGTCATTGATTTAGTTATCTCAAACTTGTCCAATTTTGACTTTAAAACGTTATTAGATAGCTTAGACTTTGTAGATTCTAATAGTTTTTGAGTTTTTCAAAAGCTATTACAAAAAAGTGCTTAAATTGTAGGTTAAAGTTTGGCAAAATCGTTACCTCTCGATACTAAAGTATTACCCTCTTTTTCTTCTCAAATTCTAATACTCACTATTGATAATGAATAATAGTTTTCGATAGGTACTTAATTTGGATAGTTATTTGATATGCTATACAGATAGTAGAAGCAAAATCTATTGCATGATTTTATTTGTTTTTGAGCGTTTCCCAAAGAGTTGAGCTAAAATAAGCTTTCGAGACTAATACGTAAGTGCGGTATAGTAAGTTCATTTTTTTATCCACATAATTCACTTTTTTAGCAAGCACGAATCAGGATCCTTTCCGGTTTCAAGGCCAAGGCGTGCAATTCAAAGGGAAATTGATTGGAATTCGCGATGTCGAAGGTTGACTTGAAGTTGCTATCCTTATTATGATTATTTTTAGGTGCTCGTGGTGATGCGATGTGTGCTGAGGCAATGAGACAAGCCAAGGCAGCAGTGAAAGCGGCCGGATCACATAAGCAAAGAATCATGCTTTTCATCAACATCGATGGGATCAAGATCGTTGACGAGAAGAGCCAAGCCACCCTCTACAACTTCCCCGTTTCACGAATTTCTTTCATCGCCAGAGACACAACGGATGCTCGCGCTTTTGGATTTGTTTATGGAGAATCGGCTGGAAACTACAAATTCTATGGGATCAAGACGGCACAAGTTTGATTTTAAAACTGACTTGTTTTAATTAGTGTTTAGACGGCTGATCATGCGGTTCTATCGATTCGCGACATGTTCCAAATTGTTTTCGAGATGAAAAAAAAGCAAATCGAACAAGTGAAGAAGAATGCAGAGGGAACAGACGGCGGGGTAGCAGTTTTTATCGATTGCATTTGATCTAGATATTTTAGGCTTCTCAGGAGGGTGTTCGATCAGAAGATGGAGTGCTTGTGGCTGACTTACTGGATTTGGAAACTGAAGTGCATAACATCGAACAAGGACTCAGCCAACTCGCGAACATTCCTGTCGTGGCTGGTGACGAATGGCCTGGAGAGCATCCACCTAACAGTGCATTTGCTGATCCATTTGGAGCCCCACAATTCGGAGGGGTTCATGCTGCCAATAACACTCCTCACACTCCACAATCCGTCAACAACACAAGGGCTGATCCGTTTGGCGATAGTTTCAACTCATCTACTCAGGTATATATTGACCGTATCTTACATTTTTGATAGTTTTTTAGACTCAACACTTCTCTATGGGCTCATCGATGCCAATGCCAATTCATCAGCAGCCCTCTGTTTTCCATACTCCATACATTTCTCCTGTGCAACCTCATTTGTTTCAACAACCCATAATCCAACAACACTGGACGGGCCAACAAGCTCAAGCGCCACAACATCCTTCAAATGCTGGATTTTCGGTAAACGTTTATTACGAGCACAACATAATTAAATATTTTGGACAACAAATCCGTTCGCTGAGATTGCCACATCTTCGGATCCATTCGATATAAGTGCCTTGCAACCACAGATGAACCGCACCGCTCCACTTCCAAGCATGGCCGGCAATTTCCAAGTTCCAGCTCCAACTATGCATTGGACGAACGAGAACACCGCTCCGAATGGCACTCAGATTCACCACGCTAACACTTTTGCCAACTTTGAAAGGTTTGAATATTTGTTGAAGTTAATTAATCTTTTGTTTAGTGTGAATAACACTGACGCTTCGCGTAAGCTTTCTACCGAATGGGATGCTCCACGAAAAGTTACATCGCTTGAAGATGCTTTCACTAAACTCGTCGACATGAATTCGCTGGTCGGTCGTCCAAATGAGGCCAAGAAAAATCCATTTGATCATATTATCAATCCGCCAAAGGTAAATTTTTAATTATTAAGAAGTAAGATACTTATTAATAACAGTAACGCGTTATGTTTTTGAGAATTGTTTTTAAACTTGGCTCTTTAAGGTGCCTTTGAACGCGTTGGGTGTCGCTCCTCCACTCCCGTCTCGCCCCGTCGTGGCTGCAGGTGCATTCCCTGCTTCAAGTGCTGACCCATTCTCTGATGCATTCTTCCGCTAAACCACAACACTACGGGTCTCTTCTTCACGCATCAATATCTCCCTTTTTTGAAACCGGTCTGTTTTTTCAAGTTGATAATCTTGAGGGAGCGTTAACTTTATTGAATGTATATCTGGTGACATAATAGTTCTTTATGTTAAAGAATCTTGGCTCCTCATGGTTTGAAATGTATCCTTATTCAGTCCCAACTCCTTGTGATAGATTTCCCGTTTCGATTTTTTTCATTTTCCGATTTTGAGGTGCTTATCATTAAGTTTCTGTGTATTGCACATTATGATCTGTGAGAAAATAAATGATGAAAAGTTAGTCATTTCAAAAAAATACACGGTGAACAAAGACAAATTTTTCATAGCCGGTATAAAATGAAAAGGTTCTTTTATTCTCTTTACAGAGAAGATATTCAAGTGAGAGGAAAAACGCTTAGAGACTGTGTGACATGAATTGAGACGGAAAGTCAGGCATAGCGAAGTGAGAGGAGGAGGACCGGTCTAGTCTCTCTCACGGGCTCGTCCCTCAATATCGACTCGACCTCCATCCATCCTTTCCGCAACGCCTACTTTTCTTTATGGCAAGTATCATGGCGTTTCGAACAAGACTTTGAACACTTGACGCACACAACCTCGTTTTTAATTGAATTTTTAAACCTGCATTTCGCTTCTATATCTAGAAAAACTCAATCCCTCTCAATCCTTTTTTGCTAATGAACGCTTTTGTTTACGCCCATGGGTGGGAGGAAGATGTTTGTTCGTGTGTATCTGTTGGGGAACGACGGTGGTGGTCTCCATCTCTTCTTCAGATGTCGATTGATGAAAAGAGGGAAAGGGAGATCTTGTGTATCTGTCACATCGGTGTGTGCCTCGTCTCGTCTTGGACCTGATCGAGGAAAAAGATGGCTGTTAGCCAAAGCGGTTTTCCCCTCCTTGATTGACTTTATATCGATGACGGTCGGAAACTGGATCCCCATCCATTCAACTCTCCTCAACTATTATATTTGTTTGTGTATGATCACCTCGTTCTCATTGACAGCCCCAACAACCGCCTTTCAAGACTTGATTTTTTTTCTCTTTTTTTCTCGAGATTCATTTCAGCCAGTTTAGTTTCCTTAACCACACACCTTTGCACTTTTCACTTTGTGATTCTCTGATTGTATGAGAGGTTCAGAAAAGTTTCCCCTTTATTCGTTTTTCATCAAATTCACCTTTGGGAGTTTTAAAAGGCCTGGGTCTGTTGTCTAGAATACAAATCTTAGAAGAACCCAGTTTTTTTCTTTTGATCAAAGCATTCACAAAACATCTATTTACTCATCTTTGCTTCCAAAAATGCAAGGGAAACTCATCCACGAAATTTGATCCGCTGAAATTTTAATCGCGATGCTCTCTAGTCATCTTTCTTTTCCTGGTTTCATTTTATGTCATTTATCGATTTTGTCAATAGCAAGATATTTTCTTACTGCAGTCATCTCTAATGCCCGTTTTGTTGTCCAAATGTATCTTATGATAACCCCATCGTCTTTTGCATCAATATAAGATAAATGTCTAGTTTTTTCATTCTACTGTAGCCGTTAAGCCCAAAGTCATCATCCAGGGGATGAGCCGACGGAATTTCTCGGGAATATTTTCTTGTCGCTGAAAATCTTTCTAATCTCTTTGATAAACGGGCCCCACCCACTTACATAGATTTATCTTTTTAGATTATTTACCGGCATAGAAGCTATTTTTTTCGATTTCTAACTACAACTGGGATACGATGAAGCACTGGCTATTGTTTATTGGCTTCATAGGTAGATTTATAAATTCTTGAATTAAAGCTAAAGACATTCAAGCTGGGTATTTCTAAATACTCTTACTGTAAATAAAATATCGCGAGCATACAATTTTTTGATTTAAAAATTGTTAGGTTTGTCATGGGCCAGCCTCGACGCGCCCTCGGAGTCCGTTCCAAATGATCAGCCGATTCCACCCGGTGTTGCTGGTTTGTTTCAATTAATTTCAATTCGTCATTAGAATAAACATTGCAATTTCAGCCCAAGATGATTCAAAACATTCGACGGTGAAAGCTGACACGGCAATGGAGACGACAACGATCGCATCGAATTCATCTTCCCCTTCAGCTTCAACACCTTCAACATCTTTCAATACGGTAGGTGGCACAATATCAAATACTTAATAGGCTTTTATTACAGTAATATACCAGTTAGTCAGTGTTTCAAATAGGCATTTACAAAACTGACCATCCTTTTAGACGGGCTCCACAACACCGGGCGTTCATCCAGTTCTCCCGAGCAACTACGTGGACCCATCTCAACAATTGATATCAACGGACGCCTCAATGCATCGAGATCAACCGGGCGGTCAGGGTGGCCCTAGTCAGCCAACGGGTACGTTAGAAGCAAACACATTGTATGGGGAGGCACGAAATAGATCTACATATTTAAGGGCGTACAGTTCCGTAGTCATTAACTGTTTTATTGATAATTTGGTGAAAATTCAAAGATAAACTAAGCTATTATAGCTCATTCGATAGCCCTGAATCTCCCTTTTAAAACTAGTACAAAGTTACCAAGAACTTTGTCCGAAATAAATAACAAAAATCATTAAAAATTTGGGTTGACACCAAAAATATTCGTCATTAGTACGGCCCACCGGTAGGTCGTATCGTCGTGAATGTGTTAAACCATGAAACCATGATCAAAAGCAAAATCCAGTTCTGTTACAAAATGAAACCATTTTAGGTTAGAAAGCCTTGTCACCCTTGGCATAAACAGTGAACTAAAGCGCTTAAAGTTGATTAAATTGCATTTTAGAAGTGTCAGGAGCGATGAGTGGAACAAGTGATACAACAAATGAGGAGAGCTCATCCCCATCCACACAGGGAGTCGGTCTTTCATCGATGCTTCTCTCGGTTTTCTCTGTACTTCTTGCTTGTGCATTTTAAGTCTGTATTCATATTTTATTCATTTTTGTGTATTTAATCCTGATACTATGAATGAGGTGAACAATTCAGTCGAATTTTAGAAATTCTTGAAGTTTAAGTACCCCGAAAAGATATCTTTGTCATAACAGCATGACAGACTAGAAATATCTGATTTTCCATTTGTCTATTTTGCTGAATTGTTCAAATCTCAAATATTCCCGATCACCGAGTGATGAAATGGTTTGCGACGTGTGTAGTTCACAATGGTGCACAGATTATACTTTGTAGTTTTTTGCTAGACTTAAAATTCTTCATTTTACTTCGCATCCAAAAAACTTCCAGCTTTCTTTCACAAGTTTTACAAAGTCTAGTCATTTTCTTTGCGTTTCGTTTAATATCAATAAATCATCGATGAAAAAATGCGTTAATGAAACCCGTATAAAATGCTAACGAGCGTACATGCGTATACCGTAAATACTGTAATAGTACCCCACCCCCCTCGTACAGTCGCGTAGTCGCAAAAGTTTTTTAGTATTTCATTTTTTCAAAGTGCCCGTACTTTCAAAAAATGCATCTTTGGTATCAAAAAATAGCTGAAATTCAGGGCTATTTTTTGATACCTAAGCGCGCATTCTAGCACAAACCAGTGTCGAGAAAAACTCGTTCAAAGCTAGACTACGCAACGCTCCGTACCGTCATTATGGGGGTGGGGTACTATTACAGTATTTACGGTATGTCGTAGCCGATTATGAATGAAATTTTTTGGTAAATCTTTCTAGTAGAGCAACCCTTTAATGTATGAGGACAATATTATATCATCATGTAGCGAATTAAATTCTGCGTCGATTGGTACAAAATTTGTGAGTTTAGGTTAAAAATTACCGGCGCTACAACGTTTCATTCAACCCCCTTAGCCGATTATGAATGAGTGGGTATAGAGGCGTCCAATCATCAAGTGTTTAGTCTCATTCAACGCAGAATCATTAATAATTATGTTAAATTTTTAAAATTAGAAAGATTTGATAAAAAGAAAAAAATTAGCGCAAAAAAAACTGTTTGTTCAAGAGGAAACTTTGAGGCCCCATAATTTTTTTCTTTTTATCCAATCTTTCTAATTTTAAAAATCTAGCATAATTATTAATGATTCTGCGTTGAATGATGCCAAATACTTGATGATTGGACGCCTTTAGACCGACTCATTCATAATCGGCTGAAATTCATAATCGGCTACGACATATACACCATAACTACAAAATATTATTTTCCAATAGCCGGCATCCATGTGTCCAAACTGGGGAAAGTGAGCGCTTGTCCGGTCATGAAACCAGCACCCACAAATGGTGAGCCGACTCCGAAGATATTCGACACATCTCCCCGTTTCCAGTTCACTCCAACATGATCGTTTATCCCGAAATAGCCGCCCACCTAAAAGATGCATATTTCTGAACTTATTCTAAACCTTGCAAAGTCACAATAAAATGTATAACTTAAGCAACAAACCCCATATCCATTGTCAACATTAACTTCTCCAAGATGTTCTTTGTCTAGCGGTACTCCAACCACATTATGTTGGCCTCCTTCAACGCCGAGACTCTGAAGGAAACTTTACAATTCAAGGATTTGAATGCCTATCATGTTTTACTCTACAGTTACACAATAAAAATGTTTCTTATTTAAAAACTATACTTTATGGATTAAAAAGTATACTTTACCTGCACTAGGGGCACAGACCATCCATTTTTGTATCCGTATTTCCCCTCGTACCAATTTGCGCCAGCTTCTTGCCATTGGGACCAGTAGTCGCTGAAAGGTGTTAGTTGTCAGATTTTGTTTTTTCACTTGAAAGTCCACTTACCGTACACCGATATTCTGCCCAAAGCCACCTCCCCATGAACCAAAGGGAATATTAACCAAATGACCGGCTCCAATTGTCCCTTCCTCGTTCACTGGATAATAGGGAAGACCCTTCACACTCCATGAGCCAAGGTTTAAGCCTACCTAAAGCAGAATGCATAAGTCAGTGGGACTCTATACTGGCTTGGTTTCACTGTTAGTCTATGTTAATTTTCAAATTTCACAAACCCCGGAACTCCATTGATTTGCGATGGAGTAGAGTGGTGAAGCCTTGGTGAGAAACGGGGAACAATCACGGAAATATGCTTGACATCGAGCCACGTTCTCTTTCAGTACGTGTCTTTTGACACAGTTCTGAAAGTGGATATTGGGTTTTTAAATCTATAAAAAAAATCAGTACACTAACAAACAAACTCTCAACCTTTTGAGCAACAGGTGCAATTTTTGAACATCGTCTTTGTAATTCTTGAGCTTGCGCCAAAGTGAGCTGTGGTCGTTGCTGAAAAGTCTCTTAATTCACTTTTAGACTTTAAACTATTGAGTTTTAAGAATTCAAGTACTCTAGAGTCTTAGAAGCAAGTTGTGTAAACTCACCGCTCGATTGAAGTTGTCAACTTGTTCCCGAATGTGGATATGTGTTCGATCTTCTCGATCATCAATTCCAGCTACCTGTCGCTCTGACTAAAATAGGAATTTTTTTCTAAAATCACACTTTTAACTCTACCGGATGAACTCTTGGTCCAGTTGGTGGCATGAGGAGGATTGCTGGTCGATCCTTTGGAGGCCCGGAAGGGACATCTCGGCGCTTGTGTGAGACTTGTGAAGGGATTGGTGGAGGGATTCGGAGGCGCGGAGGAGCGACCAGTTTCTCGTTTGGCTCATCATTTCCTAAATAGTAAGGAGATTTTTTATTTGCCTTTAGCAACTAGCAACAAGTTCACTTAAGTGTAAAGTCCCCAAATTTTCAAATTGTAATTTACTTGCACAAATCGGCAACTGCGAGTTCACTTCACAAGCTCGTCGCACTAAAATCTCCTTCTCGAGCACAAGACGATCATCAGCTAAAGATTTTTTGGAAAAGCTAACGATTCTTGGTTACCTGAATTTCCAGCCAGAAACCAGGCAAATAAACAAAGAAGAGAGCTCCTCAATTCTCGCATCTAAAAGCTTATTGGTTGAGTGCTATGGTTAAAGTTAGGCTTTTGATAATATAACGTTCAGAAGTACATAAAAATGCACAGCAACTTGTCTGTGGCTATAAGGATAAAAATTGAAAATCTTTAAAAATTGGCATTCGATAAAAAATGAAACGAAATATCCTAAAGTGAAAGTGATCAAATGTCGGAAAATTTCCCGAGCTATCAAGTCGAAAATAACTCTCAAAGGAATCAATTTTCTCGAGGAAAAATGATAGGGATTGGATATTTTGACAAAAGAAGAGACTTTCAAAAGTAGGCAGGAATTTGGTGATCATTTGGGTAAAGACTTGACCATTTAGAGATCGGCGTTCAACAAAATTTCTAAAAACAAAAAGACTCTAGTCTCGACAATAACCTTAAAGCGTCACTTGACTCAAAATATTATCACAAATAAATGAAAAGGAAAAATGATTGAAACAAAAGAAGAAATCGAGTCTCTTTCTTTTCTTCTTTCAAGGCTTTTCTTTTTTGCTCCGAAATTTCCTCTTGTTATTGTTTGATAGCAATAACAAGAGGAAATTTTGTTGTTTCGTTGGGGTTTGATCTTGATCAAATGCCTTAAAACTTTAGATTTCGTATATGGAGTGCGAGGTTGTTGAAGAAAAATACATTTATTCACACGAATAATGTGATACTAACAATGCACAAGCACCCCTGAGCCCTAAATGTAGGAAAGAAAAAACCAAAGTATCTGAGAGAAAATCCCAAAATCTAGACGGCGGGACTGAGCCCTTGACCTTCCGACTAAGATACGGGGTCCTTAGCCAGTCGGCCATGGCAGCCATTCGACCAATTAGGGCAGTGGCGGAACCGTTTTCTAAAAGCATGTCATGTTTCTAAAAGCCTTACCACTTGGAACTGATACAAAACCAGGTCTGCTCACCTTTAATATCCTTTAGTTTTCTCCGGAAGTACGGTAGATGGTAGACAAGAGCTCGCCTCCACAACACTCCTTTGCACATCAATCATCTGTCTTTTTTCGACTAGTGATTGCTCTACATTTTTCTGACCCAACCATCACCGCCTTATTGTAACTCGAAGTTTTACTTTATTTTAAACTTTATATTTAAATTTCGTATCCTGATTTGAGCTATTTAAAAAATTTCCAGCAAAACATCATGGAGGCCGTCCCTTCAATGGACGATCTCTTGGATGAGGCCGAAGTGGAGGTTCGATCGCCGGGCAATTCCACATTTCATTCCACTCTTTCCTCATTTTCACCATTCTCCACCCCAAAAACCCATCGCACACCGCAACAACAAGACGAAATGAATACACCGATTGCTTTCAAAAAGGAAATCGATGAGTTACCCAATCAATCAATGAACAAATCACCCAATCACCCAGGTAAGCGAATAAAAAGTATCAGTAACAGTTTTGAGCATTTTGAATACCTTTTTGAAAAATTTTTGTTTAGAACAAGTTGATCGAGTATTGCCAATAAGCTCGGAATTAAATGGACATTCAGATGTTGAGTTGCTTGAGAGGACACAGGTGAAACGAAGGAAATTTCATAATGAGATGAACAATTTATAGGATATGGAAGAGGAAAATGAAGAGCAGATCGAAGAAAATGATGAAGAAATCCCGGTCGAGCCAGCCTCTTCACCCAGCAGAACACCGTCACCGGAAGAGAGGGAAATCGTGGAAAAACCGAAAGTCAAGGTAGGTTTAAAAGTTTAAGCGCCTTTTTAGCTCTTTCGGTCATCACTATCACTAAATTAATCTTATTGTGTTATTAAGGGCTTATATTTATAATAAATTAGACAAGTGTATTATGCATTTTTTAGACGTTTTCAAGGAGAACTTTTCAGAAGTCTCTCTTCTTCCAAGCAACTTCAAACCAGCCAACCAATGAAGACAAGGATTTCGAGGAAGCTCTAGCATATTTGGGAATCGATGAAAAACTCGATGGTGGCCAGTCAGAGAAAAGTAAAGGTTGATAATAAAGAGTTGATGGTAAAGAGCATAAAAGTTCTAGGTCAAGCCGGCCCATCAAAGGAGTCATTAAATGTAATTGAAGAAGTTTTACGAGGTAGGAATTCTGCAAAAGTTTACAGAAATACTTCAAGTTATCACTAACTTTTCAGAGCCAACTTGTTCATCAAAAGAGCCAGTAGAGTCGGGGCCTAGTGAGAAAGTGATAGATCACGATTTATACGACGAACAACCACAAGAAACCACCAAAGTGAATGAGAGGTGAGAATGGTGTCCACGATTAAAAAAACAATAATTTAGTTCCTTTGAAGTCGAAGAACACTCAACATCCTCGGGATACGATAAGGTAAGCGATAGAAATATACGATTATGAAAAATTTCAACCAATTATGAAAATCAAGCCCAGTTTCAGGAAGAAATCCTTGGTTGGGTGCATGAGATGATCGATGAAATGATCTACGAATCATTGAAAACAATCGAGTTTTTGCAAGAAGAACAGGAAATTGAGCAAGAACCACTGGAAGACCAAATCGATCAAGATTCACTCATAGTCAGTGATACAAGTGAACAACAGATTATCGAAAATTTGGTTAAAGAGATGATCGACGAAGTTATTGAAGAGACGATGAAAGAACAAAAAAGAGAAGAAGGGAAAGGAAGAGGAGAATTCGATTGGAAAAGGGATAAACCATTGGAAATGGTAAAAGAACGACCACAAAAGAGTAGGGAAAAGATAGAGAAGAAAAGAGAAAGAAGAGAATTTGGCTTGGATCATCAAGATGAGGAAATGATTGTGGTCGATGATCAACCGGGGACATCTGAAAAAGGGGTTAGTGAAGAAAAAACGAGAGTGCAAGTGATCGAAGTGGAAAACGTGAAGATTGATGTTGTGAATGAACAAGAAGAAAATGAGGCTGCTGAAGTAAAAGAAGAGGAGGAAGATCATGCAGAGATGGCCATTGAGGTTGCTGAAGGTGAAAGTTCAAAGTAAATCTGTACCTCCAACTTTTTAGGTCTCGATTTTCATGATGCTCAACCCGAAGCTGGTCAACGACAACGATTTGAGGTCGGTAATATCAAACTGATACTCTTTTATTAATATTTTTCACAAATATTACCTTAAAAATGCTTTAGGAGCAAGTGATAGCTGTTGTTCACGATATGGCTCAAGAGACAAACCCGATGCTGCTTACTGAGAGTGAGCTCAAGTTGGGAAAGGTTGCTTTTAAGTATAAAAAGCAAATAAAATATTCAAGAAGTGGAATTCGATGAATATTATTCAAATACTGTTCTAGAAATTTGAAACTTTTAGACAAAACCCTATTGGATCCCTGACTCAGATTGTGTTCTATGCATGTTGTGCTCGGTGAAGTTCTCCTTAATCGTCAGGTTTGCTTATAACCGACCTCAAATCGTTGTCGTTGACCAGCTTCGGGTTGAGCATCATGAAAATCTAGACCTAAAAAGTTGGATGTACAGATTTGTAATCGAAAAATCAAATTTATTCTTTAAAGTTTATAAATGATACATGCAAAAGTTAGTTTTAACGTTAAAACGTTATCGTTAAAAAGCCCCGAGTTATTTAGACGCCATCATTGTCGCGCGTGTGGTCGAGTGCTTTGTGCGGCTTGTTGCAATGAGAGAGCCACTCTTGCCTATCTTGGTGATGATGAAAAGAAAAATAAAGTAATTTTATTTAAAAAATTAAAATAAAGTAACTAATGCTTTTAAAAGCATTGGTTAAAAGCATAAAAGCAAACCTTATTTTAGCAACGGGTCTGCCAACCATGCTTGACAATGTTGGACAGGATCAAAGAGTACGAGAATGCTGCGGCTTTGTGAGTTTTGTGCAAAGATTTATCTCACAACAATCACTTTTGACATTGACTATAAGGAAAGTTCAAAAATAATGGCTGATAACAAAAAGAAATCTTCAGAGCCGAAGTGATCGATGGAGGTGGCAGCTCGCGTACCCGAGGAGTACTCAAATCCAGACCCATCGAAGTTATTGGTTAGTTGCAGATCTCTTTACACCATTATGCAAACGACCCTACTTAACCATTTTAGCAGCAATAGATGGAGAAGAGCCTGGCCCAAGCAGTTCCCTCAATCCACCGCCGATTGCTCTTGAAGGGACAAGTGTCGAAAGGAAAAGATCCGTTGTCTTCAGGTAATCCTTTATGCGATAGATACTAGGTTGGTGCAAATGAAATTTTGTTTTTTTACAAACATTAAAGTCATCCAAAATTTTTTTTGATAACAATTTATTTAAAACAATAAGCACCATTATTATCTATGACATCCCTCCAACGTTGCTACAGATTGCGGATCCCCTTCTCAAAGAACGCTTGATTCTGTGATGCAAAGTAGTTGATCACCCAATTTTCGACTTCTTTTGCATTCTTAAACTGGCAATTCTCAAGGGAATGTTGCATCGATCTGAAAAGGTGAAAATCGGAGGGTGCTAAGTCTGGACTATACGGCGCATGTGGTAAGACCTTCCATCCTAGCTTCTCTAGTTCCTTACAAGAGGTTTTTGCCGTGTGAGCTGGAGCATTATCACGGAGAAAGTTGATAGTTGAGGGATTTAGGCCTTTTTTCACGCAAAATTTCGTCAACCTTCTTGAGTTGTTGAATAAAATAAGATGAATCGACTGTTTTTCCGGGCTCTAATAATTCAAAATGAACAAGTCCATTGATATTCCACCAGCAAGACAACACACTTTGCGCCCATGATAATCCGGCTTTGGAGTTGAATTGGCGCTTGACCTTTCCAGCCATTGTCTTTTTCGAGAAGTATTATCAAAGTGAACCACTTCTCATCCATCGTCAAGATATTCTCAAAAAATGGCTTCTTTTCGACTTCGGAGCAAGATATGACTGATCGGAACGCGTGCCCCAGATTCTCAACACTCAATTGATGTGGAACCCATTGTCCATTACGATTTGTCTTTCCAATTATTTCCAAATGGCGTACAATTGTTGAATTGCAGATGTTTGGCAAGTTCTCGTGTTGTTTGCATTGGATCAGCTTCAATTAATTGTTCCAATTCATTGTTGTCGATGGCTGTGGCACGATGTCCATGCGATTCGTCTTCAAGGGATTCATTACCATCTCGGAATTGGGCAAACCAGAGCTGGCATGATCTTTCGGTGATAACCTGTTCTCCAAAGGCGGAACAGAGATCACGATGTGAATCCAGCGTTTTGCCCATTTTGAAGTCATAGAAGACACGGCGCAGAACATACTTTGATCCACCATGATCTAAAGCAAAAACAATAAAAGTGAAAGCTCTGACTTTGAAAAATGCGAAAAAAGTAAATATCCAAGAGTACAAATGCACAAAGCACAATAGCTCTTCAGATTAAAAAAATAAGAACATTTTATATCGACCGAAATTTCTTTTGCACCAACCTAATAGTTATGAAATTTATGTGTTGTAGCCAATTTGCCTTGAAATTTTAGCCTATTTGCATTCTCGCTAGCCGAAATGCTTCAAGGTTGAGGCACATCTTTGACAAGGAAGTTATTGTTAGCAGGCTCAAATTGATTCCTTGTTAGCTTAAAGTGAATAAATTGAAAACTTAACAAATAAGAATTTACTCTCAGTGTCCACTCAGTTTTTAAGTCATTTTCTCCCGATTCCCTTTCTCATTCACTAAATCGTTAAGCTTCTTGATGATCTTTGTATTTTTTGCTAGTTAAAATCGGGCTTGAAGGCAAATCGGCCACGACATCGCATTATTTTATAATCTTATCATGTCAAATCATTCAGAGACGGGATTCGACCCGGTGACGCTCGAGTAAGCGATCCGGCAGAACAATCGGCCGTAAAAGCGCTCAAAAAGGTTTGAACACATAAAAATCTTTAGCTAAGCTAAAGAAATATTCTATCAGATTGATAAAATTTAAATAGCTCTTTAAATAAATAAACTGGATTTTAAAAAATCTCCAATTTAGAAACCAAGCCGAAAACGAGTGCATGTAACGCAAAAGTTGGCTTCTTTGAAGGTAATACATTTTCAATCTAAACTTTTATCTAGTGACAAAATAAACTCAAATTTCAGTTGGAAGAAGAAATGGTCTCATTTTTGCCAAAAGAAGGCGACAATCTGTACATCATCAAGAGTCCAGATGGAACGATTCGGAGAAATCAAATTGATGAGATTGGTGAGTTCAGTTTTCTAGTAAAAGTTATCTTGCATTTAGAAAGCCGTTTGAAAGACGACTTGCCCGTGGAGATAATTTTGAAGAGAAATCTCTCTTGTGTCCTTCAACGAGCAAACAGTAAGACTACTTTCATTTTCTAGAAGAGAGATTTCTTCAGATTCATCTAAACCGGCAGAACGAATCTTTTCCGTCTCTTCTAGAGGATTCTTTGCTGTGGGAATTGATGAGGTTCTTGAAAATTCACTTTAACTAATTGTTTTGTCTAAAGATGGTGTACATTTGGTCGATGTCAGGAGAAGTTGAAGAAAACGAGTGCAAAGTGCCAACTGATGTTCTACAAAGAATCTCAGAGGTCAGAGAGGCTAATATCTAACTGAGAAATTTCATTTTCAGATGTTCGAATCGTGTCTTGAAGTTGATGGATCTGGAGTGAGAACAGTGATTTCTCGTCTCCCATCGATTCATTCATCAAGCAATGGTCCATCATCTATCTGTTCAACGCATATTCTTGTATACCGACCGTCCATTCAAGTGAGTTTTTGATTGCTGATAGATTTGTATCACTCTGTATAGATAAAAGAAAAATTTTAGGAGACTCGATCACTCTCAATTCAATGGCCACCACATCCATTTGTGATCGGAATCTCACTTCACGACAAGGAATTCATCTGGGCCCTCGCCTCGCCGAATCGATTGCTTTTACGATTGGGATTATTAAATAGTTGTGAGTATTCAAATAGAATAACGAATTGTCAGAAAAGCTTTTATTCGACCACTGCCTTTCATAAAACTCCATTTCCAGGGTACCCTTGTCCACTAATCAATGTCCCTGGTAGAGAACCTGTTTATGGAACTGATACGAACAATACTGTTCTAAAAGTAAAAGCAATATTTTTTGTTGTTGAAAACTTGGTCTATTCAGGTATTTACCGATTTTCGTGAATGGTCCTATCGAATGCCAAATGTGCCAGGAAGTTCGGTGATTTTGAAAGGAAATGAAACGCTCATTCGGATTCCGTATCTTGCAAAACAGCAGGTAAAATAAAAAACGCTTTAAAAAACAAATAAAAAATTCAGATAAAAGAAATCGTCGAAACAAATAGTCGAATGATCGCCTGGCAGTGCGGGATCGCTCAAGAAGCGGACAGTCATCTCGTTTGTGTTCAAGAGGGACACTCATTCACAACTCAGATATTAGCGAAAGGACATTCACGACAAGGTATGCAAATTGTTCTTTTCCTTTTCCACATCCAACTTTCAGTTACTGGCGCCACTTTTGTAATCTTTGATTCTGGCCTCAAATCCGCTGAGGACATCTTTCAGGTAAACTTTAACGGTTTGTCTATGATTAATTATTAATTTACATTCAATAGAGCAACAAAGTAAAGAAAGTTTACATACAACTCGTTACTTATTTATCAAATCAATAATTTAAGGTAACAATTGTTGAAGACGGGATCGCGGTTCGACTCGGTGGAGAGCTTTTGGAGAAGCTCGTTGAGGCGCTAGCTGAGGGAAAAGTGAGAGATCTAAGTATTTGATCTAAGATCTAAGAATCATCTAAAGCATATTTGAAAATAATGCAATATAAACGCTAAAGTTTATAGAAATTATCAATTAAAAAACTCAAACACTTTATTAGGATTGGCAAGCCGTTTCGCTAAAGGGCGGTGGTGAGGTGCGAGTACAATGGAAAGCTTCAAGATGTTTCTCGGAATCCTCCCATTCACAACTTCTCTCACCAATCGATGGCCTTTATCTCGGAGATCATTTTCAATATGGATTGTCTCTATCAAGGGCACTTTCCACGGCTATTCAGGTGAAGAGCTGAAATGCTACACAAGTTATTATTAGAGGATTTTTATTTAAAACCAGCTTTGCAAAAAAAGACATTTTAAATACGTTTTAATATTATTTTGCAGAAAAATGAGAAATTTTGACCTTTCTAATGAAACAAACCGTTATTCAATTGGTGCATTTGTTGGTTTTAAATGAAAGTACAAAAAGGAATGAAAAGACTTTCTGAATAGCTTAATATTAAACTTCAATCTACAGGTGAATTCCTCTCCAGACTACACAATTCGTCTCTCCCATGTTTTCCATATGGGATCAACCCGTATTCCTTTTGAAGATGAAGCGAAAATCTTTAGGTCTTTAACATAACCTTAAATATGACGTCATATTTTGTTACAGTGTGGCCGAGATGATGGCTCGAGAGTCAGCAAAGTACATCGATCAACATGTGGCTGCTCTGATGGCAATGGGAATTGAGTAAGTTCGACAAACAAAAGACTAGATTCGTTTATTTCTATCGATCAATATTTAAATTTTAGTCTAATCGCGATTCGTTGTCTTGTCTCTGATTCGGATGTTTCTTTGGATATTTCTCAATGGAATGGATTGGAGCAAGAAAGAGCCCATTTCGCCACATCGATGGATCAGGTAGTTGTGGATAAAATGACAAAAGCTTTACGCAACCAACCATAGCCAGGCTTTTGAATTTAAAATCAGTTTAATTCCAGCTTCTTCCAATTCTCTACGGTCTTCTCGAATATCTCCCAGGCGGTGTTCATCTTGAAATTCATTTATCGATCGTTTCATCGAAAGATCCATTACCTTTTGATTGATCTTTATGGTTTAAACCTTTGAAAATACATCTATTTCGAATCCATAAGCTGTTTTAAAGCAGTAATTCAGTACGTTCCATTAAGCACTTTCAATTTTCGACTACTTATTCCCTTTTCCATTGTGCTGTCAAAACTTTCATCAAAAAGTGATTCTAGAGCTTTTCACACTTTTCCTTTGGTGCCTTTTTGCTATAAATCCCACTGAATATCATCCAATCCTCTAGTAGCCCAAATAGCAATTTAGCCAAATAGCCAAAAAAGCCGATAAACCTGTGAGTTTCTGATTTTGCTGGTGTGATTCACTGTGATTTTTTTCCAGGAATTTGAAATAAAATTTCTTTCTACAACAAGAAATTGAAAGATGAAAGATGAAAGAAATTGAAAGAGGAACGATAAGAGGAATTGGTAGTCATTCAATTCAAAGCACAAAATGTGAGACAAAGTTTTGTGATCTTATTGTTTTTCTCATGACCCTACTTCGATGGAATGGTGATGATGGAATGGTGTGAATGGGGGGAAAGAAGAAGAAAAGAGAATGAATGAGGAGGTGAGAATTGAGATTGGATGGGTGACTCCCTTCACGATTTATCGTTCCTCGTTTTCCCCATTTTTTCTCTCTTTCCCCCACAAATCCCTCTTGATCTCAACCCGATCAAATTGGCCGACGACCATTTTTTTTGTGCTCTCACCGAAATCCGGACTTTAGCCGAAAAAACATGTGTGTAAAAGAGTGAATTCTTGCAAAAACTCGAAAATTTGTGTTCGTTGAATGGGTCACAAAATGGTCCCTTCCTGCATCTGCCATTCTATTCTAAATGCGACATTTTCTTTTTTCATGTATCATTCTGAAATATTTACCAAAGCTTGCATTAGACTATAGATATTAGACTATAGACATTAGACTATAGACATTAGACTATAGACATTAAACTTTTTGAGAAGAAACTTCTTACTTTACACTAAAAACCGGATTTTCAAAAGTAAATTGAAAAAAAAACACTTGGTCAAAAATCTCGTCTCATTCTACTCAAAAATGCATTCCAAAAAAGCGCATTCCTTTACAGTGGAAGAGGTTTGGTCATTGGAAAAAAGATCTAAACTTGAGCTTGTCTTGTATTGGGTTCTTAAGACAATCTTGAGTTTCTTTATTGAAACGCTCGAAAAGAACGATCGAAAAAGAGTGAGAAATCTCTCGACTACCGCCCGCAAGCAGCTTTCTCTATTGACGCGTGATGGGAATATGTAAATGATCGGCAGAGAAATTTTTGAAACATTCTTTTAGTTTGTTTTCTCCTAGTTTATGTATAAACTAATTTTAGAATATTTCACACTTACAGATGTCTTACAGATCAATTCTCTTGAAGTTCTTCGAGATTAGTCTTGATTCAAATTTTCTTGCTCCAAAACTTTTGCATTATAAAGAGCTAAGCTTGGTTCAATTGGTGCATTTGTTAGTTTTGAACGAAAAGACTTTCTGGACAATCTAATACAAGTCTAGCATCTTTTCACAAATAAAAAAGTAATATGAAAAGGCGAAGCAAGGGTGGAGGAGAGGGGAATGGGGAGGCGTGGCCAATGGGTGCCTTCAGTCTCACCCTCTTCTCTTGTGACTGTCTGAAGGGAATACCCTCCTCTAACCGTTTCTTCTCAAGAGCTCTTCAATAGATTAACCTTACCTTTTCTTTTTTCTTGGATCTATTCTTCTATGTCCTTCCAGATCCTAGAAACTCTCTTGAGATGATTTCTATCATAATAAACACTTGATCTCATTCATTTGTCTTTATCTTTTGATTTGATTTCATTTCTGGACCTTGGTGGATTTCAAGATTTTCGATAGATTCTAAGAATGGTTGGTAGGTGAGGGTAATTGCTCTCTGCTTCCCATTCTCACAAAATGTGTCCAAATGCAGGTGACGGGGCATTGTTGTTGAGAAAAGGAAGGGGTACCTCGACAGCTTTTGACTCTAGACATTCCCTCATTTCAACCACATCCTCAATAGTCTTCATTCTTTACTTTGTTGTTGAAATAACGATCAATGCAGTAACCTTCCAAAGTTATGTTTGACTCTTGAAAGTTATAAAACTGACACCCAGAATTAGCACCTCTTCGAATGGCGCTAGACAGTTTTGCCAAAGAAGATCTTCTTTCCTTCTTGTTAGCTCATCTTTCCTACATTCAAAAGTTTAGCTGTATCCAATCTTTGACTATTACTCATGTAATATAAATCCTTTCAGATCCGATCAACTTCTAAATTGTCCACCAAAAGTTCGCATTTTTCTCAACTCCAATGCGGTGGCCGGGACGGCTTTTTATTTGGCCGTTACTCGGTGTACTTCTCATCTTTTTGCCGATTTTCACATACGAATCTATTGTCGACGTTCAACTACAAGAACTTCGAGTTGGAGAGTGAGTCTTTCTTTTTTGCACGCAATTTTCCGCTCCTTTCTTTTTTAGTTATTATATTTTTCGCCTCATTCTCTAGTCATTGCAAAGATGAAAATTCTGAGGTTAAATATTCAAAGTCGTGAGAATGACCATCGAAAGAGATTCAAAAGATTTCAAGCAGGTGGTCATCTCTCTTTTCCTTTCTCTTTTGTCTCAAAGGACTCGTGCCCGCGAATATAATGCTCTTTTCTCTTTTCGCTGAAGATAGAAGTCCCGATTGCGTTTTGTCTCTTATGACTGGACCAGGAGATATCCCCTTTGTTACTCGAGACACCGATCAGCCTCAAATTAAAGACTTCAACTATTGCATCACTCTCGTCAAGTAGTTTTAGATAAATCAAAACCTTAAAGCGAAGCGAAGAAGAAGATTTCATTCTCATAATCAAAGCTCTGATCTTCTTTAGTTGACGAACTTTAAGATCTAGAAAATTTTTCGAAGAAACGTACCCAAGAATTTTTCACTCAGATCATCAACGATCCATTCAATTCTCAAACTAATATTTCTCCCAATTTGTCTTTCCCAAATCGTTTACCTTGCAATTTTTGTTGGCAAGACCCCTAAGTTTTCCCTTTACTTTTCGAATTTCCATTGTGGGTGAGTGATTGGCGTGAAAAGGATTGATTTCATCGCAGAACAACAATGGATTGGAGAGCACAACTCATCATTTCTACCCATTCTTTTTCTTTTCCCATTTCCATTTCATACATTCAAGCAGTCTGCTAGTAGTAAAAGGGTTTTCCTATTCTAAATAAGAATTAAAAGTTTTAAAGCGGACCTTTAGTACTTACCCATTCGCATAGTTTTTTTTTGAGTAGATAATTGCCGGCTGTCAGGAGGGATTTCGTATGAATTGCGTGACAGAAATTGATCGTGAGAAGGCTGGGGTGGATTTATTTAAATCTAAGCAAAATCTATTTCATTGCAAGAATCCATTAGTGACTCACTCAGGTTTGCTTAAAGAAAAAAACTACGGTATGAATACTGTATCCGCTGAATCCCCATTTCCCTCAATAACCAACAGATGGACATATTTGATGGTGTGACTCAGTGCTGGAAAAGGTTCTTCTCCTTTCAATGATCTCTTTTCCATGGAAACCTTTTCCCCATCTTCTTTTCATTGATTCGATTTGCTTGAGGACCATAAAATGTAGCCGGAGACACCCCATATAACATGCTTGTAATACCGTTATGGGATCTCTTTGCATCTACGGGGAAACGACTGTACTGTGTCTTGAGGGAAATCAATCCTTTCACCTATTCAGGAGAAAACAAATGATTTTCATTTCCTTGACTCTCAATGCCATGCTTGTTGCTCAAATTTACATTTGAATGGAAATGGATAGAGGAAAAGAGAAAAAGTTGACGGAAAAGTTGGGGAAATCTTTGAAAGACAGAAGGCAAGATGGGGTTTTAAAGTGGACCAAAGTGAGGTTTTAAGGAAATTGAATGTTAGCCAATGTATCATCACCCTTTCCCTGGCTTGGCTTTAATTTAACTTCCAAAAAAAAGACTCTTCCACTGAAATTTCCCACAGCTTTCCACAAAAGGGTTCCCTCGAGATGATCGGTGACTTTTATATGGAAATCAGGAAAGAAGCAACAATGGCCCATCTGTTATTTTCTCATCGACATCCACTCCGAATGGATTTGAATCGAATTTGAATGACTAATCAAGAGCCTTCTTACCAAAAATGAGTGTTCTATCAAGAAAAAGAAGAGAAACAAATTGCCGGCCCATTATTCTTGACCTCGCATCGTTTTGGGATGAACGGGGATGGGTAAAAAGGGGACAAGAAAAAGATAGAGGCGGGATGCCTTTATGAGTGATTGCCCGATCTCTTCAGGGAAACGATAAATTGCTGTTCGTATAGCTATGTGATTGTTGTGTTGTTGTTGCGTAGTGCGCGAGTGTTTATCAAATAGGATCTCGAGGGAATCCACGAATTCCATTGATCAAAGTTGGGATTTATGAGATTTATGAAGACACAACTTGGTAACCGAAGTTATCACATAGCCTGGCACCGCCTAGTCATTTGATTGACTAAAAAAATTCGTTATTTGAAGATCTAAGAAGTGGCTAGAGCTTGTGTTTATTGAGTTGACGGATATAAGTGGCTGGGATATGCTAACAAGTTGGGAACTCGTGAGGTCAAAAGGGTGACAAGTAGAGAAAGAAAAGGGGTGAGTGACACCATCAAGTGGCTCCCATTGTCTCCCCATCTTTCACTATAGGGATTTGAAGATATAGAGTTGTATCAATGTTGGGATACGATTTTACAGACACGGACAAGCGTACAGTAATCAACAATTAGAGTTGAAACTTGGGTTCTTTCAAAACTTGACCAAAGCTTTACTTTTGAGTGTATCGCTGACACGATTTTCGCTTTCTCAACGATTTTTCTCAACGTTATCGATGAGCTCGCCTGAAGGATTAATATTTTGACAAAAAACGATGCCGACTGTCTTCAGCAAGCAGTAGATTTTGCAATCCTAATCTCTTTAGTGATCACTTTCTTTAATTTTCATTTATCACTCTACACAAAGTCATCCCTTTTATATCACTTTTGAGTGAAACGAGAAACTCAGCGATTAATTACTGGTTGCGGTTTGTGTGAGAATCGTTGGTGATGGGTGGAAGGGATTGATGGGAGATCGAGATTGGACACCGAGAGTCACCCACACCAATATATGAGACGGGGAAATTGAAAGCAAACAAAGTGAAGGATGAAAAGGAAAGAAGAGAAAAAGAAGAGAAAAAGAAGAGAAAAGTGGTAGTGTGTGAGAATTGGTACTCATTCAGTCAAATCAAAGAAGGAAAAGAGAAATGGAACATACAAACAGGGGATAATCTCAATCCTTTTCAAGAAATGAGAAAAGGGAAAGGACTTCGTTACAAGTGTTCAAACAATCAACATCTTGTTTCTGAGGATTGTGGGCAATCCAAATTTAGAGAATGATATTCAGTGAGGAGAACTTTGAAAGTACAAGCTACTGCATAATACAATGGTACAATAATGATTCTATCTTAAGATGGCTTCTACCGTATACAATCCATGCCCATGTTTCAAAGATTTGAGTTGAAAAGTCCTTTTTTATTGGACACTCTGTAGGTTTAATGTCAAAGTGTTTACCTCTCTGTTCTGTTCTACTGAAACCTTGATCGTAGTGTTACTTGTGTGGATGAATGATCAATAGAACTCGGCTAATCCCTTCGAGAATCTTCCTCAAATTGCGTAATGTTTCCCCGGGATGGGGAACCGTTTTTGACACGAAAGTGATTGATTTGCACTCCTCGCGTTTATCCCGTTCTCTGCAGAAAGAGACCAACCACCTGCTAACAGGCCTTTTCTTTTGACACCTTCGAAAGGGTTTTCCAGCGTTCATTTTGAAGAGATAAACCCGATGCCAGTCCTACTCTGCTCTTGCTTTCACAAAGTTACCTATGTTACACAAGAGTTAAGCCTAAGCCTCATTGCTGATTCATGACCATAGATTTAAGATCAGTTTCACAAATTTACATACAAATACTTCAAATGAAATTCCCCTTGCAAACCCTTTTTTCCTCAAATCTCTCATTGTTTGCCCAGCCGATAATTGCGATAAGAGGCGATTGCATAAAAGCTGTCAATCTCTTCAAAAAACGAGCTCCGATCATCTCGGATATTGTCTCCGCAAATATTTGCATTTAACACAAATCCTTTTACTTCAAAAACTCCAGCAAAAGCTAATAATTTTCCCGAAAAGCCGAACTTTTGAAAATAATCCTTTTAAAGCTAGTCGATGATGAATCTCGTGTACTTTGCTGAGACAAAAAGACTCCAATTGATCACTACTCGGGGAAAGTCGGAAGTGAAAAAAGAAAAATGAGTGTGTGGCTCGTAAATTCTTTCTTTGTCGTTTCATAAATTCATGGTTGGGTCAGCACAAATTCCCAGAAGACACTACGAATTGAGATTGCAATGGAAAAATGAAAAGAAAAAGAAAAGGCAAATCTTTGGGTCATTCAAAGACAAAGTGATGAGGATATTTTGAGGGGGAATTTTGAGGGATAAAGATTTTATGCAAAAATTGTTTTGGCCCTGACCTTTTGCTGAAATTTACTGTCCAAAAACGAATCTTCTCGCAAAATTGGCACCCTCAATCCTTACACGAGCATTCACTTGTATAGGAAATCAAAAAGAAAAACTTTTTCAAGTTTGTTTCCTATTGGTTCACCTTTTTGCTTTTCATATTTCCTGGAGAGTTCTTTTTCGTAGATTCTGTTGTGTGAAAGCCAATGTTTGTCGAGCATTTTCCGAAAGCGAGAAAATAAGTGCGAATAATTGCCATTCTTATCATTTTTCTCTTTTTCCATTTGTTATTGCCTATGTAAATGTGTTTGCGAATTGCCGTCGACAAACTGATTTCAGCAAAAATGAAATGAACACTGAAAATGAGGGGGAAATTGTGGGAAAGGAGCTAATGAAACGTACAAAAATAGGCCAGTCAGCTAGCTTCTGGAAAGGGGAAAATGTGGAGTGAAGATTTTGATGATTTCAGTGAACACGTGTGTCCCCACGAAGAGCTTGAAGTGGTCACAGTGAAAGAACCATGTGTACAGGTTGGATTCAATTTAATATCTAACTAGAGAAGCAAGAAAAGTCTTTAGGCTTACACAAAATATGTGCGATCGAGGAAACCTGGATGTGAGGGTCCTTTCCGAGCGTGTTCCGTTCGACAACCAAAGTAGATAATAGAAAGTCTAAAGTGAATAGCCAAAGCTTCAGAGTTGTCTATTATCACACATACAAAAAAGTGAATCGAACAAGGAGACACACAACAACGGAATGTTGTCCTGGATGGGAAAGGACACAAAATGGATGTCAGAGAGGTGAAAAAAAGTGACTATGACTATGACAGCAAAGTACAGCTTTGTTTCTTGTTTGTGCAATCATTTTCCCCACAACTGCTTTATGACAAAACGCGGAAATTCTTGCTTAATAGGATAAGATCTTATCTCATAAAGGGATGAATCGGAGACGATGAAAGGAGCGGGAAGGCTTAGGACAGATTGTCACTTACGCAAGAACATTCTCTCCTTTTCTTTTATTTATTGCCCCTCCCTAGTTAACCGAATAAGTGACCGGTTGACTGCATTGGGTCATGGTCTTCATCAAACACAGATTGCATTTATTTGAGAGATTGAATTGAAAGACAAAAAGAGGTTTTTGACAAAGAAACAAAAAGGTTGTACAAGGTTGTACAATTTCAGCGAATTGCTCCTCGGATTTGTGCCACAATGGAGGTACGTGTCTTCCAATTCGAAATGGCACCGATCAGTTGTGTGAGTGTGCAACGGGATTCACCGGAGCTCGATGTCAATATGGTAAACATTCTAATTGGACAAAGGTTTCCAATCTATTCTAGATGTAAACGAATGCCTAATCGAAAATGGAGGCTGTGGACATGATTGCGTGAACACGATCGGCACATTCTATTGTCGATGTTGGCCGGGATTTCATCTGAATCGAGATGGGCATACGTGTGATGGTAAAATTCTTGATGATAGTTGAAAGTCAGAACATTCCCCATTTTAGACATCGATGAGTGCGCGGCTTCGAATGGCGGCTGTTCTCATCGATGCATAAATACACCTGGTGGACACAGGTAGCTTACAGATTAGGTTATAAGCTATCAAATTTGAAATATCAGATGCGATTGTCCGCCCGGAAAAATGCTCCATTCAAATGGTCGAAAGTGTGTCGAGTTGAACACATGTGAGGCAGATAATGGAGGATGTGAGCACATTTGTGAGGAAAGAGAACGGAAAGTGAGTTGGCGATTTGCTTTGAATATAAAAAAAGTATTCAGATGTATCGTTGTCGTTGCAAGAAAGGCTATCGACTTGGTGATGATGGAAGAAAATGCATTCGTGAGGCTTTGATTTGAATTTGATTTGAATTTTTAGAATTCCTGGCCTCATCTCTAACTTGCTTTCATTTCAGCTGTCGATCCGTGTTTGGTAGATAAAGGTGGCTGTCAGCATCATTGTGTGAATGACAATGGACGAGCTAGGTGTCAATGCTTTGGTGGATATCGCCTTGGATCCGATCGAAGGACGTGTGTCGGTGAGTTCAAACAAAAGCTAATACTAATCGCAGTTTACTAATAGACAAAAGGAATTAAATAAATTTCTAGATATTGATGAATGTCAACTCGGCTTGGGTGGATGCCAACACGATTGTGTGAACTCGTATGGAGCTTATCGGTAGAATAGAATTCAGTCTAACATTTCTAGAGCTCACTTTTTAGTTGCAAATGCCGCCAGGGTTTCCTTCTTGCAGAGGATGGTCGAAGTTGTGAAGAGAGAATGGGCGGATGTCAGGTACAAATTGACAAAAAATGTCTATGGCAAACCTTCGAGCAAGATAAGCAATATATTGACTAAGTTTCAGGTCGGAAATGGTGGTTGTCACCATGATTGCTACGATCAACCGGGTGGTCATCATATATGCAAATGTCGACAAGGATCACAGTTGATGGCTGATGGAAAAAGTTGCAAAGGTGAGCAAAGATGTGTTGGCCAACTGCAGTCAACTTCAAAGCTCAATAGCTAGAGCATTAAACTAAGCATACTATTAATCCTGTTAAGACATAAAAGCTAAACAGTTTTAACTCTTGGATGATCCCAGAAGTCCCCACTCTTCCCATCCCTTCACCCCTTCATTCATCAAATTCTTCAATCGGCCATCTCATCGGCCGGGCCGGTCCATTTCTCTCGGATTCCTATGAACATTCATCGTGTCTTTCTAATCAAGGACAATGCCACAATTTGTGTATCGATTATTTAACCGGAGAGATTCGATGTGTTTGTCGAAAGGGTTTCCTCCTCAATCAACTCGATCGTCACAGCTGTCAGGGTATCGCAAGTTGTGGAAGAAGATTCGGCACTGATCCCATTCACTCATAGTAGACTGCAATTTCACACTGATTCAAGAAATCTCAACAGCTTGACGTGAAGCCAAAACTTCGAGAAGAGCACTTAAAACTTCACGACTTCTCAAGTCAAAATAGCACAAAGATCTGCAAAGTCCCGCAGTACGCACAAATTCATTTAGAAGTAGTGTGGTGAAAAGCTACAATATAAATCTTTGAGCACTCCTTTCAGATATCGATGAATGTCAAACGGAAAACGCTGGCTGTTCTCAATTATGTGTGAACACTGCTGGGAGTTTCCATTGTGAATGCAAACCGGGTTTCATGCTCACTTACGATGGGAAAACTTGTGAAGGTAATGCAAGCTGTACTTATTGCGATTTCAAATCTTACTTTAGATATCAATGAGTGCGTGAACAACAATGCGGGATGTCAATTTGAGTGCCGAAATAGGGATGGGGATTATGAATGCATTTGTGAAAAGGGATCCGTTTTGGCTGAAGATAAACATACTTGTCATGGTAAGATTTTCAAAAATTGACCGCTTAAAAGGAATGCTTTTTTTTCAACATAAACAGCTAACAAGGAGAAGGAATGACTTGAAATCTTTTGGGGAAGGGGTATTCATAAGGTTAAGCTGCTGCCAAACGTGGCCCAGTGGTAAGTTGCTACGCTACAAGGTGGGCGAGCTGGCTTAGACCATTCTAACTTCTAATACCTTCTAGAACTAATCTAATACTTAGACTTCTAATACCATTTTTAGTTCAGTTTTCTTCTTTTCTTCAGTTCAGTTCTTTTTTTGGTCTTATTACTCTCTTTTGTAAATCAAAACCAATTTTAAATTTATAAATCGTAAGATCACATGATAAATTCAGATGTGAACGAATGTCTGGCAAACAATGGTGGATGTTCTCAGTTGTGCCGAAATGTGAATGGTGGTCATCGATGCGAGTGTTTCAGTGGCTATCTATTAGGAAATGATGGAAGAATGTGCATTGGTAAGGAAAAAAGAAAAGAGTTTAAAAGAAAAGGAGAATTTCAGCGGCCGTTGAAGGCAATAATGTTCAATTAATGAATCGTAAGTGATTCAATTTCTTTTATGCAAAGCTTTTTGTTGATTTTTTGAGTAGATGCGGCTTTTGTGTGGTTTTGCTATATCTCTAGCTTCATAAAACCTGAGACAAACGTAAATCTGATAAAAAGGCAAAGAATAAGTAATTTTCAAGAATAACACTGCAAATTTCTGTTCCTAGAGGCTGGTTAAAAGCTTTCTGTGTGTAGCTTTTTGTTGTCACTTTAGATGTGCATCCACAAGAAAAAGATGAGACAATGATTGGGGATCGAAGTCTCGATGATTTGGTTGATTCACTTGAAGTTGATGGTTTCTTCCGTATACATCCTCCAGATCTTGATGGAGAAAGAGATCTCAATGCAATCACTTTGAATCGAAAACGAAGAGGTCATCACAGCACAGATAGTTTGAAATAAGAAAAGAAAATTGGCTGAATAGCTTTTTGGCCTGAATGGCTTTTTTCAAAACAACTTGTATAGCACGGTTTTTTTTCTATTAAACACTATCTGTTATAGTTCTACTGAAATTGTCTATTTCTGCAGTTTTTCTGAGAATTTTGTTCTAAAGCTTTTGTTTAATTAAACGTTTACTTGTTCATTTCAACAAAAAGTCTACTAACTAATCCTTTCGTTTCAGAATGCGAGAACGGACATTTTGGACCAAATTGCCAATACTCGTGTGATGATTGTCAAAATGGAGGTTTGACCTTAAGTAGACAAAATATGGTCAAACTTTTTCAGCCACTTGTTCGCCAGCACATCCATCGTGTGAATGCACTCCCGGATACACGGGACCGACTTGTGAGGATTTGTGTCCAGATGGCACTTGGGGTAAGTAACTTAATTCCCTCTGGAGCAGAAGAAATCAAGTACATTGTGGTTTACTGGTTAGCACAGTTACCCGGTAAGCGAAAGGTCGCGGGCTCGAGTCCCGGCAGCGCACAAGTTTTTGATCTGTCCTTGTTCCAACTAGCAGACTCCTAGAGTTTGAGTATCTATTATACCAAAATATCTCCGATTTCGACTTTCAGCCAGAACCTTGGGTTTTAGTCAGGTCTAATAGGTCAGATTCTAATTTTTAGGCGTCGGTTGCAATAACGTTTGTGGATGCAAGGATTCTTCTCATTGCGATCCGATCACCGGCTCTTGCAATTGCAACTCCGAGAGCTGTTTGTCGAGTCCATGCAAGAAAGGTCAGTTCAGTAGATAGATTGTAATTTATTGAAAAGCTTAATCAAGCATAGAATAAACCGAATTTTCTTTAGGCTTCTATGGCCCTCAATGTGCCCTTCCTTGTCGAGCCGAGTGTCCATCAGGTGGTTGTGATCCGGTGTTTGGCGATTGTCCTTGTCCTCCTGGGATGTAAGTCAATGTGAACTGAATCTTTTTCAGCTAAAACAATATTAAACTTTAATGAGTTGACACAACACTCGAATCATAAGCTCTTCCAGGTATGGCCCAAAGTGTGACCGTGGCTGTCCATCATTCTCCTTCGGTACAAATTGTCGTCACTCGTGTCGTTGTGTTCGCGAGAACACACAAGTTTGTGATTCAAAGGTTAGCCAAAACTTTCCTTCTTGTTAATCATTTGATTTTAGACTGGAAAGTGCAAGTGTAAAGCCGGTTTCTACGGGCCTTTCTGCAAAAGACCGTGTCCTTTCGGTTTTTATGGACCTTTGGTGAGAAAAGTTGTCAAGCTTTACATTCTATCTGTCTTTCCAATCACCTAACTAGCAAGAATCAAATCAAGGCAAGCAATTTAGTGTGCAAAGAAATGTTCATGTCCAGATGGGACTCGATGTAATCCATCTGATGGAGAATGCTCGCCCGAATGCGCGCCCGGTTTTGTTGGAGCCGATTGTTTACAGAGTAGGAGAGCTGTTACATTCAATCAAAAAGCCAGCACCATTTAGAATTCAACTATTATTTGTAGAGCACTAGTTTTAGACGTAGATTGACTCTTTTAAGTTCTCACTTTTCACTTGTAGAGTGCATTCCCGGTTTCTTCGGTCGAGGCTGTGAGGGGAAATGTGCGTGTGGACCGGATCAACCGAAAGTTTGCCACCATATCACTGGAAGTTGTACTTGCTCTCAAGGGTACACTGGAGATCGTTGTGATACGCGTGAGTTTCGTGTAAACAAACACATTTAATGCAAAAGATGAGTGCTAAAAATTAGTTAAGAATGTTCACTTTGCACTTATGATATAAGAAAGCAAGTTATCTTGCAAGTAGTAATGATCAAGACTCAAGAATCAAGCTAAAATTAGATTATTTCAGCTTGTCCTCCCGGTTTATACGGAGCAAATTGTGGATCGGAATGTCAGTGTAAACATGGAGCGATTTGTGACTCAAAGGATGGAACTTGTGAATGTCCACCTGGATATTACGGAGCAACTTGCTCGGAAGGTTGGGCTTGTCGTTTTATAATAATTTGTAAGCAAACTATAATTCAACTATTTCTCTTTAGTTTGCCCCGCAGGCCGTTACGGGCGAGAGTGCATGCGCATTTGCAATTGTCACAATGGGGCCAAGTGTAGTCCAGTAGATGGAAGGTAATCTTTCACAGATGTTATTAAGAATTTATCGAATCAATTGCGTAAAAATGTGAACATATGTGAACATAATAAAATTAGTAAATCTATTATCAAAAACTCCCGTTATAAGTCGCATAGTACAGTGTCTTTGAAAACAAATTCCAGCTGCACGTGTCAACACGGTTATACCGGGAAAAGCTGTGAGATTGGTTGTCCTCGGGGTACTTTTGGAGACAATTGCTCAAAGGTGATCTATCTAAATCCATTTATGATTTCCCAAAACAATTTCAAAACATTCAGGCTAGTCTACTTATAAAACAACAATATTCTAGCAATGTGAATGTGCCGATCATATGACGTGTGATCCAGTGGACGGGGAGTGCATTTGCCCGCCCGGGAAAAGAGGACAAGATTGCTCTGGTATAATTTAAATCTAAAAAGAATATCTAGCCTAAATATCTAATGTCTATGCTTTATATTCAAGACTTTATGACTAAAAATCTCTTCAGAAAACTGCTTGGAGGGGATGTTCGGCGCTGGTTGTAAGGGTAATTGTAGTTGTGCAAATGGCGGGAAATGCGATTCGAGAAATGGTAAGTAAAATCGAAACTTTTTCAAAAAGTCTTGAATCAGGTGCTTGTAAATGTTCATCGGGTTGGCGGGGGAAATATTGTGATCGTCCGTGTGCTGATGGACATTTTGGAGAGGGATGTAAACAAATTTGCGATTGCTCGGCATCAAGTACGTTTCTTGATCTCTCAAAAGGTTATATTAGGTTGTCCAATAAGTAATGCGTGTTTTGACACGTTTTTCAAAATATCACAAAATTAACAAAAGAGAACTTTATTAATCGATATATTCTCCACAACAATCAACAACATTTCTCCATCGTCCGAGCAAAGAGTGAAGTCGGTCATAATAGAATGAAGCTGGTTTCGATGAGTAACATCGAAATAAGTAACACGCATTACTTATTGGACAACCTAATAGAATTCCAACAGAGCTAAAAATAATCAAAGGCAATAGCTAACTTTTGTTTACAGATGACACAGAGATCATGAATCCATTCTCGGCTCGTTGTGATCACATAACCGGCGAGTGTCGATGTGCCGGTGGATGGGCTGGTCCTGATTGTGCTACTCCTTGCCCACCAGGAAGATGGGGACCCGGATGCAAGGTAAATATAAACATTTCCAAAGCCTACTTATTACAAGACGCAAAGTTTGTGTATGTGTAAAAGGATAAAGAGATTTTGAAATGAATATCTTCAGGCTGAGTGTAAGTGCTCAAATGGAGCTAGTTGTGACAGAGTGACTGGCTACTGTGATTGCCCCACTGGATTCATGGGAAAGAACTGTGAAACCGGTGAGTGCACTGAGTATTTTAATGTCTAAAGTTTATTCAGATTGCCCATCGGGACTCTTTGGTCCAAATTGTATCAATCATTGCTTGTGCATGAACAACGATGGATGCAATGCAAAGACGGGGAAGTGTAAATGCAATGACGGATTCACAGGACCGGCTTGTGAATTTTGTGAGAAATAAGCTTTCTTTTAACAAAACAGTATTGTTTAGTGTGTCCGTTTGGGCAGTATGGACCGGAATGCACAAAGAAATGCGATTGTATGAATGGAGCGAGTTGCAATCGGACGAGTGGAGAATGCGCTTGTTTGCCTGGATGGCAGGGAACGAGGTGGGAGCTTGAGATTATGAAAGCAGTGATTCTAATCATAAACCAATCATTGGTCAACAATTGATCCAATTCCAGGTGTGAGATCCCATGCACATCAGGACTCTTTGGGTTGAAGTGCGAAGAAGTGAGTCATTGATGTTAATATTTATATGCTAAAACGGAAAGCATTCAAACATTTATAGGTGTGTCAATGTGAGAACGGTGCCTCATGTGATCCAATCAGCGGACATTGCAGTTGTGCACCCGGGTGGAGAGGGAGAAAATGTCAACGACGTGAGTTAACAATAACGGAAACCATAGGCAAAAATCGATTTGCTATAGGAGATTCGCTATATTATACTTGATTACAGTGCCACCAGTTTTTTAAATCAGATATTTAGCCTGTCTAAAGGGTTACTACGGTCGAATGTGCTCTCAAGCGTGTAAATGCTCAAATGGACGACCATGTGATCACATAACTGGAAGATGTCAATGCCCTCGTGGGTTCACCGGGCACAGCTGTACAGAGGTTGGTCATAAACAAATGTTAAAGTGATTAGAAACTTGGAAGTTGGAGAATTTCATGCAGTACATCTCACATTTACAGCTATGCCCTGAGGGAACCTATGGAGATGCGTGTCGGCATAATTGCACTTGTGGAGAGAATGAGGAATGCGATCCGTTGTCTGGGAGATGTCACTGCAAACCTGGCCATTCAGGGAATGACTGTAAACAAGGTCCGAACAACAGAAGTTTACTCTTCACGCAAAACTTTCAGGATGTATCATGGGCCGATTCGGGGTGGATTGTGAAGAAGAGTGTCAATGTCAGAATGGGGGTAACCATTTAGAGGAGCTTCATTGTATCATCAATTGCAGGTGTTTGCGATCCAAGCAATGGAGCGTGTAAATGTCCACCGGGATTAATCGGTACTCGATGTGAGGTTGAGTGCCCGGTGAATCGTTTCGGAGAAAGGTATAGAGAACTCTGTATTAACTTTATATTAACTCTAAAGCTTTAAGTTGTGAGAAGGAGTGTCGTTGCGAGAATGGAGGGACGTGCGATCGAGCGAATGGACAATGCAAGTGTGCACCTGGATTCACCGGGGTCGCTTGTGAGCAAGGTGGGTTATGGCTAAAAATTCAGCATCTTTATGCTGACAATGCTGACAGGAAATGCACCGAGTCAAGCTGGCCTTTTGGCTTGAGACCAAGTCCATCCATGGGAATCTCGAATCCGTTTTTAGTTTTTACAGAACGCTTTGCAAGCGCGAGATATCTAAATTTCGGACTCCTTAGGAGGCCGCCACACTTTCCCTCAAAAACTGCTTCGGTGGTCTAGTGGATAATCTGGTGGACTACCGAACCTGTTAAATTTTTGTCCTCAAGTTCGAAACTGAATGCTCAAAAATTGCATGCTCTTGACTTTAGTTTGTCCGGAGGGTCGTTTCGGAGCCGGCTGCAAGGAGAAGTGTAAATGCGCGAATGGGGCACACTGTGATCCGGCGCATGGGCAATGCAGGTGGGTGAAACTATATCTTGGCTATAGTATCCTTGGCAAATAAACAAAGAAAATGATGGTATTCTTGAATTACTGGGTTTATAGATGCAATCTTGGCTACACAGGACCCTATTGTGAGCAATCGTGTTCGGCTGGAAAATACGGAATGAATTGTAGCCTTGATTGTGAATGTCATGGAGATGCTAGGTAAACATTTTTACTAATAATACACTACTCTCTTGTCAATGAATATCAAAAAAACTAGATGTGATCCCGTGCAAGGTTGCTGTGATTGTCCACCCGGCCGATATGGGACAAGATGTCAATTTGGTTAGTGAGCTCAATGATGTCATAGCTATCAAATAATTCAATAGCACTAATCTCTTCTAGTCTGTCCAACGGGTTTCTTTGGATGGTATTGTTCACAAGCGTGTCACTGTCACAATGGAGCAACGTGTGATCCAGGAGATGGACGATGTCTCTGCCCTCCTGGATTCATTGGAGATCATGTAATGCTTTAAATTTATAATATTATCTTAAATATGTATTTAGTGTGAGATTTCGTGTCAAAACAACACTTATGGACCGGGATGTCGCTTGGAGTGTGACTGTGGGGAATTTGGGTGTCGATCGAATGATGGCACTTGCGAGTGTCCACCCGGAAAATCGGGACCAAAGTGTGAGCAGAGTAAGTTGACAAGTGAAAGACAATTCTAGGAAAAAGCAATTCGATTTTACGCATTTCAGATTGCCGATCTGGAAGATATGGGGAAGATTGTAAGCACAAATGTCAATGCTACAATGGAGCGTCATGTGATCGCCGAATGGGGAAATGCCATTGCGCTCCCGGATATCTTGGACCGACCTGTCAAGTTGAAATTAGAGGTAGTATCTGATTCTTGTAAAAGAATATAAAAAACGTTCTTGTTTTTCTTTTAGAAGCTTTAAATACTACAATATTTATGAGTACAAAGAGACCATCCAGGTGAGTGAATGAAGGAAGAGAGTCACCGAAAATAGAATCACCTAGAATCACTTTAAAGTTTGATTGTTATTGGGACACAAGATCACTTATAATCAAGTAGTGAATGATAGATTTTTAAGTTGAAATATTTAGACGAGAACAGCGTACCCGATCGAGGGGATTTGCCGGATGATTTTGATCCGAATATCGATTGGAAAAAGAGAAGAAGAAGAAAAAGATCCGTTGAACCGTCTTTCATTCTGCCATTCACAAATATAACAATGAATTTTGATGAGGACTAGGATTATTTATAGAATAATTGCCTTCTACTTGTCGTTTTTCTTTTAACCAAATTCTTTATACTGAACAGCCCAGCTTTCAATAGCATTTCGACTAGACTTTACTCCCCGGAGCTCAATTACCATTGCCTAAATGTTTCTCCTCCTTTTTCTTGTTTATTTTTTGCTTTTAAGGCAATCAGGGTTGATTTTCTTTTTAAAAAAACGTAGCTCTAACATTTTTGATCATTCTTTTTTGGATCTCTTTAAGTCGATTCATTTCTCGAAATCTTTCATTTTTCTTGCATTTCTCCACACTGCCACCTTGCCTCAAGCAATTTTTGCCTAATTTTTTCATTAGTCACTTTAGAACAAAGGCTTAAGATCTTAGAAGTTAAATTATCTCTTTTTAAACGTTTTTAAACCCTAGAGATTAGTAAAAGATGATTTTGAGCCTTTGTTTCATCACGCCTGTTTCATTACCCGAAAAATGTCGCAACCCAAGAAATCCCGAGTGTTTTGCAAAAGTTTTCCAGACCTTTATTGTTGTGCTTTTTTTTCTTTAACTTAATTTGCAAATAAAATGTGTTTATCTTGTTTTTGTTTATTCACAATGATACAGTACGAAAAAAGTAGAAGAAGAGATCAAACGAAGGGAAAAGAATGGGGGGAAAACCGATAGAAATTTACAGGGTAAGTACAGGTTTGACAATTCGTGCAAACGGATAAAATTATGTAGCTTTTGCTTACATTCACCTGCTTTAGTGAACTTTTGGTGGGTTCCAAGTGAACTTGGAGTGTCCAATGCTTAAGCAATAAGTCTTTTAAGTCAGGTTAGCCAATAAGTCAGCAATAAGTCAGGTTAGCCAATAAGTCTTTTCGTTCCTTTTCATACTTCCATTTAAAACCAACAAATGCACCAATTGAACATACCGTAAATACTGTAATAGTACCCCACCCCCATAATGACGGTGTTGAGTGTTGCGTAGTCTAGCTTTGAACGAGTTTTTCTCGACACTGGTTTATGCTACAATGCGCGCTTAGGCGTCAAAAAATAGCCCTGAATTTCAGCTATCTTTTGATACCAAAGACGCATTTTTTGAAAGTGTGGGCGCTTTGAAAAAATGAAATACTAAAAAACTTTTGCGACTACGCGACTGTACGAGGGGGGTGGGGTACTATTACAGTATTTACGGTAGGTTAATTGGTGAATTTGTTATGTTAAATACGAAAAGGAACATAAAGACTTATTCACGAATCGAATAAAATTCAAATCGAACTTCAAGCGTTCTTTTTCACATCAAGATATAAATTCTTCCTGCTCTCCTCTCCCAACAATTCAGCCAATTCTGCTTTCAGTTCAGCATCCCTCGTTTCTTTTTCTTTTCTCTCAAGATCATTCCCATTTGATGTTCCTTTTTGTAGCATTGGAGAGATGGGTCGCAGTGTTGACAAAGCATCAGACATTGAGTCGACCTCGTGATGGATCTGAAAACTCTCCGTTTAAAATCGAATTTTTACTATTTTTTCGTCTTGTTCTACCAGAAGTCTTCCATTCAGAAAGCCTGTTTTTGTTCACTCACCAAATTGTCAAGCATGACAACGAGATTCTTCCGATGATGTTCCTTCGACAAAAGTTGTCGTTGTGCCGGCCTCTTTTCGACGCACCAAACGGGCTAAATTTGGCGAATCGAATAGTACAAAAATCCGCATTGGCAACCTGTCTTTGAGAAATCGGTTTCCGTGTAAGCAACTAGCTCCAAATCACAGCTAAAACCGGAGTTAGTTACGGATACGATTTCTCACAAACTTTCCAATAATTGTATTGAGTTGGAGGATATCATTGTTGAGTTTATTCATCGCTCGAATCACTCTCTCTTTTGCTGTCCCTGAAGTGTCAATTGACTCTTTTGGGAGTGGTGGCTCGTCATAGGAAGCTTCCTGGAAAATGTCTTTTAAAATACATTTATTTACATAAATAATGTGGTCATTGTCTTTGATGAAAAGAAAATATTTATCTTATCTAATTAATCTAAAACTTTTGTTGTCCCTCGTTTCAAACCTGTTTTCGTGTTTTCTTCCATGAATAATAGCAGACAAAAGCGGCCACACCGAGTATCCCAACTGGTATCGCCACCTTCAGCACTCGTTGAGTGACATCTGAACTATTAACTATTATCATTTCACTGTTATCATAGTCTTATGATTTGAAAGATTTACCGCAATATTGCTGTGCGCAGAATTGCTCCCACGTTAGTTTGGCCATTCTGAAAACGAAGGAATAAAAAAGCAATAGAAAGCAAGAACTTGCTTGTTTGTTTATTTGAAAAACTGAAAAATAGGAAATAGAGAAAAGATTCTAGGACCTAGGAGACATTAAATGAGAGAGTATGGAGGAGAGGGAGAGCTTTGGGGGAAAAGGGGAGCCCCACTCTCTCTTCTCCACACAATGCGCATAAACAACAACCACAAAGGGCATTCTCTACACGCTGTCGACTACTCTTCGGGTATCCATCTTTTCAAAAAGCTCACGCACATTGAATTTGTTCCACTTTGACTATTTAATTGCTGTAATTAACTACGTTTATTTGCCCAATCGATGTGATTAGTTACCTAATCAAATGTCTATCCTATTTTGTTCTGGATCTTTTGAACCAGCTAAATCCTCTGCGCTTTACATGACTATAAATTTAAAGCATTTTTCAAACTTTCCATCCAAGTCAGAGATCTTTGAAGTGTCAAAGTGTCAGATTACACACTTTTCTCTAGAAAATGAGCTTTAAAACGAGCTAGATCATGAATCAAAAGCGTAAAATTTTCGTTTTCGTTACTACCACCGCGATATTTTCAAAGAATTTGAAACAATGAATGAACTTACAAATTTTCGAGACATTCCCTTTCGTCAAGATATCGATATACAGCTGAGTATCGTGAGATCTCATCGAAGAAATCTTTGGACAAAGTCGATAGCATCGAATCGCTGAAATTGCTTTAGAAAAAATGAAATGCCAAGATTTAGCCAAATAAGATAAGCTAACAGATAAAAACGCAACAAGACTACTTACTAAAGTTATCTGGCAAAACCCCAAAATAGTTAGCAGCTGGTCCGAGAAAGGAAAAGGAGTAGCCAAGCATGTGCTAGGGGGAAAGGGGGAAAGAGGAGAGGTCACGCGACAATCCCCATCCTCTTTTCTCTCACACTGATCCACCCTCACAACATCATTAACCACAAAAATGCCTGTGAAAGAAAAAAGATCAAAGATTGGACAAAAACACCTGTATAAAAAGTTTTTGAAGAACTGTTCCAGAAATCCGACTTTCGATCAATGATTGAGAGATGGGGAAATGAGAAAACATGTAACCATCACATTAGAGAACTTTGAAAGGGGCTAATTTCGTGAACTTTCATGGTATTTACGGGTTATACCCGGCAACTCTTCTTATTTCAAGTCTTATTTCAGTCTTATTTCAAAGTCAGTCTTATTTCAAAAGATCATAGAAAAAATGATGCAAAATGAACTACCGGAAACTTACTAAAACTAGTATTAAATTAGAAAGAAGTATTAGAAAACTTTCAACTTTTCGGAGATTTTGATCAAAAAGTGAGTTTCTTGTCGATTTCCCCCATCTCTTGTAGCAACTCAAAAACAAACAGAACATTTTCTTTGGGAGAAATCAAACCCTTTCTTTCAATAAGTTTTTGTCGGATTTGACAACGGGTAAACCTCCCTGATTACAAGTTCAAAAAACTTTGTCATGAATGTGTTAATGTTAGTTTTTCTGGGAAAAGATTGACTATTCTTATTCGCTATCTATTCCGTGTGGTTGATACGTGACTATATGTAACTTTTTATTGCTATTTACCGGAGTAACACAGTTTGAGACACAAGGAAAAATGACTAGAGGGGTAAGAAGGAGAAGATTTTTTTGAGGGTAAGTTAGCCGTTCGAATGCTCATCCGCATTTGTGGCGGTTTTGTCACGGTATCCGATTGAGATGAGACTTTCGTTAAACCGTAAACTGGGCGAATTTCGGACATCGATCTGGGAAGAAAAATGCTTTTTTTAAAAATACCATGATTCTTTTCATTAGTTCGCTTTTAAATTTGTTCACTTCACATCAGTGAATAGTTTTGAACAGTGGACGCCGATGAATAGACTTCACTACCGGTAATTGTTGACGATGTAGCAGATCGTTGAAGATCCGATGATCGATAGGAATCTCAAAAAATATACAAGTATATTTTCATCTATTTCTATCATCAATCCTAATAAAAACGGATACTTGGTCACTGGACGTTTCGGAAGTACAGTCAAAATTGTGTGATCAACCTAAATAGTTGGGTATATTTCAACAAAACAGGTCACTGCTACTATTTACAGGCATCTAAAGCATATAAATTAAACATTTTTCGATAGAATTTAAGGGTAAGCTAAGTTCTACTGTCACTCTACCAATACAGAGATGCCGAGTCGGCTTGCCAGCAACAGGACGCGCACTTAGTCTCTACTCACTCCGACGAGGAAGACGATTTTATTTACGGTAAACATAACCTATTTAATTTTAAAATTTCTTTAAATGATTTAAAAAAGGTTTAAGGATTGATTTGGCCGGAAAGTCTTGAAGTCTTTTTGAAATGTCGTCCGCCTTTTCGTTTATAAATGAATAATTCGCCGATAAACGTGTGTTTTACTTTAAATAAAATAAATAAACTATTTCATTTAGCTCATTTTTAGGCAAATTTGACTTTGTTTAAAGCAAATCCGAACGAGCAAATTTTGTTTTTCCTCAAAATCCTTACAATGGACGCTAGAATGAAATCGGCTGAATCAATTTCTCAGAAAATTTGTCTATCTACCTAACTTTTCATTCTCTATCTTTTGTCTTTTGACACAAAAATAGATTTCTGTGACAAAAGATGCTCAAATCGAAAGCTCAAATCGGAGTCTCATCGTTTTTGACTACTCGACTTCACAGCTTTAAAAAAATTAACTAACGCGAGCTTTTCAAAATTTCTTAAAGGGCAATTTGTAAATAAATAATAGAGGAATTTCTGATAAAAATGATAGGTTGATTGGTTCATTATTTGTTTCAATAACCTTTAAAAAAGCAAACAAGACTTTCCGGCCGACCTGATATTTGAAGCTCGAGTGAAAAGTTGAAAGTTGAGAGTGAATCCCCTTCTACATACTTTGTTGTGTTTTAGAGTTGATCCCATCACGTGTCGCCTATCAAATGGCAGTCTTCAGAGATCATAAACCGTGTGATTACGCGTTTCATTTCAGCTTGTGATGAAATTCGGTGGGGTTGGGACGATCGTTATTTAGAATACGCTCGTTTTATGTGCAAAAAACTCCCACAGAGTTAACAAGAAAAACTATTAAACGAAAAACTTTCTTGTCGTTATGCTGCTTTTGATGAAACAACACGGAAAAACTTTGCTCGAAATGGCATCAGTCAAAAGTCAAAAGTCTTTTTGTAGTCAAAAACTTTCAGTGCAGAGGATAGATTTTAGAAAAACTTTATTAGTCATGGCGTATATAAATCTGTATATCACTTGAATTGACTGTTCTTCTAATCGGTGAGTTCATCAGCGTCAAACCAATGCGAGTTTTGTCGAACAGCAGCTGCTGGTGTCTCAGAGATAGAAATATGACAGAAACCATCAAAATTTCGTTGATACCATTTATCTTTAAGCATTGAATGGCTCTGTTCAACGATATTGATCCCTTGCAATACGATGACAACAATTGGCCCACTCAGCCACCAATCGATAAGTGAATGGAAAGATGAATGTTTCTTTTGTTCTTGGAAGTGTTTCTCAAGGTGATCCCTTGATGGAAATACTTGTTTCAAAGCCAAAATTCGATAGCCACGATTCTCGAATAACTCCAGCGTTTTCCCAAGACATCCATTGCTTGTTGCTTTGACGAGAATTACCGTCTTTTCAGCGTTTCCATTGAAATTCGGCGCTTCTAGAAATGACTGCTTTGCAGCAGCACTTCTGTACATAAAAGTTTAGCAAGAAATAAAAGAAAAGAATTCTTTGAGAGATTTCTTTTGATTCGGGATTGAGGGATTTGGGGTTTCTTTTCGTGGAAAAACTTCAAAAAGCAATTTCCCCGAAAAAGAAAAAGCTAATAGTAAATCAATAAGCACTTTTGGAGGTGTTGGCTTTTCGAAATTCTCAACACAATACAAATCATTGCTACAAAGTACGTCATGAATTACACATCATAAATTCTGCTTATTTTTTTAGCTTTTTACTTCTAAATCTCAATTTTATTAATCATAGGCACAAAAAATCTTTCAAATACAACATAGGGATTAAAAATTTTTAAAATGCATAAGCTTAGGTGAGAATTACAATTAAATTAAGCCTTCAACTCAAAAAACTGAAATGAGATGAATCTTTTCAATTCAATGGCAAGGAAATTCAATGACAAGTCCATTCTTGAGATTTGTTTCATTGTGCTCCATTCAATGGAAACCACCAGGCACTTTTTATGATGGGAATGTTGAGGATGATGTTGTTGAATGTGCACAATAAGTGCAAGTGCTATTCTATGGTTGACCGTTCATGCAAAAACCTTTTGTAAAGCATTCAGAGTTACCGTTTCTGGGGAAAAAAACGCAAGTTTCGACAAACCGACAAAACTCACGGCCATCAATCAATGACAATCAATGACATTCAATGACAATGACATTCATTGATGCAGTATTAGAATTCAAATAACACCATTGTTCTTTCAAACAAAAAACTGAACAGAAAAACATTTATTTTCTTTCTTTTGCTTAATTTCTTCTTCGAAACACAAGATGAAGGATTGTCTCTCGAGTTAGATGTCTCGATGAATCACCAAGTTCACAATTACATTCTTCGTGTAAAAGATGAACATATACTTGGCTAGCTTTCTATAAAATAAACTGACTCTTAAATTTCTGAACTTTTACCAAAACAATTTCAATAAAAAGCACTCCAGTGGCCACTCCTAATAGAATCAAACATAATCGATAGATTGGCCATAGATAGATAATTCGAAGTTCGAAAAAGAACTCGTTTGACGAGTCCAACCGAAAATATCGTTGCATCGGTTGGGTGTATCTGAAATGAGAGAGCTCAGAAGTTATTTCAAGTGACAATGATCAAATTCCAAATGTAATTCAGTGAATAGATAACGAAAGTTGTTTCCTTGTACGATGTACAGTTCCCAGTACGATGTACAAATGTACGATGTACAGTTCCCAGTACGATGTACAAATGTACGATGTACAGTTCCCAGCTAGAGTTCAAGTGTCTTTAAGTGCCTCTCACTCACTCATGCTGTTTCAAAAATTGTCCTCAATCTGAAATAATGTGCTTCAAAAGTTTAAAAAATAAACTACAGTAAACTCTCGATACAATGGAACTCTATATAGCGGAAAAATAAATAATGGCATTAAAATTTAGTCCCCAGAATGCGTTTCAACAAAAACTAACAAAAAACTCTATATAGTAAACAAAATTTTTTATCCCCTTGAAGTTTACTAAATTGAGAGTCGATCGTACATGCAAGATCTTTAAAAACAAATAAAATAATCTTAAACGATTAAACTAATCTTAATCAACTAACCTTGATCACTCCAAATTTCGAAGCAACATTTACCTGTTCGCAAAATTCTCATAAGATCCCTGCATCTTGCTCAGCGCTGTGTTGAGTCGCTGGAGGACATTGTTGAGACGTCTATTTGTTAGATTAGTTTAGCTACAATTGTCATCAAACTGTCATCAAACTTGTTCACAGCAAAAGCAATCATTCCTGGTTGCAATGTGACATCTTTTAGAAATAAAAGTTGGTATTTTCTATCTAAAACCGAGAAATCCGATTGAATTAAGTTGTTTTGGACTCCGGTGAGCAAGACTCGTTTAGGAAGAAAATACTAAATGAGGATTGAAAATGAAATTTAAAAGTCGATCTCCGAAATCACCTCTTGTTCAACGTTTCCGCTGAAGTTGAACGCACTAAATTGACTTGTTTAAGTAAAAGTTTCATTGGAACTTTTTAAAGTGCGCTTCAAGTCGGTGACATTGGGTTGGATTGTGACAGAAAGAGTGATAATCCCATCCGATTTCTTGTTGAAGCATTAGGCGCCAACCTGAAACATTTGAAAACACTTTATTTATGATTTCATCGTAAACAGTGATTAAAATTTTGTTGGTTTACTTTGAAAGTACTTTGTTTTTTGTTTGTTTTGTTTTTGTTTGTTTGTTTACTTTGAACAGAACCATTTGGGTTTTCACGTTTTTAAGATTTAAGTGATTAGCTCCAGAAAGCTCCAGAAAGCTCCAGAAAGCTTCAGAAAGCTCCAAAAGAACAAGAAGTACACCAGCTATGATTTTCCAGCTATCGACTTCTCACCTTTATGATCAAGTGCATCTAATAAACCTTCTAACGTTTGAAAATCATAGCTGAAAAATAAAATAGACAAATTTAATCGATAGTCAAACCCCTTCTTCGAGGATAACATCAAATTACTCTTCATGGCGCTTTCAAAATATAAAATAAAAAAGAAACAAAACCATATCCAAGAGATCGTGAAAATCGAGTTGACCGTAGTGAATTTTCTGTAACAAATTTGAATGGTCTTGAGGATTTTTGTACCTTTTCAAATCTCCATCTTGTTTCAAAAGGAGTCTTATTGAATATAATAACCAAATCGGATAATTTTGATGGTAACCAGAGGAGATCCACATTAATAGAGGGCTAAAATCGGTGAATGAAGCCAAATTCGTCCATGAAACCTGAACAGAAGTGCTAAAATGGTGATCAGAATCACTTCAGCAGACAATGAATGGAGAATGTACTCTTGGACCTTGGATCCATTGTTAGTTTCGCAAAAAAATCCTCTTGAATTTACATGTAAATCCTCGACTTCCCGAAAAACGAATCCATAGGAGATGTAGTTGATTGGAAGGGTGAAATCGACCTAGAGAATTTGAGAACTAATTTGTGAGATTGAGTTCAAGTTTCATTGAATACAATGGTAAAACAAAAGATAACAAAACCTCAGCAAAGCAAAGCAAAGCCTCCAGCTTAACTAACTTCTCTTTAACTATCATTAACTATTTTGTTCTTTTAGATCTGTTTATCAAAGTTTTTCCAGAAAATCTCTACCAACTTGTTCCATTCTTTTGGCGCTTAAAAGCAAAGCATGGACAGACATATCGGCACTTCCATTCTCAATCATCAAAAGAGCCTCTTGTGGTGGATGATTTTCAGGGATTACCTATAATTACATTCATTTGATCGACAATTCGACCACCTCAGCCTCCAATCCGGCTATTTTCAAGGCACAATTCAGATATTCGACATCGCTTCCCGGATTTCTACACGACATATTCCAACAGCTGAATAAAGTGATTTAATAAGGAAGAACAAAGAAACCTTTGGCTGAAACTCGTCACAACACCATCGGACATGTAGCCAACAGTTCGTAGCTTCATTTTAATCAAAAAGAGAGATACGATTTGACAAATAAAGTTGTTGGCGAACGGAGGGGAAACACTGCTTAATTATTAACAACTGGCTAATCCAAAGACCAAAAAGAAACAGAGTGTCATATTTCTTTGATCTAAAAAGCTGTTTCTCAGGTGTTTTTTTAACGAAAACAGATATTAGTGCTTACGGATTAAATCCATTTTTTTGATTCACCGATTGAGCAAGCTTTTTTAATTTTTGGCAAACACGATTACTCCGTACTTTACCTTATTTGAGGCAAGTTCAAGACGTTCGTTGAGATTCAAAAATGAGTACCTGAATGTCTCAAAATAGTCCCCAAAAAATGACAAACTAAATAAATAGCTGTAGAAGAATTTATCACGACAGTAAAAACACCAAATAGGGAATCGTTTTTTTGGTATTTCATAATTTTTTCCGAGGTTTATCTTTTCTCTTTCTGACAGACGATGAGATGACATTTTGAATGATTCGCTGAGGTCCGAGTTGGCCTATCACATTTATATATTCGACTCAATTGGACATAATTGATATATCCATTGCTGAACGTGTACAACTCTGGTTCAACTATACGCTCCTAAATATACAGAAATTTCACTGGCTATTTCTCTCAATTAAAAAAGCGCATCGCAAAAAAAAGTAAAAAAGCTTCCATAAAAAAATTATGCTTTTCCTTTAGAAAAAACTATTTAGAGCAGTGAAATGGGCAAAGCGAAGTTTTGTCTTTTCTTCTTCTTTCAAATGTTTCCGATGATCAATTTGTTGTTAACGGGCTATTCATTCATCGAAACTCAACAATTCCATTTCTGTATTTCTCAGAAAGTTGTACGTTCGATCTTTTTGGGAAATATTTTATAGTAATAATTTGGATTCACGCGTGCCTTGGTCGTTGAGTTGTTCGGCCATCACTCGCTGTTCGGTCATCGAATCACTCATTCATTTTCAAGTTTGAGTATTCTCTGCTTAAAATACGAAATTCGGATAAACGTTTCTTAGAGAAAATTAATAAAGTCAACACTTATGACAAGCATCGAATTTGATAAGAGCATGTCAGCATCGAATTTGATAAGAGCAAGCATGTTCAATACTGCTTGCCAGAATAATTGGTTTCAATTTCCCGATAATCGTCAAAAAGATTGAAAGTTGTAAAATTTTATAAACTCTCTACAAGAAAAACAAACAAAAAATGTGAATGAAATCCATTGTTTGACAAATGACTTTGAAGCTTTATGCGTTCAAGGTGGCTTTTATGTTGCAAGAAATTTCAAAGAAAAGTCATGAAATCTCACCGCTGGTATCGACTCATTGGAATTACTTCGATTTTTACAAATACTTTGACCAACTTTGCTCAAAAAAAGAATGTCTCTCTATGAAAAAGTGTTTCTGGATGGAGCCGAAGGGGCTTCTGGGCAGATCTATTTGCTGAAAAACTTTGATCCGTAAGTTTTTTTGTTACAGGGGTTCTTTTAGCTAGAAATCGTTTTTATTTCCAGTTTGGCAGTGATGAAATGCTATAAATCAGATCAATTTGCGAAACTTCACATGGCCTCAGAGATCGAGAGTCTAAAAGCTGTCCGGCACAAGCACATCGTGCAATATTTTGGGGCTCGAGACGAGATTCTCGAAGATGGAGAGGCCATTAGTGGAGTAATTATGGAATATTGTGAAAGGGGATCACTCGATAAATGTAAATGTTTTTGGGTTTATTTTGTCCATCAAAAATTTCAGGGATATTCAATCCAACAGCCAAGTACACGGTGAAAACGGTGCTCACCTGGGCTGAGCAGTTATTGAGGGCGACCGAATATCTTGAAGAGATCAAAAGGCTTCACAATGATATCAAAACAGAAAAGTTTGTTACGGAAAATTGAGGGAAATACAGTACTGGACAATGAAATATCATATTTGAAAAATGATCGTCACGTTCGCACGTCTGTAACTTCCTTGTCTTTGAGTTTAAACTATTAGTGTTATACATTTTCTGAAAGCTCTTTTCAAGGGCTACACAATGGTAATATTAATATTTAGAAATACCGTATTTTTGACGCATTTCAGGGCGCGCAAAAGTGACGACCTTTTTTCAAATATGATATTTCGTTGTCCAGTACTGTATATGTGCCTAAAAAATGACTTGAGAAAGCCTTGCTTTGTGAAAGTATAAACTCAATAGTAAAAGTCGAATGTCGAACTACAATAAAAAAAAAAAAAAAGGGATTTCAGGAAACCTTGATTCAATGCTTAAACTTTAGCATTCTGGTGACACAGGATTTCAATCTGAAACTCGGTGATCTTGGATTGAGCACAACCATCGATGAGCATTCATCAAACTTCTTTGGAACCCCTCGTTTTATGAGTCCCGAAAGGATCAAAGACGGAAGCGTTTGTTCGATGAAAGCCATTATCATCAATTTTTCTTTAGATTTCTTTCAAAAGTGACATTTATGCAATCGGACTCATTTTGTGGGAGATCATCACAAGAAGGTTAGACGGGTTTTAAAATCTAGCTATAGTTAGACTAGCTAAAGTTAGACGGGTTTTAAAATCTAATTTTAGAAAAATATTTATGAAGTTTTTTCATGGAGGAGTCTTCCACATAGACGAGCTACTGGGTGACGAGGTCTCGGGGAAAGATCTGAAAGCCATTGAGCCTCTCGATTGTCTTCAAAGTCTTCAAAGCATTGTGTTCGGGTTAGAATCATGTTTTAGCCCATTTCCAAATGCATTTCAGATGTTGTTTTTTCGATTCGAATTCCCGCTTGAGTGCTTCAAAAGCTTTACTTCTTTGTGACGACTCGAAACAGGTTACCCAGAACGAACATTGTTGTTTCTTATTGTTAAAACAATTTTAGTCAATTGTCGACTATGATAAATATGATTTCCGTCCAGAAATTCTTGACTTGAACTTGGACAAAGATGATGATCAAAAATTGATTCGTCCTATTGGATTCAATGGAACAAATGAAGAGGTGTTTGTGAATAAAGAAACAGACGCTCCATGGTCATCCTCGTATAAGAATAAAAAATTGTGGTCAACCGATGAAGTTCCACGAGAAGAAGCTTCACAAGAAACAGACGAACTTCGAGAGACACTTTGTGGAGAAGCGTTGCTGGAAAAACTTTTGAAGCAACGAAATCATCAACACTTGAGAAAACTCGTCAATGGACATCCTGAAATCAGAGACTTTTTCATTGGCAAAGAAAGCGTTGAAATGAGCGAATACATTTCACTGGCTTCAGCCGTAATCAAATCGAAAGTTGACGAGCAGTTCATTTACGAGTTCAGCTGGGACTCGATAAAGGGTTTATGTCAACAGTTTTCGGATGGGAAACCTGTCAAACAAAACACAAACGACGACGACTATTTAGCTGGCCTAATCAACGAGAAGTTGGACGAGGATTTCCTCATTCAGAAGCTTTTCTTTCAAACGCTTTTCATGATGATTCACACACTCCGAGAAGCAGATACCTCAATTGGGAACTGGTCGCTTTCGATTGGAATTCGCGATATCGCGAATCGTTTGGAGCATTTGCGAGAGAAAGTGCATAAACGCTTTCATTTCAAATGCTACATCTTGACCTCGACAAAAGATGAGTGGTTCTTTGTGGCTGACTACCCGAATCGATTGATATTCGTGCGCCGGGATTTCAGTGAGATGCGACCATTTTCGGGAAAATGGGAAAATTCCGAAACATACGTCATTCGTAACGATGATTTTGCGAAGAAAAAAGCGGCTAAGATGTTGTTTTCGCGCTTGGAGCCGGTGGATTTGGACACGGTGAATGCGGCTTTACAACGACATTCCGAGAAGATAAGCAGCTATTTGGATATTCAGTTTAGAAGCTTTCGACTGAAGCACGGTGACTTCACTCGCTCAAAGAGAACAGGTCAAGAGTTGCCGATCCGTGGCTATGTTTTTGATCTAAAAAACCCACCACGACCCATTTGCTATTGTAAGCCGACAGCGTGTGAAGTTGTCAATCGAATCCCCGAATGGGTTTCCAAGAAACACCAGTTTCCGATATTTCGCTGTACCGAAAAGAGGATTTCAGATTACACAAATTTGTACATTCTCTTCTGTGATTACTTGTTTCAATGTGAATCCGAGGAACAAATCGAATTCCCGAATTATTTCTTTAACAATCGAAAAGAATTGAAATCGCTTTTGAAGGATTTGAGCTGTAGTCCATACTTTCAGCTCTGTAAAATTTTGGATTCCAAAGGAAAAGAGGCATTTTTGCTTGAGATTCCAAAGATCAATGGAGAAAGTGTTCTTTGTTTTAATGAAAACTCGGAAGTTTTCTCGGAAAACGTCTCTTTAGATCAGGTGGATCTATCCAATTTACACGCATTTAACGTCTCTGAAGCCTATGAAAACCTATCAAAAGTTGTCGGAAAGAAATATTTCGATCGTTTGAGTCAAAGCTCAAATGTTTTCTGGAATCCAAATGCTATTGAAAGGGTCAAAGAAATGGAGAAAATTTATGCGAAAGTTTTGGATACAGATGAACTAAAAGATGATGTCATTTTAGAGTTAAGAGATCATTGCAAAAACTTTCTGGTCACAACAAAAGACGAGAAGCATCAAGGGATACCGGAGTACTTTCAAAAGCTCTCCGACTTGATCATCCCCAATGTGGACCCCACGGATCCAAGGGGAATCTTTGAGCAGATTGGAAATGCTTTTGCGAAAAATCCGAAGCTTCTAGCTAAAGGATTAGCAACATACAAACCGATTGATGCGAATGTTTTAGAAACAATGACAAAAGGTTTGGGGATCAATAATGACGAGCTAACAAAAACAGTCAACGAACAGTTTTTCGGTGCCTTTAATCAGAAAAAGACAGATGATGGGCAAAATAAAAAGACTTTCAGTATGTCAAGTTCATCAAAGGTAACGAATACTGGGGAGAGCTTGGGGAATCGATTTGAGAGCTCTTTTGGTGGCAACGATGCAGAGTTATCCGAATGCTTAGAGCTCTTTCAAGCGGGAATGAAAATGGCGACACTCCGAAAAGAACCCAAAGCTTTTCAGGTGAGTGCTGCTTTGGATTTAGATAAACATTTATAGATTTTTGGAAAATTATAGGGACTACACAACGGTAGATTAGCTAAACTTTCTAAGAGCATAGTCATACAAACTAAAATTAGAGCTTTAAGTTTAGACATATCTCACCGAAGTTACGACAAAACATGGAATGCCCGAAATTAACGCCACTGTTTTTGGAGTCAAAGAACAGAAAGGGGAGAAACCAAAAGATTTTGATGATGAATTGTCAAATCTTGACTAAAGTTATTAAATCTTTACTTGTGACTCTTATCCCCGCCACTTTGCATACAATCCAAATTTGAAAAACAAAAAATTGCATTGGAATATGGCATGGGCCGCTTTGAGTAAGCATGTAATGTGATACATGCAAAACTTATCCCAAGCTGTACTTGGACTCCCTAAATTTTTATGATTCTGTTCCAAAACTCCTTTGAGAGTGTGATACGTTGACTCAAACCCGTACCGAGATTCCCCTATGTTGATCCCCTTCATTGGTTCCAAAACCTTTTCGACAAGTTTTGTCTTTCCGACAAATCGTGAGTTGTTCGATACACTTCTCAGTGTGTAATTGACTTTGGCGCCAATTCGATCTTCGAATCCGGCTCTCTGATGTAATGAGATGGTTTAGGTGAAACGGGGAACGTTGATTTTGTTTTTATCCGTTAATTTTTTGGCCAAAGAAACCACGAGTTTGTTTTCGCAGGAATACAAAAAGAACGAAGAATGAAAATACTCTGAAAGTTGACTAAGTGAATTGGTTCTATTTGCGACTTCAATAACGAACTTCAAAAGCATTTTTTTAGCTAAAATACGAAAAGAAAAAGAACACGTAACAACTAGTCATTATGATTTCGCTTTCGGATTGTCTTTTTGTGTTAGGTGAATGTCGGAGATTTGGGCTGCTTGTGTTGAGTGAACCTGAGAGGTTTGCAACTCTGAGGTGTCCCCGTTCACTGACGAGTGCGAGATCGTGTTTCTCCTAGAAATTTTCTCGTTATATATTTTACAATGATTACTGAGGTACCAGAGAGTTTTGTTCCCTTTAAAAACGATTTTTATTATTGGGTTGGTGTATTGGGCTATCATTTCAAAGATTTTTTGAAATGATTATTTGACTGATTATTTTTGAATTTTTTTTTATTAATCAATACGCGGTTTACTTTAGTAGAAAGATCTACTAATTCTCTACAAAAGATTCTCTATAAAATGATTTGTAGAAGATTCGGGAAAACTTTTTTTTTGGAACATTTTATAGACGAGAAGCCAGATTAAAATGGCACCGATTTGGTGTTGCAATTCGATTACTTCTCGCCACAGAAATCTATTCTAAGAAATCTATTATTCTAATCTAAAAGAAAAAAGATAGAGCATAAAGAGTTAGGCTTATAGCCAAACTTTTCGGCTTAATCCGTTCAGCCGTTTTCATTGTGCATTTAAGAAATTTTATCAAAAAACCAATTCCTTGCTCGAATTTGCTTTAAAAAGGCTAAAAATGAGCTAAAAGAAAGAAAATTTTCTTTTTTAGAGCAATTGATTGATAAATTAGTCCTTTTGAAAAAATAACTTTGAAATGATAGCCAATTTTCATGGCACCAACCCAATATAATCAGCCATGCTAACTCCGCCCCTTTCTCGGTCCGTTTGCCGTTGACAATCTACGAATTTTGCTCGTACCTTGACCAGATTTGTTTGAAAAACATTGGATTTACTTTCATTCGATAGAAAATTTGATTTCGAGTCGAATGAAAAGCCGGGTTTTTGACAAAGGTTGAATAAAACACGAGCAAAATACGTAGATTGCCAACGGGAAAAGTGGCGGAGCTAACATGCTTGAATATAATAAGAAAACCTGAGAGCTAGATATCCAAGCTTTTTCATAAACGCATTCCGATAGTCTTTGATGAAATAGAGAACGCTGATCGGGTCGAGAATCGGATAAAACGAGATGAATATCGGCACAAAATTACATCCCTTGCCCAACGGGATCGCGAATAGGGGACTGAGAAAGGTGACCGCACATGGGATGTACTCGAGGACAATCGGGATCGCCGTCTACAACACGATAAACATTATCTTTAGGTTTAGTATGATTTTTCATTCAAGTTCGTAACTCGAGAGAGTTTGTGGAAACAAAAAAAGCCCTTACCTGAACGAGCAAAGCTCTGAAGAGTTGCACTTGGAGTTTCCTCGAAGATTCACTCATGGCGGCTGTCTGAAACAAATCAACCCACTTTTATGGTTTAGTCAAAAAAAGGGTGAACTGAAAAACAAAAACATAATTGCAGAACTTTAAGCGTTCGGTGAATCTGCCAAGTGCAATAGACGATGACGGTGTATGTTATGCCCAACTCAGCCATGCAAACCGCTAAAGAAAAGAGTTGACCAAAGTCCCACACCTCGACACCATTCTCGTCTGGATGCTGAAATATTATATCAATCTTGGCAAAACTTTATTTTATTTAAAAAGATTGAAAGTTGTACTCCTTGTACTTGCATAACGAACTTTACCTTGTACAACGGACCAAGTATAGCCGTTTTGTTCACGTCGAAGCCGTATTCTTCCCAGAGAGCATCGCGAAAATAGTTCTAGAGCTTTTTCGAGATGTAAACAGAAGCAGTACCATTAGCGTGTCATTGTGATACATGTAAATATGGAGCACGCTTCCCCAAATGAGTCCCGCCAACAGCCAGATGCCAAAATGAATCGGCACGTACTTCCACAAGTTGTACAGGTAAAGCCATTGATTTCTAGGGAAAATTTGGGTAAGCACTTGTAAGTACTCACTTGCAAATTAAGAAGTATCGATATACAAAGTGGAAGGACAAAAGGACAAGACTCTGAAAGTTTAGATGTAGGTATCTAAGAACAAACGACTACTTGACTACTTAAGTCTACTTAAGTACTAGTCTAGGTATTTTCTTAAGCAAAGTCTTACTACATAATCCCTCTTAATTTGTAGACTTTGCCAAAAATGATAAAACTTGTCTTATCGATTTAAATTGAATTTGAGTTGCTTCAAAACACCTTTCAACCAAACAAACCTGACAAAAGAGGCTCCCGTAGAAGACGGATCCCCAGTGAGCTGGTGTCATCGTGTTTTTGAGAAACGAGCTCGGCATCAAGACAAAGCCTCGGCCGTGCACGTGCATTTCCTATAAAAACGGTCTTTCTTGAATGTAGTCATGTACGCGAGTGTAATAATTTGGGTCCATTCTACTCAAATTTTGTTTTTGATTTTTGTTCCAGCCCGCTTGACTTCTAGGATTCCTAGGGAAATATGAGGAAATACCGTAAATCTTCTGTTATACCTGCATGCCGCTTTATTTTTCAATTTCAAGTTCAAGGCGCGCCACCCAGGATCATAAATCAATCTCACAAACAAAATAATTTATATTTTAAATTTGATTTAAACATTGAAACCAGAGATTTTATTCGGGAATCCAGTCCATTTTAAATCTATGATTAAATAAAATCCCGGATCCCGGTTCATTTTAAATCTATCATTAAATAAAATCCCGGATCCCGGTCCAAAACACTCCTGATTGCAACAATAAAACAACCAATTTGTATGCAAATTAAGGATGTCGCTCTATTAGAAGATGCCGGGATAATAGAAGATTTACGGTACTTTGAATTTTAAATCAATATTAGATTTGGATGCTTTCGTTGTTTTACTCAAACATTTTACAAGTTGCTGCCCAAAAGAACTCTGCATTTTTTAAACAGTCAAAGCAACAAACGGGCATGATGACGATATGAGCCGTCGAGTAGATGATCTCCGAGACACAGAACAAGAACATCAAGTAGCGATAGGTGCCCATGTGTTTTCGACTGTGAAATAGGATGAAGTAGATCAGAATGAAGTTCATCAAATACGATAAACTGCCGTTCACAAAGACGATATTGGTGGCAAATGTGGTGAAAGTGTCTGAGCTGCGCTTCATCTAAAAATCGAATCGAAAATTTGCCAAGTAGGAGCGTCTAAAATGAACTTTTCCATGAGAAAGTCACACCAAAACTTTCTTACGCAAATCTTATTTTGAAAGCAGTAGTTTAAAATTAGATTGCTCTTATCTAAAAAAGAAATATTATGAGCTTTTGTGCAGTTTTCAGATATTTCGAATGGCTATCTCACTTTGAAATAGAGTGTGTTCCTTGCAGACAACGCGTTTTCTAAAAAGCGCGCGCCAAGGATAAGCTACCGTAACCCTATGCTTTGCATCAGCAAATTTTTCAAAATGCAAATGTACATTAAAATCTTGCGCTCTTTTTTTCTATTACTCTTTCGCTAAAACTTAAAATTTTTAAAATGCTATGTAAAATTAAAGAAAACATTTAAAAAGGGAAAAGTTAAGAAACACTATTAAAAATTATATTATTTACGAATTTACCAGGCCTATTGTCTACATTTGCACTAGAACCATTCCAAAAAAAAATTCCACGCCCTAAAAAATCGAAATTCTTAAATAAAACTATCCATTACTATATTTTAAGAAAAGTTTGCAAATTTTTTTTCGCGCGACCTTTATAGCTTTGCTTAAAAAACGCACCTTTTAGAAAACGCGTTGTCGGAAGTTTGTCGGATCAATTGTCTGACAAATTGTCTGTCAACAAGGAGCACACTCTACTTTGAAAGCTCACAAATCACTTCAAAAGCAATGTTTTTCTTTACTTTTAAAATATTCAAATAGAGGAGATATAAGTGTTTAAAATGCAACTAAAATGAAACAAATCGGATTTGTGTGATCATGAGAAAACAAAAGCTAATTTGGGAAAACACTCATACTTCAGTTTCTCATGACTGCATCAATTAATTATATTCGATTAGGTATCATTTATTTTATAGCCTGGCGTCTCCTCTATAAAAAGTAAAGTAGAATATTGTTTCTATAAGTAATTTAGTCTTCTACTTCATAAATATCAAAAGAAATGCTTTGCTATATCTTAGCGAAAATCCCGTATCAGAAAAATGGTGGGTTTTTGGGCGTAACCACATGAAAAACTGAGCTGTTCGATGTACTTCTCGGGTGTAATTGACTTTGACGGCAGAGTAATTTTTGGACACGGATCGCTGCGCTGACATCACTTGAATCACTCGTCAACTCACAGCCTGTCGATCACTTTTGTCCCTTCTCCGCCACGAAGTCGCTTTTGGTGATTGCGTAGATTGACGATCACGGAAACGGCGATAAGCATTTTACAACTTTAAAATTAGCAGCTCATACAGTTGAACAGAACTTTCTCTGTGAGGGAACCGTGGGAGAAAACGCACTTAGTCTTTTGAGCTTTTTTAATCAACTCATAAAATTTAATTTCATTACTCGGAGCTTATAAAGCCAAAATTTTGCGAAAGTTATTGGAAAATACGGTATGCAACATGCGATATTTATCGATATTTGATTAAATAAGACAAAATGCGGATTCCTTGACACAGACGCCTCCTTCTTTGAATCGGCTCGCTGCACAGCACGACAACAAAAGTTTTGTCTGATCATTTGTCACATTCTAGAAAAAAAAACAATAAAGACAATATTCAACTCGATAACATTTGGAAACCTTGAAGTTTTTTTAAAGCAACTATAGCTTTAATAGCTATGCTTTAATAGCTCAGAAGTTTTCAAGACAAAACATTTCTACAAACCTTGCACGTGTTGTCGCAAAGATTGAAGCGTTTCACCCCTAGGCATTGTTATAAAACAATCGCTACATTGTTACTTTTTTTACCGGATGCGATAACAGCTCGCCTACACACGGCCATCCCCTCAGCATCGCAGTAGCCGCCCAACTCGTGCCGATGATCACGACAGCATTTCTCCGTGTCACCACCGATCTAAAAAAGAATTATCGGAATTCCTCTTCAATCACTTAACGAGGTTTCTTTTAAAAGAAATCATCTTGTATTTCAATTTCCACACAAAAAAAGATGAAACTGAAAAAGCTGTGCTTCACTTTACCTCACAAATCTTATCGCAAACGTGTTTCCAAGTTGAGATTTGAAAAGCGGGAAAATCTAGAAGGAAAGTTGCATTTTGACACACTTTTTGCTCTTTACAGGCTTGATTAATAGAAAAAAGTGAAGTTGAATCTGATGATTAACCTGCCATCTCATCTCATGGTCTTGCAAATAACTTCTTAAAGTTTGTATAATTTCAATCACAATAAAAGTTAAGTTAATGGAAAAGGGTAAGAAGTGTTCTTTAAAAATCCTTAAAAGCAGACATACAGTACTGGACAATAAAATATCATATTTGAAAAACGATCGTCACTTTCGTGCGCCTGTAACTCCCTTATCTTTGAGTTTAAATTATTAGTTTTCTACATTTTCTGAAAGCTCTTTTCAAGGGCTACACAATGGTAATATCAATATTTAGAAATACGGTAAAGACAGGGGAGTTACAGACGCGTGAAAGTGACGATCTTTTTTCAAGTAGGATATTTCATTGTCCAGTAGTGTATTTCTCTCGAATAACTCACGTCCTCCGAAAGTGAAAACGATGAATGAGAGAACGATGAGAAGTGAACGCATTGAGGTAAAATTTGTTTTAAAAAGTGTGATCGATGGGAACGATCGATGGGAAAACGGGAAATTTGACGAACAGCAAAAACCATAAACATCTCAAATAATAAAATAAACAAAAGGAAAAAGTTGGCCGATTTTTTTCCAGCAACTCATCAAAAATAAAAAACATGACCGGAAGCGAAAGATAAATTACAAATTTGTCTCCCTTTACAATTCTATATTCAATTGTAGTTGAAAAATGGTGCTGAAATGTTTGTAAGTTCAAAAGTTTACTTTATTCAAATGCACATTTTAACAAAAATAGCATAACCAAAATACATTCAATGGATTTCCAATAGATCTTCTCATCCAAATGACACAAGCATCATGTTTGACACAAAATTTGTTCATTTCTCGTTGCACAACGCTCACACAAATGAGAATTCATGATCATGTTTCTAAAGAAGATAGGCATTCAAGTTATCTGGCTCTTTGTCAGCTACTTTTGTACTCAACTACTCAAGTATTGCTAATGTCAGTTCATTTTTCCTCTTACTCTTCGATCTCCTTTCTTTTTTCGATCTCTTTATGTTAAAAAGCTTCCTCTTGTTTCTTCAGCTTACAGAATACTTATAAAATAACAATTTTTGCTTTTTACAGACGTGGGTTTACCATTGTGAAAGCTAATATTTTCTCCATTTTTGAAAATGTCTCTTTTTCTGTGGGATCGCAGAGATTTCCCAATCTTTAATTTTATTGCATCCGATTTATTATTTTAGTTGCATTGAGCTAAAGCACGTGCCAGTTGTTGTCTATTTATCTTTTTGTGTACATAAAAAACAATTTTCTCTTCTTTGAAAAAAAGCCAGCACTCGGATGCTCTCTGCTCTTCCTCTTCCTCTTCCTCTTTCTCTTCCTGTTATCTGTGTGTGATTGGGTACAAATTCTTCGAATAAAAAGCATTTCCTGAGCTTTTCTTTTTTTCTTATTGACTTTTTGTTTATTCGATTAAGGATTTTTGAATTTTTCGTTGAATGTTTGTGGAAGCCGAAGAGCTGAATCAGGACGACTTTAAGTGGATAGAAACGGGTGGTTTTGGATTGGTGTATCGAGTGAACGGAAGGGAACCGTGGGTCTTTCAATATCTTATTATCTGTCACTTTAAGTATCCTTTTTTAAAATTCAACTTTGGAAATGAATATACCGTATTTACTCGAATAGAAGACCGGCCTCGATTATAAGACCGTCTCGAATAGAAGACGGGGTCTAGGGGATGATCGAAAAAATAGAAGACCGGTCTTCTATTCGAGTAAATACGGTATATATGGTAAATGGACTTGAAATCGACTTTTAATCTCAACTGACAACTGTTCTCTCTACCCAAAGACTAATTTAGCCCAACCGCCTTGAAAATCATTCAAAAACGACACGATAAAGATCTAGAGCTTTTCCAACGGGAATTCGAGAATATAAAAGCTCTTCAACATGAGCATATCGTCGAGTATTATGGGATCGGCTTCTGGAGACAACAATTCGATGATGTAGAGGCGATCAACTATGGTATCATGATGGAGCTTTGCAAACGAGGCTCTTTGACCAACTGTGAGTCAAAATTAGCAGTATCTTGCCCATCAGCTCTAGAATTTAGTTCTAGAACTTCAAGTTTCAAGTTCTTCACTAGAATTTAGGGTTATACAAGAAGACTTTCGTCTATTCAATAGAAACGGTCATCTGGTGGTCCCATCAACTCTTCAGTGCTCTGGCCTATTTGGAGGAACGGCGAACCGTTCATCGAGATCTCAAACCAGCCAAGTTCGTTTGAAGAAACGAGTCGTTTATTCTTGTCCTTTAGTGTCCTCGTTTGTGATGACTTCCGATTGAAACTCTGTGATTTTGGGACGACAAAAGTGAACGAACAAACTTGTACAGCACATTCACTTGTTGGAACCACTCGATACATGAGTCCCGAGCAGCAAGAGAAAGCCCCAGGAGATCCCGGGAAACGACAGGTAGATCATCTAATTGGATTAGCTATAGATAGCTGTCAAGCACTTTTGCTTTTATTTCTTAAACGAAGACGAACTATTTCAGGTTTCTCGCCGTAGCGATGTTTATTGTATGGGTCTTATTTTATGGGAAATCATTGAAAGGAGGTTAGTCATTTTCTCAGCTTTTTATGTCAATTTCAGAAAAGTCTTCTACTTCTACGGTGACTATTTTGATTACGCAAAAGCCGGAGAAGCACAGGAACTCCATGACGTTGAACCATTCATTTGCATCGACGAACTCCAGCAAATCATTAGGCGGTTAGTGTTTATCATTAGCAAATCATTAGGCGGTCGATGCTTTGTTCAACATTTTCTTTTTGATGCACTCAATTCGATTTGAAAGAACGACTAAGAGCCTCGGAAGTTCTTCTTCGGCTTCAATCTTTGAAAGAGGTAGAGAAATGATCTTTCAATCAAGCAAAACTCTAGGATTTTTGTCATAATGACTCTGACTTGTTGCCACAAAGTGATGAAACGCAAATGAAACTTTTGAAACCGATCGGTTTCGATGGGAGTCGAGAGCGACGGATGACCGTTGACGAATATGAATCATCGAAAGAGAGTCTATCCGACATTCTGCATTCGAGAATCTCATCGATATCAAGTGATTGGTCAAGAGCGGGCTCGTCGATGCTTAAAGGTACTTGACTCAACGCTCACTCATCAAAAACAATTCCAGCGACTGAGTCACTTAATACCGACTCGTCATCAGCGCCATTCTCTTACATTCGAGGAGCATACTTTACGAACTGGTCGCAACACAAGTAACATAAACTTTTGTCAACCTTTCATTGCTTTTGATTGTTGTAGCGAGCTCTCCTTATCACTTTTAGAACAGGACGAGCGCGTTTTTCACCCAATGATTACATTCCTGGTATCTGCACTCATCTCTTTTACGCCTTTTCGAAATTTGATACCAACTTCAAAGTTGGGTAGGTAAACTGACTTTAATAGGTAATCGTTTTGTGGTAATCGTTTAGGTAATCGTTTTAATAGGTAATCGTTTTGTGACAAAGAACACTTGTCACTTTTAATTTCAATTCAGCAATCAATTTTTAGAGCACTCGAAGAAAATGATCTCGACTTGTTGAATGGCGATCGTGGACAATACAAGTTGCTGAATGATCTTAAAAAGAAACAGCCTGATCTTAAAATTCTTTTGTCGATTGGTGGAGCGGCGTTTGGGACAAAACTGTTTGAGGCAAAAAAAAGGCAAGAGAAATAAAAGTTATCAAAATGACTTCAGGCAATGACTTCAACAAGAGCAAATCGAGAAATTTTCATTGCATCCGCAATTTCGTGGGTCAGAGAACATAGCTTTGACGGAATCGATATTTGCTGGCAACAGCCGAGAAATCAGGATCAAGACAATTACGCGAATCTGTTATCGGTTTGTGTAGACATAGATTTTTGAGCTCTATTTTGAGGAACTTCGAGAAGCAATCGAATCTGAGGAGGTGGCAGCGTTTGGCCGAGAGAAACTGTTGTTATCGGCTGCGGTGTCGCCGATTGGTCATCGAATGAAGTCGTATAACATTCCCAGTATGGCCAAGTGAGGCATTTTGAAAGGACAGACGAAAGACAAAGGGCAGACATAAGACAAAAGTTTTACACCGTTTATCCCTTTAAAAACAAGCAACAAGTCTGAAGCTAGCTGCTAGTATTCAGATCTCTCGATTTCGTGAACCTTTTATGTTTCCACTATTGGCATTCGGTCTATGAGCAGACGACGGGAATGATCTCACCGCTTTACGGTCGAAAAGGACTATCTGCTGAGGACTCTGAGCGGAATATTGTAATAATGAAAAAAAACTATAATCATTTGCATGTTTTTATAGAATTGGTCAGCTCATCAATGGCATCATCGGGGCTTTCCCAAACACAAAATCCTCATCGGTGTCCCGACTTTTGGGCACGGTTGGGATTTATGGGTCAGTTTTGCTTGACTCTAGTTAGATGTAGCAACTAATTTATTGCTAAATGCATTTAAATTCATATTCAGTTCACCGAGAATCCAATTAGAAATATAGGACACATCAAAAAACGAGCCCGGTTCACGTGACAATCATCCCACCGACAGCCTGCCCGATTCCAACGAGCGAGGCTGCATTGCCTACTATGAAGTGAAGAAGCTTTTCGCTTTTAAGCTTTTAGCAAAACAAGCTTTTAAGGTTTGTGATCTGCTAGACGGCGGTTTGAAAAGCTCTTGGCATGATGAGCACAAAGTTCCATGGTTGGTCGAGAACGGGAGATGGTGGACCTACGACTGTCCTCAATCGGTTGCAATAAAGGTTGGTAGCTTTCTAGAAACAGACGATTGAATTGAGTTTTACTGATAGTTACTATTAAATTTAATGTGGTAAATCTTCAAGCTGCGATTAATTTAGATGCAGTTCATCCGAACAAATGGCTTTGGAGGAGCCACGGCTTGGTGTCTTGATCTCGACGATTTCAAGGGTCTATCCCAGCAACATGGTGGCATCAAGTATCCATTGATCGCCACAATAGCAAAAGTACTGGGCAGGCCACAAAACTGATCAATTATACGTGCAAATCTTTATTGAACCTGGTAAATAAAGCTTTCGAAGTTTCAAATCTTTCCTTTTTCGTCTTGCACTAGGCTTTAAAAAGAGTGTTGGAAATAGTACAGTTAGAAATTGTTCAATGTTCAAAGTGCATAAAAATCAAAACATTTATCGAAATGTGTTCAGTTTGGTGCTGGTCCCCAAGTGGCCGATCGTTGGAAGACGTTCCCATCTTGGCATTCGCCACCACACATGTTCGTATAAGCTCCATCGTCTCTCATCTCCCAGCTCGTCACCCCATCGCCATCTTTTCCCGAATTGTTTCCCGGCCCTCCACAACCGGTCCATCCCCACACATCTTGATGGATGTACCAATTGCCGGAGTTGCGTGCCTCTTCGCCGTTGTGATTCGCGTAACACCAGAAGCATGTCGTACGCGAGAAGTTCTCCTTGAAGCCCCAGCCTAGTGCCTAGAAGATACAGAATTCGAATGGAAGGGAAAAGTTTTGAGTTTTGAGTTTTGAGTCACTGTTGCTAGCCTCATGTTGTTCTAGAGTTGACTAGAGTTGTAAGTTGTTCTAGAGTTCACTTCAAGGACTCTAGTTTTAAAAGATTAAAAAACAAATCTATAAAAAATAGAAACGAGAATAAATCTATTGTATCTCATTCGAAACTTGATTTTGGTATTTCAATTCGCCACCACGTCACCTGCCCATTCTGCAATGTCCAAAAGCCGTTCTCATCGGCGCCGTCACCGAGAATCGTGTCATCAGCCGATGCACATTTGAGATAAATCGACGCCGAGCAATTGTTGTACACGATCACTTTGTATTCCTCGTTGATTGTCTTGACTATATCCGAAACGGCTTTCCCAAAATCGAGCACCCCACCGCCACAGTAAGCGAACGAATTCAGAAGAGCCGAAACGGTTAAGAGAAATCGAATCCCAAACATTGGCTCGATAATGATTGGAAATGTTCTGATTGGAAAGTTAATGAATGATCCTAATGTTCTCGTATTTATATCAAACTTTGGCACTCCGCAAATAAATATTTTGTTCACGAAGGAATAACATCTGATGTATTATTGTGTGTTCTCAATAGAACTCTCGACAGACCGTCGCTCTTTTGATTCTTTTGATTCTTTTTCTATTGTTGTGGTCACAAAGTTGTAAAAAGGCATCAGTATTGTATTCTAAAATGTTAAAAATGTAATTATACATTTTTTGGACAAAATAAAGACTTGTACCAGCATGTACGCAAAATCGAAAACATGTTTAAATTGCGAGAGTGGGAAATTTTCGATTAGCCGATCTAAAAGTCACTAGTACTCCACCCATGAATTGTTCACAGGCTAATCTTAAATTTTGTTTCTTTATTCTATTAAAGTTTAGATGACATCATTAACTTTTCTTTATGAAGATGATGATACGTATCTGTGTAGACGAAGAAAGGAGATGCTGGATACAGTCAATATTAAAAGCTCGATATTACAGGAATCTAGAAACCAGCTTTTGAAAAACGAAGTGTTTTACTTTTATTAGGTGAAGATGACATTTGCCCTTTTGAGATCAGATACATTGACTTAGATCCTCTTTATCATTAACTTTGTAGACATGTGTGTGTGAGTTGCCAGTGGTTTCTCTAGGTGATATAACACAGATAAATATACAAAGTAGCAGCTTAGCAAATAATAGGTTAGTTAAAGTTTATGGTTGGGTTTTTTTAGATTTAAACAGCGATGTTCAGCAATTCTCAGCAACTTGATCACAATCTATGCTTGTGCCAGAAACACTCGAAATGCAGCAGAAGGGTGGGATCGATAGCGAAACGCATTTCCAGTGATCTTGATGACTATACTTTGCTCATTGAATAGAAAAATGATGAATTCAAGTGCGGTCACGACGGGAGCGAAAACTACTAGCATGACAAATAAAACAGATTGTAAAATAGCCCTTTTCAGCTTATCTCTTAGTCAATCTATTGCCAATTCAGTTCCACGCTATTTTTTTTGCATGCTATCATCCTACGATTTGATTTATTCAGCTTTTCTTTTCAATTGATGATAATAAAAAGTTTTGTTGTTTTGATGGCTTAGAAACAGTTTAATGATTTCAAAAATTTGAAGCTAATTGCAAGACATGTCTGAATGATACAGTCAGAATTGTTTCTAGATCTAAATTCTCAGATCAACACAAAAAACAAGATCAAAAATTGGCTAGTCATAATGAAAACTGAAATTCAATTTCAGATGCAAAAAATTTCACGTTTGTTGCTCTTTCTTCTTTTTCTATTTACCACTGGGTATTCATTGAAATGCTGGTTGGATGTGAGCAGTAAACCGTTTCATTCGGTTAATGTAAGTGCTTAAAGAAATGACTTGACAGAAATGACAGAATATTCAGTTAAGAAAGAAATAAAACATTTAAATAAAACATTCTATCATTTTTCAATAGTTTTTGCTGAAAAACAGCTGAAAAACACAAAATTCACGACCGTCATAAAAAGAAATGCTACAGGCTGTTCAAAAAGCATGTCAATGTGGCGAATCATGCATAATATTCTATACAGCGGTAAGTTTACAATGGCCGCTCTTTAGAAAGCACAAATTGTAGGGTTTCTATTATTGGGAATGTGCATGTGAGGTGCCGGAAGAGGGCCCACCAATTGACTTCTGTCCAACGAATGAGATATTCGATGAGTACATATGTTGTCAGGGGGATTTGTGCAATGCCGTCAATTGGACCCAACCAACAACGATCAGGTAGAAAGGGAAATTCTTACAATTATTAGGTCACTAATAATAAATTCGGGTTTTCACATAAAACTTTTTTCTGAAGGAATGTAGTTACCTATTAATTTATTACCGTAAAATCTCTCATAAACGCCCTACCCGCCAGTCCTCCAATTTTTTGCAAATCTTCCAACTGATGACCTCCCAAAGAGAATCGAATTTTCCCGGCAAAAGTCTAACTTTTTGAAAAATTTACTAACTGTCAACTGTTGGAAGTGATTGATGAAAATGAGACTGATGTAAAGACACTTCATGAAAAGGAATAAGTCATGTTGATGTGCACTGATTGAAACCTAATCAAAACCTAAGCCAAACCTAATCAAAACCTAATTCAAATCAAATGAAAGCCTACCTAATCGGTAACTAATAAGCGCCAAATAAGAACCTAATCGGAACCTAATTTATGATCAAAAGAATAAGCATTTGCACGACGGCAGAATGCAGCCATATTTAAGGCTGGTCCAAATCGCTTGAAAAGGCCAAAGCCAAGGCCAAGGCTATTGCTTTGGCATTGGCTTGGCTTGAGAATTGGGTATCGGAACAACCCTGGTCGTGTTCGCGCAATAAACTTCAGCAAAGGGTCCATTGGACTGATTTCACCGATACCGTCCAACTTAAAGCCAACAATTATCTTAAAGCATCCAGTTTTGGTTTTCTAAAAATTCCGAACATTTTTGCCAAATTTTCTTCACAACATTTTTATGGGTTAAGAAAAAAAATAAGCGCCCCCTCCCCTTTTAATAAATGTCCCGGGGCTTTAATTACAGATTTACAGACGGTTATTGGTTTTTTTACCAATCAGCACTCATATTTACTGATAATATCAATATAATATCAATAAATTTAGCACAAATTCGCCCACTACATCTGCAACGACGAAACTAAAGTGTTGGTCGGATGAAAACAACAAACCACATCATTCGATATTTGTGAGTTGAACAAAAAATGAATGTTTCAAATTGTTAGTGATACAATTACAAATGGTTTTCTGTAAGAGAAAGCTTTTTAAAATAGGACAGCTAAAAGTAGACCTTAAAAAGCAAATGGACAAGTTTGAATACTTAAAATTGAGTACTTGATGTTAAACAAAGGCAAATGTGGCACATTACAATTGATTTTCATTACAATTACATTACAATTAATACTAAAAAAGTTTCTGTGTAACATTCAAATCATTTAGAATGCTCAAGTCGACTGTGGTTGTGGCGATTCGTGCATCACAGCACATACTGGAGTACCTGTCTACCTGTGTAAACCCGAAACAGAAATATTTTAGGATTTGTACCTGTGGGATTGTGCGTGTGCGCATACGATCGACGGAACAAATCTTGATATGTGCCCGACGAACACCGCCTACAAAGAGTACACATGTTGTATGGGGGATTTGTGCAATGCGGCCAATTGGACAGAGCCAACAGCAACAACGAGCAATCCATCATCCGCGGTGACTTGTTGGGTCGACGAAACAGACACACCGTATCGATCGGATCAAGTAAACTTGAAGCGAGCCCCGGGCTTTGAATAGTATTCAAGCTCTTAGGCCATTCAACGTCCTTGTGATTGTGGTGACTCTTGTCTGATTGGATATTTCACGGTGGGCCGACTCAAATCGTTTCCCATTACGCTGTTTTCTTTAGGACGATAACCAAAACAACAAATATTTTTGGTGGTGTGGCTGTGAGATGAAAAACGGCATTGAAAAAACGGAATGTCCGACAAACAACCTATTCGATGGGTACACTTGTTGCACGGGAAACTTGTGTAATTCGGGAAACTGGACCGACCCATCAACGACGACCTCAATGGATAAGACAACGCCGCAACCATCCAAGAGTTCATTTATTAGTTGTTGGAATGACGAGAACGATGAGCCGTATCACTCCGACTTGGTGAGTTGAGTTAGACTGAGTGCGAGGATTTGTTTTTAGGCAAAAGCAGTTGAATGTCAATGTGGAGAGTATTGCATCATGGGATATTTTGTAAGTGTTTCTTCAGGAAAAAGAAAAGTTCCTTAAAGTGTTCATGTTACAACAAATTTCTATTAAATTTCTATAAATTTGAGATGGAAGAAGGGCTCACTGTGTACGCATGGGATTGTGCTTGTGATTTGCATATTGGAGGGAATGAGATGTGCCCGACGAATGATATTTTTGATGAATATGTGTGCTGTAAAGGAGATCTGTGTAATGAAGCCAATTGGACAGACCCAACAACAGCGACAACAACGTTAATTAGGTTTGAATCGACAATGTCAAAGCCTAGCATTGATTTAAAGCACGGATTTGACGCCAAGTGATTCATCTACGCAATCATCTATCGTCACGTGTTGGCTAGACGAAAACGATCAACCGTATCACTCGGATGAGGTGACTTCAAGACTTGTTAGGTGTTGAAGTTTTACTTTGTCAGTACTAACAATGGGTGGATTCATAATTCATAACATTCATATTGGATTGATAACAAAAAAAACCTAACATTGGATTGTGGCTTCATAAAAAAAGATTCTTTCTTTAGGCTTTTCAATACGATTGCGTTTGTGGCGACTCGTGCATAACGGGACATGTTACGGTGAATATGATAGTCAATGTTTGATCAATGTCAACTCATCACATTTCAGACCATGTCTCTTGACGTTTATGTATGGGGATGTGCATGTGTATATGATGATATTAATAACACATATGTCGATCTCTGTCCATTGAATGAACTCTTTGAAGAGCATGTGTGCTGTGTGGGTGATTTGTGTAATGCCGCGAATTGGACTGAGCCAACGAATAAACCTTCGACGACTCTGAATCCGAATGTGACAACGATTTGTTGGTTGGACACGAACAGTGAGCCGTTTCACACAGATCTAGTCAGTGATGAGAGAAAAGTATTTCCGATTCAAATTGTTTAGGCGATCGAGGTGGAATGTCTGTGTGGCGATAGTTGTTTCATGGGACACATCGTAGGTTTTTACTGTTAGTTAATGTCGAGAATGATTTCAGAATCTCTTGGAATTCTTTGATGAGTATGTTTGGGATTGTGGATGTGATCGACTCGGCGTTACACTTTGCCCATCAAATGACATATTCGACGAGACGAGATGTTGTCAGGGAGCTTTGTGTAATGCCGGAAACTGGTCGGATTCAACCACTACAACCACTACAACTACAACTATCAGGTTTTCTGTTTCTTTGTGTTTACACAATCGACAACTTTAGCACAATCGTGACAACGACCTCCGTCTCTACAACAGTCAAATGCTGGCTGGACGAAAGCAGTAAACCATATCACTCTTCATTTGTGAGTAATAGTTGAATCGAGCTTCTTCTATTGTCTGCTCAATTGAATAACTTATTTAGGCACAGAAAGTGGTGTGTGATTGTGGTGACTCGTGTATTACTGCCTATGCTCAAGTGAGGAATTTTGTCTTGCAATAAGCACATTATCATTAGGAAGGAAAAAGCAGACTATACGTTTGGGGTTGTGGCTGTGAGATTATTACGGACGAAGTGAATCTCTGTCCAACAAATGACCTATACGATGATTATGTGTGCTGTAAAGGGGATTTGTGTAACGGAAATTGGACTGAGCCAACAACACCAACAACCACGATGAGGTTTGGCGAAAATTCTTCTTCTTTGATTCTTCTTTGATTTGCCAATCGAATTAGCATTACAACATCTGCAGCTTCAACGCTAAAATGCTGGTCGGACAAAAGCCTTCATCCTTACCATTCGACTTCGGTACAAATTTCAAAATCCCCATTATAGTTACAAAGTTCAAAAAGTAAATGACTTATTGAATAACTTTAAGTAACACAAAATTGTTCATCTAGAACTTAGAACTGTTCAAGTGCAAATAGAAATTGTATTATTTCATGAGCAAGACTTGTTTCACTGATTTTGACCGGTTATGTTTGCTTTTTTCGTAAAAATTAAAAAAATTGCAATTCAAAATTAGATAAATTCAAATTAGAATTAAGTCAGTAGACAAAATTCGTTCATCTTGTCAACAGAAAACAACCAAAAACTCACTTTTTTAGAACTCACAAGTGACATGTGATTGTGGTGATTCGTGCATAACGGCGCTTTTGGACTGTAAGCCAATTCTCAAGCTTTTGTCTGAAACACAAAAAACCGTTAAGCAAGAACTTGGCGAGTTGATCTATATGTGGGGCTGTGCGTGTAGCGAAAGGAAAGATGGGGCAGAGATTGATTTGTGTCCATCGAATGACCTCTATGATGGATACGAGTGCTGCAAAGGGGACCTGTGCAATGCGGGCAATTGGACCGAACCAACGACAACAGCAGCTTCAACGACGGTGCTCCCTAGCGTGACAATCACTTGTGTATTCGATGTCACCGATCAGCCGTTTCACTCGAACTCGGTGGGTGAAGGAAATGGAAAGTTTTTTGACTGTAGTATTCAGGTATCTCAAATCAATTGCACTTGTGGCGACTCCTGCTTTATGGGATATTTTGTAGGTTTTATGAATTCTGTAATAATGTCTGTTTGTAGGTGCTTTGTGGGTTTTGACGGTAAAAATGTACTCATTTGAGAACTACACGCCGGAGTCCAGAAACGTGTACGATTGGACGTGTGGATGTGACGCTGTTGCCGGGAATTTGTGCCCAACGAACGACATCTTCGATGAATACGTGTGCTGCAAGGGAGATCTGTGCAATGCGGGCAATTGGACGAGCACAACAACGGCCGCGCCGACCACTGTTCGACCCACGACTAAAGCCGCATCAACTGTCACCACTGCAGGGACTGCTACTACGATTGGTAACACAACTTCGAGTTCGAGCACCAATGCAACAACAGCACGCATCAGTACTACTACTGCAAAAACGACGAGAAAAGCAACAACAATTACCATTACCACAACGACTTCCATTTTTCCGACAGGTGATAAATTCCGAATCTCGTTGTTCACCGCCTTTCTATTGAATATTTTAGTTTGGATTTGATTATCTTTGTTTGAAAGATATTTTGCTTGAGGTTCAAAGTGTAAATAAAGAGTTAGTGCTTTTAAAACGAAAATACAACTAAACAGAACAGGAAAAAAGAAACAGCCTTGCAAAATAATATAAAGTAGAGGATGTTGACGGATCGGGAAAAAAAATGATAACTTTGAAAAATGATAACTCTTTGACTCGGGAAGTTCTGAACATTTTTGGGACGGTTATATTATCTTGTTCACAGCTGTTGTTCACAAATGAATGCCGTTCACTAAAAAAATCCAAAAAAAACGTTAAACAAAATGAATTAAAACAGTTTTCTGTATCGTATTCCCTTTTGAATCAGCTTTCAAATTGCAATTGGGGACTAAACTCGTTTAAATTGGTTGATTTTGAGAGCTCTCCAAAAAACCGATAGAGCTTTCCAGCAAACCGATATGCTATTTAACTTACATTTGCTTAAGGCTCCATTCTGATTGCCGAAATTCGCTATCCATCAATCATTTCATCGTGAAAGCCGAAATATTTAAATAATGTTGCACTTCCTAAAGTTTGGGTGCGACCCGCTTTAACCTTATCAACGAGGATGATTCTGCTTAAGAATGGCCGAATAGCACAAAAGGTTAAAAGGGTTTCCCCAAAAGCGCTTATAACGTAACAAGAAAACGTAGTATCCAACAATAGATTAATACTCTTGAGAAGAGTACGGATCGGATTGATACTACGTCGATGGTGACACAAATGTTAGTAAAACCAGTCTCTCTACAATGTTAAACCAGTTATCTAAACAGGATTTAAAACCTGAAGGGTAGCATAAAGTAAAGTGAATTTATAACGTTATTGTTTATTAGTACAGAACCGAAATGCAACAATACCCATTACACAAACAGCAAAAATGAAACAACAAAGTCGCCCCAGAAAGAAGGCAAAAAAACCCGCAGACCAAAAAAAATAATTTCGGGAAGGGAGAAAAAGGACGAAAAATGCGACGCGAATAATTGCAAAATAGCAACGCAAATAGGAAGGAAACGGACGCGACCCTAAGCTTTGCACTCTTTCTTGAAACACGAGCACGCCGTTTCATAATTTACTTTACTTATATACTTTAAAAGTTTTTTGTAGATTTGCACGTCAAGCGAAATGACTCCTTCCTGTGATCAAGAAATCCCATACACAATTCGGTGCTTTCAAACCCAAAACGGAATTCGAATCGAAGCATTTCAATGATTCGATTCGAATAAAATTATTGAAATGTTACAAATTGAATAAAATTATTGAAATATTACAAAAATTACAAAAATTACTTCATTCGCTTGGAAATCTAATTTTAGTATAATAATTAATATCAGAAAAAAGATTTGTTCATTTAGAAAAAGTCCCCAAATCAAAAATTCAGCTCATTTGAAGCGAGTGTTGCAATGGGAATTGCAAATCGATTGAGCCGGAACTCAGTTTTCAAACTTCACCTGCCGACAACGTTCACCTGTGTCAACGCTTTGCTCTTTTCATCTTTCTTGGCCTCAGAAATGTTGTGGATGTTTTCGAAAGTGGCCCCTGTTCATTCATTTCACATTTCTTACGTCTCGACATGTTCATTCTGAATCAAGCTCAACGTTTCGTCTTCTATTCGCTCCTCGACGTGCTACTTCTCTGCTCGATCATCACCTTTGGCAGTTCTCTCTATTTTGTTCTCTTTGTCAAGACATCAATCAATAAAAACTTTCAAATGATTCTCGTTGCGCAAATGGTTTGTTTTTTAAAGGCAATAAAATAAAAAAAACTGAACCCAGGCTAATAAAAACACAAAGCCAAAGATATCTCTCTTTCAAATGTGGCTCTGGCATATATTTATTTGTATACTCTGTGAAAATAGGTTTTTATTTAAATAAATGTTGCCATAAGTGTTTGTAAAAAAAATGTGATGATAAGACGAAATTGTTTGGCTTTTAAGTCGACAAATTTGAGCTAAACCAAACCTTCAAATAAGCTGGGAATGAATTCAAACGATGCTCACTCTATACGTTTAGACATTCGCGTTGTGCGGTGATATCTGGACGGCTCTCAATCGCCCAGTTTTCTTACCAACCCTCTTCGCCGTCACCTACGCGCCCGTGCTCCTTTCCGTGCAATCGAAGCTGATGGCTCTTTTTTTAACGGTGAAAAGCACTTTTGTTACGGCAATATTTTGGAGAAGAATTACACGATCACCAAATAAAGACATTTAGGGTTTCTTCCTTTCTTTCTTACATTGCTTTTTGGTGACATCAACTGGCCTGGGCTTTGCCAAGCTGCGCCTTATCTACTCCCATTACACGCGCCCCATTTTTCTCGGCGAAATTTTTTTCATGACCTCTATGGTTGCGAAGGAGTTTTTGACGTGGTGCGTTGTCTATGATTTGTATTTTTATGGGAACTGTATCGATGATCCGAAAGTGGTGAGTTTTTCTCTAGCACATTCGAGGTTTTCGATAGATGCTAATTTGTCCGAGTATTAAAATTTGAGATTTCAATTGGAGTTTGAAAAGTTTTACATTCTGAAAAGTTGCTAGACACAAATGAGCTTGCTAATGAGCTGCTAAAAATGATCGTTTTTGATAAGAATTGTAAAAATCTCTTTCACTTCTTATGGATCACTTCTTTTTATTTGATACTTTACTTACCGTAAATACTGTAATAGTACCCCACCCCCATAATGACGGTGCGGAGTGTTGTGTAGTCTAGCTTACACGTGTTTCTCGACACTGGTTTATGCTACAATGCGCGCTTTGGTATCAAAAATAGCTGAAATTCAGGGCTATTTTTGATACCAAAGACGCATTTTTTGAAAGTACGGGTGCTTTGGAAAAAATGAAATACTAAAAAACTTTTGCGACTACGCGACTGTACGAGGGGGGTGGGGTACTATTACAGTATTTACAGTATATACTTTAAAAGTTTTTTGTAGATTTGCACGCCAAGAGAAATGGCTGCTTTCTGTGATCAAGAAATCCCATACACAATTCGGTGCTTTCAAACTCAAAACGGAATGAGAATATGGCTTGCCATTGCGACCGCTATGGGAACAATTATTTTGACGATGCTTTTCATTGCCTCCCTCATTTTGTATGATTTCTATCATCCGCAAAAATATCTCAGCAAAAAGACTCTCGAGATGCAGCGCTATTTTAATGTTATTTACTTGGCACAGGTGCATTATTGCTCAATTTCTATATTTGTCTTGTAGAATATAATCACCGGCTTCTTTTGCTTACCAATCGCATGTTTTGTGGCTATTATTCTCCAATTCATCGCCTACGACTTCGTGGAAGCAAGTGAGCTGAATGTCGAGAATTGGTGTTGTAAAATCACTGTTCAGTTGCCGCTTACTGGCAGATGATTCTCTGTTTTCACTCGTCTTTTGTAAATCTTCTCATCATTTTCGCGTCGAAGTCATATCGAGAAGTGATTGTCGGTTGGATTCGAAGGATTCCAATCTTCCGTTGCATATCGGTCACAGCGATAAACGCTGACACGGCCACGAATAGCAACACGACACACTCTGTAATCATCGTTCGAGCGGCTCGATAAGCTGGCTTTTGCGTGAAATTCTACAGTTCGTTCCCTGCTTGCACAGTGCATAAACTTTTGATTGCTCATTTTACCAGGCACTTAAAAGGCACTCCAGGCACATTTTACTAGACACTATCAGTCACATTTTACCAGGCTATTGGGTTGGTGAATTGAAAACTACCGGACTTTGAACTAAAATTTATTCAACATAAAGCCATAAATTCATTCCAAATAATTTCCATTATTATTGACGACTTCTGCCCATTTTACAGGCAATTTGCGGATTCCTCTTTAGGATTTAGGATTTTGGTTTGTGTGTGAGAGGTGTGAGACTCAAAAATGGAGGAGTGGAGGAATTCAGGCTATGTGAACAATGCGAAACGATGCCGAGTCCGGGAAAATACGACAACTTTAGACACATTTTTCTCAAGATTAGGTGAACAAACGATTCGAATGGGATTCCAGGTAGATAAAGAATAAAGTAAAGAATAGACATTTATTGGGTTGGTGAATTGAAAACTGCCGGCTATTATCATATGCCCAGTTTGAGCACTTTCTTCAAAAGAAACCCATTTTGGTGTCAATGGAAAAGTTGTAGAGAATCAAAAATCAAGCTTATATCCAAATTTTCAGAATTTGGATATAAGCGTTCTATAAGTACTATAAGATATAAGAACAGAGTGTTGGCGTGTGAACAATTCATGGGTGGAGTACTAGTGACTTTTAGATCGGCTAATCGAAGATTTCTCTCTCTGGCAATTTAAACATGTTTTCGATTTTGCGTACATGCTGGTACAAGTCTTTATTTTGTCCAAAAAATGTATAATTAACATTTTAGAATACAATACTGATGCCGTTTTACAACTTTGTGACCACAACAATAGAAAAAGAATCAAAAGAGCGACGGTCTGTCGAGAGTTCTATTGAGAACACACAATAATACATCAGATGTTATGCCTTCGTGAACAAAATATTTATTTGCGGAGTGCCAAAGTTTGATATAAATACGAGAACATTAGGATCATTCATTAACTTTCCAATCAACTGAACATTTCCAATTTATCGAGCCAATGTTTGGGATTCGATTTCTCTTAACCGTTTCGGCTCTTCTGAATTCGTTCGCTTACTGTGGCGGTGGGGTGCTCGATTTTGGGAAAGCCGTTTCGGATATAGTCAAGACAATCAACGAGCAATACAAAGTGATCGTGTACAACAATTGCTCGGCGTCGATTTATCTCAAATGTGCATCGGCTGATGACACGATTCTCGGTGACGGCGCCGATGAGAACGGCTTTTGGACATTGCAGAATGGGCAGGTGACGGCGAATTGAAATACCAAAATCAAGTTTCGAATGAGATACAATAGATTTATTCTCGTTTCTATTATAGATTTGTTTTTAAATCTTTTAAAACTAGAGTCCTTGAAGTGAACTCTAGAACTCTAGAACTCTAGAACAACTCTAGAACAACTTACCAACATGAGGCTAGCAACAGTGACTCAAAACTCAAAACTCAAAACTCAAAACTTTTCCCTTCCATTCGAATTCTGTATCTTCTAGGCACTAGGCTGGGGCTTCAAGGAGAACTTCTCGCGTACGACATGCTTCTGGTGTTATGCGAATCACAACGGCGAAGAGGCACGCAACTCCGGCAATTGGTACATCCATCAAGATGTGTGGGGATGGACCGGTTGTGGAGGGCCGGGAAACAATTCGGGAAAAGATGGCGATGGGGTGACGAGCTGGGAGATGAGAGACGATGGAGCTTATACGAACATGTGTGGTGGCGAATGCCAAGATGGGAACGTCTTCCAACGATCGGCCACTTGGGGACCAGCACCAAACTGAACACATTTCGCTAAATGTTTTGATTTTTATGCACTTTGAACATTGAACAATTATATGAAGAATTATTGGACAAACAATGTATATGGGCCATATGTATAACCTAGAGGGGTTGGAAGTAAAATTTAAAAGGATCTAAAAAAATTGTAAGGCTCCCCTATCATTATTTTTGTTTGGCAACGGCGTGCCGAGTGCCCGTGCACCTGCTCAACGCCGTCGATCCAATCGTTTAGAGTTCCCTTCTGCCCGTCGTTTTTTACATTCATGAAGGCAGTTATATCACTGGTTGAGGATATATGGACAACAAACTAATAAGAGCAGTTGGTTTGGGAAGAAAACCTAAAAGCTACTCCTTTGAAGCCAGCTCGTTTGTTTAGATCTACGCTCAGCCTGGAATCATTTTTGTCTCAATTCAATATCGGGATTCCTTGGTATTGCTTGGTATTGCTTTATTGGTTTATGTGAATGGGCATTGCTTCATCATTTTTAATTAAACTTTACAGCATTAATGGCATTGATCTAGGTTTTATGATATTAAATGACACACGGCTACCATCAAATCTCGGACTATGAGATCAGAATTTGGCGTTGAAATGGATGCAGGAGAATATTGGGCGATTTGGAGATGAAAACAAAGACACAATGGAGTAGAGTCTCCGATCTAGAGATTTTGAAGGAGCCGAGACGTCAATTTCCGATGTAAATCCATTGAAGTTTTATTCGAAAATCACAGGCTAACACCGGTACTACACGGGATTGATGATTTCTCAGAATTCCCGTATCAAATCTTTCTGATTGGTTTTATTGCAATAATGCAAATGTTTCCGGAAACAAGGTTCAATATTCTTATTTACTATCTCTTTCGTGTTGTTGATATGCGACTTTATACAAGGAAATATGTAACTTTTTATTGCTATTTACCGGAGTAACACAGTTTGAGACACAAGGAAAAATGACTAGAGGGGTAAGAAGGCAAAGATTTGTTGAGAGTAAGAAAATCCGATCTCAATAATCAAAAACTACTCGTTTCTCAATGGAAAATCTTGCACAAGTACCGTATTCAGCTATTCAACTTAAGAATACGGTACTCAAAACTGAACAAATTTATGAAACCGTTACAGTAAAAATACTACTGTAATCGGGGAATACTGCTTGAATTCTCTTGAATCTCTTGAATTCGCTAATTGGTTGGGAACTGAATGAAAAATAAAACAGGCCTAAACAAAACAGGCCAACAATTGCCATAAAATTCCTTAGTTAGCCGTTCGAATGCTCATCCGCATTTGTGGCGGTTTTCGCACGATATCCGATTGAGATGAGACTTTCGTTAAACCGTAGACTGGGCGACGAATTTGGGACATCGATCTGAGATGGAAAATGGTTTTTTAAATACCATGTTTCTTTTCATCATTTTGTTTTTAAATTTGCTCACCTTGACGACATTAGAGGATAGTTTTGAACAGTGGACACCGATGAATAGAGTCCACTACCGGCAATTGTTGACGATGTGGCCGATCGTTGAAGACCCGATGATCGATAGGAATCTGAAAAATATAGAAGTATATTTTAAATTTAGATATGCAACATTGAGTATTAGTACAAATCTAGCTACTAAAACGGACTGGCACTGGACGAAAGAAAACGAGAGACACGCGGGACAGCCGATGACCACAAGCTGTAGCTGTAATACGAGTCGGGACGATAAAGCATCCCTAGACAAAGACAATACATAAAAGGATGGATTATTGGCATATAAGGTAAAACTAAACTATTCGGGATGCGTACCTGCTTCAGACTTACAACTGGGCATTGAAGAGGAATTGAGGGACGACGTTGATGAAAGTGAGGAAAGAGATCCACGACGATCCATTGATGATGAACGAGATGAAAGAGAAGATGAAGAAGTGCAACTTGATGGAAGTTTCGATAGAGTTCGAGAGGCTGAAAAGACTGGCGTTTACTCCTTCAACTTGTACTGAACTTGAGACCTTCACCTTGTACTGTAAAGGTATGTATTCTGTAAATTAGCTTTTGAATTGTAACTTGTAATTGTAACTTGTAACTTGGCTTTTCGGCACAACTCACCCCTTTCTAAACTTGATGTAGCTGTTGAATAAGCGGTACTCAAAGGAAGCCTCGATTTTCTCGCCACATCGGCAGCTGAAGGAACCGGTGATGGAGATCTAGAAAAATACAAGTTGTGACAAACAAGCCGCCATTAGTTTGAATCAGATGCGGATATCGTATTCTCCCTAATAGTATTGCACCCTAAGCGTCACCTAAATTACTCGAAATCTCGGAAAACGCTAATTAGAACCTATCGATGTGGGGTCAGAAAATGTAGCTGTGGGGGATTAGAATGCTGAGTCTCTGCGAAAACTTGGAAACCGTAAAATAGTCACCAACTTGGGGTGCAATATAAGGAGAATACGGATATTTACGCAGCTTTTACAGACACAAAACCTATCACTGACCTCATGACAACAATCGGTTGTGGGCGAACGACAGCAATGGCTCTTCGTTGCGTTCGCCAAGTGGATGGGAGTCTTGAACCGGAAGAGCTCGTTTGAAGGGGAATTGATGAAAAAGATGATGAAGTGCTGAGTGAAGAGCTTGCTTCTTTACTTTCATTTGTTGTCTCTTCTTTCGTCTCCTTGTTTTTGAGATTTGTGGATGGAGGCCGGAGTCTGAACTATTGAATTGTCAACATTTCATCGGTCACTTTACTCTTTCACTCTTTTACTCGAATCACTGTGTACTCACCCCGATGGCGGTTTCATCTCCAAGCGATTCTTCTCGATCACTCTACTCTCATCATTCCACAATTTGTCTTCTTCTTCCATTCTTTTCTCATCTTCTTTATCCGATTTCTTTCCAGAATCCGCTCGAGACAAATTACAAGCTGCCTGAAAGCTTTCTTACTCATTTTTCGAAAATTTTTTCTTACTCCTTGAACGAAAGTTCTTGCTTGTGGGCTGTCCTCTTTCGACAACATATCTCGAACAGTTTTCTCCATCTGTAAACGCTTTGAGTTTTAATTTTCTTCTTCAAACCTGTAGAAGCAATGAATCATCGTCGGGCAAAACGATTGTGGCTTTGATTTTGGGCAAGAGTTTGGCTAATCGTAATCTAAAGATGTCTAGGATAAGACAAAGATGCAAAAAAATAGAGTACAGCCTAGATATTGACTTGTACAAGTTTCGGTCAAAGAAATCCAACCGAATATTTGCCACTCGATCCCTGGCCAGACTAAGGGTCTCGGTGAGGAAATATTGCTTGAAAAAGCGTCGACTGAACATTTTCAGAACACACTCGGCCACGTCAACAAAAACGGATCGTCGATAGCAAGAGTCGTGCTTAAGAATGTCTAAAAATAGACTAATTTTTCAAATCCTATTTGATTTTTATACCATTTTTAAGAAAATCGATAACAATTTCCCGTTTCTCTCGATCTGGATGCTCTTTCATGAAAAGGAGAAGCGTTGAAACAGCTGCCACTCGACAAGGATTCGCTCTCTAGATTAGAAAGGCTTTTATCATAATAAGAATATCAGTGGATAAGCCTTTTTAGCAAATTTTAGCAATTTCCCATTTAAACTAACCACAGTTAGCACTTCCTTTTGCAAAATGGGAACAAAAGTGTCGAAAAGTTGATGATAGTTGAGGACTTGAGTGAGAACCGCTAAAGCATTCAGATAGGCTTCGTGCGAACGCCATGCACCGCTTCCTCTGAAATCATTTGAAATTACAAGTCCTACCCTTTAGTTGTGCTTATTTTAGCCTAAAAATTCAAACGTTAAATGGAATAGACTCAGCTATTCCATTTAATAGACGCAGCTTGTACCCGTTCAAATAAACACAACACACCTCAACAAAACATTGCAACCGATCAGTATCCGATCGAGTTGTTGAGCCGATACTTTTGGCCCATCCTCTTCTTTTTGTCTCGCACATTTGTACAAGATTGGAAGCATTTTATCCAAATTGAAAGTTATCTAGAAATACAAAAGCACTAAACTTGTTTCTTAAAATACTCATACCTTTGCGACAACCTCAGTGGCTCCACTTCTCACCAATTCGATAAACGGCGGGATTAATTGAACTTTATTTGGATAGAGTTGAACAATCTCGTGATACGATGAAGCTATAATGGTTGTTTTGTCTTTTCTTTTCAAAAATCAAAAATTACCAATCGACACCCGGACTTCATCATCGGGATCACCACAGAAAGCCTCTAAAATCGGCAACAAACGCTCGAAAGCTTTCGGGAACATCACCAAAAGACACTAGAAAGTTTAGCAATTAAAGATAAAAAATAAAATAAAGTTGTTCTAGTTGATTAGCTTATGTTCTTACCGGATAATTGTATGCACAAGCCCGTCGAACGAGTGTCCCAAGAAGACCCTCTCGAGCCGTTTTTCCCTCTTTTGGTTGTGACCATGAGACCATTCGGAGATAAGTGTTTAGAACCCATGATTTATCGAGTGCATCCATCACTTCCTGAAGCTTATATGTCTTGTATCCGATTTGAATTGAATCCAAATCGAATATCTGATTTGGATTGAACTCATCGCGGATATCCAATTGGATATGGATTTCAATCAGTTACCTGATTTGGTTTGAAACATTATTCCACAGTATATCATCTTTTATAAATGTTTCTAATTATTTTCTAGAAATTTCATAGAAGATTGACTCTGGCAATCTAGAACAGCTCATCAGCACCACAAGTTTATTTACGCGTTTATTTGCGTTTAGCCGAAAAAGCAGTTTATTTACGCGCTTTGATATGCTTTGCATTTTGCTTGTTTTTATACACTTTGCGCCTATTTTCCGTTGTTGTTTTACAGATGGAGTCACACTTGTGCCTTAATTGCCAGAGCAAATACCGTAAATACTGTAATAGTACCCCACCCCCCTCGTACAGTCGCGTAGTCGCAAAAGTTTTTTAGTATTTCATTTTTTCAAAGCGCTCGCACTTTCAAAAAATGCATCTTTGGTATCAAAAAATAGCTGAAATTCAGGGCTATTTTTTGATACCTAAGCGCGCATTGTAGCATAAACCAGTGTCGAGTAAAACTCGTTCAAAGCTAGACTACCCAACACTCCGCACCGTCATTATGGGGGTGGCGTACTATTACAGTATTTACGGTAGGTTTTTCCATGTTTTTCTTTAGTTACATTGTTTTTATCGTTTTTTAAAGGTTTAGTTTCATCAATTTGTCTACACAGTCAGTTATTTTATGGCTGATGATTCTTTACGATAAAGTTGCCGATGATTAAATAAAAAACGGGAAGAGGTGCATTGAATTCACGGAAAAATATAGGAGAGCCTTTCCGCAAAACGTGATGCTAACGAGCTGTACTAGGTTATCAGAGTTAAAAGTCTATGAAATTTCTAGAAAATCATTAAAAACATTTAAAAACATTTAAAAAAAGATGATACCCTGCTGTGCAATAACGTTTCAATCCAGATCAGACATCCGATTTCGATTTGAATCCAAATCGGATACAACATATGCAAATTTCGAAGAAGGGTAAGGTCTAACCTTCAACGAGTATGCCCATTCGCCAAAATTCTTCGCCACAATGGCTAGTTGTTCATCGGCTTTGGTGATCGCTTGATCCGTGCACTTTCGAATCAACGGGAGAACTGTGGACTTCTTGGCTTCTGAAATAAATTTCTTCCGAGAAAATTAGGTAATCAAACCTTTTGTGAAAGTTGGTATGCATGGAGCGATAGCATTGAGCGCAGCCTCTCTGACACCAGCTTCCTCATCACCAACCAATGACACCAAACATGGTAACACGAGGGAAACTGATTCAGAAGCCGTGCTAAAACAACAAAAGATTAGAGGATTACTGTAATTTGGAAATGTTTTTATAAAGGTGTGTAGATTGTTTTAGATTGACCCACTTGAAACTCTTTGCGATGGCCGCAATTCTCTGAGCCATTCCGCTTCGGACATTCGCATTCGGATCCTCACAAAGTAATTGAGTACACGTGCCCAATTCTTTTCGAATTCTAAGAAAATATTGCTTTTCTTTAACTCTCAAATAACAAACTCGACAGCCGGCAGGATTGTGGCTAATTTGTGTAAAAGTTTCGTGGCAATGATTCTCCGCTGGATGCGCTGATTGGGCTCGGATTGTTGCTGAACAACAGGGACTATCTGCAAATTTTATGCATAAAATGGTCAATTTAATCAGATGGCTGAATATCTTGTTACAAAATCAAAGCTGAGATATCAAAGATCTAAAACTTGCATAGGTTTTGACGGATTGTAAATCGATGCGATCAGCGATGTCAACAAGAGTCTCCAACCAAGCTGCCGCGCTCACTGAAAAAGGTGTGAATTCGGTGAAAACATAGGACTGCTGTAAAAGATTTTGAGAAAAGTTTCTCTCGCAATTTTTCCTCTCACTACATCCACCCCCAACTTTATTGTAGAAAATCTATGCAAATCGTTCGTCTCTTTTCCCGTCGATCTATCAACGATTGATAAAAAAAAAAGATAAAGAACCGTTCCAGGAACACAATTTTCCCCAACCAGTCGTATGACTGTGTTGATAGGGAAAATGTTTCTAAAACCCTCCGCATTTTACGATCGAAAGGTATACTCAAACTTGGCCATGAACAAAGTGAAATTTTGGTGAACTGTTTTGTTAATACTTTGGGTAATCAATTCATTTTTATATCAAATTTCTGATCTTAACCTACATCTTTTCGGCTCTTGCGTAGTTTTCGGGTATTTTGAACGGGTTGTCACACTTTGAAGGCCTATAACTTTGCCCAGAGACAATATTATTGCTAATTTTTTATATCATTCTACAGAGGACATTTCAGGCTTTCAAATGATACCAAATAGAGCTTGATTGGATAATCCAGTCCAAGGAAATCAGAGCCAACTCTGAGCAAATGAGGCCTATCTCACTCGGGTATCGTGTTGCCTTGTTTGCATGGGAATGAAAAGCCAGTCAAGCTTTATTTGGTATCATTCGAAAGCCTGAAACGTTCTCTGTACAATGACATAAAAAGTTAACAAAAATATTATCTCTGGACAAAGTTATATGCTTTCAAGGGTGACGATCCGCTCAAAGTACCCGAATTCTTTAAAAATACCCGAAAACTACGCAAGTGCCATCTTTTCACTTTATCAAGCTTGCATGCAAGTGCAAGAATGTGTAAGAGTAGGGTGTGTTCCTCGGGATTCAATAATTAATTGAATAAATTTGCACAAACAAATTTTTTAACTGATTGAAGGTCAATTAATTAAGATTTATCTCAATTAATGCATCAATTAAACAAATTAAACAAAATAATAAATGGTCTGAATATCTTTTACGTATGAATCGTAGTATATAAGAAGCGCGTTAACGTTTTTTTCACTTTTCACAAGTTTTTCTCAGTTCTCTTACTATTAGTTTTCTCTATGCTTCTTTATTTTACTTTTTCTTTTCAATTGAATAACTTTCTTTTTAGATTCTGTTCCAAAAAACAGTTGCAATTTAAACTGTGATTATTTGATTACAAAGAAGATTACCTAAGTCTGACTGTAACTAGTTTATCCCACTGATTTTCTCGGATCTAAATCTAAATCCGAAAAAATATTTAGCAAGAATGTTAGAAAAGATGCGAATACTTTGCAAATACTTTAAAAAACAAAAAAAACTTAGAAAAAAACACCTGCAAATCATGAATGAAAAGTTTAAATTAACATTTAAAGAAATTTACATAACTAACTAACGATTTATATAACTGTAAGATCGCCTTTTTGAAGCGCACACTTTAGAAAGCGCATTGATCACGAGGAACACACTCTATATAAGAGTATTAAAGGTTTTTTGGTTAAAAAAGGAAAAGAAAAATACATACATTCGTCGGTGGGTTGAGTTCTCTTTGATACCCGGAAGACGACTTTGTCAGAGGAAGAAGTGACTGAAAGCAAAAAGAGAAACATTCTCTGATTAGTGCAAGGAAAAGCTGGGAAAGGGTACTAGTGAAGTGGAGAGTTGAATATAAGAATAACAAGAGAAAGTATAATTTTGAGTTTTTCGTAAAGAGTGGCTGTGTATCTAGCAAAACATGCATTCCGCATTCCTCAAAAAAACTCTCGACTTACTGTTATCCTTTTGTTGTTGAATATTCTCCAAGATGTTCTTCAGCAATTTCTCGGTCAGACCGCTGAAAATGTAAGCTTGGAAAGTTTGAAATTTAAATGCTGCAGATAATTGTTTTCAAATAAATGTTGGCTGCATTAAACGAGCGATTTTTTGACTACATTAGCTTTCTGTTGGTCTTTTCGATTTGTAGAAAAGTCTCAGATAGGGTTCGCTTGTTGAATCATTCAATTGTTTTGGTGGTTTGTTGTTTGAACACTGTGATTTAGTTATCTCTTTTGACTTACGGATGCTTTCTTGTAAGTTTCTCGCTCTGTAGAATACTCTTGAAGACGACAGCCGCCTCACAATGGACATCCAAATTTGAGGCCTCTTCGCGTAGACAACGCTGCAATTGTTTATCAATGTGGGTAATAAGTATTGTCGCGTGCTTGAACACGTGTTACTTCTGTTACTTAGTTCTAAATCTTATAAGTAACATATCAAAATGTTGCTAAAAGTCTAGGGAATCTAAGCACGTACTTATTGCCACGTGCTTAGCTTCCCTAGATTATTGTGCCAATGTATAATCGATAAGAAAGTTTACAAAATGAATTTGTTGCAAAAGGGAGCAAATCAAAGTTCTTTCTTTCAGGTCAATCATTGCAAAAGAAAGAGATTTCCGGAAATTGCTATCAACTTAGCACGAAAAAATTCCTTGATCGTCCCTCTTTTACTGACTATTAGATCAAAAATTCCAAGAATTTCATTAACAAAAACGTTTAAGTTTAAAAGTAAGGCTAAACAAGTAACTAAAAAAATAACTAAACAGGTGAATTCACCTGTACTGATGGTAGAAGTGCTTCAATAGCCGGATCTCCTTCATCCTCAATCATTTCCGGTAATGCTCGAATTGAGGCCAATTTCGAGACTTCTCTTCCTTTTCTGAAATTTGTTCCTGTTTTTAGTACAATAACCTGAAAAGTACAATAACCTTAAATTCGCGGCAAACTTTTGCACTACAGCGGAGACTTTTTGAGTGCAATCGGCTTGTAGGGAATTTGAGAGATCTTTACTAGTTGAGATCTCATTTTTATGGAAAACGATGGAGCTACGAAGATTTGGAGTTGGGGGACGAGTGGGTGGCATTTGTTGTTTGAAATGGAAATTGAATTGATCCAAATGTGTGAGTGATTACGTAGATTTACAGTAGATGTATGATAATATGATATTTTGAAGTTTAGACAAGTCTGTATCTGTGTTGATAGAATGGGTCATACTGATATCATTTCCCATCATTTCTCATTTCCTATCATTTCAAATTCCGTTTTGATTTCAGTGATTCTCTTCTCAATTCTTTTCTTTTCCTTCTTTCAAGTTCATTTTCCCTCTGCGTAACTCTAAGTAAACATTTCAGCGCATCCTTGTCCACGTTTTGCCTTTCGAAAACCGAAAAAGATCCCAACTGACTTTCCATTTGACGAAAGTTTTGAGGGATTGAAATATTTTTAGATTCGATCTTGATCAGGAATTCACTTAGCAAATACATGTAACAGGGAACAGAAAGTGTACTTCCTCCGTGAGAAAGTTTACTTCCAAATAGAAAGCTGAACGTTCTTTAGCCTACCAGCTATCCCTTAGCTTCTCTACCATCATATTTAGCCTCTACCAGAAAGCTGAACATTCTTTAGCCTACCAGCTATCCCTTAGCTTTTCTACCATCATATTTAGCCTCTACCAGACCATCTCTATCATGTTTTGTCCTAATTCTGTTCACTTCTATTAAAGTTAACAATGAATTTTAACGTTAGTACTTGAATACTTTTAAAATCCTATCAAGATCTGCTTTTTACGTGCCAGAAAGACCTACGTGCCTACGTGCCAGAAAACCAGGAGTGTACCCAGCCTTAAAGATCAGATTTCGACCGAATCCTCTTGAGATGATAAAAAAGAGAACTGAGCAAATTCGGTAAGGAGTTTGTGTTTAGATATCAGTGTACGGATTTTAAAATAAAACTGACTCTAGATTGTTGATATGATGTTGAATTGGTGGAAGAAGGACTTCCTCAAGCTCAGCCTCCGCCTCTTCTGCCATTTTCAACAGGGCTGCCCTGTAAATGGATATTCACAAAGACTATGTTTCACTTAGAGACTATTTTAAAATAATTGCTGTCTTTTGTCATATTAAAATGATATGAATCTCTGCGAACTTTCAAAAAGCTCAGCATTTCATCACATCCCCTTCCCCCCAGTCACTCACCAATCCATTCTCGTGTTATTGTTGTTCTCTTTGTCTTTTTCCTCATCCTCATCACTGTCGTTGTCTTTATTTTCGTCTAATTTCTGAAAAACAAGCGATTGATTTTGGATTGAATATTTGCTCACTTCATTTTTCGTTGTTTCATCGTGTGACTTTTCCGAGGAAATCGAGCTATTCTCCTCTTCTTCAGTCATTCTTCAAATGCTTCTGAAAAGCTGAAAAGTTTAGCTAAAGTAGAAAAAGTAGACTGAAAGGTAGTGAAACAAGCTAAATTTCAATAGAAATAGTTAAATTATAGAATAATTATAGAAAAAAAAAGAAAATTTCTATATTTGTTCAGCATAAAAACTCTCTTAGTCGACAAGTGGGGATTCTCTCAAAAATAGCATGTAATCGATATGGTTTAAGGTGATCAGAAGTGAGGAATGATATGTGGGGCGCAAAGGGGTGAAGGGGATGACGTTGAAGAGGAGACGGGGTGGAAACAGTTGTCACTCATGGGGGAGTGCTGTCGTTCTCCCCTCGGCCTCAGCCTCTCAGCCACAGGACCCCCTCAGACTGAGATAGAGGGATCCCTCTCACCCCGAGAGTGTGCGTGTTACACCAAGAGTCCATTTAAAAGAAAGGAAAGACTAAGAGATCATCTTTGTCTCTTTTTCTTGAGGCAATGAGATGCTTGATGTCTCCCCCCTCCTTTCCTTTTCTCCTACATTCCCACATGAACCATCCCCTTTCATTCCATTCACTCATTTTATGATCATCTATCCAGCTATCAAAAGAAACACCATCCAACAGCCGAAAAGATGACCAAGAGAGACAGGAGTAAAACTTGAAATTGATCGGGAGGCTTTGGGAGAAGATTCAGGGTCCAGTCCAACATGCAATTTTATACCATTCATACCAAAATGACAGAATGACAGAATTGTATACAAGATACAAGTAAAAATAAGAAATTGATGATCATCGGTGAGAAGTGTGATCGTGGAGAGTTTGGGGAAAAAGAAAAAGATGAGATCTCATCCCCGACCAAACACAAACAGAGAAACAAAACGAAAAAGAAGAAGAAAAAAGAAATGGAGGAGAGTTGTGGGTGGATCGAGTCACTCAGGAGATACATGAGGAGATTTTTGAAGGGGAAAGAAACGATTACCCCCGGCTTTGTGTCTGAAGGAGTGGAAATGAGCTCTTGCTTAAATTAACAATGACAGGGAGAGGAAAACACACCAATTTCCACTTTACTATGATCTGTTTCACAGCCAGGGTATAACTGTTATTAAAACTGTGTACAAACTGTTTTACTGTTTTTTGTTGTAATTGCGCTTACAGTTTTACAGAAAGTAAACAGTAAGACCTAGCTAGAACAGCTGAAATGATCTTTGTTGAAATGATGAAATGATCTTTGTTGAACGCTTTGATGTCCTAGTCATCTGGTAGCTTTTGATGTGTTTGAGGGAAAACAGTTTACCGATTCCTCTCCTCAATATCTCAATGTGTACTAAGCCTTTATGATGATGAGGATGGACGACGAGAAGATACTGTTTACATAGAGAAATCCCTCATAGAAGAAATCTCATTGGTTTCGTCGATCTCTCTTTCTTTCTTTCTTTCTTTTCCATTTCCTTGAAGTCATTGAACAGAGCTCATTCATTTTTCCATTGTAAACTTTGATTCACTCAATGGAGACAACTTTTGCAGAAAAAAAGGGAGATCTGTGAGCTGAAATGAGTGAACTCGAATTACAAAACTCTCTAAAACTTGGGTAATTAAACCAAATTGGAGAGAAAAAGGCGAAACTGAATTTAATTTTTGTCCTTTATCCCTAGATCCACAAGCCGCAAGATTACGTAAACATGAAAATTTCCACGTTTTTATAATCGCGCATATTCTGGCATACGGCCTTGGATGTGGAGTTGCACTTGGGTAATTAAACCAAATGAAATATCCAAAAATAGAGCAGTTTTCTTTAAAAACTAATAACGGATTCGAATTCCTCATCCTCTAAAACCTCTGATTGCAAATTTTCAGCCCAATCGGCCTCAAAAAAAGTGCTAAATCCACGTACGGCCCACAGCCAAAAACTCAAAAAAATGTTAAAATGGCCAACTTCAAACGCGAAAATCTCGAAAACTAGATGGACAACCGTTTTTTATGTTGGTCAGCTCCCCTAGTCAAATTCTCTCTATTTTCTGAAAATCATAACGTTAGTTTTGTAAAATCAATTATTGATGCCCAAAAACTCGTTTTATCGAAATTTATGCATTGCAATGCAAAAAAAACTCGAGCGCCTCGAATTTTTCAAAAAACTGGTTAGCTTTGTAGCCTAAAATGTTTAAAAAATATAATTGGGTGAAAATTGATTCGGGGTAGCCTCGAGGAGCTCGGACCATTAGACTGAAAGGCGCGAAATCCTGGGTACGCCACTGCGGTCCACCACCAGTGGGCCGTATCGTCGCGATTGTGTTAACATATTGGAATTTTGACTTTTGTACAGTTTGTCACAACATATTGTTAAAAAATTTCTATTTTAATGCGAGTTCCCGTTGAAACAAAAAAAGATTATTATCGTATAGCAAAAAATATTGATCAAGATCAAGAAGAAAATTCGAAAATCATGACAAATTGAATAAATATCGGCGTAAAAGAACGGGTGAAACAAGAAAAATGAAGGAAAGGGAATGAGCAAGAGGTTCGGAGAATATTTGCAAGCTGTCAAAAGCAAAACGGTTTGCAGAGATGAAGAAGAATGGGAAGAAAGCGAAGAAGTCGAAGAAATGAACGATGAGAGATTAGAGTTTAGTTTTGTGGGGTTTGCTGTGTGTGTGGGGAGTGATTGAAAAAGTTTATCTCATCGAAAAACCTTCGCGAACATCATTGCCATGCCAATCTGAAAGCTCGTTATTTTCTTTGTCAAAAACGATTGCTTATTATCCCGTTGTATGTAACTGGTTTGGGATTTTTATTTTTGATTCAAAAATGAGTTGAAACCAGTCTGAAACTTTCATTTTTTTTCATTTCCAAAATTCCCAACTCAAATAACCGCTCTAACTACGGTGAATTAGAAATTTTCAGATTCGAAAAGCTTTTACCTAACCGATGTGGCATCAACGCTCATCGGCCTTCCGCCTCTTCCCTCCCTCACACTCGCCCAATTTTGTCGCCGGAGATTCGCCGAGTGAATTTCCCGTTTTTCCGTTGTTTCAATTACCTAAAGTCTCATAGAGTTTTTAGATGAATTTGTAGTTTTTTTTAAATTTGTCCACAAAATTGTGGAGCTAAATTCCTTCGAAACTTCATTTGCTTACCGTTTGCTCCAATTTATTCTCCCAGAGTCGTAAAGAGGCCTCGAAATTCTTGCTGAGAATAACTCCATCGGGATATCTGCAACATAATTCAATTATGATCGTTAGTTTATACATATTACCAGCCAAAAACATTCTGGCTGGACGGACGGACGGACAGCCACTGCCCTTTTACGATAGATTTCCAACAATTCCCTACTTACACTGTTCGAAAATATCTCAAAGCGTAGTCGAGTGACATTTTATGATAAAACATTATATATTGAAGAGCCATTGCTTGACATCCATTTCGACCATCTTTTGAATATAATAACACCTAAAAATACTGTTCTTAAGTGATTCTCCGTCACTCACATGAGCTCCTTTCGTCCTCGCTTCGGCAATGAACTTGTTCACAGTGGGAAAGTTTGAGCAAATTGTCTAAAAGATCTATAAGATCAGAAAAACAAGGTCAAAAAGAATATTTTAATACTAAATCCGACTTCAGACGTTGTGAAATCGTCAACAGAAATGGTGATCTCGGTGGGTGAGTGAAAGGCCTTTTGACCACACAAACAATCCGCTCCCGCAACGATTTTTCGTCGCTCGACTCCGGTGAGATTCTGAAAGCTGAGCTTTTAGACGATTTAGCACTTTTCCAAGTACATGTTTAAAGATACAAAGTCTAAGTCTGACCACAATGTATCGAATCCGATTTTTGCAGAGATATTCGAGATTTGAGCCCATCTCTTCGCTGCCACAGTGCAAAAACTCGAGGATGCGATAGGCTTCGGAACGGCAACTGAAAAGAGATTTATAATTTGATCGTTTTAAACGTTTTTTTTTTTGCTTAATTAGGACTTGAACATTTTCATTATCGTTTTGATGACCTACACGAGCGCTGAATCGAGTGATTGTGAGTGTGGCTGCGAGAGGCGACGTCGCATAAAAGAGCTCACATTTCGATCCGGTGGAGAGATCGACTCAACCGTGATCAACTTAAACAAAAATTTCTCTAATAGTAAAATTGAAACTATTTTTCCCAAACCTTTGCCTGATTTCCGGTGGATTGAGCGGGTGATCGAGAACATGAAGAGGTTCTTGATCGAATCGATGAACACGGAGAATCAAGCGGGGTTGGGCCGGACTGAAAACAACTTTCTATCGTTTCTATCGTTTTATAATCTATCTAAAGAAGGCCCTAAATTACTACTGTAGTACTTACGTGCAGTAGTAACTCAATCTGGTCCTAAATCCTAACCTAATGCTGATAAGAAACAATCTGTCACCTCTTGTCGAATGATTGACTTTGATCGTGCCATTTCCATTGACTTCAGCACTTCTGAAATGACTTTATCATTTGTTTACCTCAAAAATAATAAAGAAAAAAAAAGCCTGAGCAAGATGGTAATTAATGTCAAAGCGATATTTACGTGAAAAATGAAAAAAAGGATGAGTCGGAAAAACACCTCAATGAAGAGTCTGATAGAGATAGATGAAAAGGGAAAAAAAGGTAGCCATGGAAATTGAATGAGTGAAAAGAAAACGGTACAGCAATTAGGGGATACACACCTATCTATTGAAAAGATTCGGAAGAGTCTTCACTCAATGGAAATCTTCATTCTTGAGGTTATTTGTGCGGAACTCGAGGGAAATTGTGTATGTAAACAATTAAAATCGAGATGAGTCAAGAAAAAGTTGTCTGATTTAAGAGATCGATCAAGATATGGAAACTTCCGGATTGTAAGCTTTTTTACAACAGGGTATCCAATAAAAACCAACAGGTTATACAATAAAAAGTCCATAACTGTAGCGAAAACAGATTTCTAATAAGCCTTTTAGCACAAAACCTTATTTTAACATTGAATAACAAAAATCAAAAATTAAAATCACAACAATTGTTTAAAGTTTCCTCCTTTCACCGCAATACATTTCTTAATATGATAGAAACAAAATAATAAACGCAACATAATAAAACGAGTGCTATAGAAGCTATTTAATAAAATGCCGGGTTATTGGGGGACAAAAAGAAAGGGTTTAGACAATGAAAGCGATGATGGAAAAAGAGGGGATCACACAAGAGGAAATGGATGATATTGACACGTCACAGGTGTGTCAAATAAAGAGTACTTCTCTAAGTAACAAGCTTTGTCTTGTAGTAGGCTGTCCAGAAAGTCTTTTCGTTTTTTTCGTTAAACCCAACAAATGCACCAATTGAACTACGATTTATTTCAGTAGAAAGGCCAATTATTTCTCTGCAAAATAACATTAAAGTGGGTTTAAAATATCTTAGGCTTAGGCTTAGCCTAAGATATGCTTGCATTTTTTTAGGAGCGTGAAGTCGGGTAATCAAAAAGGACGACGGCTAGATGGTGCGTTTTAGACACTTTAGTCAAGGAAACCTATCTTGGTGTCAATAGATAAAAGATAGGGCACGAAAAGTTAAGTATGTAGCCAAATTTTCAAAGAAATTGATTCAACTAATTTCTTCGTAGAGGTTTTTCTAGATTTTTTACGAAAAACGCGCCTTTACTCTCGCATTTGCGCCCAAATTGACTTAAAAAGATGAGAAATTGAACAATAAACACTTTTTATTTAGAGCAAAACCATAAGTTGATTGTGAATTGGTTATTTTTCAGCGAAAATATGAAAAAAAACGAAAAGACTTATTCACCAACCTAATAGAAGGTAAACCTTTTAGCGCTTTCTTTCGAATAAAGCGTTTTCTAAAACGTGTTAACTTTCGAAAACTACCGTAGTCTTGGAGATTTCAGTTCAAAATGAAAGTACCTATTCAGACCTAAAATCTTTGTCTGTCTTATAATACAATTAGATTCAAGCCAATCGACTTCCCCTTCCATCCCTTCCCTTCCCCTTTCCTTCCCCCCTTCCCCCATCCCCTTCCCCTTCCCCTTCCCCTTCCCCTTCCCCTTCCCCTTCCCCTTCCCTTCCCCCTTTTCACCCCCGCATTCCACAGATCGTCTTTCTTTCAATGCCTCTTATCCGAATAACAGAATAATTGGGATGTTTTCTTTCACAATTTTCTTTTTTCTTAATCCTCTTTTTTTCGGTTCTCGATTTTTAATTTGATTTTTGTTAATTAATTTTCCTGTATAACTGATGATTCGATTTTGCAAAAGTTGTAGTTTAGATACAATCGTTTGAAAGGAAAATGACTCTTGACAAATTCAGGAGTTCAAGTTTATAGATTTGAAATTGTGGGTTTTGTTTAACTCTTTTTGGAAAGAATATGTTTTGAAAAGTTGGATAAGTTGCCGATCAATGCGTTGTGTATATTTTTGTAAGAAGTTTTCATTTTTATTGACTCTATTTTATTATTTATGCATCGAGGGTGCTGGGAGTCCAGAATTGAGCACAATTTTGACTGTTCTTCACCGTCGGGACGAAAGGACATGTCTGAAATTGAGAAAATTGAGAAAATTGCTCATTTTGTAGTCAAAAGGAGCCGGGGGAGTTAAACAAGGATATACAAATCAGATCATCAAAGATTATATTAAAATACATTTATTCATACGAATAATGTGGTAAAAAAAAGCCTTACGAAACCACAGCCCCTAAGCCCTAAATGCATGGTAAGAAATCCATATCTAAGGGAAAAAAAGATCCAATAATCTAGCCGGCGGGATTGAACCCTTGATCTTCCGACCCAGATACAAGGCTCTTAGCCAGTCGACCATGACGACCAATCTTTTAGGTTTCTAAAAGTCAGTTTTCCCTACCGTTGATGGACAGCTGAGAGTTGGATTCGCATCTGACAGATTCACTTGTGTCTGCTTTTGCCCAACTGGTTGCACAATTGTGTTCCACAGGTTCTTCGCCACCTGCAATTTTTGTATTGTAGCCATGTATTGTTGTTAATTACCCATTTGTCTGTTCTATATTCCTATAACCACTCACCACAGCGTGTCCAAATTTCGAGAAATGGAAGCAATCGGGGGCAAAGAAGGTCAAATCGACTTTTCCGTCCTGAGAATTTGTTATCAAAGTCTTTTTCTATAAGAAACCGCCATTGGTGGAGTGTGAACACCGTTGAAGAATGGTTGAATGACGAGAGTGAAATCATCGGCCTCGAAGACTCCGGTATCTTGGAGTTGTTGTTGGGTTTTCTGAAAGGATTTCAATGACACTGTCTTGAAAGGTCAAGCAATAGAAGTTATTTAAAAATTCTTGATTAACAAGGGAATGTCAACGGGGTGTGATGGCCAAATGACAGGAGCTATATACTAAACGACGTAGAATTTTGCGCTGATTCCTTTCCGTCTCTGCCATGGAGCACTGTGTCAAAATTTAAAAGCGCTCAAAGTTTTGTATGGATCGCAGAAAACAGATTCTGGGTTTATTATTATTAAGATGAGCTTATAAGTTGACCTACCACAGAGGCCAAAGATGTCGCGATGGCCGAGTGGCAATGCGCTTGAATACCAAGCAAGGACCCTAGGGTTCGAGTTCGGCGTTTGGCTTTTGTTTTTTGCTTCTTTTTCCTTTGAATGGTTTGAGTGTTTTCGCGATGTTGGCCCGTCATCATCAGCTGTATGTATATCCAGAGCTACGGTGTGCCAGATGCTGTACGATTGTGCGCGCAAATAGAGAACAGTCAAACCATTCAAAGCTAAAAGAAGCAAAAACAACGCCGGACTCGAACCCTAGGGTCCTTGCTTGGTATTCAAGCGCATTGCCACTCGGCCATCGCGACATCTTTGGCCTCTGTGGTAGGTCAACTTATAAACCCAGGATCTGTTTTCTGCGATCCATACAAAACTACTTTGAGCGCTTATAACTTTTGACACAGTGCTCCATAGCAGAGACGGAAAACAGATTTGGAATCAGCGCAAAATTCTACGTCGTTTAGTATATGGCTCATGATATTTGGCCATCACACCCCGTTGACGTTCCCTTGTAAGTAAGAAATCCTCCTAACCATGTAATTCTGGCAAACATCATCGATGTCGGCATTTGTGAAGTTCTTGTCGGCCTCGCATGGGCATTCGAATCTGTAAAAATCGACCGTATTAGTTAATAATAAGTACCTGCATAATATCTAATTTTGATTTTTTAGAAAATCTATAATATTTTTCTATCAAAACTCCTTACGTATGAAGTCCATCACAGAAGAATTGTCCCCTATCGACTCGTCTCAGCATTCCCATGTTGAACATTCCAGTCATTGAAACAATGGTTCTGAAAAGGTTTTAAACTTCAAGAACTTTAAACTTCAAGAACTCTAATATAATTTAACTATTTTATTATCATTTTTTTAAAAATAAACCTTGGCATTTTGTCCTTGAAAACTTGCACGGCGGCTTTGATATTGTCACGGAAATGTTCAGGTGAGTGAGTTCCCTGAAAGAATTTATGAAAGATTATTGATTGATTTTAGATCTTGATTATTGATCTTTTTAAAGATCTTTGATGATTTTAGAATCTTTTTAAAGATCTTTGATCATTTTTAAATATTCCTGACTCACCGAAGAGTTCTTGATCTTATCTTGGCAATAGGCGCAAATGTCGTTTCCACCGATGAACAAATTGATCAACTTCCAGTCATTTTGGAAATCGATCTGAAACATTTGAACATTACAACAATTACCTATATGGTTAAAAACTTCTTTTCTAGATGTTTTTTTTTTAAAAACTAACATCAGGATGATTCTTCATCTTTGTGATGAGACTCTCAGCTTGTCCCTTGAGATCTCCACTCTCGGCTCCCGGCACTCCTCCATTCAGTCGAGCCACCTTCAATTTCAAGTTCGATTCAATAATATTTACTAATAAAGAATGATTGATAAGTATTGTCGCGTGCTTGGCCTCGAGCAAAGTGTCTTTTTTGAAAAGCACAAGAATCGCAATAAACCTTTTTAGTCATTATCATTTTCAGACTCTTAGCAACATTTTGAGATGTTACTCATAAGATTTGGAACTAACCTCGAGGAATAACACGCGTTCAATCACGCGACAATACTTATTAACCCTTGTAGATAAAGTGCAATAAAAATTTCAATATTAAAAGCTGTCTTTACCTCCCAAACGTTCTCGGATCCCGTTCCAACGGCGTATCCCTGAATGCTGGGATTGAACCGCTTCATAATATCTGAAATGTTAAACTGTGATTTAGATTTAAACATTGGCATCAAATCAGTTAACTCACTGGGCACAGTGATCTGCTCATCGAGATCGACCTGTCCTCCCGCGTGGAAAGACAATCCTCTGTACTGAAGAATGACAGCGATCGCATCATGTGGAGCAGCTCCAGCTCCGTTTGCTGCCTAGATTATGATAAAGTACTTTTTATTGCTTTCGCTTGAAAATATAATAGAAGCCTTGGATAGAAATCTATTTTGAAAAAAGTTCTGTTATTTTTTTTACCGTCAACGAGTCTCCAATCGCGCCGATCACTTTGATGTCAGCAAAGCGAACTTGGTTGACATTTGTTGGCACGTGTGCACTTCTGAAAACAAAATATTAAGCCAATAACTTTCCAAAGTTGTTTTTTAAAGTTTTATAAAACTTACGGCACCATCACTTTCGGATCACATGTGAAACCGGGAGCTCCGAGGGTTTTCAAGTCAGCCAAAGCTGTTTGCGTCAACGCAAGCGCCAGAAGTAGAACTTAAAAGGAATGGCTAATCTTGTAAAATCCAGAATTTACAAAGGAAAAGAGATCAATTATCTATATTCCTTAATAAACGAATAAATTTGTCAACTTACAGCTTTTCATGATGACCGAGGCTGTGATAGGCTCTGATATTTTGTCTAATTTCCCAGAACCTCAAATAGCAAAGACGCGGCTCAATGGGTTCACCGACTGGCGACAGCTATCTTGAATTCCCAAATGCTTTTTTCTTTGCCAAGTTATGACTTTTTTATAATGGCATTGTTTGTAGTTTTGTGATAAGCCGGGAGAGTTCTTTGAGTGATTGGAAAAGGACATCCGTTTTCCTCGTTTTCTGATAACTTTTCTGATAACTGAATTCAAAATTTCTACACTGCATTCAAGCAATTCCGGTTTACACAACTTATCAAAGCAAAAATATCTTAATCTTAATCCAAAAATTCTTCACACGATTTCAATCCAGTTCTTCCTATTTGCTTATTTTAGATAAGAACTAGGGGAAACGGATCTTTGAAAAGGAAAACTCAGCGCTCATCTTGATCAAAGAACTTTAAATTGAACAATCTAGGTAAGACTTTAACTTTTCTTGTAGTTATTGTGGAATATATAGAGTTTACTCTCATCCACACCCAAATACCCTTTGAACTAATAAAACGTTTTTTTATGTTCACACAAAATGCATCGTAAAAATGTTATCTCGGCGTTTTTCGATTCTCAAAATGTGCAAAGAGTTTATTTGAAAGAAAAAAACGTTTTCAATCAAGAGCACCTGGGCTCATGTATTGTGAGCAATCCTGACTGTTCTTGTAGGTTCGGAAGAAGGGGCAAGTCTGAAAACAGGATCATTGAGAGGAAAAATCATGGAGTTGATCAGAAAGGTTGATCAGAAATTCGAAATCTTATTATAAGACGCAAAGTTTGTCTGTGTGTGTGTCTATCCGTTCACTTCATAACTCGAGTCCCAGTGAGAATTTCGGTCTGATTCTTTGGGACAATATGTAATCGACTACGGCGGTTTCGCCTGTCAATTCAGAATTGAAAGATCTTTAACCGTTTTTGAAACATTGAAAAAACTGAAATTGGCGATGAGATCAAAGGCGGCGGCGAGATCAAAGACGCCTAGAAGTACTTAAAAAAATTAATTTCGGATTCATTTGCTCAGAATATGTTGGGGGAATTATACTTAAGTTTTGGCACCAAAAACATTTTAAAAAGATTTGATGTTTTGAGAAGACGATGAAGGCGGAAAAACTCAAAGGGTCGGCGGCGATGATCAAAGGGAATGTTAAATTTCTGTTAAATCAAAGTCTATGGGGAAATTTTCAATTTCAGATTTAATGTAACTGTTTTAATACAACTATTGTAGAGTACAATTGTAGATTCAAACCGGATCGGGACAGCTGAGATGAGCCTCAGTGATGCCGAGATCCATCCAATGATCCTTGCTTCCAACTGGTTGTAGCATGTTGTTCCACAAGTTGTGCCCCACCTTTTAGAGTTCAATTTTAAGTTTACTATCAGTAAGAACAATTTTATAAGCCATGTCGCTTTTAAACTTACAATCGAATGCCCAAGCTGCGAGAAATGGAAGCAATCCGGGGCAAAGAAGTCGAGGAAAGACTCGTTTTTCTGAAATTATTCTTTAAAACATATCAAGAGCATAAATATTAAAAAGTAATATAAAAAAGCAATCAAATTTCCAAAAACCGACCACTTGAGGCAGTTGATCGACATTTTGGAACCATGGTTGAATGACAAAAGTGAAATCGTCTCGCTCGAACTCGTGTGCGTCCTCGATCTTTTGAGCTTCAATCTAAAGGAATATTATCTGAATAATATTAATAGTAAGTAATAAGATTTGAGTTGTATTAGACAATAGCAATATAGCCTACTAATACTAAAAGAGTTTTTTTGTTACCTGGTACGAAATGGAGACATTTCGGAGATCAGCGTCCGAGACATTGTCCGCCTCGCAGTGACACTCGAAACTGAATCCCAAAACCGTAATCCCGTAATCCCAAAAGTGCTTTCATTCGTAACAAATGATGTTTTTCTAGCTTTTGTCACTTACACATGTAGCGCTTGACAGAAGAATTGTCCATTGTCGATTTTTCTCAACAGATCCATATGCATGAAACCCATCAAAGAAACGATTGTTCTAAAAGTTTGCAGAAATATAAAAATCGTACATAATGCAAATGTAAATGAAAAATTAACTGTGCTTCATAGCTTCATAGCTTCATAGCTTCACAGCTTCATAACTTCATAGCTTCATAGCTTCTTTGCTCAAACCTTGGTAGTTGACTGAACACTTGAACAGCATCATAGATTCCTTTAGCATAACCTTCAGGTGAAACATCACTGTCGGGACCAGGGTACTAAAGATAATTGAGAAAAATGAGTATTATTTTGGAGTTACCGGATGAGAGCACCATCCACACACGTCATTTCCACCAATGAAGATGCTCAGTAGTTTCCAGTCGTTTTCAATGTCAATCTAAATTAGATTCTTCGTGATTAAATAAATAATTGAAGAAATTTGGGTAAACTTCGATTAAAGGTCAATTAATGGAGATTGCGTCAATTAAACAAATTAAATTAGCTGAGTATCTTTTACACGAGTCGCACTGTATGAAGTTAGCGTTTTTTCATTTCTAGTTTTTCTCAACGCTTGTTGCTATTATCATTGAAAGACTTTTCAGTGCAAACCTCTGGATGAGCCTTCATTTTCTGGATGAGAGCCTTGGCTTGAGCGGTCAAATTTTGTCCTCCAGCTAGACTTTTTGCTCCCGGGATTCCACCATTCAATTTAGCCACCTTGATTTTAGTTCTTCTTTCAAAAATGGTTCTTTTTTTCATTACCTCCCAAACGTTTTCCGATCCAGTGTTCACGGCATATCCTTTCAAGTTTGGGTTGTATTTCTTGAGGATATCTAAAAAGTCAAGTAGCAAAGATTTTCTAGAAAACAAACTTGGCACAGTGATTTGTTCTTCGAGAGTCAATTGTCCACCAGCATGGAAAGAGAGACCTCGATATTGGAGGATGATTGCAAGCGGATCTGGGGGATCTTTCGGGGCACCGGCTCCATTGGCTGCCTAGAATAGGAAGAAATTTGTTAATTTGTTAATTTGTTCATTTGTTCATAGGATAAAAATTCAATTAGCATTTAATCCGAATTTTTTTTACCGTCAACGAGTCTCCGATCGCTCCAATAACGGTGATGTCAGCCGGTCGAAGTTGATTTACATTAGTCGGCACTTTTGCGCTCCTGGAGCATTTCTATTCATTTTAATAAGTTTTCTACAAACGGTGCCATCAATTTTGCATCACAAAAGTAGTTGGGATCACCGAGTGATCGAACGCATTCTCCCGGCGAGAACAGAGCCAACAGGAAGCACACAACTGAACAACACAGATTGACAGATTGAGTTTCAAGTTTCAGTCAATTTCGCCAACAAGCTAGACTACTTAAGGTCTTGCCGCGGGCCAATTTCGTGCCTAGGTACCCTAGTGGATAGTGTGTTAGCGCGTCCTTGGTTCAGACCCTTTTTTTGTCCCTGGTTCAGATCCACTGTCGATCAGACTTACCAGGGAACCTTCCCAAGTTACCCGCGAGTTGCAATATGAGGTAGGTGCAAAAAGAAAGGCCTGAAAATGTACGTTTTGCCGATTAGCGGTTTTTGAAAACAGTTTCTGAACGTACATTTTCAGGCCTTTCTTTTTGCACCTACCTCATATTGTAACTCGCGGGTAACTTGGGAAGGTTCCCTGGTTAGGGTTAAGCTAGGTTCAACGTGCTGGCGATTTAACAGCCAGAAGCTAAACTGGATGATGTTCAATGCTAATTCATAAGCACAGTATACTTTTACAAAACTCACGTGTCGCCCGCATTGGATTCAAAATCAAATATTTGGAATCTCAATAAAAAGTCAGAAGCCAAAGATTGGCGAAAAGCAAACGATTGGAAAATCCCATAAAAATCTCTTAAAAATCTCATAAAATTGTTATCTCAAAACCCAAGAATGAAAATTTTCTTCTTGAAGTTAACAAACAAACATAAAAAACTTTTTAGAATGCAATTTTGCAATGTTTTAGAGTGTGAAATTTTATTCATACTGTTAAAAACATTCACACAAAATGAGATCAAAATCGAACCGTTTTGGGCATTGAGAATTTGAAGGAATTTAAAGCTTTTCTTTTGATCGTTTAGAGAAAAAGAGTTGAAGCTCAAAAATAATAAATAAAAGTTTTGAAAAAGAAAAAGAAACCCTGATAATTTGATATAGAAGAAACGGATCACTTTTACTCGTATACATAGAAATCTCGAAAATTTTCTGAATCAATCAAATTTTTCTAGAGTTTACAACAAACAAAGGTTATCAACAAAGGTCTTGAAATTAGATTTTGAAGTTTGAAAGGTTAGGTTCCATTCACTAATAGCAAAGACTATCAGTTTTCTGGTAAGATTCGATTTTACAGATCATCTTCCCCAGCACTCATCGATAATCTCTTCTCCAATTCCTCATCATCACCAACTGTTTTCATTGTTGCCAAACGATTCTCTTGTCGATAGAAATGTTTGAAGTTTGCCACCTGAAAGTAGACTTATTCTTTAAGGTTCAAATAATCTAAGCTGAAATGTTAAATGTTGACTTAGACTTGCTTTAGAATAGACTTATCGATATCGATATTTTCGATACGGCAAGGTCATTTTTGACCGTTCAGATCTTGGTTTCTAGAACAGCTATCAATCAGCAAATTGTTTCACTGGAAAGCTAAGAACATCAGCTTTTGATTGCTATTTTACACATAGCAAATTATCATAGGTGAGTGCCTTAAAAAGCTACAATACTTATCGATAATTTCGATATTGATAAGGTTTATGAAATTTACTATAAAAAATTAAAAGTCACTATAAAATAGCAATCAAAAGCTGACATTCTTGACTTTCCAACGATTTTCAGATAGCTGTTCTTGAGCTGAAATCTGAACGGACATGATATCGATAAGCAACTTTACTTACAATGATTGGTACGGGCAGGGCCAATGTGAGCACTCCAATCAGAGAACACATCGATCCAACGATTTTCCCCATGATCCCTGTTGGGACAAGATCTCCATATCTAAATCGATTTTTTTTCAAGATGATCAAGCTGACAATCAAACAAATATTTATTAGAAACACTGATTGCAACATAAACACTACATGCTTACCCGACTGTCGTCATTGTCACCTAAAAATGATTGGAGAATATTCAAAATAAAGATTTTATGTTTCCTTAACTAACCGATCAGCAATTTATTTAAGTTATTTCCTGAAAACTCACCAGGACAAACCAAAAGCTCGCGGGAATCGAGGTGAATTTTGTGTTCGGCTCACTTTGCTCAGCAAAATACATTCCTGAGGAGAAAAGCACCTGAAAGATTAAAGGGTATTTATTTGAATGCACTTTGTGCTCCGGTAAACGCTCTCTTTCTGGCACCCTTTCTGGTACACCCCTGAATTTGTTCTTTTAACAACTTTTTACTAGAGATTGAACTCAAAAGCATAAAGAGAACTTTCATTATTAAGTATTTGATCACTTTCAGAACCAAAAACTAACCAAGGCTATCACCATGAAGAAAATGAGTAGCATGAACTCTTGCACCGATGCTTTAAAAGTTTTGCCGAGGATTTGTAAACCAGCTGAGTGGCTGAAAAGGCTTTAGTTGAACATTGAATTGCTTTTAGTGGAAAAACATTGATATTTTTCAAATTTGATATGATAAATTCAATAATATTCAATAATATTCAATAATATCCAATAATATTCAATAATATTCAATAATATTCAATAATATCCAATCCTTTTGACTCACCGGCTCAGTTTGAATATCCGAAAAACGCGAACAAGTCGAAGGACCCGAAGAACGGCAAATGACATTGATGAACTCGATTTGCTGGCATCTGCCCTGGAACACTAATCATTTTGCTTTTACACAAAAATTTCCAACTTTCAACGAACAAAGTAAGCAGATATGCACCCGGCTAAACAAACTTCAAAAACTCACCAAATGAGATTGACGAAGAATGGGGCAATGGCGACAAAATCGATAATATTGAGAAAAGAAGTGAGAAATGAGAGTTTATTCGGAGAGGAAATGAATCGAAGGAATAATTCTGAATGTAATATAATTCTTTTTTTTATATACAATTAGGTAAATTCTTGTTACAGTACAACAGTTTTCCTACAAATAGTCAGTGCTGCACTCACCAAGCGTAAACCAAATAATGCAAAGAGATTCGATCCAAAAGAAAATATTATAGTTTCGCCCATCATCCTAGATTTAGAAATTGTTTCATATTTTAAGCTTATGCAATAAAAATTCAGAAATCCCACTTTTAGCGGTGGCGTTGGACTCGAAGCATCGTGACCCACGGGATCATTTGCCGGCAATGTCTCCGCACAAAAGCTCACAATACTACTGAAAATTTATAAGATTTAAGAATATCTATTGGTGTTAAGAAGTTTCGATATATATATATATATGTTGTGTTCGATTTAGATTTCCGTCCGATTTAGATTGAACTTATCGCGGACGTCCAATTTAGATTACAGTCTATATCGGACGTCCGATTTAGATTCAATCTAAATCTTATATAGATTGAAGAATAATATAAACATGCTTAATATATGTTCTTAAGCGTTTTCTGTAGTTTTTAACTTTAATTGGATAATAGTAAGCATTTAATAGGAAAACAAGAAAACAAAAAATTCTCAAAAAAAGACAATAAAATTTCTTTGAAAAGCGCAGCAAATTGCAAAAAACGCTTAAGAACATATATTAAGCGCGTTTATTATTGTTCGATCTGTATCGGACGTCCGATATAGACTGTAATCAATAAAAGACCTTTGAAAAATGCAGAAAACTACAGAAAAGGCTTAAGAATATATATTCAACATGTTTATATTATTGTTCAATCTATATAAGACGTATTATTGTTCAATCTATATAAGATTTAGATTGAATCTAAATCGGACGGAAATCTAAATCCGACACAACATATATATATAATTAAAAAAAGACTCACGCAAATATCACAAAAACGCTGATACAGGCAATCACCCGAGCGCAGAGAGACGAATCGGGAAATTCCATCAATTGCCAGAGTTTTCTCTGAAAGTAAACATTCACTTTTGAGAACTTTGAAATAATCTACCGTATTTATTCTAATAGAAGCAACTTTGAGAAAGTATTTGAAAAATAGAAACACAGTCTCCAATAGAAGCAACGACCATTAAAATGCACGGTTTTTACCATACTCCACTGAAATTCCCATATTTATCTACGTTGTTTTAAGCAGAAGTTAAACAAAATAATATTAACACAATTTCTTCTATACGCTCTGCAAATATTTCTATCAACAAGAATCCGTTGATGGCTACTTACTTGAATCGAATTCTTGGATCGATTTCGATTGAATTCGTACTTCGATCGAATTCTCCACGAGTACTGTAGCCTTTTCCTAGTTTTCAGTTTTTAAAAGTCTTCTCTTAACTTAACTGAAGCTACCCAGAGTCATAATTTTCAGAGAAATTTAATTTCAAGTTCTTAGGTTGGCGGTTAGCAAGAACTTAAGAAGTTTTTGCCGAGAAACTGGGAAGCCGGGTATTCTTGACTTTGAAACGACCACAAAATTCGGAAGAACTCCAATAATCCTTAAATTCTTAACCTATTGCAAGCGCCTGACTAGCCATCGACGGGAAAGCCAATTTAAACAAAGGTCTCATTGCGAAAACTTTCAGCATAAGTTGTGCTTGCCCTTGAAAGCCTTTGGAAAATAAAGGCATAGCCTCTAATAGAAGCAACTCTAAGGAATGATTGAAAAATAAAACTACATATGCTTCTATTAGAATAAATACGATATGTATGAATTATGAATTATGAATTACTAAGCCTGCAATATACCTGTAACGGATTTTTTGGCATAATCACTTCTTGCGGTTTCTCGTAACCCTCACTCTTCCAGAACTCCTCAAAAAATTTCTCACCCATCTGGAAAAAGATTGTCAAAAGAATTTGTTATGCTGTTTCACATATCTTTCCCGGATTTACCTCAAAAAATCGCATCTCTCGTAGAAAAATATCGATTGGAACACTCTCGGGTCTTTTCACTCGGCCATGAGATTGGTAGATGTAAAGGATTGACTCGAAACTGAATGGAAAACATTTTGGCTTTATAACTGGCTAGTAAAGGCTTTATAACTGGCTTTATAACTGGCTAGTAAAGGGGGAAAATGAATGGCTCTTTTCTTGAACATGGATAGTTTATTGGTGTAAACACATACGCGGATCTGGATCGATCAAAGAAATATTCGTTTGTGCTCGGATTCCAGTAACGAGATCGCTTGTTTGTATCACCCAACAGTGTTTCTCGATATCTGCAAATATATCATTTATATCCAGCCGAAAAATCCTCAATATTTTTACCTGGCAAGTGTCCTTTCATAAGTCTGAAATCGGAGTCCACTCACGTTGATTGTGACGATCTCGTGGTGAATGGGAGCATCGAATTCTTCGTGATAACACTCCGATGTTGTGGCTCTACAATGTATGACTCAAACAAATAGCTGCACATTTTGAAAGCAATGATGTTTTTTGAATCTTGAGATTGAACTAGATTTCCTTTATCGTTACCTCATTGGACTTCCTATCCTCGAGCCGGTCTCTTTCAACAATCCTCCATTCGCTCCATCACCTGATCGTGGCCTGAAGTTTTGGCTTGTTTTTAAAATCTTATTATATTGTGGTATTCATCTAGTTTTAAAAACTTACAATGAACTTTCTTGACAAACAAAGCTAAGCGTGGTGGCTGGGGATTTTATGGAAAGACTCGATGAGTCAGACGATTGCCTTCTCGTCGTTCGTGGCATATTTCATTCAAAAAGTTGCCTTTAATTGGGTAAATTCTTTAAAACGTTTTGTTTTGTAGAAAGAAAAAGGAAAACGAAGGCATTGATTGGATAGATCGCTAGAAATCTGCAGAAATGTTAGGCATAATCTCGACTTTCTGATATCTTTTCAATAAAAAACACTGTTGTTTATCAAATTGTTTCAAATCAAATCATCAGTTTGTTTATCGAATAAGTGTGACTTTATAAAAAGCTTAGAGTAAATAAGTGGATAAAAGTATGAAGAGGATAAAGCTGTGAATGAGTATCGAAGTGACACCTGTGATATCTCTGATAGATCAAGAGTGAAATCAAGAGAGATATTGGGTTTTCATAAGAACGAACGTGTGGAGATTGGCAAGGAAGGGCTGGGGAAAGGTGATGGGAAAAGCTAGAAAGGATGGGTTGCTTTGGAAGGGGAATGGATGAACGAACAGCTGTTACCGGGACTCATGAAGGCCTCCCCTTTTCCACCACCCTCTCCCCTCGAATCCCATCCTCCGGAAATATCACAAGTCATTCCATCAATGACCCATCCCTCCCTCCCCTCCTCCACCACCCGGTGTCCCCCTTCTCATTCTCAAAACTCTTCAATACACACTAGAAATGTCAAACTTTTGAACATGTCTTTGAATGACAAGCTTTTTTGTGATTCAAGCATGCAAGCAACTGGCAGAGAAACGAGGGACGTGGATAAACAAAGTTATTTACCTCTTAAACTAGCCGTTCTACATAAAATAAAAGTTATAGCTAGGCAGCTTGTCGTTTGCTTGTCGTTTGTCGCTGTCGCTTGTCGTTCACAGCTTGTCGTTTGCGAATATTAAACTATATTTGCAAACGCGAACCTAATCTTAAACTACTGAAAATTAAGCTTGTCATATTATAGAATAAATAAACTAAAACTAGAAACGTTCAACGAAAATTTTGAGATCAACAGATCTAACATACTAGATTGGCAAAAAAGTCCTGAGATCTTTCACCCTTCTCTTTCTAAACCTCTGGAAGTTCACTGGGTTTACTAACTCTAGTATACTAGTATTGACCACTGAAATATCATCAAAAAATATTGTTGTCTTTTTGTAACTTTTGGAAGCAACCCAAAATTAGGTCATAGACCATTCCAGACATGTCTCTCTATTTTAACTCTAAAAATCTATTAAGATCACCTCATGAAAAAGATAATAATTATGATCCAGTCCAGGGTCTAATCAGCTTCCGTTTATAAGAAAAGAGTACAGCCCAATAATTGGAAAGATGTCGTACTTGCAAATAGTCAATACCTTAGATAAATAGCCGTGGTTTTTAAGAAATTGTAATGCAAAAAGAGCTCAAGACATTCTCAAGACAGCTCAAGCTCAAGACAGAGCCTTAATATTTTGAGGTCTCAAGATAAGAATTGCCAAACACGCAAGTGTCACCTAAAGCAAGACTTCATCAATCACAGAATTCGAGTTCAATTAATTAATCTGGACAAGATTCAAAATGAAAATGAAAATATTCTGATGAATTTGTGAGTTTTAGAGAACCATCGAGATATGGCAAAAAAACCATAGAGATATGGCTTTTGTGAGGTGTGAAGAGAAATATAATGGGGTCGAATTTCAAGAAAGGGGCCAATGGATGTTGAAATTGAGAGGAACAAGAAAAATTCTAGAAAAACCTTTTCAAGTAAGATAAATTTCCAACAAAAGTCAACAGATCAACTTGTAAATGCAAAAGTTTTGTAGAAAAGTTAGGGGTTTAGTTTAGCTTTCTCTTTGTAAGCTATTTTGGCTTTCTCTGCCAGTTTCAAAATTTGACAACTGAAATTTATGTGAGAATATTATGAGAAGTAGTTGAAAGTGTTAGTGCGGATGAAATGTTAAAACAGAGCTGATGAAAGTGAGAAAGAGATCCATCTAAAAGCATTTCTCAGTGGGGTACGGGAATCGATGGTTACACATACACATTCACCCTCCTTTTGGCTCTTCTGGGTCTCCCCGTTCATTTTGCCTTTTCCCAACAAATGTGTGTGCCTCGTGTGGGTTTTTTTTGTCTTTTCGTCTCCCCGTAATGGCATCGGATGGATCTCTTGCTCTGAAGCGAAATGTGCATAAATTTTTTCCTGGACTAGCTGATCGAAAGCTAAATGGTCGTTTCGTTTCCGGCAAAAAGACTTGATGACCTAGGCTGGGGAAAAGAGCACGTGTGTGGGCTCATTTTGAGTTTCTGAGGGAAAACATTGGTCAATGGAGTCAATGGAGTCAATTGTATAATAGATATTAGATATATAAGGTAAAAGTCTTCTCAGTTTTCTGAGAGGTTAATGAAGTCTTCTCGTCTGTAGGAAAATTCAAAGTATCTGTAAACGAATTAGATCTTATTGCCATGCCCAAATTTGCCCTATATTTAATCTTTTTGTACCTGTGTTTCCTAACTGTAGTCTTACTGTACTATTTTACTTTAGTTTTCTTTCTTTTTTGTGAAAGTATTGTAGCAATATGTTATATGCGATTATGATTATCTGATTCGCTTCTATTCACCCCTGAATAAAGTATACATATAATTGTATAATAAATATTAGATATATAAGGTAAAAGTCTTCTCAGTTTTCTGAGAGGTTAATGAAGTAATGAAGGTTTGAGCAATGAAGCAAAGTAAAGTAAAGTTTGAGTTTGAGTTTGAGTAAAGTAGTAGTAATGAAAGTTTGAAATAGGATTTGAAGGCGAGATCAAGACTATCTTGCAGAGTTTTTTTCAAAAGAAATCACGGAAATACGCCTAAAGATTAATAAAATGGATTTTAAAAATGAGGTTCAAGGAGGCTTTTGCCCCAAATGTTAAATGGATTCTTCGGGTGAAAGAAAATGAATCTAATGCAATTATCTCATCAATTCTAAAGATTAAGAGTTTTATGTATAAAAATTCGATGTTCAACTTTGCAAAATCTAGCCAGTGCCGTTTTTTAATGGGTTGCAAGTTTGGTGTCACTATCAGTTTACAAGTCCAACATGAGATCCAGCCGGATCGAGTTACTCAACTTGGATAGAAGCACAAAGATTTGATTATTTTAGTTTAGCGATTTTAGTTTTTACTCTTTTTCATGTTTCTAACCTGATTCGAAAGAGATTCTGAAGACGGAATTGCTTTCGAATTCTGCGAGGCGTTCGCTCGTCGTCGGAGTCGCCGCCGATCACCCCCGAGGCACCGAGCATTCCCACCGATGATCTTTCGTTCGCCTCTGAAAGATATTCTAGACAAAAATTTTTATTATAATGAATGAACGAAAACTAGACAAAGAAGTTACTAAACAAAGTAAAGTTACAAAAAAACAAAGAAGTGGTTAGGATCTGAATCGTACTCAAAAAGTCCCGTTGGACACTCAAATGTGCCACAAACTCAGTTTAGTTATTGAAATTCAAATTCAATCGTAAAATAATGGACTGTAGTATAATTGCTAACAATTACTACTAAACTCTGGCTTATTTAAACTATGCGTTGACCCAAATTGCCATTGCTATGCCAGCAGTTAATCCCAGCGTTTAGCCGGGGGTTAACTGCTGGTTTCACTTAAACACTACTAAAGCAATCAATTCAAAAAAAACATGGATAAATGAGAGAGAAAATGGAAAGATGTGTGGGTGCCAATAGAAGGAGAAGCGGTCCCTTTACGAGAAAAAGGATGGTGGAAGGGAGGGGGGGCTTATTACCGCAAGCCCCGTTGTCTTGCTCTCTTTCAGCATCCATCAAAGCCTTCCCCTTCCCACCCAACACACCAAAGGAAACGAATTTCACCCCCTCCCTTTCCTTTGTGCTTTTCTCTTACTTATCCCCCATTTCTAAGGTAAAACCAAAAAAGTCCCCTTTGCACCCCTCTTTGACTCCAAATTTGAAAGCGAGTCAGCTCCTTTTTCTGAAAAGCTCTTCTCGAAAATTTTCCCCAATTTATCCCCCTCATTACATGTCTTTTGACGAAATTGACGAAAATTTTGGCTACTGGTGAAAAGCTTTACTTTTAAAGCTTTACTTTCAAAGCTTTACTTTTAAAGCTTTACTTTTAAAGCTTTACTTTCAAAGCTTTACTTTCAAAGCTTTACTTTCAAAGCTTTAACTGTGGCCATCGATTTGATTATTCAATGAAAACTTGTCAAATCTCAAGTATCTCAAGTATTTAATTCAAGCATTCAAGGAATTTATTTGTAAACATCTGAAATTGATCCAATCCAATTCAAATCCAAATCCAAAACCACGTACATTAATAATAAAGCAATCAAGCCGAAAGATCAGTTTTTACAAAGGTAATCTCGCAAAACGCAGAGAAAACAACAATTTTTCTTTCTAAGGTTTTTAAGGTGTTATTTTATGGGAACAAAAGAGAGCATCGGGATTGACGGGAAAAGAAGAAAGGGTCGTCGAGATTGGAGAACCCCGAATTTCCATTGACTCTCCGCCTCATAGAAGGAAAGATTCAAGAACAGGAAAAAAAAATGACGCAAAAAGGAAAAGAGCCGTCAAAAGATGCAAGAGTGAGAGAAGGATAAAGGGGGAAAGAACGAACAGGAGGAGATTTGCAAGCATCTCAGGAGATCTCAGACAGGAAAGCTAGGTAAACTGAAGTTTATTGGTTTCAGAGTCAGTAAGAATAGCGACAGTAGCGCTCAAAATGATTTGTTTTTTAGTTTTTTAGATTTAACCATCAAGAACTCAAGCAATCATCTTAAAACTTTGCAGATAAGGCGAAAATATTTTCACTAGTGTATATACCGTAAATACTGTAATAGTACCCCACCCCCCTCGTACAGTCGCGTCGTCGCTAGTCGCAAAAGTTTTTTAGTATTTTTCAAAGCGCCCGTACTTTCAAAAAATGCGTCTTTGGTATCAAAAAATAGCCCTGAAATTCAGGGCTATTTTTTGATATCTAAGCGCACATTGTAGCATAAACCAGTGTCGAGAAAAGCTCGTTCAAAGATAGACTACCCAACACTCCGCACCGTCATTATGGGGGTGGGGTACTATTACAGTATTTACGGTAAGTTAAAAGAGGTTCTTTTGATTTAACAGTTGCTTTAGAAGTAACTTTTTTCCAGATAATAGCAAAACCATGAAAGTACCGTATTTCTTCGAAAAGAAGACCGGTCTCGAATACAAGATCGTCTCGAATATAAGACCAGATAGCAAAAAGAATATAAGACCAATCTTTTATTCGAGGTATCACTTATTTTCTATTTTGCGTTGCGCTAAAATTACCGAAAAAAAATTATCCGAAATGAGAAAAGTAGGCCCAAAAGTGTAGTTTTATTCCGTTTCGTATTTTTCTGATGTTTTTCATATTTTATTGCGTTGATCCAACAGTTCTTAGAACAAAAGTCAAACGAAAGGCCTACTCATCAGCATTCAGACTCGAAGCTTTTCGTTTTTCAAAGGAGAAACTGTTGAAAATGGTTGTTGCAAGAGGATATTGCGTGATTGGAGGGAAAACTAACAAAACTCTGATATAAAGTCGACTATGATGCGGATAAAAACAATGGTTATGAGAGTGAAAACGATTCGATTTCGAGCTTGAAGGCGTTTGAAGGTGTTTTAGATGACGATCTTTGCTTGGGAACGACTACGAATCAAGTAGCGATGAAGGATAATTATTTAGCCTAAAATTTACGTGCTTTTTTCCTTTTTCGAAGTTCTTTTGTTACAGATTGTTGTTACATACATAGGTGTTGTTCTTAAGTTTTGTCGTTAACGTGTTCCAATAGATTTTTATAAAGAATAAATATAAATAAAAATATATAAATAATAAACAAATTTATAGGGGGGTGATCGAAAAGATAGAAGACCAGTCTTCTATTCAAAGAAAAACGGTATGCAGAACGCTACGAATGCAGAACGCTACGAATGCAGAACGCTACGAATGCAGAACGCTACGAATGCAGAACGCTACGAATGCAGAACGCTACGAATGCAGAACGCTACGGTGCACAAATCATTTTGAGTGCTACTGTGTGTAGAGCCATTTTTGAACATAACTTAAGCACTTATATTTGTAAAATCATATTTCAGATTGAAAAGTCATATATCAGAAAGGTGTGAGACTGAAAAATGTAATCTTTATTTAAAATCAATGGAAGCTAATTACTTGTTATTTTGTTTAAAAATATGAGCAAATAAAATTGGAGAAAGACGAGAAGAAGACCTATGAGAGAACAAGGGATTCCCCATTAAATCAATGCGACAAATCTTTCAAAAGCACTCGAAAAATCAAATGTGAAGGGGGGATTTGTGTAGCTTGAAAAAGAAAGGGAGAATTGAGAGTGAGAATCGATGTCTTTTCGAGTGTTTCCCCGGGGATTCATTCAACAACAACAACACCCATCTTTCTGAATACAGCTGCTAATGTTTGATATGGTGTTTTGAAAAGAATAACGACAATAACAAAATGAAGATTTTTTGAAAACTATTTAGAATGAAACACTCATTACGCAATAATTTATTCACAGATTTTAATGAGATCTCAATGACCAGTGGCAAGAAAGTGACTCATTCTTTCCCGTGCAGAAAATTCTCGTCATAGTGCGGCGTGGTCTGGAAAGTCTACAATTTGGATCACTTTCGATTAACGATAAACTCACTTGCACTCACCTCATCCTGTCCATTCTCGTAACTTTTCCTCCTTCTCTTATTTTGTTGACTGTATGCGAGTTTAAGCGCATCTCGTAACATTTGTTCTTTCTCTTGAATTTTCTGCTCCAAAGCTCTCCTAAAAAGAACTTTTTTAGCAGCTCATTGTTTCCCACTTGAGCAATTGTCTTCCCAAATCCGGTCCCAGCGCCTTTCGCCCAATCGGTGCCGATTGTGAACCCCGAGGCATACGTGGGGTTTCCACTGAAAATGAAAAGTAAACAAAGGCCGAGAAAATGAAATCACCCGAATCCTCTTGTTCTTCGGGTGGTTTCCCCTTTCTCGAAAATATGCTCGAAAGCTAAAAATGATTTGTGAGTAGTCATTTTTGAACTCCTTCAAATCAAACCTTCGGCTGATCTCCTAAACGAATCGTGTTTCCGCTCTCTGTGCTACTTGAACTACTTGGAGCCTAAAGAAAATAGCTGAAATGTTGGCCCGTTAACAAATGATCAGATCTAAAGCTAACATAGCTGTCGTTCGAACATAGCTAACATAGCTGTCGTTCGAAACGGCAGCAAAAGTTAAGGAATGAAAGACTTTTGTACTTTTATATAGAACTTATAACTTGCTTGCTTGTAAACGATAGAATAACGTACAAGATTTAAACTTACGAGCGGTGTCATGCATTCATTTTCCCTGGACCCCTCTTCCTTCCCTCTCATTCTCGTCCTCATCATCGGAATTCCTCGACTTTCGATACAAAGTAAAACGAGAATTTGAATCGAGTCGAATGATCTGATTTTTGATGACTCGATCATCTTTCTTATCATTTTCTTTTTTCTCTTTTTCATTCGATGTCTCTTCTTCATTCGATCCTAAACTCGATCCCGAAGCTTCCCCAATACAGCCGGGTTGTCCGAGTTCTTCTGTTAAATCATCGATTTGGCTAAAGTATTCAATTAATCAAGAACTGGGTTAGAAAAAAGATTTATTAAAAGCAACAAAAAAAATGTTGAAAGCAAAAAATGTGACCAGATAAGCGTTTGAGCAAATTGTGTGTTAAGTGACTAGAGCAAGAACATCAATCACCATGTTATTCATAAAAATCTAAAGCATGGTTATAGCAATGAAACCGAAATTGTAAAGCATTATCGTTTGCGGAATCAAAAGCGATTTATCGCTTTTCTACCGGGTATTGTAGGGTCCACGAAGAAGCTCGAAGTGGTGAGCTTCTTGTTCGAGAGCTTCCACTAACTCTTCAGCGTTTAGTCGCTCGATTGCCTCCGCGTCGAATGACACCTGGAAGATGGTTTTGATCTAGCAATAAGATGAGCAAAGCTTCCTATAAAGTTAGCCACTTGTTTTCTAAAATGCTCACCGTTTGATCAGCGACGGGTTCGGTGGCCGTATCATGATAAGCCGAGAAGTAGGGATGAGCTAGAGCCTCCTCAGCTGTACATCGATCCCAAGGAGACACTGCTAACAACTGCAACAGAAAGCTACTCATAGATTGTGCCACTTTATTTACTTTTTTAAAGATATCAACGGCTTGTGGAGAGGACGGTTGTCGGCCGAATGGATCAAGGATTCTCTCCCATGGGATTCCCTCTGGTCTCCCGCAATCATCAATCCATCGCTTGATCACCTCGGAAGAGATTCGTTCTCGTACCTAATGTTTTTTCTTTTAATTTCCCGTACTTATGAGATCTGTGAGTACTTATGAGATCAAATTCTCAAAGAAACCTGTCTTGGTGGATGTCCGAGATAGTGAACGATCAGCTTCACTTGGCATTTGCTGTCTTTGCCTGGGAATAACTGTTTTCGAGTGATCAACTCACCCAGAATGCACCCAGCCGACCAAATGTCAACTCTGAAATGATCATCTAGCCTTTTGCTTGTCAAAAGATGTTTATTCAAACCAACTTCGTATTGTACTCTTGAAGAGAGAAAAGCATCTCTGGGGCACGATACCATCGAGTTGAGACGTATTGCTAAACGAGTGAAGTTCGTAATCTTGAATATTTGAAAATAAGTACTAGTGTACTAGTGGTAAAGAAAAGGACTACAGCCGGAATTGTATTTTTTTGTAAATCATAACGTACGGTCATATAATTTCCATTTAACTGCAACTGATCAACAGATCGAGCCATCCCAAAGTCGCCAATCTTCAGCAAACAATCGCTATTCACAAAAATGTTCGACGGTTTAAGATCTCGATGCACAATGCCGACAGAGTGCAAGTACTACAAGTTGTTGTTGTTTTCTGATAGCTTCTCAAAGCAACCTTGAGTCCACGAAGGATCTGGTACAAAAAATACGAGTGATGCTGTTCACAGAGCGGTTGTCCACCATGAATGATTTCATGAAGATCGGCCTCCATCAAATCAAGCACCAAATAGATGTCTCTACCCTGAAATTGATTCATAAGTTTTTAGGAGTTGTTCCGAACTTTAAAAGAAGATAGCTTTACTCTAGCCCTTTTACAGTTTACGCACTCTGTGCCCTTGTGAAGTGAACATGTCGATGACGGGCACAATATTTTCGTGAGCCAAATCTCGAAGTATTCGGACCTAGAAGATTAAATGTACCTCGGAAGTAATGTTAGGAATATAATAATTCTTTTAAATCATTTCCCACAGATTATTTATTTGTTAACTGAAGTGTTTTCTAAAGTGCAGAAAGTTCGAAAGTACTCGTGCAATTCTCACCTCTCTGAGTGTCCTCCTCGCAAGGGTGATCGCTGTGAATGCACGTGGGATTTTTTTGACTGCAACGTGTCGATTCTCAGCCTGAATTCGATTCTTTATGCTTTAAAGTTTCACCCAGTAATCAAAAAAACATAAGAAAACAGATTTCATTAATGAATTCATGAAACTTACAGTGTCATGAGCCTTGCAAACGACCCCATAGGCTCCACGACCGATGTTCTCGATTGCTCTATACGGTGTACCGTCCAACTTGAATTGTTCATTCAATCGATTCTCGAGCAGATCCTGAACGCTTTCAATAATTACAGCACATACAATGCGTTTCAGAGTTCATTAAGTCACACATATTGTTCACAATTCCAAAGTAGTTTGCATTTTTCAATACCATTTCCCACCGAGATATTCGCCATATTTCTCGTGTCGGGTGTGAGTGAGTGCTACCGAATCATGTGACTTCCCGAAATGCCTAGATCTTTCCTGTGATCGATAAATGAACAAATGGTATGAATCAATATGTAGCAAAAATCAATTTCAAGTGATGAAAAAAAAAAGAGAGCACACAAAAAAGGAGGGGAATTCGATTTTCCTCGCGATCAATCAGCCCAAGAAAGAGTGGTGATGAAAATTTGTGAAAAAGAGAGAAAAAAAACGATGACTGATAAGGAAAATTCTTTGGATTTACACTAAATCCAAGAAATTTGACTATTTATTGAAGGTATTAAAATATAAATTTTAAAAATTTATGTGAAGTGTGAGTGTTTGAAATTTCTCTCGACATGCGTACAACAGAGAAGAAGAGTGGTTGGTCGTCTTCTCTTCTTCTTTTCTCTTTTAGTGATATTTCTCAATTTCTTGTCTTTTTGCTAAAAGAATGGATGAGAGAAAAAAAAGGCGTGTGTGGAAGAAAAGAGAAAAGTGGAAAAGAAAAAGATCGACACAAGGTCAATACTGACAACTAATTTAGCACACCCTCTCTTTCTATTCGATTCATTTTTTTTCTTTTCCTACTCACATTCATCCATGATTTCCATTTGACCGTTTCATTCTCCAAATACAAGAGTCTAACAGACTCACCCAATGAAATTCATAAAAACACCATTGCTGGCATACTGATAGTGAGATTTATATTTTTCAACAAGTATTATTTTTTTATGTAAGTTGATGTGCACGCCAGAAAGGGTTTTAAAGATTTGAGTGCACAAGACCAAGAGTTTGGTCTTGGTCACGCAAATGAGAACGGGAAAAGTTCTACCGTAGTCACAAATCCCACCGTAAGTGTTACCAACCGCAATGTTAGACAATTTTTTATTAGCAGTAAATGTTAACAATGATAAAAACTTTGAAAGACTATGCCAAATGGATTCCCAAGTTTAAAGATCATATCCTCCCCAATGCAAAGATCAGAAAGATTTGTAACATTGAATCGAAACAACAAGGGTGGACTTGACAAAAGAAATGTTCACTAGAAAGGCAGGTTCGCCAGTTCAAGCGTATCACAAACAATTACAATCGACGCAAATACGAATGAATAGGAGTCGAATGCAAAAATAGGTAATCTTATTTACAAACCGGTATCGTTTCGCTCAAAAAAACTGCGCTTTGATCGAGAAGTCAAAAGAAAAAGAATCCCAAGCACCAATCTCAAAGTGCTTTTTGCACATAAACCACTCCATACACAGGATAAAAACTATTACATTTCCAAAATACATTTTAACTTATAATAACCAGAAAAACAAACAAAAAATTTTAACTTTTCTCTAGTGAATCAGGTTTTGCTCCCTTTTTGCCTTTGCTTTTTCGCTTGGTTAAATTGTTGTTGGATTGAGAGGCGCAGTTGAGATTTTTGATTTGTATCTGATCCGAATAAACCATTTGCTGAGGAGCTGGCCTGAAACAGATTTGGTTTAGTAGATTTAATAATTTAATTTGGCCAGGAATCAAGAATATCTTGTAGTCAAAACGTGCCTACCTACCTAGTTTGAAAGCTTTCCTCAACGCTTTAGATTTAAATATTTCTAAGTTCTAATCAATTTCTACCTGAATGATTGACTGGAAATTGGTGGCTGTTGCAATATTGATGGTGGTGGCTGCTGCGGCATTCTTCCCGTATAGAAAACTGTTTGACGGCCCTCGTGCACCATTCTAAAGTTTAACAAATTTCAAGCTGACTGAATAATTAATTGCCTTGGATTAACTTGCGACACTAGTGGAGGTGGTGGCCTTGAAGGATCAAAATAAAGCAACGGGCGACCGGTCCCCTGAATGGAACAATCAAAATAGTGTTTCGCTTAAAATGACTATTAATTTAAAAATAGTGTTCTTTTTACCAACAAACTCACTTGACTGGCAATGAATTCGTCAAAATGTGTCGTATACTCTTGAGGAGGACTCGTTGAACCACTAACCTAAAAATAAAAAAGATAAAGTTAATCGTAAAAAGCAAACTCTGTTTTGTTCCATATGATCGTTGTATAAAGGTGCAGCAAAAGCCTGAACTCGTAATGTTTATGTTTTTCTACCTAAAAATTACCGAAACGCCTGGAAAAACAGGTTGCACAAAAGCTGGTGGCTGATGAGACTAAATTTGTATATTAGTGAAACGAGCTATTTTATTACCGGCATTTGCATTGGATAGAAAGGAGGGGGGCCATGTTGTACGTGAATTGGGTGAACCGGCGGAGCAAAAACCGTATTCATTAAGGAAGGCGGTTGGTTCACAAGAGGAGGGTTTCGTGAAACACTAAAAGAAATATAAAAAAATTCAATGTTACCAACCGTATGATCTCAGGGCTTTTACTCCTTGTTGGTTTAGGGGCTTCAACAACTGGTGCTGATGCCGCTTCCTCTTCGAACTAAAAATAACTGATTAATTGAAAGTCCACAAATGAGTTGACCTTGTAACCCTCGCCGAGTATTCGGTTTCTCGCCTCATCGTAAGCAGCTTGCCTTTCCTGAAAGTTAGAGATTGTGACTACCATTTTGCATTTTACAAAAAATATACTTGATGTTGTCGTAAGCAAAATAGTATTTAATTATAGAATTTTTGTTAAGGCAAACTTGATTTTCTCATCAATGTACCTCCAAAGTTTTCCTTGGTTTTGCTTCTTCATGTTTTCTTCCATTTGCCGTATTGAAGCCGCCACCTCCATTTGGACGTTTCAACAGCTTCACTTGTATGGGCGGTTCCTCGGCAGTGCTTGCCTCATCTGTTTGTGAGATTCTAGAAACAGCAATCTTTAGCCGACTTAAATTAAACTGACCCCATTGCCGTCCGTTTTTCCTTTTCAAGTTCTTCAAGTTCTTTTCGTGCCTCTTCCTCTTGCATCCTCTTCTGGGCCATTGCTTTCCGATCCTCCTCATTTCGCTTTAATAGTTTGACCTAAAACGAAGAACTACTGGGATTCTGGTGCTAACTAAACCTGTTTCATTTTCTGCTCTACCATTTGAACAGCTTGCTCGGGATCATCCTCCCAATTGTCGATAACATCGATGGCTGCATTCTGGCCCGTTTCAGCAGACATACAGAGTCAGACACGGCACAGTTACCTGAAAATCCAACAATTAATTTCAAAAATTCAAACGAACTAGAAACAAAACAAGAAAACAACAAAAAATAAACAAACAATTACACAAACGCACAGATTCTCTCAAAATAAAAAGGATTATAGCCAGAAAGTTCAGCGATTTGTATTCGCCCCGTATTGTCTTTAGCTCCAGGTGTTGCAAGCCATTGTTTCGTTTTGTAGTATTCAAATCTAAAAATAAAAAGTTAAATGCAAAAATGAATTGATTTTAGTCCGCACTAATAGTTATGCAAAAATCGTTACATCGTGTTAGCTTCCTCCTTTGTATAAATTGATGTCTCAATTGGGATAAAGGGGTCGATAAAATCAAAACCCTCGTCGCCAAACAATTCGAGTGGAGTGTAAAGTGGCACAGTAAGCGAGTCTCGAGCATCAGATACCTAAAGAAAAAATCTTGTAAAGAAATTTCCAAATCTGAATCAATAAAACCAACCTCTTTTTGATCAGCGACTAAAAGCACCGTGCCATTGCTCCAATCATTTTGTAGGAAGTTTCTAAATTACAGCTGTTCAAATCAATTAAAGACCTGGAGTCAAAATGAGTCAATATCAACCCGATTAATTCCCTTTCAGATACTGTATGGATCTAGATATAATACGATAGATATAATGCGTATAATACTTACTTGTAATGTTGTACAAGTGTCAGTTCATGTGCCTTTGCTTTTGTTCGATCAGCTTTCTTCACAAGCGTTTTTCCCCAAAGTGAATTGGAGTCATCAATGCCAACAAACAGCTAAAAAATGATAAATGATATTTTGGGTTATAGACTAACTTTTATTTCTCCTTTTGAAGCGTGAAGCCGCAGCTCTTTAAACAAAGCTCCAACGCAATCCGAAGCAAGATACGGCGCAGAGAGACCCATTTCAACGATGTCGGTTAGAGGCTTACCTAAACTTTCTACATTGTAAAGTTTAAAACCGAAACAAACCTTCAACCGTCTTATCGTTTTTAGTCCATTCGTAGCTTTTGGTTGTCATCAACTCGCTCAATCTATAAATAATAAACATCGATACAAACATTTGTTACTCACCTTTTCCATAGGTGAGTGTTTTGTTGCTTAAAGAGTTGGAGAATCTCTGTAGCTCTCATCGGATCATTGATTCTCCCAGGTTGATATGTAGACATATCCACCTCTTGTACCTACAGAATTAGTTTCAAATAAAATTCTGTTTTATTTGGGAAATCATCGAAAGCTATAACATTAGCAATCAAGAATTCAAGTAAATCGTTGTTCTGTTATCAAAGTTTTTAAGCTATCTACTTCAAAGTTTACCTTTCTTGTCAATGACAGAACAGATTTTAAATGGACGACAACCCAGCCCTCCGACGAAGCCATATGGACAGCCTCAAATCATATTTTACATTATAAAATTTTTAAATATACCTGATTTAGAGTTGTCGTTTTCCCAGTTCCAAATCGGCCCCAAAGACAAAGTCGTAAAGATGAAAAATTGGTTCGAGCAGTCTATAACAAAACGCTTGTTTTGCGGAATACGTCAAACTTGCCTTCATATATGAAGAAACTTCAACTAAAGGAGGCCTGATCATCGTAACACACTCATCGATAGTTCCGAACTAAAATAATTAATTTATGTTGTGAAAAAGTACATGATCGACTGTACATATAATATTCATATATTTTTTCATTATTTATTTTCACTTTAATTTTCATATAAAGTTCGAATAAATTTAGTATTTACATAGCTTGTACATAGCTTGAACTTTTAATCAAGCTAATCAAGCTAATCAAGCGTATTCAACACAAACTAACGATAACATAGATTATACAAAAACAGCTACCTGTTTAGTGAGTGCTAGCGGCAACATTTTATTAAAATTCAATCGATCATAGTCAGCCTTAAATATAAAATTGTGTAAACACCGAAGAATTAGTAAAATACCTTAGGAATTTCATAGAGCTTTCCGGCATCCGTTGTCGTGAATTGAAAAGGAGGCGACGAAGCAATAGTGTAGTGTCGACTTGTTGTTGCCAATATTGCGCGCAGATGTTGTCTAATCGTCATTCTAAACGATTAACGTTAGTTTAATTCATTGAGCTTGAAAGTTAACGCTGGAAAGAGGAGGAACTAAAGCAAGTAGCAGAGAAAAGTGTCTTTCAAGTGCGAAAAGAAAAGATACGATCACAAGGGCGCGGTTTAGAATAGACAGCGGAATAAAGATTAACCGGCAAGCATTTGGGAATGGCAATTAGATCTTCAGTCTAATGGCAAGATCGGTTCCATAAAAACATTAAAGAAAAAGGTCGAGGAGAAAAAGGGGGGCACTTTTTTTCTTCAAAACCACTTTTTCTGGGGTAGTTTTATCTGTAGATTCCGAAAAACGCGACGAGAGCTTGGGAATAGGCGTTTTAAGCCGAGTTTCGGGACTTCCAAGTGCGCGCTTCTATAGTGTACTTCACTGTATGGAGCTCAAGCTATCGACTATCGAGGCACTTTTCCAGGTCAAAACTAGAGCGAAAACCATTTTTAAACACAAAATATTCATTTTCTAACTATTTAAGTTGAGGAATAAGCAAAGAGATGAACGAAAAAATGCTCATCAAGTGAGGAATGAGCGCACAAATGAAAAGGTTACCCCTCATTTCGCCAAAAAGACATTCCGCCTAATGACATTTCGCCAACAACTATTAAATGTAAACTTTAAAAGCTTGTTGAGCAAATTTGTTCTAAAAGCAAATTAGTGCCGCATTTTTTATTCCACAATCCAAATTATATAGTCGAATTGATAAATTTAGTGTTGGAGTCGAGAGATTTACGATGACAAAAGATGTTAAAAGCTATTGCCTTCATTCCGGTTCAGGATCTGCATCCAACTTGGGGTTGCTTCGCGGACTGGTTAGACAAACGATTCAAGCCTGTGAATCAATGATTTGAAAGTCATTATATTAGAGAAAATACAAGAATATCGGAAAGCACCAGCTTTTCTTCCGCAAAGTTGGGATCTCTTTGAAAGAACCCTGAATGGAGAACAACGAACGAACAATTGCCTCGAAGGCACATTTTCGACCATCCAAACACGTCGAAATTTTTGGAAAACATTTATGCTTATCAGGTTCACATTGACACTAAGATTCGTAAACACCGCGAACGAGGTGTCACCACAGCAACTCAAAAAAGATCGAATGATGTCGAAAAATTGCATTTAATAGTTTTAGGCGAAATGTCCGGGTCCCAAATGAGAAACGATCCGAACGCAAGCAATAACTAATTGCAATTTATGATTTGTTTCAGTTTTTCTGTAATTTGTCTTTAACATCTCGAGAAAATTCGAATTTTTCCACCATACTTCGTTTTCTTTTTTTACGGAGGGTTTTAAATTTAAATAATTTAAAGATTTATACGGTAGGACTCTCCATACCCAACAATGACACTTTTTGAGGTTATTCAGTGTTAATTTCTTGAATTGAAAACCCAGACTCGGATTGGTAAATCCCTCAAGATTGGTAAATCAGGTAAATCAGGATAAATCAGGCTAACAGGATTTCCCCTTTATCAAACTGCACCAATTAACTGAGCCTTGTAATTCCTCATCGATACCGAAATCGGACTGATTGAATGTAAACTAAGGGTTTAGTTATGGTAGTTTTCTCAAATAAGTGCATTTTAGAAAACGCATTACTCGAAAGGAACATACTCTAACCCTAACTAAGGCTAAACACTGCCACATTTCCAATATTGCTAAACGGCAAAGTGCCAGCCGATTTGCCCTATAATGGATGAAAAGAAATAAAAAGACGAACTGTACCGGGGAGGAGGGGTCGATGTGCCTATTTTCTCTCCGATTTTTCTCCCTCGCACACCTCACTGACCTTGTCCCCTAAAACCGTTTTCGGCTCCTTCAGCACAATTTTCTTTCTCGATTCGAAGAGATGGTTCTTTGTCTTTCTTTCTGCTTTCTATCTATAAAGATACTTCGTTGATACTGCCATCGATAGAAGCTTTCGTCATGCGATAGATTTCTCTCGAATCTCTCCCCATGATTTCGTTTTCATTTGATTGAGCATTTGAGAGCATTTGATGATAAGTTTAACACACGTACCTTTATCTTTTTTAAGTTTTCTTGTAGAACTTGGTTTTTATAACGATTGTCTAGTGAAGTTACAAAGTAAGGTTGTTTCTTGTGATGTTTGATCAAAGCCAACACTCTTTTTTCAAAAAGGATTTAGTCATTGATAAAGTCTAGTGCCTTTTTTACCTTATTTTTGGGTTATTTTATCGTAACTTTATTCTACATTCAACTCTAACAATGTGCAAATTTCTAAATGTTGTGAAGCACATAACTTTTTTGGTGAAACGATCCTCAGTTCGATCAAGATTCCTTCAGTAACATTTTCTTCTTTTTCTGATTTGTTCTCTGATCTGCTCATCTTCATTGTGCACTCATTTGTCTGTAAAAGAGCCAAAGTAGTAACCACAACTTTTGAGAGATTTCCCTCAAATTTTCACAAATTTTACCCCATGACTCTCAGCCGTTTATTGTCTGACTAAAGTTTTCCGTTAATTTCTGTTCTCCTTTTTTTCTCTGAAAACGCGTGATCGATCATTTTGTGGTTTATGAGTTTAATAGGAAAGCTCTAAAAGTGTACTTTCGACGCCCAGTGAGCTTGGCATTTATCTCGGTTGACACTTGCAAATGCAAAGTCTGGAAATACGCGAAGAAAAAGAAAAGTTCGCTTTGCTAATGTACATGAGTTCTTCTGCTCTACCCAATGAGTCACTTCAAAGTTTTATACAATTTCTTGCTTTTTCTTAAGTTTTTCTACCTGCTTCGAGTATTCACTGTTGTTGTCCTCTAGCCTCCAACACTAATTTGAATCCATTTGTGTTTGAACAACCGAGTTTTCTTTTCATCGTCTCTAGTTGAAAGTTTGTCCGGCCTTGAGCAGACACAAAATACCACTCAAAAAGTGGAACATCTTTTTAATAAGATTAATTTCATTGCCAATTAAACACACATTGTCTTGGATTTTCAATTGTTGCATTTTCTGGAAAGTTTTCCCTTGCCCTTCCAGGTTTACAATGTCCTCGAAGTACTTAATTCAAAAAAAGTCTAGACTTAAATACCCAAGCTTGATCCAACCACCCAGACTTTTAAAGAAGCGGAAGTGTCTTTTCCCCTCATGGCATAGATCAGAGCACCCCGAAGGTGGTGACAGATTTGACCAAAAGATATTGAATCGTTCCTTTTTTTCTCATTGGCTTAAAGAATTTTCGAATCCTGTGAGAAATACGAGAACTTTTTGCACCCTTTTTGAAAGTTCTCGTAGTTCTCGTAGACAAGACAGGTAGCCAAAGAAATCATTTAAGATCATGTGTTTGATGCCGAACATTTTCTTTATAAAAATTTGAAGACTTTCTTGTTCTACACGCAAAATTTGCATTTAAAAGCTTCAAATGTCAACAATGTCAATGTCAAACAATGATTCCAGTGTGCGAGGACTTTTGGAAATATGCTAATTTCATTTTGCGGGGAAAGAATTGATGTATGAGCATAAATATTTGGGGTATAGTAGGATTGTACCAAAATTTGTGTAACATTTCAAAATGGTTTCTTTTATTGACGTTTGTCCTCATCGACTTTTTTTTCTCATCGGCTCCATTCTCTGTTTAAGATGACGGAAAACGGCCAAAATGGCCATCCAGAACAAAATGGACAAGAGAACGGACAACCAACAGCGGTGACTGAAGCCTTTGAGAAAATTCAAGATCTGCAGATTGGGTACGGAAATCGTTTTTTTGGCCATTAAACCCAAATTCAGTTATTGTCGATATGGGAATGGGCCTAACAATATGTTATTCATATGTGGAGCTGTGGGTAGGGTGAACAATTTGAAGACTTTAGAGAAAACTCATTCCAGGTTGTTACAAAAAAGATTGGCCAAGTTCCGTTTTGCAACAATTCGACCCAGCTCTTGTCACCATAATTTGCATTGATCCACCTGGGTGAGTTGTTTGGGGTTTAGTCGATTTTTACCTTTTAAAAAATCCTTTGTAGTCCTCCGTAATATCGATTCAGATATGGAACCTCGAGGCCTCCAGATCGAAAACAAGAAGTGAATCGGTGCATGAAAGACTCAGTTTTCTGCCTAGAATTGATGAATGTACGGGAATTGTCGAAAAAGGAAATAGTTTTTAACAAAGATTAATTCAGAAACTTGATCTCAATCCATTTACGATCGTTGGATGGAGTGAAGGAGCGAGGACAGCCGTTCACGTAGCTGCTTCAGGAAAACAAAAAGTTAACAGAATGGTGGGACGACACAGTTTTTAGGAACAACTTATTTAACTTCCAGATTCTCTTGGCTGCGGGCACAAAAGTCGACCAGCGAGGTGCTTGGGCGTTTAGAGGTTTTGAATTCGAGGTTCGAGGTTGAATCAAAATTTCTTCAGGAATGCGAGACACTGATTTGTGGTTGCCCAACGCTCGAGCTCCCTATCTAGCACATTACTCAAATGATTTTCTCAAGAAACAATGGGCAGATCTGTGTGATGTCGTACAAGAGTAAGCACTTTGTTACTTGTACAGGGTGCGCCATAATTACTCATAGTCGAAAACAAAGTGGAAAGTGGAGAATTTTTGCCGAGTTGTTAAAAGCTCAAAATTTTTCGATAACAAAATTTATCTGATACATAGCAACTATTATAAAACTTAAATTTCAAAAATATCTCCATCAGCTTTAACATCCTCCAGAAGTTTCGGACGTTAACAGGCTACTGTGGCACGCAAGTAGATAAGTCTGCCGAAAGCATAGCAAAGTACCGACCAACCACCAAAGTACCGAAGCAAGCTTTCGGCAGAGCCTTCGGTACTTTGGTGGTTGGGAGAGGCCACTTTTGGCTTGGAATTCGTCGAATCTAGTGTTTTGAGCGGTTCATGTCAATACTTTTCTTCTATTCTGAAGAAAGAGATATACAGTACTGGACAATGGAATATCATATTGAAAAAAGATCGTCACTTTCGCGCCTCTGTAACTCCCTTGTCTTTGAGTTTAAACTATTAGTGTTCTACATTTTCTGAAAGCTCTTTTCAAGGGCTACACAATGGTAATATTAATATTTAGAAATACGGTAAAGACAAGGGAGTTACAGACGCGCCAAAGTGACGATCTTTTTTCAAATATGATATTTCATTGTCCAGTAGTGTATGCTGAAACGATTGGTGCTAATCGCTATGGTGCTAATTTTAGAGTATTTTCAACATGTTTCAAGTTGCAGCTTTCCAAGTGTTCTAGAGCCAATCTCCACTGTAACAATGAAAATCTAGGGTCTTCGATATGATGGGTGGCCGATTCACATCAGATTTGGTGCTCTCATCAATCAAATGCCCATCTTTGATCATGACCGGCGGACAAGACAGGTGAATAAGTAGTTTGACCATAAAGGTTGTAAATTTAACAATTGGTCTGCTGTTTGTTGGTCCCAACAATCGTCTGCTTTAGATTTTGTACCGATCCAAAGGTCAACTTCACACCGGTGCTCAAAAATTGCAGGTATATCATATTGAAAACTTATTAAAGCCAATAAGTAAGCTTGAATCCGAATTTCCAGAGTTGAGACCCATCTACACGGCGGACACGATTTCCACATAAAGTACGCGAAATGGTTTGCCGAAAAAGTGCAGAACTTCATCAAAGAAACCCAATGATCTTGAGTGTGATATCGAGTTTTAAAGTTTACTAAAGTTTACTTTTGTAAATACAAGATTAATCCGAAATTTCTATTGTCTAATTTTGACTGCTATTGACGTATTTTCAAATGCACTAGGCACTAGTTTTGGCAGTTTCTACGAAATTTCAAAATGAAACAGTTCAAAAGTTTGCTAAATCTTTAAATCCTTTAAATTTGTCACTGTTTCTTCTTTCGTTTTCGTATTTCCCATTTCATTTTCGAAGAGTTTTTGAAAACTTTTGTGATTTCCCAAAGTATAGCTCCTCTTTTTTTGTCATCACCTCGCCTCATTTTGCAAAGATTTCACCCCTCATTTGTGTCGTAATTATTGAAAAGAAGAAAAATGGGGAAAATAGAGAAAATAGAGATTTTACGTGGAGAGCAGAAAACAAAAAAAGATGGACATCCGAAAATAGAAAGGAGATAAAAATATACATTGAGGGGGATAAATGAGGGGGAAAAAGAAGAGAATCGTCACAGAGAAAATCGGAAAGAGTCCCGTCAATTATTGAGGAGTCTCTGGGGGAGAGGTAAAGTTTGAAACATGAAAAAGGAAAGGGCTTTGTTCTTGTGCTACGATACTTTGAGCGGCTTACTAATTGTAGGAAGAGCTTAGAGTGTGATAGATTGATTAAATTAGATTACGGTAGACTTCTAAAGTGGACTTCTTCTAAAGAAAGAAACACGCAAACTGATTCACTATTCACTAAACTGATTCTGAACTGGATTCTAAACTGGATCTAATTCACTAAAAAAGTAGAACTCTTTGGTAGTTGTTGGGAAGTCTTTGTCGAATCAATTGTGATTCTTTGATTCGCTTTTATGATTCTGGATAAACCATGTTATTCCACAAGCAAGGCAATCACACTACAACAGTTTTTTCTTTTCTTTTCTTTTTCAGAACGAAACGTTAGAACCGTTTTCTCTTTTGTTTTCTTCTTTCTTTTCTTCTTCTTGTTCTTTTCTTTTTTAAATCGATCTCTTTTCCCGGAAGAACTTCTTTCTTTCAGTCGGGATCTACTACAATAATAGTGAACAGTGTTGAAGTCATTCTTCCGTAACCAGTTAATTGCTAAAATATTTTCCAGTAGAATTGTAGAAATTCAAATAGAATTGTAGGAATTTACTCAAAATCTAATCCCAAAGCTCCGATTCAATCTATTGCCATTTTTATGTGATATCAAAATATTCACCCATTTCTCTTTCTTTACAATTCCCATGTACAGTTCAAAAATTTCAAAGTCTAAAGCTGAAAAGGAGAAAAAGATATACTTTATCTCAAGAGATCTCCTCCCAATTAAATTCTAAACTTCGATGTTTCCATAGAGATTTCATTGAGAGACTGTGACTGTACGAGGTGAAGGAAAAGGACAACTCACTCACCGTCTACTTGTCTACTTTTGTTGTCCATTTTATTGTAAGAGCTCGAATTTCTACTCCTAGAATTGCTTGTGCATTCAGTCTCTGCTAGTATAACTTGTTAAACAAAAAAAAACTATACAATAGAAACGTTAAAATTAGTGATTTTAACGTATGAAAGTGCTCTTGCCATCATCAGCAATCCAATTTTTGGCGAATTTGCCGAATTCCTTGTACCAAAAATCCTTCTCGATTAGCAAATCACTCAATTAATCACTACAAAATATCAAAATTCCTAAAATTTCCTAAAATATCGAAATTTCATATCAAAACTCACCCAAAAGCATCAGGTTTCTTTTTTTGATTACAATTAAATTAATAAGCCGAGTAAATTCCTCTCCAATTTTGGCCTTTTTCAAAAACAACAACGTTTTTGTGAAATGGGGAAATCATTTTGAAAAACATTGAAAAACATCGAAATTTAATTCCAGAGAGACGTTCAATTTAAGATTTGTGACGTAGAAAAAGTTCAATTTCAACTATTTTTTTGCCAATTTACGTAAACGTACTTGAAACACGATAAATGTTTTTCTTTTTTGCAAAACTAAGCCCCAAAAGCGGTTGCACATAGTTTGTTTCTGTTTCTGAAAGCTATTTTTGACGTCAACAAATTTTCGAATGTCAAAGAGCAAGTTTCGCGAAGAATTCGGCTATTTTAAAAGCTTATTCATCAAGTTGATTGAGAAAATCTCCTCAAAAGATCTCAAACAATAATTGCCACCTTCAACATTCCCCCATTCACTCAATTCCCAACTTTTCATTCATTTTTCATTCATTTTTCATTCTTTTAAACATTTTAAACATTTCTCCTTTCAGCCAAATCAATGGCCGATCCCTTTGGCTCCATATCGTCGAGTTTACAGGTTTGGAACAAATTTTAAACAGAGAAAGATAACTCTCGCTTTTCTAAAGGATGTCTCATTGGGTTTCACGAAAGATGTCGTGCCGCTCGTCGCCTTTCATCGAAAATACAAAAAACGGGATATTGGGTAATTATTTCAGTTTCATTGCATACCATACTTTATTTTTGACCCATTTTACACAACCCACATCCTCATGCTGATTCAAACTCACAGGGGAAAGGCAGCGAGTCAAGCTGAATGGCCAGCTTAGGCTTAGGCTTAGGCTTAGGCGTAGGCTTAGGCTTGGACTTAGTGCGTAGGCTAGCGGCTGGCGCCTAGCACTAAGTCTATTTGGGTTTGGGCTGAACCCCCATTTTTTGGATCTCAGCCGGTTCCCGGAGCTAATTAGGCTTAGGTTTAGGCTTAGGCTTAGACCGAGTCAAGCTGAATGGCCAGCTTGACTCCCCCATTCCCTTTGATCTAAGTCAACGCAAAAATACATAAACTCTTCCTTTTTCCCATTCCCAGAGCTTCAAAACTTTTCTAGAAGCTCCCGTTCGGCCGAGGGAGCGATAACGGGCGTCCGAGTGAACCACTCGCCCACCAGACGATCCAGTCACACTCACACGTACTCGTGAGTCTTTTTTAATTCAACTCAAGCCAATACTTGATACGCACATAGCGAATATCGGCAATAAGAAAAGTGTAATGATTTTTCACAATTAAATTAACAAGTATGAAGAGTCTTGAACCGATAAAACTCAGCAATGATTTGAACTTGGTGATATTGTTGTTTTTTGCAGAACAATCTAATTATTCTCGAAAAGTGTTTCTCCATTTGATCACAAAATGAAAAATGGGGGAAAGTGAGTGGAATAATCGAGAAAACCGCCCACCAAACAGGTGTTTTTTTGTAAAAGAGAAGGGGCGATCCCCGTCCAGGAGACGATTCAACATAAGAATTCCCACAAAACACCACGAATTCGGGTTGTTGTTCGAAAATATAATTTACAGTCTTTGTCTTATCCTAAAACAGTTGATTGACTTTGCTTTTATTTCTTTTGTCTGAAAATTTTACTTTGCTCAAGTTTTGGGTGATCAATGTCGATTATTTGGCCATTTTTTGTGCACACATCAGACATCGATCATGTCAAGAACGCGATAGAGTACTGAATCTAGCCTAAATGTACTAGAAGAGTACTAGAAGAGTACTGAATCTAGCCTAAATGTTTGTGTCTTTGAATTTTTAACGTGCAGCATTACAAATCCGGGTTTACCAGAATTTTTCACTAGTTTACAGCCTGAAAGGTGTGTCTGGTTCTTGATAAATTCTTGATGAAAAAAAAGTGAGTCTTTATAAATAGAGTGGGCTCCTCTTGTTGGTTAAACAAATTAATTAGTTAAAAATTGCAGGGGGTGGGACAAATGCGACCTTTTTTTTGCGCACCTGGACATTTGCGCACCTTTTTTTGCTGGAAAAGGCCTTAGGAAAAGTCGTAGAGCTTCAAAAACGTTTTCATAGAAGGGAATCGTATGCGTAGATTCAGAATTTTGACAAATCAGACCTCGCTGACACGTCAAATTTGGGCTAAAAGGCCAAAAACTACGCAACTTAACGCTTTTCCGCAGTTTTTGCCTTTTAGCCCAAATTTGACGTGTCAGCGAGGTCTGATTTGTCGAAATTCGGAATCTACGCATACAATTCCCTTGTATGGAAATATTTTCGAAGCTCTACGGCCTTGCCTAAGGCCTTTTCCAGCAAAAAAAAGGTGCGCAAATGTCCAGGTGCGCAAAAAAAAGGTCGCATTTGTCCCACCCCCAAAATTGCATTTAAAAATGAATCAATTAACCAAGAATTAACCAGACAAAACGTTGGTCAACGATTAATAGATTTGTAGGCCATTGGCTGAATATCTTAAGTTTTCTAGACTATAAATGCGAATATTTGTTTTCATTTGTTGATTTTTATTCATGGTTTGGTATTTGCAAATTTAACCAAGAGAATCTCACTCTATTTATGACTATTTCGTGCTAAAACTTGAACAGTTTTCCCCTTCGGTTCTGTGATTGTTTCAATCAAAAGAGAGTTATGGGATGGATGGATGGAGGGTCGTGGTTGAGTTGCCCGGGTCCCCTTCCCCTTCCGTTTCCCTTTCCTTTCCTTTCCTTTCCCTTTCCTTTCACTCTCTCCTGTCCATTTTCACTCTCCATTTTTCTCTTTCAATCAATTTGTCGAAGAACAGACCGCCGAAAGCTTTTGTATTTATTTATTCAAACTTCTCGAAACAAACGTCTTTACTTGAATAGCTGCTTGGCTTGAATTTAAGCTTGAATGTCTTGATAGCTCCAAACTTGGCCTAATCTGGGCCTTGTCTTGGTAAAATTCTTATATTATCCCTAGTCATTGTCATCTACTTAGCTTTACTCTGCTCTACAATTTCTAGTCCAAATCAAAGACTTTTCCTTCTTTATACTCCGATTTTCGTTCTTTACATATTTTTGAGAAATTTTATACTCTTGACCTTTGGAAAACTGTGTTTTCCGCTTCAGATTCAAAAACTCTCTCTTTTCTGTCAGAAAAAAACAGTCATTCTCACAGAATCCTTTCTTTCAGACAAATTTTTTCTCAAAACCTTTGTGTTTTCTGTTTAAATCGCGTGCCATTTGTATCCACCCAAAACCTTTTTTTTCGTGATTTCAGCAGAGAAACACCCGGGTTTCCGAGAGGACACAAGAAAAACAAGATCGACTACAAAAGAGAGAGAGAGAGTTTCCCTGTATGTATGTGAAAGAAAGAATTTGGTGAATTCGAATTTTCTATTTGATTCTCTTCAATTCTTATTTGAATGCCGTTTTCGCTGCTCGGTTAGTCGATCGTTTTTGAGGGAAATTTTTCGAGACTTTTTGCAGACAGAATGCGTGACGCCGCCTTTTCGTCGACCTCGAGTCGATCGTGAGTCATTTTTTTGTTTTTCACTTGTTTTTCACGCGTACTTTATCAAATTGTAATCATTCGAAAGTAGGCTTTTCGTGTCACTATTGATCATTCATTTACACCAATCACTTTTCTATATGAAACCTTTTCCAAAATCATATCCTTTATCATAGTTTGAACCCAAAATAGCCCTTAATTTGACGGTTCATCTTTTTGCCGTAAAAACGTGCTAAAGCTAAAATGAGGCCAGACTCCGCTTGAAACGATTTCCCGGGACCCATTTTTTCATCAGCAGACAACGTTTGAAATTACACAGAAAAAAAGAGAACTTTTGTCTATCAGAATGTCATTTTCTTGAGGCCTAATTATAATGAGGGGAGAAAAGCGGGGGAAAGATCAAGGAAAAACGGGGAAATGGAAAAGATTCGTTGAAAATGAAAGAAAGAGAAAGGAGACACACCAGGTGTAGTTTGACTCTCGAGACATTTTTGAGGGGCACAACACAGTGATCTGTCTGGATGTCTGATCCGAATTTGCAAGGCTGCAGAGTTGTGAAGATTGATGAGCTTCTCAAATACGATGTTTATAATTATTTGAATTGTTTCAAATGTTCAAAGTAAACTAGAAAAAAGATCGATGTAAACGATCAAACTAAACCAAAAAAAGATCGATGCCAAAACAAGATCCAAATGTTGAAACGATGACGAGATGGAGGCTAACTTTATTGTAAAATGGACTAGATCTTCTATTGTAACAATAGATCAAAATTATCTTCATAAAACAACTGTGAAATTATCAATCAAATTTCTGTGATAGCTTTGATGGTCTATAACTTTGCCCAGAGATAATATTATTTATAACTTTTTATATCATTGGATAGAGGACAATTTAGGCTTTCAAATGATACAAAATAGAGTTTGATTGGATAAACCAGTCCAGAACATGGACTAGATCTTTTACCTCTTATTGTAACAATAGATCAAAATTGTTTTCCCAAAACAACTGTGAAATCATCAAACAAATTTCTTAGTTTCAATTCAAAAATTCTCGAATCAAGCCCATTTCTCGGGCAAATTAGATTTAGTGTGGGTGGGGGAAATTGGATCCCATTTTCTCTCTCTCTCCGCTCACTTTGTTTTACAACAAAGTATGTTTTCCTGTAAAAACTTCTAATCTAAAAAGTGTTTTGTTACAATGATGTGTAGACCCATAAATCACTGGCATTACTGGCAAATTATATAAAAGATTTCAGGCAATCTTTACGATCACGAACTTCATCGACAGCATCTACTGCGATTGAATCAACTGGACCAGTAAGAGAATTTTCTTGAAAGCAATTTAGAAGTTGCAATTTAGCCATTGCAGTTTTTAGATAAACTTGTTAGCTTAGATTGTTAGATTATTGTTATTTTCATTTCAGCATTTCTACCTGAGCCGACGAGACTCGAAAATCAGTATTGCCAGCAGTCAGATGGAAGGTGATGTTTGACTTCATCTATTTGTCAGCTATTTGTCATCTATTCATTTGACTTGATTTATTCATCTATTTCTAAATAATTCGACTTTGAATATATTTTTGAATAAAGCTTTCAAACCCAAATCATTTCAGACGTTGCCTCCGTTTCTCCATCAACATCAATGATGACCGATTCAAGTGTCAAAGGACGAGTCATTCAAGTGATGCCGGTAAGTTTTTCGTTTTTAATCTTTTCAAAAACAATTTCCTATTTCACACAGAATTTATTAACTAGTAATTGAGCTAATTTTCTGTTTTATAACTCAAAAAAAGCATCTTTCAGCCATCACTGATACGAAAGCGAACATCGATTTCAAATTCGGATTCTCCAGTGATCTGCGATGAGTCGATGTCACATCAAGGGGTTTCATTTCAAGAATTGACTATATAAAAAGAAAAAAATTTCAGTTTCAACCAAATAATGGCAATGAAGGGAGTTCATCGTCGTTGTTAGTCCGACAAAACACAGCGCCTTCATTGAGTAACTCGAAATTTATCTACTTGAATGAAGTGGTTTGGCAAGTGAGTTTTCAAGAATGTTACAAGAATTGTAAGAAATATATATTGATGTTTTGATCTATATAATTTCTTGTGAGACCGTGTCTCGTTGTGGTTCAATAGTGGTCGTCTTGAAAGCGCACAATTTATCAAACTTTCCCTTATTAGGGCAAACTTCGCTCGCTTTGACAAATCAGACCTCGCTGACACGTCAAATTTGGGCTAAAAGGCAAAAACTACGCAACTTAACGCTTTTCCGCAGTTTTTGCCTTTTAGCCCAAATTTGACGTGTCAGCGAGGTCTGATTTGTCGAAATTCGGAATCTACGCATACGATTCCCTTCTATGAAAAGGTTTTTGAAGCTCTACGACCTTGCCTAAGGCCTTTTAGCCTAAGAGCAACCTGGCACTATCACAATCAATTCAACACTTGCATATGAAAAAAGAGGATGATAAAAAAGCAAAAAAGGAGAACAACACTCACTCAAAAGCAAAGCTTAAATAACCGGTTTTTAAGTATACAAGCTACAACAAACGGACAGCTGAATATCGTCTAGTGACTGATTACGGTAGTTTATCCATCAACTTTGAATTTTAACTTGTGTATTGAATTTTTGACTAACTGCAGAGCAGTGGCAATTCGCCACAAGAATGAAATATTATAAAACTAATCCCTTAAATGACCAACAAATCAAACAAATCAGCAAACTTCCTTCCTTCCCTTTCAGATCGATGAAACTGTGTATTGTGGTGGAAGGGATTCATACACAAATCAAACAATGCTTTGTCGATTGAATATCGAATATATTGTTGATTTGAGTGGAATGAATGATGATGATCAACCAAGGTTAGCCACATAATCGATGCATTCACTTATCATTTCATTGCTCAATTTCTTAGACGAGGCGATCTTCATTGCTTATGCCAAAAGCGACACGCGCGAACGATCATGACGATCAAAGTGCCCGATTTTGAAGAAGAGACAAATCGACCTGTTTCGAGTAAATTGCAGAAGGTATCAAAAACTCAAGTTCTGAGTTCTGACTCAAGTTTTTTTTCAGCCAACCGTAAATTTGATGGATTTATTTCGCGAATTCACCGAAATGGCTGCAAAGGCGAAAGGAGCCGGAAAAGCATTGCTTGTCTATTCGAGAGATGGAAGAAATCGGTAAGTTAAGAAGGTTTTGGCTTAGAAAAGATCTATCTGAAATATTTTTTAACTTCTAATCATTTACGGTAGTAGGTGAACACCCCAATTAGAAGATCATTCTAAAATTAGCATAAGCTGGAAAGAATTTCATTTTCGCGATTGATCGGTTGCTTTGTTCCGCTCTTAAACTACTTGATTTTGGCTTCTTTTCTCCCAAATTGCCCAAGTTAATTAAGAAATCTCAAAAATTCATATGTACATTACAGAGAATCAGATGAGAAATTCAGCAATTTAACATTGAGAAGGGGATAAAATGGCGGTTCTGTTGATTCAAGCAAAAAAAAACCTGCTTTTGATCCCTGACCTCTTGTGTTTGCTAGTGATTGGAAATCCTTATTCTGTTTAATTTAATTTCATCATTTCAATCTGTAACATAGTTGAAAGCAGTCGACTAAATGAAGAGATTATGCATATCTTTATAAACTGGAACTTCTTTGTTTTCCGTTTTCTTGGGCTGGAGATTTAAGCATTCAAACTAAACAAGGGGGAAAAGACGAAAAAGAATTTCTTCAACAGGAAAAGAACTAAAAAAGAATATTTCTTTTTGCAGAGCTCCAGCTTTCGCTTGTGCCTACGTGATGCACAATATGCATTGCACGCGGATGCAAGCTTTGAGCAAAGTGAAGAATGCGGTTGGTGATCAAGCTAGATTTGCTTTAGAACATAGGTTCTAATAGCTGATAGGTTCAAGCTGGACTTGCTATTTGATCGGAATCCTGTCAGATTAAATCCGATAGAGGCTTTTATTGGCTCGGATCAATCCGATAGAGGCTTTGATCGGATCATCATCCTCGACAATCCGATCCGAAGTAATCCGGATTCGAAGTTCCTCGGATTACCTAGATCCATCGGACTACCTAGTTTAAGCTTACCTAGTTGTTGATTTTGTACTGCAACTCAAAAAGCCGACCTTTTCCAGATGATCAACAAGCGACCATCCGTTCAAATCGACGACAATCTTCAGCGTGGATTGATGAGATGGCAAACAACACTGGGCATTAAACCATCGGATGCCGGTGATCCCGATTACACGGTCCCTCTATTCACCGTCAAGCGAACAGCATGGACTTGAGCTACTTTTGATAGAGCATTTTAAATTTTTAAAACTAGGTACTTATTCAATTTCTTTATTAACGGGTTTCTTTGATTTTTGAATGATTTCTCAAAATTGAATTTGCTTTAAGCGATCTAATCTATCGATTTAAAAAAATAAAAACAGTACTTGAAGGGTTTTTCGATGATTTTGCTGATTACTGGTACATATTTTTCAGTACACTTTCAGGAAATTTGAGTTCACTTTTGATTATTGTTTTTAACAATTTGTTTAACAGAAATAAATGTTTTGTACGATTGGTTAACGCAAAAAAAACTGCAGAAATATAATATTCGTGTGGATTTGAGTGCTCTTGTCTCCATATCAAAGTGTCTCATCGTTTCCCCTTCTCTTTTCTCAAAAAAGAGGCCTTGACCCCCCATTTCAAGCAAAAAAGAAAAGTTCATCCAGCCACGTTGCCGTTTTTTTTTGCCTTTTTTTGTGCGATTATGTTAGTCTCATTCAGCTCTGTTACACCAAATTTCATTTTCAGAAAGCGCTTCTTGAGTTGCTAGTTGTTGTTTGTTGTTGTTAACAAATTCACCAATTAACCTACCGTAAATACTGTAATAGTACCCCACCCCTCGTACAGTCGCGTAGCCGCAAAAGCTTTTCAGTATTTCATTTTTGCAAAGCACCCGTACTTTCAAAAATTGCGTCTTTGGTATTAAAAAATAGCCCTGAATTTCAGCTATTTTTTGATACCTAAGCGCGCATTGTAGCATAAACCAGTGTCGAGAAAAACGCGTCCAAAGCTAGACTACACAACACTCCGCACCGTCATTATGGGGGTGGGGTACTATTACAGTATTTACGGTAGTTGTTGTTTGTTGTTTGTTTAGCTGTTTTTAGTTGATAAAAATCTATTTTTGCTTTTGCTTTTGCTAAAGTTTAATAAACATCGAATCCAATAAACCATTTAGTAATGACAGTCCTTCACGAACCCCGAAACGTGATGGTTACCGGTGCTTGCGGTTTCATTGGAAGCAACTACTTGAATTATCAATTCAGAGTTTGTTTAGGATTTTGAAAATATTAGTAACACTTTACAACATTACTTTTTGTTGTACAAACTTTTTTGTCTAGGCATGGCCTCACGCGAATTTCGTCAACGTTGACAAGCTTATTCTCAACAGTGACACTCAATATATTGATGAGGAGATTCAGAAATCGCCTAGGTAAATTAGTTTGAAGGATTTATAAAACTAAAATTTAAAGCATAAAATGACATTTATCCAGAGGCTTGTTATTTAAGAAACCTTTTCAGGTACAAATTGGTGCTATCGGACATCAAGAATCGAGCCGGGATTTTGACGGCTCTACAAGAAAATAATGTTTGTTTTAGAAATTAATATAATGTTATTGAGGAGAATACCCAGCGACTCTTAACGTCCCTTCCTTAGTTCAGCTCTTAGCCATCCTCTTCTTTGCGGGGATGACCACCGGTACGCCAGTTAAACCCGGACCGGACCAGGTTCCTGTCGACCAAGGGAAAGGGCCCTTAAGTAAAAGCCCTGCGCCTAACGGTGAGCGGTTATGTGGCCGCACAAAGAACCCCTCACGATCTCTTTACAAAGGGATTTCTTTTGTTGTGGAAGCATTGCTCAGATGAGAATTGCTCATTGCTCTGAAGCCAAAAGTTTGTACCCATTGGCGGGGTTCATTCTGTTGTATCTACAAGCAAAAATCCCTAATTTGTACTGATCTTGAGATCTTTTTGGCTACAAATAATTTTCACGGGGATCCATAAGAACCAAAATATTATTTACATGTTATTGAATAAAATATTTGTCAGATTGACACGATTATTCATTTCGCTGCTGATTGTACATCGACTCGATGCTATGGACAACCGGTGGAAGCGATCGAGAATAATGTCATCTCGTTCATCGGTTAGACTTGGAAAAGGGAGATGTAGCGAACAGAATATTGTCTGTTCTGTCTGTTCTGTCCGTTAACTGAGATCTTTTCAGAATATTGTCTGTCCTCAACACGTTTTTATTTTTCAAATATACTGTAGATCTTACAGAGCTCCTCGAAACGGTGCGCGTTTATGGGAAACTTCAACGATTCGTGCATATCAGTACCGATGAGGTTGTTAAGAATACATAGAAATCTGGAATAGAAAGATGTAAAGCCAAGAAAGCCAAGAAAGCCAAGAAAGCCAAGAAAACCAAAAATCAAGGTCAAGCTCAAGTTTTTAGGTCTACGGAGACTCAGATCTTGGACCGGATGAGAAGGGTAAAAATGAAGAGTCGAGACTTTTACCGGGAAATCCCTATGCTGCCACAAAAGTGGGCTCATTTTAAAGTGAATACCGTAATATTCCCAGAGGAGTATCGCGTCGTCGTTGTTTTTCCGCACTAAATCATTTTAGTACGGAAAAAGCAACGACTACGCGCTACTCCTCTGGGCATATTATTAGGAAAAAGACGGTAAATTGAGATTAAATTGAGATATCTTTCAACAAAATTCATCAACATGCCCTAGATTGCCGGTGAAGCCTACGTGCATGCCTACCGCACCGTTTATGGGTTACCTATCGTTATGGCTAGGATCAACAACATTTATGGGCCGAATCAATGGGATGTCAAGGTCAGCGCAATGAATTTACCATTTCTTACTTTACTTTATACTAATGCCCGTGTTTTGCTCTTCAAGTAGCACGGTTATAGCAAGAGTAGCAAGTAGGAAGGGCCAGGTATTTCCTTCTCTTTCCGCCTGTATTTCTTCTTTCTTCTCTGGGAAGAAGATACTGGATAGCTCAGTGGTTAAAGCATCGGAAAATAAAAAGGTCGAGGGTTCAATCCCCTGTCAAAAAAGCTTTCTTTGCTATTCCGCACTTTATTATCCAAAGTAACTATTCTGTGCTAGGTGGTTCCCCGTTTCATCGAGATCGCCAAGCAGCGAGGCGAGTACACGATTCAGGGAACCGGGCAACAATTGAGGAGTTGGCTTTTCGTTGATGATGCTGCTGCTGGGATACAGGTAAACATAAGACTTGTAGCTTTAGAAAAAGTCTTATTTTGATTCTTTTGAGTTTACCTGCCATTTCAGGCAGTTGCCGAAAAGGGAGTGCTCGGCGAGGTTTACAACTTGGGAACCTATTATGAGAAAAACGGTAAGTAATCATTATATTCTAATTACAGCATTAAATAGATTATAAATGATAATATTTTTAGTCTCCGAACTGGCGCATGCTGTACAAGCCGAAGTCGATAAACAATTAGGCAGAGAAGTTGTTGGTCCGATATTCAAGAGTATCCCCGATCGACCATATAATGATTTGAGATATTTAATCGATATTTCGAAAGCTGAAACGGAATTGGGATGGAAACCAAGCACCAGTTTTGAAGAAGGTTCGGAATTTTAGAGTCTAATCAAATTGTTTATAGGCCTCCGACGTACCGTTGCCTCAGCACTGAAACCCCGTCCATCTGTGAAGCTTTCCGTGATTCTTGTCGGAGGTGGGAAAGTTAAAAGTTACATTTTAATTCAAGAGTTACATTTTCATTTTCTGTAAGAATGTTTTCAGGAAAAGGTTTTGTCGGTGAAGAGCTACAGGTGGCACTGAAGAAGCAGAAAATTCCATTCAAATTGGCCCAAAAGAAGCCTGGATTTGACAGTGATGCTGAGGTTTGAAAATGGCAATAAAATAGATACCATAAATACTGTAATAGTACCCCACCCCCATAATGACGGTGCGGAGTGTTGTGTAGTCTAGCTTTGGACGCGTTTTCCTTGACACTGGTTTATGCTACAATGCGCGCTTAGGTATCAAAAAATAGCTGAAATTCAGGGCTATTATTTGATACCAAAGACGCATTTTTTGAAAGTACGGGTGCTTTGCAAAAAATGAAATACTAAAAAACTTTTGCGACTACGCGACTTTACGAGGGGGTACTATTACAGTATTTACGGTAGTAGAATAATATTATATTATTGATAACAGGTAGAAGAAGAATTGGCGACAATTGGCGGGACACACGTCGTTTGCTGTACAGGGAGAACTCATGGAAAGGTGAGACTTGAGAAATGAGATCAGTTTTCAAAGAACTGATTGAATCTCTATTTACTTACAATACTATACTCAAAGTCAAAGTCCAATCTGTAATCCTTTCTCTTCAGGGTATCAACACGATTGAATACCTTGAAGGAGGACCGGATAAAACGTATGAAAATGTCCGCGATAACATGTACAGGTACAAATTGTACACGAACTCTAAAAAAGCATCATTTTCTTTCACAAATTTTCATTTTAGTGCCACATTTCTTTCACACATTTGCCGAAAATTGGGACTTCATTACACGTACATTGGAACGGGATACATATTCAGCTATGATCAAGAGCATCCAATTGGTGGAAAAGCTTTCACTGAACAAGGTTTACGTTGCGTTTTTCTTAAACTTTGAACTTTCGATTTCAGAAGTCGCATCATTCTTTGGTTCATCGTACTCAGTTGTTAAGGGCTTCACCGATCGACAAATGTTTCAGTTTAAAGTAATCTTAAAAATGTAATCAAATAATTGAAAATATCAGGATTGGGAGAATATCAATGCTCGAATTACTCTTCCACTCACTTACAACATGGAAAGTGGACGAAATTTGCTCACAAAGATCATCAATTACAAGTGAATTGCCTTCTTTAAATGTTTCCAAGTTTTCCATTGTTTATATTTCAATTTTCAGAGAACTCTTCGATTTGCCAGTCTCGTTGACAATTCTTCCCGATTGCTTTGAAGCGTTGATCAGTTTAATGGAAAAACACCACGGAGGAAATCTCAATCTCGTCAATCCTGGCCCGATCTCACTCTATGATATTGTGAAATTGTATCAACAGGTAAAAGAATATGGAAATTACTTAAAATTTAATATAATCTAAACAAGTTACCAGAGAAAAATGAAGTTTTATTGATTCAGCTAGTCGATTCCAACGTCGACCCGAAACCAATCGGAATCGAAACGGAAAGAGGACAAAATTTGCTGGCAACAAAGGTTTATTAACGGTTCTTTTTAGATCCAATACGGTTCCAATACGATTCCAATACGGTTCCAATACGGTTTCCAATACGGTCTTTTTAGCTCCAATACGGTTCCAATACGATTCCAATACGGTTCCAATACGGTTCCAATACGGTTCTTTTTAGCTCCAATACGGTTCCAATACGATTCCAATACGGTTCCAATACGGTTCTTTTTAGCTCCAATACGGTTCCAATACGTTTCCAATACGGTTCTTTTTAGATCCAATACGGTTCCAATACGATTCCAATACGGTTCTTTTTAGCTCCAATACGGTTCCAATACGTTTCCAATACGGTTCTTTTTAGCTCCAATACGGTTCCAATACGATTCCAATACGGTTCCAATACGGTTCCAATACGGTTCTTTTTAGCTCCAATACGGTTCCAATACGATTCCAATACGGTTCTTTTTAGCTCCAATACGGTTCCAATACGTTTCCAATACGGTTCTTTTTAGATCCAATACGGTTCCAATACGATTCCAATACGGTTCTTTTTAGATCCAATAAGCTCATACTTATATTTAGCTTTATAATGTCAGCAATAATATTTAGGGTAATTGTGCATTGAGCACTGATCTTCTGACGAGTCTCGAGAAAGTCCCAACTGCTGAAGAGAGTCTTCGAAAGAATCTACCGCTCTTGAAAAGCTAATTCAAAATTTATAATGAATTTAAACTTTTCTTTAGTTTACAATAAGTTTCTGTACGCATTTGATTTAACAAATGAATAAATATTTATAAAAGAATAAACACAAAACGGGAAAATTCTCAAGATAACACTGTTTTCTTTTTGATCAAAACCGGTTCATGAAAAATTCTCTAATGACATCATGAAAATTTACACTACTTTCTTAAAAAATGTTTTCTTTTCCTAGCCTAATCCTTTCTTCTTTATCTCTTCATTTTGTGATGAGAAGGGTGGGGCAAAGAGACACAAAATGGACACAGACACGTTCAATTAACCGATCCAACAATTTTTAGAATCTTTTGTCACTCCGAAATGATTCATAGATTCGAAGAGAGAGATATTTGCAGAATTTTAGAAATTGGGCACACTCAGAGATATGAAATTTGTCGGTATTGAGCCGCCTTTCGAAAAAGATAAGAAAATGGGCGAGACTCTGTCGAGAAGACTCGAGGAGACACCCTCAAGGCTTTACACTTTGAGGCTTCAATTGATCAGTAATACTCCCAGTTTGTGTTGTAGGGATATCGTCATCTACTATGTGATAGTTGTATTGTTATTTGTTATTATTTGTTGTTATTTGTTGTTATTTGTTGTTTCGTGTGTTATTCTTAAGGAACGTTCATTTTTCTTTCAACGTTTCTTCATGATTCTATTTATTTTATTTTGTTAAAGTCTAGTTTTTGCAAGGCTCATGCATGAAACCCATAAAAGCCTAAACGATTGTCGCCTGTTTCCAGAAGAGTTGATGGAAATTTCTCCTAAAAATCTCTGATATCAGTGAGTCATGAATCTTTCCCCATTCAAAAATATTTCCCTTCTGACGTCCTAAAGCTTTTTTTATGGAACGACCCCATGAAAATCTGAAAAGAGGCTTTTCAAGCTGTCCACCTTTTCTGTTCACGCAAAAACCCTTTTCTGATATGCCCTATCTTTTAGATTTGTTCACCTCAAACCGTTACTCAATATCAATAACTTTTCACATTTTATTCATATTTTTGCAGGCAGTTTCTATTATAGTGAAATTGCCATTAGACGTTTCTGATGGATAACACAGTTTTTTCAAATTGTCTTAACCGCATATAGATAATTACCGTAAATACTGTAATAGTACCCCACCCCCACGTACAGTCGCGTAGTCGCAAAAGCTTTTTAGTATTTCATTTTTTGCAAAGCACCCGTACTTTCAAAAAATGCGTCTTTGGTATCAAATAATAGCCCTGAATTTCAGCTATTTTTTGATACCTAAGCGCGCATTGTAGCATAAACCAGTGTCGAGAGAAACTCGTTCAAAGCTAGACTACGCAACACTCCGCACCGTCATTATGGGGATGGGGTACTAGTATTTACGGTAATATGAATATTAATATTCATATGAATTCTATCTCTCTCTAACAATCGTTTACCAATAAAGTTCTGTGGATTTTCAGTTTCTCAAAAAATTCCAGCAAAAAATATTATTTACACATCGTGTCCTTTTCCATAGAATGATGCATCGATCATCTTTGCAAATAATGCTCAAAAACATCTTTACTTTTTTTTTCGTGTAACTTATTTTAGTGCTGATTAATATTAATATTGTTAAACAATAGTACGAATAAGGAAGCGTTGTAGTCCTTATCAAAACGAGCTTTTCGATGGCATTAAAATTTTTTCAGATAAGAAATGGGTTTTTCAGTCAAAAGCATCCTTTCAATAGTATCCAAAGCATTTTATTGCTTCAAGCGCTGAGATCGATTTTTAGCATATTTGCAAACAATAAGTTGTTGAGCTTGCATTTACCGTATTTTCTCTAATAGTAGTGCACCCTGAGCGTCGCCTAAATTGCTCGAAATCTCGAGAACCGCTTATCAGAACCTATCGATGTGGGGTCGGAAAATGTAGCTGACGATGAGTTCTAGTGGGGGATTTGAGTGTTGAGCTTCTGGGAAAACTTTGGAAGCCGTAAATAGTCATCAACTCGGCTCGACTGGGTGCACTACTATTAGAGAAAATACGGTATTAGTGATAGTGATAGTGGGCTTTGTCAATTCAGTCAATTCATTTTCGTAAAACTTTTTGCAAGTTTTCCTATTTCAGGTAATTGGCCATGAAGTTGATGATACCGATCTCGGCTTTAGCCTTTCTTCTTTGTCTTTCACAAATCGTTCGAGCTGGTTGGTAGTAGCTCTAAATGTATTCAAGAGTTTAAAACCTGTACAATCTAAATTGTAATTGATTCTTGACTGTTTCTAAATTGATTCCCAGACACCGTGCAAGTGGAGACTCTCCCCTATGATTATGGAAGTCTTAACGGTTTCTACTCGATCGGGTATCATATTTCGATGGGTCTCGTGCCGACTTTGAAAAATGAAACATTACAGGTATTTTATATTAAATGTTTGCCATCGAATTTACAAAAAAAAAGCCATCAAAACCATTACAGAAGGTCGCAGATCTTGTCACGGATAATGGTGGAAGTGTCTCTGATGTGGCGAGTGATATTCTCAAAGCATATGTGAGCAAGATTACAGCATTTTACAGCATTACAGCATTCAGCATTTTACAAAGAAATGCAAAGATCGTAAAGATTTAGGAAACTTATTGTTAGATTTGAAAAAATATCAAATAATTTCAGGTGGGTCCAATCGTGTTCATGGTTTTCGGTGGCTTGTTGGCGTTGGCTGCAGGGCTTTCGTGTTTAATTATTTGCTGTGGACGGTGTTTTTGTAAATGCTGTGGAGTCACTGATTATCAAGTGAGATATTGCTATGTATAAGAAATTAGGCTGTCCAGAAAGTCTCTTCACTTCACCCAAATTCTTCAACCAGAGCAGCTATCAAACTTTTGTATGGTTCAAATGAAAGATCAATGTCTTCAACTAAAAACAGTTGTTTCTTTTGAATGAAGGTGATAAAATGAATAGTTTGGGGTGCGACCCGCTTTAACCTTATCCACGAGGATGATTCTGCTTAAGAATGGCCGAATAGCACAAAAGGTTAAAAAGGGTTTCCCCAAAAGCGCTTATAATGTAACAAGAACACGTAGTATCCAACAATAGATTAATACTCTTGAGAAGAGTACGGATCGGATTGATACTACGTCGATGGTGACACAAATGTTAGTAAAACCAGTTATCTAAGCAGGATTTAAAACCTGAAGGGTAGCATAAAGCAAAGTGAATTTATAATGTTACTGTTTATTAGTACAGAACCGAAATGCAACAATAACCATTGCAAAAACAGCATGCGCATCAAAAATGAAACAACAAAGTCCCCCTAGAAAGAAGGCAAAAAAACCCGCAGACCAAAAAAAAAATTTCGGGAAGGGGGAAAAGGGCGAAAAATGCGACGCGAATAATTGCAAAATAGCAACGCAAAATAACAACGGAAGGAAACGGACGCGACCGAATAAAATAAAAATCTACTATCACCTTGATTCAAAACCTCATTATTACATAACTTTTTATTAGAAAAAAGTTATAAAAAAGCGTTTTGATGGGTTCTGTTTTGGTGGTTCAGTTTAGAGATTAAAAAAAATCGCGAAACGACTTTCGTAAATTAAAAAGCCTAATAAAAGCGTAGATTTTTTAAAAATCCTTTTTCAGCCAGCCCACGAGAAACGAACTCTCCTTTACGTAGCCGGTTTCATCCTTTTCGTATCGTTTCCTTTTGTTCTAACTGGTTTGTGAACCCGGCCGATCAAATACCAACTCAATCGATAATATTAGGTGCTATTATTTATGGAAAAGCTGTTGACGATACGTATGACACTTTGAGTCAAGATGCTTATGAAGATATTCAAAGAATTATTTTCGGTGAGTGATTGCAAATGTTTTTAATTCGATTGGCACTCACAGATTTGGAGGGCTTGGTGACCAATACAACGGCTGAGATCATCGATTCGGTGGGGAAGAATGTCCAAACAACTTTTGATGTAAGGTTTTTTGTTATATAAAACGCCAAAAGTCATGGCCAGTTTTTGAAAAAATAAACTGATCGTATTGTGTAGGAAACGGCTGACGAAATCAACGCGGCACCTCATGAGATGATCATCAATTTCGAGACAACCACTGGATTGAGCGTTTTTTCGGTAAATACTTTTAACCAAGGGTTAACTAAAAAAAAGCTAAAAGCATGAAACTTGATATAAAAGTTGATAAGTGTTGAAATTGCAAGATGAAAAATGAAAATGAAAAAAGTGAAGTGGAGAGGGGAGTGGGACAAATGCGACCTTTTTTTTGCGCACCCGGACATTTGCGCACATTTTTTTCCGCACCTTGCCCATTAGCGCACCTTTTTTCGCGTTTTAAAAAAGCTCTAAAAACCTAATATTAACCAATTTCTATTCCAAAAGTTGTTTTTCTAGGTAATTTTAGGGCGTAGAATCGAAATTTTGACATAACAGAGCGTGTGGAAAAGAAAACATATCAGAGCGTGTGGAAACAAACGGACGGAGTTATACAAAGAGAAAAATCGACAATTTTCTGTAATTTGATCTAGCCGTTTTGTCTTTCAAATTGGTTCCACACGCTCTGTTATGTCAAAATTTCGATTCTACGCCCTAAAATTACCTAGAAAAACAACTTTTGGAATAGAAATTGGTTAATATTAGCTTTTTAGAGCTTTTTTAAAACGCGAAAAAAGGTGCGCTAATGGGCAAGGTGCGGAAAAAAATGTGCGCAAATGTCCGGGTGCGCAAAAAAAAGGTCGCATTTGTCCCACTCCCAGTGGAGAGGGAAAATTTTCACTTGCAACTTTCAATCAAACCACTGAATACTTTGAAATTAAAAGAAAAATTGAGTTTAGTAATTGCAAATTTTGTTTGGAGATTAATATTTGCTTTACAAATGCAAATTTCTCGTGCGCGACAGCCAGACAGACGGACAGACAGACAGACAGACAGACAGACAGATAGACAGACAGACAGATAGGCAGACAGACACAATACAGACAGATAGACAGACAGACAGATAGACAGACAGATAGACAGACAGACAGACAGACAGACAGACAGATAGACAGACAGACAGACAGACAGACAGACAGACAGACAGACAGACAGACAGATAGACAGACAGATAGACAGACAGACAGATAGACAGACAGACAGATAGACAGACAGACAGATAGACAGACAGACAGATAGACAGACAGATAGACAGACAGACAGACAGACAGACAGACAGACAGACACTTCTCTTTTGTATGTCGTAGCCGGTTTGCCTTGAAAAAGAGCTAATCAGAACATTGAGGTAATCTTTGAAAATTTGTAGCAATTTTGTAGAAACTTTATTTTAAATTTAGAACATTCTTTGTACTCAATTGAGAAAAGAAAAGTTGACTAGAGAATTGCTGCCATCATTGCTGATGCTGATTTGAACGATCGCCTTTAATTCATTTTATTATTCAAATTAGTTTGTTTAAGTTTCATTTTAAATTGGCATTTAAAATTTCAAGGCAAATCGGCTGCGACATATATAATAATAATAATAATAGAATGTAGTACCTTAAAATCTTTAACAGGTTCCATCGAAAAATTTCAGTCAGAGACGAAAAATCGTGATGAAGCCGTGGGTGCAGTGCAAGATGACATAACTCTTTGTAAAGGGGAACTTCAAAATATCTTGGTTTAGCTTTATAAAGCTTCTGTTTTAAAAGAATTTTATAGGGTATCCAAGCCGGTACAGAAGTTCAGGATCAGTTGACAACAGTTGGCCTACTTCAGACGGCTCTCGATGGCTTAAACATTGCGGTTTGTCTTTGTTTCTCGATAGAGGTAGAAAACTAAAGATTACGATAGCTTTCGAAAGTCGACACGTTTTAGAAAATGGATTGCTTGAGAGGAAAATGGATTGCTTACTCTAATTGTTATTAGCCAGCTTAACAATAAGCTCTAATTATAAGTTCAGATGCAAGCCTTTGACAAAGGAATGGCCGTGGTGAATATTAATGTGACGAACATCGAACGAGACGTGAGTGATAAACAACTTCTATCAATCAATTTGTCTCATAAATTAAACTAAGACAGCTTTTTTCAGCTAAACACATCACTCGGCAAATCGAGTGGAAAGATCAAGGAGGCAAAGGATTCAGTGACAGCTACAACAGATGATATCACAACAGCTATCAATGATATGCATGTAAGTTAGCTTTCAAGTAGATTACTAGCTTGGTTTTAAAAGCTTACCATAAAACGCTTAGACGAGCTTGCAAAAAGTCGAGAACACGACGCAACAGTGGATCGATGACGTCAAAGATGTAAGTGGAAAGAGTTGGACTTTTTTGTGGACATTTTGGTACTAAAATTGGCCAATGGTTGGTCAATGCGAGTATAGCCTTATAGAACGAAACTTTTCAATACGAAATTCAAGTACGAATTCAGTGGAGCGGTCTGAAGGCGTTCAGAAGTGGCATGCAAGCACTTGGACTTTTTCCGTTGAGTATCGCGCTCGTTTTTCTCATTATTGGAATTGTCGCATCGGGTGGGCGGATTGCTCGGTGAGAATCAATTTTGAGAAATCAAAAATGAACAAAATGATCTACAATATGCTTTGAAAATCATTTCATTCAGTTCACAAACAAAGCCCCATCAACGCTCAACGCGATCCCATATTTCTGGGGGTCTCTCGGTGGCCGGGATCTACATCGGTTTCATGGTTTCCGCTTTTATCATGGTGATGTCTGTGTGAGTTTTAAGAATGTTTATACAATGATATACAGTGCGTTTCAAGTTCTTAAACGCACCCTCTAAAATAGCGACTTTTGCATTTTGAACACCGCTACAACTATTAATCTTTTTCTATTAGAAAGAACATTTGTTAAAACCTAATAGAAAAAGATTAATAGTTGTAGCGGTGTTCAAAATGCAAAACTCGCTATTTTAGAGGGTGCGTTTAAGAATTTGAAACGCACTGTAGAAACGAGAATATAGTAAAATATCCTCCTACATGTTTTTTTTCAGTATTTTCTTCTTCGGCGGTTTTGCGGTGAGCTCAGTTTGCAAGCCATTGTTTCGCGATGATGCGTATGCATTGTACAGAGTTTGTCAAATCCTTTACCTAACAATTTCAATCATTTCCAGGCATCTGACAAATTTGACATCGAAGTCGATCCATATGAAGACAAGTCAGGGGATAATCCAATTGCAACAAATATTGGGTGAGTGTAAATCTTTAATGTATCATTGTTAAACTTTCAGAAATATCTTTCGAGAGTGCTCCTCGAGGACAATGTTTTCGTTGATTGGAGGAGAGAATATTATCAGTGTGAATGATGTGATGGACACGGTGAAGATTTCCCAAAATTTTGTTTGCAAATATTAAGCTTCAGATCAAATTCGCCGAGCTTCAGACAGAAGCCAATGAAAAAATTCCTGAAAAGATTTGGCCTACCAATGGCAGGCCGGATCTCACTGCAGTTGGGGTGAGTTTTAGAGAAAACTTGAGTAAAGAGCTTTGCCACTTTGCATTTTAAATAACTTTCTAGTCAGCGATTGGTGAATGGAATAAAAAAGTGGGGCCATTTCAAGATGCTAATGCTGATGATTTTCTCAAACAAACTCTTGTCAAGAATCAAAACGATCAAAATGTCAAACAAGCACATAACGGTCAGTTTTTGGAATCTATTCTTGCTTATCAATTGTATTTTGAAGAATAGAAGAAAATTCTGATAGCTATTTCATTAGCTATTTCATTACAGTATTAAAAACGAACCCTTTCACTGATTAAAAACAAAATACCCATTTAGATCTGGTCAAATTACAAACATCAGTGAAAACCCTTTCCGCCGTTCTCGCCCAATACAATGATGGAGTGAACACACTGCAGAAATATTTTGCTAATGATAAACTTACTCATGATGCGTTGAGTCAGCAAGTGAATGACACTTTCAAGGAAGTGACAGATACAACTCAAGTCGGACTACAGGCATTCATCGTAAGTGAAAAGAGATTTACTTGACATCTCAGATGTACTGCTTACTTATAAACGCTCACTTTCTGGCACACCGGCTAAACCAAATTTGACTAATCTATAGCCTTTACTTATTAGGACGATCTGATGAATAACGTGGCTCCATGCGGACCCTTTTTGATCCTTTATGACAATGTGGGAGTGCTTGTTTGTGATCACATTGGAAGGCCAGTTCATGGAATGTGGGCTGCTCTAGGTAAGAAAAAGATAAATCAGTTAAAAATTCAAGGTTGTAACAATATCATTTGAGGTCTTGCTGCTTTGGCCCTCCTCCCAGCCTCTTTTTCTCTTCTTTTACTTGTCCGGTGGCTCTTGAGAATGGACAGCCATTATTATCGGGTAAAAATAATTTAGAGCTCTTCTAAACTGTGCCAACTTGCGTAGTCTGGCTTCATAAAAGTTGCATTGTACATTCTAGGACGAAATCGAGGACACTGGGCCAATGATTTGGGCTGGATCAGCCGTTCCTCCAGAAGTACAAACCATTCCGGCGACAATGAGCAGTGTAAAGAAATGAATAAAGATTCTAAAACAAAGTTTTCAGTACTCTTATCCAAGGAATCAATCATTAGGTCGATTGGATTTGAAGCCGATTGACGAGCAGCCATTCCCTGCAGATTACGCAGATTCTAGACCCGCCTCTCAGCAACTCCATCGACCAGACTCGCTATATCCTGAAGTTGGGCTGCCCAGAGCGAACAAGTGAGAGCTGTTTTAAGCTTGAATTCATTGGAAACAATATCGCTAAACCATAGCCGATTTTTCAGAGGCTTCGAGGAATACTCGGGTGATGGCCGTCGAACGGACAATTGGGATATCCCTCTTCCCGAAGATTCACCACCAAGCACAACGCAACGATTGCGACGATTTTAAATGTATCATATTTGTTTTGAATGCTTTAAAAATAAACAATTTCTTAAAAAAACTGATTGCTCTGCCCCTTGGAATAACTAATTAGTTAAAAGCTTAACTTTTGCTTGAAAAATAATCCCCAATCCTCAAAAATAACACACGGAACCCCTGGAGATGGTCGAATTCCAGAGAAAATACGGAGAATGAAAGAATTTCTGAGAGAACAATGGTCGAGAAGAGAGAGCATCCTCGTCTTTCAAGCCGCCGAAGAACCCACTTGTTGTGTTTTGAATAGGAGAAAAATCGGGGTGAAGGCGAAAAAAGGAAATGAAGAAAAGGAGATGTCTTTTGAGGTGTGACAATCAAGAATCCTCACGTGATTCGATCAGTTGAATGACGAAATGAAGTGATTGGTGTCTAGACTGACACGATTCGGTCGATGAATGAGAGGGTTGCTTGGTACGGTAATGCTGAGACTTTTGATCGTTTTGATCTGATCTAGCGTTTGTAAGACAGACCCAGGATAGGCCAGTACAAATCTAGCTACCCAGTTCTTTAATTTCAATCAACAGTAAAGCCAAGCCAGGACTGTCACCAAATCTGGTCTAAACTTGACCACCGTCTTGCAGATCATTCTAAACTTGATCACCGTCTCTCATTGCTGCTTAACTAAACTCTTTGTTCCATTAAACATCTCTCTCATTACTGAGCATTTGATGTTCTCGTTTGCTAAAACTTGCAAGACAAATAATCCCTTTGTGTCAATTTGCTCTCTTGCTAAACCTCACAAAAATTGAAACCCTATAACAAATCGATCTCAAATTTGTTTGTTAATCAGAACGTGTTTGATTTCTTTCACAAACACGAATCACAAACAATTCCTGATTGCTAATTCTCAAACAATTCCTTGTCTATTTGCATATCAAGTTTTTTCACGTCATCTAACTTGAATTTTTTTTTGGCAAGATAAACACTCTAGATATCACTGAAATTTTGAAGGAGATTCTGAGATTGAAGGGGAAAATCCCCGTTGGGTACTTGAAAAGAGGCAGGGATTCTTTTCTGGGTAAGAGAAAACAAACGAGAAATAACAAGACGAAGAAAATTTCAAGGTGGAGAAGAGGTGCGGTGAAAAGAAAGAAAGAAAGAAAGAAAGAAAGGACGCAGGCTTGGTCAGGTTACGCTTCGGGTGAAGGGAAGGGGTAGGTGCATTCTTGAAGAGACTGGGCACTGTCTCCGGACTCGCTCACCTAGCTAGCCCCTTGTAGAGCCACGCACACTCCTGAAGTCTCTTCGGAATCGGGAAAGAGATCGGATTCCCATTCATTTCTCCGCACAGAAGACAAAACACTGTCCATCCATGGTTCTTTCTTGAGAGAATGAGAGACCAATTGAAAAGTTTTCTCCGTTTTCAACCTTTTAGAAGAAACAGGAAGTGCTGGATTGGCACTGATTGTGTTAAAGCGTTAACGAGGCAGAAATTTGAGCACTGATTGTGTAGCTTGCGTGGGTTGGATGGTCGAAGAGCGTCTACTAACTAAAAGTAGACGGGCTTACTGTAGTGGGCTTAACCATGGTTGTGCAATTGTTGACCAAAAAAGACACAGCTACTAGACACAGCTACAGCTCACTAGCAGTACAATTTCACAAATAATAAAGTACTTTTCTATAGGCTCATTTCAAGATCTTTTCGTTTTTCAGATCAAATTTCACCCGCTATTTTATCGAGTTTTTTTTTTGTCGACGATAGCTTCAAATGATAAGTGTTTGCATGGCTATATATAGTTTTAAATTGAAAAAAACAAGTGTTAAATATTTCTAATCACCTTTGAACTTTGATTCATTTGAATGTTTCATATGTATGGGGTTGAGGACGTCATTCAAGTCAAGCACTCCCTGAAGACTCTCGTCTCTTCACATTTGGCTCTTCCGCAACTCAAACAAATACCCAAAAACGAACTAGCTCGAGTCGAAAAAGAATTTCAATTGGAACTGCACTTTTTTTGAGAATTGGAGAAGAATTTAATTCTCTACTTTATGGATTTTATTTTCCTTTGGTTCTCGTAAAAGTTTTTCTAAATTTCCTCAGGTGTGCTTTGCCTTGGGCGCTTTTTAGAGAGAAAAAGCGGAAGAAAAAGCACAAAGAGCACGTGTATTCAGAAGAACAAAAAGAAAAATAAAACAAAGAAGAACCTTTTCTCATTTTGTTTTCCTCTTTTCATTTACCTCTCAACAAAAACAAACACAAATTAGAAATTAGAAATTAGAAAAATTAGAAATACAAATTCATACGCTTAGTCAAATTTTAGAGAATAAAGAGGAATGGGCAGCTGCAGTTGTGTAGTAATTATGTTACTTATTACATCAATAGCCATATGACTTACTGCAAATAGCTTTTTGTGGCAGATAACTCTATAGGAAACTCTATAGGAAACTCTATAGAAATTGAATTCTTCTATAGAATTGTTCGCTTGGAGATGAATTTCTCAAAAGTCATGTTTAGCTGTAATTCCCACGTCATTGATCCCCTCAAAACTGGTTTTTCACTGACCCAAGCACGTTTTCTGTGTTTTCCTTACGATTCCATTAGCGTTAAACTCGAGTAGCTTAAAAAAAATGAACGAATTGCACTGGAATACGATGAAAAAAGGCCGATTTGGTGCGCGAGGGGATTGAGCCGGTAAAGGTGTGCATAGGGTTTTGCTCTTTCCTTTTCACTTCTCACTTCTACGTGTGAGCTTTTTTTCCTAAAGCTTTACGAAAAAAGAGGCCGGTAAGTGTGATAATCACTTTAGAAGTGCGCAAAAGTGCACACATATATGGTGGAAAAGTTCTGGAGACGAGAAGCGCTCAATTGAATCATTCGAAAGTGAGAAGTCTTTGTTTTTCTGTTCTTTCAAACAGTCTTTGTGTTTTTCAAAGAAATTCTTTGAGTTATAGGTTGATTAGATATCGCTAGCCACTAACAAAAATGAAGCTTTTAAAGAAAAGCGAATAGTTTCAGCTAATAACTAGATATTTCATTCTTAAAAGAAACTTAAAGCTTCAATCTAGCTTCAATCTAAGCCAGCTTCAATCTAAACCAGCTTCAATCTAAACCAGCTTCAATCTAAGCCAGCTTCAATCTAAACCAGCTTCAAACTAAACCAGCTTCAATCTCAATTATCCCTTCCCTTTTTCAACAATCTAAGCTAATCTTGATTTTATTTATCCTATCATCACAAGTTTCTCGACTTTCCCACAGCTACGTCGCACGTGTACTTTTTTGGGCCATGTGATAATCACTTTAAAGTGCGCAGAAGTGCAAACACTAGATGGAAGAGTTCCGGAGCCGGATCGGAGCCCCATCCACCATCCATCCCATCCATCCATCTACCTGCAATCTCTCTTTTTCTCTCCCTCAACTATTGTGTGAGTCTCTCAGATGAGTGAGGGATTCTCTTTCCCTCTTTCCTTTCCAACGATCTACAAAAGGCGGGCGCGGAAGGGGGAAAAGGGGCGGAGTCCTTCATCTCCTCAAATTCTTCCCCTTCTTCCACACATTCACTTTCATTCATTTTACTGATTATCACGCCGGCATGCCACTAATTGCTGGCATCAATGCTTCATTTAGAAGCTAGACATTAAAAGATTCAATTTATCTTTTCTCAATTCTCAATCACTTTACTTTAAACTTTATGAGCTTCTTTTAGCTTTTCAGTCTTCACTCCATCTATTGTTCCATGTTTTTTTGCACAGATTAACTCCAATCACTTCATCAACTCTTTTCAGATTTTCAAACGGGTAATCGAGACTTGCAGTTGACTTTAAAAGTGCAATGAAACGTTTTCGAGCAACCTTTTTCCTCGGGCTTCTCCTCATTGTCGGTGGATATGCTGAAGATTTAACAACAGCAAAGGTTTTTATTTAGACTCTATTTCATATCTTGAAACCAGCTCCAGTCTAAACTATCCCGCGAATTTCTTGATCCGTTTAGCAAAATTCTCAGCTTTTATCTTTACTTGACTATGCGAATAGTTAAAAGAACCAAACTTATAATTTTCATCACCCTTTCAGCCGTCAAACTCGACCGAAGCCATTCCAGCAAAAGAATTGAAAGTATCACGAGCAAAGAGACAATGCTGTCAAACATCTTCCAATTGTAATTGTGGATCCACATCCAGCAGCACATCAACCTGTGTTCCGATTTGTATTCAAGTGAATGAGTCAATTTTTTCATTACAAATTCTTTCTTCAGACCTGCCAGCAAAGCTGTGGCACGAATTCGGCTTGCTCGAATGCCTGCCCGACCTCGTGTAACACACAGTGTGGATCCTCGAGCAACAACAACAACAATGTGAGTGCTTTAAAAATACATTTATTCACAAAAATAATGTGAACAAACAATACACAAGCAGCGCAATCCTTAAATTGAGGGAAAAAACCCAGATAACCAAAAAAAAAGTAATAATCTAGCTGTGGGATTGAACCCCTGACCTCCGGACTAAGATACAAAGCAAGAAGTCCAAATCCAAATCCTAATCTCAACCTGTTTAAGATGATCCTAATCCCATCGATTCCATCATCCTCATCTTCATGTTCTTCATGTCAACAGAGCTGCAACTCTTGCACGACTCCCGTTTGCCAACAAACTTGTCAAGCCAACTGTGCTTCGCAGTGTGGAGGAAACACGCCACAGGTTTGCTAGAGATTTGATATTTTGCTGTTAAGCTTTTGCCAGTCTGGTTTGTTAGAGAAGAACATCTGATTCCAGGTGATCTACATCCCAAGCACTTCATCTTCATCTTGCTCATCTTCGTCAAACAACTGCAATCAATGCCAAGTGGGTCTTTTCTTGAAGACTTTTCTTGAAGTTTTCTTGTTTTCTCGTCATTTCTGTTGTGTCCTTTAAAGTTTTAGAAAACGTTTTTAATTTCAGAGCTGTTGCGCAAACACTTGTGGCACCTCTTCCAACTGTAATTCTCAATGCTCAAACAGTTGCTGTCAATCAAACAGCAACTGTTGCTCATCGGGCACACAACAAGCGGTTGGTTGATTGATTAATTTAGCTTACAAGAAATAGCTTTCAGTTCATCCTAATCCCCACAAGCTCCTCTTCATCTTGCGGCACTTCTAGCAACTCTTGTGGATCTTGTCAGGTAATGAGAGATTCAAAAAACGAATACCGTTTGTCTTGGGACGACACGAAGTGAACATTTCCTAAACTTTTCCATATTCAGAGCTGTTGCGCAAACACTTGTGGTTCCTCGTCCAACTGCTATTCACAGTGCTCGAACAGTTGCTGTCAGAGTCAGAGCAATTGCTGTGGATCGTCCAACTCCAACAACCAAGCCGTAAGATTTTGAAACAAAATCATGGCAAAACGTCTAACTCAAGGCAAATGCAGAAATTTAAAATTTGAGCTCTCTTTAGATCATTTTGGTGCCAACTTCCTCGTCGTGCTCCTCCTCGTCGAACTCTTGCTCATCATGCCAGGTATTTTGGCTAATAATAATCTCCGAAATGTAGCTTATCAAATAACCCAAAGTCTTCATTTAAAGATGAGTAACATTTTTAGAACTGCTGTGTGAACTCGTGTCAGACCTCTTCTTGCGTGAACTCGTGCTCGAACAGCTGCTCGAGTTGCACAACCACAACCAGCGCTCCACAGGTAGGCAAATAGTATAAAATAGTATCATCACTTTATCATACAATTAAGCAAACTTACATACTTTCAAGGAAATTACGGAATCGGCCCCATTTGCTAATTACTTTTTGGTCATGGTAAAAGAAAAACGGTACAAGTTCCTAGGAAAAAGTTCAGGGTGTGGTCGGCTTTAAACTTATCATCGGGGATGATTTTGTTTTAGAAGAGTAGCACAAAAGGTTAAACGGCTTTCCCCAAAACGCTCACCACATAACAAGAAAACGCAAAATCCAGCATAAGGTTAACGCTCGTGATACGAGTACACAACGGATTGATGCTTCGTTGGTAACACAAATATTAGCAAATTCCTTCTATAATGTTGGATCAGTTATCTAAACAGAACCTAGAACTTTAGGGGTAGTTTAAAGTATATAGGATTTATAGTTTTACGCTTTATTAATACAGAATGAAAAGGCAATGATACCAAAAATTACCAAAACAACGCGTGAAGGGAAACATCAAATCCTGAAAGAACAAGAGCAAAACTCGAAAGCTAAAAGGGCAAAAAAGCAACAAACACAAGTTTTCTCGAAAAAACAGAAAAAACGCACAAGCCAAAACAAAAAAGAAATTCAGGAAAGCGAACTAATTTGCATTTAATTTACGAGACGAAAAAGCGACGCAAATTAAACGCAAACAGGAACGTAATTTTTGAAGGGAACGGACGCGACTTAATCAATATCTAGATATATATTATTATTATTATTATATATATTATCTACATATATATTGTCATATCCATAACACATATCTAGATCATCATTGTGCCGTCTTCATCCTCGTCCTCGTGCAACTCATGCCAAAACAGTTGTGCCAACTCGTGCTCGACTTCATCATGCTACAATCAAGTATAAAAGATTATTGATTAAATGTTTAGAAAAAAATATCGATTTAATAGATTTATTCTACCCATTTAGTGCTCGTCTAACTGTTGCCAGAGCAACTCGAACTGCTGCCCATCATCCTCTTCATCCTCTTCATCTTCGTGCAACCAGTGTGCCTCATCTTGCTTGAATAGGTTAAAAATATCTAAATATTAAAGAATTTTGTTAATCTATTAAATAAAATAGTTTTTATTTCAATAATTCCAGCTGCTCGTCAAATACAAACAACTGTGCGAACACTTGTGCCAATCAGTGCTCTTCGTCGTGCGGCTCATCCAGCAACGCTCAGCAGGTACAGAAATGACTGTATCCTTACAAATTTGCAGATAATTTCTCAAAAATATTCATTCATTGAAAGTTCTAGATTGTTCTCCTGATCAGCGCTCAAAACGCCTGCTCAAACTCGTGCCAGCAAGCCTGCACAAACTCTTGCTCCACCCCGACTTGTCAATCCAGCTGCTCATCGTCGTGTCAACAAGTAATACAAAGAATAAACTTATATCAGAAATTTATTTAGTAGTTTAAATCAATTTTGAAAGCTTTTTAATGTCTTTTCTACTAAAAGCGCTTTCAGGCTTGCACCCCATCATGCTCCTCAAGCGGATGCTCTACCTCATCAACGTGAGCTCATTTTTTGACAATCTAAAGCAAATCTTTTTTGATGAGTGGCACGACTGGCTGCGCCACGGCAACAAAAGCCTCTGTCTTGTTGCCAAGGCCTTGTCGCCGTGACGCAGTGCGCTTGTTTACAGCCCACAAGATCCGGGTTCGACTCCCAGCTGTGTCATGACTTTTGCTTTTAAAAAAACGAAATATTAGATGCACAACTAAATAAAATTCTAAGCCTAAAAAACTAAAAAACACGTAAATCGGTCCTCGGGGAGCCGAGAGCTGACGCGTACAGACGGATGGACAAACACCTCCCTTTTATATACAGTAGATACCTAACTACATCAAGTTATCAAATAGTAACCAAAGCTCTAAGATTAAACAGCTTCAAATCAAAATCTATCTTTCAGAACAAGCCAGCCAGTGGTGATCGTTGTCCCCTCACAATCCAACTCGAATCAATGCTCGTCAGCTTGTCAACAATCGTGCGGAAGTGCCTGTGGAAGCAATTCAGCTTGCTCAAACAGTTGCCAGAGCAGGTAAACTTGTAAATAATGCAAGATTCAATTCATCAATCTATTCCAGCTGTTTGCCCGCTTGTCAAACCTCATCGTGCTCCACTGGTTCGTGCAATTCCGCCACCACCAGCCAACCAATCATCATTTTGCAAAACCAAGGGTATTAGAAGCTTTCAATTCTTAAAGTTTCTTATCCACTCAGAACCTCGTCTTGTCAAAACTCTTGTCAAAACGCTTGTGTGCAATCGTGTCAACAATCTTCCTCATCATCGGTCTGCGCTCCACTCTGCCAAGACACTTGTTCCACAACTTGCAGTCAGGTAATATCAATCAATCAAAGTCTGGGATTATAGTCAGCTTGTACTTTTTAGGCTCAACAAATCGTGGTGCCTTGTCAGGCGTCAACGAGCGGTTCATGCAGTTGCTCGAGTGGGTATTCACAGTGTGGCTCATCCTGTTGTCGACATCGACGAGCATAAAAATGTCTCTTCAATTGGTCATCCCAACCAGAGACGAGAGGTGAGAAAACCCTATGGAAAAAAGTAATGAAATAGCATAAGGTATGACAACTATAGTGATAAATAGTTAACTATTTCTTTTGTAAGACAGTACATCGATTTCCAGCTTCCAAACATAAACCCATCGTCTCGGTCCTTGCCACACATTCCGCCAAAGAAATATTAGAATTCATTGTCCCGATTCAGTTCTTTTTCAAGATAGCTTTTCTATTTTTTGTATATTGTTGTCTGTACATTTAGGCAAATAATTTATTTGTTAAAAATTGTTGCAAAAACGCTAAGAGAATAAAATATTTGCTCATTTAACCAGGGAAAGACGTTGGAATGAAATATTGGAGTAAAAAAATTGGTTACAAACATAATACTGAATTTTTAAACCTTAAAACATCTAGATACGTTTTAATTATTATTTTCCTATGCCAAGAAACAATTTGGGAAACAGTCCTCCATTTCACTCGCAAACGACCATGGAATCACCCGAGATACCTGAAATTTGAAATCTTTCGATCTTGACCTCCAATTTTCTCCAATAAAGGCCTCCACTTTTTATCGCATTACTCATTACTCACATTTTTGATTTCACTGCCGAATTTCCGATCCAAATTCAGCAACATTTCATAGATTTCTTTTGTGGAAAGACGAGAATTGTTATGATAAAACCATCCATTCAATGTCCCCACAGCACATTGACTCAAATCCGGCATTTTCTAGAATGGTGCAATTCTTCTGGAATCTGTGTACAAATGGAGACATGTTTTTGTTGCGTTAGGGATTTTCTGCTTTGGAATCTTCTGAAACAAGTTCCGAAATCTCACCTCAAATGGCGATCTCCATCCACTCTGTCCAATCTCATTCAATTTCCAGCCATGGAACATGAAATCGCTCGTATGAAATCTAAAGTAAAGCAAAAACGGTCCTTTAATTTCAGAACTAACTTGTCATTACTGATAAACGAATCCCTCGCAAATCCCTGAGCTCTTGGCAGAATTTTCAGCTTTCCCGGCCAAAAACGATTTGCTCCTGAAGCTTTAGGTTTTAGAATATGAATCTTTTCCTTACCAAACATAATCTTTGTGCAAAAAACGAAAGCCAGATAACTTTCATAGCCGGTCGTATTGTGCCAGATTTTATTGCAAACATTTACAGCAGCTGGGGCTGTCTTGTTGAAGATCGTTTGAAGGGTGTGCATCTAGAAGAATTTCTCAATCTATTATTTTTAAAAGAGCAGCGTCTGTCTGTCCAGGCTTTTTCTCAGCCGTCTTTATGCCAAAAAAGCTAAAATTATTTATAAAGTCTTAACCTATAACATGATTCTGTCATTTAAAAACAAAAAATTTAAAAGTCAAAGCAAAGCGGCACTATAGGGGTCGAATCGCAGCCCAACTGCGCCATAGACAAGCGCCCTCTCGACTGCGTCATAGACAAGCGCCCTCTCGACTGCGTCATAGACAAGCGCCCTTTCGACTGCGCCATAGACAAGCGCCCTCTCGGCTGCGTCATAGACAAGCGCCCTCTCGACTGCGCCACAGCGGCACCGCTGGCCTGGGTATAAGATCACTGTTTAAACATCTTAAAACAAGACAAAACATATTCGAAATCAGAATCACCCACATGCAATACACAATTGTCACTTGTCCCAAATGGAATCCTCGGATGATCGAATTCCCACATTGACCATCGCTTGATAAAATCATAGGCAAACTCCGAGTTTTTTACCTAGAAAAGGCTTCAGATTGATTTCTTTTTATGAAATTAACCAAAAATATCCCAGCAGTGATTTCCCAATTAAAGAAGCGCTCGTAAAAGATGAGATTCACTCGATCATCGATCCATTCTTCGATACAGTGCTCCGGGTTTACGACAGCTAAAACTTTTGTGAAGTTAGAAATTAAAAAAACCTAAAATGACTTGGAAATTTTGCTTTTAGCTTTCAAGTTTTAGATTCACGATGATGATGATCTCTTTGTTGATGATCTCTTTGTTTACCTGTATCCGCATCCATCACTAACATCCAATCGGTATCATTCAAATATTGCAACAGAGCACAATGTCTTCGGAACATGATCTATTCAACAAAAAGCTCAATTTACTCTTTACGACAAACATCTTTGTGTCGATCACAGTTATTTTTCACTTTTGGCTCATTGTAGAGATCGACGAGGAGTAGCTCGTAGTTGGTGGTTTGGAGATAGCATTTCAGAGTTTGTTGAGCGACTCGATAGCGGCTAAATAGGGTAGATTGAAGCTTAAAGTATGTAAAGTTTTATATTTACGTAACTACGATAGGCTTTTTGAAGCGCACACTTTAGAAAGCGCATTAATCACGAGGAAAACAACTCACTGATGAAAGCTTCCATTCTGATAGGCGATGAAGATCTTCACTCGACCATATGGATGCTCGCAGGCTTCCATGTTCTTTCTGTAAAAAATTGTCACCTCTACAAGCATCAATCCAATAAACACTGGTTCATCTAGCTAGCAAGTATATGATTGCATTTGCTTTGCACTAGAAAAGATATTCAATTACTCTCGGACCAAGTCAGCCAGCTTCTCTGAGCTAATCTTTTACTTTTTTTGAGTTCATGGCCTTGGCTTGGAAATTTGGCGATGTTCAAGATTAAACAAAAGTCCACTCATCAAACCTCTTTGGATAATTGTGCGGTGTTCGAATTGTCATCGTGGCATCTGGCTGTTGCACCTTTTTTGGCTCTTCCCTCACAATGTCATCATTTTCCCCTTGCGGCAATCTCTCCACCAATAACACCAACAACAACAATCCGCCAATGACATAGAATATTGATGCGACAAAATTTCGAATCGATGTGAAACGCATTTTCGATTGTGGCACATTTCCTTTCCTGTTCTCTTCACCAGAGTCGATCCATGTTTCGATCATCCGTGTTACAAAATGTTTGCTTAAACGTGTCCCACCTTTCTGTCGAGAATCGAAATTTGCGTGTATTTGTGTGATTACTTGGCAATTACATTTGAGAGAAAACACAGTTGTCACACAAAAAAAAATTGATTTGACTTTTCTCCTACAAGAGTTGAAGCAATTGCTAAAAGCTCTATGCTAAAAGTTGGCTGTTTTTCAAAAGTATTGCAAATTAAGGCTCGAAAAAGTACTTTTATTCAAAAATCCGAAAAAACCCGCAAAAATATGTATGCAAGAAAGAGTAGGAGAAAGTTCATAAAAATCATCACAGTGTAGAAAGTTTAGGCAAAATAAAGTAATGTGTCAAATAATTACCTATTTGGCCAGCCAAAAGTCGTAGATCAACGACCACTTTATTCAGATCCATTAAGAAAACAATAAACTATTTAAAATACATGTACATGGATATAAAAATAGTCTATCCCAATCGGCTCAGCGCCTCGGCAATTGTCCGGGGCTCATTGAACTCGATTTTTGGCGGTTTCATCTCAAATTGCGGATTTACGGCTGGGCGTTTTCGAGCGGCGAGCATAGGTGCTAAAACCAAGATCATTTTTTGAATACTTTTGCACATTTTCAAATTTAGCAGCACTAACCTTTGATCAAATTGAGCGGTGATTGGATCAATTGTGAGCAATGTTTTGGTTGTTGAGATGAGAATCCAGCTGCCAGCTCAACTTGCCACGATTGAGAACCGAACACTTTTGAAAGTAAAGACGAGAAGGTTTTCGTGAGCGATAGAGTTGAAAGAAAGGGGAATAACAGGCTGAAATTTCGATTTCAATCTTTAACATCAGAGCCAGGTCAGCTGATACAAGAATAAATAAGTTTTTTAAGTGTTTACCCAGTATTGATGCAAATCGGATGACTTGCCAGCAGATGAGAGATGAGCTCATAGTCGCCAAACAAAATCTCTCCACACATTGGGCAATCGAATCGAGATTCGGGTCTAAAAGGAAATAACTTAGAATTGAATACAAATAGTTTCTTGGTACAATATTTTTAATTAGTACTTTATATCGATGCCAGCTTTTGCATTGTGAGTCATTGCATGAAGAGCCGCCGTTGTCGGGTCGACGATGAACGAGACTGCGTTTCTCTGGAAGTTGTCTTGGAAATTCGGGAATGTTTCAAGATAGCATCAGGTATTAAAAATAAACCTCAAATCAATACCGTTTTGTGGTCGAGTCGTCCTTGAACGGTGCATTTTTGACAGGGCGCCTGTGGGAACACCTGGGAGAGATGGAGACGGAGATTCGAGATGGGAAATACTAACTAAAAACACTAATATTTCGTCAGTAAATCTTATTATAATTAATTGTATGCTAATTTCTCTTCGAATATCGACAAATTCAGCGTAAAACTCACTTTGAGAACCCATGGCGCATCAAGCTCGAAAACTGACGTTGCGATCGTTCTAAGCTTTGCTATGATGAATCTATAAAGTGCTTGTTAAGTTTCCCATCGTTTTATAATTTGATTAAACTTTTCAAAACTCACTTCACTGCCATTGCTTGAGAATCTCCAGCATATTTCGAGACAATCTTGGCCAAATGAATAGCCAGATTTTTCTCATTTAGAGTACCCATTCGAACCATCAGACATCGAGTGAGAAGCTCTCGATCTTGAGGCTCAAGTTCCTGAACGAATCCTTTTAAAACACACGTTAATTTTAATCTACAATCACCATCAAACTATTCACCCACCAGTCCTTTATCGACTCGAATGTGGAAGAGGAGATGCTTGAGAATTTGAAGATCGGTATCCAATCGACAAAGAAAACCCCGAGAGGCTACCGTGCTTCCAATCTAAAATTTTCAATATTGATTCATTTATTAGTTTACATATGAACTTACGAATTCAGGCATCTTGCAGCTTTCCGTTCGCTTACAACTGAACACCAAACGCCCATGAGACGGATCGGCCTCGGCTTCGCGCAGAGATGAAAATTTTTGGGTGAACTAAATTCAAATCAGTTTTGATCAGTTTTTTCCTCTTACCATTTGAGGAGGATATTTCTGCTGCAGATAGTCTTTGTAGATTTGTGTGATGATATCAGAGTGCCGTCCCATCAAATGCCTCACCGTGCCTGCCACATCAAAATCCGAGGCTCTACAGCACGCACTGAAAAGAAACAAAAGCTTTTTGAAAGTAAAACAAAATCTATTAGGTTGGCGAATAAGTTTTTTCGTTCCTTTTCGTACTTTCGTTGAAAAATAACAAATTCACCAATTAACCTATGATTTGCTCCAAATGAAAAGTGTTTATCGTTCAAAAACCTCTACGAAGAAATTGGTTGGATGAATTTCTGCAAAAATTCGCCTATATATCCAACTTTTTGTGCTCTATCTTTTATCTATTGACATTAAGATAGGTTTCTTTAGCGTAAACCGCATCACGATTTTTGCCTACCCTACTTCAGGCTCTCAAGAAAAATCCAGACATCCCATTTTAAACCCGTTTTAATGTAATTTTGCAGAAAAATAATTGACCTTTCTAATGAAAAAAGAACCTTAGTTCAATTGGTGCATTTGTTTGTTTTAAACGGAAGTACAAAAAGAAACGAAAAGACTTATTAATAAGACCTAATAAACCTAATTCAAATCTATCCAGGATTCACCTGGGTTCGTATGGACAAATCGGGCACGAGTAGATTCCATCCGAATGGAAATCGGAACTCGAAGATAACCGGAGAAGCAAGACCGCATGAGCTGCTGCGTGAGTCTGGAAAAACAGAAATCAAGATTTTTATTGATTTTTGCTACCTGTATCGTCATTTCCCCCAAAACGAACGAAGTGTTCGGACAAATTCGACAGTACAACCCAAAGTCGCCATATTCAGCACTGTAAATCGTAAAAAAATTCATTTTGAATTGTCATTTGGTTTTCATCCTAAACTTTCATTTTTTTATTTTTCTGAACTTACTCCTCATCGACTTCTTCTTTCACTCTCCATTGATCATTTATCAGAAAATCGAGGCCTTTCGATTTATGCTTCGGTATCAATAAAGAATTTAGCTGGCTTGGTCCGGGTTTCTCATTGTCACTCAATTCCTCACTTTCCGAGTCAACCTAAACGCTCAGTTTTATCAAGAGTCACTAAATTTCCCAGTCGATTGTTCACAACCACTTTTTGAACTCACCTCTTGGTTCGATTGCTCAAATAATTTTTGATTCCGTATCCCCAAATGATTGCCCAATTGAGCTTTTGTCAGATGGGAAACGTCACTGAAAAATCATTCTTTAGAACCAGTAAAACTTGGGCACCTACAATGGAACGTGAAATGCATTGCTCTTTTGCGCCAATCGAAGTCGTCGCTCTCTTTTTCGGCGAAGATTTAGACGATATCGCTAAAGGATTTAGTTTTTGCATAAATGCATTATAGATCAACCGAAAAATCCGCCTAACCGCGGATTTTTCTGGTTGGATGTTTTGGGGCCGACGCATAGTTTTTGTCGCCGTGGCGCAGTCGGAAGCGCGCTTGTCCACGGCCCACAGGTGCCGGGTTTGATCCCCCTTAGTGCCACTGAATTTTCTTTTTGAAATTTTTTATTTTAAATGGCATAACTATATTACATTTTAAGACTTTTTAAAAATTGCAGTTCTTTTGGCCTAAAGACGGCTGAGAAATAGCCCGTACAGACGAACGGACGGACCGACAGACACTGCTCTTTTATGTTTAGTATATTATGGATTAGAGCTTACTTATGAATATTTGTTGGTCTTAAAAGTTACTTTCAAAAAGCCTGTTTCCAACAAAAGTTGAGTGGCTCGCGTTGGGAAACCGTCCCGACTCTTTTTGTAGAATCGAAGGAAATGTTGATGGGCCTAAAAATTGCTACTATTAGAAAAACTTCTATGCAAATTAAGTGCTTAGTCTTTTACTTTTGCAAAAGTTGTCTTCGGGTTCACATCGGGGTAGAGAATCGAGGCCGTTCCATCGTAGTAAATCACATCTTCAAAAGGCGATAGACATAAAAAGTTCACGATTTTTCGAGATGTCAATGAATCTAGAACAACACTGCTTTTTAAAAATGCCAAACTATTTACCGCGCACAAAATTTTCCCATCCGACGTACCATCGTTCTTGAATGGCCGCGGGTAAGAGTGGCCAGTTCTTTTCCTCGCCGGGTTCTTTCTATAGATGTTTTTGTAGAGTTTTAAGATAAAAATTTATACTTACAAGGTAAAGAAACCGAGTTAAGCTGGCCTTTTGACTCGAGACCAAGCCCATCTTATAGAGTCGGCCGTGGGAATCTCCAATCCGTTTTTAGTTTCTACTGAGCGCTTCGCAAACGCGAGATATTTCGCATAGAAAATCACCTTGAATTTCGAGCTCCTGATGAGGTCACATGCTCCCTTACCGACTGCCACACGCCACAAGCCACACGCTCCCTCAACAACGGTAGTCTAGTGGATAATCCGCTAGACTACCGAACGTACCGCATTTTTGCTCCCAAGTTCGAGTCCCCACTCTCGTCAAACTTTTTTGCTTTTTTAAAAAACTGTTTCCTTCGACCACCGAGGCAGTTTTTAAGGGAGCATGTGATGGCCTCATAAGGAGCTCAAAATTCAAGGTGATTTTCTATGCCAAACATCTCACGTTTGCGAAACGAAACAAAAACTAAAAACGGATTAGAGATCCTCATAGGCCGACTCTATAAGATAGACTTGGTCTCGAGTCAAAAGGCCAGCTTGACTCGGTGCCTTTCCCTTACTAGAATAACTTGTGTCATTTTATTGCTTACCTCTAATACAATCCGTGATTGAAGCTCCATGAGAACCACTTGATGTCGAGGACGTTGAAGACCGCGGAAACACGACTGGCCGAATACGTTCACGAGCTAAACCTTTAGATAAGATATTGGAGAGCGAAGTTTATTCTTAATGTAAAACTTAACTAAACGAAACTTTTATGTAAATTTGGTGTTTTCATTTGGCATTCCCCCTCTCATTCGTTAATGATCGATCTCATTACCATGTCAGCTTTGGCGATAATCTTTGCCTCAATCGAGTTCTCCTCAATGTCCTCGTCTTCAAAAAAATGGGAATTATTCATGTGATAGAAAATTCCCATCGGAGAGAAAGCCTGAAGATTACAATAGTTACGATATTCCGGAGACTTTTAAACCTGTACACCACATCGACAACTGTATGGAGTGAGGTTGGCCATTGAATGGAAAAGTCTTGCTTCTTCATGTCGGGCATGGGCCAATAGATGGGAAATCGTCTAAAACGGGTTGAAACAATAAAGAATATTATAAAATAGTTTAGTATACTATTTTTTAATTCTGAGATCACCCTGGCGCTGCTTCCGAAATCGATCTTCGCATGGCCACACTCTTCTCTTCCACACTGAAATTAAAAGTGCTGAAGAATTCAATGACCATGAAAAGTTGAGTTATCAACAATATAAAATATATGAGATAATTAATGTTTTTAGCGTTTTACCTCATATATTCTTTCTCTTTGCCCCTTCTCCCTTTCCGGAAGCATTAGATCAGATGAGAGGTTCTCGAACAAGCCTTGTAGACCCTGGGCAACTGAAAATTGAGTAACTAACTATGTATTCAGCCAGCTTTGGAGCATCTCCAACTTTAAGCAAGTACAGTCGAACTTCGATACAATGAAACGTTCGATATAACGAACTTTTTGGCCGGTCCCTTGAGGTTCGTTACATCGAAGTTCGACTGTACTTTCTTCTAATAAACTAACTTGAACAAGAGCCGCCTTTCGATTTGAGTAGTCGAATTCGTTCATCGAAACCATTCTGCATATCGGCATTGAGGAAAGGATTCAATCGCAACCCGTGCAGGCAACGAATCACAATTACTACCGCTGGTCCAAAGAGCTGAACTTTCGTATTTTTCAAAATCTCATTTTCCAACCTTAATCAATTGTTTCGGGTAAAGGATGGCGAGTTTTTCTGCATACGGAAGTGAGCTGAGGTCGATGTTTTCGGAAAAGGTGACACTCCGCCTCAACGAGCCGATCTCCGCCTTCTTTAGGATGTTTTCTTCTACCTGAAAGCAATAACTGGGCTGTGATCCTCTTGATGGGAGTGTGTTCCTCGTGATTAATGCGCTTTCTAAAGCACGCGCTTCAAAAAGGTAGCCTTTTTGAAGCGCGCAAGTTATGTAAATTGGTTTAAACGCAAATCTAAAATTTTAAAAGTTAACGCGCTCCTTATATAGTGCGATTCACGTAAAAGATATTCAGCCCATTTATTCGCATATGTATCAATTTGTTTAATTGACGCATTTGAGACAAATTCTTGATTAAAAATTTGTTTATGCAAATTTATTCAATTAATTATTTAACCACGAGGAACACACTATACTCTTGATTAAAGTGTTTTCTAAATGACGCGCTTAAGAGAAAGCCACCGTAGTTACACCTTGAGCCATTTACCTCATGGTGTCCAACGAGAAAAGTTTGGTCTTCTAGATGAAAATACAGATGTTCGGCAATCTCTTGTGACAAAATGGCGATTGATTCCAGTTGAAGATTTGCCGATGTCCACCCACAGACACCGCAATTTACAAAACTGAATTATTAAATGTGTTAAAGTGAGTTCATTTGCCTACCTTGTATGTAGTGATGGTTTTACTCTTATCCCATTTGAATCTTTTCGTTTAAATGTTGTTCCAAGGTAGGGTGGTTGATCGAAATCATTAATGAAATCTTCGATGAGACTCTCGAAATGATTCTTCTCTAAATGTTCCACGACATCCAAATCGTTGAAGAGCACCTGGGAATAACGAAATTTACTAATTTCACTAACTTGTACTCATTTGACATTCACCAACCTGCCCCGTTTTGTTTGAAAGCGATTTCTGGGAGATTATGATTTCCTCGCAAATTGGGCACGCTGGAAAAGGTGTTTTCTGCTCGAGAAGGGTCTCAAAAGCGAGGCGATGAGCCGCCGCGTGTGCTTGAGCCTTTTTACACTCGACCAAGTCATCGTCATCATTGGTTAACTGAAATTTTAGCCTTGCCAAATAGACTTGCTATCCGATCGAAATTCTGTTGGATCGGATCGGGTCGGATCATCATCCGAGGCAATCCGATCCGATGCAAATCCGGATTCGATCTATCGGATAACAAGTCTAACACGTAGTAAAAACTGATTTTAACTTAATCTTCACTGAATTGACTGAATATTTCGCATTTTGATCGGATAATTTGCACTTTAAATAATACAAAATTTGCATTTAAAACCAAAAAATAAATGCTAAGTGCAAAAAGTATGATGTTAATTTTAATTTGATCCTATCCTTTCTGTTGGATGGATCGGATCGGATTCAATCTGATGGATGAGGCCATCGGATCATCATCGGAGGCAATTCGAGAGGGTTTTACAGGGTACCTCAAAATTATCCGGACAACTTTTTGGAAAAGTGGTTGTAGCCCGCTTAATTTATTTCAAAATGTCAAGTGTTATACAGGGTTGGGCAAAATTGCCCGGACAAGAGTTCTTCGTTGTAACTTTGCAGCCAGCCAACTTAACCGTTTCTCCAAGTATAAATTTATTCATTCCTTAGCCTAATGGGACATTATTGAAAAGAACCATCCATTGGTCGGCTTTTCTTTCGAACCAGAAAGAATCGGGTAAAATTGATCCGGGCACGGCGTTTAATTTTTCCCCTTTCCCCTTTTTTTGGTTTCTGAAAAACTCAAGAAAAACAACATTAAGACTAGAGAAGTGTGACTACTTTTTTTGAGGATAATTAAGGGCCTATAGAAAAAGAATTATAGGAGTTTTATAGAACGGTTGAAGAATAACATTCAAATAAGTTTCTTGTCCGGGTAATTTTCTCAAAACCTATATAGAGAATTGTAGCCCCTAATTGTGGCTACATTTACCTACTAAAAACTTCCCAATCGGATTTATGCAACTCATTTAACAAGTCCTTGAAGGAGCACTAGTCGATCCCTATCCGGTGCGCTGCCATTTTTAACGATTTTCCACATAAAACCTTGACCTAAAAAGGACTTTATCCAGTAAACTTTGTGTGCATTTTGTTTAAATTCTTTCCAACAATTTCATAGCGCTATAACAGCTAATATAACGAAATACTCTTGTGAACTAAATATCGAAAAATGATCAAAATTTACCTTTTTCCCTGCGTCTTCAAAGAAGCTTGATTTTGGTTATAGTAGGTTAGCCAAAACTATTTAAAATTATCTTTAATATTATTAATGGTGTTAAATGATATTTTTTTCATAAAATAAATATTGACAAATACTTTTTCGAACAATTTTTTATGTAGAAAATCGTTAAAAATGGCAGCGCGCCGGATAGGGATCGACTAGTTCAAGGGCTTGTTAAATGAGTTGCATAAATCCGATTGGGAAGTTTTTAGTTTTTTTTAAGGGCCACAATTCTCTATCTAACACAATTTGAAATAAATTAGGCGTGCGAAAACTACTTTTCCAAAAAATTGTCTGGATAAGACAGACAGAAATGACACCCTGTATACAGAAATGAGATACCTCTAAGTTGCAGAAACCACAGAGAAACGTTCCCTGCATTCGTTCGTCCGATTTTCCCGAGGCCAAATGATCATAGATGTCACCGATGACGATCTCCATCTCATTCCTGAAAGAAATTTCGAATGTTAAAGGTTTATTGATGTCATAATGCATTAAAATATTCAAGAAAATTCTAAGAAACCAATGATAAGCACACTAATGGTTAATAAATATACGAATAGCATGAAATTTGGGCTTATCGAGTGTCTGCAGAAATGCCACTTAATGTACTTAAGGGGCAATTCTTGAACACTTCATTGCTAGCGGCAATGTGTTGCGCGGCTACATTTCGATCCACAAAACGATTTTTGTCCGATTAAAAGGAAGAACCACTTGCGCGAAACGCTTTTTGCGTCCGACAAGTGCTGAACTGTTTCCAGGTCGGTAAAAACTTGCATGCTCTTTTTAACCTCAGCTCTCCTTTTTTATGCTCCAAAAGATCCTTTTAAGAGAGCATGAAATAGGGATTATCGTAATGAAATTCAAAATGTTAAGTGTTAATTTTCCTGCTAACCAAAGTGACGATAAAAATGAGTATTCGAATCAATTGGCTGAATATCTTTAAACATAAAGAGCTTTATATCGTTTGTTGAAGCGTTTCATTTGTTCGTTTTTTTTTGCAGCAAACCATGTTTGCAACTAAATTTTTATACTGTATCCTTTTCTTTGCTTTACCTGTACAAGTTCACATTTTTTACTTCAGGAATGAGTGGACGCGTGCCTCCAGCTATCGATGGACTCGTCTCGTTGAAGGTGGGTAAATTAGAAATATTTTACACTTATTGAAAGTGATTTGTTTGTTTTTAGGTGGACAACATCTCGTACAATACAACACAAAACGATTTGCGTCGTCTCTTCGATCGATATGGGGAAATCGGTGATGTGCACATTCCACGCGACAAATACACACGACAAAGCAAGGGTTTCGGATTTGTTCGTTTCCACAGGTTGGCATTTTTACGTTTTTCTAAAGTGCTTTAACAATCTTTACTCAGTGTTGCTCATTGGTTACTGACTAAAGTATTAGGTTGTTCGGATATAAACGAGGGTTTGCACTGCTTAACTCGTGAGGAAGCCATTTCCCGCATCAGATCGTCTTTCCAATGGCGTGAAGATGCTCATCAATAGTAGAATTTGAACAAAGAAACTGTTGAGCAAGTTCACGCGTCGTTTGACATGGATCCGATTCGATTGCAGCCCTCAAAATATCGCTGTCTACCGCTTGAGGTCGACGAGAGTGGTCATGATCCTCGAGACTTTCATCACCATTCCGAAAGCGTTAGAACCAGGCTCGGCATCGGCTTTCGGACTATAAATCATTCCCAAAGGCTTTGACCAAATCTCGATGCGATTCCGCGACTGTTTTGCCCAGTTTAAAGTCGTAAAGTGGGCAGACCCGAACTTGATATATTTGAAGCCACTCATCTAAAGCAAGAAAAAAAGCTCTTAAAAATAAGAAACTATCCGTTTAAAAAGATTCCAAATATACACAAAGTAACGTACTTTTAAATACAGAAAGACATGTTTTAAAAGCTTCTCTCACAACAATAAGTTTAGCAACGCTTCTTTATATCCGAACAACCTAATAATTTTTTTAGTAAACGTGACGCGGAACACGCGTTGGATCGCACAGATGGAAAGTATATTGATGGTCGAGAGATTCGAGTTTCAATAGCTCGCTACGAGCGTCCGATTGATGATCGTCAACGCGGAAGTCGACGATCTCGTTCTAGGTAGGCATTATTTTTTGAAATTCCTCGTCTTTCTAAGTTTTTTGAGCTTCGATACTAGTCATAACACAAAATTTGATTCTCTTTGTATGAAAACATACGAAATTAATGTTAAAAAGTTTTACATAGATTTCTAACATAGTGTTTCTAAACAAATTATTAGTAAACATTTTATAACAAGCAATTTATGTCAAGGCCGGATAGCAGTGCAGAGTTGCTGTTTCTGTATGGCTGAGTAGCGGGTTTGCTGGTTAAAGCTGCGTATTGCTGAATGAAGCAGATCTTTGGCTGAAATGTGGGCAAGCTGTAGGAGCTGTTACCGCTGCCAATCGTTTCTTTCCTGAGCCGGTATCATGTTTCATATTTACTTCTAATTACTATAGTCTATGATTTATATTGAAAAAGTTTATATTTCAATTCAGGTCTCCACCTCGTCGATCCCGTAGTCGGAGTCCACCAAGTCGCTCCCGTTCACGTTCGAGGTTTATTTTTTAAATAATTTATAGAAATAACATGAGATAAAAAGGGGCTTTATTCAGGCTTGTTTTTAATTATTCAAGCTAAATCCCCATTTTCAGGTCTCGCAGTCGTTCACCTCGACGTCGCAGTGATTCACGTTCGCAATCTCCACGTAATGATGCGGTAATTGTTTTCATTTAGTTATGAGATTATGGCTTCCCATAAATCTTTACAGGAAAACCCAGAAAAATTAAAATTTATTTAAATTCTGCAACTTTCAGAGAGATCGTTCCCGTTCACAATCTCACTCGCGAAGTCGTTCCGGCTCCAAATGAGAATGAATTAACTTTTTCTTCATTTCCATTTCCACAAACTATTTGTATTGAAGTTTTGTCTGTTTTCATTGAACTTTTTATTTTTTATTGGAATAAATTGAGTATCAGCTAAAAATCTTTATTAACTGACGCAAATCACACATTTGTTGAACCCGGTATTTGGAAATCTTTTAAGCAAGTAGCGGCCGTTGTTCTCCAGGTACATGTAAAGTGTTTCGTGGGGTGCGCGAAGGGGAAATGAGATGAGCAGGAATCTAGAGTTGTGTTTGGGATTATACGCTCGAAACTAACGAAACATTGGTTTATATTTTACTCACCTGCGGGAGTTGACGACGTGGTACGGTTGGGGTGAGGATGGGCAGGGTTTGACAAGGCAAATCGGCAATGAGATTGATCGTTTGATAGGATTTTGGTGGTGGTGGACGACGTCGTAGTCTTTTCAACACTTTCGTTTCGATGTCGAAAAGCTCGGGATTTACCCTGGAATTTGTTTGTTCACAAATTCTGATTCTCGAAAACTGAAATCCAAGAGTCTTGCCTCAAAATGTTGCGTCTCGAACCGTAACCCTTACTCATATTTGAAAGCTTGGAAGGTATACGGTATGATTACGCAAACTTACCAAACATAAAATAACGGGATAAGAAGTGTGCTGATCCGACTGACCATCAATGGAGTTAAGAAAAATGCCATTCCTCTTGAAGAAAAGCCTAAAACTGATAGATTTCGACTATCGACTTTTGCTTACTTGAAGGATCAAGGCAAACAAATGCATAGGCTAAATAGGGAACAGTGGAGATGATCACACAGCCAAGTCCAACCTGAAAGGAGTTCATGGAAGGTTAGAGAGTTATTGCTTACCTTGGTGACATGCCCATTTGGAGCCCAAGTGTAGAGAGTTGTTTTTGCATTTGGATCTTCTCGAGCCTCGGCTGATGTGGAACGATCGACGTGATCGGCTACAGAATAGTAGAGAGATGAAGCCACACAGACGGGAATCAAAAAGAAGAGGATGAAAGTGGCCGTGAGAAGGGACATGTATCTAGAAATGGGTGACTTGATGAGAATGACAAGCAGCTGTACTGTACCTGGTTGCTTGCGAATCGTGGTACTCGTCAATGCTGGTGTTACCTGTTCGTTTAGCTCCACCAGACTCACCCTAGAAATTAGTGGGCTTTTTTTCCTTTGAAACGACCTTTGAGTACAGTTTATTTTAGTTGATTGCTGTTTTACACTCTTTAGTTCCAAACCAACCAGAGTGAAATCCAGTGAGCAGATATGGCCGTTAAAGAAGGATGAATAACGTCCAAAGCCGAGAATCGGAAGCGCTGACCACGAGAGGCAAATGAAAAATTCGACGAAGAGACATCGGGTATAAGTTTGAATGTTTCGAAAAGAACCTAGGGTTAGAGTTAGAGTGGTTCTCGAGTAAATGACCAGAGTGGTTCTCAAGAAATGCTCACCCCATTTCGGTTGAAGTGTAGCAATGTAACGATCAAAGGAGATCAATGTGACGATGGAGACCTGGAATGGAAAATGGTAAGATCTAGGATAAGGATGAGATCATTTGAGAAGCTCTGTATTCTGCTAATGATCTTATCTAATTTCAAAACGAACCTGCCAAAGTGATAAGCACATGTCAAGAGCTCCGTATAAATCACATGTTGTTTCATCGTAAACCCTAAATGAATTGTTAGGTTTTTGCATTTTTTTTCGTTACCCCATGCCAGATGCAAGTTAAAATCTGATCCTCAAAAATTCTCAATGAGATTTGTGTTCGTTTTCCCCATATCGATGATGTCAATTTCTTGCCCTTTCCCCTATCATCAACTCCCGTTCAAATTCAATCACCGCAACACTTTCTCGCTATTTTTTTTGCGCCTTTTGTCTACTTGCAGAGAGTTATTTAGATAAAGATCACTTTTAGTTAAAATTGCAAGGAACTTGGCTTTTGATATACCAAAGAATACCTACACCACCGCCCATATCAAACAATTTCTATTTCTATTTATGTGTGTCGCCGAGGAAACCGGAAATATTAGCGACACGAGGAGATTCTTGACATATCCGAGTCCAAAAATAGACCCACCCTTTGGGGTTATTATCGTTTTGGCAGAGAAAAACAAGAAAATTACTTGGTTATTATTTATAAAAGGGAAAAGATATAAAGCAACTTCTATCAATCATTTGTCGGGAAAAGAGACAAGAAAATTGGTCTTGTCTGTATCTTTCATAAAAGGATTCGTTTTAACCATGTGAAAGCTATGAAATATCTTCGAAGATGACAAATGAAAGCCAATGAATAGAGATGAAAGCCGTAAAGAAATCTCTAGAATTCGGTTATGGCAGTTTACTTTTGTTTAACCAGTGCAGACAGAGACTTGACTAGTAATTGTATGCAATGGAATAATGTAATGACGAGAACTCACCCGGATTCAGTGAGAAAACCGTATAGCGGAACCGTAAGCAGCGCGGACAAGGCACAGTCGACGAGAAGAAGCACGAGGATTGGAAGGGATGAGGCTGCAATCAAAGAAAGGCCATATTCGAAGGATTAGTCGATTTGGTATGTTTTTTTCGTTACTCACCGGTTAGACTCTTCGTGAGAATGCATGGGATTGAGATGAGGTTGAAGAGGAGAGGAGCGGTGGCTGAAACTTACTATTAGCACGGTTTTTGAGTTGACTTGACTGAGGTTGACTTGATCAAAACTAGAATTGGATTTGATTTGACTAAATTTCGTCGAAAAATTGAATAAAATTCTTTGTGAAATGACTTTTCTAGGTAAAAAGATGAAGATAAAAGGTTTTAAAATGTATTTTAAAATGTTAAAAAAGGATGTAACATATCAATTCTCAAGATGAATTGGAATATGATTACTTTTAAGCCTCTAACTTGTCAAGTCAAGCCTCTAACTTGCCAAGTCAAGCCTCTAACTTGCCAAAATAAAATTCTCACAAACAAATACGATTCCCCTCTCAATTGTTTAGCCTCTTTTTCACTTGAATGTCAGTATGTTCCCCTTTACAGCTATGGTTTTGGAGGACAATTGGACCTGGAATTCTTGATGAATTAATTGCATCGATGCCTACTCGTATTAAAGAAAGATGCCTTAAAGAAGTACTTTTGGCAAAAGGAGGAGCGACTAAATGTTGATTAAAGCTTAATTTCGTTTTGTGTCAAAAGACTTTTGCACCACGATTTTCAGGGGTGTTTTGACAATTATATTTTTTTCTCAATTTATTTTTCTCAATTTATTTTTTTCTCAAGTGTTGTATAGCGATAACGTTTGTGTAAATAAATTGTACATATATTTGCGTAACTAAAATTATTAATGGCTTAAAGAGCGCCATGAACTTTATCAAAGAAAATTGATGAAACTTTTTAGAAACGTAAGTGGGACAAGACTTTTTGCACCACAGTGTATCAATTCTCAAGATGAATTGGAATATGATTACTTTTAACCGTCAAGCCTCTAACTTGCCTAACTTGCCAAATAAAATTCTCACAAACGAATACGATTCCCCTCTCAATTGTTTAGCCTCTTTTCACTTGAATGTCAGTATCTTTCCCTTTCCTTTAAATGAGGCTCATTCAATGGGATCCCCGTCTTGCTTGTCTCTTTTCTTTTTCACTATTCCATTTCGAATCCCAATCTTTCCGAACATCAAAGTCGAAATACCCTTGTCTCTTTTTTGGATAAGCTTAGGAAAATCTAGTGATCAAAAATGGAAACACAAATAGCTTTTGAAGAGTGAAAAGGGCTGATGTTTTTACTAACAAAAAGAGTGACGTAAAATAGCTAAGAGAAAACTGATCAACACCTCATTTTCTTCACCCTCCCGAAACCATTAATTTGGGTTTATTGTTCGATTTTCTCTTCATATTAAAGATTTCGTTGCATAGATGCATAGATGATGCATAGATGATGCATAGATGATGCATAGATGATGCATAGATGCATAGATTGCATAGATTGCATAGATTGCATAGATTGCATAGATTGCATAGATTGCATAGATTGCATAGATGCATAGATGCAGGGATTGCATAGATGCATAGATGCATAGATGATTGTTTTTAAAAATCAAAATGAATCTTCAGGTTTTTGGTGAAAGATCAGAAAATAGGCTGTCCAGAAAGAATTTCCGTTTCTTTTCATACTCAAAAATAACAAATTCATCAATTAACCTGTGGTTTACTCTAAATAAAAGTGTTTATTGTTCAATTTTCCATCTTTTGAAGTCAATTTGGGTTCACTTTTAACACTTTTTAAATGGAAGTATGAAAAGGAACTAAAAAACTTTCTGGGCAGCCTAATAGGCAAGAGTAATGTGCCGACTAAGGTCACAAGAATCTCTCCAACAGTTTTGTGCTTTGACTTCTCACTTCTCTTTCTCCTTTCTAATGCCTCCAATTTTCATGTCCAACGATAGCAAGGAAATCAAAGATTTGTCAGACTGAATACAATTCCCCTTTTCTTCGCTCGATATGAACAAGACGAGAGATCGACTCAATTACCCCCGTTTGACCATCCAATTTCCTGTCCTTTTCTCTTTTTTTTTGTTTCATTGAGGATTTCCCCTCAAAAAGAAAGAATAAATGGCATTTTGTGAGGAGTGAAATTCTCGAGGTGAAATGAAATGAGAAAATTATTATCCCTAACGTCATTCCCGCTTTTCCACAGGTGATTTTCCACAATTTCCCAATTTCCCCTTCGGTTAATTAACCGAATTTTCGGCAACCATAATGTGAATTTGTCGGCGCCGAAAAATTGATTCTCGGAAATGTTTTTTTGGGGAGAAAATTATTCAGGTGTGTTCTCGAAGAGTCAATTTTTGTTATTGGATTGTAGGTGGGGGATTTTACGAAGAAATTTTACGGGATTTTACGAAGAAAATGGCATCCATTTCCTGGGCTAATATCGAGAATATAGGATTTTATTTCAATAAACAATGTCGTTGAGATCTCTTTTTTTCTTAAAACCTATAGCATTGTTCAATTTATTGTTGTTCAATTGTTCAATTTTTTTAAGTGAAGCTAGTGTTTTTTTTGCTCAAAAAGAGTTTGACGTGAAAATCGTTGGGTCATAAATTTGCGGAATTCCAAGTAAAGTAGGAACATGAAAAGAGTGGGTAGAATGGGATGAAGAGAGGTCCGAGGGGAGCGTCTAATGATCCTAAATGAACAATGGAGGCAACTTTTATCGGAGGAAGACAAAAAGAAACAAATTGTGAATGGAAAGATGACGGGTTTTGTTTAGGAGGGATGTCGATAGAGATTCTGGATTTATGAAGAATTCGAATGGATTCTGAAAGCAAGAAGCCAGTCATAGCCTGATTGTCGGATCCCAGATCCAAGAAGATATCAAGATGGATATAAATCAGAATACTATCCGATTATACCTCAACAACTAGGTTAAACCAACAACTTTTTCCCTTTATTGTTTTATCTACTTTATTTGTATGCTTACCATTGTTCTGAAATTATAACCTAAACATATTTGATACTTAAGCTATTCACACTTTTTCTCAAAAGGTCTGGATGGGATACACAAAGGAGAAAATACCGAAACCAACAATGGTTCGCTGGTTCTGTTCAGATTTACACCATCTGGTTTAATAGTATACTCAGGTTAGTACGACTTTGTTAGAAATAGGTTCTGGCCTGGTTTTAAGCTTGATCTGACTAATTGACTTTTCTGGATCTTTACAGCCACCTCCTATAAGAGCTACAGTACTATAGGGGTAGGATCATTTAGTCATAGGTTTATAGGGGTAGGATCAGTCAGTCAAAACGGGTGAAGACGGGTGAAAGAGGGAAGGACGAATCGAAGAAAAAGGGGGGACTCCATTATAAATGCCCCGTTTCTCCGTTTCTTTTCGCTGGACACTGCTTCAGTCGGAAAGAAAGCGAGGGTGGACCCACATTCAAGAATTCCGTTTTTTTGTGCCGACTTTGTCAAATTATTCAAGAGAAAAGAAAACGTTCGATGCTTTCATAAAAGAAACTAAGTATTGTCTGAAATCGATACTGAACCTGTGAATAGTTTCAGTGGGATAAGCTTTCTGACTCGGGCTTTTGTTGGCAATCTAAAGTTGATAGGTTTTCAGATTTCAAGTTCAAGTTGTTATTGTGTAAGAAAAGCTTCAGATCTCTTCTAACGCACTGCTTTACTTCCCCAAAATGTGCTAAAACATTAACGACGTTCCTTGGGCTTCTCAGTTTTCCACTTTCAAGAATTTATCATTACTTTCATTTCAGTTTGCAAGTGTTTTCTGAGTTTCGTTTGTGAGTCAAATGTTGTTATTTTGAACAGTCGGATTTCAGAATTTCAAATAAATCAACAAATCTATTTTGCAGAATAGAAAATGGATGAAGAATTGCCGGTTTGCGATGGGACACCATGGAGACAAAACGATATGGGGAAGATAGAAGAAAGGAAAGGAAAGGAAAGGAAAAGAAAAGAAAAGAAAAAAGAGATGGATTTCTGATTTCTCTTTGAATAAAGGTCTTGTTTTAATGGTTCACATAAGAACCAGAAAAGCTAACTGCCTTGAGTAAGGCTATTTGGCCTAAGTGCTATGATAGATGTAAAATGAAGGCTAAGCCTAAGCCTAAAAATTTGCCAGGATGCTCCTATGGGGGGCGCATGAGCATCGCCAAGCGGGTGTGCCTTAGCTCCGGGAACTGGCTGAGATCCAGAAAATGGGGGTTTAGCCCAAGCCCAAGTAGACTTAGTGCTAGGCGCTAGCCGCTAGCCTTCGCACTAAGTCCAAGCCTAAGCCTAAGTATAATTCAAAGCAAGTTTTAGTTATAGTTTTACATAATCATAACCATGACTATTTGCTTTTTATTTCATTTTCATTCCCCGAAATTTTCCCCTGAAAGTCCAAATTTGTGATATGTATAAAATGGCGGAAATTCATCAAATATTTATTGGAGACAGCAAATGCTTTTCGAGGTGTTAAAAAGGGGAAAAATGTGGTCGGCTTTTTTGGAAGGACAAATTGGAGCCGATTGAAAAGAAAAATCCTTTTTGACTATGTAAAGCAATGAACTATGAGGAACTATGAGGGAAATCGTTTTGAGAGAAATCCTCAAAAGCAATGAACTTTGCACTTAAGCGCAAAAAAAAACGGAAAATCTTTTATCAATGGAGAGATTTTTGCAAAAACGAGTTTAGCACGGTTCAATAAAAGTTGACAGAATTTGATGACGAACTTTGCTGACCGAACTTTGCTCATCGAAAAGCAAACTTGGGATGCTTTGAAGCATTCTACTCACTATTTTGCTTGATTTATGGCTTCATTCAATGAGAAATCAGAAACTATGAAGCAAATAGATTAATCATAAGTAGAAAAAGACAAGCTGAAGGAAAGATTTTAATTTTTATTTCATTTTACAAGTTATCCACTAGTCCACTAGCTGCAAATCATTTTTAAACTCTCTCTCTGAACACTTTCACTCACACTAACCCCTTGAAATCAAGAACCTCGTGAAGAAAACAGAAAAAAGACTAGAAGGAAAGTTTCTGAAATTGGAAGTGAAAAAAGGATAGATGGATTGAATTTCCCTGCAAGAAGGTTGTCTTCATTCGGTTCTCATCCTGTTCTTTCTCGAAACGAGGAACAATCATCGAGAGATAAAGTCCCCATTCTCAAATATCTTTCAAATTTGATCACCTCTTGTCTTTACGTCTTTGTCTTTACTTTCAAATCGTTCCTGATAGATCTATCAGGATTTCTGCTAGATTACCTGATAGATTTCTGCGTAAAATCAAATGGCTAACAGGAGGAAATATTCTTTGCTTTAACCATCCCTATTTGAAGAAATCTTTTTTTTTGTTAAAAGCCTTTCTAGGGATTTAATTCTAAAGGAACCGGGAAGTCGACAAGTAATTATTTCGATTGAGCTTTGGCTTGAGGAAGTGATTGTCTATTATATTTGGCTTGAGGAAGTGATTGTCTATTATATAAAAGAGCAGTTTTAAGTTCTTGATGTTCAAAAACTTTTGCTTTATTTAGAATTTGGAGAAAATTTGATTAACTTTCAAAAAAACTTACAGAAAAAGATGAGATTCGTGATGATGGTCGGGTGATGCATTTAGTCGGAATGTGTTTATGTGACACTGGAAGTGTGATGGGGTACTTGTTGATGAGTCGTTGAATGAATGCGAAAAAAGGAGAGCAAGAGCTTATTCGATGTGAGGAGATGATGGGGGAATTTGGGGTTGGGATGAAGGATCGGGTAAGGAAAAAAAGGAAAGAAGAGGAAAAGTCACTCTTTGAGAGGATCGGGGGGAACGGCTGGATGAAGGGAAGAAGAAAAGGGGAGGGAAGGGAAGAAGAAAAGGAGAGGGAAGGGAAGAAGGAAAGGGGAGGGAAGGACTCAGCCCTGCGAGGGGCGGGGTCTCCACTCTTCACATTCACGCATTCCGACTCATTCCGAAGATCGCTAAGAAATATAAAGACTAGAAGTGATTACAGTACATATTGGGCTCTGAGAAAAAGCCTCGCAGGAATGAAAACAAGCCTGTAAGCAAGGTCTAGGCTCTAGAGTCTGCAGTAGACTTGGCTAACTCAAGCTCAGTCTACAGCCTCACTCAAGCTCATTCCAATAATCAGGAATAATTAAGAATGTCAGAGTACGGTAAATAAAAGCCTATATGCCAAGCCAGGATTCTTACTCTGTTAGAGTTTTTAGAGGTAAGCCTTTTTAGAGGTAAGTTTTTAGAGGTGCCTCTCTTAGAGCTAAGCCTGCAGCAGGTATGGTCCTTCCAGAAGGTCGAAGATTATTTTAATAATCATACTTTACTCAACTATGAATAAAAGTGCAAAAAAAACTAAAACTGGAACTTACAGGACTGCGAGAAACATAAAAACAGATTAAATAAACAAAAATAAAAAATATCCGACAAATCAGTAAAGTCTAAGGCAACCTTAAACCCAGACCTTGAAACTAGCACAGGATTTGGATGTGATAAGCATAAATTCATTCGATAGACAATTCTATAGAATAGAGTTCTATTCAATCGAGTTTAGAGTCTAATAACTCTCGGACGAAAAGATTCAAGCCCTATTTTCGACTTAAAAGAAGAAGCGAGCTTATGTTCGAAGAGATTTTAAGGAAATCCTTAAACAGAGATGAGTCTAAGTTTTTTTTTTGCTAAAAGACTCCATTTTTTTCCGCCATCATTTTGTTAAGCCTCTAAATATAAATTTATAAACAAAACCTGTTTCCGTGGTTTTGTTATGAAAACTAAAACATTCATCTCTTTTTGCATCGTTGATTCAAAACAGAAAGGGGTTTAGCGATGGTCCATTCCAGGGATTAGCACTCGAGAAAAGACACTCATTTGTGTTCAAAATAATGAACGAACCGGGTGAAATGAAGAGGGGTAAGTTTATGTTTGCAGGGGTAAGTTTTTCGGGCTGAAACTTTTTTTGAAGAGCTCTGTCGGTGCGTCATAATTATAGGCCCAGGTAAATCAGTCGGTACTAACCGAAAAACAAGTAACCTAAAGATAACAAAGTTTTTATAACAATCTTTATTGATATGTTAACAAGTGTAAAACTGAAATTTCAAAAATTCCTCCGTCAGTGGCGACAAACGTTTCAAGACGTGAACGGAAGGAGCCAACTGTGGCATGCAAGTAGGCAACAACAAGCTCGTCCCATGCTTTAAGGAGTGCTTTCTTTAACGAGTCAACTGTTCGATGTGGTTTAGCACACGCCTTAGCTTCTAGACTCAGAAATTCCTATTTGGCGTGGCATGAGCCAAACTGATTGTTCCGGGTTACGACGCAACCTCTCTAGCACTTTTTTGATGTTGGACTGAATCACGACAGAACACCGTTTTTCTCGACCAGCTCTATCATCATTTGTTCCCAATTCCTTGAAGCGTTTAATCTTACATCACTCGCTCTTTGAATGAGCTTGAATCGTCGATCGATCGTCCGATCCTCAAATGTTCCCAATCATCTTATTCACGAGCCGCGTAGAAACTTCCAAATTTTGAGAAATTGTCAAAAGCCCCCGTCGATGCAACGCTATGATCGAGTTCCGATAAACACTCGGCTTGACCATCTCTAAAAAACACTATATAATCTTAGAAATTATATCAAATAGCAAGGGTAAACATGAAAAAAGTAAAAGATATAAAATAGCAATACAGTGCGTTTCAAATTCTTAAACGCACCCTCTAAAACAGCGAATTTTGCATTTCGACCCCCGCTACAACTATTAGTCTTTTTCTATTAGAAAGAGCATGTCTTAAAACCTAAATAACACGAAAAATAAGCATACTATAAAAAGTAAGAATTTTAAAAATAGAGACTTTTTGCTAAATCAACCGTTTCAAATTCTTAAACGCACCCGCCTTTGTTGTTGTTATTTGAAATTTTTCGTTTTGTTGTGCATATTTTTTTATTAAATTTATAATTTTTGTTAATTTCCAAGTAAATGACACACGGAAAGCTGCTCACGGATTTTGATAAAGGCCAGATTGATGCCCGTTTGAGGATTGGCGACTCAATAAGGAAAATCGCAAAAAATTTGGGCCGATCCGACTCTGCCGTGCGAAATTATATAAGTCCGAGTTCGTTACTGCACCAAAGGAGAAGCCAGGACCAAAACCAAAGCTTACACCGCGAGCTAGACGCCATATTTATGTGAAATACGATTTTCCTTATTGTTGTGAACAACATCCACGGAAAAACGATCGATGAAGTGAAAACGCAACGGAAAACCGACTCTTCGAAGTCGACAATTTGGCGAGCCATCAAGGAAAAACGCACATATCGATCGACAATTATTGAACATCCAACCGATCGTGAAGCTTTTGCACAAGAAAGCCCGATTGGCCTTCGCCAAGACTCATATGAATCAGAATTGGTCTATGGTTGGAAAGCCGCTTATGTTTTATTATTTTTTTGCGTTTAGGTGGTCTTTTCCGATGAGAAGAAATGGAATTTGGATGGCCCCGATGGCCCCCGGCGTTGGCTACTATTGGAGGGATCTTCGACGTGATCCGATGGTGTTTGGAACTCGAAACTTTGACGGTGGTTCTGTGATGGTTTGGGCCGCATTTTGTGCTGATGGAACGGTCGCTCTGAAGATCGTTTCGAATCGGATGACTAGATAGATATCTTGAACAATTGCTTGTTGCCATTTTTGCTCCTAAATCCAACCGTTCCCGATTTATTTCAATACGACAATGCGTCAATTCATCGAGCCGGAGACACCCGAGACTGGCTGAACCGCAACAACATTGCAACTTTGGACTGGCCCGCTCAGTCTCCTGACCTCAATCCGATAGAAAATTTATGGGGAATACTTGTCCGAGCTGTCTACAAGAATCATCGTCAGTTTCAAAACGTTTCTACACTTAAAGCAGCAATTCTTTCGGCCTGGAGCTATCTCGACGTCTCTGCTCTTCAAAACCTCATCAATTCAATGCCAGACCGCATTTTTCAAGTAATTAATCGTTCTGGTGCGTGTACAGATTATTAGTTTTGATTTGTAACCTTTGATTTTATATTTGTGTCGATAAATAACAATATTTTCATAGTGCGTTTAAGAATTTGAAACGGTTGATTTAGCAAAAAGTATCTATTTTGAAAATTTTTACTTTTTACAGTATGCTTCTTTTTCGTGTTATTTAGGTTTTAAGACATGCTCTTTCTAATAGAAAAAGACTAATAGTTGTAGCGGTGGTCAAAATGCAAAATTCGCTGTTTTAGAGGGTGCGTTTAAGAATTTGAAACGCACTGTATATAGGTGGCACCAAATGGGCACAGATAAAGCTGACACTCCCAGGCTCATAATTATAACGCATCCTGTATTGAGCATCCTATCTGAGCCTAGAAGCTAAGGCGTGTGCTAAACCACATCGAACAGTTGACTCGTTAAAGAAAGCACTCCTTAAAGCATGGGACGAGCTTGTTGTTGCCCAAAATTGACCATTCAAATATCGAGATCCCTTTCCAAATACTTTTCAATTTTTGATTCACATGACACATGCTTTCTTGCAGATAAATTTCTTGTTTCTGCAAGGAAATTCGTACAATAGACCTTCTCAAAAAAACCAAAAAACCAATTTAGGTGTAACAATTTTATTAACAAAAACAAAACTAGAAAGGCAAGGTTCCAAAGAAAGACGTAAAGAAAGACAATTGAATAAACAATTTCTATGAAATATTCTGAGTAAAAAAAAACTGACTAATAAGATTTATATCCATTTGAAATCGTCGAGATTCGGGATTTTCCCGATTCGAATGTATTCAGCGACGAACTCGTCAGTGCATGTCTCGGAACGAGAATGCACCAAGATACTCTGTAAATCAGTACTGTTAGATGGAAAAGTTATTGGAATGATGTAGAAGGGATACTAGCTTCTAGAAGCTAGAAGCTAGTATCTCTGTAGCTTCTAGATGGACTTAAGAATAATATTATTTAAAGCTAAAACCCACCGGATAAGAGTTCAAATAGAAACCAGTGTTGATCTCATGAATCAAATTCAAATTAATCTTTGTCGCCTTTTCGTCCCAAAGCTGAAAATTTCTCTGTTGTGTAAACAATCTTATACAAGATTCAGCTATTGATATGTCGTAGCCGATTATGAATGAAATGTTTTGATAAATCTTTCTAGTGGAGCAACCCTTTAATGTATGAGGACAATATTATATCATCCTGTAGCGAATTAAATTCTGCATCGATTGGTACCAAATTTGTGAGTTTAGGTTAAAAATTACCGGCGCTACAACGTTTCATTTAAAATCGGCGGGACCCCCCGTAGCCGATTATGAATTTCAGCCGATTATGAAGCCTCCAACCATCTAGGAGCGTCCAACCATCAAGTATTTGGTATCATTCAACGCAGAATCATTAATAATTATGTTAAATTTTTAAAATTAGAAAGATTTGATAAAAAGAAAAAAAATTAGAGCAAAAAAACTGTTTGTTCAAGAGGAAACTTTGAGGCCCCATAATTTTTTTTCTTTTTATCCAATCTTTCCAATTTTAAAAATTTAACATAATTATTAATGATTCTGCGTTGAATGATATCAAATACTTGATGGTTGGACGCTCCTAGACCCACTCATTCATAATCGGCTGAAATTCATAATCGGCTACGACAGATATAAAATTTCTAACCTGATCAATAGCCAATTCTCTTCGCGGGATCCCTTTTCGATAATCAATGATATTTTTGAGTGCTTGCAAAAGATTCAGCTCTTGGTTTTTATACGAGATCTCCATCCGCTCAATGTCTTGTTTCCATTTTTCTTCGCGTTCTTTTTCTTCATCGATTTCATCGATTTCCTCGATTACTTCAGTCGGCTCAATTCCGAACATAGTGAACATACTCTGTAAATGGAGATTGCGGCAAACTACAAAATCACCTCTACCTGATCAACGTCTTCAATAGCAGATTCCAACTCGGGTCCCCTCTTCCGACTCTCATCCATATTTTTACGCAAAGTTTTGAGATTTCTGAAGTGAAGTATCACTCTTTCCATAAACTCTTCATCAGCTTTCATTGAACCAAGACCACGTTTTCTAAATGTTCTTTATGAAATAAAAAGTTTGAAAAAAGATCAGACAAATTTGACTTCGATTTAACTGAAATTTGAGTCTGGGGGTGTCCTAACCATATTATATTATATCTATATTATATCTCAAACCTTCTTATTTTGTAGTCACATCGAATGAGCGCCATCGTGAGCGCGCCGGTCACGATCAGAAGGCCTTCACCCTGAAAAGATTGCTCATTAAATTGTTTCAAGTTAGGCACCGTATGCCGTCTAGGCTGACTGTGCAGAAAAGAAGCTCTTTTCTGTGAAATCTTATTTAATGTTTTGATTTTGAATATCTCTGATTCTCCTGTCTTTCCTCTAAACATCGTTTTGTGTGACAAAAGGGACGAAGACCACTTTGTATTGCTTTTCTTTGGCTTTGAAAGACTGAACCAACGATTGATTCTATTTTATTATATTTTCGCGCTAGATTAGTAATTGTGTTATATTCAGAATAAATATCTAATAATCATTGCCCCATCGGTACCCTCTCACGCACTGCACACCGACAAACCAAAATGAATTACGCCTTATTGAGCTAAAGATACTTTAGTGCTAGAGATAGTCGCCTGAGCCTGAGCCTAAGCCTAAGCCAAAAGGTCCACTAGGCCGAAATTTTTCGAATCAATCTTTGCCTTAAATTTGCCTATATTTTTTTTGCTAGAAATTCTATTATACTTACATCACTCGCTCTTTGAATGAGCTTGAATCGTCGATCGATCGTCCGATCCTCAAATGTTCCCAATCGTCCGAAAGCCAGTTGATGAGCCATTTCGTTGATCTCTGAAAAGAGAAATTGAGTAAATATGGCTCGTTCTGTAGGCTTTACCGAAATTTCTAATATTTTCATTCTCATCCTCTCCATCGTCACTCTCAAAGGGCACTCGAAGCACAATCATATCGATCTCTCGTTCATCATTTTCCCATTGCTGAAAGGATTTGTGAAATTTTTGTGGGTACCGTAATTTTCGAATAAGTTGTCAAATAATAAAATAATATAAGAATAAAATAAGAACATCTTTTGTCTTTTGAGCGATTTACTTACCTTGATCACTTGTTCCATAAAAGAGAGACAGAATCCAGAGAAATCGTCTCTTTCCGGGAATCTGATCATCATTTTTGGGATTTTCAACTCAATAAAATTGTGGAGACACATTGGTGGACACCAAATTGAAAAACATTCAAGTGAGCGGATCTGAAGATTATTGGAATTGATTTCTGAAACTCTCGAAAACGTCTACTTTTGGAGAAGTGATGATCTGTGTAAAAAGGTCAACATCAATCACCCAGCCATCTTCGATTTGCTCACAACGTGTCACTGTTTCTTCCAACTCCAACGACGAGGAGTTGAGTTTTTCTGAAAAACCTTTGACTTATAAATGATAAAGTTACAAACCGATCATTTTCTCGATTATTGATACATCTTTGATTGTTACTTCATGAAGTTCTTTGACCTCGAAACTCCAATTGATCATTTCTTCTGTTGGAGAAGAAACCTGGAACAATTGTTTTCTGTTTTTGTTATTTAAAAACAGTTCAAAGCTCTTCAAAGCTCTAAAACTTTCGAAAAACTAAAGTTACTCCAAAGTAATCTCCAAAGCTCTAAAGTTACTCCAAAGTAAACTCCAAAGCTCTAAAGTTACTCCAAAGTAAACTCCAAAGCTCTAAAGTTACTCCAAAGTAAACTCCAAAGCTCTAAAACTCTAAAACTCCAAAGCTCTGAAACGTTACCTGTTGAAGTGAACAATTTGAAAGCAATAGTTTATATGCTTTTGTTCTCCATTTCTTGACAGCTTCTTCGTAATCTCCTTTGTAGAATTCAACATAATGAAACTCGTTTTCGCTTTCTTTTATTGTGTGCTTTTGATGATGCTCGTTTTTGCTGTAAGTTTTGATTTTTTAAAATAGAACTATTGTTGTTGTTTAACTATTGTTTTGCATAGAAGTTTTTGCTTTTGTCTTTTCTTGTAAAATTTTCCTTCAAAGAACTCACAACTCATAGAAATCCATTGAATAATATTGTCGACTTCCTTTTTGATCGATTTCCAAATTTGACGGTTGATTCAAAAGATGGAATTTCTTTGGTTGATTCAAAACAAGACGTTCAAATTGTGGATGGGAGTCGGCAAATCGAATGAGATCCCATGGAGAAAGATTCGAGAGGATTTCTCTTTTGATATGCCATGGAAGTGAAAGGAATTCATCTGTTGAGAGATTTGAATCACTTGTTGACGGTTGATCCATTTTGGAGAGTTCTGAGAAACTGTGAGAACTGAAAAGTCGTTAAGTCAAAAGAACTGTGAGAACAATTCAACAAAGCACCACAATTCAAATAACAATAAAAGCACCACAATAAACAAAGCACGACAATAAACTATACAAAGCTAATAAAAGTTCGAATTTGGACAATTCAAGTATCAAAAGTCGAAAGTCAAATATTTAAAAGATAAAAGAGAAAATGAAGAAGAATCTATCGAAAACGGTTTTTCGGAATTATATATTGAGATGGTTTCCAGGCTTGCCCCTTTTCCCCTCTTTTCCCTTGTTCTCTACCTCTTTTCTTCTTTTCTCTGACCTATGAGTCACTTCTTTTTGACCACTGTGAAATATTGTGCAATAAACATGGATACACGTTAAAATCTGTTTTATTAGAAAGTTTTGGATTGTGAAACATTTCTTGGAAAGCTGAAATTCTTGGAAATTAGTTGATAGTGTAGATCCAATTTTCAATAGAATTTCAATTCAATTCAATTCAATTCAATTCAAACTCAAAAACTTCTGTTATTTTTGCTAAAATTTCTTTTTAAAAACAGTTTCGAAAGAAAATGTTCCCCTACACGCCAGAAGAATGCAAAACTCATCAAAAGTGATAATGAAAAATGTTTATTGATTTTTATAACTTAAAAAAAGCTTAACATAACAGCAAAGAAAAAGAACAAATTTTGAAATACCCGAAAAGTGTGAAGTTACCCGAGTTCGATAAGAAAAAGAAGAAAAGGCGAAAAGTGAAAAAATCACAAAAAAATTCAATAAGACTATTTACCAAAGCCAATAATCGAAAAGATTTGGAATTTTCTGGGTGTTGAGATACTCTTCAATAAGCTCATCAACGGATCTCATCGTTCGATCCTTGTAGAGAAGCTCGTTCTAAATTCGTTTATATGAAACAAAACCTTTGGATTAAGTTTTTCATGTTGTTTTTCAGTTTTTTTATGGTTTTGATTCCACTTTCCACTTGCCTTAGATACCTAAAAGTTCTTTGAATCCCAGAGTCAGCACCCTGACTTTTTCCAAGGTGGTGCTCGTATGGGGCCGCCTACCACTTCGGCAGAGTCCCGCCTCGGGCCGGCGGAAGTAACATGGTCGAGTCTTCGAGACAATCCCGTAATTCAAGGGGATATGTAGACGGAGATTTTTTGCCAAAATTACCGGATATCCATTTAGATTAAAATTCGCGAATCCCTCATTGAAATCGTGATTTAAACGACGAAGAAGATTTGCATTGATCTCTCCAGCTTTCTCATCCCATAACTCAAATCGATTTTCATTTATTTTTAAGTGAAATCCTTACCATATCAATTGCAAGTTCTCTCACGGGAATCCCTTTACGAAACTCTATCAATTTTTTCATTGTATCAACGAGAATCGATTCGTGTTTTTTGATCACCGCCGCATGTCGTTCATCCTCTTTTTCTCTCTCTTTTCTTATCGTTTCCTCGTCCATTTCAACAATTTCTTCTCCAAAAAAGATTTCCCTAAAAATTGATATTAGGTATAAAAATTAGGCCTCTACTTTTCCTTATTTATATCAACGATATTCATAGTTCTTAACTCCCGGTACCATGGTGCGTCTCTATGCAGATGATTTAAAACTTTATCGCAAAATCCCCCGATCAAACACCCAATATGGTCTTTATTATCTTCAGAGAGATTTAGACTCGATCCTAAAATGGAGCATAACCTGGCAGCTGAAAATTGCCGTCGAAAAATGTAGACAAGTAACATTTGGTCCTTCCCATTTTACTCTTAAGTTAGGGAATATCACTTTATCTGAAGCCACTTCTGACGACCCAATCAAAGATCTTGGTGTTTTACTTGTTCCCGCTCTTAAATTCAACACTCATATTGAACAGATGGCAAAAAAAGCTTTTCGCATCTCAAACCTTGTACTTCGCGCTGTTTGTTTTCCCTCAATTGCTACTTATCGTAAAGCGTTCATTACCTACTGCCGCCCTTTGCTCGAGTACGCCACTTTTGTTTGGTCTCCCTGCCTCCAAAAGTTAATTTCTTTGGTTGAGAACGTTCAGCGTCGTTTCAGTAGGAGGGCGTATGCCCGTTGTTTCCCATCGAAAGAAATTCCTTGCTATTCTGATCGACTTGCTCTTTTTGACCTTAAACCCTTATCCCATCGCCGCATTTATTTTGATTTGGTCTTATGCTATAAAATCATCTTCTCTCCTAACTCTCATCCGGAACTTAAAGGACTCTTTAAGATTTCGAATCACGCCAGAAGAACTCGTAGTCACAACTTTCAGATTACCCCCTTTCAAAGCTTTCATAACCGCCAACTGTATCATTCTTTTGCTTGTCGTGTTCCTCGTATTTGGAATAAGTTACCTTGTGATATTTTTTCGTCTCTGAACTATTTTAAATCCTCAATATATAAGCTCGATCTTGTAGCTCTGTCAATTTTAAATTAGTTTTTAATGTCATATATACACGTGTCTAATTGTAGTTGTGTTTGTATATCAATTATCTTTCTTCGTCTACGCTGTTCAATCTGTTTGCATTGTCACTTTTCCTTGTCGGATAAAGTATATATATGTTGTGTCCGATTTAGATTTCCGTCCGATTTAGATTCAATCTAAATCGGACGTCCGATTTAGATTGAACTTATCGCGGACGTCCGATATAGACTGTAATCAATAAAAGACCTTTGAAAAATGCAGAAAACTACAGAAAACGCTTAAGAACATATATTAAGCATGTTTATATTATTGTTCAATCCATATAAGATTTAGATTGAATCTAAATCGGACGTCCGATATAGACTGTAATCTAAATCGGACGTCCGCGATAAGTTCAATCTTAATCGGGCGTCCGATTTAGATTGAATCTAAATCGGACGGAAATCTAAATCGGACACAACATATACATATATTACGACCGATTTTGAAACCTTTTTAACAGAATAGTTAACAGAATAGTTTTAACAGAATAGTTTAACAGAACTTTTTAACAGTTTTTAAATTTGATTTTATTGGTTTGACAAAACTAGAATGTGATTTGACTCTATTTGATCGAAAAAACAATAAAATTCTTTTTGAAATGACTTTTCTAGGTTAAAAAGATGTTTCGAAGATTAAAGGCTTCAGAAATCAGACCTAACAGATCTACTTTATGACCTAACAGATTATCAGACCTAACAGACCTAACAGATTAACTTTATGACCTAACAGATCGACTCAATTTCCTCACAAACCATATCGAGAATTGGTTCCGGAATCGTTTCATTAACGGTTTGTGCCTTGCTCGTCGATTCGCTCACGTGTTTCATCGTTCTCGCCGCTTTCAACACTTCATTCATCAATTCCTCACATTCCCTCATTTTTCCCAATCCACGATTTCTGTAAATAATTATTGTTTGATATCTTGATTCTTATGAGTTAGTTATTAGCTCCGCTCGGCGTCCGGTCACCTCTGAGTTAGTTATGAGCAGCGGGCATCCCCCTGTAAAGCAGGGGATGGCTAAGAGCTGGACCAGCCAAGAGACTTTAAAAGTGGGTAGATAGATAGTAACTCAATTGTTTTAAACCTTCTAATGTTGTAGTCACATCTCACGAGTAGCACTGACAATGCGCCCGTCATCAACAACAAACCGACTCCCTGAAAAATTGATTGTTTACTGAAAATCTTTCACTTACATCTTGTCTTTTGATCAATTTGAACCTTCGATCGATTCCCCGTCCCTCAAAAGAGCCCGGTCTACCGTAACCCAAAACACGAACCATTTCATTGATTTCTGAAAGATTAGATTAGAATCAAATAGCTGCAATACCAAAATTGAGAAAATTCTCCAATTCGTTGTCTCCATGATTTTGCGTCAATGGGAGTTTCAAGATGATAAAATCGATTTCTCGGCTATTGTTTTCCCATTGCTAAAAAGGAATTTTAATCGAATCGAATCGAAAAAATTTCTTTCACTTGAATTATTTCTTCTGTAAACGATGAAAGGAAAACTTGAAAATCGTCGGAATTTTGTAGTTGGATTCGCAATTTCGGAATGGGTACACGCGTGAAATAGTTGAGATGGGGTAAAGTGCAGTAAGTGTACAGGCATTGCAGAGAATGGATCTAAACAACAATTTAGTTCTTATATGCATTCGGTGTCTTTTAATTGCATTCATCGTCTGCACCATCAAATCGAACTTTACAGAGCTTCAATATTACTTTCGGTGATGCGATGAACTCCAAAAAGACGTCCCTATTGAATTCATCTTGCTTTGTGAAAAAGAGCGTTTTGTACAAAAGGACAGATGACGGGGAAAACTTCTCTAAATAAACTTATCGAAAAATTTGACTTTTACAAACCGATCATTTCCTCTAGCTCATTCAATGTTTTGATATCTGGATAAGCGAGTTCTTGAGCCTTGAAATCCCAATCGATCATCTCCATCCTTGCCCTCATTACCTAAATGAAATTCTATGAAGATTTCACTATTCCAAACCTGTTCCACTTTTGCATTAGTCATCAATATTTTATACGAATCCTTCTTTAAATCATCATTTTTTTGAAAGAAAAAATTTGCGTGATAGGCCGTGTCTTTGTTCTTTACTTTCATTCGATTTAGTGACATCTTTTCGGTGCTAAATTTTCGTCGTAGAAAGATGGGGAAAACTTTTACGGTAAAATACGGTAAAATACGGTAAAATACGGTAAAATACAGTAAAATACAGTAAAATACGGTAAAATACAGTAAAATACGATAAAATCTAATCTCTTATTTCAGTATGCTAAATGAAAAATTAGTTCTTGACCGAAATCCGGTATTTTGAATGTTGTTAAATAGATAAATAGATAGGTTTATTAAAATCTACAAAATGAAATATGGAAATGATAGACTTGAAAGCTTTAATGGAAAATCAGTACATACACAGGGAGTTGAAGCAACTTGAAACTTGAAGTTGAGCGCTTTAAAAAGCTCTATGAAACATTCGCGTGGAGCTACTCAAGACGCTCTTCCATTCTACATGTTTTAACATGTTTTTCATGTTTCGTCAAGCCATTCAGCTGCTTGTCTTTATCAGATTAGCCTAATTTATCCATCTTGAAATTAAGATCCTAATCCATTAAAGTTTTCAAGTATATCATTTGCTTATTTCATTTTGTATATTTGAATAAACCAATCTATTTACCAATTGGTAAATAGATAGGTTTTTTAGAAAATTCAAATGACTCAGATTTTGGTCAAAGCCAAGAAATTTTAGCCAAGAATTTAGTCACTTTAAAATTTAGAAAAATAGCTAATCTTTTAAAGATCAGCTAATGTTTAAAGATGAGCCAAAATGAGCTAAACACTCACTATTTGATGAAAGCACTTGTGTGGTACAAAAGTCGTCCATTCCTTATCAACTCTAAACTGAAAGTCCCTGACTCGATCGATTTATGCGATTTTGGTTGCTCTTGGACGAGTGCTTTAAATTGCGGATGGGAAGAGGCAAAACGGAGGAGATCCCAAGGGGAAAAATTCGAGATGATCAAGCGAACGATATGCCATGGAAGAGAGACCAATTCATCGACGGTTAGTTCTTTTTCTTCATTACCCTCCATGGTGATTTTTGGAGAGAAAAGAGCGCTGGAAAGATTCATTTTAACCGAATTGCCAAAAAAAGAAAGCAGTGGGTTTAGAAGGAAAACCGAAAAAGTTTTTTTAAACTATAAAACTATGAAAAGAACAAAGTGATACAGGTGATTCAACAAAAATTCTCAAAATCTTTAGTTAATCCATCAATAACTCATTTTTAAATGATCAAATTAATGAAATTGGGATTCGAAAACTTTATAATAAACGATTTTAAAAGAAAAAAATCCAAATTTAAGCCAAAACCAAGCTAAAGTCTTTTTTTTCGTCGTCAAGGAGTCCTCTCCTTTTTTTTCTTTGTTATTCTGTGCTTTGTTTGCTGACTTTTTCAGCAGATCAAAGAAAAGAAGTTAGCTAAAAGATAAAAAAGTAAAATAATTAGATTAAATAATTAGGTTAAAGAATTAGATTAAATAATAAATAAATATATCTAAAAGTGTTAGAGAGACAGTGATCGGTAGCTTTTTTTCTCCATTATTACCAAACATTGCACAATCGTGATCGGTAGACAAAGAGCGCTTTTTCTGATGAAAAATTTGGCAAAAATTTCTTGCGAAATCTAAACTAAGTAGAAAAAAATCGTTTTTATAGGAAATTTTTAGAAATTGACTTCAATTTTAAGCAATTCAATAATCAAAACTTTCAAGGAAATGTTTTTAATCGGATTACTTATTGGATCGGCTATTTGAAAGAGCTATTAACACGTTGACGACAAGGACGTTTTTGCACAAACAATCGCATGGGACAACGTTGTTTTTTTCGACAAAAAATGTCACCTGAAACCCAAAAGAAAAAAACGGTAAACATTTTCCGGGCAAGTCGAATAGATACTACCCTCCTATTTAATACCACACGCACACAAAGGGGGGGGGGGGGAGTCCGGTTAAGAGATTATCGCTCGAATTTTGATCTATCGTTGACTACAGGAGATTTGATTTGAAAACGGTATTGATAATATGGATAAAAGTGGTTGACTTAGAGAAATTTCATTGATAAAACCCTTGAAAAAATGTTTGTTTTTTGATTGTTTGTTTTAAAAAATTGTTTTATAGTGTTTGTGTTGTAATATTGTTTCATTTCAAGTCAAACTTTGTCTGTTTTCTTTTAGGAAACTGTAACTGAAAGTTCTGAAAGATTTAAGAGATTGAAAGATGTGTTTCTTGAAGGAAAATCTCTCATTATCTTTATTTATTCATTGATCCTAAAGGAGAAAGACTTACTTCCTCAATATTAACCAAGACAGCTTAAGATTAACCGTTTCTTCATTCGTTGTTTATCTTTTCCATTTCCAAAAACCAATTACAAAAACGTTGAAGAGACAGACGAACAGTTCTAATATCTCAAAGAGCTGGCTCTTGTCACAAAGGAGTGACACGTGTGGGACATGGTCAAAAGGTGGAAAGATGTGTGTGGAGGGGAAGAGGTCAGGACAAAAGAGGGTATTGTATGCAAATTCGGTGAAGGTCACTCTTTCAGCTGTGGGAGGGAGAAGTGGAGGCTGGCCTTTGAGACCTTTGAGGATCTCTCCTCTCTTCAATGGATGAACGCCCATTTTGACATCGGGACTCACATGCATACAACACCTCCCCATTCTCCCCTCTTGAATGCTCATTTCTATTTCTATCGAGGGCATGTCGCTCTGAATTCTCCCTTTTGCAGCTTACCATTTCAAAAGCGATTGTACTTTTGACCCATTTATACCTGTTGTGCTTTTACGCTTCTTCCAGAAGATTTGATTTTGATTTTGATTTGATCTTCAGATCTTTCGGATAACAGAATATATAGCTTTACTCTATTTACAATTGGCTGCTTGCTATGTACCGTATTGATTCTAATAGAAGCCTCTATAGACGCACCGATATTTGAAGGGCTCTGTTCCTCTAATGAGTCCGAGAGCAATTTGCACAGCCTAGAGAAGTCGTCGAGAGTTTTCCCGACTCTCGGTTACCATTTGGAGTAAACGAAAAAGAAAAAGAGGAAAAAGACTGACCTTGTCTCATTTCTCGAGTCGTCTTTTGCACACTCATACCAAAAGTGGGGTAGAACTGCTTCCGGAAGGGATGGAGAATAATTCACACTAACACTCGACCTTCCCTTTCAACTTCATTCTCAGGTTTTCACTCGGTTTCTTTCGTTTAACTTTTGTACTTTAATCTAGGTTATCTTTTATGTAAAGAGCTCTTCGAGTTTCAGCTTAAAAATGCAAATAAACCCTAAACGATTTGTTAAGAATTACTTGAGATCTTATTGTTACATTGTTGGCTTTGTTACAATGTTACAAGATCATAATCAGTAAGCTTAACCCGCATAAGTTGATGAGATTTGCGAATCCTCACTGTCCACTTCACTTTCTTTTCTTGCACTCAAAAGTGGTGAAGCTTCTGTGAAATGCCCAATCTCTGTCAATCCTAAAATTCCGTCTGCAAGCTAAAATTGGCAACCTTATTGTTAGCTATTAATGTTAGCTATTAGGCTACTACTATTCTTTCCTTAATTAGGCAACACTGAAAATGTTAAACACCAAATTCTAGGACACTAAATTCTTCATTTTCACACACTAGTGGCTTGCTTTGACTCATAAATATGAAGAATTCAGTTCAGAATTCAATTCAGAACTCAGAAAATGTGCGTGTAGATTTTTGAGTGCAAATGGCATCTCAAAGAACAAGTATATTACTTCTAATCCGATCTGATCCAAAATTTTTGCAATTCTGCAAAAATTCTGCGAAATCTTCCTTCCCCATTCGGCCTTTTCAATCCGGCTTCACCAGAAAAAGAGAAACCGTGAATGGAAGAGTAAAAGTAGAACTTTTCTGAAGCGAAAAGCGCAACACTTTTTTGCTTTCAATTATTGAGTCAAGGGAAATGGCTCGATTTTTCGCATTCACTTATCCATTTTCTTGTTTTGCTTTCTTTCTGGAAACTGGGTGAGCCATTTTCGGCTTTTCTTTCAGCTCTTGATGACCAAATGAATCGCTTTCAAGAGTGAAATAAGAAGCTGAATCAAAAATTTGAAAATTTGATAACCAATTAGATTTGATAGATTACTAATCTTGTATTTCAGTTAAATGCTCAAATTATGAGTTGAAAGAAAATTTTGTAAATTAAGAATTTGTTGTCATTTTCAGTCCAAAACAAAACGTTTAACCAATCTTTTCAAAAATAAGATGAAACTATTTGGAAAGTAGTATTTTCGTTTTCACAGCTTTCAATCAATCTTTCTCTTTCAATCGATCTTTCTCTTACCAAAGTAAAACTTAAAAGGCAAAGCTTGAAATCTTTCCGAAAAAAGAGAATGCGTCCAGGAGAAAATGGAGAAAATGGACAATTTTCATGGAATTTCCCAAAAGATGGATCAAAAGAGAGAACATAAAATGAAGACTGGACAATACAATGAAGATGAGCTTTTTTCTCCTCTTTTCTTCTCTCCCACTGGTCGTCGTCATCGAAGCGAGAGGAATCGAAGGGAAATTTCAACCACCACACAACTCACCGTCCATTTCTTTGCCATGCCGCAGAAATTTCTCCAGAATCCATTATCGGGTGTTCGTTTTTCTTTTCAAAAACACACTTTCACCACTTTCTCTCTTCTTACTTGTTGGCTTACTAGTTCTTTTTTGAAAAAAATCGACCCATTTGATCGAAATCGACCAATCCGTTTTGTCCGTTTTGTCCGTTTTGTTTTCGTTTTGGGAAATCCGGACTCGGATCACTTTTTAGGGATTCCTGAGATCCTCGTTCGCCGATTCTTTCTTTATTTACACTACCTATTTTCTATTTTCTAGTGCTCATGACTCGTGAAAACGATTCATTCAATTGTTGTGTTTAAACGATCTTTTTCTTCAAGTTTATGATTCACATTTCTTATTGTTTTCATTTCTCAATTGATCATCGCCTAATCTCAACAAATTCCAGAATTCTCCCTTTAGTGAAAGTTTTCAGTGTTGTTGAATAGCCTCTTTTTGAAAGGTTAGCCACTTGGCCTCAAAATTTGTGACTAAGAGCGTTTTGAGGTAAAGCGTTGAAAGAAGAGAACTCGCCTTGAACCAGAAAAGTCGTTTAAAGTACTTTCTCTTTATAATATTTTGATTTGAATTTGATTTTTGAATTTGTTTAGATTTCAAATTGTAGATCTTGTATATTGAATGATAATGATCTGCTTCAGATTTTTGGGTTTCGAATTGTGAACCTCTCGAAGAAACCGCTTTCATCGAGGCGGAAAAAGCCATGTCGAGCAGGCTTCGATGGCTTTTCTTCATATCACAGGTTAGTTTTGATCAAAATTTTGAGAAAAGCTAAACTGAGAGAGCTAAACTAAAGCTAAATCAAAAACTAAACTGAAATAATTCTTCGATCTAATATCTTCAGTTTGAGAAATGTCCATAAAGTCAGCCTCAATTCATACAGGTAAATGGTTTACTCGTTGAATGATTGTTTGGATGACAGGTGTCTCGTGTCAGATTCCCGTTCTTTCATCCTTTTCATTCACTTCTCATTCAATGTCCTCATTCCTTTATTTCGCCATCTGTCCCTTTTCTGTATACAACAAACAAATACCTATTTGACACTAATTACCGATCGAATCATTTTTGATTGCTTTAATGTAGCACCTTGCTAGGATTGGTTTGTTAGCTTGTTAAGATTGTTAAAGAGGAAGCTTTGACTTTGCGAGCGAGCTACAAGTTCTAGTTTAGCTTGTTAGCTTGTTAAGATTGTTAGAAAGGAAGCTTTGACTTTGCGAGTGAGCTACAATTTCTAGTTTAGCTTGTTAGCTTGTTCAGATTGTTAGAGAGGAAGCTTTGACTTTGCGAGCGAGCTACAAGTTCAGCAAACTTTCGACCGCTAAATTTGTTCCGGATACTTTTTACAGAAAATGAACTTGTTCAAGAACTTCAAGAACTAGGCGGAAATGTTTTCCAATGAACTCTTAAGGGAATCGAGTGCATCGTTTGTGTACATATCTTTTCGAGGTCGAGGAGAACCGTTTACAAATACCAAAGCATTGAAAGTATTGAATCGAAAGTTCAAAGATCTCATTTTGAAAACGTGAGAAAAATTGGATCATAAAACCAGGCTTTTAAACAAAACAAATATCGTAAACAAGTTACTAAAAGTCCATTGCTATTGTTAGACCAATATCGGGCCAACTCGTTGAATTGAACTCAATGTCTTGTAGTCAATCCCTTATACATTACACTTAATAAAAAGAGCTCAAAGAGCATCGACTCAAAGGCAGTTTTCCCCTCAAGTATTCCCTTTTCATTGTTCATCCCATTCACCCAACGAATCTCAAACCAACAATCGCTCAAACATCTCCTTTCTCATAGCCAAAGTCTAAAATTTACTATTAGACAAATTGTAAAAGAATGCTCAATTTTTTTTTGTGTTCGTTGACCCAGATACGGGCACTCAAAGTACCCAGAACCATAAATGTCTCGGGTTGAGGTGACTGTAAAAAAGGAGAAAACTCTTAGGTAGTAAAGTTTTAAAAGTTTCACAGAGTTTCGTAAGCTGAAAATGTAAAATAATCAAGAAAATCTTCAGTTTCTTCTCTTGCGGACGGTGCAATCGTTTTCGGATATTCACAACTCAGTCATTGGTGAGTTCGACTTTGATAATCTGCTTTGCTTTGCTAATCTGCTTTGCTTTGCTAATTTTGCTAATCTGAATCCTTTTACGTACAAGAAGAATATAAGTAATTTATTGTTTTATAAATTAGAATTTCTAGGTCTTCCCCAAATCACCTGCGAGCGCGACTTCATCCGCTTTGAAGTGCAAACGGAAAAGCCTTTTCGGGGAAAGGTTTGTAAAGTAGCATATCAAAATTTGCATTTAATTGCAATAAATGGCAAATGGAAACTCTGCGTGAAGTCAATATTCTCAAAATTTTGATTTATAAAAACCATAACGATCTTTCACTTTGTTGACTCTAAACGACGCAAGATTTTATGGATTTTGCTGAGTTTTACGGGCTCCTTTCTTTACTCACAAGTGCCCCGACCCAAATCAAAATGGAAAAAAAGGGGTTGACCTTGATATCAAAAGAAAAAAGAGGATTTCTTTTGTTGAAACAACAGCAAAACCCTATGTTTTGAATGAAAAGAGGATCCTCTCGAATATCAAAATCTTATGTTTCCTCAAGGCCTTAAAATCATAGGTTATGAAAGGAATTAATTGAAAAATGGTCATAAATCTCTCAAAAGGTCATTTCTACAAAGGATTTTAATGGTTTTAGGTGTTCGTCAAAGGGGAATATGGAAATGCACACTGTACAAGAACTTATAACAATGGACATGTGATTGGAGGTAAGGAAAAGAAGATTGGGAAGTTCGAATGAAATAGAAGATTGAGATATTGAATAAAATAAATAAAGCAAGTTTTATGTCTTTGTCAAGTTGTAAACAACTTGACAAAGGAAAGCAACTTGACAAAGCTTAAGAAATCAAAGCTTCAACATTTACAACTCATTTCAGCATCACCAGTCGCCAGTGCCACAATCTCGCCCTATTGGAGCACTTATTCGGGAAATCCTGCTGAAAATCAGAAGACAACGAGAAATCCAGAAACTCAGAAAAATCAACAGCCTCAGAAAAATAATCTTGAGCACCAGGGTGGATCGGAAACAGATCCATTCGACCGAGACCCCAGACAAGGCCCCAATCATGGAAATTCGAATTTCAGAAACGATTTTGAGCAAGGTGTTCGACACAATTCCGCCTTTGGCCCATCTCCACCGGGGGCCATCCCCACATCGAGTTTTGGCGGCTCGACGATGAATCCTCGTTTCGGGCACGCAAGCGGCCAAGTGGACAGCGGAGAAGTGAATGGAGCTGAGGATACGACTCTCACTCCGAATCTGTTGCCGACTGGATCCCCACAGTTGAGAGTGCTCATGGGGAAAACGGGAAATCCGAATTCGTCGAATGGGAACAATTTTGGGAGCACGGCTCGACCACCGGGCTTCTCAACTGGTCCACCTGGGATTGATGGATCTGCGGTAAATGGACATCGGGTGGAAAATCAGTTTGCCGGTGGGAAACCCGGGCATAATGGAGGGAATTCGATAGATAACGATCACGAGTGGTCACAAAGCACTCGGGCGCCGGAAGGTTGGCTAGTGGTGGAGATTTTGAAAAGAATATTTCAGGAAGAACAACAGCGGCTCTGACAGGGCAAGGATTTGGGCGGGAAAGTGAAAAGGTGAGGACTGTACATTAAAACTAGAATCCAAAATCCAAAGAAACAAAGAGGCTTGCTCAACTCAAAATTTGCCAAGTTCTAGATCTTTCCATCGCAATGCCCATCGACATGTGCGCCGTGTGCTTGCGATGATTTTGAGGATGATTTTGAGCATTCGGCTCGAGGAAGGAGACAGGTTTCTGATTGATTATCTACTTAAAACAAAGTTGTTAGTTGTTCCAAAAGAAACTAAACTTTTTAGGCTCAAAACTCGGTGACACTTGAAGTACCGTTGGGCGAGTGCAGAGCGAAACGCGATCGAGTGGTAAATGATAAAAAAAAGATGTGATTCATTAAGTTTAAATCCTTCAAATCTTTAGGTCTCACCCCCCGGTGTCTACGTTTCATTTGTGGCGGTGATCTCGTTTCACGAGGTCAGAGAATTTATCAGACATCTTTTTGGTTATCAAAAAGCAAGACGAAGAGAGCATAAAGAGAAAAAAACGGCTTAGATTCGATTGAAATCAAATTTAGAATTTCATCACGAAACTCGATCGAGCCTATCATATAAAATGTGCATATCAAGAGTCGAATAAAACGGTTGAGACACAAATTGATGTTAGGTAAGGAGATGAATTTGTTCTTTTTAATCGCGATTCAGTAATCCTCCACCGGAAGACTTGGCGAGCCAGGTACAGCCACCACAATGTCAATACCGACTGAGAACACCCGATGGGCAAGAGATCCGAAATCGAAACGTTCAAGTGGGAGATGTAGTGCGACACGAATGGAGCTGTGCTACGCCGCTTACTGGTTTGGAATTGTACAAGAAAATTCAATCATTATAATATTTTCGCAATGTATGGTCTTCATGTGCACTCGTGTTATGTGGAAGATGGAAAGGGTGATCGACAGTTACTCATCGATGAAAAAGGGTAAACTAATTGATTCAAAGACTCTAATTGACCTAAATTCGATAAAAAAGACAAAAAAATATAATGTTCGGTTTGAAAGTTATTGCGAAAATTAAAATTTGCGAAAATTATAATTCTAATCCCGTTCAGATGCTCGGTTGATGCCGATGTTCTACCCAATCCCACCTATACACCATCTACATTATTGGCTTATGTAGATGCTTTTGTCTTCAAATTCCCCGATCGGGAGACTCTCGATTTTCAGTGTTCAATGTCATTGTGCACTCGTGAAAGCGATGGATGTGAAGGGATTACGGTGAGAGAGCATCCTCTGATCAATGAAAAGAATCCCAAAGTTTAGCCGCCAATTTGTGACTCAATTGGCTCAAATCGGATTAGAAGGAGCACTTTTGTGGTCAGAAACAACTCAAGTCAGCAACCTGAATGGACTCTTCACTCCCCCACCCTTACCGTCGTTGATATAGACAACAATATGGATAGACCGAGTAAGGAAATGAATCTCAATCAGTCATCTTATCAATATATCAAGACTTAATCTATGTAGACTGTAGTACTGTAGCTGAAAGTGTATCAAGGAAAAAACTCAAAAAAATATCAAGGAAAAACTCAAAAAAATCAAAAATTCTTCAGCTCCATCTGCTTGGGCTCAACCACAACTTCCACCAGCCGAGCTCTGCCTTTCCATTGCCGCTTTTGGAGTTTTGGTCTCCGCTTCGACTTTCATGGCCACTGTTGCATTTGGCGCTATTGTTGCATTCATATTTCTACGAAAATCAAGTTATTAATCAACTTTCATTTGCCAACAATCTAATGTTTACCTCGTCTTTAATCATTTTATAGTCTGATAAGCCTAGCTTTAATAATTCATTCAAGTATCTCAATCGAATACACTTTCTCTTCTTTAAAATTGCCCAACAAAAGTTGCCGTTTTCAAATCGGGTACTCTCTGAAAGCTTTTCATTGATCAGTTTCTCATAGATTCAAAACACATTTCTCTAAATTTGCATTTACTTTTCTTTGTGATAATTTCTTTTTGTGATATTATATTTTTGGATATTGATTGATATTTATTTACTTTGTTTAATGAATTTATCACAGCTTTTGCAAAATATCAAAATATGCACTATACAAGATCATTCACAGAATAGTTATACTAATATCAAATGCATTCTTACAGAAGTTTAATTGGAGCGTCCGAAGTGAAGAATTTTTCTGATTGTAGTTGGACCGTTCCAATAACCCTGAATTTGAAGAGTAACTAATATAAAGTGGCGTCAAAACCCTGTTTTCTAACTTTCCTAATTTATTTTTTTCTGTACTCTAAAGACTAACTTTACCTTGACCAAACCATGCCAATAGAGTGGTTGCATTATGTAGCGCTTCAAGAGATAAGAGACACTTCGGGGCACAGCTTGATTGACCGGTAACGTTTCCAAAGGCCCTAAAGCTGACGCTTGGATCAAATATACTCGTAAAATCAACCTTTTGGGGTAAACTCAGCCAAGATCACTTTATTTCCACCAACGAGGAGTGGACACGAAGCATAACCGTCATACTAAAGATGCTAACAACTACAAAATCGCCGTAGAAAACATACTTTAGATCCCAAAGGTTTTCCATTCATTGCGGCTTTTAGATTAACTTCAAGAGTTCCAAGTTGTCCGGCTGAAAATAGAAATTTTCTTTAAAACAAAAGAAAAGCACACTTACAAACAGCAGCCGCAGTTTTTGCATTTGGAGTATTAGCAGTATCACCGATCGCAAACACATTCGTGAATTTGCGAGACTAAATGACATTAATAAGAATAAGTTTAGATCATCTAAAAGATACTTGTAAAGTTTCAGGATCGACATCAACAAATCCAGCAGCATCGACCAATGATGAGCATTCACTAACGGTCGCTATTGGACGGCATACCGGTGCCACATGAAGTAATGTGAACTGAACAAGCTCTTTACAAAGCATTACTCGTTTAAGATTTTAAAGAACATTTAAACCTTACCTTAGATTCTATCGTTTCACCACTTGGCTTCCCTTCTGCATTGTAGACATCAAAAATGGCTGACTAAATTAAAATGGACTTTCACTTTAATGAATTCTGTTACCTTTGTATTAAGTCGAATTTCTTTAAGCACCGTTCTCGCGTGTAAAGTGATATCCTTGGCCTTGACGACTTTGTCAAGCGCTTGAGCGTATTTTTCAACTCCGAAAATCTAAATCTTTGCAATGAAATATTTTTAAAAATGTAAATCCTACTTTTGGCAATGATGTGTAATAATCAATTTTTGCTGCATCACGAACTCCCCGTTTTCTAAATTAAATTTTATGTAAATGAAAAGTATAACAAACCGAAAGATTTCATCGGCCAAATACATAATTTTTTGTGGCGCACCAGCACATTTGATGGGTCCAGCGGGGAAAGTGAAAATAGCATTTCCTGACTAAAATTAGTCGAACTTACATAGTAGAACTTGATATCGTTATTTTGTTATACTTAGGTATTAAGATAATTATAATTAATCAAATACAAATGACATACTTTGAAAGCTTGGATTTCCCGATGTGTTTTTTCGGCAAGATGCGGCAAATAGATGCTACAAACACCACTTCCTTCCAACTGAAGAGCTTCGGGAGCCCCTTTGATCTGAAAAAATCCAAATACATAATAGTAAGTTAAAAAATTCTAAGTAAAAAAGTAAATTATAACAAACCAAGTCGAATCTGGGCTGAATACCACAAGCGATCACAAGATAATCGTATGTCAGCGTATCTCCATTGCTAAAAAAAAACAAGACAATTACAAATTGCTTTTAAAACTTACTCTAAAATCACAGAATTATTCTCCGGTACCAGTCGTTTAGCTGCATTCTTGTACCATTTGACTTTCGATGGAATAAGATCTTCCTACAAGTTGTTACAATAACAAAGTTTAAAAGCCCAAAAACCTCATTTCGTTGATTGTCGGCCAATCGTAACTCTCCAGCTCCAACAAATGTGAATCCTGGCTGATAGTAGTGTCTCTAAATAAAAAATGTTATACCGCATTTATTCTATTTTTCAACCTCCCAAAATTGGTCGGCAAAAAAAATAGTTAAGGGTACCCCATATCAATTAAAATTTTAAAAATTGTTAAAAGCTATTTTAAACGATAGGACTTCGTCTAAAGCATGCTAAAAACATGTTTAAAAGTTAAATTATTTCTCATCCGGACCCCATGGAGAATCTCCCAAAAAAATAAACGTGGTCCCCCACATGAAATTTTTTTTGAAAAATCACATTTCTAATTTTACTGCCAATGCTAAAATACTTCTATCTAGACCCTTATCCACAACTTGAGTTAAAAAATGTTTTAAAAAGTCGATATTTCGAGGGGTCAGGGGGGTGCCCGTCTATTGGAATAAATACTTCTTGGTTTGCAATGCCTTGAGTATCTTGTTGCAATAATTATGACGCACCCTGTAGGTAGTTAGAATAAAAATTCTATATGTTTAAAGGGGGGGTATTAATCGCGGCCGGGTGACGATAAAAATTTTTTTACGGCAACCACCTGTTTTTTTATTTTAATATCGCTGATTTGATTATAAAAAGAATAAAAATCACCCGGCTAGAGTGATTTGATGGGTTTACAAATTTTTGGAGACGCTGCAAGGCTTGGAAAAAACAAGATCGTCACTCATCAGACTCATAAATTGTTAATCTATAATTGTTCCTCTTGCTCACTTTCATCTTCGCTCAAGTACAGCAGTTCCTCAAATCGGCTTCCTATCTTATCAATCTCCAGCGCATCTTCACCAGAAGTGACTGGATCTCCTCCACGTCTTCAGCGCTTTGATTGACACAATTAGATCTTTTTTCCATTTGTGGTCGCTTGTGGTTTTAGTTTTCTCAAATAGGTGCCTTTTAGCTGAGGTGTCTGATGAGTGACGATCTTGTTTTTCTCCAAGCCTTGCAGTGTCTCCAAAAATTTGTAAACCCATCAAATCACTCTAGCCGGGTGATTTTTATTCTTTTTATAATCAAATCAGCGATATTAAAATAAAAAAACAGGTGGTTGCCGTAAAAAAATTTTTATCGTCACCCGGCCGCGATTAATACCCCCCCCCCTTTAATTCCTTTGTAAAACGTTTCTTATTTTAGCTTTTTACCTCACTAGGCTCGATGATAGCCACGCTATTTTGTGGTAGTTTTCGAGCAAATTTTGAGGCTGCGCCAAGACCGCCCGCTCCTCCACCAACAATCAACAAACGGGCGTGGGCTAAATTAGAAAATGATGAAAAATATATGTCAAAAGTTAAAAAAATATAAATATCTCTTAAAACTCATACCTACCTAACTGAACTACCGACGATCTCATTGAAATGCTGCTTCTGTAGAATTCGAATTACTAAATCAAACATAAATAATTTGAAAATGAAAAATTAGAGGGGAAAATTAATGAATCAAACTTTTAAAAATCTATGGCTAGCCGGGGAACTGAATTTGAGGGCAAAAATAAATAGGGGTTCATGGGTCAGTCCACAGCACGTTTGTAGCAATTCTAGTTTGAGCTATCCCCACTGAGAGACCGGGGGTTTGTTGGAGAAAAGATAGGCGTCAAAAAATGTGCTTTTCCTTGAGCAGACAAAATGAGAACGTGCAGGGCTAAAGAATTCGTGATGCTAAAATATTGCTACTTTGTGAAATGTGTTTTTACACCAAGATTGTTTGTTGGCGTGTTGTTTTTGGGTGTTTCCCTGCTGAATATCGATTGCTTTGTGAGAAGAGTCGCAAAATGAGAGAAAAATCGTTCATTGAGAAAAAACAACGACACGAAATTATTGTTAGAGTTGCGACTTTCATTTCGAAACCAAAACTCCGCAGAAAATCGCTAAACTATCCGATGGTCGTGGGCCTAAATATAAGAGAATTATCTTTTATTTGCTATTCAGTTCTGTGCTTGAATATTTTAAATGTGCCTGGAAATTGTTTATAAATTGGTGACTGTATTATGTACGTTTTTATTGCATTATGCAAACCTTGAAAGTGTAGCAAAAAGCACCAAGCTGAGAAGAGTTTCCAAAATGATGAGAACAGCTTCGATGCAGACAACCACTTCTTCTAGCAATAGGATAAAGTTCTAAAATTTTAAATTTTATTGGAATTTAACGAAAATCTTTTTATTATACAGTGGTCCACAAAAGTAATGCCCCATTGCCATCCAACAGTATGTTTTGTAAGGAAATCTTGCAAAATCGACATTTCAGAAAAAGAGTAGGGTATTTTTATCTACCTATAAGACTCGACTTTTTAAGAATATAAGATTTATCCGTATACATTACATACAAATTAAAGTATAAAACAAAAACAATAAGCTACTTGAAAATTAGCTCCACAAAAGTAGTGTCCCATTTGCAAAAAATACTTTTGAATGGCAATAGGGCATTACTTTTGTGAACCACTGTATAATATTGGACAATGTATACAAGAAGCTAATTTCCTGTAAGGATGAATTGAGATTGTTTTACCTGAAATATCCCAAGATAAACACAAATGACAAAGGAGGGCAAACTGAGAAGTGCCGAAAAACCGACATAAGCTGGTGTTTCCGTCAAATTTCCACGAGTAGCTAAATTTTGAAGGTCCATTGATCATTTTTCTCTAAATCTTCTACCCGAATTCAGTCGAAACATCTCAATCGGTGCAAAGAGTAAAATGATCAAAAACTCCATGATCCGAACATGATTCGGATATGGTAGCACTTGTCCTAAACTCAAATTTAAAGGGTTTATATGTTTCAAACCTTTATAGAAGTAGACAATGATCAAAAAGCACCAAAGGCATATCGAGAAGGGCTTGTTGATGTGAATTAGAACCTGATAAGGAAGAGATGATCGCTGAAATTGTTGTGTGTTATCAAGGAAGTGCGTTCATTGACTTACCACTTGACTTGCGATCATTAATGGCACGAATTTTTACTAATGTGTTCAGCTAGCATCGGATTTTGACAGTTTGCGCCAAATTTTGCCTTGTTGCTATGGAAACCTCGATACTCATGATGGGGTTTTCCGCTAGATTCAATCAATAATATTGATTCTTCACACCCATCAATCTCTCTTTTTGAACACAACTTTTTTTGAAAAGTGCGTCTCTTTTTATATGCGCGTTTTTGCAATTTGCATTTAAACAGGTCCAAAGTTTTGCGGGCTTTTCGTGCAGAGAATTTCCTCGTACTGATCAATTTTGTTTTCGTCTTGAGAAATTTTTTCATTTCTTACCACTGCAATCCCGTAAAATGTTTTCGACATACTTAATCTCACGTAGCTTTCATGATTTGTACATTAGAATGTAAACTGGTTGATGCTAGGCTAATGTAGGTGCGTGTTTTATCTGCAAGGAGGGATTTAATGCTTTTTCATAGAAGTCTTCTGCTCGTGTCTCGTTTTACCATTTTCAGCTAAAATACTTTTTGTTTCTTTAGTGGCTAAAAATAGAAGAGAAACGCAATGAATTCCGGCGCGAGTCACGGTTACACGTCGAACTCGGGAGGATATCAAGCTTCGTGGTCTACCGACTACCGCGGAACGACAGCATCAACGCCTGCTTACGCTATGTCGCAGTCGGCATTCTCGGGCGGATCAACTTACAACAAACAGAATTCGTCGTGGTTACAGAACAATCAGAACACCGGATACAATACAGGCATGATGCGTCCGAATCAATCAAGAAACGAGTATTTATATAGTCCGGTTAGTTTTGTATCTTTTAATATGGAGGGTAGTTCTAGAGTTCAATTTAATCATAGTGGTTCTGAGGCATAATTTTGTGATGTAAAATCGTCTTTTGGTGATAGTACTACACTTTGGGGTTCTGGTTCGCGGTAAACACTAGTAACCGATGGTGTTATGCATAATGATGCTTGTTTTCAAAGTTCAATTTGTCGCAGTAAATGGCTATATTGGGCAATAAAAAGAATGTGAAAGATGTTAGGCCCGCAAAGTGTTGTATCATCTCCTTTATGACATGGACTTTGTTAGCTAGGTTCAATTATAATTTGACAATCTTCTTGCCGTCTCTACGATCTTTAACGTGGTTTTGTTCAGTCAACCAACTATGCCCTGCCTGGCACCGGAAACACCCAATGGCGCTCGTCAATCTTTTCCGATTCTTCATATCAGCCAAGTCGAAACCTTCAAAGCATTTGGGCATCACCAATGTCAAATCCTAGACCTTTCTTGGTCAGTCTTATCTGTTTTTAAAAACTTTCTCTTTCCAAATACCTTCTTTATTTCAAATTTTCTCAATTTAATTATTTGGGTTCAATTATTAATTAACAATTTTAGCCTAAGCGCCAATCGCAAGCAAAACCAGTACAGACTACAAAGTCAACACAGGGCAAGTCAGTGCAGAAATCTACTCCTGCAGCTATTGGTATTTGATTAATTAATTTTTTCATAAAGACTTTTAGAAAAACCAAAGCAACACCAAAAATCTCCAAAAGCAGCAACTGTGGCGGACAAAAGCAAGCCAGCTGAAACAAAAACTTTTCCATCTAAAAGCAAAGGCGGTGTTCCAAAGAAGACATCTCCAAAGAAGGGCGCTCCAAACAAAGAAGGTAAAAAAACTAATAGCCTTTTGTGTTCTTATAGTTAATTTGAAAATTTGCAGTTGATTTTGAAATAATTTTTATAGGAAACAAGAAAATGAATTACGGAGGAGGATATGGACGAGGCTACTTTGTTCCCCGCGGAGGCAAGAACAATTACAGGAGAAAGAGAGACAACAAGCAAGATGACATTCCGGTGATTTTATTTTTTGTTATCGGGTATACAACTTTTTTTAGTTTAACGCGGTTCCCGAAGGTGAGCCATTTATCGCCTTTCCGGTTTCTTTCGAGAACATGCTTTGCTTCCATGGATTCTCAAGCATCTTCACTACGCAGCACATGGTAAATAGATCAATCACTCTTTGTCTACTCATGATTTGTTTAGTTCCCCGTACTGATTGACGGCAAGATTTATGAGTCGTGTGATCATTTCTATCAAATTGAGAAGACTCGCCAACTTTGTGGCCAGTCTAGCGAAAAAATGACTGCAACAGTTAGGGATGAAGAGGGAAAGCGCCTTGATGGAAAAGTGGGTAAAACGATTAAACAATCATTTTTGCTATTAAGGTTGGCTTCCGTTCACACGAAGAAAAGGGATACAGTGCTTTGGCTAAAGAGATGCTGCGTTTGGCTGGGGTAATTATACTTTATAAACTTAAAGGTAATAATTTTATAGGTTTCGAAGGACAAGATCGAGGAATGGCGCCATACTAAAGGATTAGAAGTTGTTCAGGTACATCTTCATCAACATAAAATTGGACAGTAAAATTTCTGTTTAGAAGGCTCTTCTTGCTAAATTAACTCAATGTCCTGAGCTGCGAGACGCTCTGCGCAATTCTGGCGATAAGATTTTGGTACATTGTTATCCTGGTGATGCTATTTATGGGTCAGGCACAAGGTTAGTTCAGGACTTTTTTTTCCTATATCATGAATCCTTTTAGAATCAACGGAATTAAGTCTTGGTGCGATGAGATGAAGAAGAATGAAGCAAAGCTGATTGTTAGTTCAGTTTAGGTTGATTTCTCTAATCAGTTCATTTAGGTGCCAATTAGCTTCCCACTTACCGAGGAAACCGTGAAATATTGCCCTGTTGTCGGAAAAGGACGTAATGTGCTTGGTGTCATTATGATGCAGCTTCGCAACTTGGTAAGTGAAACTCATAATCAGAAATAATTGGAGCACAATTGAAATAAAATTTTTGATTGAAAACTTCCAAATTACTAGAATCCATTTTGTCCATTTTAGGTCCTCACCGAACAAGTGGCTCTTGTCGACATGTCTCTCGTTTTCGATGGACTCGTTCAAGCCAATCCTGCAATTACTAGCACAGCCAATCACGCAAATGACAATTTGGACGATGATGATACAATGAACGGTTTCACGATCGGGGGTGGCCCAATTCAGGTTTTTTTAGAAAAATTCGGCCTTATGTTTTATTATAGCCACCAATCTCTGCATAAATGGTGCCTTTGGAATACATCTACTTCGAAGATTAATTTCGTTATTTTTAAACTCTTATGTATGCCTATTTAATCAATAACTTGGGCTTAACTTATTTTCTTAAACAATAAATTATTGATCGTTCAAAAATGCATACCAAAATACATTTTCTCAAGCACATTTCTTTAGGACAGACTTTATGGCGGGTCTGACGTTTTTAATTTAAAATTGCTACTGTTTGATTTGGGCTTGATTCTTTCAATTAGAATGTCTCGAGGTGATATTTGCTTTTTCCTTTAGGCTACGGTAGAGTCACATATATTAGCTGAACGTACGCGTGAATTGGCGAATTTAATGAAAGTTTTCTCAACCCGATTCTTGCGAGCCGAAAATTCTTCGTTTTTAATTCGATTAAGCGCTACCACGGAGACTATTATTTTCCGAGCGTAAATATAGAAACATTTTTGCCACAGGGGTCCATGTTATGTTAGTCCTTAGAGTGAATACGCTACATTGCTTCTATTTAAGTTGGTTCAAAATTTTATACTCACTATATCAACATCGATATCGACCAACAATACCAAAAATTGTTTCTTAATTCATGTTCACGTAGTTGCAAACTATAACTCATGTGATAACAATAAACAAAAGAAGTGTTTCTTTTTTGCACTTTTCGGCGTTCGTTTGCGCGGTAATCACCCAATTTTCGTTTTGGCTCGTTAAGGAGCTCATTTACACCCGCGACTCACATATAATAAGTGGAAGTTTCCATTCCGTTTATTTTTTGTGCTTTCTCCAATGGATCTCCAATTTTAGCAGCTTTTCATTCCCATTTATCTCATCATTTAAAATTTTTGAAGGGAAAAATTATACTTCCTTCAGTCATCGACTTTTTCGCCGTTTAGGGTGGCTGTCTTGGGTGAAGGCTGTACTTGAGAGTGCTTTTTCTGAGCCACGGGAAAACGTATGCAAATCCTCAACTTGTCTCTCCCTTTTTTGCGGCCACTCTTATCCACTACTCTTCGCACAAATCTTGTATTTTCTTGATGAATTTTGTTGACTTTTTTAAAATTTTTTTTTGCGATAATTTTAGTGCTCTTTAGGGTCCCCTGACTTCACACACGGTCTCGTGAAGTCCAAAAAGGTAAAAATTGATTTCAACCATAGCCTGAGCTTTTAACCTTTAACTACATTCTTTCTTCTTTTCATTTCAAAATCATTCTATCACGAGGGGAAATTTTCACAGCGATTGTTGGGCTTTTAATGAAAATGGGAAATCGGAGGGATGAAACGGAAAAAAAAGGGTTGATGAATGGATAATGGATCGACAAAATAAACATTCAGCCCTCTCTGAACCCAAAAGATTTCAAGACACTTTTGGCATTTTATCTTTTCATTAGCGGGCTTTATTTTATCCAAATTTCAGTCAATTTTTGAATTTACGAATAGACACAATCTTTTGTGACTATTTGACTACTACTAAGGAACTACAATCTACTTTTTAGCAATTCATTCAGATTTAAAAATATTTCAATGAAGCTCTTATACAATTTCGAATTTGCAGAATGCTCTCCATTCAACGATGTCTCTTGTTGATCGTGGTCATTCTCTACTCGGTACAAGCTGGCACGTGGCTTGCTTTCAGTGGGTTAAGGAAATAAAATGACTTTAAAAGAAATACGGTGCTTTTCTTAATCTCAGTTTTTGATTACAGTATTTACAGCTTAAAGGTGAGCAAAAATGCAGTTAATTGAGTTAATTGTAGACTCGGAAATGATCCAAATTTCAGATGATGTCAACGAAAATCGACCGCCGATGGTGGCGAGGCTCTTGAATGAATGTTCACAAGTTGGTTTCTAAATGGAAACTTTGTTACATAGAGTTAACAATATTAAAATTTCTTATAGCTTAAACAATTTCCCATTTCCCATTTATTTCAGCGCCAAATGGGCAAACGATTGGCCGATCACCGCATAATGACTCGAGCCGATCGGGAGAAAGCCGAGATTTGTCGAATGTTGGAAATGGTTGGGAAATTTGAGAATTATTTCAAAGGAATACTTCAATAGAAATAGTAGAAATAGTAGAAACCAGAGTAGAAACCTTTGTAAAGCCACCAATTCAGGCACTTCCACAATGAGATCCCGACACACGGTGCATCGACATCCGAGCTATTCAAGTTGAAGCACACTTGATTGTATCCCTCTTTTGATCGCTTTCCATCATCTTTTGCTTATCAACCTCAATTTATTCTATTTCACATCCAGCACGCAAAGTCTTTTTCTTATTTCTTGTTTTTCAAAAGGAGCACAGCACACGAGCGGCACGAGACATCCCCATTCCATCCATTTTCTTACCCAGTTACCATTTGTTTATAATAAAACTGTAAAAAAAAACATTTAGATCACATGCCATTGGCTTTGATATTCACTGTAAACAGCAAAAATTACGCATTAAATCAAAGTAATAACGAAAGTTTTTTCTAGTAGGTTTGCATTGTCGCCATGGCGCGGTTGGGAGAGTGCGCTTTTCTACAACCAACACGATCCGGGTTCAACTCCCGGTTGTGTCATGTCTTTTGCTTCATAAAAATGAAACATCAGATCCACAACTATTAGGTTGGAAAGAAAGTTCTCGGAAAAAGTTTGAGTGGATTTTCTTAAAAACGAATCCACGAATTCAAGAAGATTTTGTTCTATTATTTACAAGTCGACCCCAAGAAATTACTCGTAAAACTAAATGAGTGCAGCTTTCCCGTAAAATTTGAGATTTCTGAAAAATCATTATTTTCGAGCTTAACGAGCTTTCGAGCTTTCGAGCTAACGAGCTTTCGAGCTTCAGCTCACTTTTTGGATCAGAAAAACGATTTCTTATGAGGTAAAGCTAGTATAAATGAGCAATACGCTCTATAATCCCTATTTTTGGCCAAGAAATTTTTTACAAAGAAGCTGTATTTCAAAAACTCATTTTTGTCGTGTCATCTTCTTGGCACTGAGTGTTTACTAAGTGTACTTCAAGAGCCTCGCCACCATCGGCGGTCGATTTTCGTTGGCATCATCTGAAATTTGGATCATTTCTGAGACTACAATTAACTCAATTAACTGCATTTTTGCTCACCTTTAAGCTGTAAATGCTGTTTTTTTTCTGAAAAGTTAAAGCATTAGATAAAATTTGCCTTAATCACAAAATTTCCCAATTTTAAGTACTCGATTTTAGGTTTTGAATGGGACCCATTGTCTATTCATTAACCCATTAAAAACTTGTATAAAGGCTGGTCACTCAAAAAGTGACCAAGTCACTTCAGCTCAAGAAATCTCTTATTTTTTACCTAAAGCTCATTCTGATTTTTTTGTCAAAAACTTTTTGGAATATAGTCAAGTTTATCAAAAATTCTGGATTGAATTCATGGCTTGGCTTTTGAGAAGTCACCGTGCAAACTTTTTCTACGAACTTTCTTGCAAACCTAATATAAGAATTACCTTCCAGCCACTAAGCTTCAAGAGCTTCTGTTTTTCGAAAAAGCTTTATTTTAGGCCGACATCATCTCTAGTATTTTCCAATGCTTGAGCCCGTTTACTCGTTTCGTTTCATGAGTTTCTTGCTGCCCCTACGGACCGAAATCCTTGGGATGAATCCAAAAATTCACAGCGGCTCCCTTCAGCACCCTTTTACAGGCACTTGGGATCCCATTTCGACCGACGGAGAACCCGCCATAATGGTCAAAATGAGCCGGAGCTGGGTTGACCAGCCCTACAGCCGAGGTTAGTTTTGGGAAGCGGTGACCACCTGGGGCAGACAACGGATTGGTTACCGGATGACCCAAAATGGACGCTTCCGATTCGAGAAGTGAAAAGGGAGTATATCAGCAGGCGTCATATGCCAGATCGAGCGCGATTGTGCTGGAACACAGGGAACACCTAGCGATCTTTTTTTGCATATTAAAGTTCAAAAACTTCAAATTTTTGAACAGAAAAGTTGTACCTGGAGTTTTCGGGGTTGAGGAATTGATTGATAGTGTTAGTTTTTATGTTTTTCTTGTCCCAAATCAATGATTGGTCACTCAAAAAGTGACCAAGTCACTTCAGCTGAAGAAATCTCTTTTTTTATCGTGAAAACTTTTTCCGAGAACTTTCTTTCCAACCTAATAGTTTGATAGTTTGAGATGAGGAGCTGAAAAGAGGGTCTCGATACTTTTTTTTCTGATTCCTTTTGACCTAAATGAGCCAAATGAAAATACCTTTCACCTGTCGAAGTTGAGTTCACCGTTTGCAAACTTGTTTACAATGAAAATGCTTGAAATAGCCATGAGATACTCAACAGAACTTTGCACTGTACTTTGCACAGCACTCCTTGTCTCTTATCCCACTTTAACATTTCTTTGTTCTAATTCAATACGAGTCTTTTTCATAGATCTTTTTAAAAATCCAGTTGTTTCAAAAAAAGAGAATTCGTTGTGTTAAGCTAATTGCAATTTGCGATGTTTGGGTTGAGAAAAGGGAGGGGTTTTTAGTTTTTTTAGGGTTCTTTTATCTTTCTTGACGTTCTTGATGAGGGAGTTGTGCTTTTGCGTCATCCGTAACGATTTGATTGTACCTTGAAAAGAGAAAAAAGATAGACATGCAAAAGATAGAAGAAATTCTCTTTCAGAGGGGACAAATATGGGAACATATACGTCTATTCATCATTTACTATCGTTATATCGAAACAAATAAAAACATATACCGTATTTTCTGTAATAGTAGTGCGCACTACTATTTTTTCAACCCCCCTCCTGCCTGCACTACTATTATAGACTGCACTACTATTACAGAAAATACGGTATTCATCCTTTACTATCTAACTGGAAATCTGATCGAATAATTAACAGATTTTGATGGCATTTTGGGCGTACAGTCGCGTAATCGTTAACTTTTTTCATGATAATCGTAATCGTTAACTTTTTTCCTATCGGTTCATTCAAAATTGAACATTCAAATTGTTTCAACATTCACTGAACATTAAAGATCAAAACTAAACTAAACTAAACTAAACTAATGATTCGATAGCCCTAAATCTCTTTGAAAACTAGTTCAAAGTTATCAAGAACTTTCTGCGAAACAAATAAAAGTTCTTAAAACTGCGTTCACACTAAAAATAATCTTCATTAGTGGTACGCATGGTCGCGAATTTGTTAAAACGGATTGAATCAAATCAATCTTCGCTTCTAAATGTTGAAATGAAATTCATTAAATTGCACTCTATCACATGATTTGTTTTGATTGGCATCAAGATACAAATCTCTAGATCAAAAATTGTAGTCGGTTTCTGGAATCATAAAAGAGCGAACAATGACTCTTTCCACATGTTGTCTTTAAAGTAAAGTCAAAGAACCGATTCTTAAAGCTTTCTATGATGTTAAAGCTTTCTATAATGTTAAAGCTTTCTCTGATGTTAAAGCTTTCTATGATATAGCAAGAGTTGATGTTTTTTCAAACAATGGATCGACTTTTGATTGAGTTGAGTCTTTCGTTGAGTTGAGTTGAGCCTTTCGCCTTCCCTTACTTTCACCTGTTTTCATTCATTTCAAAAGGGGAATAACAGGCGCTAAAATGTTCAATATTTTCTTCTCATTTCATTGTTTTTTCTTTGTGAAACACCTGGAAATAAAGCTTTGTAATAAAGCATTGTTTTCAAGGTTTCAATTAAATAATTTCTTATAGAACTCCCGCAGAAAGCTGAAATTTCTCTCATTGACCTCGAAACTCGACTCACCCGATTTTTGATAAACCCGATTTTTGAGCTGAAATATTCTCTTCTCCTTTTCTACAAATCAAATTTCTCTTTTCCTCCTTCTCCCTTTCTACCTTTCTACTTTTCTCGCTTAATTAGTCAAGAATTTTTATAAATAAACGCCTCCTCTTTTCCTATTGTTCTCTTAAAAAAAATCCCGAGATTCCCGAGATTAAAAATCCCGATTTTCTAGTGTTTTCCCAGAAAATCATAATTGAGTTTGAATTTTCTGGGATCTTTTGCTTCAGTTCAAGCTTTTCATCCAGATTTTCCGTTCAATTATGAATACAAATTAACTTGAACAGGGAAATCTCTTTTATGGAACAGGCAAATCTCTTTTATGCATAAAATTTGGAGCAGAGCTTTCCAATTCAATGCTTTTGTAGAAGATAAACAAATTCAATAGATAAACAGTAGCAAAGCTTGTCTGTGTTTTGGATGATGATTCCTCTTGGTGATCCTTTCTTTATCGAACACTCGCATCATATTGTAGTCGGGGGGAAAATCGCGGATTCCCATGAAATTTCCAAAGATTTTTTATGTTTCACGATTTGTCAAAAAATGGATCGTTTTGCGTAAATGCTTGTATTTTATAGGGAAATTATTGAATCGCGTTTTTTTTTCTAATTTTTATGATATGAAATTGAATTTAAAGGCGGTGAGGAAAGAACAGTTTGAACAGTTCAAACAAAAGTTCAAAGGCTCAGGCTCAGGTTTTGAGTGCTTTGAACAAAAGTTCAAAGCGCTTAAAGCATCTGAAAGATTCGACTTTTTGGAAAAGCCCCAGCCATTTAGTGAGTGTATTTTCTAAAAGGAAACTTTCAATTTATTGAATTTTCTATGAATTTTACAAACTATTGGTTTGGTGAATTGAAAACTGCGGGACTTTGAACTAAAATTTATTCAACATAAAATCATCAATTCATTCCAAATAATTTCCATTATTATTGACGACTTCTGCCCATTTTACAGCCAATTTGCGGATTCCTCTTTCGTAGTAGGATTTTGGTTTGTGTGTGAGACAAGTGTGAGACTCAAAAATGGAGGACTGGAGATGTCCCAGTTTGAGCACTTTCTTCAAAAGAAACCCATTTTGGTGTCAATGGAAAAGTTGTAGAGAATCAAAAATCAAGCTTATATCCAAATTTTCAGAACGATTCAAAAACTGGTTTTCAAGAAATGCCAAATTTACGAATTTTCACAAAACTTGCATTTTAAGCGAAACTACTAAGTGTATCGTTTTGGAAACTTGGATATAAGCTTAATTTTTGATTCTCTACAACTTTTCCATTGACACCAAAATGGGTTTCTTTTGAAGAAAGTGCTCAAACTGTCACATATGACAATAGCCGGCAGTTTTCAATTCACCAACCCAATATATTATGTACTACATATTTTAAAGCTTTTAAAAAAGTCTCTCTCAATCCTATTTACTCATTCTTTACGGGTTTTGTGTGAATCGAGGCCACAAGTGTGGGAATCTTTCTCCACAATCCTCTTCACCATTACCGTTCTTTTTCTATTTTTTTTCCGATTCTTGTTTACCAATGATTTTTCTTTATTTTCCACCCTCAAACGATTAAACTCTTTGAGGCAATTAGTATTCAGCTCAAGCTCTTTCCGTTCTCGGAAATCCACACTTTATGTTGTGTCGATTGAATTGACTTGTAAATGAATTTTTATGGGTTTTAGCTTAAACAGTCTGGAAATTCGGATGTCCAATTCCTCAAAAATTCCCCAAATCCTCTATTGAATCGCCCACCCATCCATCACTTCCCATTCCCCTTCCCTTTTCATTCGGATCTCATTTGTGGGTGTTCAATCTATTCACAAAAATATCAAAAGATCTATCAGAAAAATATTCAGAAAGAATTCAGAAAGAATTCTTTGAATAGCGTCATTAATCCGAGTTTTCTCTGTATGTCTATAGGTCATTTTCCCCTTCTTCTTCTTCTTCTTCGTCCCCTTCTTCTTCCCCTTCTTCTTCTTCTTCTTCTTCTTCGTCCCCTTCTTCTTCTTCTTCTTCCCCTTCTTCCCCTTCTTCTTCTTCTTCTTCCCCTGTTTCATCGAAAGAGTCACCTGTACGGGTCTCTTTTTTCTCTTCTCTTCTCTTTCTTTACCGTTTTCACTCACCCACAATTTTCTCCTTTCAAGCAATTAATTATTTTCAGCGAAGTTATGCATTACTTGGCTTTTGCAGAGATTTTATTTTCTGGACTTGCTTCTGGATTGTTCTTATCTTTACTTTTCATTTGTAGGCTACCATATTCCTTTTCCTATTGCAAGTCCTTTCAAGGTTCAGAATTTCGATGACAGATGTACCAACAGCAAAGCTCATAAACCAAGAGCCAACCACAACGACAAAGGTTTCAATTGCGGTGAGTAAGAACGGTAAAATTAATTAAAAGTATAGGATACTGTGTAGAAGTGTAGAACGGAGATATAACAAGTTTTCTTTTCTTAAAGTTTTCTTTTTTCTTATTTTGCTTTAGATAAATGTGCAGGATTCACTAGATGGTTCATTGGTTGAGAATGGAGAAACGCTTGAATCATCGAGTGCTAGTTGGAAAGCCATACAAAAGGTATTGCAAAAAGTTCAATGTGTAGAACTAAGGTACTAGGTTGTCCAGAAAGTCTTTTTGTTTCTTTTCTTACGTCCTTTTCTAACACCAACAAATAAACCAATTGAACTACGGTTTGTTTCAGTAGAAAGGCCAATTATTTTTCTTATTTAGAGCAAACCATAGGTGAATTTGTTATTTTTAAAAAGAATTATGAAAAGAAACGAAAAGACTTTTTAAAAAGTCTATTAATAGAGCAAATATTGCGTTAGGTAATCAGTTACATCATTAAAAGGAAAAATTTTGGGAAGAGTCGAAGCATTTGACAGCTGAAGCGTCTCTGATGCGTCGGCGTCTTGTATCACAGCCCACAATCGTGAGACTCACAAATCATCCAAAAACACCAACAATTCCCAAAACAATTCCTTTTCTTTTACTCAATCCACGTCACTTGCGCTCCATAAATCAACGCTTTTACAATGCACAATTTGTTTTCTGAAAAAGCTGAAAATGTTATTTTTAGGTTCGACAAATCTTGGTGTTGCCCAGTTCACATAGTAAATGTCATGATACGATACACGATCAATTGGCCAGTTTTGCCTCTTTTGCCGAAGCAAAGTTGATAGAGTATCGAGAGGTGCGTTGGGATTATAATCAGACTAATAGTAAGATGTTGCAAGGGTAACATTACTTCAAATCTATCTAATGGAAGTGTCTGTCTGTCTGTCTGTCTGTCTGTCTGTCTGTCTGTCTGTCTGTCTATATGTCTAGATAATTACATACCCAAAAGCAACCCTTCGTAACTCATGAAATCATTCAGATCCTCGCCCAGACAAGTGTCTGCGTCTTCGCCGTCAATTACATCCAAAATCGTTACGTATCTACTGAGTTTTGCGTGGAAATCGCGAAATTGTACGATGTTTTTGAAGTCGAACACAAGAGTGATTTCTTACAATACATTGATGATTTGAGAGTGAATGGAGAACCAGGTAGCTGACGAGTTTCTGAGTAAACATATTGAATATTGAATTGTTTAGATATAAAAGAGATGATTGAGAAATACGACAGTGTGGTCACTCGATGGGATGAGTTTTTGATTGACATCGATGGATGTGTTGATGAGAAAGTCGGACCGTACGAGAAAGGAGGAGCTGGTGAGTAGAAGGCGGTACTAACAAAACAAAAAGCAATACTCTCTCTTTCGTTCCCCTTTCGACAATTCGAGAAATCTCATGAAAAAGTCTAAATGTTAAACACTTGATCAATGTAAAGAAATATTCTTTGCGTGCTTGGTACTCTTCACTCAAGACACGTTATTTCTTGTTTCGAGATATCTGATCTCACTTGAACTAAAAAACACTTTATTCAATAGCCGACTGACTCGGAATCTTTGGGCTCTCACTTGAGCAACTTTCACACAAGATCGACAATTGAATTAAAAGTGACGATAAAAACAGAAACAATTTCGTCCTAATTAGGACACAACTTTCATACGATGAGAGGAAACCAGAAAGAAAAAAATGAAAGATAACAACAACAAAATGAACAACAGGTGCCTTATATAGGCTTTAACACAAGATACTCAGCTAACAAGCTACAAAACAATAAATGATTTGGGGCGCGAAATAGAATGAAGGCGCACCGATTTCCTCAATATTTTTCCAATTTTTAGGCTGTCAGAGTTAGATAACTTTTTAGTGGCTATTCGCCACAATCAATACAACTTTTCGAATGTTTACCTATCCAATATCTTTCTAGATGACGACATAGTGGCGTTAGGCGTTCACAGTAAAACAATCGCTCATCTCGTCAACGGAACTCCCTTCGATATGGTGCTTATTGTGATTGTTCAGTGAGTAGTTCTATGAAATTCAATTCAAATCAAACTTTAGCACTTTCCAATCTCAAGAAATCAATCAACGAATCCTCGATCTGTACAGACATATGCAAGAGTTACATCACTACGGATGTGATGTTCATTTGCTCACTCGTGGTCCACCAATTGGATCAAGGGGTATAATTGAATAGATTATCACTATTCAATAAGCTAATAAGCTTTCAAACCAATAAAACTAATCAAAAGTCAACTTTTGCAATAAGTTTTTAGGCGGTAGTTATTTGAAATTGATTGGCGTTCCATTTCGACGACTTTTTGACGAGAATGAAGCCGTGGAAGAGTTGCGAAATCATCGCCGACCAGCGCTGAGTCTAGCAGGATGGGACTCATTGCTAACGGTTTGTTCAATAAAAAGTTAGCTTGCAAATCGTAATTTCGAATCGCTTATCTATCAAGATTCTTAAAATTTAGGTAGTTGAAGTCTCGTGTTGTGACGGAGTGAAAGAGCTAAAGAAGCAAAAATCGGGAGATCGAGATCGAGAAGCCCCATCACCGATACCCGAAAGTGCTTCTTATATTACACAAAAAGTGAGAAAGTTTATCGAAAAATGAAATTATTTAATTATTTATCGTTTTAAAGGGTGGAATTTTGTTGGTGAATCCACAGGGGACAATTCTTTTCCTTTACGTCGAACAGGAAGAGACACATTGGCCATCAATTGAGGAAGTTGTGAAACAGGTTTGAGTGTTCTTAAGCAGAAATCTTTGACTCTCAAAAGATTGAGAACAAATTGATTACCGTATTTCTTCGAATAGAAGACCGGGTAAAGAGTATCATCGCGTACTCCTGCGTAGCAGCCCTTTTTAAAATTTCTTTTCTGCATAAAAGCTTTCAATCAAGTGCTATAGGGCTGGAAAATAGCTCAAAAATCTGTTAGCTCATGTGGTATGTCGGACCGTCCACCGTACACTTTGCCTTTCAGACGTTTCCGCGCCAAACGTCGGAAACTACCGTAACCCGACGCAATAAAAGGACCCCGCCACAAAGAATTTTTGTGCAAAAAAATCTGTTAGCTCATGTGGTATTTTTGAGTGATTTTCCAGCCCTATAGCACTTCGTTGAAAGCTTTTATGCAGAAAAGAAATTTTAAAAAAGGCTGCTACGCAGGAGTACGCGATGATACTCTTTACCCGGTCTTCTATTCGAAGAAATACGGTATCAAAGCTTTAATAGGTCCAACAACACTCAAAGCGAAAACCCCTTGAGAAATCGAGCGAGAAATCGGCGAATGGCGGGAAAATCGACAGCGAATTGTCGGCCAAAGAAAAGGATGGGGGAAATCACGAGAAGAAGAAATGTTGCACTATTTTATAATGATACTATTAGATTTGAAATTGATCGTAAAGATTCTGAAAGTTCTATCATTCTATCCTCAGCAATAAACCCATTTTTTTGATCTCTCACTCACTTTGCTTTGTTTTTTTTTCTTGTCTTTTTCTCTCCACAAAGCTTTGCTCTAATTTTGATTTTGTCATTTTTGAAAAGTGCCAATAAAATTTGTGTGCTTGCTTCTTAAAAAGCTTCTTAAAAACTTCTTAAAAAGCTTGCTAAGCTTCTTAAAAACTCAAGACTGCAGTAGTTTTCGAAAGTCGCCACGTTTTAGAGTCAAAGCCAAAGTTAAAACATATTCAACCCCTTCTCCTAATCACAAAAAAGTATCTTTTCCTAAAATAATATTTACCTGAAATCTTTTTTTTTGTATTTGTCACCTCTTTGAAAAGGAAAGAGATGATCCTTTTCTATCTATTCCCCGGCCAAAAATGGCTCCTTTTTCTCTCTCTCTCAATCACATGTGAGAAAAGAGAAACGACAAGAGCAACACGGCTCATGGATTCCCGAAAAAGAGGCGAAAATTATGGTGGTCAGATAGGGGGGAAATGAAATGGATGGATGAGTTGGGGAGAGATCTTTTTCTCTTTTTCACGATCTCTTTGACACAACTCTTTGACCCGATCAGTTTCGGTTGGCTCTGTCTGTGTTTTTGTTTGCATATTTGAAATGATCGATATTCGTCGTGATCGTGATCGATTGTTAATCGATGTTAATCGATTCTTAACACATTCACGACAAAGTCATTTGTGTTTTGGCTGCCGTTTCGGACTATGTTAGCTGTAGAATTGAAAATGTGTAACCGAAGGCATTCCGGGATGGAGAATCTGAATCCGTTAATAGCCCTGGATGTGGGGTTGCACTCGGGTAATTAAACCAAATGAAATCTCCAAAAATAGAGCTGTTTTCTTTAAAAATTAATAACGGATTCAAATTCCCTAACCCCGAAAGCCCCTTGGGTGTAAATTTTTGGCCCAATCGGCTTTAAAAAAATGCTAAATCCACGTACGGTTTACCGGTGGAAGTCGAGAATGTGTTAGCCTTATATTTTTCCGTTTTACTTTCTTGCTTGCTGTATTTTTTTAATCCGTCGGATTAGATTCCTTTTTTGAACCTGTTTTCTTGCTTGATACTAGATCAGGACAGAATCTGATCCATTGGATGACGTCACCGGATCCTAGCTTACAAGTCTTACAGGTTCTAGCATCCGGTGTTGAACCGGGTATTCGTTTCCCTGAACTTCAAACTATCGTTTGAATTCTATTCCACGATTTATATATGTTTCCGTTTGATTTTCTACATTCTCCTTACATTTTCCAGAATAGCGATGCCTTCAATGATATACTGACAATAAAGAATGATTGGTGTAAAACGAAAGAAGAAACACAGTGCCATTTCAACAGTGAGTCAATCAAAATCACTTTATCATTGAAAAGTTTCCCTAGTTCTGGTGGATAATCTTGCCGCAAAGCGTTCTACTCCTTGCTCTTGTCATCTATTTGATATGCGGAGCATTGACATTTCGATGGTTGGATGAATCGCTGGCTGAGCAATCGATTTGGGATGTCATCCTTTTCGAGTACGGAACTCTGGCGACAATTGGTTTGTGTTTATTTTGATAGTTAACATTCTAAATACTGTTTTCTCTTGTATTAGGTTGGCAAGTTATAAACGATCGTTTTTGGGTAATATGTTTTCTGAAAAAACTTGGCTCATCCAATCAAAAAAACGGTTTGCTTGATTCAAAAGCCCTATCCTTAATCTACAAAATGGCTTTTTTGAATTTTTGAAAAATGTTTTATTTTAGGCACTTTTTCAGGCATTTTAATAATACTGGCTTTAATGATTTTAATAATACTGGCTATATAATTCGAGTTTAGTATAACCAAAAAACGATGTACTTACAAAGCCAAGCCCATACAACACATACCAATATAATTTCGCATGATAAGAGTTCAAAATCCTGATTTCTGAGCTAATATATTTTTGAGTGATTGCATTACTTTTTAAAATAAAACGCTTCATCGATTACATAGTTTCCCAAAAAAATTTCAGAACAATCCAATCGATCGAACCGTTCTCTTTCTTTTAATCTTTTTAATCAATCCAATCTTCGGAAGGTTGATTTTCAAATTAGGCTCAAAATGCACTTTTGTGCTAATTTAATCCATTTTCGTTTGTATTTAAGCAAGATTTTTAAAAAAAGATTAAAAGAAAGAGAACGGTTCGATCGTTGATTGTTCGATTGTTCGATTGTTCTGAAATTTTGGGAAACTATGTAATCGATGAAGCTTTTTAAGCGATGATGCGTTAGCGATCGACATTTTAAAAAGTAATGCAATCACTCAAAAATATATTAGCTCATGAATGCTAGAAATCAGGATTTTGAACTCTTATCATGCGAAATTATATTGGTATGTGTTGTATGGGCTTGGCTTTGTAAGTACATCGTTTTTTGGTTATACTAAACTCGAATTATATAGCCAGTATTATTAAAATCATTAAAGCCAGTATTATTAAAATGCCTGAAAAAGTGCCTAAAATAAAACATTTTTCAAAAATTCAAAAAAGCCATTTTGTAGATTAAGGATAGGGCTTTTGAATCAAGCAAACCGTTTTTTTGATTGGATAAGCCAAGTTTTTTTCAGAAAACACATTATATATATATATGCTTTATTCAGTTGAATCCCGACAAAAGAAAATCACAGTAATTGCCCGGGACACCACTCAAAACGCACCCAAAAGATAAATAGATACCTCAAGAAAGAATCACAGAGCAGTCAAATCAATTGCCGAAATTGCGGCTTTAAATCTAGCCAAAGTGGAAATGTCACGAACATGAGAGGGGTAAAATGTTCCAGAATTTAATAACTCGATTAAAAAAGAAACTGTGGGGGCGTTTAGAGGAAACGGAAGGTTGGCGTATGAGAAAAGGCCCCCTTCTGGAGGCGCCCCGTAGAGAGCCGAATGAAAAAAAACCCGTTACACTTGTAAATGATTCATTTTCTAAATGAAAGCTTAAAATAAAATTTACCGTGTTTTAGATATAGGATTTTGAAGCTGAAATTCGGATGAACATTTCTATAAGTGAAATGACTCGATTAAAAAAGAAACCGTGGGGGCTTTTAGAGGAAACGGAAGGTTGGCGTATGAGAAAAGGCCCCCTTCTGGAGGCTTCTGGAGTAGTAATCAAAGTAACATTATTCTGGAGGCGCCCCGTAGAGAGGCGAATTCAAAGAGACCAGAAAAATGGTCGGGATGAATGGTTGACCAAAAAAATGGTCGGTAGCCTTTAACAATTTTAAAGCATTCCACTAAATCGATGATAAGGCGGCGTTGGTGTAACATTTCAAGACCAAAGAGTTGCAATCTATCAGACATTACCCAAAAACGATCGTTTATAACTTGCCAACCTAATATATATGAAAATTATTCGAACTTTATTTCATTTAGGCTGGGGAAACGTCTATCCAACGACCGAACACGCTCGCGTTTTCGCTTGTTTATACGCTCTCATCGGCATTCCGTTGTTTTTATTGTACAGTAAGTGATTCAATTAAAAATATTCAACTAATTCAGCTGTTTTCAGTAGCTAGCGTTTACAAGTATGTAACGAAATTATATTGGTATGTGTTGTATGGGCTTGGCTTTGTAAGTATATCGTTTTTTTGGTTATATTAAACTCAAATTATATAGCCAGTTCGTTGCAAAATCTCATCGGATGCCCGTTTGCCGATTAAAACGATTCTTTTCCTATTTTTGTTCACTTTTGCCGGCGGCTCGTTTTTCATCAAACATACGGGAGATCCATTCACAATTGATGACATATATTTTAGGTAAGTTTATTGAATAGATTATCACTAATCAAAAGCTAATAAGCTTTCAAACCAATCAAACTATTCAAAAGTCAACTTTTGCAATAAGTTTTTAGGCGGTAGTTATTTGAAATTGATTGGCGTTCCAGAAAAGTTGAAAAAGAGATTAAAATTGCCTTTTGCCTTTAACTCGAAATAAATTGCCTTTAGTTTCATCTCGTTCACGACGGTCGGCTTTGGCGATACTGTAAGTTGTTTTTCAATGATTTTTCGAGAAAGAATCCATCTAATTTGCATTTCTAGTCTCCAGTCGTTCATTCACTTCCCGAATTGATCTTAACAATGATGTATTTGACATGGGGAATCGTTCTCACAACCGCTCTTTTCCGAAGCCTCAATGATTTTCTCAGAAAGGTACAAATTAAAAAGCTTTCTGCAAAAGTCAAATGATTGGCTTTCCTTTACTAAAACAGGTAATTAGTTGCAAGTTGTAAATTGCAAGTTTCTACTTTCTCAAAGTTTATGAAGACAATGAAGAGATTGGGGAAAGTTTGAGATTATGATTAATAAAATAACATAGAGAAAACAAGGATTCTCAGCAAATACGAAGGAAAGAACTACTAGTTTGGCAAACAACGAATGATGAAATTTTAGGTGCACTACTTGGGTCGTCGCTTCCGCGGTGCTCGAGATGTGCCCGTGTATATTGGGGGGCAAACGATCACCGTCAGTCAACTCATGGCCACCGTCGCTCAGGAGTTTGATGTACGATCAGAAAATAAGCAAAAAGTGTAGTGTTGAAGTTAACTTATAGCAACTATGAGACTAAGTTGGAATTATAGGCTACCAGCAGTTAACCCGCGGCGAAACGCCGAGGATTAACTGACCCTGAGCCTGCTGGGCCGATCTGGACCGATGACTCAAACTTACTACAATTTACTAATTTACTACTAAATATGAATTTCAATAGCTAAATTGAGTTCAAGAACAGAATGCTCATTGTCCCAACTCCATTCATTTCAGGCATCTCCAAAAGAAATCCGTACAATGCTTCATGATTTGGACGATCTTATCTCAGCGTCAACGAAAAGTAATGTGCCATTGATCCGTGTAAACGATATTGAGGATTTTGATTGCTATGAATAAAAAAATTTATGTCAAATCTTTAAAACAGTCAAGCTTTCCATAGGTTCTAGTATCTTGTGCGAAAAAGTGTTACAACAAGGCATTAGGAACAATATTCTCACATCATTTCTCTGGGATAATTGGTCAAAAAATTCTCAAGCATCTTGGTGAACCACTTTGCATCAAAGTGCCAATTTGTTGAGACCAATATTTCCTAAAGATTTCTCCTTGAATTTACAGGTGTTTCCCCGTGAATGCGTTCGTCGCATTCACTGGAAAGAAGGTGAACAACATTTTCGGAAGTCCTTTCATTTTGCCGATTTTGGGCTACATTTTTCAGCTGTTCTTTGAAAAAAATCAAAAAAAATTGCGGTTTGTCTACTTCAAATGTCTACTTGTCTATTTTTTGCGACTCATTCATTTTTCGATAAAGCAACTTTGTACCCGGCAACAATTTGACTGATAATTGATTTTAAAAGCCAAAACTGTTTTGATAACTTCTCCATTGTTTCCTTTATCGTTCCTTTGATTCTGCGATTTTCAAAGAATGCTCCAGTTATCGTAAACCGTCTAAAAATTTACGCACAAGACTTTCTAATTGTGAAAACTATCGTAATTTTGCATTCGTAATCAAAAATGGCTCAAGCTCAGGACAAATTAGAGATTTTTGCTTGAAGAGACAACAAACGAATCCCGCCAATCGTTTCCCCGACCCTGGAAGCCCCTGGGTACAAACTTTTGGCTTCATATCTCATCTGAGCGATGTTTACAGAACAAAAGAGATTCCTTTGTAAAGAGACTGCAAGGAGGTTTTTTGGGCGGTCCTGGTGCGGTGGCGTAATCACTGGCGCAAAGCATTCCTTTAAGCCGGGGCTTTTTCCTTTGTCATCGGCAATTTTTTCAGGTCCGGGTTACACTGTTCGTATCCCAGGGGGAATTGATTTGTTCGGTACCGTGTCGTCCCGAATGGCAATACGGAGCAGAAACCATGAAATAGCCAACCAGGCGGGCGAAATCCCAGTACCAAAACCAAAGAAAACATTATGGTAGCTTTCGAAAGTTGGCACTTTTTTTGAAATCACTTCTTTGACTAGCACAGAAATGAAAAGATTTTTGTTTCTTTTTGCCTAAATGAAATTCTGGGGTACTACTTTTACAGTACCGAGCAAAAGTCTTGCAACATCAATTTTTCAAAAAAATCGATGAAATTTTTTTAAAGAAAATGCCACCCGTTCTTAGGGCTTTTTTGGTTTTAATTAGAATAATATATGTACACTTTATTTACAAAAACAAATTTAAAGTTCAGCGTAAAGCAAAAAAGTAAATGACAAAACTACTAAAAAATACCCTAAAAACTGGGTGCAAAAGTCTTGCAACATTTTACAGAAACATCAAAAATTAATATTCAATCGGTCCACCTTTTGCCAAAATCACTTCATTAAGTCGTTTAGACATTGAGTCGACTAATTCGTGAAGAATTGCTGGGCGAATTAAGCTCCAAACTTTTCGTATGTAGAACCATAAGTCAACTTTTGTGTGAAAGTCTTTTCCTCGTAATTTGCCTCACGTAATCCCATAAATTCTCAATAACGTTTAAATCAGGCGACATAAGGGGCACTTTGACTAACAAAACATTATTAAGGGCAAACCATCCAGGGAGATGAGCTTTTCCTCCATTTGAGAGGTTCACGGTGCGACCCATCATGAGCTTGCTCTTGTGGACCGGCGAGTTGTCCTGGTAGAGAAACCATTCAGGAGCCATGTGATCCTGAGCAAATGGAAGTAGACATCCTTCTAGTATTTCCATATACTGGCGAGCATTCATGGTTGACTGACGAGGACGAGCGGACCTGCCATTTTTGTCATCGCCCCTAGAAAAGACAAATTAATGCATGTATTAGAAATAAGGCTTACAAAACACATGATTGATCCTCCGCCAGCTCGCATTGTAGGTCGCACATATTTAAGGAGTATTCGCTTTCCAATGGCTCGTCTGATCAAGTGGTTGCCTTTTGGAGAAAAGATATCCACTTTTGTTTCATCGACAAAAATCACGTTGGCCCAATCCTGCTTTGTCCAACTTTGGTACGTCCTGGCGAATAGAAGCCGTTGTTTCCTATGGCCAGCGGTCATCAAAGGCTTCCGTACAGCCCGCCGGCTATACAGTCCTGCTTGAGTCAATCGTCGAGAAACGGTCCATCGGAGATATCCTTGTTTGCAACATCCTTGACAGCCGAGCCCCCAGTTGATGTCATGTTCGGATCCTTCTTGGAAGCCACACAAGTATTCGATCCTCTTTGCTGTTGTTCTTCTTGGCCGTCCTTTCTTCTTTCTTCGGTGCATAAGTCCAGTTGTTTTTGCTTTTGAAACAATCGAGAAACGGTCGAAGGATCGCATTTGAAGAGATCGCAGACAACGGCTCGAGAAATCCTTTTCTTGCTTTCATGATTTTTTCTCTTTCGGGAGTCGTCAAGTAGGTACCTGGCATCTGAAAAAAACAAAAATTAGTGTAAATTAATAAATTTGAAAACAATAAAATGAGAAACATAAAATGTGCAAGACTTTGCACCCAGTTTTTAGGGTATTTTTAGTAGTTTGTCATTTACTTTTTGCTTTACGCTGAACTTTAAATTTGTTTTTGTAAATAAAGTGTACATATATTATTCTAATCAAAAACAAAAAAGCTTTACGAACGGGTGGCATTTTCTATAAAAAAATTTCATCGATTTTTTTGAAAAAGTGATGTTGCAAGACTTTTGCAAGGTACTGTACATTCATTTCTTTTAGAGATTTATCTCATTAGTTTCGGAGTTTGTTTTCGCAAACCAATGTAATTACCCAAGTGGCCAACCCCGTCATTTGGCTCAAATCAGCAATGTGACCAAAAAATTTTTTGATCTTTACCCATTAATAATTTTCTTCAATAAAAGGAACTGATTAAATTGGGAACTTTTCAGAAGCGATTCTGCATGTGTGATGCCTCTTCCCTATTCCCCAAACGAGTCCAACTTTGATCCATCACATCTTTATCTTTTCCAAATCAATATCTCTCTTCGTCTCCTTTCCCTTTTCATTATCATTTTTTGTCTGATGGCCGCTGTATTGGCTCTCGTTTTGGCGTTGAAAACGAAAGAGTTTCACTCGAATTTTCTCAATATTTTTGTGAATTCTCTAATTCTGACGATGATTCACGAGGTGGCAGGTTTCGTGCAAGCATTTGTTGAAGTCACAGGACAAGCTCAAAGTCAGTTTATTGAGATTTTCGTGCTCTTTTTTAAGCTCTTTTAAGATCAACTTTTAAAGAAAAAGCATACAATTACCGTACTTTACAAAAGCCTCAAGATTTCTATCAATTATTTCTTTCTAGAGCTCCATATAGTGATCACCGTTTGTCTTTGGGTTCGAAATTATCATATCTGCACAATTGTCATCACGAATAGTGTCTGGGTGATGGAGAGGATGTTTGCCACGTATAAAATTTGTGGGTTTTGTGAATTCTCTAATTCTGACGATGATTCACGAGGTGGCAGGTCTCGTGCAAGCATTTGTTGAAGTCACAAGACAAGCTTAAAGTCAGTATATAAAGTAGAGTCTAATTCTTATTTAGATGATTACGAGACGAAAAAGTACATTTTTATCTCAGTGTTTTGTTTGGCTGAGATTCAACTTTCGTCGATGATTTGGGTCTACATTTGGAGTACAGGTTGAAAAAGGATTTTGAAAAGAGAAAGTCGTAGAAAAATCGTGGAAAGGTGTTTTATAAAGTGTGCTTTTAAAAGTCCTTTTATTTATCCTTTGTTATCTATTAGTCATAAATTCAACCTTTTAATAGGTTGATGCATAAGACTTTTCGTTTTTTTCGTACTTCTGTTAAAAAGTAACAAATTCACCAATTAATCTATAGTTTGCTCTATAAAAAAAGTGTTTTTTTGTTCAATTTGCATCTTTTTAAATGAATTTCGGTTCACTTTCAAGCAAATTCGAGAGTAAAAAACGCCTTTTTCGTAAAAATCTATAAAAAACTCTACGGAAAAATTGGCTGAATGAATTTCTCTGAAATTTTGGCGAAATATCAAACGTTTTTTTTCTCTATCTTTTATCTATTGACACGAAGATAGGTTTTCTTTAGCTAAGGTGTCTAAACCGCATCATCGAGTTAGCCCTTTTTGACTACCCAACTTCATACTCTCAAGAAAATCCAGGCATCAAATATTTTTAAACCCGTTTTAATGTTATTTTGCAGAAAAATAATTGGTTTTTCTAATGAAATCAACCGTAGTTTAATTCGTGCATTTGTTGGCTTGAAACGGCAGACGAAAAGGAACAAAAAGACTTATGCATCAACCTAATAAATCTAATTTGTTTCAATGTGAAATTTGAAACCTTTTCAGACGTTTTCCCTATCGATTCGATGATCGCTTTGGCCGTACTCAGCCATTTATTCCCACTAATCGTATGCAAACTTCATCCCTAATTTCGAAAATTTTGTTTAGACAATCTATTTTGTGCATAAATTAAACAAAAAACTTGATGAAAAGCGTTTATCCGAGTATTGTTATGTCAGCTATTCCCTGTCACAACGATTTCAATTGGAGGAGAATCTCAGAACGATTACGGTAGCCAAAGATGGTCAAAGATGATCAAAGATTTGAAAATTCTTCCTCTCAGTTTGTTCGAAATGTTTTCCTCTTCACGTTGGCTTTCGATTATCCGATTATGGGTTTCATTTATATCTACAACAAGGCGGAAACTGAAGCGGATCGATGCTTCTGGTCGATGTTTGTTGACGGGTTTTGTTTAACGTAAGTACTATGACCTAGGCCAACATTTTGGTATGTTCTAGGCCAACAGATTCTAAGCCAACAGATTCTAGGCCAACAGATTCTAGGCTAACAGATTCTAGGCCAACATTTTGGTATGTTACTTATGAGATTTGGAACTAACCTCAAGAAGTACTTATTAACCATCCTATAGTTTAACATATTTTTCCAGATATGCCTTTTTTTATCCACTTCTCTACGTGGTGAGCAGTCCAAAATGTCGAGATTTTCTTCAATTTTATTACAATCGACACTTCCAACGACCTAGGACAGCCGATGTACTCTAAAATGTAATTCAAAAACTTATAGCTTTTTTTAGTTGGAATATGTGGTCTCGGTCGATAAGCGAGTAATGTGTCAAATCGAACAGGACAATCATTTTGCATTTTTACAACAGATTTGGGGTGAAAATCCGAGAAATGATAAGAAATAAGAACCTATTTATAAATAAATCCTATTTATCTATGTACAAAATTTGCATATTAATTAATTTTACAAAATTTTACAAATGATTTCCTGTGTATGTGTGACGTCTTCGTGCCATCAATGGCTCCCGTTCACTGTGTGCACGAGATCGCGGAATGACAAGGGTGTTTGCCTGAAGAGAGATTTTAGTACGGGGATGACATCATCGAACTTATGAATCAATTGCCTTAAAATCAAACAAACCCTTGATCGAACGATTTCCTCAAGGTTGTCGATGATGTCAATGACGGGCAATCGTTTTGTTTCAGGTAATCGGTGTAGAATCATAATGAAGATGATGATCATGAAAGTTGTCGTCAACAAGTAGTACCTAAATACCCCAAAATCACTTAAACATTCACTTAAAACATAAAACATTCCCTTAAAACTTAAAACATAGCACAAATCAGCAAGTAAACCAATCTAATCACAAGTAAACCAATCACAACTTCTAGAAAAGATTACACGCATGTTACTGTTACAAAACTATTACTGTTACTTCTAGAACCTTAGTACTTTTTTAGAAAAAGTGAAAGATAAATGAGCATGAAATCTACACAAAAATGGGTATTATTGCTGTTAATGTAAACCACGAACCATGCTCCAATCGAGGCCACCAATGGGGGATACGTGGAGAAGATAAACATTTGAGCGATCATCGCAAGCAGAGCTGCTGCCTGAATGTTTTTGATAACAGGGATAATAGTTCAATAAGAATTACGTGATATTAGAAGATCCTTTACGAATAAAGTTCTCATTAGAAGACTCGATACTAATAAAGAACCTAAATTTTTGATTTTTTCACGTTTTCTAGGGTAATCGATGACGCTGATCACGAATTTGATGTTTAAAAAGCATTTTATCAATTAACTTTTCGAGTTTTTGGAAATTTCCGACAAATTTCATGTTTTTAAATGAAAATTTAACATTTTTAAACGTAGTAAATGACTGTTTAGGCTGTTTTTTTATATTTTTAAGTTATTGGCCACCGAAATATTACAAAGTTAAATCTTGCAAGTTATTTATCGTATTTCCAACCATATTTGTTCTTGTGAAAGATAAATACGGGAATTTTTCTGATTTTCCGGAGTGCGATAGATTTTAGACTGAATGAGCGGAGCTTGGCATCCTGCCAGACCATTTGCACATAAAATGCATGATTTGCATTTAGAAACATTTGTTGGCACTTAAAATTTTCAATAACTCGAAAAGTGAATTGATAACACGCGTTTTAAACATCAAATTCGTGATCGGCGTCATCGATTACCCTAAAAAACGTGGAAAAATCAAAAATTTAAGTGCTTTATTAGTACCGAAGATGCAAATTTGTTGGGAATATAAGAGTTGTTTGAAATCGTTTCCCACAGATTATTTATTTGTTAACTTAAGTGTTTTCTAAAGTGCGGATCTTCTACCGTATCTCTATGGATTTATTTTAGCTGAAAAGTACAATAAAATTTAAACGAAACCTGTGCCACTGTGGTCCGAATACTCGGCACGCACAACTCGGCCATCATCAAAAATGTCATATTTGCAAATCCGCTGTTTGATAACAGATTTCCGGCGATGTTTGTTAGAGTGCCTACTTTTCTTATCAAGAAATCGAATCATTGAGCAAACCAGTGACTCTTGAAAGTAGTCCAATTTGATGGTTATCGTATAAAAATTGGCCAAAAGCTAGCCAGAAAACTTGAATGAGTGTCACAACGAAACAGTAAACAGTCAAGAAACGACGACCAAATCTGAAAAAGTTTTTAAAAATAGAATTCATACCATAAATACTGTAATAGTACCCCACCCCCATAATGAGTGTTGCGGAGTATTGCGTAGTCTAGCTTTGAACGAGTTTTTCTCGACACTGGTTTATGCTACAGTGTTCGTTTGAATATCAAAAAAATAGCTGAAATTCAGGGCTATTATTTGATACCTAAGCGCGTATTGTAGCGTAAACCAGTGTCGAGAAAAATAGCCCTGAATTTCAGCTATTTTTTGATACCAAAGACGCATTTTTACAAAGAAATACTAAGAAACTTTTGCGACTACGCGACTGTACGAGGGGAGGGTGGGGGACTATTACAGTATTTACGGTAGCTTTTGTTTACCGTTCAATCGCGTAAGCAGCAAAGAAATTCAATGGAAAGATGATAGCTGAGACCAAGATTCGTTGGAGCATTATCTAAATCAATCTGTAACTAATAATCTAATCTTTTCCACCTCATCAACAGTGTAACCAAGCTTTTTACGAATCATCACATGATAGTTTACATCGATGTTATTGGGAGAGAGTTGGCTAGCGAGATCGAATAAGAGAACGATGAATAGAGCTTCTCTGGAATAGCTTAATGTTAAATGTTATTTATCTAAATGATATTAGACAGTCCTCTTGAAAATGACATTAGACAGTCCTCACCTATATTCCGTATCTTCCCACACTTTCCACAAAGTGACTTGTTCATCCAAAGGATGGTGGACTTCTCGTGAGTATTCCTCCAAAACCTCAGCTAAATTCTCTTTATTCTTTTTCTGTCATTTATCGCCTACCCACATTCACATCGTTTCCATGAAAAATTTGCACAGCTCTCGCAGCTTCCTCAGTTTTACCCTAAACAACAATAATATTTCTGTCAATTTCATGTCAAATTTTTCTCTTATACTCTGTAATATAAAAATTTCGGTGATTCAGGAAAGAGGATGCAAATCGAGAAGTGAATGAGCGCCATCACTGCAGCGATGATGGGAATGAAATGCCAACGATCTGCAAAATTGTACGGTAAAAACAGTACGGTAAAAACAGACTATTGAATTTCATTTTATACAATTCTATATACTTTTCTTATCAAGAAATCGAATCAGACAAATCGAATTGAGCAAACTAGTGACTCTTGAAAGTAGTCCAATTTGATGGCTATCGTATTTTACCTGCATTTCCCAAAACGTGAGGTTTAGCTAGAATCGACATGCCAATCCATGAGGTAATCCCAGTGATGCCGAGCAGAAGAGTTGTAGCACCTAGAGTCAAAATTCGGACTATAAACAAGAAATTAGCTGAATAGAGCTAAGATAATAGCTAAAGATCTAATTAGCTGAATATCTTTGACAATAATATTCTACCTCGAATTCTATTTGGCGCACATTCACTTAAATACATGATTGTCGCAAAGTTCATCAATGGAAACGCGGCACCGATGAAAAGCTCGCCAATGAAGAAAAGCTCGACGGAGACGAGGAGCTGAAAGTTGAGGAGAAAGTTGGGGAGAAAGTTGGGGAGGAAGTTAGGGAGAAAGTTGAGGAGAAAGTTGGGGAGAAAGTTGGGAAGATGTTAAGAGTTCTAGCAAAGTCGTAGCAAAACATTAACCGTTATAGAAACATTTGTGTCCTGATTTTGCTTGAGAAATTGATTTAGAACCCTTCTGTTCTTAATGTTTACCTTTGCCAATATCTGACATGAACTTCCAATCAATCCTCCAAGAATAAACGGGAAATGAACGGCCATCTTTTTCCTTCCCAAACTATCCAACAATGGATAAAGAACCATTAATGAGCAAATCGAGCCAATCAACTTCGCTGCACTGATCATCCCAACAATATAAGCAAATCTGGAAAGGCAGCAAAGTAGATTGGCTAAGGAAATAAGGAAAAACGTTTACTAAAATCTTACTGTTGTTTTCCAAGAATCACTCCATAATGGCTATAAATGCTCTCATTGTAAAGTTTCTCCAACGGATCGGATAGAGTTGAAAAGGCGAGGATCTGAAGGATTACGGTATATCAAAAAATTGAAAATCTAATACTAGATATGTTGAATAGGCTCCAAAAAGGCATTGTGTGACAACACGAAGACCCAATGGCCATGACGGAATGAAGTCCATCTAAAAAGAAATAGAAAAGAAAGGTGTACTCGATAATTTCAAGTAATCGGGGAAGTTCACCGGGGACAAACCCTTATCTTTATTCTGGCTGGCGGACGAAAAAACATCGAACACAACAAGATTTGGAGAAGAAGGGCAGAAAGGAGATACCTTTCACCGTCTAGTCCATCGGATTTGAGACAATTATTCCGAAAATTACAGAGATTTCTTCACGTTTCGTTGTGGATTGATGAGAACTGAAACTGAAGCAAAGTTTTGCTGTTTAAGAAGAAATATTGGCTAGCTATTGGGCTGGATTTTGACTGCTTTTGATACTTCTTTTGCTAGAATGCTAGAAAGGCAACTAGTAAAACCAGTTCAATTCAATTCAATTCAATTCAAGAAAACCAAAAAACAGAAACGATTGAAAATCGCAGTACAAAATAGTTTCTAATTTGTAAGACCAACACAAACAAAGAAAGCAAAAAAAAATAAAGCTGATGGTTTGAATGAAAGGAAATGGAGTGATAAGCAGACGAGCCAGTGCCTGGAGAACTATCGAAACCAAAAAAAAGAAAGAGAAATTTGTCAATGAGTTTCGTTGAGCCTTTGAAAACCCATTGATCTCATTTGATTACTGGAACAATCTTCAGCAATTACGTAACAATAATTAGCTGTTCTTCAGCAACAAAATTTGAACCCAATATCAAGACTCTGAGTAACTAGAGACTCTAAAGTTCTTGTCTAGTCTCTAGACAAAGAGTTGTGCCTAATACAAGCCTTTTCTTGTAACTTTTATTATTTTTAAAACAATTCTAAGTATCTTGAGTGTGTTTTGATAAACCGATCGATTATTTCATCATTAGAATCATCTTTTATGATCTATTTTAGATAAAAAATGTGGTAAATTTTGTTTTTATCTTTTTCTTCTTGTTTCCACTGTTCTTGGTACTTAGTTTTATGTTTTTCAGGTAAAAGAATATCACCTGAAGGAAGAAATTTATTGAAAACTCGAAAAGAACCGTAGTTAATCTAAATTAAAATCTTTAAATTTGACGCTTTTTTTGAACGGCGTTGTTTTTGCGACGCTATTTTGCCTATTTTGCATCAAGTTTCTTATCAGATTTCTCAATTCAATATTCCTGTTTCACTCTATTGATGAACTCTTTTAGCTTTTGCCAGTTCAAATCTTTTGCCAGTTCAGATCTTTTGCCAGTTATAAATCTTGTCCATTTTTGCACAATGATAAAGATCATATTGTCAGTAAGAATGCGAATCTTCTAATTGCTTTTGAAATTGAATTTCCCAACATTTCGAAAAGCTTTCGTTTCTTCGTTGCGTTGATGATTCACCCGTTTGAAAGGCAAGAATATTGAGAGAGCGACTACGAACGACAACAAATGACAGGAAACGGAAAAAGGAAAAAGAAAAGAGAGAATGGGAGATTTTGAGAGAAAATGGGGCAGATGTGGACAGACAAGGACAGACAGTGTCGATGCGTGACAGATCTCTCCACCAACAATTCCTCTGCTTCCCATTTCTGCGAACCATCCAATCAACAAAAGAATTTGCGCTTCATTTTATCTGCTGACAATTAACTTTATGGACAATTCTCAAAAATCCTACCTGAGACAATTGCATTTTGATTTCATTTTCGAAATTATTCAATGTTTTGGCTTTTTCCAAAAAATAAGATCAATTCTGGCTCAAGCAATTTGCTGATTCTACAATTTTACAATTTTTCTACAAACATTCTACAATTTCTTTGTTGTCTCAATTCCAATGTTTCAAATCTATTTCTTGATAGGAAAACTCTTTGATTTCTTTGTTTAGATAAGCAAGAAGTGGCTTAGCTTTTTTTTGAAAATGACAACAGAGTTCGTCTTTGATTAATGATTTTACTTTTCTAAACCTAAATTTAAGTCAAATACGCCATTGATTGGGTTACTTGGTAAAAGATTCGAGAAGAATCTAGAATCTAGAAGAATCGAGAAGAATCTAGAATCTAGAAGAATCGAGAAGAATCTAGAACTCGAAAAAGTTTTGAGATCGGTAAACTCTCCGTATGAATCAAACTAAAGTGAACCTTTTGATTGCAGCTTTATAGTAGATCTAGCCCGCTCTTTTATTCTTTATCAACTTTCAATCCAATCTCACTTTTCCTTACTTCAGATTTTTCGATGGGATCCCCATCCACCAGCCATTCTACATTCGACATCGTTTATTTCTCCTATCTTCCGTGGCATGTGAAACGAGAAATTCTCTCGAACTTGACCCCGATCGATATGTTGAATCTTGCAGAGATTGATATAGAATTCCGAGAATTGATTCAATCGCATCCAAAACGATTGCATTCAATCGGAACAAGCAACGATTTGAACATTGAAGTGCTCCGGAACGGGATCACTCGCCGATATTGGAGAGATTACTACAGTGACACGTGAGTTTTTAAGATTATTATTATTATATTGAATAGTTTTTGCAATCTAATCAATGCTTTCAGATATCATCCAAAGAAAATCGAGCGTTTTCGTCGCGAGGAAACCCAAGGGTACAGTCTTGTCTTTTGTGCGGGTGATGATCGACGATACGAGCAAGAACAGGAGCTTCTACTCTCGAATTGCATATTGGATGTGGTGAGTTGAAACAATTTCTAGTAGTTTAAACTTCTCAAAACCGATTTAATCTTCTCCTCCACAAATTTGCATAGAAAAAAGAAATGGTTTATTATTTTTGATGTTGCTTGAGACATAAGAATTCGAATTTCAGTTTGAATGCCCTCATCCAAAGCATCTAAGCTTAGGAGTTGTAGCGAAACATTTGGAGAAACCCGAAGTCGACACAGCGCCTCAACTCATCGAAATGATTGGTAGCTCATCGAAATGATCTGAGTTTTCAAACACTTTACAAATCTAGATGCGTTCAAAGCTAAAGAAATGAATTTAATCGAAATGCAGCACATCTTCGAGAACAACGAGGCGGTGGATAGGTTTTTGGAAAACGAAAAGGTAGAAAAAGTCCAGAGAATTCAGATTCGAAGTAAACGATTCAGATTCGATCTCTCGAATGTTTGAGTCTTGATATCAGTGAGGCGAACTTGCACAAATTCGTCGATGTCAAGATCCCGAAGTTGTTGCTTTATGTGCACGATCACACCGAGGAGCTTGGCGCACAGCTGATCGCGTTTGCTGAACAAATGATTGATGTAAGGAATTGGATCTGTCTAGCCTGTTTAGCAAAAAAAGATAAATATCCAATTTCAGCAATGGGAGCAAGGAGAACGAGAAATTGATACGTTGTTTCTCACATTGGAAACCGATGACGATTTTGGAGAAGACGAGATCGAGAACATTCTCAACTTTGGTCAGTGAGAACTAAGAAAAACCAAATTGACTAAGAAACTAATAACCAAGATTTGAATCAATCAAAAATTTGCAGTATGGCGAATGTTTCAGAGATCAATGAAATGGCGCATCAACTCGGATTCGGCCGATTGGGATCATTTAAAGAAAAGACAATCGATCGCCGCTTCAGACTAATCAAACGGCTTGATGTAAGTGCTTTGAGACAAGATGAGCCAAGTGTCTTCATTTTTCAATTGTCTTTGTCTTTATGTCTTTGCCTTCAATTGCCTTCATTTGTCCATTATATCGAAATTTCAGGGAACGGGTCTTCTCATCATGACTGGTGCGATATCGGTGGTGCTCGTCAAATGCGATTACGCGTTTCGGAGGTATTTTACTAGTACAGCTTGTTTCAAAGTACAGTTTACGTGTATTTTACTAGTACAGCCTGTTTCAAAGTACTTGCCTGATCATTCTAGCGAGAAAAAGTATCTAAAGCAGTCAAAATCCAGGCCAATAGCACTCCAAATGATTAGGTTTTGCTATTATCTGTAGTATATCTGTACTTGTAAATAAACTTTTAAATCAAAAGATCCCCTTTTTAACTTGTTCACTGTTTTAAATCATTTTTGACTTATCTGCAAAGTTTTAAGATGATTGGTTAAGCTTTTCATGGTTAAATCCAAAACACGAAATGTACAAATCTTTTTAACCTTTACTGTATACCGTATTTTCTCTAACAGTAGTGCACCCCACTGAGCCGAGTTGATGACTATTTTACGGTTTCCAAGCTTTTGCAGAAGCTCAACACTCGAATCCCCCACTAGAACTCATCGTCAGCTACATTTTCCGACCCCACATCGATAGGTTCTGATAAGCGGTTCTCGAGATTTCGAGGAATTTAGGCGACGCTCTGGGTGCACTACTATTAGAGAAAATACGGTATTTTAAATTAAAAATCCTCTTTGCTTTGCAATCAAAAACTTTCAGAGAACGAGGCCTGGGCACTAGCAGCCAATTTGAAATTTTCCACGGTCGAGTGGAGGGTCTTCTCTATAAATTGAGAACGATTGAGGAAAATGAGGGAAGATTGAGAAGATATGGAAAAGAAACGGTGAAAGAAGAAATGAAAGAAGTTGTGGATTCGGTGAGTTGACAAGGAAATAACAAAAAGTGTGCTAATGTAAAACAACATCATCCACGACAAACCCTTTTTCAGGGTTCATTCGCGATTTTCGGTATCGAAACACTGGAAGAGGATGCTGATGAAAGCGAGGAAACGCTACAAGAAAGAGCAAAAGAAAAGGAGAATGAAGAAGTGGCTGAAGAAGAGATAAAGGAGGAAATCCTCGCCGATTTGGAAGTGGCATTGAAAGAGTTGAACGAGTACAGGAAGAATGTTCCGTTGAGAGAACTCAGCATTGATCAGGTACTGTTTATTGATCAAAACTAATAGGCAAACCTGTTTTTTTCTAGATTCTTAAATATTTGAGTCAGTCATTTTAGCTATGGGACGACAAGGAGTCACAGATTTCGAAGCGAACAATGCGATCGCTTGTCTATGGACTTCGCGGTGACGCGTTTCCGGTAAGCTTTTAGTCTTCTAGTAAATAGAAGCAAAGAGTCAAAAGCCTAATTTTCAAACTGGTCAAGTATAAATACCGGAATCGATATCAAATTTAACTGCTGACAAAATAGGTACTATCCCTCATGAATCTACACTACTGGACAATGAAATATCATATTTGAAAAAAGATCGTCACTTTCGCGTCTGTAACTCCCTTGTCTTTACCGTATTTCTAAATATTAATATTACCATTGTGTAGCCCTTGAAAAGAGCTTTCAGAAAATGTAGAACACTAATAGTTTAAACTCAAAGACAAGGGAGTTACAGACGCGCGAAAGATCGTTTTTCAAATATGATATTTCATTGTCCAGTACTGTAGCTTTGAAAGTTTGAAAGAGTAGTTTGTCCTTTTAAGATGTGCGCTCTAAAACGTGTCAATTTTTGGAAAGCCATCGTAATCTTTGTCTACTTTTGAGTTGATTTGAGATCTACTTTTGAGCCTCTCCAATCTATCTACTTTTGAGTTGATTTGAGAATTAACGATATAAACAAAAAAGAATGGATAGAATGGTTTAAACGATAGGAAATATCGGAAAGATTACGATAGGAAATGGAAAGATCAAAAACCTGAGCGATTAATTCGGTATGCTGAATGAGTTGAGCATTTTTCAAGTAAATTGAGAGCTTTTTAGAAGAAATATTTAGCTAAACTAACAAATCTATCACTAGTCTCAAACATCACTCTATCGGTGTCTATCAGTAAACGAAAGATCGTTTTTCAAATAGGATATTTCATTGTCCAGTACTGTAGCTTACTATTAGCGAAGATTTTTGGTCGTTCTTTCATAACTGTGCCTATGTAAAGACTTTTTGAAAGTATAACTTTCGTTTTCAAAAGCTAATCTCTAAACTTTATCTCTTCATATCTTTATACATCTAACATTCTCGATTTCAGTCAAGACCCGATCACGATCGTCGACCCGATCAACGCATTGTGCTCGAGTACGCGGATGAGTGCCTCAAAGCCGGTCATTTACTTCCATACTATGAAACTTTTTGATAATTTGATGCTGTGATCCTATGTCTAAGGAGATTAATTAACTTTATATATTTCGTTCTTCTTTATATAACTTTATATAATTTTCAATTCTATATCTGGTTCACATTTGCCTTATCACCCAATCCAAACGAGTTTTCCATTGACACATTTAGTGGTGTTCAAACGGGTGCCTCCATTTTTTATGTGATTCTTTATTATTGGTCTAGATCTACGTCTATATCTACGTCTAGATCTACGTCTAGATCTACATCTAGATCTACGTCTTTTTTGATACTTTGATAAATCGTTAATAACTATAAACATTTTTGATATATAAAGTGTACAAAGGAAAACAATTTCCAAATCAAAAACAATCTTCAATGAACGAAACAACAGAATGACTGTGCAACCCAGAGCAACGATCTCTTGGCTCCTTTTTGTCCTTTTTCCTTCGATCTCTTTCCAAACGAGTGAATGAGCTTTGTCAAACGATGAATGAGCTAAATCTTGATGTATTTCTTCGTCTTCCATTTCATATACTAAAAATAATTCTATTTTACTTATCTCCCCTAGATTTACTTGTCTTATCAAGAGCGAATCATTTGGTGCCGAGAATTCCAAAATTTTTTGAATCGATCGCTTTATCGGATCATTTGGTGATCGAAACGAGGAGAGGGTCATGGAAAGAGAAATATGTACAGGAATATTATTCAAACGGGTAATCTAACAAACCACTTTTGATGTTTTGACCTCTTGAGCCAAAGTGTTGTAGTAGTGCATTAGTAGAAATATCATTTTTTCCTGTAGCACACTTACAAAGCTACTGTAAGAACCAAAGAGGAACCAAACAGGAACCAAATAGGAACTAGAAAGAACTAGATAAGAATCAAACAGGAGCCAAGTAGGAACTAGAAAGACCTAGATAGGAATCAAACAGGAACCAAACAGGAACCAAACAAGGAACTAGAAAAAACTAGGTAAGAATCAAACAGGAGAAAACTAATAATAGAATAGGCAAGCAGGAGTAAAATCTTTCTATTGTAATTTACAATAGAGCAAAGGTTTTAATTGTAATTGTAATTGTAATTGTAATTGCAATTCTCGACTTGTAAAGCCTCAAGTTTTGAGTTGTCATCCAAAACGAAAAGAGGCTTTGCTGAAAGGAGAGGATCGCTTCAAATGAATCACTTTTTATAAAGATGGAGAAAATCCAAAGAATCAAGATCAAAATCTTCTCTTAACTAATTGCAAACTAGATTTGATACGATTAACAAAGCTTCAGCTTTTTAATAAAAAAAATTTGGTACTAGCCTAGTTGGGGGGGCACTTTTTTTCTTCAAAGCCACTTTTTTTTCTTCAAAACTACTTTTTCTGGCGTAGTTTTATGCGTAGATTCCGAACAACACAACGAGAGCTTGGGGAAATGCGTTTTAAGTCAAGTTTCGGGGCTTTTTCGAAATCTACGCATAAAACTACCCCAGAAAAAGTGGTTTTGAGGAAAACAAAAAATCGTGCCCCTCCCCAACTAGGCCAAGTACCAAAAATTTTTTGTCTTTTTAGATCCAAAAGCCAACAGTGAAAATGGCTTCCTTGGGCTTAAAAGCACGGCATATTGAGACACCGCTTTATGGCACAATTGATGAACTTTATGAAATGATCGGTTAGGAAAAAGATTCGGAAAGAGTTTTAGAAGTTTTCAGATGCTTTTGAAGTTACGGGAGTGATATGGTGCGATGAAATTGAGCTTTTCACTGAGCTTTTCTAAAGAATTTTTAGCTTTATTGGGTTGCGTCCGTTTCCTTCCTATTTGCGTTGCTATTTTGCAATTATTCGCGTCGCATTTTTCGTCCTTTTTCTCCCTTCCCAAAATTATTTTTTTGGTCTGCGGGTTTTTTTTTGCCTTCTTTCTGGGGGGACTTTGTTGTTTCATTTTTGATGCGCATGCTGTTTGTGTAATGGGTATTGTTGCATTTCGGTTCTGTACTAATAAACAGTAACGTTATAAATTCACTTTACTTTATGCTACCCTTCAGGTTTTAAATCCTGTTTAGATAACCGGTTTAACATTGTAGAGAGACTGCTTTTACTAACATTTGTCTCACCATCGACGTAGTATCAATCCGATCTGTACTCTTCTCAAGAGTATTAATCTATTCTTGGATGCTACGTGTTCTTGTTACGTTGTAAGCGCTTTTGGGGAAACCCTTTTAACCTTTTGTGCTATTCGGTCATTCTTAAGCAGAATCATCCTCGTTGATAAGGTTAAAGCGGGTCGCACCGCAAACTATTGGCCAAAAGACGGCTGAGAAAAAGCTCGTACAGACAGACGGACAAACACTCTTTTCTAGTAAATAATTTATATAATAGATAATTTAGAAATCATGGTCTTGGTTTTCAAAATCTTTTTCAGGAATTTTTGTGGAATGTTACCAATCCGTTGTATCGTTTACGACGAGATGCTCTGAAAATGGAAAAAAGGGAGAAAGAGCCGGTTGTTGAGAGAATTGAGAATGAAGAGGTCGTTGATTCGGTAATTTTTCGTCCTTTTCTACTGTCAACATCACTAGTTTCTAGATTTCATTCAAAATTTTTGTTTTGGATGTGATTGAGGAGAGCGAAGAAGAGCTGAAAACACAAAAAAGAGTCAAAGATCAAGAAAAAGAGCGAACAGTTGTCGATTTGAAAAATGCGATCCAGAAATTGAACGAGTTTTGTGTGGAAATTTGCTGGCCATTGATCAGGCTAGTCAAATAGCTCAAAATTAGGGTTGAATACTTTTTACTATGACAGATTGTATAGTTTTAGATTTGATTATAAATCTAAAATAATGATTTGATCTGTCTTCGCACTTAGCGCAGATCACAACCCGCTTCCACATTTACTGAGGCAGAAGTGTAGTTGTCGTAGCCGAGATATCCGATGGCCGGGCTGGGGCGCTCGGGGGGGACCATGGGTCGGACCCCGCTACCCGCGCCGACTTGTCAATTGGAGATCGGACGGGGTCGACCACAGACCCTTCCCTTTCTGGGCCCCGTATAGTTTTAGAGATCCATAGCAATATGTCAAATAGAATTCCAGCTATGGGATGGGTACAGCGATATCAATTTTCTCTTGTTGCGACATCTACAAGAAGGTTTATACGAAGATGTGTATCCGGTTTGATTTCAGGAAAACTGTGGTTGAACTTATAGTTGATAAAGTTAAATTTTGACTTGTTAGTTTTGACTTGTTAGCTCCCAGAAAATTTTTGACAAGAATCAATTCATTTTTGCGGGAATCTATACGTCACTCTCTTATCAGAGAAGAGCGAGGGTGGAGGGTGGAGTTCAACCCGAAAAGTGTGTACATTTGTAATAAAACGAAACCTCTGCAGCGCCTCGTAATCTCTTGAGGATCTTCTTGAGTCAATTTCAGCACTGTGATCACCCATGAGCCAATCACCGCATATAAAAGTGATACGATGAGGAGGGTGAGGTGTGGGAGAGCGACTCGGAGGATCTGAAAATTTTTAGGTTTCAGGGTATTTAGCAACCAAGAAGTTTAAAATTCTTACAAGAAAATCAAGAAAATCAAGAACAAATCTTATATTGAAATCAATTCAAATCAATCAGGATTATCCCTTTTGCAGTCCCAATCATTCACACGATTTGGCCTTTGATTTTGCGAGAGAATTGAAAAGAATTGGCGTAATGCCTTCATTGTTTGCATGAAGATAAACTACGTTTTAAAAACTGAATAAATCTATCCGAACAACTTCAGAACAAGAAAGATTCCAAGTTACAAGGCTTGCTGAGTCATTCCCACAAACTCACAAACCACAAACTAGTTTATAGTCTTTTGACTTTACTCCTCCTCATTGCCTCGTTTCTCTTACACTTGTTTCTGTCTTAATTTTTCTGTCGGAAAATCTCTCACTCTCAATCCGTTCTCTTGTTCTCTTACAGCAAAAAACATATTGTGAAATACCTTCTTTTCCCAATCTTTGAGTTCCCAATGACACGAATCTCGGCCGGAATCACTGATAATTCTCTCTATAAAACCCATTCTCCTTCTTTTTATCTCTTCATTGAACTTGGAAATCTTTTTCTTGATCTTTGTTTTTGTTTTCATGTCAACGAGCAATGAGGATCAATCCAAAAAGCCGGATTGTGGATGTCATGATGATTGGTCAGTGATTGGGTATTGTACTCTCATTTCTCGATTCTCTCCACGTTTTCCCATCTGCCATATCCCATCTTTTCACTAAAAAACCTGCGCCCCTGATAGACAATTGGTTAGTGGACAGATTGTCAGTCAAAGAGTTTGCTGGGCAGATCAGTCTGTCTGTCCAAAAAGGCAAATGATATCATCGGTAATGTCTGCTTTTTTCACAGGCAATCTCGGTAAGAAGCTCGTCATCGATATCGAAATTAGACTTGACTATCGAGATCTCGATCGATAAGCTTGTCTTTAGAACGAAAAACTGAAGAAACCCATTTTTTTAAACCAAAACCATTCAGGGAACCAATTTACCAAGGCCGAGAAGTAAAAGAAGAGAACTCGTATCTCCGCTGGTATCTCGTCATCACCGTTTTCATTGTCGTTTTCATTTCGTCGATTTTCTGGAGTCCAGCGATCTCAATATTTCAAGTGAGTCATTAAAAATGAATAAATTTTGGCTTCAGAAATTTTCAATCGAGATTTTCGTCTTCTTTTCTTTCGTTCTCCATTTCTTTTGGTTGGTGGCGACGGTGAATGCGTTTCGATACACCAAATTGTTGAGAGACTTCAAGAAACATCATATTGAATTGAAAACGGTAAAATCATAAAATATATTTATCTAAATGCTTAAATCTTGCCTATTTAGAGTGAGGAATCGAAGCTGACGACCATCAATCATTATGTAGGCATTTGTATTTACAAGGAACCGCTACAATTGTTGATTGATACAATTGAGAGGTGAAAATTTAGCCGCTGACTTCTTATCTTTTTTGTTATCGTATTCTATTGGATTGGTGAATTGAAAACTGCCGGCTATTGTCATATGTGACAGTTTCAGCACTTTCTTCAAAAGAAATCTATTTTGATGTCATTGGAAAAGTTGTAGAGAATCAAAAATCAAGCTTATATCCAAATTTTCAGTACGATTCAAAAGCTGGTTTTCAAGAAATGCCAAATTTACGAATTTTCACAAAACTTGCATTTTAAGCGAAACTACTAAGTGTACCTTTTTGGAAATTTGGCTATAAGCCTAATTTTTGATTCTCTACAACTTTTCTATTGACACCAAAATGGGTTTCTTTTGAAGAAAGTGCTCAAACTGGGACACCTCCAGTCCTCTCACAGTTGTCTCACACACAAACCAAAATCCTACTACAAAAGAGGAATCCGAAAATTGCCTGTAAAATGGGCAGAAGTCGTCAATAATAATGAAAATTATTTCGAATCAATTTATGGTTTTATGTTGAACAAATTTTAGTTCAAAGTCCGGCAGTTTTCAATTGACCAACCCAATAGAATACAGATAATCTCAAACTATAAATGATAACTATAAACGTTCAGTGTTGCTTCTCAAAATGACGCAAAGAGAAAGATCTTTATGTTCATCGGAATCGAGGAGAAAACCCCGAATAGAGATGAGGTTAAATAATAAAAAGAAAAGAAATCGAAAAGAAAAGTTTCAGAAGAAATCTCAATTGTATGAGCTGTTCAACAATCGTTTTAAGCGTTTCATTGTGATTTGCCATCCAAGTGGAATACCCGGAGATATTCCCGGGAAATGTTCGAATCTCAATTTTGCGGCGAGGACAGGGATTACTTTATTTGGAAAAGCGATGGTGGGGAAAAGTTCTAGCTTTGGATGTCAGTAGAAGAAGAAGCAGAAGAAGTCTTTATTATAAGATGAAAAGTTTGTGTGTCTGTCCGTTCACCTCATAACTCTAGTTCCAGTAGGAATCTAAAGACAGAGGTCTAAAGACATTCGCCTTTTTAGGAAGACGAATTCGAGAAGCAGGGCTTTTGCTTGAGAACTCAAGTGTTGGTGACAACGGGTGATTGCGATTCAGTCTTCGGAGAGAGATATTTCGATGCTCTTGAAGAGGATTTCTGGAAGACAAAAACTGAGGTTAACCTTTGCAATTCTATATGAGCACAAAAGCAATTCCAGGATCGAAATCGCACCGTCTGGCAAAGTCCTTTATTTTACTCGATGCGGCTCGACAAATCGCCGTTTTTCGTGCGAATCACCGGGATGTTGAGATCGTTTTTTATGATGGGGTAAGAAAAAATGATCCAGAGATTCGATGATCTTGATTGTTCGATCTTTTGAGTTTTCTTATTCCATGGGGCATCAACACGATGTCGATTTTCTCGTTGACTCTTGAATTGTACAAAGATGGAGGATATACCCATCCCGGATATCAAGTAAGCGAGCTTCAAAGCAAGAGCTTCAAATGGGATTTCGATTTGGATAATAATGATGGTAATAATGATAATAATGATAATGATAAGTATGTATGTTATGTGGTAAATGTAATATGGGGTAATTGATATAATGGTAATAATAATATATTATAAAAATAATAATAATAATAATAATACCGTATTTACTCTATTAGTGGGGTCCTCTCTAATAGTGGGGTCCTCTCTAATATTGGTAACGAAAGTGATACATCAATTGTTGATCTCTTGGATTAGTTCTTTTACTGTTTGTTAATGTTTTGTTACGGTTAAAGCTAAATAAAATATGAAGCCAAACTTGTTTTGTCAAGAATTTCGGAGAAAAATTGATATCTTTTCAATTTAAAACTTTGGTTTTATGTTCTTTTAAATTTCTCTAATAGTGGGGTCGTCTGGAAGGGGATTGAAAAAATAGTGGGGGACCCCACTAATAGAGTAAATACGGTAACTCATTTAATAGAGAATTCCATAGTCTAAGTGTTGAATAAAAGCGTTGCAGAGTTGAACGAAAAGATTCAAGCCCTATTTTCGACGACTTTCGACTTAAAACGACTTAAAACGACTTAAAACATGTCTTCGAAAAGATTTTAAAGAAATCTTTAAACTGATATGTGTCTAAGTGATTGTATTTCAAGATTTGTAAAGCATTGTATCGAGTTGTGCATAGAAAGGTTTAATTTTAATGTTATAGATGGAGGATATCATTGCTTTGATTCGATGGTCGTTGGCGGTGAAGAAAAAGTGTTTAGTTCGAGCGATTCCCGTGGCTACTTTATCCGGTCCAACTTCCGGTGAATACTAACAACTACAATACTTAAATTACAAAGAAACTTTACGATCTAATGATCTATTTCTAGGTAACAACTATAAGAACGAGTTGATCGAATGGGGTCGACAGATTCGACGGTGGACAATTGGAGCGGCTGAAGTGAGTTTCAGAGAAGTTTGAGACCAAGTTAAGCTGACTCAAGCTGACTCAAAGTTACCTTTGGATCAGAAATTTCACAGTCTTATTTTATTATTGAGGTTTTTCACTACTTTGTCGTGAAATCTCCCCGTCTACCGGCTACAGTCTCTCTTTTTTTTGCTTTCAAATTCATTGGCTATTATTGTTTCATGCTTTGTGTGGCTCCACTCTACTGGATTCTTGGAGCCTTTTTGGTGATTCTACAATATCAATTCTGACAAAAATCCTCATTCCAGACGCCACATTTCATTTCGAAATTCAACACCTCCGAAACTTTGGCAGAAAGTTGGACATTCATTCAACTCAATCTCTTCCTACTTTCCCTTCAATATTTTTGGTTTTTCTGTGTCATTCTTGTCAATCTTTTGTGTCAATCGGTAAATTAAAATATTTAGTTAGCTTCAGTTTCAGCTTCTTTTTAGCTTCAACCGAAATATCGATATCGTTCAAAGATTCATCCTCTACAAGCCTCACTTGACTGGATTCTCAGTCTTCCAACTATTCTCATTCATTGTCTTATAGAGCTAAATGCTTTTCTCGAGGTTTATCCCATACAGTACTTTCAAAAAGATTCCAGATTTTAATATAGAAAAACAAATTGTTTCAGGTGACTTTTCGAGGGAAATCGATCTGTTCGCATAGCGCCTCGAAAAAAGAGAATTTAGTGGAAGGGAATGGAGATCATGAGCCTTTACTCGAAACAAATCAAGCTGAGACAATGATTGAGACTTTTGTTTGATAAAGACACTCAATAAAATGTACTACAAGAAGCTTTTTGTTGATTACTGTATGAGCCTTAGAGAAGAATTCCTTTAAATGAAATCGAAGAAGATTTCTCCTCCAAAAACACATTCATTAGACTTGCTAAACTTTAGTTCTTTTAGTGCTTCTAGTTGTCGTTGTTTCTACCTTCTAAATCTTTTTTTTTGACTCAAAATTACACCAAGACACTCCTTCTTTCACAAAATACAAAAATTTTTAAAGCAAATTCGATATCAAACTAGACTCAATGAAGAATCTGTTGTTCTTTTTACGGAAACTGATAGAATTCTGATAGAATCACTCACATGGGAGAAAAGGATCAGTCACAAAATACAGAGGAAAAGTAAAAGAACTATAAATTGTTGTGAATGAAAAGTGAAGCAATACGGTTTGCGATACGGTTTCAAAGCTTTTCAAGAGTTTGATACTTTATAGATTTTGATCTATTTCTTTAACTCTATCTTTAACCATGTTCCTTTCAATTAAAGCACTTTCTTTATACTAGCATCTATTCTACCGTACTCTTGTCTTTATTTAGTCTGTCTGTTTTTATTTCTTTTTGTCTTTAGTAGCTCTGTGAGTTCATTGAGCAAAAGATGAGGCCCAGGCACAACGATTCCAAAGTGCATTGTCTTTGTATGTCTTTCATAAAATCGAAATTCTGTTTGCGCAGAAATGTTACATGCTATTCAACTATGAAAATTTTCAAAAATCTCTAAGATCGCTCTACTGGTTCAAAAGTTATTTCGACAAATATTAGGTTGATGCAAAAGTCTTTTTCATTTTTTTCGTACTTCTTTTGAAAAATAACAAAGTCATCAATTAACCTATGGTTTGCTCTAAATGAAAAGTGTTTATTGTTCAATTTCCCATCTTTTTAAGTCAATTTGGGTTCACTTTCAAGCAAATTCGAGAGTGAAAACGGGTTTTTCATAAAAATCTATAAAAACCTCTTTAAAGAAATTGGCTGAATCAATTTCTCTGAAAATCTGAAAAAATATCTAACTTTTTGTGCTCTATCTTTTATTTATTAACATCAAGATTGGTTTCCTTAGCTAAAGCGTCTAAGATGCATCATCGAGCCGTCGCCTTTTTTGACTACCCGACTTCAGGCTCTCAAAAAAATCTAGACATAAGACATTTTAAACTCGTTTTAATGTCATTTTGCAGAAAAATAATTGGCCTTTCGAATGCAATAAACCGTTGTTCAATTGGTGCATTTGTTACTTTTTAACGGAAGTACGAAAAAAATGAAAAAGACTTTTGCATCAACCTAATAGGTTTGCTTGTTTACATTCAATTCAATTCGTTTTGCTCTGTCAGAAATTCAGAACGATGTTTCCAGCTTTTCGAGCTCTTGTTTGTATTAGAAAGAAATTATGTTGCATTTAAAAAATGTTACTCGCTAGTGGAAATTGGATGTAATGGATCGAAAGGAAGGAGACATGATCCAAGGACTTCAAGAACTCCAAGAATAGTTCCAAGAACTCTAAGAATGGTTCCAAGAACTCCAAGAACTTCAAGAACTCCAAGAATGGTTCCAAGAACTCCAAGATTGGCTCTAAGAACTCCAAGAATGACTCCAAGAACATGAATAAACGAAATCTACGATTTGTCTCCTTTCCTCTAGATTTCCCGGAAACGATATCAAGCGAATGTGCAAAGCTTTACCTAAGCAACTATTTCAAATGAACCAGCCTATCCAGAGTAAATAGGAGCTATGATGATTTTTGACGATTGGTCTCAAAGTGTATCACAAGTGAAAACAAACTTCACAGATGCCGAAGTTTCTTCAATTGCTTTAGCTTGAGCACAGTATACAGAAAAACTGTTTTAAAACAGCTCTCTTGAGGAAGTGCTCTTGTAAAAATAGACAGACTCGGAACAAGTTCGTTGCATTTTGATGCATATTGGTCCATTCATGAACACAAAATGATTGGTGTCCTAGTTGAAGAAGGGATAGAAGCAGTACATTGTAAACTTGCTATAGAAATCGACCGCCACAAAATGGGGCAATTGAAAAATGTCTTGAAGTGGCTCAGCATTGATGAAGGAAAGCTTGGTGACCGTTAATTAATGTTAATTTTATTTTCTACCGTTGTTACCGTTTTGTTTAATTTGTTATGATATTTTATAAAGACTTTTTGCATAAGGTAATCACAGAGACCAAGATTGTCCGTCAATTTCGGAAAACTCTCTTTTATTCGTGTTCTTAGGCTTAGGCTTAGGCTTAGGCTTAGGCTCAGGCTCAGGCTTAGGCTTGGACTTAGTGCGAGGCGCTAGCCGCTAGCGCCTCGCACTAAGTCTATTTGGGTTTGGGCTTAGGCTTAGGCCTAGGCTTAACAAAAAAAGACTTTTTGCATAAGGTAATCACAGAGACCAAGATTCGGATTTCGGAAGACTCTCTTTATTCGTCAATTTCGTCAATTTCGGAAAACTCTCTTTTATCCGTGTTCTTACCCAAAGCAAACCTCTTTGTCGAAATAACTTTTGAACCAGTAGAGCGATTTTAGAGATTTTTGAAAATTCTCATAGTTGGATAGCATGTAAAATTTCTGAATTTCGAAAAGAGAATTTTGATATCGAAGAAAAATATATTTTACCGTATAGCGGACTCTGTAATGTTACGCTAATTCTCCGTCAAAACACGTTATTTCGTGTTTTTCTTGTGCAAAACATCGTCAACAGAGGAAAAAGTAAAAAAAGCAAACTTTTTAGTCACCCGTTTGTCCACTTTTTTCTCTTTTTTTTATGTCTCCCTTATTCGAGTAGACAACTGAATGATTGAAAAAGTTCTGTCATGAAATGAATCATCGTTGATCATCATCAAAATAATATTGGCATAAAGCTAATAATAGAGAAAAATGTATATATAAATTATGAGCAATTCAGTCTCATTCTGAACTCTTTTGTATAAAATAAGGAAAAGTTCTTAACGTTTTTGGAAACTTTTTGTGTAAATATGTGATTTTGAGGTTGTTGCGACTGTACTTTTGAAATGCTTTGATACTTCTAGAGTATCTTCGCCAAGAATTCCTTTTTATCCGCTTTCTCTATTCTCCATTTTTTCCCATCTACCTCACTTTATCACCAAAAACCTTGCATTCCTTATAGTCAATTGGTTAGTGGATCAATTCGTTAGTGGGTCAATTGGTTAGTGGGTCAATTGGTTAGTAGAACATTTGGTTAGTGGATCAATTGGTTAGTGGGTCAACTGGTTAGTGGACCATTTGGTTAGTCAATTGTCAGTCAATGAGTTCACTAGACAAATCGGTTTCTGTCAATAAAGGCAAAAATTCAGTCATAACACATTTTTAACCCGTTTGAATGTTATTTCACTGGTTTTTCAGCCAGTAAAAAGCCAGTAATTGGCTTTTCTAATGAAATAAACCGTAGTTCAATTGAGGCATTTTTTTTGGTTTAATAACGGAAATAGGAAAAGGAACGAAAAGGAATGAGAACACTTTCTGAACAATAGAACAACAATAGAACAACTTAAGCCGCTTCTGAGGTGTATAATTCTCTTTTTTTTCTTTTGTTCTACTAGGCCTAATTTGATGATCGTTTCAAACAGTAACATAATAATAATATTAGACTACAAAATTCTTACAATAGATTCTTACAATAGATTTTCTAAACCCCCTCCCCAACTCATATTTTTCCATTTTGAAATTTCAAACGGAAATTCGTTGTTTCCTCTAAACAACGCCCACTCAAAAATAAACGAAAATTAATCCGTTTATAGATTGAAATTCTCTAATTAACTAATGTAATCAAGATCTCGAGAAAAAGAAAATATTTGAAGCCTTTGTTTCATTCGAAAAATTGATTGGTGAGAGTAATTTTTCGAAAAAGACTACAACAATTGTTGAAATTTTAGATTTTAGATTAAAATTTTGTAATAATCAAAGCAAAAGTGAAAAATCTAAGCAAAAGTGAAAGATCATAAGCAAATCCGGGTAATGAAATGACAAAGCTTGCTCTCCAAAAGTCTCTAAAGAATTCACAGCGATAAAGAATTGACCCGTGCTTGCTTCACGAGATTTTCACGTTGCTGGGTGTGTTCTTACGAAAATCTCCGGTTCTTACAGTAATCGAATTCAATTTTTGATAAGATTTTTCATCACTTTCACTCAGAATCGGCAAATCAGACTTGGGGCGTTTGTGTTGATTATGCGAGCACTCGAAATTTGTCATCATTTTCTGCTGAATTCGGAAAGAAGCGCGGATAAGTCGGCGATAAGCAAATGCGGGTTTTGATCAGTGGAAAAACCCCTGAAATGTTCATTGTAGTCGACGGAATCTGATGCTTTCTGATGGAATAGCTCATCGCATCACTGATTAGATAAAACACATATAAATAAGGAAAAAATTGGATTCATTAAGCTGCTCACATGTTCGAAAAAGGGAACCTGGGGTGATTCAGTTTTTTTTTTTACTTATTTGAAGCACTCAGTACATCTTTCACCTTTGGAATCTTCAAAACCCAATTACTTACAAAAAATAGTCAGTTATTTGAATCACAATCCCTTTTTTTAAGTTTCTTATTGTTGATCACTGATACTGAATCACTTCCGGTCACCGATTCATTCAAATGTTTCTCTTTCTCTTCAAAAAAATATGCAAATTAGCTGAATCCGCTAGCAAAGTATGTTATTTGAATCTTTTTATTACTATATAATCTAATTATACTCTTTGTTAATGTTTTTTTTTGCTTTTTTGAGCAACTTTCCTTGTCTTTTCTTGAGCCAATTGTGCAAATCTGATAGCAAAGCTACAGTACTTTTCAGTACAATTCACAGTACAATTCCCTCTATTTTTGTAAGCTTTATTGGGCTAAATATTACAAAATGGGTACTGTAACCATTAGGTATTCACTAAGTGTGTACTGTGGCCAAAGTGGGGTACAAAACCCATACATAGTACTGGTAATCAGTAGTCTGAACCTTTATATAAAAGAGCAGTGTCTGTCGGTCCGTTCGTCCTTTCCTCAGTTGTCTTTGGGAGAAAAAACCTGAAATTTTTTAAAAAGCCTTAAAATATAATATAGTTATGCCATTTAAAATCAAAAAAAAATTAAGAAAGTGGCCTTGAGTGGGTTTACGGGGGGTCGAATCCGGATCGTGTGGGCCGTAGACAAGCGCGCTCGCGACAGCACCACGGCGACAGAACACAGGGCCAGTGAAAAGCGAAAAGCTTTTGACAATCTGATAGTTCTTTTCTCTGCTAACTTGCTCGGATGTTACCCATTGTAAAGTTGAACCGAATAACAATGACTCACCTCCTCTGTTCTCCTCCAAAAAAAGCCCAAATCGGTCTCCACATAGTCTTTTTGACCTTTTGCAAGGGCAATTTCTCAAAAAAAAAAACGACTATTTACCCAATTTATTTACAAATGACCTTAAAAAGGCGACTCGGGAATTTGCTCAAGAATCCTACGGTAGAATTCCCCATAAAAAGTCACAAAGTTCAAAGAGTGACCCATTTTTTGAAAATCTCTCTTTTTCAATATATATTTGCTAATGACGTCATTCTTACAAGAATTTCGCCCACCTCTTGCTCAAATATCAAGCAAAAATGGGGAAAACCTTTTTCGTTCTCGATATTTCTTTTTTGAAATATCTCCTTTATTTCGGATGTTTCTCTGTTTGTTGAAAGTCTCCGATTGAACTCAAATCAAAGTATATAGAGGATTTTACTCAACTATATAGAGGATTGTACTTGTACTGTACTATATAGAGGATTGTACTTGTACTGTACTATATAGAGGATTGTACTTGTACTGTACTATATAGATGATTGTACTTGTACTGTACTATATAGAGGATTGTACTCTATTTTTCGAGAGTTTTCTCGTACTTTTCTTTCCTACCGTAGTTGGGAATTTAGTGAGAATGACGATTGTGACAAGGGGATCGATTCGGCAATCAAGCGAATGTCCGGCTGCTGTGCATGGGAAACATTCTGATCGGCAAAGGTTCGTCGAATAAAATGGATCGCAGAGTAAAATGGATCGCAGAATAAAATATGAAATGTTCTTTTTGAAGAATAGAATTTAGTATAATAATAGCCAGTTAGACTCACAAATATTAGGTAAAAATTTGTGCTAATGCTTACTGTAGTTGGAGCAAACTTTACTATTGTAAAAATGATCTGAAACAAGAGCTAAGAGCCGTCAAAATGATTTGAAAAACTGACTAACTGAAATACTGTACTTATTCTATATTCTAAATCTATCAATACTTTATTGATGTAAGAATAAAACGTTCGATTGAACACAAGAACCCAAAATGACACACTTATTGAATACAAGAAGAGAAGAATTGTAAAGTGAATTGTAAATGAATGAAATCTGAACTTTCCAGCCATTCTCCATTCCCATTAGAACCTCCATATAAAGGCCGTGATGTGAAAGAAGCGAATGAGTACATCCGTTGGTATATTCTCTTCGCTCTCCTCATCTTTATCTCATTCTCCTCAATCTTCTGGATTCCAGCCATTCCGTTTATCCAGGTTTATATTTCTATAGTTTTCCTACTAGAAATTCGATTCGAATATGAAGCCACGTCATTCAGAATTGCCCATTCAGAATTATTCGATGGAGATCTTTCTTTTCTTCTCTTTTCTCCTTCATCTCATCTGGTTCACAGCCACATTGAACGCTTTTTTTTACACGAGACGATTGCGAAAATTTCGAAAACATAAAATAAAGCTGAAACCGGTGAGTGTGGAGTTTAGATTGTAAAAAGATGAACATCAATTCAGACATGCGAATCAAAAGATTGGATCATTAAGCACTTTGTGGGCATTTGTATCTACAAAGAGCCACTTCAACTCTTGATTGATACAATTGAAAGGTTTGATTGATACAATTGAAAGAGAAAATGATAGAATATTGAAGAAATATTTGAAATATCAGAGATCATGTTGAGCTTTCAGTGTTGCAAATCAAAGTGAAGCGTCAAAGAAAATCTCGATGTTTATTGGGATCGAAGAGGGGACTCCAGAGAGAGAAAAGGTTTCAAATTTTGATCATTCATTCATAAAATCTCCATAAAAAGCTTTAATAGACAAGCTAAAAGGGTTTTGTTTTTATTTTATTATTGCAAATATATTTCAGAAAACAGCCGAACTCCACAAATTGTTCGATTCTCGTTTTGAGCGTTTCTTCGTTGTTTCCCATCCGCGGGGTTTACCTGGGGATATTCCTGGGAAATGTTCGAATCTAAACTTTGCAGCTAGAACTGGAGTCGCTTATTTCATAAAAACAATGGTTAGTTGAAAAATTCGACAGCTTTACAGTAGTTTTAGCCGCTTTTTTTCAATAATTAGCTTTAAATGTGTCATTGATTAGTAAGAATTTGGCAAAATAAGCAAGAAATTATATATGTAGTACAGAAAAAAAAGAATACCTCTTTCAGCAAGAACAAAACGAGAAGCTTGGTGTGAACCCGAAAACGCAAGTGCTGGTGACAACGGGTGACTGTGATTCAGTCTTCGGAGAGAGATATTTCGATGCTCTTGAAGAGGATTTCTGGAAGACAAAAACTGAGGTAAACCTTTGCAATTCTATATCAGCACAAAAGCAATATTGCAGGACCGAAATCGCACCGTCTGGCAAAGTCCTTTATTCTACTCGATGCGTTTGGAGAGATCCCCATTTTTCGTTAGAGTCACCGGTCTTCTGCGCTCGTTTTTCATGATGGGGTCAGTTCAAATAAAGATAGATAATAAAGAAAATATAGATTTAACCAAATTAGAATTAGAATGTAGAATTATATAATATAGAATTAACCAAGCTGATTACCTCAATCTTTAGTTTCTTGATCCCCTGGGGAATCAACACGATGTCGATCTTTTCACTGACTCTGGAGCTGTATCGAGACGGTGACTATACCCATCCTGGATATCAAGTAAGAGAATTTTAAAATATCAAAGATTTAAAAAAAAATAGATTTATAATGTGGTATACAATACAAAAAGAAAAACGAAAATCAGTGAAAAAAGAATGAACAATCTATGCGAAGGGATTGAACTCTTGATTGTCCGACTCGGTCGACTGGCTGAGTCGGACGATCAAGGGATCAAGCCTGAGAACCCTCAGCCAGTCGGTCATGTCCATAAAAATATCTTTATATCTTTCCATAGATGGAAGACATCATCGCGTTGATTCGTTGGTCATTAGCTGTGAGAAAGCGGTGTATCATTCGAGCGATCCCTGTGGCCACATTATCTGGACCAACTTCAGGTATTTTTTGTAATCGAAATACTTTTCCTTGTCTGAATCTGAATCCTAGTGAATACGATAATTTATCTTTATCTCATTACTTATTGACCATCAAACTTGCAGGAGACAACTACCGTCACGAGTTTTTCGAGTGGGCTCGTCAGATCCGCCGTTGGACCATTGGTGCTGCTGAGGTAAAGTTTAAAGTTTAATTAAAACTCACCATAATTATTCTAGGTTTTCCACTATTTTGTCATCAAATCCACCCGTTTGCCGCGTTTCGTTTCACTCGTTTTTGGAGCGAAATTCGTTTTCTACTACGGTTTCATGTTGTGCATTGCGCCGATTTACTCGATTCTCGGAGCCACTTTGGTAGGTTCTTTCGTACATTTTAAGACTCAAATGTTCATTGGAAATCTTTGTCTTACCTTGGAAAAAAGTTTAAGGATAAAGTTTGAATCTAAAGGCTAGGCATATCTACTAAATATAAAAGAAAAGTATCAGTCCGGCTGTACGCGCGAGTTCTGGGTCGATTTACACAATTTTTAGTTTATTAGACTTAGAATTCTATCTATTAGGTTGGAAAGAAAGTTCTGGGAAAAATTTTCACGATAAAAAAAGAGATTTCTTCAGCTGAAGTGACTTGGTCACTTTTTGAGTGACCAATCATTGATTTGGGACAAGAAAAACATAAAAACTAACACTATCAATCAATTCCTCAACCCCGAAAACTCCAGGTACAACTTTTCTGTTCAAAAATTTGAAGTTTTTGAACTTTAATATGCAAAAAAAGATCGCTAGGTGTTCCCTGTGTGCCAGCACAATCGCGCTCGATCTGGCATATGACGCCTGCTGATATACTCCCTTTTCCCTCCTCAAATCGGAAGCGTCCATTTTGGGTCATCCGGTAACCAATCCGTTGTCTGCCCCATGTGGTCACCGCTTCCCAAAACTAACCTCGGTTGTAGAGCTGGTCAACCCAGCTCCGGCTCATTTTGACCATTATGGCGGGTTCTCCGTCGGTCGAAATGGGATCCCAAGTGCCTGTAAAAGGGTGCTGAAGGGAGCCGCTGTGAATTTTTGGATTCATCCCAAGGATTTCGGTCCGTAGGGGCAGCAAAAAAACTCAAGAAACCACGCTACAGGGTGTTCCAAAGGAAAAATCCACCTGGGGTAAAATTTTAAAAATATTTCTGATGGCTCAAGGTGGTAGGTGTGGTGCGAAAATGTTTTTTTTGGGGTCGGGAAATTTGGATGTTTTTTCATGATTTTTACCATATCACGACGCTGTCTACCTAAGAAATTCCTGAGCCACCCCCACCATCAGATTTTTGCCATAAAATTAAAACTTTGTACTGGCATCGTGGTGTCATATTAGAGCTAATATATGAACTAAGTTTTTTAGCCTAACACTATTCATCTATATTATATGAAAACCTGTCGTGCATAAGAGAGTAGGGGCAGCAAGAAACTCATGAAACGAAACGAGTAAACGGGCTCAAGCATTGGAAAATACTAGAGATGATGTCGGTCTAAAATCGAAAGCTAAAATCGCCGTTTGTGGCCTGAAATGGCTTAAAAGAGATTATAGAGCGTATTGCTCATTTATGCTAGCTTTACCTCATAAAAAATCCTTTTTCTCGTGCAAAAAGTGAGCTGAATTTAAGCTGGAAAATAATACTTGTTCAAAAATCTCTAAAATTTTACGGGAAAGCTGCACTCATTTTTTACGAGTAATTTCTTGGAGTCCACTTGTAAATAATAGAACAAAATGTTCTTGAATTCATGGATTCATTCTTTCCAGAAATTCCAGTCAAACTTTTTCCGAGAACTTTCTTTCCAACCTAATAGTTGTGGATCTGATGTTTCATTTTTATGAAGCAAAAGACATGACACAACCGGGAGTTGAACCCGGATCGTGTTGGTTGTAGAAAAGCGCACTCTCGACCGCGCCATGGCGACAATGCAAACTTACTAAAAAAACCCGCCTTTAACCGACTTTTACCCAAAAATTCTCATTCAGACGACAACAATGATGTCATTATTTGGAGTGAAGGATGGGGGTGATGGTCTCTTTTCGGCGAACACCCACCTCTTCACTTACGTCAATCTCGGTCTTTTGGCTCTTCAATATTTCTGGTTTCTCTGTGTTTTTCTTGTGAATATGATTTGCGAATCGGTGAGTGTGAATATTTGAAGAGGTCATCGCAAATGAAAATAGAAACAAAGTGTTTCGCGTGGGTGGCGTTTGCAAATTCTAAAGATTTCAGGTATTGCCCCCATTCAAGGATCGTACATCAATCAATTTCTTCCGAAATGTTTTTCATTGGATTCTTTGTTTGCCAACGATTCTCATGTATTGTCTCGTGGAACTCGACGCGTTTGTCGAGGTAAAGTAGAACTTAAACATCGGAAAAAGCTCACCAAAGCTCACCAAAGCTCACACCGAAACCAAATAATAGCTTACAATCAAAATAGTACTTTAGAATTTCTTTTTAAAGTTTATTTCAGGTAACTTTCCGTGGGAAAGCCGTCTGTTCGCATAGTGCCTCAAAAAAGGACAATCTCGTCTCAGCAAATGACCAAAACAAGAGAAAACCGGAGAAGCTGGACGTTGAAACACTTCAAATCGTTTAGATTTTAATCTAAATCTATCTAATATCTAAAAATAGTAGATACCGTAAATACTGGAATAGTACCCCACCCCCATAATGACGATGCGGAGTGTTGCGTAGTCTAGTTTTGAACGAGTTTTTCTCGACACTGGTTTATGCTACAATGCGCGTTTGACAATTCGTGCAAACGGATAAAATTATGTAGTTTTTGCTTAAATTCACCTGCTTTAGTGAACTTTCTGTGGGTTCCAAGTGAACTTGGAGTGTCCAATGCTTAAGCAATATTAGGTTAGCCAATAAGTCTTTTCGTTCCTTTTCATACTTTCATTTAAAACCAGCAAATGCACCAATTGAACATACCGTAAATATTGTAATAGTACCCCACTCCCATAATGACGGTGCGGAGTTTTGCGTAGTCTAGCTTTGAAGGAGTTTTTCTCGACACTGGTTTAAGCTACAGTGTTTGTTTCAATATCAAAAAATAGCTGAAATTCAGGGCTATTTTTTGATACCAAAGACACATTTTTGAAGGTACGGGCGGTTTGAAACAAAATGAAATACTAAAAAGATTTTGCGACTACGCGACTGTACGTGGGAATGGTGGGATACTATTACAGTATTTGCGGTATCCATAGAGCTTCAGCCTCAAGCCTTCAGCCTAAAACTAAATACATTTTTAGCTTTAAAAAATCTCAACTTTAATTTCTACTCTACCAGGGTTTAGTTTTAGCTTTAGCTATTCTCATTTGATCTCGATTTGCATTTTTTTGTATTCTTTACCATATCGGGTTTTTCTTTTCGCATTTATTTGCTCGTTTTATTTTTTAAATTTTATTTTCATATCATGATATTTGTCCAAATAAAACATTCATTCAAGAAAAATCAAAAAAAAAAAAAGAAATGAGATGACAAGGAAGCTGGGATATAGAGAGAGAGAGATTTGTATTGCACAAAAATGGTTTACCCGTATAGAAAAATATTCAATCTGTGCTAGGGTTACGGTAGAAGAGCTTACTAGTTTTTAAAATGCAATTTTACAAAGTAAAAATAGTATAAGAAATAGTTTTGAGTTTGAAAAAAGTCGGGTTTGAGTCGAATTTGAGAAAAAGATATAGAAAAAGATAATAAAGAAAAAGAAAAACAGAATACCCTGTATGAAAAGATGAATAGAAACGACAAAAATTGTTTTTCTAATAGTTGTTTTACTTATTTTCGAAATTTCAATCGATGCGGGGTTATGGGTTTTGGAGGGAAAAAGCCAGACAACGAATTGTAGCTGAGGTGGAGGCCACGAATTGACTCCAGACATGAGCATTTCCCGAGAGTTCCCTGCAAATTTTGATTTTAGCTTTGTTTAGCTTTAAATCTAAAACTATCTCTTTTAGATAAAGCTATCTCTTTTTGTGTGCAAAGAAAGACATCTCTTTGAAGCCTGAGCAAATTTCTGAGGCTTTTCTCTTGAATAAAGCCAGTCAGCTTCACTCACTTCATCATTATCTGGTTCATCAGGTCTCCACGAGTAGATCATTGTACCGAGAGCTTGTTTACAAAAGTCCTTGCATTCTTCAAATTCGATATTTTCCGCAAAAGTCACTACCGGGCCGGTGATTTCGTGATCGAGGAAGCCATCTTCTGAAATTTTTTTTTAAAAAAAAGATTAGGCAAAATGTTCTATGTTAGAAAAATGGAAAAATGGCAAAATGTTTGAAAACTCTATTGGCAGTGTTTGGACAAAGTCTGTCTCATTCTCTCACTTCATCATCATCTAGTATAAAGTGTTTAGATCCAGTTCATTTTGTAGACTCTTAGACCTTGTACCTTGTAGAATTTTTATCTCTACAACCCAACAGCTTTTGAAGTCCCTAAAAGACTTCAGATTTGGCACCATTTTTAGAGATCAAAAACCAAGGAGATTCAATTCTGATTTATGAAAATGAAAGAAGAGGAACCAATTTCGAATAGGAAATGGTTACGTGGCAACTGAAAAGTGAAAGGGTAGGAGAGATCACACAAACGCTACACTATCCAATCTATCCAACCCACCCAATCCTTCCAATCCTTCCAATCTTTCCAACCCATCCACCCATCCAACCCATCCAATCTTTCCAAGCCTATCTCCCTTGAAGAGAGATTTGTGTACTTGGGATACCCTTTCCTCTTTCCCCATAATTCCACTTTTCCATAATTAACTATTTCCACAACAATTCGTTACTTCTGGATTGGATTTAGAAAAGCAAAAAGATCAACGAACTCTCGTAGTGAAATGGAACTGATATTGTCAAATAAATGGCAAATAAATATCAGTTTTAGAGTTCTCCAGTCATTTCCTGTATTGACTCTTTTTGGGATCGTTTTTGAAAAGTTTGCTTTTAAAAATCCCATTTCCGAAAATTTCTATGACTTTGAAAATCTCTGCAAATGCAGCAATGATCTGTGATCAGTCTGATCAAGCCAAACACTAGAACTCTCGTAAAAAAACGCACAGGAAATTGCTTGACAGTCACGAATTTTTAATTTTCAACTTAATTACTTTGTGTACCTAGTTTTGTTTTTTCGAAACTCAGTTTTTTCTCACTAGCTCAATCACATCATTTCTGGAAGGAGATCCAGGGAAATTGGGCTGTTTCAAAGAGAAAAAAACAATTTCGATGATGTGAGAATATATTCTTTATGTCTGGACAACGCTTTGTGGGTCCGGAAGGGTTTTGCAGGGAAAAGGAAGAAGGGAGAAGGGAGAGGGGAGAAGGGAGAGGGGAAAGAAGTGGCAAAGGAATATCCTTGTTCACTACACCCAAATTGCCGACTGACCTCTGGACTTGGGAAAGTTTAAGAATGTTTTTTAGAAAGATTAGCATTTACTGTTATTCTTACAAGCACTCAAATTCCCAGACGCTCCTTAGATTCTCATTTTTTGACTTGTAGTTGACCCGTTTTGAGTGAGAGATGACCCTTGCACTGATTGGATGTCCGCTGGATCTTTGACAGCAAATTGAGGAAACGGGTGACAACAGAACATCAGTTTTTTTTGACTGAATGTTGTCACGATGAAATGTTTGATTGAATCAACTCTCAGACTGACCCAATCCACCACTCAAAGAGAAGAGAAGTGCGTTGGAGTTGTGGTGGAGTCTGGTTTATTTGGTTCTGGTGTTACTATCAATTATCTATACCGTAAATACTGTAATAGTACCCCACTCCCATAATGACGGTGCGGAGTGTCGTGTAGTCTAGCTTTGAACGAGTTTTTCTCGACACTGATTTATGCTACAATGCGCGTTTAGGTATCAAAAAATAGCCCTGAATTTCAGCTATTTTTTGATATTGAAACGAACACTGTAGCTTAAACCAGTGTCGAGAAAAACTCGTTCAAAACTAGGCTACACAACACTCCGCACCGTCATTATGGGAGTGGGGTACTATTACAGGGATTTACGGTAGATAATACATTAACAAAAGTGGTAAGTTGAATCCTTTTAAACGTAAAATTTCTTTAGATTTAATAGATTTCAATGGTCCCCCCACTTATCTTAAAAAGTCGTCTATTTTTAGAGAACTCTTTGCTCAATTGAAGAATCAATAGATTCCACCCGTCCATCCATTCGTCCATTGGATGAATGGATGGATGGACCATTCATTCATCCATCCTCTCTGCACTGTGGCTGATGTGTTCAAGCAGCGAACAGCATATTTTTATGAAAAATTTTTCGCAATGATGTCAATTGACGCGAAACTTCCCTTCCCTAAAGGTGAGACTCACCGATTTCCCCGATTCCCTTTCCCTTCCTCTTTCCCTTCCCTTTCCCTTCCCCTTTCCTCCCCATTTCCCATACGGTTCATTGCTCATCTACCTACACTCACCATCATAAGCATAAAGCTTCTTTTTTGCCTTTTCTTTTCCGCAAAATGCGTGGGTTTCGCATTTCCGGGCTTCTTAATCTACAAAGCGATTACGGTGCAAGCAATTCTTTGTGTTCTTTTAGCTTTTGAAAGAAAAGAGAAGCTGGATGGATTACGGTAGCTTGAAATGAAAGCTACACAATAAAATATTCAACTAAAATGTGATCTCTACTAAGCGCCAACCAATCTAGAAACCAAGCAACCAACTCCAGGATCTCTCATCGTCAGCTTCCAATCATCAGCTTCCAATCATCAGCTTCCGATCGTCAGCTTCCGATCGTCAGCTTCCAATCGTCAGCTTCCAATCGTCAGCTTCCGATCGTCAGCTTCCAATCGTCAGCTTTCAATCGTCAGCTTCCGATCGTCAGCTTCCGATCTTTCATCGTCAGCTTCCAATGAATGTTTTTTCTATTTTCCCTGCTCAAATTTTCTCACCAAATTTCCCACAAAGCTATTTGCCATGCGATTCTCTCAAAAATCTCAAATTCGACGGAAATGATTAAAAAAATGGACAAAATGAGAGAGCAAAGATAGATGCAGACATTCAGTCATTCAGTAATCCAGTCACTCAGTCATTCAGTCATTCAGTCATCCATTTCTCCATCCAGTCACTCAGCCAGCCATTTCTCCACCCATTCCCCATCACGTCATTTAGAACTTTTTAAGTTCATACTGCCGGAAAAATATCGTGACCTTTCAAATGAAAAATCTCTCAAGTTCTTTAAATTTTTAACCTCAAACAGGAAGTGGTGAGAAAAGTCGCCAAAAATCCAAACTTGGACTTGAACTTCAGCTGTTTAAGCCCAATGAGGAAGTGTTATGTTAGGAATTCTCCAAACAAAAAAAGCAAATCCGGGTGCTGTATTTGACAGAGTTCCGTATTGAGGATAATTTCCTCTCTTTTTAGCTCTGATCAATTACTTTTCATGTAGGGGATGTGGCCAAATTGAATTCGAGAAAAGCCTTTGATCCGGTGGAAATTATGAGATAATGGTGAAGGAAATCTTTCTAAAGTGGCTACTTTCAAAGCGGCTACTTTCAAATCTTTGTTTTTCAAAAGGGAAAGCGCTGTGTATTCATAGATTGGTATCATTTTTTAAGAAAACTCGAAATTCTTTGCTTTTCTTTCAAATTTCGGTAAGTAAACCAAGTTCTTTTATGAGTAAAGCTTTTTGAAAACTCATTTTTAGCTTTGCTTTTTGGTTCTGGTGTATTCAAAGCTTCGGCTTTGGCTTCGGCTTTGGCTTCAGCTTCGGCTTTGGCTTCGGCTTTGGCAAAGTTGGGTAATTAAAGGAAAGATTTGACTTTTTGATATAGCTCTTTTAAAAAACCCCGGAAATGATCGGTTTTTCGAGGAGAAGAGATTAAAATTGCACTCTCTAAGAATATCTAAGCAGTTTTCACGAAAACACGCTTCATAAAGCGGTTGACATTAAGAATTCCAATAAAAATTTGATGAGCTGACTTGTGGTTTTGGAGATTCGTGTGACGCTGCATTCGATATTTGGCTCGAGAGATTCGAGAAATCTTGCAACTTTGATTTAAGAAGTAAAAAGATACAAGAAAGAGGTTTTTTGGTTGAGCTTAACTTTCATTCGAAATATTATAGTAAAACTGAGTGCGTAGGAAAGATTTTGCCTATTTTTGGACACTTAATTGTGGGGAAATTCGATGACATCCCACTTTATTTGTCAGCTATATCTGTTCTTAGTTTATCCATTTTTTAACCAAATAGACAAGGAAATAGGAAATGAGATATTTTGATATTTTGCTCGTGTTTTAAGCTAATCACACTACGAAAATGACGCCCTCATTCCTTTCACTCAACTACAGAAGGCAATGAAGCGTCATGAAAGGGATATTTAGAGAAAAGAACTGTTTTAACTCACTCAAACATAAACTCGTGAACTTTTGAATGATGTATGAGTTAGAGATGATGAGAGAGATGATTAGAGAGATGATTAGAGATAATCACATCTATCCTGACACTCATCCCGATCAGATCTACTGGATCTACCGGATCTACCCGATCTACCGGATCTACCGAATCTACCGGATCTACCGGATCTACCGGACTCAGGGTCCAGACTGTCCAGATCTTTTAAGATCCAGGCTGCAGAGCTCTCGCATTCAGTTCAAAGCTACAGTAGACCAAGACCAAACCTAGCATAGAAGCTCTTTCCACTCCAGACTTTCATGGATAGTTCTCTCTTAAGACTGCTGTGTTTCTTTAACGAGTTTTGTCAAACGTCATGCAGACATCGCCCACCCCTCCCCACCTCCCTCACATTCCAATTTGGAAATTTGTGCAAATGTGCAAATGTGCAAATGTTTGAATGACTTTAAAGCCTCTACCCACCATCATCAATGCAGAATCCAGTATAGATATTCTCTTTCCTCGCCATGTCTCCACTCAACGATCGAGCCTGCAATTGAAAAGGTCACAAATTTTTCATTTAATGAGAAACATTTCACATCTTTTTTTCACAGAGAGAGACAAATTTAGCTTTAGCTTTTAAGTGTGTAAGAAAAGGAGAGAAAAAGAAGAGAGGAAAGGAGGAAGTCCACGTCAAATGCACAGCTCTCTCATCGTAAAGTTTGTGATATTTAGGTGAAAAAAAGGTAACAAAAAGAATAGGCAAGTAATGTTTTTTAAATATCTAGACCCATCTAATAATGAGATGGTCAATTTTTTGATATTATACTTGAAAATTGAAGTTGAGAGAGGTTCCAAAAAGCATTTAAGATTCTACATTTCCAAAAATTTTTGCAACAACTATTATTTGTTTGTGATTTCTCTCTCGTTGCTTCGATTGAAATGATTTTTATATCAATCAACAGAAGAAAACATGACGAATCTAATGATACAAAAATTATTTCAATTGAGCAACTGAGCACCGAGAAATTTAAGTTTAAAGTTAAATGAATGGAATAAAAAGCAAATCAAATGTTGACGATTTTCTGAAACGATTAAATAAATGTATGGAGTTGAGTTGAGGCTTTTTTTAAAAGATTAACTTTATTAATATAATGCTTGATATTTTGGGTAATAAAAGCTTATTGATTTACTTAATTTTAATGTATGTGTTGGCTCGAAATTTTGTTGCAAGAATTTTGAAAAATGATTAGAATTTAACTTTTTCTATTAGATTATATTACATTATATTATATATTTCTATTATATTATATTATATTATATTATATTAGACTTCTAGTATACCCAGCAGAACAGATTTGATCTCCTGAATCAAAACTGACCTTTAGAAAACAAGTGTTCGACTCTTCTCTCCATTCGTATGCCAAACACGAGCTCTCTTCTCGACAATTTACTTGACATTCTCTAGAAAAAAAGTACTATAAAGTACTGTAGATAATAGTACTGATGTGTACAGTAATTTTTATAAAAAACTTACTTTAGATTTGTGTTAAGCAATCGTCGATACTCGCCACCGTTTATAGAGAACCCCTTGCCCGCCGTGAAACATCGAGCTGAACATTCAGAGGGTTTAGCTCTATTCATTGAATAACAAAATTAAGCACTGTACTATGTACAGCTGTAGAATGTACAGCACTAGGTAATCTGGCTACAGTACTTTTAAGTTCACTTCCTCAGTATCCACTTTCCCAAGCCCCGAACACCCTATTTCCCCGATTTCTCCCCGATTAGTCGCTTCTTCTCTATCTATTATTAGCTATGAGATTAAAGGCGAAGATAATCTATCCAACATCTATTCATCAGTCTTAATCTGACAACAAGTAACCGATCGGACACGTGGTTAAAAAAAACAAGGAAGATTTTCTTGAAGTTACGTAGATTAAGCTCTAAAAATAAGCCCATTGTCTGCTCTTTTTGTTGAAATTTTCTGCTCAAATGGCTTGTAGGGGTGAGCAGGAAAATAAAGAAATGAAAGTAAAGAAATGAAAGTAAAGAAATGAAAGTAAAGAAATAAAAAGCAAAAACAAAGCCCTTTGGAGAAAGCACATGTGAAGCTAGACTTGTAGTTACAAGAATGACAAAAATAACTCAAATTTGGCTTGATAGCTGTTCTGGATTTGAATTTTCATGTATCTAAGAAACCTAAGAAAGAAAGAAGTAGATCTAAAGACCTAAGAAAGAAAAGGTACACCTTTTTACAGAGACTAAAGATACAGTAGTCTACTCTACCCTATTTTTTTTCTCTTTACATTCCTTTGAAGTTCACTTCCAGATTTTGGTATTAGCTTTATGACTCAGGTCCAACTCTGCAACTCCTTAATATCTTCTTAATATCTCCTTCTTGCCTTTTTACTTCTGAAACACTTACGAGTTGAAAGAGTCGATCCAAGAAAAGAGACAAAAAGAATCAGAGAGCACATCCATCGGGGAAAGAGTACGGTAGATGATGGTGGAGATGAAGGAGATGAAGGAGAAGTGGAGGTTGAATGAATGAATCGGCTTCTCCTTGAGTCATCTAGCCTTTCCGAGACGAGTACAGATTCCTGAAAAGAATCTCGTTTAAAATTTAAATTTAAAAAGCTCAACGAGTTATGTTTCAAATACAGTTTCATTGAAGGTTTCATCTGTTTAGTTTTTTTTTCCTCTGTTCATTTGTTTAGTTTTTGTGCTCTTTCCTATTTTTGCTTTCCTCTTTCCTACTCTTTCCTCGCCATACTTTTGCTGATTTCAAATTCTATTCTGACATAGACAAATGCGGTTAACTCATTTAAATCTTCTTTTCTTTTTACTTGAAATCTCAAGTGATCTCAAGAGATTGTGCCATTTGACCCTGGTATGGTCATCAGTTGTCACATGTTACATTTGCATCATTTCCATTTGCATCATTGCATTGAAAATGAAAATTTTGTAGACAAACCTCTTTTGATCGATCGCTGTTTGAACAAGAGGGGAGTTGATCGTTGAAAAATTCGAGTGAACACATCTAAAATCGGCAAGAAATCAGAAAGCAACTCTTTTAAACCAAAAAAAAAGGAAATTTGTTTGCAAATTCGGAAAGAAAACGGAAGAAACGGAAGACAAAAAAAAGCAAATTTTCGCTTGATTCTTTCTAAAATCAAAATCAATCTAAAAGTTTAGATTTAAATTGAAATTTAGAAATGCAAAGTGAAGAACTAGCTTTAAGAAAGTATAAGAAATTCAGTTATAAGAATATAAGATATTCAGTTATAAGAATATCAAAGAGTCAAAAGAGAGGGTTCAAGTACTCGAGAAGGTCAAAAGGACAAAAGGACAAAGTTTTCTTCACTACAAAACTCAAATAAACAAGTTAATTCAAATTGTACAATAGTTCAAATGTTTAAATCAGAAAATTTCCTTATTCTAAATGCTCATAGAAAAGAAGCAAAGCAGGGAAAAAGGAAAAAAAGGTTCGTCCCAAGGGAGTGCGACTCCAAAAATACGTAGTCATTAGCACTAAAAAAATCTGAAAGAAGAAACGTGTTTTTCTAAATGAGGAAGCAACAAAACGACGTCACATAGAAAATTGAGACAAAAAAAGAGGCAAATAAACATTTCCCGATACGAAAAAGGGTATGGAAAAACAATGGTACTGTATTAGAATTGGAAATGATTCGAGTAATGTATTAGAATGTATTAGAATGTATTAGAATGTATTAGAATGTAATAGAATGCATTAGAATGTCTTAGAATGTCTTAGAATGTATTAGAATAGAAATGTATTAGAATGGTACTGTATTAGAACTAGAAATGACTCGAATTTAAGGCGAAATTCTTGTAAAATAGTTTGACTTAGCGGAAATGGAATTTTTTTTATTTAAATTCGTACACAATAGTTTCCTGTTTTAGAGAAATGAAGGGTGAAATCGGGGTATTTCTTTTTCGTCAACGATAGGGGATTTGATGAAATGCGAGTACAAAAATATCAAAAAGAATAGACGAAAAGTAAATCGAAAAGAATAGACGTCAAATTTGGAAATCAACTTTACCTATGTCAAGTAAAACTTTAGAATATGCTCAAGAGAGAAAAATAGAACTCAGAAAACTGTAAAATCCCAGTTTCATGTCTCACTACAGCATCCCGTTTTAATTAAATTTCATTTCATTAAACATTTTGAAAGACTTATTCACTTATTCAGCTTTTTGACTGAGCACGTGTGGCTGACTGGTTAAGTGTCTTTTATCTTAATCGGAAGGTCGAGGGTTCGAACCCCACATGCGACATGGTCACCCCCTTCGGATTTCCTTTCCCTTCGGGTTGAGAGGTTTTCTGGAGGGCAGTCTGGTGGTTGTGGCCCCAGTTCTTTAAAGTGACAAGCCACTCCTTCATCGTCATCTTCCCTTCACCACCAAAAAAGCTATTTAGTTCCCCATTGAGCTTAGGGTTAGGGAGCCGTCTGTCATGACGTGGGTTAAGTTAAGATATAGCCTAGTATTGTGTGTGTCGTTGTATTGTGATTGATATATTTCGTGTATGCGATAAATTCACCACTGGTAGCCCCAGTCGGTATTTTTTTTAAAAAAAAATACTTTAAGGTATACTGTAGAAAACAGCAAAGAATATTTCACAACAAGCAAAGAATATCAATTTCACAACTCTTGAAACCCCTAAAAGTGTCTCTCAAAATGCCAGAAAAGTCATTGAAAAAGATTCTGAATTTGAACTGAAAAACTGAAAGACCTGAAAAAGATTCTGATCTGAAACTCCAAAATGCTTCATTTTTTGCAAACGCCTACAGCATTTTCGTTCATTTTTCCAAATCCCGCCTCAATCGAAGAACAAAAAGTTGTGGATTTGAGACTTTTCAAATAATCCTTGAGCTTATCTCATGAATTTCACAAAATCTCTTTGTAATTAAACGGTGCGGATTTCCGAAAATTCCAATGAATCAAAAGCTTTTTGGAAATGAAATTTTTTGACCAGATTTAGACTACAAACATTTGTGTTCAGGAGTTTCTATTTATGAACAGGAAGTACTCAATCACTTTATTGAGGTTTTGCGGGGGAAAACCCTTTGGGAATCAGTCATTTTCTTTTCTTTTCAACCGGAAAGTTGACTGTAAAAGAGCTACGTAAAAAAGCTACGTAAAAAATTTTTTGTAAGATCACTATAACCAAAAAAAGAGATAATTTTCGAATTGAAATGTAGTTGAAGTGGAAATGTCGGTAGAACTATATCATTTTGAATGATAAATGATCAATGATAAACTATTTTGAATGATAAATGATGAGCACTTGGTTCACGTAAATATTCAGCCTCTGGTGCACTAGATACCGAAAGTTTTGCACGCACAGGCTTCACCATAAAAATACAGTAAACCACGTCTCATTACAGTAAGCTGAGCACTCTTATTTATGGCATACTATTGAAATAGAATAAGAACTGTAATCTTACCATGATACCATAATCCAAGAGAAGTACATCAAATATTTGCTCTAATGTTGACATTCACAAGTACATAAGGATGGGAGAAAAGGGGAAGAGGTCATGGAAGGGAAAAGATGGAAGGGAAAAGATGGAAGGGAGAGGCGGGGCTAAACCCAAGCACCGCCTATTATCCAGATGATTCCTACCATGAGGAAATCTCGCCTTGAATTCTGCCTGAAAAAATCCGAGAAATCACAAAGATCCCTTTTTACTTCCGTGTACTTTATCGAGAAACCACGAGGAGTTTGAAAGCTTTGAGATCGTTGAGAGAAAGGCTTTGAGATCATTCAAAGAAAGGCTAATGTGAAATTGGGTTTGGGGAATGATTTGGGGAATGATTTGGGGAATGTATGGCAGTTTATACTTTCTGTACTTTCTTAATTACCTATTTGACAACTTTTCTGATCGTCTCACTATAGAAATGTTGTTTTTTTAAGGAAATCATTAAATTGACGTGAATTTTAAACCGATAACTATCAAGTGACCTTGGCAATGTTGAGAAAAAATGATTCGCGTTTTGAATTTCACATTGGGAATTGGAGTTGACTTCAATCCAATACTCACGACTCGCTGATCAGAAGACATCGCTGATTGCTGATTTTCTGATCTGTTCATCAAAAGATCATCGACAACCATTTGTCGACCATCGACAACCAAAGACCATCGACAACCAGAAAAATCTAATGTTGATATTCACTGACTGAATTCGCTGACTCATGAACTGACAACAAAAGAACAACAAAAGAACTCCTGTCAATCGTCGTCAGTCCTTTGGGGGACTGACGTCAGTCCGTCAGTCCATCCCAAATGACTTTTGGGATTCGATTTTAACATCTGAAACTTGGATTAATTACGAGAATGTCAAAAGGAAAAACGAATCTACCGGACAAACCACTCTCAAATCTGATATTCATGAAAAGAAAATGCTCTATTACTGGTGGAACTCAAAAGGTGGAACTAATCTACGAAAAAACATTGATTTTACTTTTTATTCAAAACAATTGACGTTTATGATGATGCCTTAAAGAAATTCATCAAAGATCAAATTCATCAATCCATCAAAGATTCCATTTTTGCACGACAAGGCAAAACTCCACATTACAAAAGTTACTCACAAAAAAGATAGACGAGCTGGGGTGAAAGTTGCTTCCTCATGCCCCTTACTCTCCTGACTTAGCTTCGTCAGATTGCTTTTTTGAAACAAAAAGTAATCTGACAAAGAGTGAAGGAGTTTATCATGGGAGAAAAGTTCGATGATCAGCTCAATCTCGAGTTGATCATTTAATCAAGCTGGACAACTATTTTCGCTTTAAAAATCCTCAATTGATATTGATATTTTTCACAAATGGAATCAAGGACTTGCGTTGAAGATGGGAAGAAATCATCGCTAAAATAGAGATCTTCTGATTAATAGTTGCTATTTCTTGTAAAATGCAATAAATTGTTACACTCGAAAAAGCACTGTTACACTTCTTCTTTCCTCAAAAGAGACGTGGGGCAAGCTTTGGATTTGTATTGCGTACGATTTCATGTACATCATTGGAAAATGGTTTTGTAATGCGGGAAATGTTTAAAGATGAGATATTTTAGATAAAAAGTTTCAAAACCACAATGTTTTCTTTGAATATTGAAAGTAAAATGTATCATTGGCGTTAAAATAATCAAAATCCGGGGTCACTTTGGATGGAGGAGGGGATAATGGTGAAAGACGATGGTGAAAGACCAGGAAATCACTCCCAAATCTTTCATTAAGCTAAAATCTTGAGTGATTTTTTTGAAAGAACTTCTTAGATGACTTCTTAGATGAAATCATTTCATTTATTTTAAGATAAATTTGATGTTGTTTTTGCGAGGGTGGGAATTAAACCATTCGCATTTCACTACAAATGGAAATTCGGTGGAAATCTCTTCAAAGATAAATTAAGAAACAAATCTGTGCTATTTTTATTGAAAGATAAGAAAAAGTGGGATAATATTTGTAGGTTTGACGTCGCTAATAATATTGAGTGCGGTTATTTGAAGATTCGTGATGATATTTGACTGAGGCATAAGGAAGGGTGACTGAAAGAATCGTTCTTTTTTCAGATGAGTTGTCGATCATTGTCGATCAAAAAAATTTTTTCTATATAAGAAATTTCGAATTTTTGAGTCTAAAATTGAACAATAAACACTTTTATTTAAAGAAAAGCATAGATTAATTGGGTGAATTTGTTATTTTTCAAGAGAAGTACGAAAACAATATAAACAGCCACATGTCCTGGCTTTTGGTTTTACCGTTTTGTGTTTAGAGCAATCTGTTTGGTACCAAATTGGACTCTAAAGCTTGAAAATCAGATATCCTGTCATAAACTCTTCTTCAAGATCCAATAGACCAAACTGAATCCATTTCAGTTTCAGTTAATTGGTTGGTTGGTTGGTTCCATTTCAGCTGATCTAAGAGGATCAAGTTTGATATTCAAAAAGTTTCTTCCACTTTAACCAAAAAGATTCTAAAAGCACAATAAGTTGCTGTCAAATGGATTGTTTTTGAAATAAA